CCAAAAACAGCTGGAGACCCAAGTTTTGGAAACCCTGGGTTAGAGCACAGATGGGGAACCTTCCAGATGTTGCCGGACTCCAAGTCCAATCAGCCCCAGACAACGTAGCCAAAGGTCAGGGATGATGGTTACTGTAATTCTGTAATGTGTGGAGAACCAAAGTTTCCTCATCACTGTAGCAGAGGCTGCGTCGTTTATGGTTGGCAAGCAGAGAGCGTTTTTAAGGAGAGAGGCTTCACCATTTGCCGGCTCCAGATTTGCATTTCCCAGCCTTGCCTGTGCTTTATCTCTGCCTGGCTGATAATTATCGCTGCTCCTTCACGTGACACATTGGAGAGAGCAAACCCCTGCGCCTGCCACTTTCTGCACAGCTGGGCAATCTGATGCAAAGTAGGGGAGAAGGGAAGAGCATGTTTGCTTGTCTGCTAATGGTTCCCTTGCTCCCCAAGACCAGAGAGAGTTTCCTCCAAATGTGTTAGAGAAAGCATGCTGCTGCTGCTTTTGCAAACTGTTCCTTCTAATGCATTTGAGTACCTGTATAAATGTTGCTGCTCACTCCAGTCAATGCTGGACCAGGCCTCTTCCTTCTAATAACATTAAATAGTCTGAAACATGTTTCTGATGATAATTAAGTGTATATTCCACAGGGGCACAACAAAGAGGCTCCCCCCGCGCCCACTGCCAGAATATGAAAATAGTCGCAGAAAACAGCTTCTTTAGACTCTCAGCTTTAAAAAGATGAGGGGAGAGTATTTTTTTATCCTGTGATCCACCCCGAGATCTTGTGATGAAAGGCAGTAAATAATAACAACAATAACAATAGCATAAAAGAATGTGTTTACATTCACATGACTTAGGCAGGTCATCTAATGTCCCTTTGCGGCGCAGAATGTGGTGGCTCGGGTGCAGAATTTTAATTTTCTTTCTGCAAAGTACACATGGCCCTTTGCGGAGGTGTTTCAAGCGTTCCAGAGGCTATGAGGCTCCTATCTGACTCTGACGCCTCTGCAGGTGCCTCCCTGTGTTACCTTGCTATCACATGACTAGTTTTGTTCCACTGCAGTCTCCTGAACAGGCCAGGGTGAGCATGACCTCAGCACCATTCCGGCATCCTGCAAGCAAGCGCACTGTCCTTCTTAGCTATAATACTTGTTCCAGGGAATGCACTTCCGCACATTTAAATGTATGATTCAAAGTGCTGGAAAACCCAGCAGCTTAAAGGCTCTAATTACACTCTAGGGATGGCACTGGGTATAATATCCACAATGAACAGAATTACTGACAGGACTTGACCTCATCTTATGACTGAGTGTGAGTTATTTAACCTTGCCATGCAGGCTTCTGAAAGAAACCGAGGGGAGTCCATTTAAATGGTGTGCGTAGAATAAACGTTGCATCTTGGAATTGTTTTGACTTTCCCACACCAACGTATCCTACCATCTCCTTCTTCCTCCCTACCCCAGCCACACAGCCACCCTCCCTGATTGTGCCCTGAGAAACTAGCCTGGTGCAACTAGAATGTAACTCAGCAACATGAATCCATTCCTCCATCCGCAAAATCAGCTCACCAGGTCCGCCCCCCCCCCCCCGCCAGGCAGGTAGCCAGCTATCCTCCATCTCTAAATTGCCAAAGGCACTGCTGCTTCTCTTTTCACAGTTTCCATTCTCTTCTATGGTGCTGCGGTTGGAAGTGTCAGAGTGAAACTTGGCTTGCACTGGTAGTTGATATACCTGCATGAAAAGGGTACATAGAGTGGAACCTCCAAGCTTCCTAGACTGCACTCTTTGTGCTGACCTATTGATCTTCCTTCAGTGTCAGACTGGTACATTTAGGGTTGATAACTTGACCTCACTTCTTCTCCATGCCGCTCTCATGCTAAGATGAAAGAGCTAGTAGGACTCTTTTGTTGGTGTAAAGCAAAATATAGAAATGTAAAATTCCTGGATGCCAAGATCCAAGTTTGGGACAATTGCTCTTTGGTGAGAGAACCCCAGCAGATATTTAAAATCATAAAATGTGCAGCAAAGTAAAGCATGGAAATATAAGCTGTAAAACCTTTAAAACGTGCCCTTCTAAGTGAGTTCCAAAATGTGCCCTTAAAAGGTATCTTTCCAAAGTTTCCCTCTTCCCCCAGCATAGGAAAAAGACCATGTTTTGTAAGTTAAAAATGGTTTACTTACAAACTCTTCAACGGCCAGGTTCATGTGCTTCAGGAAAGTTGCACAGGCCATAAAACTTAACTTAATTATGAAGTGCTTAAAGTTCCTAAAGTATTGGTAGAGGAACTCAAGAGATGCTTGTTAAAGCTATGTGGCTGGAATAAGCAGCTCAGAGCTCTTCACACAATGAAGGTCACATGTAAACTGGGGGAGAACAAACGCTTGCTAACTAGCTCCTCCCTAGGTGGGGGGGAGTGGACTTAGCTAAGCCTGGCAGGACAGCTTACTCTCTGGTATTAACCCCTTCATGCATTAATTAGACTTAAGTATGTTGGTTATAGAACTCGGGTAGCGCTGTGGTCTAAACCACTGAGCCTCTTGGGCTTGCCGATCAGAAGGTTGGCGGTTTGAATCCCCGCGACGGGGTGAGCTCCCGTTGCTTGGTCCCTGCTCCTGCCAACCTAGCAGTTCGAAAGCACGTCAAAGTGCAAGTAGATAATAGGCACTGCTCCAGTGGGAAGGTAAACGGCGTTTCCGTGCGCTGCTCTGGTTCGCCAGAAGCGGCTTAGTCATGCTGGCCACATGACCCGGAAGCTGTATGCCGGCTCCCTCAGCCAGTAAAGCGAGATGAGCGCCACAACCCCAGAGTCGGCCACAACTGGACGTAACAGTCAGGGGTCCCTTTACCTTTACCTTTATGTTAGTTATATGAGACTGGCTATCTCACATCTTTACAGCTCCACCTCAGTCAGCTAGAATGAGGGATCTTCCCTAAACAACACTGATTTCCTGCAATAAACACAGCTTTCTTATTTTCCAAACTGTGTTGTTGGTGTTTAGTTGTGTCCGACTCTTCATGACCCCATGGACCACAGCACGCCAGGCACTCCTGTCTTCCACTGCCTCCCGCAGTTTGGTCAAACTCATGCTGGTAGCTTCGAGAACACCGTCCAACCATCTTGTCCTCTGTCTCCCCTTCTCCTTGTGCCCTCAATCTTTCCCAACATCAGGGTCTTTTCCAGGGAGTCTTCTCTTCTCATGCGGTGGCCAAAGTAGTAGAGCCTCAACTTCAGGATCTGTCCTTCCAGTGAGCACTCAGGACTGATTTCCTTCAGAATGGATAGGTTTGATCTTGCAGTCCATGGGACTCTCAAGAGTCTCCGCCAGCACCATAATTCAAAAACATCCATTCTTTGGCGATCAGCCAAGGTCAAGTGTGCTCCTCCAACAGGGATTCTGCTCGCACTGAAAATATACACCTCAGGCCTGGAGGCCAAATGCACCCCTCCGTGCCTCTGTATCCAGTTCTTGGGACTCTGCCCAGCCCACACCCCATCCACAGGCCTTACTCCTCTCTCGAGTGCTGGATAGCATGTTTGTACTCTGATTGTGCTTCTTGCTTGCTTGAGCAGAGAGATCGGGGGTGGCCTGTTAGTTGAAACCTTTGATTTCTGTGTGGCTGAAATGTAGTCCACTGTACAAAGGTTGGAGTCACATCCATTGCTCTATCTATTTTTCCCTTGCCTACCACCAGTGATGGGATGCGGGTGGCACTGTGGGTTAAACCACAGAGCCTAGGGCTTGCCGATCAGAAGGTCAGTGGTTCAAATCCCCGCAATGGGGTGTGCTCCCGTTGCTCAGTCCCTGCTCCTGCCAACCTAGCAGTTCAAAAGCACGTCAAAGTGAAAGTAGATAAATAGGTACCACTCCGGCAGGAAGGTAAATGACGTTTCCGTGCGCTGCTCTGGTTCGCCAGAAGCGAACCAGAAGCCGTGTTGTGTAGCTGCAATCAGACACTGAAAACACATGGTTTTGTTTTGTTTGGCTTAGTCATGCTGGCCACATGACCTGGATGCTGTATGCCGGCTCCCTCGGCCAATAAAGCGAGATGAGCACCACAACCCCAGAGTCAGCCACGACTGGACCAAATGGTCAGGGGCCCCTTTACCTTTACTTTACCACTAGTGACATGCTTGGGTTGATAAAAATTCCCCACACCTGCCCTAGAGTGGGGATCCTACGTGGCCATGTATTGGGCAGCTGGCATAGCTGGGAGAGCCGGGCAGAGGGATGCCTCTGCCTAATGCAGTGCACCCATCCCAGTCCGGTAGACTGAGAAAGAGTGTCGGGTTGTTCTGTTCATCACTCCACTCTTGTGATTTACTCTTGCCTGTCAATGGTGCATTCTGAGCAGTGCTGTCATGGATCAAATGGAAGCAGCAAAGATAAAAGTGAAGAAATGGAATTTTTCATCAATTATTTGACACGATCATCTTAGTGTTTTGTTTCCTCTTGGCTGCGCACGTCAGATTTATGTGCCAAAATTATTCACTGCCGTTTCCCCCTAGAGCTTGCCTAGAAATGCACCTGCTCTTCCGCTTTTGAGCCGTGTTGTGTAGCTGCAATCAGACACTGAAAACACATGGTTTTGTTTTGTTTTTTCCCCTTCCCTTGTTGTGGGCTCTGGGACAAATTCCCACGGAAAGCGAGTCGCAGCCGGCACCTGCTTTCAGGGAGCGTTTAATCACTGCCATGTAATCAGATGGCGATTCCTTGAGAAGGGCAGGAACGCCGCCAAAGCAATTTCATTTCCCAGTCCAAAAGAGATAGTTGGGGGTATTAGTTCCGCTGCGTGTGCCCAATTTCAATCATAAACCCAGAAGAGATAAGGAAGAACTCAGGTGTGCAGTAGGTTGCAAACAGACATTTTGAACAACTTCTCAACATTGCCAAGTTGTGCAGGAAGTGAACCTTGCCTTGTTCACAGGCAAGCTGCTAGATCATCTTGCTCAGGATCTACACTGGCTGGCAGGAGTTCTCCAGGGATTCCCCACCTGACCTGGAGATGCAAGAGATTGACCCTGGGATCTTCTGCATGCAAAGCAGAAGCTCTGCCATGGAGCTACAACCTTTCCTCTGTGACGTTAACATATGAGAGTGGTGGAGGTGAAATAGTTAAACAAGTTACCCAATCAGAACCCAGGGGGTGGAGTCAGAGGGACTATAAAACCAGCTCTGGGAGGGGCGAAAGGGGAGTTCGTTGGGAGTTGGGTGGTTGGTTGGAGTGGGAGTGAATTGGGATAGAGTCTGTGGGTAGGTTGAGTTAGTGTAGCGAAATAAGCTGAGTCAGGAACAGTTAGGAGCTAGGAAGACAAATAAATATCTGAGAGGTGGTTTAGTGAGTGAGAGCAGGTAGCGGAAGTTATAGGTCTGGATAGGCACCCTATGATTGTAATTGACTGATACCGTTTATGAAACCACACGCTTGTTAAACTGCAATAAATAAACAGAAGTTTATGTTCCAATTTAAACCTGACTGGACTCAGTATCGTACCAGGTAGGGCCTGGGTGGTGGCAGCGAGAAATCAAGAGGTGGCACAGGGATCAATAGATGGTGAAACGTCCGGGGACCCTGTGTGATCGCCGCATCAGCTACTCTGTGGCAGAACCTCTTCAGGATCTCAGGCAGAAAAGGAGCCTTTCCTGTCACCTGCAACTGTTTTAACTGGAGATGCCGGGGATTGAATTTGTGACCTTTTGCAGCAAAACCAGGTGCTCTCGCTCAAGATCACTAAGGCTGCGGGATACACACTAGGGCAGGCAGCTAGGAGCCATGCTCCCTCCCCAAACAGGAATACAGTCTAGGAAGTTAGTGGATCAGATCCATGGCTCATCCAGCTTCGTATTGTCAACACACAGTAGCTACAGCTCTCCAGGGTTTGTATAAACTAGGAGGAATCAGGCCAAGTCTCACGAACTAAGGTGCTGATCTCCCCGCCTCAGACTCAGATTCTGGTTGCAATAGGTTACCAGAATGGGGAGACACACAGAGAGAAAGAGAGAGAGATAGAGAGAATAAGAAGAGGTTATGCAACCCTCGTAGACTTTGAGAAGCTTCCTATTAAAACAAGAAGCTGAGCTGGAAAGCCTTAGAAATTTACACTGCTGCCAACCAAACTATACAAAATATTGATGAGAATGAAGACCTAGAGATGTTTCGGAGTTCGCTTTATCAGACAGAACATCAGTCTCGTTTGGATATTGTCCGTGCAAACTCAGAGTCTCCCCTCCAGAGGACTGCTTCATCCAAATCTTGTCCTGGAATAGTTCAGCAGATTTCCAGAAATCCTTTGAAAAAAGAGGAGGAAGATGAAGAGTATGACAATGAGGATGAATATGAAGATTACCATTAAAACCACCAAGGAAGAGAGCACCTTTGAGACTAGAAAGTGTTTTCCCTGCAAATTGTTATTTTTCATTGTGTTGATGCTCAGTGATGGACACAATTAAGACTATTCATTTAAACTACAGTAAAGAAAGAACTGATCACTGGGGAATGAAAAGAAAACAAGAAGCTGAGCTAAAACACAATAATTACTCAGGAATGACTGAGGTTAAGGTTGGCTCTTTGGCAGTACAGTTCCTCGAGCCAGTCACAGAATATTAAATAAGAGCTTGGTAATAATGCATGACCATTTGTGTTTGAAGAATTAGAAGACAAAGTAAGCAACTATTTTCAAATAAGCAAAACTGACTTTTGGTGGGCGGGTGGTGTATCTATTTTAATAATAAAAATGTGTCACAGACATATGTGTTTGGGATAACATTCCTTTATTTAAAATGCAGTGCATAGTTAAACTGTGGAACTCCCTGCCACAAGAGGCAGTGATGGCCACCAATTTGGATGGCTTTGAAAGAGGAGTAGACAAATTAACAGAGCATGAGATGGATACTGTCCTGCTCACGAGTTTGCCACAGGTGTCTGGTTGGCCACTATGAGAAAATGATGCTGGTATAGATGGACCATTTTCAGGAATTTTTCCAGAACTGCACACCTGTGTTCCAAATGCAGTTGCACCATAGATTTCTATAAGAGCATTACGATATTAGTAGTTTCGTTCTCAATTCCTTTCCTAATGATCCCTGGCACAGAATTTGCCATCTTCACGGGTGGCACACATGGGGTCAACATCTTCACTGAACTCTCCATTAAGACCCCAGGGTCTTGTACCTTGTCAGTCACTGCCAGTTTAGACCCCCATGAGCGTGTATGTGAAATTAAGTTTATTATTTTTTAAAAAAATGTAGTGGGGAAACCCTGAAAGAAGTCGAAGGGACCCTGTATGCATCTCTTAACCTTGGATTGATTAACTTAGTATGTAGATTTGGAGCAGAGGAGTAAGAAAGGATTTGCCTTCTACATATATAAAAAAGTGTTGCATCCTCGACGCTGCAGTTCATTCCCATGTTTGCCTTTAGAAGTTTGTCCCATACAGTTTCTGGTCTAAGGAGTTGGGCGGAAAAGGGAAGAGAAAAGCAAAGAGGACAAAGTGGACAGAGAAGAGCAAAGCTGATGATCATGATGATGATGTTGATTTCTAGCTCAGTCAGTAGAGCATGAGACTTAATCATAGAATTGTAGAGTTGAAAGGGACCACAAGGGACATCTAGTCCAACCCCCTGCAATCTTCTGCCCAATGTGACGCTCAAACCTACGACCCGGAGATTAAGAGTCTCATGCTCTACCAACTGTGCTACCTCTTTGCTGGGTTGTGGGTTTGAGTCCCATGTTGGATTCCTACATTGCAGGGGGTTGGACTAGATGACCCTTGTGGTCCCTTCCAACTCTACAATTCTATGAGTGTATTTCAGATTCCACCTATGGTGTCCTTTTTGCCAAGAACAAGGTGCAAAACCTGTGCAAGACATTAACTTAAGTTGTGGGTGGCTAAGGATTCTCATATATATATATATATATATATATATATATATATATATATATATATTATTTTTCATGTACTCATCCACTCGCCCACCACACAAATGGCATCAGAACAGAAGTTCCGCCTTGCTTGATCAGACCAAGAGTCCATCTAGTTCAACATTCTGTTTCCGCCAGCAGCCAGCTGGATCCTTCTGGAAATATCACAAATAGAGGCACTGGCGGGGGCGGAACAGTCTTCCCTTGTTGTTTATCCCAAACGGGTGGTATTCAGAGGTAACTAGCTTCTGTGCAAGGACTTTCCAGTGAACTATCCTGCCCCATAACTTATCACAAACTCTGCCCCAGGTGTACCTATAAAGGACCATTCTAGGTCTATTTTGTAACTGTGGCATGTTACACAGTACAGAGGAAATATCCACATATTAAATGTGGGTTGCCTACCGCCATTGTAAATTACTTTATTCCCATTTGGGTCTTCCTTCCTATGACTCTTAGTTAGATACACAGTGTGAGAAACGAGGCTGAGTTCCCTTCCACTGCCAATAAAAGTGTCTCTGGTTGCTGTTTACAACAGGGCTAATCGAGTGTTTATCCTCTCTTTCGCGATTTGAGAGAAGGGCTTGTTTAGCATTACGGTTCTAAGCCACGAAAGCCCATTAAAAGCACTAATTAAAGCATCAGAAGTCAGACGATGCACCAATGAACAGCACAAACAGCAACGCAAGGTAGTTTTGGAAGCGTTTTAGCTCTCTCTCCCACAATGCATTGTGGAAATATGCAAAATAACATTCTGGTTCAGGCGGGTCTGATGCTGTAGTGGCTGTAAAATGACTGAGAATAAACCAAATGATTTGTACAAGCACACACACACACACACACACACACACCACACACATAACGTCCTTTGTTTTCGGCAACGGCTCTGTAATAAGAGATCTGGCAGCGGAAGCACAGCGACAACTTCACAGCACAGCCTTCCCTTGCTGGGAAAAAGACTCGGCACCTCCAGAGCCATCCCTGGGAGAAGAAAAGACTGACAGTATGGCAGGAAAATGAGAGAAGCAAAAGCAGGCCTTCACGCCAGAGACCTGTGATCAGTATGTGAGCACAAAGTGCGATGGAAAAGTCAACAAAGAAATCTGCTTGGCTTTCTTTTACCTCCCGACTTCCTCCTCCCTCATCACCAGTCCTCTGGAGGCACCTTGAGTCTCTTTATTCCCCGCGCCTGGTAGTGACAGCTACTCTGGGAAGAAGGCAGAGAGAAAGGAGCTCATTAAGCCATGGGCTTTCTCCTGCAGGCAGCTTATTTTGCCTGGGTGCATTTTCTCACCTCCTTTGGAGAGCAGAAGATGCATATTCCCTTGTGCGGAGCAAGCAACTTGCTGACTCTGCGTAGGGGGAATTGAGGCAGCACAGGGTACCCACAAACCACAGTGGTCTCCTGGACAAAGGCTTTGCAATACAGTGGTACCTCTGGTTACATACTTAATTCGTTCCGGAGGTCCGTTCTTAACCTGAAACTGTTCTTAACCTGAAGCACCACTTTAGCTAATGGGGCCTCCTGCTGCCACCGCACCACCAGAGCACGATTTCTGTTCTCATCCTGAAGCAAAGTTCTTAACCTGAGGTACTATTTCTAGGTTAGCGGAGTCTGTAACCTGAGGCGTATGCAACCTGAAGCGTATGTAACCCGAGGTACCACTGTACCAAACTGGAAGCTCAAGCGCCGGGAGATCTGTAGGAAACAGATCCAGGGGGGATCTCCACAAGAAGGCACACATTTCCCATGTGAGGAGCTCATCCTACACTCAAGTAGGACCCTGGCAGAGACACATGCCCGACTGGCATGTTCCCTCCCTCCTGATCGATCGTTTGGGAGCTTCAAAAGCTTTCTTCAGCCCGAACATCACAGCGACCGATGCCAACAGACACCGGCACACTTAGGGATCCACAGAATCTTCGCAGCTTGCATAACAGGCCTCAGCAACTCAGCATTTTGGCTAATCTACTTCATTTACATATAAACACACACAGAGCACTGCAACATGGCTCCCTCTCTCTCTAGCATCAGACAGCAAAGAGAAAGAACAAAGGACAATAGTCCCACTTCACGAAACACAGTAACACAAACATCCTGTCTCCGTCACTTCCCACTCTGTGGAGTCAAAACGTACACCGTCATGTAATAGACAAAAATCCCATGACTGCAATCACGGAGCAGGAATTCTAACATCTTGGGACTTAGCCCCGCTTCCTTTTGTGCTGCATTTCTAGGCACAGGTCCAGGCTTTGCAGGTCTGCGCCTGAGCGGGATGTTACCTATACGCATACAATGAAATGGGAAGTTCGTGTGCAAGGGCAGTGGGGAAATACATACCCATAACTGCAGGTACGGTAATTCTGTAAAATGCACTGTAGCCATTCCAGGGGCCAGAGAGAAGAGAGCAGGAATAACAACTCAATGCGCTGGCAAATGGGATCTCTTCTGCGATTATTTGATGGCTAGAAATAGGGACTGTGGCATGAAGCCTACACACCTGCTCATGCCAATGGTGGCTGTCATGTAGTGTAAGGAAATAAGGTAAACCCACAGATATTTTACTACAATGTGGTATCAGTACAGGAGCAATACTTTCGGGACTGCTCATTCACTTTGCAGTGATGAAGGCCGACATAATGAGCTAAACACAGTGTCTGAAAATTTCCATTGCTGCACGTATGTTCTCCGCGATATTTACCCTGCTTGTCTTCCTTGCTTATTGTGTTCTGTCTCCCTCTCTCTCGCTTTGTTTAGTTCTCCCCTGTGGCTCCAACATCACAAACAGATTTCAAAGTCCCCATTGCCCATTGATGTAACATCAATACGACCAAGATAAAAAGCCAAGATTCCCAGAACCAGCTGCTGATCAGACAGTGTTGGCTTTTCCATGGAATATTAATTGGCAAATTAGACACAAAGCTTCATTTACTGCAACCAACCAGAAAGGCCAAATCCGTGCCTCAGATGACACGACTGGATAGGGAGGACTTCCATCAGATCCAGTTTTCAGGATTTGCTGACTATTGTATGGAAGGGCTCCAGCTCAGTGGTAGAGCATGTGCTTCGCAGGCAAAAGGTTCGATCCCTGGTGTCTTCAGGTAAAACCGGGGAAGACTGCTACCGGAAACCCTGGAGAGCTGCTGCTGGTCAGTGTCAACAATAATGAGCTAGATGATGAATCAATGGAAGGACTTGCATAATGACATTGCAGAAATAGAGAGGGTAGAATTCTCACCTGCGTCACTTCCCATTGTAGGTGGGGAAATAAGACGAACCGAAGAAAAACCCTGCTAAATCAGGTCAGTGACTCACGGCAAGGACAACGAAACAAAAAATCCCATTGAACAGTAATGGAGGCTGGATAGCTCAGTCGGTACAGCATGAGACTTTTAATCCCAAGGTTGTGGGTTCGAGCCCCACGTTGGGTGAAAGATTCCTGCATTGCAGGGGGTTGGACTAGATCTACTCCCACTATAAATAATCTGGCAATGATGCAATGATCTACCCATTGGATTGACCAGAGGTGCTGAGCTTTTTTTAGGGGGAGAGCTTTATTTTTTGTTTTCGGTCAATCGCAGGAGATCACGCGATCAACCAGGATCGACCAGGGACAGCCTGCGATCGGCCGGTAGATCGCAATTGACTGTTTGGACAGGCCTGGACTAGATGATCCTCTTGGCCCCTTCCAACTCTACAATTCTACGATTCTGTGTAAATAACCATTAAAAGGGCTGGCTCGTCTCACAAAATTTTATACAATTGAATAGGCTTGTTGGCATAAAAAGGTCTTCAAGAGACCTGAAAATTAGCAGTGAAGAAGCTTGCCAAATGTCTGCTGGAAGAGTATTTGCACAGTCTGGGGCTGGCAACACCAAATGCCCAACTTCTGGTTGAAACCAGTCAAGGCTCTGTAACAGCGCTCCTCTGGATGATCTCAGTGATCAAGCTGGGATATAATAGCTCAGATCCCAGACCAAAGTTGGTCAGGACTTTGCATGTTAAAATTAACACAGGAGCCTTGAACCTGCCCCAGATGCGTTGTGGACAGCCAGTGCAGATGTTTTAGGAGGGGTGTGACATGGCGTCAGCCGGCTGCCTCCATCAGCAGCTGAGGCACTTAATACAGCACTGGCTGGAGCTTCTGCCCCAGGCCCAAGGTCCACCCCAGATCAGACCCACTGCAGTGATTCTGCCTCAAGGTTAACAATGCATGGACCACAGTGGCCAGGGTATCCCAATCCAGATCCACAGCTGGTGTATCAGACAAAGCTGGTCAAAAGCATTCTTTGGAAGTGTTTCTCTCACATTTTAATTCTCCTCCTTTGCTCAGATACTGTTAATAGAATGTGGTTATTGGTGTTTTTCCGGGTGTTGAGCAAAAGCTTATCTTTGTTTTAAATGATATGTGTGGTTTTGTGGTCTTTTGGCTAGACAGTAATTCCCCAGTTCAAGTCACACTGACCAGAGAGAAAGAGGTGCAGCAGCCTGGCTTAAGTTGCTTGATATCTAGCCAGGGAATACTGGGGAGAAGACCAGGGGGGTGTCTAAAGGGCCAAGTGGGGAGGTTGGGATTCTAGGGCAACATAACCTTTACATATATATCTAGCGGCAGCAGCAGAAAAATGATGCAAGTTTGTGGAGGGAGGAAAGATGGGTTTGAGGAAGAAAAGGCTCATCGCTGAGGTCCAGGAACTTGAGCCCTCAATGTCCTGCAGGTAGCCTGACAGACAGAACTGGGAACATATTAGTCCCGCCTTAGGGCCATTTCACTTTGTGGAGACCTTGTGGGCTGCTCAACAGTGTTCTTGAACACCGGGGACAGTAAGGAATTAACTCAGATTGTGAGACCAACTCTGAAACCCAAGCCAAGCCCATGTCTCCACTGGTGGGTTGCCATAGCCATATGCCATGGAGGTGAGACTACAGAGAACCCACATCATTTGAAGAAATATTGTTATTTCTGGCTCTACAAATGGTCCACAAACAATACTTTGGAGGTCCTGGGTCTCAAGGAGGTTAGACTGGCCTCGACCAGGGCCAGAGCCTTTTCAGCCCTGGCCCCAGTCTGGTGGAACGCTCTGTCGCAAGAGACCAGGGCCCTGAGGGATTTGACATCTTTCTGCAGGGCCTGCAAGACGGAGCTGTTCTGCCAGGCCTTTCCTCTGGGCAAAGTCTGACCCCCCTTCTTTCTTTCTATGGGACCCTGTATGTAAGTGGCCTCCTTGGCTCTTTCTATCAACCCATATGGGACCAGCACAGGCGGCGGGCCTGATGAACATTTAATTCCTTACTCCTACGGTTATGATTTGTGGGTTCCCATTTAATTTTATTTTGATTTTAAATGTGATTTCAAATTGTATTTTAAATCTAATCGTTTGATTTTGTGTGTTTTTTAATGTATTTTTATTAAAGATTTTCTTGATTTACAAAGGTATATGCAATGCCGCTCTCTCGTATTCTTCCAACCATGAAACTTTTTTTTTTTTTTTTTTTTTACAAATCATTTTCATTTGTTGAGACATTAGGAAGAAAAGAGGAAAAGAGGTGGAGGGGGGAAGATGAGTGGGGGTGGGGGTGGGTGGCGATGTTTCTATTTTACTTAATATATGTGGGGTTTGGTGTCAGCGTTGCTTGTGCAGGTTCTCTGCTGTTCACTTGTGTTCCTTTGGTGGTGAGAGAGGTTGGGGTTGGCCTAGGGTGTGGTTGTTCATTTGTGCTTGGCTGTGGTGGTCTTTGTTTTCATGTGTGAGTGGGGTGGGTGGGTGTTTTGGATCGGGTCAGCCATATTGATTTGTATGCTGTTGGTGGATTTTTGTCATTGTCTTGTTGGGCTGTGTGTGTGATAAAGGGGAGCCATACTGGGGTAAAGGCGTCTTCTTCTATTTGATTGTGTTTTTAATGTATTATATATTTGGTGTTAGCTGCCCTGAGCCACGTCTCGGCCGGGGAGGGCGGGGTATAAATAAATATTATTATTATATTATTAATCCCTGGTTTTGCCGTTGGGTTCTTAAATGATCCAAACTGGTCCCAACCTGGTCACTGAGCACTCAAACCATGGGTGGTTCAACCCTTTCCTTCCGGCTTTGAAACAGACAAAGGGTCCGTGAGGTAGAATTTGCCTTTTGGGCAGATCTGCCAATGTCCTGCCGTTCCAGATGCCGGAGCTGTAGGACACGGCGGTGGTCACAGTTCTCAGGAGGAGGAACCAGAGAACACAATCAGCGAGTGAGTGAGTCACCGAGCGGAAACTTTTCACCTCGCTGCATCTTGTCATGTCCGTGCACTGAGGCTGTCAAAAAAACTTTAAATTAATTGTGCAGACAAGCAAGGGGTGGAAAACAACAGTTTCAGCAAATCAACGTAATTTGCAGGGAGATGGGCGAGTTGCTGGCAGGAAATGTAACGAGGACAGAAAGCGTGTGGGGGGGGTGTTAATGGCTTATAACTTTTTAAAGGATCTTGGGCTGTGGCTCTCTAGGGCCATCATCTCAGTCCAGGCCGCAAATCCAGGAGCCGGCAGGGAAGCATGACAGCAGGATGGTTTGACACCTCCTGGCTCACCACAAGGGATGAACCTGCTAGGATGCCAGCAGAGTCAGAAGCTGCCAAACGGAGCCCAGGGAATGCCCTTGACTCTTACACAGCTCTCAACCAAGCAGCCCTCCCTCCAGGCAAGAGCAAGAGCTTCCTAATATTTTGGGCTATGCTGCTTGCACTGCTCTGCTGATGCACCCATGCTCACAGCGGTGTCCTAGACAATTCCAGCATCTCCAGCAAGCGCCCTTCGTCGCCTTGCTCCAGAGCAGGGCCCTGGGAGGGAACTCACGCTTCCTTTAGCACCAGGAATCCCTCTCCCTGACATCTCCCTCTGGGCTTCACCCGACAGCTTGACTTTGGAAGTGGCTGTGGACCTGGCTCCAAGGTTAACACACAGAGAGGCCTTTACCTCTCTGGTTGGAGGTGGAGAAAAACAATCAAGCATGTTATACAATTGAGCTAAGGCAAGGTGTTACATCCCCAGGGGCTGTAGCAGATTGATTCCTTTCTTTGCAAGGGCTTTGTAGATAGGCCACTCATTTCCTATGCTGGTTATTTTGTTTTTCCTCTGGGCTCTTCTTTCCTCTTTGCAGATTTCCTGCACACTTCATATTTTATTCCTTTAAAATAGAGGCTCTGCTCCTGTATGGTGGGTGGGTGTGTGTGTGTGTGTGTGTGTGTGTGTGTGAGAGAGAGAGAGAGAGAGAGAGAGAGAGAGAGAGAGAGAGACCTTGAAACAGTCTTCTGTCTTAACATACATTCCTTTCATTTCAAATCTGCAAACCAATTAAAGTTTAAGTGGGAGCCTCTGCAGTGCAGTAGGGGCTGGTGGGGAGCAAACCAAGGAAGGATCAGGCCTGTGCCTCGGAGGTTTGCTCCACATTTCACCTCCTGGGACCAGAGGTGAGAACTTTTCCCATTTCTAACCTGCAGCTACAGACTTGGCACATTGCAAATCTCCCAAGGGATGTGGCAGAGACTTATGGCATGCCTGCAGTTTTAGGTGGGATGAACCAGCTTTCTGACCCAAATGCACCAATGTTCTGTCAGCTCCCACCTCAGGGTCATTACGACATAACAATCAGAGCTTAGCATAGGCAACTGATTGCCACACACAGTTGTCCTAAGCAAAGTCCTCCTCCAGCTCTGTCATTCTACAGTGGAAGTATATTGGGTCGAGTGAACTCAGGTGTGTGGCTGGATAGCCCTGCGGTAGCTGTCAGAGATGGGTTTTTTGCCAATATCTGGTAACTTCATTATGTACTTCTGTGCCCAAAGCATCCCTATGTGGTGCCTGGGGTTTTGGATAGGTCTGTTGTGGTGCGGCTGAGCTAACATTTCCTCAGGAAGATTGCTTTCAAGTTTCTGAGCTTTCAGATTTCCTTCCTATGGCTTCATATTGAGCTAGTTTAAGGGAGTTTTGGGATTCCTGTTCTCAAGCTGCTGTTTTGAAAGTCCAGAAAAGGAAAACATTCTGCCCTGAATGAAGGAATGCTGGCTAACAGTGGAACTTGTCCTGTATCCATTTGGAGGCTATGAAAAAGTGGATTTTAAATCTATTTACAGTAGAAAGTGTGATAAGAGAGTGTGAATGCCAATACAGGCAATCATTCCTTGTACCGGGTGATGAACCTATTTGTTTGTTTTCAGATTATGCTGAATCAATCATGTGAACTTCTCCTCCAGAAGCACAAACTGTAATTTTGCTCACCTTTAGTGTCTCCCTTAATTGTGGAAGTTGTGGGTTTCTGTGCTTATGACGAGGTGTTAATGCAACTGGTGTAAACATGTCTGTTTTCGAAGCTGCTCTGAAAGCGGGCAACCCAAGCGTTAATGAATTAGATCACCCAGTAGCCTCAAGTTATTTAAGAAGGCCTGCTAATTTCACTTTGTGGCAGTTGCGCACTGTTGCAATCCTGGCTGTGGCACATTCTCTTCAAAAATAATGCCCTCAGCTAGTGGTGCTTCTGCCTGACAGCCAAAAACAAGAGCAAATGGGGTGTTGGAATCTACATCTTCCCTGGTTTCTAAACGTCCTGGGACCATGTGGGAAGCCTCAGAAGTCAGGAACCCAGTAGCAGCTGCAAGGATGCTGGTCCCAGAACATGATGTTGAGATTTCTCAAATAGAGATAGTTTCTCCCAGCATGCTGAGCTGTTGGATTCTCTCCTTTCTGTGTCCTGTTGTACTCTGTGCCTTCTCTTCCATACCCTGTAAACAAGCTGTCAGTTTTAATTGGACTGAGCTGCGGTGGGGAGGAAAAGAGAGACTTTGATAATGAAAGAAAGGGGTTGGTGGCACCTCACGTCCTCTTAAGACTCTGCTGCACACCTAATCCTCCCTGCTCATTCTCAGGAGTTTGTAGGGCAGAAGGATTTTTCAGTCCATTTGCTCACGGAGGCCATACTCCTTTTTTATATACATTTTGTTCTTCCGTAGGAGTAAATCAATCCTGCCTTTAAAAGTCCCCTTGTCAACATACAAGAAACATTTTGTGTTTCCGAGTAAAAATTCAGAAGAAAGAGGCCTCAGTCTTCAGTCAGATATCATTTTAAACAATTATGTTCCATACAGTGGTGAACCAAACGTAGTCGATCCAAGCACTAATTTTTCGAAAAGATTTTTAGATCCATATCTGATTCATCTTAATAGGTCAATTGTGCACAAATTTTGTGGTTTGAAGTAAGCAAAAAGTGAGGGGGCGGAGATGAACTGTGATCCCCTTTTGTTTGGAATCTCAGGTGAGTTACCCATGCAGTAGAAGTTGCTCCCAGGACCAGTCACCACAGCGAAGCAGAGAAAGGTGTTCCAGAAAGCACTGGAGGTTTCCTAGTGTTGTCACCTTGAACCTAAACCACTGTCATTTCGGTGCCCTCCGGCTAGCCTTCCTCAGTGCCTCCTGCTAGCCACTGATTCCTCTCTATTATCTCCTGCTTACGATCCTTGCTGTCCTGCTCTGGTGCCAGAGCCTTGAGGACGAGGTGGATCAGGAGTTACAGGACCCTGGAGAGCTCAAAGCAAGCCACTTTCTCTGACAAAGGCGGAAAGCAGACTGAGCCCTTTCAAGCCTCTGCTCCCAAACTACCTCTCCCAGGCTCTGCCCTCTTGTGAGGAACTTAGATTCTTAAAGGGCCAACCCTCTGTCAAGCTGTAGTTTGTTTTTGTCTCATATTTTGTTATGTTTCTGTGCTAGACTTAATTGTGTGTGAGTTACCTGCTATTTTGTAACCCCTGTGGATTTTATTAATATTATTAAAGTAACAAATATGTCCAAAAACAAAAAATGAAACCAACAAAACACGAAACCCCTTCTCTCATGAAGTGCCTTTTCATCATCCACCAAAGCCTTTATTTCAGTTTGGCTTAGCTGCTTTTGTCTGATGTCTAGCCAGTCGCAGCCACCCAGTTCAAACACCTGAGGTTTGAATGATAGAAATGGTTACCAAATACGTTTTGGACATCCATCCCTTGAGGAGTAATAAAATATACATGATAAATAATAAGGTAGGATTCATAAGGCACTTTTTACATGTGTGGTTATCTCAACAACCATTTTAATAACCTTGCATGCTAGGCCAGTGCTAATATTATACCCATATTACAGATAGTGTAAGACGAGAGCAGGGCGGCTTGGCTAAAGGCTGCCCAATGAATTTCTGCTTATCAACCAACCATATTTATATCTCACCCTATCTGGGCCCAACAGGCAGCTTATAATAAAATACATATAAAAACAACACCTTAAAAAACAGCCCTTCAACTGTTTGCTTTTAAGTCACAGCTGGTGAACTGAGTTCTAAAGGGGTTTCAGTTTCAGGGATCAGTGTCCGGCGGCACCTTCACAGGTCTTCGGTGTAAATGCAATTTGTTGTAATTAAATGGGTCTTTCACTTCGGCTATTGTCACACTTCCCCGATCTTCCCTTCAAGGATCTATAGTCTTGTCGCTAGGTACCTTTGCACTCTCTGGCGCACAAAGGGAGGCACTGGAGTCCGACTGAAGCAACTAAGTCTCACATGAAGCACTTCCTATGAGCACAAAAGAAAACTAACGAATCCAAGTGGGGAACGAGGCTGTCTGGCAACCAATAACCCCTCTCCCATTGACTGCTGCCGAAAGACAATTTTCAGAACCCGTCTGGCAATTTCCAGCACCTTACGTTCAGCAAATTGTAGCTGAAGTTCAGCAGCATGGCCCCCAAAGAGGAAAGGTTTGGAAGGTGTGCTGGTATCGAAATTAAGGAGGACCAGTCCCCCACACAGCCCACACTTTCAGGCTGGATTCATAAAATACATATATTGGTCTCCCCACCCTCCCACCTCTCCTCCTCCTCTTTCTCCAGCAACCAAGAAAATATTCATAAAGATGAGGTGCAAAATTCCTCTCCAACTTCAAATACATTTCTCCTGGCTGCCTCTCCTTGATTCCTGGAATATCCCCTTGGAAAGCGGTGGATACAACCAGCTGGCAACACACATTACCAAATGCTCACTTCCCCCAGTTGAGGCAAACTTCCAGATTGCAGCAGCCACTCATTAAAGGGTGATGAGAGGGGGGGTTGTGAGTGAAGGAAGGGGAGCGTTTCAAGGCTCCTTCCAAAGCAGAGCTTGAGAACATTAGAGAGATACACCAAGGCATCTCAAGCCATAAACAGAAAATCTTGGAGCGGGTAAGGAAAAATATTTCCATTCTGCCGTACGTTTGCCCTGTCATTGGAGATGCTATTTCAACTTTTGCCCAGACAGAGAGGATGCCATGTGAAAGGAATCCACTTTCCTAATCTCCGTGTAGTAAAAATAACTTGCACGCTAGCACCAGAGATTTCCAACTCTCCTGCCGTTGCTCTTTTCATAGACTGTCCTGCTGGGAGGCATGATGACTTTGCTATGTAGTCTCATGATCCCAAGTTATGAGTCAGAACACTCTGCTGAAATCCTAAGATTGGTTTAGAACAGGCATAGGCACCCTTCGGCCCTCCAGATGTTTTGGACTACAATTCCCATCATCCCTGACCACTGGTCCTGTTAGCTAGGGATCATGGGTGTTGTAGGCCAAAACATCTGGAGGGCTGAAGGTTGCTTATGCCTGGTTCAGAACATCACAAGCACTGGGGGACAGAAACAGAGGAACCTGGAAGTGTGACTGCTTATATGTGGCATTTAAAGTCCAACACCTATTTTCCTTGGCTGTGGCTTCTTGTGATAGAGGGAAACATGATTGTCAGAGAACTACATGTCACCTCTTAGTTGCATTGACACATTACTGTTATGGGTCATGCCAGCCTGTTGTTAAAGAAAGGAGAACTGGCAAGATGTTCATCATACGCTGTTGTACATCACCTGAAAAATGACAGCACTTTTCAGAAATTATTGCATTACCCAAGCTATAATGTAAATAGCACCTGGGATTCTCAAGTACCATGACATTGTTGCATTATTCCCATTTTACTGCAACGTCTGGTCCATCTAAGCAATGGCATACAACCGCGTTATGTCAGCTATAGCTTTAAGAGGTGTGGCGCTTGCCATAGTGACCGACTTAAATGCATCTCAATTACACATCAAATAATATTAGCAAACACTAAGTTTAGCCACTTCTCGTATGTAACCATTAGCCAGGCATAAGAGAACCTGCAGCCATTACTGTACTCCAACTCCCATCACCCCCTGCCAGCATGGGCAATGGTCAGAGATGGTGGGCGTTGTAGTCCATCAACATCCGGCGAGCATGAGGTTTCCTAGTCATATCGCAGAGCAATTTCCTCCCTTCTTTTATAAGCAGGAGACACGCTGGACTGTCCTGGTAAAATGGCTGTGCTTAAACTGAAGAAGCACAAGTTATACACAGGGCTGTTTCATTTAGTAGTTTCCAATTACCTGTTTCCTTATAAAATATCCCCATTTCCTATCTGCTGTTCAGAAAGCATGCTCTTTCTTTATTAAAACGCACAGCACTGCAAAACAAACAAACAGAGCTTTGTGGTTTCCACTTCGGCACTGGTCACTGATGACCACTGAATAAAAGTGCCAAGGTAATGAAAAATGTTTACTATTGGGAAGAAAACGGAAGGAAACAGGACTCTTAAAATGAAGGGTTGGGACAAACCATGTTAATTGCTTTCATATAACTGGGCAGAACTTCTCAGGGAAAACAAGGCTATTTCTGGCCTAATGGCCCAGGCCAGCAACTGTCTTGTATGCATTTACTTGAAAGAGGCCTGTGGAGTTCTCAGGAGCAGAACCAGAAGGGCCGACCCAAAACTTCACAATTAATTTGAAGCAGAGAAGACCGAAATAGAGGACACCCATCGCGTTCTATGGAGGCTGTGAACTTTTAACAAGGAACATGCCCGACACTCTTTGTAGCTGGGATGGTTTGGAAGAAAGGAACAACCCACGGAAACAAGGACAAGGAATGTTCTGACGCTTCCATGTGTTACCACAGTTTGTACTCGTAAGTAGTGTCAGGGGAACAGGCCAACCAACAGGCCAGCAATCAAAACCCTTCTAAACTGTCCTGTGTGTACACAGACACACACAGACACAGACAGTTCAGTGGCGGCTGGTGCCCACTAGGAATGGCAGGTCAGAAGGCAGGGAGCCCAGACACCAGGTGGAGCCACAGGCAATGAGAGACAAAACCAAATAATTCTAGTTTTGTCCCCCATGCCCTTGTCACAGCTTTGTTACTGAGCAACAACGGGAAGAACTCAGTGGAGTGAGAGGCCAGCCAACCAGAAGAGTCTCTGAAGTGTACTTGCCTGGAGGCCGGGTCAGCATCCGAAGTCAGGTCCAGTCCTAGGGGCAGGTGAACAGCAACCCACGTGGTCAGGGAATCTGGTGATCATGGGGTCGGGGGTCAAGACGAGCAGGAAGCAGCAAAGTAGGGCCAGGAACTACAAGCACTGTTACCAGCTTCTAACTGCTGCTGGAAGCGCTGCTTAAGAAGGCTGAAGCCAGCTGGTTCTCATCAGCGCCTCCTCCTCCTTTGTGTCCTTGAAGGCTGATCAGTTGCAGGTGGAGTCACTCCTCCCCCTTCAGGCTGCTGTTCAGCAGGTGAAGCTGACTCCTGGCCCGTGATACGCCTTCCAAGGTGATTTCTACAAGGGTCACGCTGACACTGAGGAGGAGGAAGCTGAGCGGTATTGCCACCCTATTCTGCGCACCGCAGCATGTGGCTGCCCAGAAATGTGGACTCACAGCTGAAAATAAATTGCAGACATTCCTGCATTGCAGGGGGGGTTGGACTAGATGACCCTGGGGTCCCTTCCAACTCTGCAATTCTATGACTATTGGAGTCTGCTCTAAAAAGGCTATGGGGGTAAAATAAACCCGTTAATGGGCTACCTACTTCCCTCTTGTTATCTCTGTGCTTGTGCATAAGCTCAGACACAGACACACACAGCTTGCATTCCCGCTGCGAAGAATGCTGCTCCTCCAAGGGTGAGATAAAGCTTTCTTTATTCAAGTGCCATGGTCTGGTCCCACCATCAGCCCGGCTGACAGCGCAGCCTGTCCCCGCATCCCATCTTCATCGCAGGTATGTACATTGGCAAGAACAATCCCAGATCCTCTGGCTGGGGGTTGGGGGAGAGGCATCAATCCCCTTGTCACAAAGCAAAACTAATGAGGGAGCTAGTACAGCACAGGACGAAACTGTTTCTATCAGGTCTGGAAGTGCCATTATCTAATTTACTGCTAGGAACAGCAGCAGGGTCAGGAGACCCCATAACTAAACCCATCCATCACTGTCACAGCACAGCCAGCTCTTCTGCTCCACAGAATCCCACGTTCCTTGTTCCTGGGGACCTTTTCTGTCCCGTGCAAAAGCTTCCCTGGGTCCTGGCTGGCTGGCAGCCCGGTACCTGCCGATAGTGGCAGAGTTCAAAATACCAGAGGCCTTACAGGACTGGCAGAGCTCCAGCTGGAGATCCACCAGATAGTGTTGCACCAGAAACAAATTGTGGTTGTAGATCTTGCCCCAAATTTGATGGATTTCAAGGGATAGGCCAGGTATTAATTAGCAGGCTGCTAAAGCTTAGACTTAGAAAAGCCAGATTGTTCCCATGGGGTCTCCTGTGACACCAAACCGTTGTTTCTGCTACACTCCATAGCGCAAGGGTGGGCTTTATCTTGTGATACTTTTGTTGGGGGCTGCCAGCTGCTGCTGGTGGGTGGGACCAGGGCTTTTCCCCAGCACCTCTCAAGTGGGCGCCATTGCCATTATAAGAGAACAAGGGAGGTGTTCGTGGTGAGTTCCGGCACCCTTTTTTTCTAGAAAAATAGCACTTGGTGGGACCATACATTTTCTCTTCCTGCCACTCATAGCTCTTCCTACCACCCTTTTCCTGCTACTTCCCCCTCATTGCCACCTAAAGGTAAAGGTAAAGGTAACCCTGACCGTTAGGTCCAGTCACGGACAACTCTGGGGTTGCGCGCTCATCTTGCTCTATAGGCCAAGGGAGCCAGCATTTGTCCGCAGACAGCTTCTGGGTCATGTGGCCAGCATGACTAAGTGAACCAGAGCAGCGCACGGAAACACCGTTTACCTTCCCGCCGTAGCGGTACCTATTTCTCTACTTGACATGCTTTCGAACTGCTAGGTTGGCAGGAGCTGGGAGCTGGGAGCTCACCCCATTGCGGGGATTCGAACCACTGACCTTCTGATCAGCAAGCCCTAGGCTCTGTGGTTTAGACGACAGCGCCACCCGCGTCCCTACATGAAATTAAATCAAGGGTTATGAGGAAGTATGACCTAGGGCTGCGAGTTGCACACCCCTGCTGTAGCTGCTGTCAACTATCTCTAAAACAAAGAATCCTGAATTAAGTGCTCAGTCCCAGAGGGGATTTAACCATTCTGCCCTTGCTTCAAGATTAATACTGTACTTGAGAGGACGTAACCACATAGAACTACCCAATTACACTAGGGCCACTAAGTCTGGACATTACTGGGATTTCAAAGGTGTAATTGTCTTGGGGAATTTCCAAAAGGTGGCACTTTGTCCTGGATCTTAGGCTCAACCATTTCAGGGGTTTCTTAAAAAAACTCAACAATTAAAGTGGCAACATCAGGAAGCAGTTGGACATATGTTTGTAACAGGAGCAGGAAATCTATTTTTTTTTTAAAAAAAAAAAATTGTATTAAATTTAAATAATTTGGATTAATTTGTTAAAATTTGGAAAACTAATAAAAATTAATAATAATAAAAAAGCTCAACCATTTTCAAGGTGTCCTAGTTTTTACTTTTTGAAATATGGAAACCCTAAATTACACAAGGGGGAGGTAGAGCTGGGCCAAATATCATAACCAAATAGGGGTCCTTCCATATGGAAATTGGTCTAATTTAGCTAATGCTCTGCTGAATAGGGGGCTTATGTGTCTTGGAAAGTCCCTTCCCTCAAATGTGGGACGATGTGGAGGTAGCCCTACTACAGGGAAAAGCGAATGTTTGGCCCTTCAGATTTATTTCACTCCAACTCCCATCAGCCCTAGCTAGCATCACAATGGCCGGGGATGATGGGAGCTGTATTCCAACAACATGTGGATGGCCACAAGGTCCCTACTCCTGCAAAACTGCTCTCTAACTGAGCAGCTATTGCACATTGAACAGAGACAAAAATGTTCAGACTGTCAGAAATCAACTCAGATGAACTCCACGTTTCCAACAAGGTCTTTAACATGGAGCAGTTCTGCACTGGGCTGAAAGCATCCCAAAATAGCCTGTTTCACTCCAGAAAGTGACGCTCAGTGCCCACCACCCATCACACACAGCACACCTCATTCATGTGGCACAGGCAGACTGACTCCTGGTGACTCCTGCACACCCGATACAAGATTCAAGAGCGGGGAGAGCACTGTGGTTTGAAGGGCACATCCAGCCTCACAACAGAAGGAGAGCGTGTTGAATAATTCAGCCTGTGCTGCCCTGGTGCGGCCATAGGGAGCAGCCAGAGCAGAACCAAATGCCAGTCTGCCCAAGAGCAGAGCTTCTTGGCTTCAGGTGTCAGTCTGATCTGGCTCTATTTCTAGGATTTCTGGTTGAAATGTCTCCTCGTCACCAGTGGGGAGTTGGCAACTTGCAGTGGCCTCTGCGTCACTTAAGAGAATTGCTCGTCCAAAGGCATAGCAATGCGGCTTTTCATTAGGAGTCAATTATCTTGTTACACTGAAAAACACCATCAGCAGCGCTCCCCACCTTCCCTGACAGCACAACTCGCTGGTGTTGAGAGGTGCCTTCTGGAATCATATAACGTGACCCCATGTTGAACCACTGGAGACCAGAAGCTTAAGCACAGGAAAGGAAGTGCAGAAAGCAGAAGGTTTAAGTTCCCAGAAGAAAGAGAGGCTTGTCAGCGATGCCATTTGCAGGCAGCCTCTTCCTTGCATGTCCCAATCACAGATGCCAATGCTCGCCAGCTCAGCGAAATGGTTCTCTTCCTGCTATACTCCACAGAGCACAGGGAGGCAAACCCACAAGTCTTTAATTTCAGAGTGTGCAAACGAAGAGAGAGGCATGGTTTATAAACTTAACAGCCCCCAATTCTGCAAAAAGCGGCAGTTAAGCTAACCAATATACATGTGTTTTCTCCCAACTGATTAGAGCTGTGAAGCGTATTTACAATGAATTTCGGAGATTTACTGGCAGCTCCTGCACTGGTGAAGTAAGTTTTGGCAAGCTGGGAAAGGAATGTCGTACATGCCAGTTCACGGGGAAGGGAGCAGCGCCCTTGTTGCCCAAGCAGTGCCCTTGTTTTCCCCTTCAAATATATGAGAGCTAGAAACTTGCTTTATTAAAAATGAAGGCCAAGCTCTGGAGTCTACCTTATGGGACTAAACCTGGGGCTATGCAGCCATGTAAAAGGCAAAGGTAAAGGGGCCCCTGACCATTGGTCCAGTCGTGGCCGACTCTGGGGTTGCAGCGCTCATCTCGCTTTATTGGCCGAGGGAGCCGGCGTACAGCTTCCGGGTTATGTGGCCAGCATGACTAAGCTGCTTCTGGCGAACCAGCGCAGTGCATGGAAACACCATTTACCTTCCCACCGGAGCGGTACCTATTTATCTACTTGCAGTTTGAGGTGCTTTCAAACTGCTAGGTTGGCAGGAGCAGGGACCGAGCAACGGGAGCTCACCCCATCGCGGGGATTCGAACCGCCAACCTTCTGATTGGCAAGTCCTAGGCTCTGTGGTTTAACCCACAGTGCCACCCGCGTCCCTATGCAGCCATGTAGTCTCCTCTAATTGTACCATGTACACCATTTGGAATCTTGGACCATGTGCTTTACTTCACCCATCCACACTAGCATGTGCAAGGTCAGGCCTCCATCTTCAAAGTAGCTTAACAAAATATACAGTGAGTGTTGTTCCACAACAGTGCCTAAAACAGTCTCACTGGCAAGACGGCCCTTTGCCCATCATAACCTGAGCTGTGAGGAAAGTTCGGGCCTTGCTGAGCTTCCTCTGCAAGTCTAAAAGTAAACCCTGCAGGTGAGGAGAGGCTGTGGACCACTAGATGCTGCTGGATCCAGCTCCCATCATCCCTGACCCACTGGCTGGGGCTGATGGGAGTTGGAATCCAACAACCGCTGGGCGACCCACAAGGGTCCCCAGCTCTGCGAACTGGTTGCCCCTAATGGCAAACAAACTTGACCACTACTGAACATGGGAGGAAGCTGCTATTCAAATGGAAACAGGCGGGTTGAAGTGGGCCCAACCTGCCTTTATTCAACCTGGCTTTATTCAAAGGAGACTTTATTGCGAGGTCCAAGGGGGCTCTTTCTTCTCATGTCCATTGAAGCGCAAGGGCCACCAGGAGAAGCAGCTCAGGGCAGCAGCAGGCGGCGTAGCTCCTGGCTGGAGGTGACGGGCAAGGAGCAGGCAAAGTTCTCGCAAAGGTAAGCTGTGGCTTTTCCATCTTTCTTCTCCAGAGAGGAGAGGAAGCCAAGGTGACTGTACAGGAACCCCTTGGTGTCCCCATCAGCAAGAATCAGCACCTGAAATGGGAGAGACAACGAGGAAGACACACAGGCTAAAGTGAGTGTTAAAGACGATACAACCTGCTCCCTTTCCCAGGCACCAGGGCCTTGCTCAAATATCCAGCAAAGTTTCAGAGACCCAGGGTTAAACTGGTGGCTCATTCCATCGGTCCTCCCATTCCCCCTGCCCCACCTGCAGTTTTCTGACATGTGCAGCACATGTGGCTTCTGGGAGCCATCTGGGTCAACTAAGTTAAATATTACTGGATGTCTGGGTTTGTTTTCGACTTCGCAAATTTGTTTTATTCTAAGTTTTAGCAATATTGGGGGTTTTTTCATACTTGTAGTTTTTATTGCTTGTAAGTTGCTTTGCTTGGGCTTTGCCAAGAAAAGCACCATATAGATATTTTTAAAATATATGTTTAGAAATTAACTCTCCGGGGCGTTTTTTCTTTGCTCCATCGGTGTCTCTGGAATGGCACACCTTGGCCTCTCCTGCTTGTGACACATTATAATCTTGATTATATGGACTTGTCTGGGTTGCTGGCAAACTAGGGCTCAAAATCAGCTGGAAGCACAATTAAGGTGGCCATTCCACAAGACCATGTAGTGCTATATTATCCAAAATGCCCATCTCCATTGCTAAGCTCTGTCTATAATGTTTACTCAGAAGTTGTCCCCATTCAGCAAATGTCCCCTTCAACTTTAATTCCAAGCTCCCTGCTTGCAACATCACTGATTAACTGCCACTTGGTCAGTCTATTTTTGGGGGGACGGGGACTTAAATGACTGGTTTCCTTTCATTATTTTCCTTTCTTTTTCTGAATTGCAAAATTACGCCCTTTTACAGTTAAAAAAGTGACCGGAAAAATAAAAGCCAGTAATTAAAGCCTGCTTCCCCCCACCCCCCACCAAGGGAACAAGAAGTAATTATGGGGCGAAGGATGTGCTGAACAGAAAGCAATTGGAGGCAGAAGCCACTAGGAGGAAACTTCTACTTAAATACTGAGCAGCCCTAAAAGGTCTCAGTTGTGATTTGGCTGCACACACCCAACAGGCTGGTGCTGCAAGTGAAAACAGTAGCCTAAAATCATATATGCAGAGAGCAGGAACACAGAAAACACTGGAATGCATATGGATTCTGCATAAAATCTAAGTGAACCAAGGATGGTAACTCCAGACTGAACAGCTTGTGTGTAAGCAACTCCGGTAAGAATACAGTGGTACCTCGGGTTAAGTACTTAATTCGTTCCGGAGGTCTGTTCTTAACCTGAAACTGTTCTTAACCTGAAGCACCACTTTAGCTAATGGGGCCTCCTGCTGCCACTGCGCCGCCGGAGCACGATTTCTGTTCTCATCCTGAAGCAAAGTTCTTAACCCGAGATACTATTTCTGGGTTAGCGGGGTCTGTAACCTGAAGCGTATACAACCTGAAGCGTATGTAACCCAAGGTACCAGTGTATTTGGGGTGGTGGGTCCTGCCTCTCTGTGCAGGCGTTTTGATCAGATTCCTTCTAGATCCTTTCCAGTCATTCTGGAAAAATTCTGACATTGCATGAAAAGAAAACATGGAAGAATCAGCAGCTTCTCCCTCTGTCCTGTTGACAACTCAGGGGAATACGCAGCGTAAGCAACACTACAGTCTCTCTACCAAGCCTGCTGCGAAGAAATGTGGAGGAGCAGAATATCCTATTTGTAATACAGACTATCCAAGGTGTGTTACACCTGTCTCTTGCCTAAGGTACCGAGGACAGGAGCCCACCCTGAGTTTGTCACACCCAGATCCGTGGTGACAAACCGAGATTCGTGAAATGAAGCCCGGGGAGAAACTGTTACCCTGAATAGCAAACCAGAAATGACACCTTCCGTTAACAACCCAGCAGCCTGGCTGCGTAAACAAGCCGACAGCATCCCGACTGGCTCGTGTGTGTCCTGGACATGAGGAGCTGTGCAGGTGCGACTTATTTAAGCAAGTCTCTCCTTGTCCAACTCCTTGTCACTGGGGACTTGGGGCTGTGCAGTGCGCTGTGAGGCCGTTTGCGGGGAAGAGAGCCTGTGTCTTCCCCTCCCCTCCTCCTGCCACCCTCTCCCCGTTCAGCCCCATCTGTGCCACAACTAAGCTGTGATCAACAGAATCATGCTGCTGCCACCCCCGCTTGCCCAGCAGGCTTCAAACACGCCGCTCTAATTGAACTCAAACTGCATTAATCACTTTTACAGCATGCCAGCTTCCTGCACGTAGGATCTGGAGCTTGAGCCCAGGCCTAGCCCAAATTCTAGCCAGCGCTGCTCCCTTGGTGCCGGATTGCAGCAAGATCATGCGAGGAGCTGAATGTCAGGCTGGCACAAGTGGCTAAATAGCAGGCCCTTCTCTCTCTCTCTCTCTCTCTCTCTCCACCCAAAGAATGAGTCTGACACAAATTAGTTGCATGGGGAAATGTCCAGATGAACCCTGCCGTGCATTCAATGGCATGTGACGAGGTACAAGTGTGGCCGGTGGGTCCTTCCCACACCAGTGCAAGCCTGGGTCATGCTCCCCGCACAGCTGCACATTTAGCATTAGTGAAAGGGGCTGTGCGCACCAAGTAGGGTTCCCAGTTGGGTAGAGGAGCTGAGCATATGTGGAGGGGGCCTTTCCTGACGCATCCTGAATGTGTAGCTCCCAGAGGGTCAGAACTCACTGATCACATAAATGGAGAACAGGGAGATCCCACGATGAAATGGAGGCTGGCACCAGCCACACGAGAGCCAAACTGAAATAAAAAGCTCCTAAGAACTTGGTCCACCTGAAGCATCCTCCGGGGGAACAGGGAGGGGATGATGAGGCCTTGAATCGGCTTTTTCTCACCCATGCTTTGAATGTTTCAGTGTATCTGAAGAAGTGTGCATGCACACGGAAGCTCATACCAATAACAAACTTAGTTGGTCTCTAAGGTGCTACTGGAATGATTTTTTTCCCCCAACTATGGCAGACCAACATGGCTACCTACCTGTAACTATGCCTTGAATGTGTCGGCTTTGTATCACTAGGTTTTTTCTCATTCACTCAAAATGCCTGTGTCACCTCTCATGCTGCCTTCAGCACAGAAGCCCATCACAGCAGCTCTCGCTGAGGCATTATGACTGTTGAACACTGGAAGTGATTGACAGGGACTTTTGAGCAACTCTGGGCCTGCCTCCCCCCACCCCCCACCACTTAAAAGCACCCAGAACAGATTGAGGAGAAATGGCTGACACTTTAGAAGAGGGGACATCAACCCTTTTGGGCCAGTGGGCACACATGTCAATTTGAGGAATGTCTGCCATGGGGGTGTGGCATAACACGACATCACTGTTACAGTGGTACTTCGGGTTAAGAACTTAATTCGTTCCAGAGGTCCGTTCTTAACCTGAAACTGTTCTTAACCTGAGGTACCACTTTAGCTAATGGGGCCTCCTGCTGCCGCTGCGCGATTTCTGTTCTCATCCTGAAGCAAAGTTCTTAACCCGAGGTACTATTTCTGGGTTAGTGGAGTCTGTAACCTGAAGCATCTGTAACCTGATGCATCTGTAACCCGAGGTACCACTGTATAGGGGAATGGCATAACACACAACGTCTGCCACATCAAAAAGAGCCCCCAAAATGACCACAAAATAGCTCAGGCATCCCCTCCTCAACATCAGCCGGGGGTGGGAGGGGAGGCACCAGTCAATGCCATGCTCACTCACAGAGAGAATAGAGGTTCAGAATGGAAGGAAGCACGGGTCCCCCATTCCTGGCATCCAATGAAATGTGGGCATGTTTAAGGTGTTGCCTTGCATGTAAATATAAAAAAATGGATATATATATATCTATATATATCTATATATATATATAGATATATATATATATATATACATGAGAAGCCGAACCTGTCCAAACAGAAACTGAGCAGGAACAGTGAACAGGGGATTGCAGGATTTTTTTTCAAGGGGTGTTTATGCAGACCTTTCATGGGTGGCACAGAAAGTACTAGTGGGCCCATTGGTGCTTGTGAGCATCACACAGGTGGCTCCAGAATAGGAAGAACCCTGCTGGAACAGACTGAGGATGCAGCAAGTGCATCCGGCCAGAAGCCTCCAGGAAACCCACAAGCAAGAATCACCTCTTCCCATCTGTATATCCCTGGCAACTTTCTCTGAACATGGAGGTTCCATTAAACTATTATAGCTGATAGATTAGGTTTTCCTTGGAATGTGTTCAAAATGGACTGCCTTGCTTCTCCCAACCTCTTAAAAATTGCTCTTGGTATTCTATTGTACAGAGATGCTCAGGATGACCAGGAGCAGAACCTTTCCTTTTGATACCCAGGGCCTTATTGCCCATAGTCAGGTGGGGAGACAGGAGAAGTGCTAGTTGCCTCCTAGTTGGGCCTGTTGTAATATAAGCCCATAGTGGTCCAAAGGGAAGATGCACCTTCTCAGTCTGCATCAGTAGCTGATTGACCAGAGGGTGTCAAGCATGCCAGTGCAGAGTGGGAAGTGGGCAGACAAGCTGCCCCACCAGGTGTGGTAGCCCCTTCCCTCTTTTTCTCCACACAAAGAGGTCCCCCCCCCCCCACGAAACAGGCACCCGGACATCTTCATTCTCTCTTCTACAGTCTCCTGTTCCCAGCATTTCAAGAAATAGTTGGGCTATTGCTAAGACTTAAAGCGCTTTGATGTGCATGAAACCTGGAGGCTCCACACTGTGTCATTCACCCAAACCACATCCTCCCCACTACTAGCCTTTGAGACATGCATGGTAGCATGGAAGGACTGGCATTATTGTGATATTATGCCACTGTACTGCTCTGTCTGTGACAGCAGCCAGGGTTGTGGCCTCAGTGTCCATTCTCAGCCTTGCCTTTAGAACTGATATTGTCACCTTCTTTGCTAAGGTTGGACTCCACCCCTTTACTATCCGTGTGTGTGTCTCTTGAGGCCCTTTCTTAAGCATCCAATCCCTATGCACATTCCTGTCGGAATCTGCGTTCCGTCGAGCTGATAAAGCTCATCTTCCTCTGGTCGAGTCCTTCGGAATCGCCTCCGACGATAATTTGATGAAGCCTCAGGCACATTCCCGTTCAGCAGAGTTTCCAGCACAGGGAAGTGATGAGATTTATGGCTACATGGCTAAAGAGTTTTATTTCTCACTACGCAGACAGAAAAGAAACATCCTTTCTCTATGAAAGCAGAGAGCAACTGAAACAAACAAAAGAACATTAACCAGTAATGTCACATCCGTCTCCCGTCTTCCGTGAGACTTCCAACAGCCTGGAATGTCTCTGGAATGTAAACAGAGCCTTGTGACTCCAAAGCACTGCTCAGTGGCAAACAGAAACTAACAATTGCTAGCCTGTTCACCTCTTGCATTTTTCTCCCTTACCTTTTAAATGCCTAGTTGTTTTCCTCCCCCATCTTTTCCCTTGTCATTATATGTGCACTGTAACTTGGCTACACCTGACTGCCTATCTAAACGCCCTTTCCTTAGCGCAAGGCTCTCCTCTGCTTGCCAGTCCTCATTCTGTTTAGGGCCTCCTTTGCATTATATTCGTTTCGCTCCTGGAAAATGCCCCAGCGTCCTTCTCCCTGTTCTGATTTTTCTCTCCACAAACATTTCAAAGTGGGCTCTTGGGGTGTTTTCTAGGCCAGATCAAAGCTGCAGCAGCTCCTGTCGCATTGGGTCACCCCTGTTAGGAACGCTCTAATCATGCCTGAGAAATGAATGGCTGCAGCACTAATTAATTTTTACAATACAGAAATTATTATTAGCTCCCTTGTGTCCTGGGCGTTAATGGAAAGTGCATTGGGGATGAAGCTTGTCAAGAGCAAGGATCGTCTACCTTTGTTCAAGGTGTAAAACAGGGCAGGGTGTGCTGTAATGAAACAGGGTTGAAGATACACTAAATACTTCTGTCATTACAGGACAATCGACCCTTCTCTCTCTCTCTCTCTCTCTCTCTCTCTCTCTCACACACACACACACACACACACACACACACAGAGTGATTGATTTATAAGGGAAGAAGGAAATGAACAGGAAAGGGTGAAATCATCAGTGTGGTGAAATTATCACATTATCAGTCACATAGAAAGAGAAAAAAGGTTTCTCTGGACTGTGTGAAAGCGAGACCATGTGCACACACTCTCATACACATGGAAGGTATTAAACAGAGGGTACCCAAACCTCCTATAAACAGTATTCCCCACATCAGCACCCTGGGGGAAAGGCAAATATGTCATATCTGTGATGCACTGCTGAGCTCAAACTGGGATCTTATGGAAGAGACACCAACTTCCTGAGCCACTGGGAATGCTAGTCAGAGGTGATTATGGACTGTTTCAGCTGGAACATCCACACCAGAGCCCATAATCTTCCTAGCCTGGGAAGTCAGTTGCCATCAGAGGGGCCAATCCAGTGCACCCGGTGTCTGACATGGAGCTGTTAACTTTCCCCTGTCTGGGAAAGCCATTCAGGGAAGCCACCAAACAGGTCTCGTCCAAACATGGCCACGCTTGCATGTGCCAAGGCACCCTTAATACTAATTCATTTCCCACTTGGTTGCAGCAAGTGCCTTGAAACGTGCAACATCTGTTTACAGGTAAGACTGCAACCCTTCGCTTCCCAAGTCGGCAATTGCATATGTCGCCTCAACCCATATCTATATCTATGTCAAAATGCCTTTCAATTTCAGCCAGCATCTAGCATGCATAAAACCTGATGCAGCTTCTGAATAAGGCAGCATTCCTGACCATAATTGCTTGGTCAACTGCACGCCAGAAAATGTTACTTCGTACAAATAAACATTCCCCAGCATCCCAAAGATGCCCTAGATGAGCTCCAATGCCTTCAGTGGCTCCCCCTGCCACTCACCCTTTGCTTTCCCACTATCTCCCCCCTCCATATGTTGGCAAATTCCTGGCTCATGATGGCTGTCAGTTACATCTACTCCTTGGGAAGTGGCAGAGTCCCCTTCATCACTCCCCCAAAGGATTCTCCTACTTACAACACAGACTATCTATTTTATTGTACTTGGATCCACCTAAACCAGGAAGAGGAACCTTGGTAAAGATTCCACCTGTTTCGCCCACCTGACCTCCCTCGTACATTCAGAGCATCTTCAAGAGTGATAACAGACACACACATCCCCACCCTGCACAAACTGGCCATGTTTGTCTTTCTTTTCTTTTTTTTATAAACTGTCACTCTCTCTCATTGGCTTTATCTTGAATTCCAGGGGTGATTAATTACCAATTCATGTCCAATCAGAAATTCATTAATTCATTTTTTTTGCAGCCTCCCTGAGGTCCTCTTGCTCAGGCAGGATAAAGGAAAGCCAGAGCATTAGCACTTGGTGGACAAAGGAGATAATGAAATCCTTCATAATTACCCATAGGCCATTAGCAGGGCAGGGAATAATAAACCAGAAAGCAAACTCCAGCCTGAAGCTGCCCACTGCCTGCCGTTTTCATTTTTGTGTCAGAATGGGGTGTGACACTGCCTTCCCTTTCCAACAGTGGGACCCCCTCAAATCCTGTCATTCAGAAGGACGCATCACATCTGGAATAGAGAGGCACTGAACTCCCCCTAGTTTCAATATGCACTTTTGAAGTAGCAAAGCCACGCAGCAAAGCAAATTATTGTGTGCAGAGGGGAAAGAAATCCTCTGACAGATTATTCACGTTGTTTCAGTGTTGTTCAGCACTTTTTTATTCCCTTGGCGGCGGCTTCTCCTCAGCGCCATTTTCATTCTTCTTTGCCCTCACAGACCTCACTTCGTTTGCTGTCACGCCGACCTTTAATCTGATTGGTTGTGGTGACGGGTGACCCGAGTGGTTTTGTTCGCCAGTGTCCATGAGATCATCATGGGCTTGGGTCACCGTGACCATTAGGATGGTGGCAAGCGAGGTCATGGGGCTGTGAGGGAAAAGGAGAGGGAAGAATGGCAGCGAGGAGAGCAGCACAGCCAAGCAACACGCATCTGTCTTACAAATGATGTCAAAAATCACCCCAAACATGAGGCACTTTTCAAGGAAAACAAAACATGCCGTTTTCTGCCAAGGCTCAGGAGTAGGCAGCTGTCGGAGATGAGCCAGGCATCAAGGGCTGAGCCCAGAAATCAGAGCAGAGGGGCCCAAGCTAGGAGAAAGAGATAGGAATGGAACTGCCTAAAAATCTCGGTTAAGCTTATCTGCATGGATTTTTTTTTCCTAATTCCCATCTAACTCCTGAATCTAAATGGGAAGCAAGCACACACCACCACCAGTTCCACTAAAAATACAAACCATTCTCACATGCAATATGCATTGTGTGGCGAGTTCCTGTCCGCCCCTGGTAGAATAATGACACATGACACAATTATTAAGGTTAATGGGCTAAAAAAGGCCACACCTTTATCAGTTACAGGTGATGAGCAGTATTGGTTTAGACATTGGACCTAACTGACTATATCTGACTCCAGCCCATCCGATTGAAGTCCGGGAAGGGTTAATCACCAGTAGGGGGAGTCCTGCTGATGAACATCAACCAGGAGCTCCCCTGGGGTCACCGATAGGGGGCATGCCTTAGGCCCTAACCTCCCTAGGCTTCGGACAGGGCTACGCCCCCCCAGAATTCTTTAACAGACTACCCTTCAATAAGTGGGGCAGGTGATGGCGCTACCTCCCCTCTTCCATCTACAGAACAATACCAATGCCTAACTGCCAATACCCAGGAAGTTGTGACGATTTGCTATGAGGTAGGCGAAAACCAAGTGGCTGGTGCCAATTTGCCAAGTGGAAAAATTCCTACCAGGCCCCTCAACGGCGACCAACCAAGGTCCATAGCAAGGTCAAGGAAAGAAAACCTTGAAGGGTGGGAGGGTGGGAAAAACCGGAGCAGCTGGAAGCAGACAAAGACGGAGATCCCCGGCTGCGTCCTGCCTTTAAGGGGCAGGCCACACCCCCAGAGCAACCCGATTGGCTGGCCAGGGGGTGACGCAGCCAGGAATCCCCCAATCATGCAGGGGCTGGCCTCCCACCCCTTGGGCATGTGGAGGGGCCGTGAAGCCCGCAACCCCACCTCCTCCTTAAGGCGGAAGTGGCTTTATTATTCAGATAATATACACATGTACGCTACAGGTTTCCTAAAGTAACCTGCCGCATAAACAAATACATACAACAGTGCATATGACTGTGTAAAAATATGTGGATCTTAAATATGTTTAAAAAGCCATACTGCAAAAATATAGTACAGCGTGGGGCTTGACTCTTCTATATGTATAATACATGTTTCTTTTGACGTGTCAGGCTTCTTTTGTTTTGTCAGCAACCGGGCTACTGAGTTCTGCACCAGCTGAGGTTTCAGCCCCGTGTACTGCAGTAATCCAACCTACAGACTACCAAGGAACAGACAACAGAAATTAGGCTATCTCAGGCCAGATAGGGGCATAGCTGGGCCACCAGCTCAAGCCAATGGAAGGCACTTCATGCTGCTGAGGCCACTTGAGCCTCCATTTTAATTGTTTTCATTGATTTTGTATTTTTCTCAAGCTGGAGAAGTCGTGAAGTCCCCTACACCAACATTTCTGTCCCAAATATTTTTTTGCATGACATCTAGAAACCCTGGGCTTGGACCATCCGCACCCAGCACGTCAAAAGGATAGAGAGCTGCACCCCTGGTCAGGAAGACCTCTGGCAGTCCCAAGGGAGTGGAATAACAAATTGTATTTCACTTCAAAGCCTGGGCATGCCTCCCCATCTGCCAACTGGGGGCCCGATGAGTGCAATTTTAATGAAGTATGCAGGTAGGGGCAGAAAACCACCATCTCAGGTGACAAAAAGGCTCAGTGCTCACTTTGCACCTGCCACTTCACTGGCGGACGTCATCCCTTCCTGCTCCCAATCTGCAGAGGAGATGCAACAGCTGGGCTTTGAGGACACAAGGCTGAGGTGTGCCATGCAGTTCCACCTCCCATGCTGTCCCAGCGTAGGAAAAAAAGCCCAGTCATCTTTCCAACACAGGTGTCTGAAGCAAAGTTGACTTCTCCTTTCCACCTTAGAATTGACTGTTTTCTTTCCACTCCAAGCAGAATGCTGCTACATTGTTTGGTGAGGCATTAATTACTATAATGACCAAATCAATTACATTCACCCGGGCAGGCTTAGCCACCAGCACCTTGCTCCTACGGTGCAAGTAAGGATGTCAAGTAACATGCTGATATATATCTGTTAGACTTGCCTACACAAGCAAGCCCATCTCCGGGGGGAAGTGAGTCAGGGCTGCCTCATCACATGCAAGAAAAGGAAAATAAAAAGATCAATGGAGCTGCAAAAAGAAAATGAAGACATCTTCCTAAATTTGCACCGCAGCCTGTGCACAAAAGGAGGATCAGTTTTTCCTAGACTGGGCAACAACAGCTGTTGCTGTGCAACCTCTCTTTTTATGCCGTTCCCTTGCCTCAGGTTACACTTTCACCCACTTTCGTTCACAGGCTTTGCTAGAAAGTGCTCAGTCACCTATCCCAGAGAGGGTAGTGCCTAATGACACTGGAATAGCGGGACAGCTCAGTTCATTTATTTATATATTTAAAGGCATTTCTCAACCGCTTAACCTTTAAAATCTCTAAGTTAGTGCAACCATAAATGCAGTCGTAAAAAAACAGTATTATAAGAACAGAGATTTTAAAAACACCAGAGATCTAGAAATAAGAGCATCCAATTCTATGGGTCAGGGAAAGCCCGGGCAATAACATAAGACTTTACAAGATGGCTGAAGCAACTTCTGGGGGGTGTTTCGCATAAGGCAGAGTGTCAGATAGTGGTGTGATTGCTCGAGAGCAAACAGGCAAGACTCCGACCTGTCTTTTCCAGGCTTTATTATTAGTGCAAACTATTTACAGTGAAGAGTGCCGCAAGTTCATGTCTGGCTCAGTCGCTAGCAGAATGTGGGAGTGGTCGGTCCTTGTACCTCCCCCAGCATAACAGTCGTGTGACCCCCAACCTTCTCCTCCCCTCCCTGCGCTGAAACCTACTGCGCAGAGTGGGTGCTGGCAAAGGGGTACTTCCCTCCTCTCTGACTTGCTCAGGGTCGGTGTTGAGGCTCTGGTCCCACCACCTCCTCCCCGCTGGAGATGGGGCTTTCCTCCTCGCCAGAGGAGGAACTGCTTCGCAAGACTTTCGGAGGTTCCCTATAACACAACTGCCCTTCCACCTCTCGCCTCTCAGCTGATGGCAGTTCCCTGACACAGAGGGAAGGGCATTCCAGAGTGCAGGGGGCAATGGCAGAAAAAACCTGTTTTGGGGTCACCACCCTGTGATATTCTGTAATGCTAAGCCGGCCAAAGTTCTCAGCAGGCCTCAAATACTTTCAAACTGCCCCATTCTGTAGTTCCAGTTGCTCACTTTGATTGCTCGTGAGCCTGAGCATCACTCCCGAATGCCATCCCATTCCCAGTATTTTTGTTTACACTCTTCGTACTTGAACATTGAAATTCAGGCCAACGTGGCTACCTGGTGGCACGTGGGCAGTTAGCAACATAGACAGTGACTTGGTACCCAACTGTTGTTGTGTCCTTTAGGCTGCTGAATTCCCACAAAATGAAATCAGCAGTGAAGAGGCCAGACACGGGGCTGAGTTTGTGATGAGCGTGAAAATCCTGGGGGATTCCATTCTGAGCCAAGCCTTTACCCAGATCAGTTAGAACTAGTTTCCTCTTCGCCTGAAGGAATCTGTGCCCTGGTTCTATCTTTTCTTGTGCTATTACTGAGGATGGTCCCAATGCTGGTATTCTTGGCCGCTACACCAAATTACTACAAAAACTGGGAAACGAAGAGTTCGTGGCATCTGTATTTTTCCCTCTGTTGGCAATGATTGAACTATGCACTTCTGAGGAATGTTGAGGGGGTTGTGGGAGGGGAGAGAAGAAGGTGGAGATGACTTGTCTACATTTTGCTCTGCTTGCAGGCTTCTTGGGCTCATCTGGTTGGCCACATCAGGAGACAGCATACTGGATTAGAGGGACCATTGGTCTGATCCAATTGTATTCTTATGATGATTCCTTTATGCTATGTTGATTGGACAATATGGTGAAAACGTTGACCATGCAAATGGAGAGCTAGATGATGCCCTCTGAGAAGTTCCCAGGTCTGAACTCAAATTCAGTAGCGGGGGTGGGTGGGAGCCTATAATGTGGAGGTACTCAAAAGGATGGAGAACACGTTATCAAGAAAAAAGCCAGGGATCGTCACAGACAAGATCCTTCCACCCATAGTCTCCCCCAAAAGTAGGACTATACCAGAGGGAATCTCAGAAACCCCACAGAGGAGGCAGATATGCCAAGAGAAGCTGTTGGAGAGAGGGTCTTATTTAAACCAGACAGTGGTGGAAGAAAGAGGGGTAACCTGCAGAGAAGAAGAAGAAGAAGAGTTTGGATTGGATATCCCGCTTTATCACTACCCGAAGGAGTCTCAAAGCGGCTAACATTCTCCTTTCCCTTCCTCCCCCACAACAAACACTCTGTGAGGTGTGTGGGGCTGAGAGACTTCAGAGAAGTATGACTAGCCCAAGGTCACCCAGCAGCTGCATGTGGAGGAGTGGAGACGTGAACCCAGTTCACCAGATTACGAGACTACCGCTCTTAACCACTACACTACACTGAGTGAGCCACTGGCTGATTCCAAGGTCAGACTTGCATGACAAAGGTAAGCCAGGTGGTGATCGCATGTAGCACCACTGGAGATCCCAAGTTGTCCATTTAGTAGCACAAAAACCTAGGAAGCGCTTCATCTCTGCACATGCAGTTGTTTAGAGTGACGTGCCTTGGCCCAAGTCTCACTGTGATCACACCCCTTGCTTAATCTTCTGATTCATTGCAGGCATGTTTCAATCCTGCACGCGATTCAGCCGCACGTTGTGGAGTCCGCTGCCAGTGCAACCCACCATCTGAAGCTTCCATGTTATGTTTCGTGGGTGGGTGGGCAGGGTGACTGCACCTTGTTTATGACTTTTGAGTAAGCAATTTGGGCTGATCTTTCTTTCACAACAAAGTCACTGCTGCTCCTCTGGACAGCCAGCAGGTGGTGGCAGCATGTCACTGAAGCAGGGGAGGAAATGAGAGTCAATGACCACAGAGTAAAGTGGGGGTTCGTCCCCCCAAAGGTCCAACCATCCAGGGAAAATACTCAAGGGAGGGGAGGGCAACATCCCCTTCCCTCACCCTATTTGTTATATGGAAGACAAATAGAGAAAGAGCTGCTGACAATCACAGCTTTCCCTTCCAAAGCTCTTTGCTGCAGTTAAGAGTAAATTGAATTAAACGGTGAGAATGGAATTTAATTTCCATGCTGTTTGATTTGATCATGCTCCCCTTCCGAGAGGCCTCCTCCGCTGGTTCATCATCTATCTTGGGGCCCCTCCCAGAACACGTACAGGTTGCAGGGAACAAAAAGCTGATACAGCTGTTGGGAAAGGGAGTAATTTATTAGCACTGGCAACGGCGGGCTCGGCTCCCCGCTGCCGACACGGCGCTTTCAAAGCTCCAAAGTGGGTCAGTGCTTTTAATCCTTCTCCGCCAAGGCAAAGGGAGAGGTGGAGCAGCAGCAGCAGAGGCGGGGACAGGGCAGCAGCAAACAGCTCCAGGTACAGGGCATGACAGGATTTGCTCCTCAGTCCCAGCGATGCCTGAGAGAGCCCAGCATTCAGCGCAAGAGCAGCTACTTCAGACCACATTTCCCAGTCACTTGTGCTGGACAGCTCCTGGAAGCCTATCTTAGAATAGCACTGTTCTTTCTCTTTATCTCCCTTGCGGAGGATAAGGTATTTTGATGGCTACTAGTCACAATGGCTACGTTCTCCCTCCAGTGCTGAAGACAGTATGCTTCTGGGCGCCAGTTGCAGGGAATCACGAGCGGGGAGAACGCTCTTGTGTTCGAATCCCGCTCTCTCGGGCCTCCTATGGGCATCGGCTTGGCCACTGTGAGAACAGGATGCCAGACGAGGTGGGCCTTGGGCCTGACTCAGCAGGCCTCTTCTTACGCCCTCACACACATTTGTATTGTATTAGTACAGTGGTACTTTGGTTCTCAAACGCCTTGGTACTCAAACAACTTGGAACCCAAACACTGCAAACCAGGAAGTAAGTGTTCCAGTTTGTGAACTGTTTTTGGAAGCCAAACATGCTCGATTTTGAGTGCTACGCTTCCAATTTGAGGGCCACACTTCCATTTTGAGTGTTACACTGAGGTCTGTCTGTTTTTGCTATTTATTTTGCGTTTTTGTTTTTGCGGCTCTTTTTTTGTTGTTTTTGGAACCCAGTTCAGCTACTGATTGATTGTGTGACTGCAGAACATTGTTTATTGCTTTCTTTTATGGTATCGCTAGATAGTAAAATTCATGTTAAACTGCTATTTTAGGAGTTGTTTTTAAAAGTCTGGAACAGATTAATTCAGTTTGCATTACTTTCTATGGGAAAGTGCGCCTTGATTTTGGAACGCTTTGGTTTTGGAATGGACTTCCGGAACAGATTAAGGTTGAGAACCAAGGTACCACAGTACAGTCATACCTCGGATTACAGCCACTTCAGGTTGCGTTTTTCGGGTTGCGGACCACCGAAACCCGGAAGTACCGGAACGGGTTACTCCCGGGTTTTGGCGGTCGCGCATGCGCAGAAGTGCTAAATCGCAACCCGCGCGTGCGCAGACGCGGGTTGAGAACGCTGTGGGTTGCAAACGTGCATCCCGCACAGATCACGTTCGCAACCCAAGCGTCCACTGTACTCAGAACAGCTTAGCTTACGCATGGCTTGTACCATTTTTATCCTCACACCAGCTTCGTGAGGCAAATTAGGCTAAGGAAGGATGCAATTGGCTCAAGAAGCCATGATTGGTTCAAGTCCATCAGCAGGGATTGATTTGGTCTGTCTGTTTTGGAAAGGATTGGTATTGTGGCAGCGGGTGAAGCTGTGGCGTTAACTCCCGATTTTGTGGGAATTGTATTGTTATGATTGGTTCTGAGGCTTGAGTGGCAAAGGGAGAGCAACTGTGAAGGCAGATTGTAACGCAACTGCAGACACATCTCCAGATCTGTGGGCCTTAAGGCAATTTCAAATGTTTTGTTCTTCTCACACTTTGAACACCCGTATAAGGAAGCACACAGAAAAGAGCCAAAAGGTCTCAGGTGTCTGTAAGGTTTTCAAAATTCTATATGTACTGCTCCATGTAGAGACTGGGGACGAAAGTTCCTGACACCAACACCTTGGTATATAGCTCCCTAGTACAATAAGCCAAATGCCCGTGAACATATAACTCAATAGAAGTAAACAGGTCTCAAGCAGGCAGGGTCACGGGTTTCTATGGCTTGCTTATGAATTTCTGGCCCTTTGACTGCTTATTGCCACTTGCGGAGGAGACCCAACATCAGGCAAACTCACACAACCACCAGCTTCCCCAATCTTTCTCCATCCCAGTTTCATTCAACGTGGCATGTTCTTCAGTAAGGAAGGTATCAGTCATAAGGAGGCGGGATGCAGCCTAGCAAACGTGACAGCTGCTGGAAGAGCCAGCTGCCATCAAAACGTAAGAGTCCCGCTGGATCAGTCCAAAGGTCCATCTAATGTGATATCCTGTTCTCACGGTCGTCAACCTGATGCCTAAGGCAAGACCAAAGGCAGTACCTGAGCACAACAGCATCCTGGGAAGCCCATAAGCAGGGACCTGAGATGCCACCTTATAGGCCACACACTAAAATATAGGAGGAATCGAGATACTAAAGCTCTGCTGATACATCTCCCCACCGCCACCCTCATGGTTTACTCAGGCAAAAATAAATCAGCCTTGAAAATACAGGAAGTTGAGGGGACTTCTGGGGGTTTGTCACTCATGTTAAGGCTTCCTAGTGTTAAAAGCTGGCCAAGGAGTGTGCCTATGTGTTCACATGAAAATAATCCTTGGGCTGCATTCCTAAAAGATCTGGGGAGGACCTCAAAGTAAGCAGCGCTGGAGGCTGCCTGTGGAGATCCTCAGAGCCACATTATAGATACAGGAAGCCCCGTCTCAGGCGCTCCCACGCTTTGAGGTCCTCCCAAGGGCTTCTGGGAAGTGTGGGCAGCCCAGGAGGCTATGGGATGGAATCAGCACAAGGGTTGTTTTTAGCAAAACACACAAACACCTCGGCACCCCATCGCGTCATGAAGCCTTAAGGCACAGGTGGGAAACTCCTGGCCCACGGGCCTAATGTAGTCCACCAGGCCTGGCCATTTGGCCTGTGCCAACTATCAGCTGGGCTTTCATTGCCTCCCCTTCCTGTCAAACATGGCCTGCAGGAAGTGGTGGAGATAAGGATCTATCCCATTGGTCGGATCCAGTTCCCAACTGTAGACTTAAATAAGTGACAAGCCTCTGCTGCGTGAAAGCTTCACTGAAGTTCCTCTCTGCAACCCCGAAAGAGGCAAAAAAATTGACTTTCTTTTTTTGGGTGCAGAGTAAAGCATTTGGCAAAAGGGGAGAGCTGGGTTGTGTCTACGAATCTGGCGCAAAGCATGGTTTTCTGAGATGTCCGGCTGCTCAGTCTGCTTGTCTCTTTTCAGGGATCCCAGTATCTCCCCTGCCCTCCATCTGTCCCCAGCAATTCCACTACCCCAAACAGCTGACACCTTTACCACCTCTTTTCCTCCCCCTGCTGCACATCACCGGCAGGCAAAATAAAATGGAATGGCGAGATGCTCCAAATAATGCAGCCAAAGCAACTGACAGCAACATGCAGGATTTATCCCAAGCTGCTGGAGCAGAGCTTTCTTCAAGCAGAATCTGGCCCACAGAAGAAACCAAGACACTGGCAAACTTGAAGCACAAAGAAACAGACTGACATATCCTGGGACACCCTAACTGGTATTAAATAAAAAAGCCTCTGCAATCAAAAGCCCAAGCCTAATGCATTTAACCACCGCTCTCGTGTATCCTCTTTCCACAGGAGGGAAATAAACTCTGCAGTCAACAGTCTGCCTGTTGTCATCCAAACCGTCCATTTTGCTAAGGAAAAGAGGACATTTTTCTGCATGGAATCTGCATCAGCTTTATGACTCCAGATGCGTGGGCAATCCAAGGATGACAGCTGGGCGAGACGCAGGCCACAGCAATGTGTGTTTAGCCCCCCAGAGAGGAAGTGCTGAGAACCCCATGCTAAAGCATATGTGGCAGCCGTCGGAACAACCTGCTTCCCAGGCAGGGGCCAAAAGACAAAGCTGCTGATGTTGCCACTGTTAGATGAAAGCAGCCCCTGCAGTATGAGACACCGCAGCCTTTACCTTGGAGAAAGAAGGGGAAGCGAGCTGGAAGGGAGTGTCTGGGAGGTAGAATTTATCCAACAAAGGCAAGAGGGCAAGGAGATCAAGGAGAAGAAGAACAGAGAGAAGCAAAGAGACATAAACAACCCAAGGCCTTCTTCATACTGCAAGGATTTCATCCCACGGTAGTCAAGGCAAGCAGCTTTGCTTGGAGCCTACAGATCAAGCAGAGTGCTACACCCCAATCCGAAGGCAGGCAAATTTTGACTTGTGTGTGTCTCTCCCTTGATTGTCTAGCAAATAGCTTCATGGAGTGCACAAATTCAGCTTCAGAAATGTTCGCTGCCTTTGCAGACGTTTCAGCGTTTGCCAGTTTTCACACAGTCCTTAAAGGATTCTGCCAAGAGGCACAGCTTGTAGAGCACAACAGGACGTGGCAAAACAGCTATGTGGTGGAGACAGACCTTCTGCAGTCCCCACTTCCAGGAGTCTCTGTGTTTTTCAGTGACCTCCAGAAACCTAGTCCCGGAGGGAGAAACATCTAAAATCCGTAACTAACAGTGCAACCCTTTGCCTTCATTTCTGCAACATCTACTGGCCACAGAATCTGGCCCTCCTTATTAAGTTGATGGCAGCTTCAATGTTCGAAACTCCCATTGTTCTAGGAGCATTTTGCGACAGGGAATTTCGTTAGCGCGAGCAGTTTCTGAGCTCTGGGTACAGTACTGCATCTAAGATATCAAATTAAAACTGCAGAGTAGAAGGAAAGGAGGACCTTTTCCTGCCTCCCCACTTCCAGCTACTCTCTGAAGACTAGAGAAGAGACCCTCTTAAGAATATTAGTGGGGTGGGCAGGGGAAGGAGCAGACCATGTGAAAAACGAACGTAATATTTTAGCTGCAGTTCATTCATTTTCAGCTTTGTATTCTTGTTATTATAAAGCATGCCTAGACATTCCGTTGCTGTGCCCATAAGCTAGGTTTAAGGTGCCATTGAGCTCCGAGCTTTCATTTCTCAGTTTCTAACACTGGGCAGTTTCACAAGGGTTGTCTGGGGGTGCAAGGAATTAAAGGCAGTTACTCTAAGCAGGCTGCTTGGGTAAGCAGACCAAATAGGTGCCTGGTTGATAGCTCTGAAGAGAGCCACTCTGGGGTGGGGCTTTACATCTCATACATGGGTCTGCAGGCTAGCACGTTGGCTAAGAAATAAATCACATTGTCTTGAGTGCTCATTCTTCTTATGGTCTTCAAACTAGGGGACTGGAGCTCTTGTGGGCAAGCCAGCGACAACATCCCCTGCCATTTCTGTCAACCAAACACAGCACTTCCTTGGGTTGCTGGCATCAGTCATACTCCCTGCCATCTTGATCCCTATGGTCAGCCAGCCTGTATCCAGCCTGCCCCCTCCCCCGATTCCCCCCCCCTTTTTACAAACATTAATTTTTTACTGGTAACAAAAGAATCCAACACAGACATACAAACACAGGTTGTAGGCTAGACAGCCATAATAGCTACGTTTGCCACACATCTGAAGAGATAATACTAGGGTACTGACTGATCTTGTACAAAGAAATGGACATCGCTGTACGGATTTCAAATATCACCCCTCAACATACTGTTCACCTTGAACAAATAACCTCTCCAAAAAGACATTTGAAAACCAGAAAGCCTGGGCCCCTCTGGGTTTGAACTGATGTATGAAATAAAAGGTCTACATCAAACGTGTCTCGTGTGACTTCCACCAAGGCTAAGTACGAGACCCTATCATGCCACCTACATACTGTACTTTTCTCGGTGCCCCTCCAATGATGTAAAATTTCCACGAGTGGCAATAAGTGGATGAGTTCTCTGCACCATAGTGTTATTCTGCCCCCCCCCCCAAATCCCGAATCTTCTAATACAGGGGTCAGCAATTTTTTTCAGCAGGGGGCTGGTCCACTGTCCCTCAGACCTTGTGGGGGGCCCAACTATTTTGGGGGGGGGGAATGAATTCCTATGCCCCGCAAATAACCCAGAGATGCATTTTAAATAAAAGTGCACATTTCACTCATGTAAAAACACGCTGATTCCCGGACCGTCCATGGGCCGGATTTAGAAGGTGATTGGGCCAGATCCGGCCCCCGGGCCTTAGTTTGCCTACCCATCTTCCAATATATTTATTCAACTTCAGGTGCAGGAAACCTCAGGCCCTCCATAACAACAACTCCCATAATCCCTGGCCATTGGTCATGCTTGCTGGGGTTGATTGAGGCTGCGGTCCAGCAACATATGTACGGCTGCTGACCCTGCTTTGCCTCTCTCTAACCATCCATCAGTTTGCCCATTAGACCTGACCTAGTGAAGAATCTTGTGGCTCTTTGTTGCTCTAAGGACCTGCTCCTTCTGGGACCTCCCCTTAACTGGCCTTGACTTTGTGAAGGTCACTTTCATCCCGGTCACCGACATCCTGAAAGTGAAAACACCTGGGCCAGAAGACCCAGAAGAAGCACAAAAGAGGGAGGAGCCAGCTGTCCGCTGGTGGGTCTTACCCTGTTTGGAGTGTACGTGGAATAATAGCAGTGCAGCAGCTCTCTGGTGTCTTCTCCTGCTGGGTCACCACAGATAACAACCTGCCCAGAGAATAAAGCAGAATTAAGGATGTGCTCCAAATACTTCTTTAAAGAGCAAAGAACACAAAACAGGTGGGAAAACACCTCTGCAGAAAACGATGAACTATACTCTGCTCACAAGCAGTGGTGAAACATGTTGCCATGGGTCTCCCAGGGCCCATCACAGGTGACTTTCTCAGTGTGCATGCGCAAGGGGCCTGTTCTATTTCTGGGCTGAATGCCTCGAACCTTTCAACCGATAAGACTCAGGAGGGATCCAACCAACTCCCAGTAGGAGAAAAGCCAAAACAAAGGCCGAGGGACCCTCCCGCTCCACCCTTCCCCCCGTACACGCTTTATTTTAAGGTTACGTTTATATTATTGGATCAGATTGTTCTAAGGCACGTGATCTTTGTTGTACATTTGGTAGTTTCTTCAGCTTGTAAACTGCCTTGTGTGCAGTGATATAGAAAGACGGTATACAAACTGTGCTGGCTGAATCCAGCCCAGAATATATATACAGTGGTACCTCTGGTTGCAAATGGGATCCGTTCCAGAGGCCCTTTTGCAACATGAAAAGAGTGCAACCCACAGCGGTGAATGTGCGCACACGCGGGTTGCGATTCGCCGCTTCTGCGCATGTGCGTGATGTCATTTTTGTGCACATGCGCGAGTGGCGAAACACAGAAGTAACCTTTTCTGGTACTTCCGGGTCGCCGCGGGACGTAACCTGAAAGAACGTAACATGAAGCAGACGTAACATGAGGTATGACTGTATTGAAGTTCTTCTCCTGAAGGGCAAAAGACTGGATAGCTCAGTTGGTTACGGCGTGGTGCTGATAATGCTAAGGTTGCAGGTTCAATCTCTGTATGAATAGCTGCATATTCCTGCATTGCAGGGGGCTGGACTAGTTGGGTCCAACTCTCTTGATCCTATGAACTAAAAAAATATGAGAACATCCCTGCTGGCTTATGCCAAAGGAGGGAGAAATGGCGGGGGGTGTTAAATGGTGGGAACCGGGGGGGGGGGGTAGGGAGAATGGTCTCCCCTTTCCACCCTGACTTTAGCCACTTTGGAAGGGGGAGCAAGGATGCTGGCAATCTCCTCTGGCTATCTTCCTGTGGAGTAGAGGCTGGGGAGTGCCAGAGGATCCCCCCACCCCTTAACATTAAGGAGGAGCCCAAAAAGTTACCTGCTTCAGGGTCTGGTGGAAGGCTGCAGCGGATCGGGCCATCTCCGGGAGGACCACAGGGATTTTCAGCAGCCTCTCCGAGAAGGCAGCCAGGATCTGCCCCGCTTTCTTCACCCATTCCTTGTGGCCGGTGTAGCTGGCTGCCCGCAGAAGGTTAGTAACAGCAATAGAGTTGGGGCAGGGCTCTGCGCCGTCTTGATCTGAAAGTGTGGGGCAGGAGAAACAGTAGTCAAGTCACCCAGAGCGCATGAGCTTTCTACTTGCAAATTCACAGGCCGTAAAGGAGCAGGGGTCACCAGCCTGTCCGTGGCCAAGGACATTTGAACTTGAGGCTCTCAAACCCCAGAGCTGATCTGCAACCCTGCTAAGTGGCATTTCAGAAGCCCTGGAACAATATGAAATCTGTGACCCTTTGTGCAGGTAAGGTAAAGGGACCCCTGACCATTAGGTCCAGTCATGACCGACTCTGGGGTTGCGGCGCTCATCTCGCTTTATTGGCTGAGGGAGCTAGCGTACAGCTTCAGGGTCATGTGGCCAGCATGACTAAGCCGCTTCTGGTAAACCAGAGCAGCGCACAGAAATGCCGTTTACCTTCCCACCGGAGCGGTACCTATTTATCTACTTGCACTTTGACGTGCTTTTGAACTGCTAGGTTGGCAGGAGCAGGGACCGAGCAACGGAAGCTCACCCTGTGGCAGGGATTGGAACCGCCAATCTTCTGATCGGCAAGTCCTAGGCTCTGTGGTTTAACCCACAGCGCCACCCGCGTCCCATTTTGCGCAGGTACTTAGGAGTAAATACCTCTGAATTCTGTGCGACTTATTGCCAAGCAAACAGGCACAGGACGGGGCTATTACATCCTAGCCTAACTTTAAAGCAGTTGCTTTCTGACCTTAGCGGGCAAGTGGTCCTGTCTCCCATGTCCCTCTTAGCTGTTGGGCCATCGCCTTCCCAATCTGTGACATCAGAGAAGCTAAGCCAACAGCCAGCCTCTGAACCTCACCTACCGTGTACATATATGCTGCAAATCAGGTCGCCCCACTCAGCACTGAACACCGACAGCCTGTAGGTTGTGAGCATGCTAATGTAACATAGAGAAGCCGCAGTGTGATAAATGCACAAGGCAAGTGGGCTAAACCACCAGGCCTGTGGTGCCTTCTCAGAGTGTGTGTCTACAGCAGGCAGAGAGATGCTCGGCGGATGCACATCTCTGCAGCAACCCACGTACCAGGCTTGAAACTCCAGCGCTTGTATCTTTGAAGGCTGGAAAGTGGGGCAAGAGGTGGGGTTGTGGATTGAGGAGGCATTTCCCTTAGGCAAGGCTTCACGTTAGCCTCAGGAGATGGATGTGGGCTTATACCAAGCACAGAAACTCGTTTTACGGTTTGTTTGTTTTTAAGCACAGGCACTGGAAACACCAGGAAAGGACCTGTCAGCATTTCCATATGACCCTACTCAATAGTTTTAAAGTTAGACCTAGCTGGATGGACTGGTCTTTTCCACTGTATACTGGTACCTCGGGTTAAGAGCTTAATTCGTTCTGGAGGCCTGTTCTTAACCTGCAACTGTTCTTAACCTGAAGCACCACTTTAGCTAATGGGGCCTACCACTGCCGCCACGCCTCTGCCGCGCAATTTCTGTTCTCATCCTGAAGCACAGTTCTTAACCCGAGGTACTATTTTTGGGTTAGCGGAGTCTGTAACCTGAAGCGTATGTAACCCAAGGTACCACTGTATTGCTGTTGAACATATTTCCACAAGGGAGAGTGTCAGCTGTTTTATGGTATGTTTGTAAATTGTCAGAAAGCGATCCGTAAATTAATAAAATATATTTTTAAAAGAAAAAACCCGGATTTTTGATTAAGGCTCTCGCTCATCCACTCGGAGGGTTGCATGCCTGACGGTCTCGTCTCTAAGGGGAAACACGTACCATCCTTCATGCGCAGGAGCAAGGAAGGGTCGCCAGCCTCCGTGGAGAAGTAGGCAAAACCCTTTGGATCCCAGAAGAGCTCGTCTTGCTTGTGCTGCAGCTGCACAGCCCACTCCAACCAGTTTGGGTCCAGCGAGGCCTCGTAGAGGTCAAAGAGCGCTTGGATGACAAAGACGTAGTCCTCCAGGAAGCCATGGATGGAGCTGCACAAGGCCACAAGAATGCAATGGAGCCGCATCATCTTAAAATGAGTTTGTTGTTTAACTAACATAATGAACAGGGCAGGTGGAGGGCATCCACTCTCATGCTATCCCAATGTATTCTCTTAGCTAAGAGCTGCCCCCAGCCAGCATGGCTAATAATACTTTAAAAATACATGGATGGTTGGTTTTTAATGCTCTTTCTTTTGTTTCGCCTGCAATGTTTGGGAAAGGCAGCATAGCCAGTTAAAGAACACTGGAGGGGAATCTATTGGACTGCCCTGGCCAGTGGTGAGGGGTGACGGGAGTCGTAGTCCAACAACGTACAGAGGGTCACGAGTCCCCCATCCTTTGCGTAGAGGCTTCTGCCTTCCCAGTCATAAACAGTGGGATGGCAAAGCCCTTTCAGAGGTAGGCTCCCAGTACGTTTCAGAGCACAATTCAAAGTGTTGGTGCTGACCTTTAAAGCCCTAAACAGCCTCGGTCCAGTATACCTGAAGGAGCATCTCCACCCCCATTGTTCTGCCCGGAGGGCCTTCTGGCGGTTCCCTCACTGCAAGAAGCCAAGTTACAGGGAACCAGGCAGAGGGCTTTCTCGGTAGTGGCACCCGCCCTGTGGAACACCCTCCCACCAGATGTCAAAGAGAACAACAACTACCAGACTTTTAGAAGACATCTGAAGGCATCCCTGTTTAGGGAAGCTTTTAATGTTTAATAGGTTATTGTATTTTAATATTCTGTTGGAAGCCGCCCAGAGTGGCCGGGGAAACCCAGCCAGATGGGCGGGGTATAAATAAATTATTATTATTATTATTATTGAGTCCTCCATAAAGCTGGTGCTTCAGCTGAGATTCCTGCACTGCAGGGGGCTAGACTAGACGACCCCTGGGGTCCCTTCCAACTCTAAAGCTCTATGATTCTATGTTTCCTTTACTCAGGACATGTGAGCCCCCAATATGTTACACAGAAACCTAGGAAGGGAGCCTTCTACCAAGTTAGACCAAGTTGGGTCCACCGACGTCAGTATTGCCTGCACGGGCTGGCAGCACCTTTCTGGGCTCTCAGACTGGGAGTCTTTCCCAGCCTCTCCTGGGGGTACGAGGTATTGAACCTGGGAACCTTGCTGCTTTCAGTGCAGCTGCTCTACCACTGTTCTTCTCAGCCTGACGGGCAAAGAGGAAGAACCGTATTTCAACCCCAACTGAAGAGGCTGTGCAGACAGGGGAAAGTAAATTACTCTGCTGCTGGAACGAGCCCGACACTCAAAAAGGTAGGTGCAAATGTAATTTCAGCACACAGGATCACCTTTATGCGGCCCTCCCCGTTGCCTTTCTCCCGCCACCTCAATTTGCCAACCAGTTAAGCAAAGATCAGCTTGACATGCAGCGGAAAGGCACTATTAACATTAAGTAGCCAAGCAAATCACACACTCTCGCACATACTTTCCCCGACTGTCTTAATCTCTATTGACACGAGCTTCGTTTGTGTTTGCTCAAGAGGAGAGCAGGCTCCTGGAAAGAGTAAGTCAGGGATGAGGGTTTTGCTTGGAGGCGGGGGACCTTCCGAAGCTTCTGTTGCCAAAGGCTTGACATCCATTTGCCACCTGGCAGAAGGCGCCGGTGCCAGGAATGCCAAGGGGGGTTGCAGGAACCGCCCCCTCCAGGGATTGGCTTCGTTTCTCAGGGATGGCAGGGAAGGGGGTTCCCTTGGTGGAAGCTCAAGCTGTGACACATATGCCTGTGTTCTGGGCCGGCTAGCGTACATGCACCTGCCCAAATCTTTCCTTTTTTCCATAATTTTTAATTAGTTTTCAAACCATTTAACAAATTCAATTCAATTTAAACACGATATTCCCTTAAGACTGTCCAGCCTTACTTCCATGCTGTTTCCATTCAAATCTTTTATCTACTGCCATATACAGTGGTACCTCTGGTTGCAAACAGGATCCTGGAGGCCCGTTCACAACCTGAAAAGAACGCAACCCGCGTCTGCGCGTGCCGCAATTCGCCGCTTCTGCACATGCACGTGACGTCATTTTGTGCTTCTGCGCATGCGCAAGCGGCGAACCCCGGAAGTAACCCTTTCTGGTACTTCCGGGTTGCCGCGGGACACAACCTGAAAACACGCAACCTGAAGCAAACGTAACATGAGGTATGACTGTACTGTATGTATTATTTCTCTAAAGCACATATCTTGCATTACATTCCTTTGCACCTGTCCTTAATCTTCACATAAACGTGCTTCTCCTTGTGGAATTCATGTCTGTGCTTCTCCTATTGGATACAAGGGGTCTGGTGCCATGCGATGATTCAGAGCCTGGAAGTCCCCAGCTGAAACATGGGCTCAGCCGGCTGGCCTGGAGCATGCTTCCTTAGGCCTCTCTCTACCAATTTGCCAGGGAGCAAAAGCAGGAGACAGCTTTTGCCCTTGCTTCGCAGAGGCCTCTGGTGGGCCACTGTGGGAAACAGGATGGTGGACTAGATCAAGGTTTCCCAAACTTTGGTTGCCAACTGTTCTCGGACTACAACTCCCATCATCCCTAGCTAGCAAAACCAGTGGCCAGGGATGATGGGAAATGTAGTCCAGAAAAATAGCTGGTGACCCAAGTTTGGGAAACACTGGACTAGATGGACCTTTGGTCTGAAGCAGCAGGGCTCCTTTTTAAGCCACTTTCAGCACCAGCCGACAGTCCGTAACATCAGGGTATTAATACTCAGCATGCTTTACAAAGTTTTTGCAAAGGGATATGGGATATGGGATATGGGCGCTTTAAAGCAGAGTTTCTCAACCTTGGGTCCCCAGCTGTTCTTGGACTACAACTCCCAGTGTTACCTGGCCACTAGGGATGATGGGAGTTGTAGTCCCAACAACAGCTGGGGACCCAAGGTTGAGAAACTCTGCTTTGAAGCACTTACGGCTCGGTTGGCACGTAACACCAAGCCAAACTATGGCTCAGAGAAATGTGGAGGCACCTTTAATCCTGTGCCTGCTGTGCTATGGTTTGGTTTAGCATATTGCCTAACCCCAGGCTCATGGTTTGCCTCTTCTAGACAAACTAGGAGCTGTAAAACAAAAGCAAACCTTGGATACAGATCATTGTTTGGGTGGAGCGAGGCAAACCACAAGCCCAGGTTCAGACGACAGCCCAAGGCCAAACCATGGCTTAGCTCATCCGCGATCCAGAAGCCCAAGCATTTGAATAAAGCCATGGATTGCCTTAGTGTTATGTGCAAACAAGGTCACTGCGCAAACACTGAGTTCTTATATTTAGCATTAGCACTAAATGCCTATTTGTTAGTAAACATATGTAGACACTTTTTAACAGGCCACCCAGTGACTCGGAAAGGAGCCAAAGCACAGGCGGCTGTGAAGACAGAAGCTCTGCTTATTGCTATGAAGATCACGTCTTCCCCTGCTCATTCCGGTTGCAATCCGGAGCCATTAATTAATAGCGGTGGGAATTTTGCCACTTTGCTCAATGGAACGAAGTGATTGCACCTGCAGCGTTAAGGTCAGAGCCAAAGGTCTGGATTCATGTGATAAAGGTCCTTCCAGAGTGAAAACTCCAAAATTCATGTTCAGCATTGCGAGAACTACGGTAACTAAATTTCTGCACCCAATACCTGCATTGCCAACAGACTTGATTTTAAACATCGCTTATTTATTAAGATGAGGAAGTAGCATAATTTTTGGGGGTAGTGAGGGAAATTATTGTTTATTTATTTTGCAGAAGCCTTCATTTATTTATTTTTTAAATTACAGTCTGCTTTTCACCAGGGAGGTCTCAAGCGGCTTACAACAACAAAATATACACAATTTAAAACATGAATGAAACCTCAAAAAAATTAAACTTCAAGAATTAAAAATCTAAAAAAGAGGGAGAGAGACCTGTAAAACATCTGAGAAGCCTTCTGGGTGCAAAGGCCTCCTGAAATTAAGTGGTTTTGAGCAGGCGCCTGAAACTCAGTAGGGACGGTGCCGGCCTAACTTCTTGTGGGAGGGAGTTCCACAGAACTGGGCCCATAACATGAAGGCACAACTCTGGCCCACAGGCAACCAGAAACAGTGCTCCCCCTGATTATCTTGGTGACTGACTTGGGCTGTACAGGGTATGGCAGTCCTTAAGTAATCCTGAGACTAAATTATTCAGTTTTTCCCACACTAGTACAAGAACATTGAACCCACTACTTGGGCCAAGGTGGAGGAAGAAGTTGAGGAAAGAGGCAAGGGCAGCAGCGAAGGGCCAGGGGAAATAAAGCAATGAGCTGTAGGGAATGCTGAAGTCTCTCTCCATTCTGCCCTGGAAATTCTGCCGGTTGCAGAACCTGATCGCAGAATCTCACAGCTTTTCTCCCCTCAGAAGAAACAGAGGCTCAGCACTGGGGTTGAGGAGACACAGCGGTGGAACCAATCCCAGTGCCCTGCCTGTGGCGATGCTGGTTTCGGCATGGGGGCTGAGCTACGTGCCTTTGCCCCCATGCCGCCTACCCAAAGAGCCCTGGGCCCTTCCTGCCCCCTCTTTACAGGCTTGCCTGTCATCGCTTGATGCATACCTCTTCTCCACCACGCTTCCTTGGCCCCGGTAGCAGCTTCTGATCAGCTTCCCGGTGGCGGTGCTGAACATGTGGTGCCGCAGGAAGGAAGCCGCGCGTACGGCCCTGTCGGTGTATTCCCGCTTGCCCAAGATGGCCCCGCTCTGAGCAAAGCCGGAAATCATCAGCCCTGGGAGAAGAAGAGAGGCAGAGTCAGTGTGTCGCAGCAGCACCAACGTGGCCTCAGGCTCGACTGACACCCCTCAAATGTGTTTGACGAGGAGAATGTGTTTCACTGATATTCAGCAGATGCGGAAGGCTGGCGTGGTGTGACATGCTGCTAACAGGCCCAAGTCACTTTCTCACCAAAATGGCGGCTCCCAAGATTCACTGAAGGCAGGGTGGGTGAATGAAGGCAAGCAATCATTCTCCAGGGCCTGACTTACCACCGAGTGCACAGTCATGGTACCCCGTGGTGAAAAAATGCATCATCCTTCTACCCCATCCATAATAATAATAATGATGATGATGATGGATTTGGAAGGAGAGGCCAAACATTTCCCTCATATTGCCTCCGTGGAAGATGTCAGCTGGCAAAATATCTGCCCTGAGCCGCAGCTCTGAAAGCCATTTCTCCCTCCGTGTTTTATTTTGTTTTTTAAATAAATAAATAAGCACACTCTTCCGAGCGGAAAGCACAAGACAATTTCCGAAAGGAGAATTCTGTGAATTCTGGAACCACTTTCTTGAGCACACACACACACATTCTCTCCCAAGAGGCTGGCATGTTTCTCTACTTCTTTCCCCCCGCTGTATGTCTGTGTATCTTTTATTCCACAACAGACAGGGGCACCCCCTTTTATAGAATGTGAAAAGTCAAGGGTAATGCCGCAGCTGCACAGGTTAAAGCAAGATTATTTCAAAGCGCCTGTGAGGGGAAACAGGAGAAAGGTTCTGCTGCCCCCTGCTGGAAAATGGGGAGAAGAGTTTCAGGAAAAATAGTGGTCCTTTCCTCAGTCTAGAGTCTAGACTCTAGAGCTACCTTCTTGGGTGGACAGTATACATCAAGGGCAGGAGAATAAGGAAGAAACAGTAGGCAGTTTTGCTCCTATCAGCAACCGTCCCTCCAGTATCAGGGCATATCTGCTCAGCAGCTTGCATCATGGAAGAACTTATTTCAGCTAATATACTGCCTGTGTGTTCCCACCCATTCACTCAACCTCTGTGCAGCCGATTGCATGTGGATGCATGGCAGTGAGCTCAGCGCAAGAGCAACCTCACCGTTCCAGGACGCCAGCATCTTGGTGTCCAGGTGGGGCCGTGGTCGCAGGCCACGAGCCTTGGAGAGCTTCTCCTTGCCTTTAGCAAGCAGCGTCTTCAGCTGCTCCAGCTGCAGTCCAAAGCGGGCCGCTGTGAGCTCCAGGGAATACTGCACAATCAGGACGTTTTTCCCTTTTAGCTCGTTATGAGGGTCCTGAAAAGAAAACCCAACAATGGAGAACAGGAAGGGACGGCATACTCTCCAAGTGAGACTTGGGTTAGCATCCCTAGCAGGCCCTGCCATTGGGATTACTCTAACTCACTGGTGAGTTGAGGCCAGTAACTGGGGCAACGTAGAATGAGTTGCGCCTCTAATGCCCATCCCATTGAATTGTTCCTTTTTCCTCCCTTGGTAACTTTGGTTTGGCAGGAGGAGCCAGAGGCAGGTAGGGGGGAAAAGGAGGAAACTAGACACAAAAGAAAGCCAAAAAGGAAGGGCATATACGGGGGAAATTAAAAGAGGATCCCATGTTGAAAGTTGGGGTTAAAAAGATGGATAAATTTAACGATATTCGGAATTCGTTTTTACAAATACTATAACAGATTAAGGTCTGGTTAACTACAATAACAATTTCCCCATTATTATTTTTTTGTAATGTACACAGTATCTTTTTTGTCATTTTACATGGGTACTATTTCTTGTTTCTTCTTCTTTTTTTGTGTCTTATCTTTCTCGCTATAAATTAAAATAAAATAGTTGAAGAATATTGATCTAACTCAGTGACAAGGAGGCAAGATGTGTCCCACAGTGCCTTTGAATCAAGACCACCATGTCCCCTCCTCTTATGGCTTAGCAGGGAATGGGGAGCTTCCAATGGGGCCACTGGGACTTTCCCCCCTCTTCTAAGAATAATTGGGGTCTGGGGGGTGAGGATCAGGCAGAATTGCAAGGCAAAGAAGTCAAGCAAGCAAAAGACTGAAAACGCAGGTTGTAGACCTAGCCAAAGAGCCCCAACCAGGCCCTGTTGGCCAGGCTGCCAGCAGCCTCTTCCTACTTCCTTTTCTAAGGGGCAGCTGGGAGGCTGGAGCCAAAGGGAGCAGAGCAGTCCAAGTGACCTGGAGTGAGCTTGTGTTCCAGGGGGAGGAAAGCCAGGGGAGGATCGATTCCTGGCAGTCGTAAGTAGTTATTGATAACTGTAACTCACTTATCTGAAATGTAAGTAGTGTTTCGTATGCAATGCCAAGATGCATAATCAAATGTTACTAGACAGATTACCATCTTTAGGGGTTAGCATGCTAAGGGGAAGAAGGATGTGAACAGGACATGCAATATCAGATCTTCCAGGGAGTGAAATCCTCTGCCGTCCCATATCATTAATGAAGCCCCTGCTTCACACCAGCCCTTCGGGTTGGTGCCTGATGTAAGAAGAATTCGGGTCTAGAGACTGCTGGTAAGCATTTGTGAATTCCAAGATCTATAGGCTGCCTGAAGTTGGAAAGCCTCAATAGCTCCTCATCTATGAGTCAGGCAGAGTGCTCATCCTACCACCAGCAGAGGAAAAATTGGAGTTTCCCAAGCATCACAGGCACGTATTGGGCAGTGCCTGTGACATCGGGACTGATGGGAAGCACAACAATTCCCACCCAGGTTGTGCCTTCTCTCCCACTGCACCTTCATTGGATTCACATTGCCGTCCTCTTTAACTCCATAGTGATGCATGAAGACATCTGCCATGGTCTTTTCCTCTGGGATCCCTTCAATGGGGTCTGGCAGGTTCCACCGGATCTCCTCAGCTGTCCACACACAGAATGCACCCTCTTGCTTCTCTGTTGACTGGACTGTGGGGTAGGAATCTGCATCCTCTGCACTGTAGAACCCCCCAGACTGAAAAACAAAGCACCACTATTAGCAGACACACATGTGGAATACACCAGTGATGGCATCATCAACCTAGTGAAAGCCTATCTGGGAATGGTCCAATTAAGAAAGTCTAGTTACTTTCACTGTCATGATCCTGTCCCACAGCATGGAATTAAGGTGCTAGGGGACTCTGTGCTGCCTTTGCTACAGCAGATTAAAACAGCTGCTCTCCTGGAAATCCCCTTTGAGAATACTTTTTTAGCAACGAACTACACCTTATACACACGCTTGTATAGTAAAATTCCAGCAGCTGCTTTTTCTAGGCAAAGCAGCTTGGGGGAGGAGTAATTTGAATCAGAGAAGCAACAGAGGTGAGGAAGCTTAACCCTTCCCCTGTCCATCACACCCTCACCCAAAGCAGCTGTCAGAATTTGCACGTAACATGTGGTTTGGCCCTTGCAACAATTATTGTTTTAAGAGTATTTGAAGTCTTTTTGTTTGAAGTACTTTTATAACCCATCATGGACATTTTCAACATTGAAAGAAATTACCCTCTGTTTAAGCCTATCAGAGGGTGCATCATTAAGCGTAGATCCCAAACAAGCCCAGCTTTGCCCCAGGAAAAATGAATGGGAACAATGAGGAAAGGCTCTGGTGGGAGGATGTGCTAAAGCTACGATATCTACACTCAAGGACTGAACCTGCTGCTGTTGCAACAGTTCCACATGGATGTTGGTGACTCAAAGTCCAACCCACATTTAATAGCAGCAAGACAAGACCCTGGAGATGATAGCTTACCCCGTCACTCAGATCCCGGGAAACGTAGAGCAGAATGTCTGCAACTATGTCTGCAAAGAATTCATCCCCAGAGATCTGTTTTAAGACACAAGGAAGATTGCATTCCAAAGATAATGTAATTGGGGGGTGGGGAAAAGGGAAAGGGAGCTTATGATTTAAAGATCAAATGGGAGAGGAGGATGGCACAAGATGTTAACCCACAATGGGATTAGCTTGGGCCCCATCTCTGGACCACAATACACATACACACACCACTGCTAGAATCAATAGGTACAGTTTATGTTGGCATCTCAACGCTACTCAATGCAGTCTCAACAATCTTTGTGCAGCAGAAATGTTGAATACTGAGGAGGAATCACGCCCAGGTCATTCAGCCCCCAGTGCATTGGGGCAGCTGTTGCCTAGTAAATAAATGAAAAACACTGGTTGTGAGGGACACATGCCCTCTTCTTGGCTCTGCTAAGATGTACGTTGCATGCAAACACATCCCTGCTATAAGCTCAGAAACAAACAACATCAAAATAGGTGCAGCTGATGGACCTGCAACTGATACCTGTCCGTATGGATTTCCAGTCCAATTTGTACACATCCTGGCCCCAAATGCCACACCGATCCCTTGTCAAAAAACCCCAGCAACAACCCAATAATGATATGCAAGAACTTGAATTTCACAGCAGGACTAACCTGGGAACTTTACACCTGCCTGTTCCTATTTGTCTGATCTGTACGATTTATTCTTATGGGATTTCGGCTTTCCAGTTGCAGAATTTGGGACAGATGGACACAACTCCCACCTTTATGTAAATTTCTCTCAAAGCTGCTTTCTTTAAAAGGTGAATAAGTTGAAGGTTGCTATCCTGGTGCCAGAAGCGGATGATCGGATGTGAAATGGGGCTACCCAAGATTATTTCAGGATACAGGGAAGCCAATCATCAGAAAGGAGAGGCAGCAGATGGGTAGTTTTCTGGCTTCAAAGCCCTTGTGGATTCCACAGCTGCAAATCCTGTTCAAATCTGGGGAGCCCGGTAATGAGCAATTTAAATTAGTGTGGAGGGGGAAACTGGCTCAGCATGAAAGCTCTCACCTCCAGCCATGACCACATCAGTAGCAACTCTTACAGAGTGCCCAGCGTGCTCTCAGAGGTGTCTACATAGGAATTTACCCCCTGGAGGTGGCTCTGGCCAGTGTGCCTCAAGAGCCCTCCAAGTCTCTTGCAATTAAAATCAACAGTACACAGCACTGCATCTGTAGACTATAAATAGATTTAAATGACTTAGAAACTCACAAAACATGTTACGACACAGCTAAAATATATGCGCCAGAATCAATGAGACATTCCTCCTCCCTACAAAAGCCTGGAAGAATGAACAATATTGTTATAAGATGGGGGGCTGGCTTTGACTATGCCTTTGTGCCCAACCAAGCCTGTGGGAATTTGTAGAAGGGACTGACCAAACCAGTCTCTCCGTTAAGGTAACGGGCCTGGGCAAGTCTGTTAGGCATCTATTTACATGTCTAAAAAGTTGGTGGAAGTACGGATATGTTGCCATAGAGACAACTGACTGGTGATGCTCTTTCGGGAGAGGTTAATCTCTCCCACCAAAACCTGTCTGGGAGCCACAGCCTTTAGCAGGTAGGAAAACAATAGTCCAATAGTTTTTGTCTAGGCTGCTCTGGAACTGGGAGCTGAAAAGACACACAGGCTATCGGTGCTGAAAGCTAAGCTATGGCTTTGGAGTGGAGGGCAGAAATCTATTGAGGAAGCAATATCTGTTTGAAGAGTTAGTGCTGTGAGCCCTACCATCTTATGATCAGGTTGTATATGTGCATATAAAGCCATACATCCTAAAGGCACCAGTGTCTCTAGAGACCTTCATTCCAAGGCAAGCAAACTCCCTGGAGTCTCTCATTGCTCAGAGATTGGGGAGCACACAACAATATTTTTACAACTCTGTCGAGCTCCGACAGAACAAACCTGGCAAAACTCTCCCAGGAGGCTATTCTGCAGGGAAGGTGCCACCAGAGAGAAGACCCTGCCTTCAACATAAACAGAGAGGAATTAGCTGTAGGCATGATGCAGGAGGGAAAACAGGGGTGGGGAGTATCATATGCACCACAGGAGACAATGCAGGAATGAAATGGCATCGCTACTTCCACTTAAAGGAGGGATGGCCAACCTTCAATACTGGAGTACTGTATCTTTAACAGCTATGCAGAAGAGAACATTTCAGTTGGCCCAGCTTGTAACATCACAGTCAACACTGTGTAACAACACTGCGCCTGCCAAAATTCAGCTTGGCTATTAAATGTCCAGAAACTCTAATGCTGCAAGACTAGACCTCCCCTTGAAATTGCTCCTTAAAATTTATTCACTACTATAAATCCAAAAAATGTTATAATGGAATTTTAAACCCCAAAACAGGCATAGTTGTTTATGCTTCTGCTTAAATTATAAACACAAAGAGACCAAGACTATATAAAATGTGCCAAGTCAGACACAGTAAAACCAGAAGGCACATCATTAGGCTTATATGGTGAGACCCTTAACTTGTAATCCTCAGAAACCACACCAAGATTATTATTTTTTAAGGATCCAAGGAGTTCATTTCCTTACACACTCAGCATTCCCAAAACTAGTGGGGGAAATCCTCTGCCTCAACTAAGCCACATATTTACTGAGAGATATAAGTTTTTGTCTCAGCACAGTTTGAAACCTTAGTGACTCCCAACAGCTGACTCCCTCACGACCATCCTAGGCAACATATTACATGTATGATTCGTTTCTCCTCAGAAAGAAAGAAAGAAAGAAAGAAAGAAAGAAAGAAAGAAGCAGACATGGGCCCTCTCAGTCTGGATTAGGCCCAGAGAGCAAATTGATTTAATGCACCCCACTCCTGCAAACACATCATCACTCTGCTTTCCCGACAAATATCCTCCCTGCCCCCTTGCAAGGTGCTACTTGCTCCAGAAGATAAACTGCTATTTGGGTCCACAGGCATTCTGCAGCCTGAGGGGGAAGATGGCATCTCCCCACAATTTCAAGTACAGAAGCTGGCTGGACTGGCAGCTGCACCTTCTACACTGGCAACACGGCAAGGTGTTACACCCGAGGGCAGTAGGCTAGCTTAGGGTGCGCATGGCAAGTTGTGTGTGGCTTGCCCAGCTCCGTCCTCCTCCAGCACCAAGGCTCCCCTTGGATAAAACAAAATGGAACCTTCTCTCCATGGTCAAGTGCTCTCCGACCCAACTTCTTTTTTTTCTTTTTTTTAATGATATTTATTGGGGGGGGAGAATTATTTTTTTTAAAGTTACGAAAGAAAAACAAAGTAGAAATAGAGAAAAACAAACCACTTCCAACCATACATATACAAATTCAAAATAAGGAAGAAAAAAACAAAAATACACCACAAACATTTAAAAACATTTAAAAACAAATCCATTATTCTCAACTCCTCAACTGTCATTACCCTCTTTCCTTGACCTCCTCCTCCTCCCCTTCCTTGTATCCTGTTTGTTAATTGTCACAGCAAATCCTTTCCATATTTCATAATATTCTGTCGTTACATTACCTTAAACTATTTTAATCTTATCTTACTATAAAAAAAACCTTGAGACTTAAAACTTAATTCTTATTTTTACCAACTTCTCATAACCATAATATTCTTGCATAATTCTTTAAACATTTTTACTAAAGCCAAGTAATTTCATTCCAACATTTTTCTAACATTCATCAATTTTATAAAACAGTCCTAGTAGTGAAAAAAGAAATAAAAACAAATCCAATCTTCATCCAGCGTCCCTTCCTCCTGGTCCCGGGTTTTGTCAGTCCTTATTATCCCATCAATCTGGCGCATTAACCTGGTAATCTTATATCCGAGGCCCTTAAGTCCCTTCCATGTCCCTTCCGCAGCTCTTCTTCATATTTATAGCTGTATTTTCCTTTGTCTCCTGCTCCTTTCACTCGTGGGAACTCCAACTTAGCAGTATTTTTGACCCTTCTCGACAGATCAGCCCCTTTTCCATAATCGGACACTAAATTCCATGTGGTATTTAAAAACATGTTTCAGAATCCCTCCAAAATTAAGAGCCCCCACAATCCCAAACATCTCACGGCCCATTGCCAGACTTGAAAAGTCCAATTTCATAGGAGGGTCTATCCAACCCCCCATTTCCAAACCAAACCAAACTTTTTCTTTCCAAATCTGGCTTTTTCCAAGTTCATTTGTCAAATCCGAAAGTTCATATTCCTGTAGGGCCTGTTCTGTCAAGACACACTTCTGATTTAATTCCTGGGTGGGCTCCACATATTTTCCCACTGCCTGTTCAAAATTTCTAATCGAATCAGCCATCAAATTCGTCTTCTCATGTAACTGTTCCAGTAGGGCATTTGTTTTATAGAAAGCACACAACAGAGCTTCTGAATACATTGTCCTGAAGGTCAGATGTCTATTCCCACGATTGTAATCTGTAACAGATGCCAGCTCCCAGGAGTTGATTACAGTTTCACAGTCTCCCTCTAGGGGGAAAACTTCTGTTTAATCTTTCTTTTAAAGACAAGTCTAGCAACAGAGTTTCCTTTTTTCAGATATTTTGTCAATATTTGTTCCTTTAAGGTGCGAAAGGAAACAATGGAATCACTATGTTCCTCTTCTTTTAGCTATCTGTCAAAAGCGCTTATTTCTGGTCGATGAGCTTCAAACGTCAGTCCTGACACCCCGCTCCAGGATCAGGACGGTGGAAAGTTACTTTACTTTAAACTCACTTCTGCAGGTTTAAACAGTCCAGAAAAGATCCCCCTTCTTCTCCTGCTGCCGAAGGGGGGTTCAACAATTTTAAATGATGAAAGCCAATCCTTTAGAGGCAATTTTCTAAGCTCTAGTTTATGTTGTCTTTGCTTTATTCTGTCTACAAAGAAACGGAAGGCTGACTTCCTGTTTAGACCTTCCCGTTTCAGTACCAAATTGAAGTAAAATTTTTAAATCCAATTCCTTTCTGCTCGCAAGTCCTTATTTAAAGTCCAATTGTTCAAAGTTTAAGTACTCACGGGTGCTTATTTTAGAAGCCAATTTGTCCCAGGAAAAAGGCAGCGCTCTCCGGCAACAGCTGTGTGGCTTCGCTCCACGGAAATAGCAGTTGACTCACAGCACTGCGCCACTTCCCCCTCTTCGCTTCGGAGCCCGTTAATGGGTTCCTTTGCGGGTTGGGGGGGCGCTAAGGGTGCCCGCCGAGTCCCATGGTCACAGGCTTCATCCGCCTGTGATTTTTAAAAGGATCCCCGCTTCGCCGTAGCGGAGAAGACCCATTTCGCGCGGAGCTAGTCCCTCCAATTCAGAGGGAGTCCGCCATTGCCGATGGCGCCACCCCGGAAGTCTCTCCGCCCCAATTTCTAAGGAAGAGGAGCACAGCGGTGGCTGGACTTGCTTGTGGAACTGTTGTGTGGAAAGCAGCACTGAGAGAGGCAGGCACCCGAGATTCCCTGGGAGTGGCAGCAAATTATTTCCATCTCAGAGCACCCTTGCCACAGCACAAACATTAGCATCCTTTGCCCATGTGAACCATTTCTCGCTTCTCTCTTCCCCGTCCCCCCCCCCAACAACCCTCTGTAAAGCTCCGCCTGTTCCACAAAGGCCAAGTGCCGCTCTCAGTTTTCGTTAACACTCCTGAGGTGCCATGTAACTGCCAAGAACAGCTGCAGGAAGAAAGGAAGCGGTGAACCCTCACACACACACATACACACACACCCGCCTGCCCGCCACCCAAGTGTCATCCTCTCCCTCTGTTGCCATAGATGGCCTACAAAGAAAAACAACAAACGTCTCCTTTTCCTCTCCTCTGCATGAAGGCACGAGTCCCTGGATGCGGGAATCAGGCTCAAGAAGCCCAGTGTTTGTCTTCTTCCCACCTAACCTCCTGCTTTCCGGCGGCAAATCACATTTACCTCCATGCCATCTCAGCGATAGGCCGAAAATGTGAGGAGGTTAAGAAGCGAGGACCGTATTCAACTACATCGCTGCGCTGGCAGAAGCGGCTTCTCCTCTGCCTTCTTGCTTTGGCCACTGCCTTCCACGCTCAGAGAGGGCAAGTGCAGAGGGCCAGCAGAGCCAGGAAACACTGGTGGTTGACTGTAAACCTCAGCAGATGCCCAACAATGCTGCCCCCTGGTGCTGGCACAGAAGTATCACGATCCCAGCATCATGCTCTGCTTCCTGCCTGCCTCTTTTGCCAAGATGAGAACCGTGTCCTCTGGCCTTAACTAATAAGGAGGGGACTGCAGGGTATTGTTGAGGCAAGAATCTGAGCTGGGGAAGTACCTGAAATGCCTTGGCGTAGGCTGCTGCCAGCTGCCCCTGATCGTACAGCATCTTTTCAAAGTGAGGCACGTGCCAGCGCTGGTCAGTGGAGTAGCGATGGAACCCCTGCGGCAGAGAGAGGGGAAGAAACGTCTCGTCACTTCTGCCCAGTTGTAACTGTGGTCAGGTATCCCATGCCTGGGAGAGGGGCAGAGAACTCTCAGTTCAACAGACTAGGGCAGCCTTTCTCAACCTGTGGGTCCCCAGATGTTGTTGAACTACAACTCCCATCACCCCTAGTTAGCAAGGCCAGAGCTCAGGGATGATGGGAGTTGTAGTCCAACAACATCTGGGGACCCACAGGTTGAGAACCGCTGGACTAGGGCATCCAGCAAAGGGGTCAATGGGCCTGGTGGTGATTTGAAACCACTGAGACCAACCAAGCCTGCAGTGGTGTGATGCTCATCCACGGGAGAACTGCCACAATGTCCATAATCCACAAAGGAGGAGGGTATCATGTGGAACCTTATGCACCACTAACTGCTAGATACAAGTGAAAGCTGGAGCAAGGCCATGCACAACAGGCCCTGCTGCAGATACACCTCTGTCCCTTGGAAAGATTTCCAGAAGATTATCCTTTCTATATCTTCCTAGAATCTGACCCAACAGGATTTAGTTTGGGTGTGTCTGTGGAATTCAGCTTTAAAATAAACTACACACACACACTGGGATCTAAAAATTGTTAGATAATGGTGTTTATAACCAAGTTGACCCTACACACATGAATGGGGTGGAATAGATAAAATGACTTTGAATTGGACCAGTTTCTTCAGTAAAATACTGCCTGCTGTTAAACCCAAGAATCTCTTGGGTACACCTCTGTAATTCAGAAAGATGCAACACTTCACATCTATTTCCAGCAGCACTTTACAGCCATTTCCGGGCGTTTTTTAGTTTTACACGGCAACACTGCATCTATTATTACCTTTTCTCAGATCTTCCTTCCTCTGAAAGTGGGTAGTTGAAAAAGAATATGGAGTGATGAGCAAAATCAGGCAGGTGGATGGACACAGAACTTCCATGTCAAGGAATGGAGAATGGCACACGGATGAAAGTTCCCTTGTGAAAATCACGAAACCACTCAACTCACACTGCCCCCACCCCTTCATACCTGGGCAATGTGATCATGAACCCCGCCATAGGCCATCATCTTGAGGGTGTGCAGGGCCATCTGCAGTGCCCGAGCCCCTTCAGTAGTTGACCGATGAAGAGCCCAGTAAGAGAAGAGGAAATTCAAGTTGACTAGAAAACAAATAAGCAGGAAAGTAATGAGCCTTGGTTGGTGGTTTATGCAGCGCTGCCTCCTCTTATGGCTACGATGGGGAATCGCTTTGCAGGTGTTCCTGGACTCCCATCATTCCTGTGACCACAGGCAATTGCTGGCTTGGGACTGATGGGAGTTGGAGTCCAACAACATCAGGAGAGCCACACATCCCTGAGCTACTCAGACAGCTTGACAGGAAGATCTTAGACTAACCTGGAGTAGGGAATTTGGGAGACTCCGAGAATCCACCATATTCTTCATCATAAGACTCTGACAGCTGCTGGAAGCACCTGCTCGTCACCTCCTTTGAAGATGGGGGTGCTTCCTCCCCGCGAGCACCAACATCAGTCCTGGCTAACAGCGCAGACAGGATTTTCTGGCTGTTTTCCATAAGGCTAGTTTTATTCCGCTTCCACTGGGAAGGAGACGGGGGCGGGGAGGTAGGCAAAAGGAAGAAGTCAAGCCATCATTTTGCTAGTATTCACTCACACCTTTTGCCTCACACAACGACCTATTTCGTCCCCCCCAAAAAAGTGCCAATCATTTCCCACCCGCCATTTTAAAGGAGTTTTCAAATATCAAAAGCAGTGTGGCTTGGTATAACTCAGTACAGCGGCAGAAGGGCCGTTTCTCTTCTCTAGGAGTCCACATTTTCCCACTCGCGTGAACAAGGCCCCTGAACGGTTCTCAGGTATTACAGTTGCCACTGCCACACGACGGAAGCATCACAGAACAGGCCCCAAAATGTCTGCTTATACACTTTTAGCCGCAAAAACGTTTGCCAACGTATTGTTGATTAAAAATAGGTTCCCAGATGCTTCCATCAGGCACACACTAGACTGTAAAGGAGAAAAACATTGTTAATGCCCAATTGTGATTACCACATAGCAAATTCTATCCATGTTGGTCAAATGTGACATTAACCAATTCCTATTAACCAAGTTCTCTCTCCCTAATTCATCTTGCCCTGAATACTCGCCCCCAAGTGACAAAATCAGTTCACATCCCCTGCTCTAAAAAGCCTTTAGACGAAAAGTTCAGTCCCAGCCAGAAGTGGATGGTATGAAGAGAAGAAGAAGAGGAGTTTGGATTTGATATCCCGCTTTATCAATACCCGAAGGAGTCTCAAAGCGGCTAACATTCTCCTTTCCCTTCCTCCACCACAACAAACACTCTGTGAGGTAAGTGAGGCTGAGAGACTTCAGAGAAGTGTGGCTTGCCCAAGGTCACCCAGCAGCTGCATGTGGAGGAGCGGGGAAGCGAACCCGGTTCACCAGATTACGAGTCTACCGCTCTTAACCACTACACCACACTGGCTCTCATGTTTGGGGCACTGCCACTCTCCTGACACCACTGCAGCTTACCTGAGTGGGACTGGGGCAAGGCAGAGGCAAGGACGGGGTTGCACAGATGCACAGGGGGAGGGGTGTCTGATTGGACTCTGCTGGTGTCACCCTGCACAGATGAAGCACAGCGGTGCCAGCATCAGGAGGACAGCTCTGGGGCTTTGCCCCAGCACAAAAGCCACTATGTGTTAGGGACTGGACAGAGGAGGACTGGCGGAGACCGCCTCCCCAGCCTGAACCTTCCAGAGAAGTGGAAGACAGTATAGATTTACAACAGTGGTTTTCCGGAGGTCATAGCTTAGGGGCAGATGAAGGGCAAAGTGGGAAATAATGGGAGAGGAGGAGGCAGAGCTGAAGCAGCTGGCTGATACGTTATCACTAGAAAGCATTCCAGACCCCCCCCTCCAAGAACCCGGCGGGCATTGAAAGTAGGAGAGCAAATTAGCCCAGAAATAGAAGCAAGAAGAAATTCCGACGAAAGAAGAATGGCAGACAAAATTAATGGACTACACAGAATTAGACAAAACAGGAAAGATTCGAAACCTGCAGGACCAGAGATTTACAGAAGATTGGAAGAAATATACGAACTATTTGAAAAGCAACTGTAAGCAATAAATTACACTAGTAGGACTACAAGAAGTTTTGTAAGGAGAAATATATGAAACATTGCAAAGTAGAGAAAGAACAGAGATATTAGTTATAAGATTTAAAGGTAATAGTGAATGTGAGAAATGTATATTAAGTGAATAGATTGGGAAATTTTCAGACATGATTGATGGAAGTCAAAAAAAATATTGTATAAGATGTAAAAGGATGTTTAATTACTGTTGAAAATGATATGTTAAAAAAACTAATAGAAATTTATATTTTAAGAAAAGAAAAAAGTAGGAGAGCAAAGGGCTTGGAGACAAATGACCGTAAGCGGCCACCGTAAGGTGGGTTGTGCTGTTGACGATTGAGGAAGTGGAGAGAAGGGGGGTGTAGAGATTTACTCGGAGCAACACCCATTACTCCAAAAGGCAGCATTTCTAAGCCTCTCTCTGTGAATATTGAATAAAAAAACATTGTTAAGAACTTTCCCTGTCTTACCTATTCCCAGCAGCCTACCGTGGGGGGATCGGATTCCCTGACGCCTGACACTATGGGAATGAGTACAGCGTGGTCCCCGCTGTACCGCTCCAGTGAGGACCTCAACCAATCCCATGACCCTGGATGCCGGACTCCATACCTGCTCTAGGATGCGAAGCAGAACGGTCCGAAAGCCAACCTGGTAAATTCCATCCTCAGGAGGGAAATAGGTCCCGCCTACAAATGGTTTGAGATCAGGTGTTAGCCACACACTCATGGGCCAACCTCCACCACTGCTGGTTGCCTGCAGGAGAAATAAAAAGATATGGCTCTCTTCAACATCTGCCTCTAGGAGCAACAGTCATCTTCCGTTTGCTATGCTCATTCCTGCTCCCCACCTGCACAAAGGCCATGTAGACTTTATCGACATCCGGCCGCTCCTCCCGATCCACCTTGATGCACACAAAGTTGTCGTTCAGGATCTGGCCAATTTCTTCATTCTGGAAGGATTCCTGCTCCATCACGTGGCACCAATGGCAGGTCGAGTAGCCAACTGAAAACAAACGCCGGCGGTTAAAGAAAGGCTCGCCGAAGGAGAAGGCCCTGCTGTACCCAGGGAGGGGTGGGTGGCAAGAAAAGTCAAAACAGAAAAGTTTATAATTCAAGCAACTCAGCAGGCTAGGACAAGGAGTTGGCTTTAAGAAAGGGCTAGCCAACCTTGGTGTACTACAACTCCCATCATCCCCATGGCTGGGGCAGAAGAGAGTTGTAGTATGACCTCATCTGAAGGGCACCACACTGATCGTGCCTGCTTTAGCAGAAAGCACACAGGTTTTGCTATCCAAACACAATGCATTCTCAATAAATTGATTGTTAGGCGAGCATCTGTCTAACGAATGGACGATTTCCATTTATTCCTAAGGGGAAATTTCTAATGCATTGTGAGCCACAGAATTTTGACCCCAAAATGAGGAGAAAACCCTCTGAGAGCTTGCAAAAGGCAATTATGGAAGGGGGAAATGCTCCCTTATTTTGTCTGATCTCTCCCCCTTCCTTCCCAACCATAGTTTCTGGCAAAACAGCTGCCATGCACCAGCAAAACCCAAAAGGTAATGCTTATTTAAGGCTGCTTAATTGCACACACTGCACGTACTACACGCACTTCCAGCTGTTTGGATATCTGAATCTGCAGTGTGTGTAGCAAAGTTTGAGCACTAATTCCTCATGTTTGGATAAGTGAATTTTCCTATAACAAGCATTTTGCTAGTGGGACCTGCATGTACAAACATGAGAACAAACGGAGAGCTGCCCTTTCATGGCTCAATGTTGGCTATAAACGATGCAAGGCTTCTAAACCCCAGCAAAGTGACCTTTTGGAAGAACATAACTAGAACACTTCTAGCCTGGGAAATAGAAGAACAAGCAACTGAGAATGTCTAAACAGATGTTTCTATAGGAGACGTAGCCAATGTGGTGACCTCCAGATGTCGTTGGGCTATAATTCCCATTATTCCCAGCCAGCAGTGCCAATGGCAAGGGATTATGGGAGTTATAGTCATAATACTCCATTTGAGGATCTCTCAGACTCCATTTGAGGATCTCTCCCTCGTTACAGTCGATCAGGTATATGAAGACGAGCAGCAAAGTCAGTCCTCAGGGAATGTGCAGGCGACCTTGGAACGGACAGCTCACGGAAGAACCCCGACCAAACCTAAGAGGAGGCGTGTAGTGGTGATAGGGGATTCCCTACTGAGGGGAACAGAAGCAGTGATCTGTGAGCCTGACAAGATGTCTTGGGAAGTGTGCTGTCTCCCCGGGGCTAAGATCCAAGATGTAACTGAACGACTGCAAGGAATCATAAAACCCACTGACAAATACCCCCTCCTCTTGGTTCATGTGGGAACCAATGACACTGCAAGCAATAGCCTCCAGAAGATCAAAAGAGACTACGAGGCTCTGGGCAGGAAATTGAAGCAATTAAATGCACAAATTGTCATCTCATCTGTCCTCCCAGTTGAACGACATGGCCCAGGGAGAGAGGGAAAAATAGTGGAAGTGAACAGCTGGCTTCGCAAATGGTGTAAACAGGAACGGTTTGGATTCTTAGATCACGGACTGCAGTTTCTTGAAGATGGACTTCTGGCAAGCGATGGGCTGCACCTCACAACGGTTGGGAGGAATGTTTTTGCCAAAAATCTCAGAAACCTCATCAGGAGGGCTTTAAACTGACTAATGTGGGGGAGGGAGACAGTGCTCCTGAAGGTAGGAGTCTATCAAGTGATGAAGATGATCATCCAAATGTCATAGACCAAATGGAGCAAACAGCACGCAGACCTAGTGGTGGGAGGAAAAAATCCTTAAATAAGAGACACGGGGGGAATGATTAATGGACTTCAATGTCTGTACACTAATGCGCAAAGCATGGGAAATAAACAAGATGAGCTTGAGCTCTTGGTACAGCAAACTAAATATGACATAATAGGCATCACTGAAACCTGGTGGGATAAGTCCCACGATTGGAATGTAATAATGGAGGGATGCAATCTATTTCAGAGAAACAGACCAGACAAGAAAGGAGGAGAGGTGGCGTTATATGTCAGGGATGTGTATACCTGTGAAGAGTTCCAAGATTTAGAACCTCAAAGCCAAAGTGAGAGCATTTGGGTCAAAATTAAGGGAGAGAAGAATAACAGTGACCTCATTGTGGGAGTTTACTATAGATCCCCAAGCCAAACGGAGGACATAGATGATGCCTTCCTGGAACAGATGGCCAAGCATGCAAAAGGAAGGGAGATAGTAGTGATGGGGGACTTCAATTACCCAGATATTTGTTGGATGTCAAACTCGGCCAAGAGCATAAGGTCAAACAGATTCCTCACTGGCCTTGCAGACAACTTCATTGTCCAGAAAGTGGGAGAAGCAACAAGAGGAACAGCCATTTTAGATCTGGTCCTAACTAATGTTGATGACCTGGTTAGTGGGGTAGAAGTGGAAGGATCATTAGGCGTGAGTGATCATGCTCTTCTGAAGTTTACTATACAGCAGAAAGGAGCAGCCAAGCATACTAGGACTCAATTTCTTGACTTTAAGAAAGCCGACTTCATAAAACTTAGGGAAGTGCTGGGTGAGATCCCATGGACCTTAATACTAAAAGGAAAGGGAGTTCATGATGGCTGGGAGTTTGTTAAGAGGGAGATAGTAAAAGCACAACTTCAGGCAATACCAATGAGACAGAAACATGGAAGGTGCCTAAAGAAGCCAGGGTGGCTATCTAAAGAACTTTTAACTGAGTTAAGATTAAAAAGGATGTGTACAAAAAATGGAAAAGGGGGGAAACCACCAAAGAGGAATTCAAACAAATAGCCAGCACATGTAGACACAAAGTCAGAAAAGCTAAAGCACAGAATGAACTCAGGCTTGCTAGAGAGGTTAAAAGCAACAAAAAAGACTTTTATGGGTATGTTCGTAGCAAAAGGAAGAACAAAGAAACAGTGGGGTCACTCAGAGGAGAAGATGGTGAAATGCAAACAGGGGACACAGAAAGGGCTGAACTCCTCAATGCCTTCTTTGCCTCAGTCTTCTCCGATAAAGAAAACAATGCCCGACCTGAAGAATTTGGAGCAAATGATTCAGCAGAGGAAACACAGCCCAGAATAACTAAGGAGATAGTACAGGAGATACTTGGCTAGTTTAGATGTATTCAAGTCTCCAGGGCCAGATGAACTGCATCCAAGAGTATTAAAAGAACTGGCAGATGTGATCTCAGAACCACTGGCAGTCATCTTTGAGAATTCCTGGAGAACAGGCGAAGTCCCGGCAGACTGGAGGAGGGCAAATGTTGTCCCTATTTTCAAAAGGGGAAAAGAGAGGACCCAAATAATTACCGCCCAGTCAGTCTGACATCAATACCAGGGAAGATTCTGGAGCAGATCATTAAGCAAACAGTCTGTGAGCACCTAGAAAGGAATGCTGTGATCACCAATAGTCAGCATGGATTTCTGAAAAATAAGTCATGTCAGACTAACCTGATCTCGTTTTTTGACAGAATTACAAGCCTGGTAGATGAAGGGAACGCAGTGGATGTAGCCTACCTTGATTTCAGCAAGGCATCTGACAAGGTGCCCCATGATATTCTCGTAAAGAAGCTGGTAAAATGCGGTCTTGACTATGCTACCACTCAGTGGATTTGTAACTGGCTGACTGACCGAACCCAAAGGGTGCTCATCAATGGTTCCTCTTCATCCTGGAGAAGAGTGACTAGTGGGGTGCCACAGGGTTCTGTCTTGGGCCCAGTCTTATTCAACATCTTTATCAACGACTTGGATGATGGACTCAAGGGCATCCTGATCAAATTTGCAGATGACACCAAACTGGGAGGGGTGGCTAACACCCCAGAGGACAGGATCACACTTCAAAATGACCTTGACAGATTAGAGAACTGGGCAAAAACAAACAAGATGAATTTTAACAGGGAGAAATGTAAAGTATTGCACTTGGGCAAAAAAATGAGAGGCACAAATACAAGATGGGTGACACCTGGCTTGAGAGCAGTACATGTGAAAAGGATCTAGGAGTCTTGGTTGACCACAAACTTGACATGAGCCAACAGTGTGACGCGGCAGCTAAAAAAGCCAATGCAATTCTGGGCCTCATCAATAGGAGTATAGCATCTAGATCAAGGGAAGTAATAGTGTCACTGTATTCTGCTCTGGTCAGACCTCACCTGGAGTACTGTGTCCAGTTCTGGGCACCACAGTTCAAGAAGGACACTAACAAACTGGAACGTGTCCAGAGGAGGGCAACCAAAATGGTCAAAGGCCTGGAAACGATGCCTTATGAGGAACGGCTAAGGGAGCTGGGCACGTTTAGCCTGGAGAAGAGGAGATTAAGGGGTGATATGATAGCCATGTTCAAATATATAAAAGGATGTCACATAGAGGAGGGAGAAAGGTTGTTTTCTGCTGCTCCAGAGAAGTGGACACGGAGCAATGGATCCAAACTACAAGAAAGAAGATTCCACCTAAACATTAGGAAGAACTTCCTGACAGTAAGAGCTGTTCGACAGTGGAATTTGCTGCCAGGGAGTGTGGTGGAGTCTCCTTCTTTGGAGGTCTTTAAGCAGAGGCTTGACAACCATATGTCAGGAGTGCTCTGATGGTGTTTCCTGCTTGGCAGGGGGTTGGACTCGATGGCCCTTGTGGTCTCTTCCAACTCTATGATTCTATGATTCTACTTGGAAGGTTATCCCCATACTATAGTAAACTTCTATAAGTTAAGTTGCTTATAATGTAAATTCAAAAAGCAGGAGGAGGTCAGGGGAGGGGAAGAAATATTTTTAGATTCCACTCCTCTGCACACTTATTTTTGAGTAAACATGCATAGCTCTGTGCTGTTAGAATTGCTTAAATGAAGAAATCCAAGACTCCCAGTATTACTCTAACATGTACCCAAGCTCCAAATCCCCATCTGCTTGAAACTCAAATTGGAGCAATTCCCAGATACCGGATCTGCTCCTCCACTAGTAAATTTATGAGCTTCACAAGGTAGGTAGGCTGAGTAGCTTATCCTCACAAGTATTTCCTGTGCTCTTCTTTTGCAGATGCAAACTACAAGGCCAGGAAAAATACTGCCCCGCCTTCTCCCAGAAAGCAGCTCATTGAAAGCAAGGGAGCGCCCAGCAGATGAGGACCCAATTTGGACGATATTTATTCCTCCAAGCGCAAACATTTGTTTCATGTTTCAAGCAGTTTTCAAGTAAGTAAGCATTGTCACTGCGCAGCAGCCGTCCTGTCAGGCTGCAGCAGATGGAGAGGAGGGAAGCAAGGCTATTTCATGGGCCCTGCTGAGAGACCAGCTGCCTTTGACTGTTCCTCAGCTGAAACCTAGCCATAGCCATTCTGCCAGGCTACCTGGGCAGCCTCCATGCCAGCTGGTTGCTACAAGAACTGTAACTATCAGAGCTGGTGCCGGAGTCTGCTTGTTTTCCCCTTCTCCCTCCCCATCCCTTTTTCTTTTCATGTCGTGTCTTTTAAGCTTGAAAGCAGGGGTTGTTTCCTCACTGTTGCTTTTTCATTTGTATGTAAGTCACTCGGGAGCGTTTTCAGCTGAAGAATGGAATAAAATTAAAATGAGGAGGAGAAGGAGAAGGAGACATTCTTCTCTATGCTTTTAAGAACTCACAGATATGTGCATGTGCTTTTTAAAGTCGTAAATGTGCATGTAGGGGTAGCATAAAACGAAGAAGTTCATTTGTTACCAGATAGAAATATCAGCTTATCTTCTCTCTTTGCTTTATCAAAGGCTTCCTGACCCCAAGGATACCTGAGGGGAAGAGAAAGAGGAGAAATATGCCAGGATTTATGTTTATAATCAATCAAATCAATATGCCTATATTTCATGCAAGCAGTTGATATTAAGCAGTTCATTGATTAAACCCTGATCCTTCCCATTACACACAAGGTCTTTTCAGTTGCCACTATGTCTGTAGATGATGTGTTTGCTACACTGCTATTACCACACCCCAGAAGGGACGCAGGTGGCGCTGTGGTCTAAACCACTGAGCCTCTTGGGCTTGCTGATTGGAAGGTTAGCGGTTCAAATCCCTGTGACGGGGTGAGCTCCTGTTGCTCTGTCCTAGCTTCTGCCAACCTAGCAGTTTGAAAGCACACCAGTACAAGTAGATAAATAGGTACTGCTGCGGCGAGAAAGTGAACAGTGTTTCCATGCGCTCTGGTTTCCATCACGGTGCTCCGTTGCACCAGAAGCAATTTAGTCATGCTGGCCACATGACCTGGAAAACTTTCTGCGGACCAACACTGGCTCACTCGGCCTGAAAAGCGAGATGAGCGCCGCAACCCCACAGTCACCTTTGACTGGACTTAACTGTCCGGGGGTCTTTTACCTTTACCTTTTACTTATAGACACACCCAGCTGTGGAGGCCGAAACACCTGGCTGATCTCCTAGCATGTTAGGGGGGGCTGTTACTGCTGAGGATCATTTGGCAGAAGACTAGCTATACTTACTTAGGATTGTTGGTTTTAAATCCCCATGGACCGCTAGAAATTAGATGTAGCTCTCTGGGTGTTGAACAACTATAGGAAGCATCTCACTTCTATTCTGCAGGCACTTTGGGGGGAATCATGTTGTACAACAGCAGATTTAGAGGCTCTAGTTCCATAGTCAAAACTGCAGAAGTATTGCAGAACATGGGGCAGGTGTGGATGCTCACATCTCAACCAAGTTGGAACAAGCCTTCTGCCCACAAATCCCTTCTCACAAGGGCAGGAGCCATGAGGTTTCGTGAGCGGGCAAAAAGGCTTACTAAGCCATGATATAACAGTTTCAGTGCAGTCAGAGAGGGAGCTTAAGCCTTGAAAAATAAAGCACAAACATGTTTCTGATCTTCAGTAGCATTGTAAGTTTGTGTACTCAGCTCAGGGTAGGAAGTCAGTGCCCAAAGCCAAACAAACGTCACATAATTCACTTATTAGTTGTGTATCCATTCGTTTCAGTTATGCCCTATAAGAAGATGTACTCAGCGTAGTGTACAGTAAGAGAGATCATCATATACAATTTTTTTTTAAGGACAATGGTAACCGGAACTCAAAATAGCAGCAGCAAGGACTGAGTCGCATAAAAGATCATTCAAACAATGGAAAAATCACACCAAGAAGAAGAAGAAGAAGAAGAAGAAGAAGAAGAAGAATTAAGTTTTCAAAAATCTGTTTAGGGGGTAGTTATGCAAACAAATATAGCTCTACATGCCTAAGTTTTGTTTCAGTAGAGGATGAGACTACAGAAAGTGTTAAGGAAGAAGCTTCCTGGAAACAGTATGTTTAGGGGGAGACTGAAAGAGGTCAGAGAGAACCATGTAGAAGCAAAGGTGAAATGAGGTGGAGAATAGGAGGCTTGGGAGCAGTTGAGAGTGGGAGAGGGAGGCTCTATTTCCTGCAGAAAAGCATCCATGAAATTCCAAGTTTGTTTTCCCTAAAGCCCACCCAACATGCCTCCCTCCTCTCAGCCCATGAAAAGAAAGCATCTCTTACCAGTCAACAGGGTTATGGGCATGCTGAAGGAGGTAAGGAGACTTCTCGTAGATCAGACGGTTCGTGGGACGAGCAGTGCTAGACTGGCTGCCCTTCCCTCCCGTGGCCATGGCCAAGGCTGCTCTCAGTTGTATAGATCTGCAACACCAAACACAGACAGAAGGCTATTAGCTAGGCTAATCCCCCTAGCGCTAAGATCTGGATTAGCTCCAGTGCCAGGCCTGTCTGTGAGGCCGACACACCTCTCAATGAGATCAGCATCTGCACAGACTCGGTCTGCATTATATTAGTAAACAATGTAGGCTTGTCTGTCTGAAGAAGCAAGCCTAGGACTGCGAGCAATGAAACTGAAGCCTGGGGCTATCCTCAGGGGCCTGCTGCCAACCCCAAGGTATACCATGCCTGTTGACTTCAGGCACAGAACCTCTCTTGGGGTGGAGCTCCCGCCTGGAGGAGGCCTATGGCAGCAAGTGTTGTTGTGGTTGTGAGGGAGCTGCGCCACAGCTGAAAGAAAAGCATCTCTCCTTCTCCAGTGATTCAGCTGCTGCATGACAGGGATTTTCTCATGTTAGGTTCACAATACCAGCTTTGGTAAAAGGGATGCGGGTGGTGCTGTGGTCTAAACCACTGAGCCTCTTGGGCTTGCCGATCAGAAGGTCGGCGGTTCAAATCCCTGTGATGGGAGTGAGCTCCTGTTGCTCTGTCCTAGCTTCTGCCAACCTAGCAGTTCGAAAGCACACCAGTGCAAGTTGATGAATAGGTACCACTGTGGCAGGAAGGTAAACAGCGTTTCCATGCGCTCTGGTTTACATCACAGTGTTCCGTTGCACCAGAAGTGGTTTAGTCATGCTGGCCACAATACCTGGAAAGCTGTCTGTGGACAAATGCCAGCTCCCTCGGCCTGAAAGCAAGATGAGAGCCACAACCTCATAGTGACCTTTGACTGGACTTAACCGTCCAGGGGTCCTTTACCTTTCATTTTTTTACCAGCTTTGGTTGATTGCAGCAAACTTTGGCTATAGCTCAAGACATGCAGAAGTCCTGCCACCTGCAGGTAGAGCTGAGAGTATCTCTTCCTTGAAGCCCTACAGAGCCACTGCCATGTGCCATGTTCAGCCTTCAGTTATACCTCACCCTCCCTCCTGCCTACGCCTCAATTTACAAGACCATCCACAAACACATCTCCTCTTTATCGCTCCCAAGCTTTCCGCCAATGTATACATTTTCCCCAAATCGTTATCTCTGTCGTATGTTACTATAATGCACTCGCAATAGGCCACATGCTCATAATTCCTTGGCCCAGGAATGTCTTGATTCTAAAGTATTCGTTATCAATTACATTGTGTTTAAAAGCGTTGTGCAGAGATTAAAAGGTAAGCCCGTTCCTTTCCACAGTCTCACGGTCTAATAGGCACAGTACGAAAGGAAAAGGGAATGAAGAGGGATGAAGAAAGCAAAGCAAATTCAGGTACCAGTTCCTGAAGTTACAGTTGAGATCTAAAGGAGAGTTCTAAGAGCAAACAGCCCCACAGGAAATTGAAGATACACAACCAAACTGGACTACGACATCAAGCTGTCTCCTCTTTAAAGCTGCCACACATCCCTTATATTCAGATATCCGTTATTTCTAAAGCAGCACAGCTTCACTTAATGTAAATAGATCTCACATTTCAGAACAATCATAGTTCTGTTAAACACGGCTAAGTAGAAAACGCCTTGCAGACTCCCTGCTCTTGCTTCTATTTAAAATTTGACAGGGAAGCCTCTCTCGTCTCTTCCTTAAAGTCACTTGGTTACCCTTGCCATCACAAGGAAACCACACCAGAGATGCGGATTTTCAAAATAGTGTTGACTCCACCCACATTCCGGAAACGTGATTTGTGTCTAACCAATCAGAATTCACTTTTCCTGCAGAGGGTGGAGCAAGCGCAGTCTTGGAAAAGCTTCAGGTCAGCTCCTTTGAAAGGAATGAAGCAAATACGGAGACTGTTTAAAAGTATTTCGGGAGACTCAACACTACATTATATATCTCATAGGATGCATCTTAAGGCTATATGTGTCATGTTTTAGGTCTAAACTTCAGGTGTTTTACATGTATGCACCTTTTTAAAAAGGACCTTGTGCACTTAACAAACAGGTGTCTTCATCTGAATGTATGTTTAGGGATACACCTGCATCACTTAATATACTGTATTAAGTTACATATTACTTTGCAAAATGGGTCTGGAATATATTCATGCATACTGTTCATTCTTTATAGTATTACTGTATTTAATGTAATCAATAAAATTTGTGCGAATGAGAGAAGAAAGGATGAATCTTGGGAAAGGTAGCTCTGCAAGGTTGCCAAAGTCAGGAAAAGCAAGTTCCAGTGACTGATGGCTATAAACAGGACTTGCATCAGATTAAAATTGGGAGATGAAATTGCATGTTCCTGCACAGCTGCGTCCATTTGCCTAGATCCTAAAGGCCCCATGGAGGGCAGAAACCATGACCTTTGAGTTACATAACCAAAAAAGGCCTTGCAATTCTGAGGTCAAGACGCTTCAAGAGGGAGGGGTGTGTGAAAGATGATGCAAAGATCTTGGAATCCTGAAAAATTTCCAAGTCAGTTTTGCAGTCCCGAAAATATCTCCAATCAAGACTGTGCCACATAATGAAGAGATTGAGCTGAAGGTATTAAAAACGGTGGAAACTAGCCATCTTAGGGTGAAACCTCTGCAGTACTCCACTCTCTCTCCAAGTGATTAAGCTGGCCACTTAGGGAGAGCAACAGTCTCTAGTAACTATATTCCTTCAGAGCATGTGTAAATGTGCAATATGATGGAGTGCAGTGGGTGTATAGCACAAGATCCAAGTGTCATATTACAGGTACTCTGAGCAAGCGATAGGTAGGTGTGGCTAGAGATCTGGGAGCAGCAGGAACTGTAAACACAACACCAACAATGCAATGAAGCGCGACGGCGGAAAGAGAAACTGAATGTTCTCTGCGCGCTAATAGTTAGACCGGCGGATAAGTCTGCAGTAGAGCACGGCAGAGCAAACGAAAACTGCAACAAGAAGCAGAACCAGACAGGAAACCAGCCATGGAGCCCCTCAGGAAAAATACTGAAGGGTCGAGCAGAAATTCAAAAGCGCCGTTTAGCTCAAACCTCCCCTATTTGCAGGACTGGGGAACCTGGTGCCTTTCGGACGCTGCCGGACTTCAACTCCCATCAGCGCCATGGCAATGGTGTGAGGAGGGGATGATGGGAGCTGTAGTCCAAACAACACATATAGAGGGCCACTGGCTCCCGCCCCTGTCCTACTTACAAGGGGGCAAAGGGGTCTGAGTGGGAGTGAGCAAAGCTCGCCGTCTATGTCTGCAGGGGGGCGGGACGAGGGGGCGAGGAAGAGGGCTCTGCACATGCCATGCTCTTCTATAGGGGTGGCGCCCCAAAGCGAAACCACATCGCCACCGCTTCCCCCGTAGGGCTAAATGCATTGGGCCAAGCAACGCCAACGTGCAGTGCAATCCGCAGCAGCCAAGCCTGTTCAGTTCCACCCCCCGCCCCCATGCAAAGGCTATTTGGAGGGCCGAAGCTCCCCTGCGGAGTCACCCAGGGACTGACAAGGCAGGGAGGGAGCCAAAACAGACCCGGAGACGCCAGCCAGCCAGCTGGGCTGCTGTTATCTGCATGTAAACAAACACCAGCACGTCGCCAGTCCGGATCTAGAAGTCCCCCGGGGCCGGGAGGGTAGGAAAGCGGCGTCGCTCGCCTGCACGGCCCGGTACCTGCGAGCCCAGGAGGTTCGGCTGAGCCCAGCCCGGCGGAGCAGCAGGCGGCCCCCAGCGCGGCGCAAGAGCGCGACCGGGGCGGAGATCATGGCCCCGCTGCTGGGCAACGAAGGGCGGCGCTGAAAGAGATCCCCCGGAGCGGGTTTGGCGGGCAGAGACAGGCAATGCCGCTCGCCTAGGGAGGAGGAGCCTGGCTCTCTCGGTAGCCGGGCTTGGGAGGTGGGAGTTATTCCGGATCCTCGGGTAGCGGTGCAAGAAGCGCCAGCCAGAGCAAGGGTCAGGGAACGGGTGTGACTCTGGTTTGAACCGGGAGAGGAAGGAAGTTCATCCAAGGCCCGGGAAACGTATTCAGCATATTAACCTCCTCGGGTGCCTAGTTGACTTTTGATCATTGACTTACTATTTGTGCATACGGAGTGGGGAGTGAAGCTGGCAGAGATGCCCATGAGAGTAAAAAGTTATTTTTTCTAGAACTTTTTAATAAGATGGTAGGAGACAAAGTACTTTGTTGCAGAGGCAGCTGCTGGAGGAGGGTTGCCCGGGGCCGATAGAGAGACGGGCTTGTTTTCCTTATAAATAGATTTTTGGGGTTGGGAGGAGTAGTCTGTGACATGAGGCTAGACTTAATTATGGCTCTGTGTCGTCTATAGAAGAGGAGCAACAAAAGCCTGATTTCTACCCTCCAAAAAGAATAAAATGCAAATTTAAGTCAGCATATTTCAAGGAGAGGCATAAACCGGATTGCTGAGGCAATAGCTGGCCCAAATAGGAAAAAGAAGTGACAGGAAGAATTTTAAAAACAGCAACAAACGGAAATAATCCCTGTCTGAGCAAAACTAAGAATAATATGAAAGCCACAACCAATATGATATCACACAAATTAACTGCAATCTCATACGTGTCTATTCATAAGTAAGCATTGAATTCAGTGGGATTTTGGTTGTGTACACACTCTGGTTAATTCTGCATCCAGTACACTCTCATTGCTAGTTTGGGAAGTAGTTTACACATGATTTTAGCCACAATCCATATCTATCCTGCTATTTCTTACGCAATACTGCATTTTGAGGCATTTCCCCTCAAAACCAGTTTCAGCTTGAATTGAGCTGTTCAAATCTGTGATAAACCTCTACTACAAATTCAGATTTCAGGAGTTTAGGTAAGCCATGGCTTTCACTGCTTAGGGTGAGGATAGTCTAGTGACCTACCATATGAGGCTGTTTTAAAGATTATTGAGATGATGAACATGAAACACTTTGAAAACCCTGAAGTTAGGCACGCAATTCCCACCTATCCATGTCTACTTAGAAGTAAATCCTACTGCATTTCATGTAGCTTATTTTGCAATTGGTAAAGAGTTCACAGAACTGCAGTCTTTTTTCAAGCTTCTGTCTGCTTCACTGTCCACGTTACCATGGATTGAGACAATTGGCTTCTATATATGCCATTTTTATTTATGTAAACCTTTGGTGGCTTTTTCACACTGTTTTCTTCTTGTTTTTTTCCTCCTTACAAATGTATTTTTGAATTCATTTGGGGGTGTATTTGTTTCCCTTTGTAAGCCACTTAGAATTTTTACAAATAGAACAGTTATACTGTAGCATGTTTAAATAAATACTTTTTTTATAATGTGATGTGTGGGAGAGGAAAGCAGATGGCTCTTAACACTTCCAGTAGGCAAAATTGTACTTGACAAACTTCCTTTGCCACCAAACTCTTAGCAGAACAAATGCCCCCTGCTGGTTATATGGTAGCAACTTTATTATTATTGCCTTCACAGAGGTCACCCAACTTTTATTCGGCCCAGTGGCATATTTGGAATGTTGAGAGAATGTCATGCGCACTGGTCACAAAATGGCTGCCACAAGGCGGGTGGCTTGACACAAAATGGCTGCCATGAGGGTGTGGCTCAAAACAAAATTGGGAGTACAGTACTGGTTTTCCTATAGAACAAAGCAATTTATTGGTTGGATATGGTCGATTTTGGGCCACTCACTGTCTTTCAGCCTAACCTGGTTCAAAGGATTGTTGCCAGGATAATATACTGGAGAGGGGGAGAACCATGTAAGCCATCTTGAGCTGCCTGGAGGCTATTATTATTATTATTACTATCAACCCGTTAGGACAAGAAGGCAAGGCAACCTACAAGGCAAGTGTTGCAGGCATCCCTTTTGCTGTTCCCTATCCACTATTACCGTATTGGCCTGCATATAAGCCACACTTTTTTTCCAAATTCCTACCATGAAAAGTTAAAAGTGCGGCTTAAATTCACAACCTTACAAAAATTGGCTTTTACGGGACTTCTGGTGAGGCAAGATGGCAGGCGCCACAGCAGCGCGTAGCTCCTAGGACCACCAACACCAGCATAAGACACAATTTTAACCGGGTGGCTTATATTTGGGTGTTGTCTTTTTTCTTCTTCTTGAGTTTTAAAGGTGCGGCTTATTTGCAGGTATGGCTTATATTCGGGCCAATACAGTATAAATAAAAATGCAAAAAACAGCCTATGAAGCAAGTAGGGACCACATCCACATCACTGCTTCTAACCCCTTGCCTTAAAATGCCCTTGGGGGCCAGAAAAGGGAGAAAGACAGCACCCTCACGACTTCTACCCGTCCAAATAAAAATGGTGCTTGGTGCTGGAAAAAGCAAGGAGGCAAGCCACTTCAGAAAAGCCTGCTGGATCAGACCATCTAGCTGAGCTTCTTGTTTCCCACAGTGGCCAACCAGGACGATGCACCTGGAAAGCCCAAAAAGAGAATATGGGGGGGCTTGTCCCACAACTGTTCCCCAGGGACTGGTATTCAGAGGCATGTTGACTCTGGTCCTGACTGAAGGTAGCATGTACCTATCTACATCATGGCTAATAGCCATTGATAGCCTAAATGTTCATTAAATTGTCTGTTTCCCTTCTAAATTGGTGGCCATCGCTACTTCTTGGGGCAGCAAATTCCTTAACGCCCTATGCATTTTTCAGTTAGATACATTAATGAAAACAGCAGCTCTGATGGAGCCAATCTCTGCAGCATTTTCTGAAGTTTCAGAGTGGTGGCACAGAATATGAGCTTTATATACTGTCAGCATATAAAAGACATGGAGCATATTGGCTGGGGAACTGCCAAGTCAGTGAGTATACTTACCCACAAACTTGTGTGTCATCATCTTAATGATCAGATTTAAATCCCACCCATGCCCATTTGAAACTGGGAATCTAGTCTGTTTTTTCCTATGCCTGGGCAGAAACAGATCTAACTGAAATAGTCTAATCTCATCCACCTAAAGGTTTGTTTGCTTGTTTTAATTTTAAATGGCACTTTCCAAGCTACTATATTGATTCAAATTGTGGAGGGCCACAGTGCTGGTCAGATATCATTTATGATAAAAGCTTTCACAAAATCAGAATAGCAACCAGTCACAAAACCCCGTTATTAATTGGGTTATAATTCATTAACTTCTCAAGAGACAGCCTAAAACAGATCCTCCTCCGTCCCCCACCACTATTGTTGCTTTATATCAGGGTGGGCCATCTATGGCCCTCCAAATGTTGTTAAACTGCAACCCCCGTCATCCCTGACAACTGAGCATGCCGGCTGGAGATTAATGGAGCTAGAGTCAAGAAGATATGGGGAAACAAATATTCCCCATTCCTTTCTCAACCTTCATTTCTAAGCCTCTCACAGCAGTGATTTGTGATATCCTTATGAACCTTCCGGGATGCGGGTGGCGCTGTGGTCTAAACCACAGAGCCTAGGACTTGCCGAACAGAAGGTTGGCGGTTCAAATCCCCGCAACAGGGTGAGCTCCCGTTGCTCGGTCCCTGCTCCTGCCCACCTAGCAGTTCGAAAGCACGTCAAAGTGCAAGTAGATAAATAGGTACCGCTCCGGCGGGAAGGTAAACAGTGTTTCCGTGCGCTGCTCTGGTTCGCCAGAAGCGGCTTAGTCATGCTGGCCACATGACCCGGAAGCTGTACTCCGGCTCCCTCGGCCAATAAAGCGTGATGAGCGCCGCAACCTCAGAGTCGGCCACAACTGGACCTAATGGTCAGGGGTCCCTTTACCTTTACGTACCTTCCAACAACTCTGCATTTTGACTACGTTTCTCTTGCCCTAAGAGCAAGGGGTGGGGGGAACCCGTGGCCCACGAAATGATGTTGGACTACAATGTCTATTGTCCCTGACCATTGGCCATGCTGGCTGGTGTTGATGGGAGCGTAGTCAAACATTTGAAGTGCCACAGGCTCCCCATCCCTGCTTTGTCCCTGGTTATCACTCAGCTTACTTTACAGCAACCATTTCCAATGCAAATCTATTTCTATAATGATGCTCTTAGAAAAGATGAGATACCTTTCTACTAGCATAGTATACATACCTCATGGCATACAGTGACACATGTAGACGTTTCAATGCTGAGTAATGGGTTCATCAAAACCTATTATTTAAATCTTGCGAATGAATGGTTTTAAAAAACCAAGTTCCTTTGGAAACATTACAAAGTTCAATAGCTGGAGTCAAACAGAAAGGACTTCTCTTGTGACTGAGCTAAGAGATTATTTTATTTTAATCACTGTATTTGGGCCCTTCCAAAATAGGTTAAGAGAAAGATCAGAGCAGCACTCTCCACACTTGTGAGTCCCAGCAACTGGTATTATGGGTAGTTGGGGTGAGGGGCATTTTGCATCAAAATGCCATTGTAGTGCAAACCTGTCCAGTGTGGACAGCCAAAGTTATAGTGAGACTTTTTTGGGCTCCTGTGCTTGTAATTAACAGCTTGCTTGAAACTTCTGCCTGTGTTATTGCATCTTGTTAAGCACAGCAGCAGGATTACTGATACCCTTCATTACCATTAATAGAATCTCTGTTTTATTTTGTTTTGCGTTTCATCACCGATATTCTCCTACAGCAACCTGAACAAACAATAAAATGACCAGAAGCTACAAGTAGGTAACTTTTAATTAACATTGCAGAGTTCTTTTCCTAACCAGGACTTCCTAATGAAGCATTATAGAAGGCCACGCTAATGGGCCCTGGCATAGAAGCAACCTGTGTCTTCCTGACCCAATGTAAATGAAATAACTGTAGCAGGCATTAAAGAGAATCCTGTTTTTGAGATTGCTTTTAAACCAAAGAGTGTCAGAGCATGTTAATTGTTGCCCAGGGGAAGATCTAGGTGATGCCCTCTCATTACCTGTGCTGGCAAGCAATAAACAAATGCCCAGGGAATGCAGCCATGCAAGACTGTAAATGGTTTTAATTTGCCAGCAAGAACATCAGTGAATTTTCCATTACATTCATCTCAAGGGGAACTACAGACCAGTGCTGAATATTCTTCTTTTTAGCATGGACTGCAGAAACCCAGGCCGCTCAAATGCAGTTCAAAACAAATCAGCACACGTCTAGCTTGTTACCTTAACATGGCAAACAAGAGGTATGCTGATTTGTTTTGAACTTGAGTTAGCAGCTTTCATTCATTTCAGCTCGGAAAGGACTCAACTTCCTGCAGTTAGCAAATAACAAAGGCTCCACTAGACTACAATCTTGTTTGTCAACACAGGTTGCTAAAGAAGACTGCTCAAGGAGCTCAAAAATCTACCTGTTTTTGATCACATGGTGCACCATGGATTCTAGTTATTAATTAGCATAAGGACATTTGCACCGTCAAGGCATTTCAAAACAGCCTGGAGGTCCAGCTAATGCATCATCATGCTCTCTCTAACAGTGAATAGTCAGCAAAGCTCACAAGGAGTTGCATGCAGGTGGGAAAATGTTTGCCTGTTGAGAGTGAGGGCAAGGGACATTGCTGACACTCTGAATTGTCTTTGTACTGTTGTCACATAACCATATTTGAATGGTGCTGTCATGTCATGGCAATTGTCCATTTATACTGAGACCAAAGAGCTTTGGCCTGGCTCTGAATTGAGTGGGCTGTATAGCTGGAAAGAAGCAACCCTAGTTTTAAAACAAAGATGTAACTGAAGCAGCTGCCAATAGAGGCAGTGTGCAGGCATAAAAGAAGTAAATAGTCGGGCTATTAAAAGACAGCAGGACACCTCCTCCCCACAAGCCACTCTTTTCCTTCGAAAAGTGTGCAACCTTAGTTGAGACCCCCTTGATCAAACCCAAAGAGAAGGAAGGTGATTTAACACAGAAAAGAAATCCATTATGAAATGTGAAACCTCAAGCATATTTGAACTTTTTATTGACTTCTTATTTCCCTCCCCCCTCTTTATGTTCCATTATAGCCAGAAAAGTTGTATTGGTATGGTGATTGCTTAAGCATAGGCAACAAAACTTCAATGATTGTACCACAATGCTCTCCATGCCTGGCCCCCTATTCACATCCCACCTCAAGCTTATTCTAGCTGGATCAGTGCTCCACAAACATCTTGTCCTGCAGATGAATCTTGTATTGGCATGCTGAAATCCTAGATTAAGACACAGTTGGTAACTGGGATTTAACTTCATGCTGTACATACACTCTGTCTCTGCCATTCCAGCTTGGAAGGAGAGGTTGGCTGAATTGAAGATAACGCACCTATTGATACATTTATCTCTCTCTCTCTCTCGAGTTTTTAAAGCAAGTTTAAGCCCCAAAATGAAATGCTCCAAGGCCATCAAGCACAATAATAAAGTTTTATCATCACGGAGTCAGGATTCCCGACATCATATTCAAACAATGACCTCCATCATTTGCCTCCATTAAAGCAGTCCAGAACTTCCTTGTGAGTTTCGCAAAGTTCATTCAAACACCCTTTTCCACTGTGGAATCTGCACTTTTTGGAGTGCCCCTCAGTCGCAGGTATCCCATGTTTTTGAGTTTGGGGCTTGAGAGGTAGGCGCTGGGGACAGCAACAAAAGTCTGTGATCAGGCATATAACTAAGAGGTTGTCCATGATGATAACAAAGGAGAAACTGGATTCCTCAAATGATTACTGAGGGGTCAAAGGAAAACGTCGTTCGGACTGAAGGAGGCAGAAACGCAATTGGCAGAGACATCGGATTTGGAATGAAGGAACATCTGGGCAGAAACGAGTGAAACTGAGAATTGTGCTCTCCTAGTGCAAAGTGTAATGCTTCTTCAGAATCCTGAGCATCCGAGTTCGGGGCTTTTTTTTTTACAAGGCAAGTTTCTAGCCTGGTTAGTAATTTGGGCAAATTTGCTGCTCAAGAATTAGAAGCCAGAAAAGGTTGGCCAGACTTCCAGTGGTCAGGTTGTTCTTGATGCGGTTACACCTCCTTCCCATAACCAGTCTCAAAACTTATCAACTTTGCTTGTAAGCAGAATGAAGGGTGCACAAAGAAGAATGTATATGCAGTTGGTCTTGCTGCTGCTGCTGTTTATTTTTACAGTCAGGAAGGTTTTCTAGTTGCAGACTTCTGAATATATCTATTTCCCCCCCCCCCCCATAGTGTAACTGGAGGACAAGAGCAACTGAGGAAGAGACTGCCCTTCATTAAGGGACCCAGTGAAAGTGACTGTGGAAAAAGAAATTGGATTTCCTCCTCTAATGTATAACAGTGCTATACTTGCTGACCTATCCTGATTTCCAGAAGTGAGACTGTCATGCACGCAGTGCCACTGCAAGCCTTGGCAAAACGTTTTTGTGTTTTCCATGCAGGTTACGAAATAATTTGATTCCCTTCCCTCTGAAGGGACAATCTTCCATGAGTTAATTTTTATTTTATCCTAGCCTCTGTGTGTACCAACATAAAAGCACTGGAGAATGAAGACCCTTGAAAACTCAAGCCCTTCTTAAAAGATCTCCTATCTCCTGGGTACCCATCAAAACAAGGCCAGCTAGTGGCAGGGATGTCCCAGTTCTCCATCAGAGGCAGCAGACTCCAGGCAATGTTCAACATGATGGAGCGATTGGTTCTTCTGTAGGCCACCAAACAAGGAGATTCTTGCTTATGAATCTCTTTGGCTTAGGCAGAAACTAGAGAAGAGTTTCCAGGGAGACGTTTCCCCCCACCCCCATCAAAACTAATGTGCCCACAAAGCCATTTTGCATGGGAGGTTTTCCATAGCAGCTGGGGAAGGAGCAAGAGAACAGTTTGCATGACACCAACAAGAGTCTTCTCAGAGGAAAGGGTTCATACCGCCTTGAGAAGGTAGTGGCGGGGGACCTGAGCCAGACAGTGGTAGGAGAGGTTGAGGCAAGTTGCCAGGTAGCTCTGGGAAAGGCCCTGCTCCAGTCTGAGGGAAGGCACTCATGGAGGCCGGGAGGGCCATTGCTGGTGGGATGCTGCTGAGTGGGAGAGGGAGTGAAGCACTGTAGGTCATGGAGTTCATGGTCATCCCCATAGCTATGGTGGGCACTGGGGAGCTGGTCCGCATCTGGTTGAGAGTTGGTTTGGGCTGGTCCATGACGTTGAATGGGTTGGTGGGAGAAGGTGTGCTGAGACCTGGAAGAAGGAGAGGGAGGGAGAGAAGCCATCAGCACAACATTCCAAAGGTCAGAGGCCAAGGAAGTAAAGCTCCCCTCCCCCTGTTTTTTAAAAAATGCACACAAATATGGCAGTATCTACAATCATGTGACCCAAACACTCTAATGTTAAATAAGGAAAGTGTGGAAACGTGTTGCTGAGGGTTCCCATTTTGCCACATATTTTGAGTTCCAAGTTTTGGAGTCAAAAGCAGAGAAGGCCTGAGCACCAATCACGGCAACTGGCAAATATCAACATGCCTAGTATGGAAGAAGTCTGAAATTTCTGACAAGGACTGGTTTCAGTGAAGAAAGGGGCCCAGTAAAAAGAGGAGGGGAGGAAGAATAGCAGCTCTGTGTGGCAGGCGTTAGGGAGCGGACTGTACAATGGGGAACTAATGTGCTAGGCTGAGTGCAATCAAATGTGGGCACCAAACATGATTGAGACAAGGCATGTTGCTGCCCGAAGCAAATGGTAAGATGGACCCCCCCCCCCACATTCCACATATAAACACTGACCAAACTGATTAGACTGGCAATAAGAAAGCATCTTCCACTGCACCTGAGGTCAGTAGGCTAGCTCCAGGAGTGTAGGGCAGCCATGTGACACACACGGTTCTGTCCATTACATGAACACTACCTCCCATCTGCTGCCTGGGGCAGCTGCCACCCCAGTTGGCCTAATGGTAGGGCCAGCCACGTTACAAAACTCTGGGCAAAACTGTGGGACAGAATTGCTAATGGATCTATTCTGCCTATAAGGCCTACCTGCCAGAAATGGATTACGAGACATCAGGTTCTGAGGGGCTGTGACCAAGGAGTCCAGATTAACCAAAGAAGAGGCATTTGGGCCAAGAAAGGCCTCTGGCGTTTTGCTGTCTTTCTTCTCCTTCTTTGAATCAGGAAGAGAGTCTCCTAAACCTGCAATATCAAAAACGTCCTTATTCTTGACTCCATTCTCTTTCGTGCTTGGAATAAGGTCACCAAACAGGTCCACATCTACCAACAATAAGAGAGAGAGGATGTGTTATTTCTGTTCCTTTTCACTGAGATACTCCATGGTTTGCCCCACATTTCCTGCTGGGTTCTCATTTAATCAATTAATTATTCAGTCCTTTCTTAGATGTACTGTATTGGCTCATCTTCAGATGAAGTTCTCAGAGTGGCTAATGATAAAAAAATGAAATGAATGAAAACAATAGCTTGATAGATATAATAAAAAAAATCACTACAGTGGAAACACAAAAACAGAAAGCAAATGGAATAACTCAGTTGTGTGCGTCTGATCATTCTGTCAGTGCAAGCATTTCTGTTTCCCAAACAGAATGATCCCTCTCCTCCACCTGCACAGGTTCTCCTTAACCTCCTGAATGGATTTGGGGGAGTTGTGAGGAGAGGAGATGGGGAAGCCTTATTGCCCTAGTGGGAAACCTTGCATTAGCTTCCGCTAGCATGCCTGCTTAGTTGGGCCAGAGCAACAATAAAACTCCATCTCAAAGATTCTTATGCATTCTAAGAGAACTACAAGGACTGGGCAAATACAAAGGTGTTAAGTTGACATCAGAAAGAGAAAGAGAATGGCACCAAGCAAATCTCTCTTGAGAAGGTATCCCAAAGGTGAGGCACCAGTTGATGATCATAACATTTGGAGAAGGGCCTAAGAAGGGCCAATCAGGCTCCTGCAGGAGGAGGAATCCTCTAGGTCAGCCTTCCACAAGTCGGTGGTCTTGAGATCTTTTGGACTACTACTCTCATCAGCTCCAGCCAACCAGCATAGCCAGTGGTCAGGAATAATAGGAGTTGTAGTCCAACAACATCTGGGGGAGGCACCAGATTGATGAAACCATTTAGGGCTTGAAAAAGGCTAAAACCAGCACACTGGACATGGAATCTTATTCACGCTGCATTTCTGCCACAACCCTTCATACTTAAGAATCCACCATTTTCACAGATGCACTTCCGTACATCTTTAGGAGATGGGTGTGTGTGACTTACATCAGCAGGTGTACAGCCTACCAGTTCAATCTCCAGTTAAAAGGAACTTAATTTTCCAGAATAGGGAAAGATATGTGCCTAAATGCCCCTGGAGAGCTGCTGCCCATAACAACAAGCATTGCTGCTGTGGATGTGTCATTGCTCAAAGTATAAAGCATTGCTTACATAATTGTCCTAATGCTCAGCGCTGCCTTCCTTTAACACACATTTGTTGCTGTCTCATCGTTCAAGTCCCACTTTAAAGCTTCTTCTCTAAGGCATTTCCCCCCCTCCCAAACTCTATTGCAAATTGGGATTGCTGCTAGAAACCTTTTGTGGGTAATGCATTCTAATATAACCTTTGCACATGGACATTTTTTTAAAAAAATCCATCTTAGGAGCTCCCAATGTTACATTGGCATCAGCCCCCATCAAAAGCATAGAGCTGGAAGGCACCACCTGAAAGGCCATCTCTAGTCCTACTCACTGCCAATGTGGGAAATCAGACCAGAATGGAAACTCTAGAGCAGCTTTCCCCAACCTTGTGCCATCCAGATTTTTTGGACTACAATTCCAATCAACCTCAGGTCCTGTGGCCAGGGATTATGAGAATGGTAGCCCAACACATCTGGAGGGCACCAGGTTGGGGAAAGCTGCTCTGGAGCTTTAAGGCTAGAACTAATCATCAAAACACGATAGGTGTAAGCAAGGGCAAAGCCATGGACTTATTTTCCAGCAGGATGCATACTATGAAACAAAAGCAGTGGGAGAAGAAGAGTAGTATGTGTGAAATTTACCTCCATGGCAGCCATCAAAATTATAGGATCAAAATGATGCCTGAAAGTGCATATGGAGGACCCGTCCCTTTCACTTACCTACTGGGCTGTTGGATTTCCCAGAACTGTCATGTTCTGGCTGATCCATGTGTTCAGGTAGTTTTGCAAACAAGTCAAAAGCAGCACTGCCTATGGAGGAGTTGAAGACAGAAAGAAAGCTTAGGGGAGGGGGTGCTAAATGATTTGGGTCCACCCCCTTTTGAGTGAGTAGGACTGGCTCTGTCCACCCCATCTCAACACCACTGCTGATTTAGGAGTTCGGAGAAAGCAGGGGTAACAATAAATCCCCAACGTTGTCCTTCCCAATCAAAACCAAACACAGGGGAAAGAATGCCACAGGCATTCCTTTTGGGAGCTCTCGAAAAGTGGTGGCCGGGAATGTGCTTATCCTCTCGCTCCGTCACCAGTTTGTTGCTTGAAACTGGGAGCCAATCAGCAGCAGCGGGGAAGAGGTGGTCCTGCTGCTGACGCTACGTGAAGCTGCACATGGAACTCTCTCGTGTCAATAGATGAAAGAGATACACATGCACAACCTGGCACGATAGCTGCTGGTCCCATCTCTATTACATGTGCTTCTAGGCTCTCTCCTATGGTTTGCCACTTGGGTACTCACCTGGAGAGATCTGCTTCTCACCCTAGGTAAAGGTAAAGGGACCCCTGACTGTTAGGTGCAGTCGTGGCCAACTCTGGGGTTGCGGCGCTCATCTCGCTTTATTGGCAAAGGGAGCCGGCATACAGCTTCCAGGTCATGTGGCCAGCATGACTAAGCCGCTTCTGGCGAACCAGAGCAGCGCACGGAAACGCCATTTACCTTCCCGCCGGAGCGGTACCTATTTATCTACTTGCACTTAGATGTGCTTTCGAACTGCTAGGTTGGCGGGAGTAGGGACCGAACAACGGGAGCTCACGCCATGACGGGGATTCGAACCGCTAACCTTCTGATCGGCAAGTCCTAGGCTCTGTGGTTTAACGCACAGCGCCACCCGCGTCCCGCTTCTCACCCTAGCTGAGTAGATAAACAGCACATGACATGGCTCACATAAAGCAAGAGAGTTGGGGAAATTGCAGCTAGCAGTTTTGAAGGAAGGAATGGGAAACCGGACAATTCTACAGCATTGAGGACTACAAGTGAAAAGGAACTTCTCTTACCAGACGTGGAAGACTTCTCCACAGTGCCTCCCCAAGGGTCAGCAGCAGAAGCAGTGCCTGCAGGAACTAGTGCAGGGGGTGAGGACTTTCCCCAGGGGTCCGAAGAAGAGACACTCGAAGGCAGGGATTTGACCCCCCATGGATCGGAAGAGGAAGCAGAGGAGGAAGAGGCATGAGGAAGGTTCCAGGGAGAGGCTTGATTGGTAGAACATGCTGCCTTACTTAGAGGATCCCCTGAAGATACGGGCACCCAAGGGTCTGCCGTGGGGCCCCAGGATGTTCCTGTCGATTCCACGGTGGACTTGGTATCTGGAGGGGAAGAAAGGAGTGTCAAGGGAAACAAAATGTAGACAGGATGTGGACAGGGGAAATGAAAAATGAATAAATAAAGAACTAGTATTGATGAAGCTAGAAGCAGATGAATGGGAACAGCATTAGAGATGTTACCTGATTTAAGAAATCTTAGTTGATCAATTGCATGAGAATTAATTGATTAAATTTGCACAAGTTTGCACATCAACGTGTTTTGAGGAACATGTTTAGATGATGCACATATATGACCCAAAAGGAACTATTGTAGAAGGAACATCTCGAGCATGAGACACAAGGTGGGGGCAGGAGAGAAAGTCGCTTCTTCCAAGATGGCACCAGCTTGTAGTAATAATAAACATGTTTAAAGAGAAAAATCTGCCTCCCCCTCCAGTAACCAGGGCACCTTCTTCATCCATAATAATAATAATAACAAACTTAAGCCAAGGCTGGGGAATCTGTTGCCCACCGAATGATGGACTCCAGCTCCCATTCGCCATGCTGGCTGGGGCTGATGGGAGTTAAGAGTCCAACAGCATCATTTGGGAGGCAACAGGTTCCCTATCCCTGATTTAAGCAAATGGATTAGTCAACGCTGCAGCCCAAAGCAGAACCATGGCAAACAATGGGTTAACATTTGCCCAAGCTGGTTGAAAGCATGGATGGAATAGGAGAGGTGTGTGGGTGGAATGGAGAAAGAAGAAAGAGGCTGCAAAGATCCTTACTGTTATGCTCCCAAGAAGTAGACAAGGACAGAGCTGGAGGAGAGAAGGCTGCATCATGATTCCAAACCTCAACAGATCGATTGTTGCCCCCACCTGGAATATCCCATGGGTCAGCTGAAGTGTGGGTAGAAGTGATCGGTGCCGGTCCAAAAATGTCTGCCAGCTCCAGCACAGAAGACTGGAAAGATACAAAGGGATAAAATGTATTAAGACCTAGAGATCCCAAGAACGTGTACACTTCAAACTGCACCAAGACTGTACAGGTTTGGAAGCTATCAAAAAAGCAGAGGGCTTCCTTCCACTCTCCCGAGGCATGGTGTTGCAATTTCTCCCTTCCTAAAGAGCTTCAGAAAGTAAAATTATACACAAGATCCCAAGCTATGAGTGTGTGAATGGTCTCTTAATTGCTTGATGCTGTTGGATTGTTAGAGCTAACACCAATGCATGGAAGAAGCATTGGTACCTCATTGTAAGCTCTTCTGAGTGTAGCAGGATCTATGTGCAATAAATAGATGAATAAAACCACCCAGTGGACTTGGCTCCAGATTACAGTGGTACCTTGGGTTAAGAACTTAATTCATTCCGGAGGTCCGTTCTTAACCTGAAACTGTTCTTAACCTGAGGTACCACTTTAGCTAATGGGGCCTCCTGCTGCTGCCGCGATATTTCTGTTCTCATCCTGAGGTAAAGTTCTTAACTCGAGGTACTATTTCTGGGTTAGCGGAGTCTGTAACCTGAAGCATCTGTAACCTGAAGTACCACTGTTAATGGAGTATGAGCAACTGACCAGTTTTCTTCAGTTTCGCTGTTAATTGTAGGGGAAACTCTCAGGATAAATTCTCACTCTGTAACCAACAGTGAGTGGGAAGGACCTCAGCCCCAGAATTACCAATTTGCAATTTCCATCTGAAGCAGAAGCCACCATAGATACTTCAGAGAGATCAGTGGGGCTAGCACAGGTGGAATACAAATTGGCACACACCAAAGCAAGTATTTATGTATGTCCACCACAATATAACCAAGCAGCTGGTGCCTCCTACCTGACTTTTCTTGGTCTTTTCTTCTTCTTCTTCTTCCACACCCTGGTGACTTTCTTCCAATGCCCTCTGCAGTAGTGAGTTTTCTCCTTGCCATGCCCTCACTTCCTGTAATCAAAATGAACAGCCAACGGGGTATGAGCTGAATACAAGAAAAATGAAAGATTATTTCATACTGGTCATGGCCATCATTTAGGTAAGCGTGGCAACTGCCCTTTCCATTTCCATACTTCTATATCCCATGTTAAACTGTTCTCTGTTAGGAACAGTTAGTTTTTAGAACTATGTAAGTTATATTAAAAAAAAATACCAGCCAGAAAAGACCCAGAAGGCAGAAAGAAGCGGACATAGCTGGAGGTGAGGTAGGAATTGGGGGAGGGTGGGTCTAGAATTCTTTCATCTTAAAAAGAAAAGTGAGAAGGTTTTGAGTCCAAGGGCCAGTTGCAATTTTACATATACTTACTTGGAAATAAGCCCCATTGAGCCCCATGGGGCTTATTTTCAAGTAGATATGCTTTGGATTATGTTTGGTGTTTCATTATCAATGTGAAAAGAGGCAATTTCACCATCCTTGGACTGATTTTCAAATGTTGGGTTTCGACAAAATTCCACAACTGATCAGAGTTATCCAGAGATACCCAGTCTTGAGTTCCCAAGTCTCTGAAATGATCTCCTATGCGAGTCAAGATTTCTTTCAGAACCGTGAGGACCTGAAACCTCATTGTTTTACACATGGATATTTTCTGGAAAGACCAACTCTGAGGCCTGTGGCAAATGGAACAAGATGTACAGAATTTCTAGACTCTGGAGATAGCAGCATTGTCTCAGGAAGGAGCCACCAAGCTTAGGCCAAAAGCTTTCCCACTTAAAGAGGCATGAATTCAAGAAGAGGAAAGTTAAAAGTGCCCTTTCACCACCTGGGTTTGGGATACCTTCTCATGCTCCTGTTTGCTCAGGGTAAGCGCTATCTGTAATTGCAAGTCTTCATCTGTGCTGGAGACTGGAGGAAGTGGCTGCTGACAATGAAGGAGAATTGGGTAAAGGTTTGTTCCTGCTCCAGGACTTTGTGGTCAGTCATTCATTTCTGGGTCACAACCTTCCAAGCCCACCCCCTTACCCTTTATAATCAAAGAGCAAGATGGCTTTGAATCCAGCCATGCAACTGTTCAACTAGTTTTGCCCATTTAGATACTCATCCCACAAATCTTTAATGCCTCTTCTTTCACAAAGTTTGCAGTCCCTCCCCTCCAACCCTTGCTTCTATTTCTTTCCACCCACACCCATATATTTACACATGGTTTGCTTACAATAATGCTAAATCACCTCTCAGCAAAAAAAATAATAATAATAAAAAGCAGCTGCTGCCCAAACATTAAAAATGCAAGCATCCTAATAAATCCATAAAACAGTAACTAAATAAAAGCAACCATCACCAGGACATGAATGATGGTAGCTAGGTTTCTATATTTCAGTCATAGGAGGTGCAGATGGTGAACTAACTAGAGCTGGCACTCTGATTCATGGCCACCACCTGAGAATCTAAGAGCATCCTCAAACTATGAACCTTATGGATGTGTGTGATCCTAATCACGGACTGGTATTTCCTCAGCCAACAAGCATTTCAACCAAGTTCTCCAGATACTAGTCTCTCAAATCCTTGCCCAGAAATGGCAGGAGTTGCTTTCATTTAATTTGTAAAAGATTTCTACCCTACCCTTTAATTAAAATTGTCCAGAGTGCTTTACAATAGGTAAAGGTTAAAGACTGGCCTACAGTTACCCAAGGTCAGCCAGGTCTATTGGGGCTCCCCTCCCCCCTGCTTCCCAGCAGGAAATGGATCATTTCCTCATTTGAGGCAGCAACCCTAAAAGCAGTATTCACTCTTCTGCCATTCAGACTAGCCAGCCTTCCATAGCTGGTCACCTTCTGCCAGGAAGGTCAATAACTGAAGAGACATAGGGTTGTATTCAGTGCTGAGCCTGCTGTGCCCTGCTCATGAAACAGAATTTCTTCCTCTCCTCCTCTTGTTCTGTATGCCCCAGAATTCTGCTCCAGAGGGTCCCTTAACTCTCTGGAGCACATCTTGACTGTGCCTGGGATGCAGGGGGAAGAAAAGGAAGGGGAAATCCTGTTGTACGAGCAGAACAGCAGTGTTGGCTACAACCCATCTTCTGCTTCTGTCCCAGAAATGTCTCAGTACCTCATCTGCCTCTTCCCGTGAAATCAACGGAAGCTCATCCAAGCAACCTTGAGTAGCAGTGGCAGAGCTGGCAACCAATACGGACACTGAGCTCAATGTGACATCCAAGTCATGGCAGATGTGACTCAGTTTATCTGCAAAATGTTTTACAAAGAAGTCGCAGTGGGCTACTGATGGTTCTGTGGCTGGGATGCGGAACAAGTGGTCCTCTAGAGATGTTGCTAGGCTACAACTCCCATCATCCCTGACCATAGGCAGTGCTGGCTGAGGTTGATGGAAGCTGGAGTCCAACAGCAACATCTCTTAAGTCCACAGGTTCACCATTCCCATTACAAGTGTTCATCAGTGGATGGTTGTTTCTGAAGGAGCACTGCCATGGCAGCAGGGAGGTTTTTGTGCATTTCCCACAAAGCCAGAAAGCTTTCCTTTGCCCTACTAGACCACTCAAATGCAAACACCTACATATAAGAAAACAATCCCAGTAACCTTGCACAGACCTAGAACACCAAGATCTCAATCTACAATTAACAATAATGCACCAACAGCTTGTCATGTTGCACCCAATGACTTTCTACAGCTTTCTTCTTTTTTTAACCCTGGTGCCTGCCTACAGCTTTGGTTTTTGTTTGGACTTTTAGCAAGCTGGCTGGCTTCCCAAGGTAATGTAACCTGAGAGCTTGCCTTGCTGGCTGCTATGACCCTTCTGTCCTTTCTTCCGGCAGGAGCTTATCAAGTGTCGTTCCAAAACCCAGTTCCCTACAAGGAGGCTGATCAGCAAGCAAACAGACGGTGGCACCAGCAGGGACGGCTGCTTTGTTACCCTAATAATGGGGGAAAGCACAATCACACTTTTGTGGCAATACAAACAACAGTCATCACCCTTCCTTGCAGAGACATAGCCCTTTCAGGCACCATCATTAACACTGCCTCGAGAAAGACTGTTACAAGCAGCAATCATTGATCTCACGCTTTTAATTTGCCAAATGCTTCACAGAACTTATTGCCTTTGGCCCCACTCTGGTTCTAGCTGAGTGTGGGAAAAGGTGGTTCCAGGTAAGGAACCATCCATTAGAAAGGCACATCCCGCCAATTCAGCCAACCAGCATTATGGTGCAAGCAAGGATGTGCATTGAGCCGCCTATGTCAGCCATTGTGTTCCAAATCTCGCCCAAGAAACTGTCTGATCTCTGCCCCTGGCAACTCTACACAGACACAAATAGTAGTTAAAAAGGGGGAAAAAACAAGATCCCAGCGCTAGCTGACCTAGATGTTCCTCCACCGAACAAAACCATCAGTCATCTCTTTTCTTTTGACTTGGGCTGTGACCATACCAGAATCACTGCCATTGGGGAAAAGACTGTCCTTGGTCATGTGTTCCTTAATGTATTGTTTCATTGTTGGCCCAGCACAGAATGTTTCAAGGAACTCGGTGAGATTTTCATGTTGCAACCCTGCATACTGTTCATAACTGGGGTTCCTCGTTCCTGATGAATGTTGCTCTTTTCCCTATTTAGCAAGGTGTTGCAGGGGAAGATTTAGTGACTTTTTAAAATGACTGCAGAGTTGCGCACAGATTTAAACAGGCCTTCTTTAAACATTGCTAAATACAATGTGGATATTTCTGCATTCCAAAATTACTACATTTGCATATGTAATTGCTTCCCATTCTGATTTAAATAATAATAATTGTGATGGACAAAGCAGGAATAAGGGACCCAGGAAAAACGGAGGCACTGCATAATATGTCCCTTGCTATATTCAAGTGATGTACTGCTAAGCCTGCTATTTATTTTGAGATACAAATTCCCGTATTAAAAAAAAACAACCAGAAGTAGAATACACAAATCAAGATGGGACATGAATACACGGTGATATTGGATGCAAGTTTTGAATGGGAAGCAGAATTTTCCTGCCACTCTCCGAAACCTGAGCATTTGAGAGAGAGCAAGAGAGCGCGTTGAAAGGCACATCAAGTATGGGTTGGGTCTTGTTGACCCTAGTAAAGCTGTTTAACCCACAGCGCCACCCGCGTCCCTTAAGGGGATGCTTATGTTGCAATAAAGAAACATGAGCACAAAGCTAATAATACAGTAAACTACAGGAACTAGACAATGCAGGAGGTGAATGTGCTATCCCACCTTGCGGTTTTTCTTTACTGTCTAGAATCCTGCACTCCCAACCACCCCACCCTATTTTGTTTTCATGAAAACTCCTTCATCACACACAGCTGAGCTGTTTCAGCCTTTAACTACTGAGAAATGCCTACCCAATACAGGTGATACAAAGGCAACAAGTCCAAACTAGTTACTTGTGGAGAAGCACAATGCAGTCATGTGCTAACTTTAAGCTCTCTGAATGCCCGTGCCTAACATGATCGCCCCTAGGCAGTCATTCTAGCATACCGCCAACTGGTAGACAGCTCGTAGCTAACTTGCCAGCTGGCAGCTAATTTGGGCTCATTATTGACTGGTAAGCACAGGTAGTGAAGGCAGTGATACTAAAAAATGATGTGTTTGCTTGTCTGTTTTATTACACTGGGGGGGGCGGGGTGTGGAACCCTTCAAATCCTTCACCAACTAGGAAACAGTCTAGCTTTGTAGTAGGGACATTTGCTGGCAGGAACAGACCCTTGGCTTAGCTCCAGGTGAAGCACACAGTAATAATACAATTTAGTACAGGACTTCTCAAGGGTGTTCGCACACTGCGTTCAACAAGTGTACCATCTGTGTACACAAGCAGTTGAGCCTTGCACTCGTACAATAACCTGCATGTAACATTCAACCTATGTGCGCAATAGGTGAGCTGTACAGATCAACAAGCATACACACTTTCACACAAACACATGTGCATGTGTAGAGGCACCTTGTAGCTGTGTTCAGTGGGATGCGTGAACAAGCCTTCAGTCCACTCTTTATCAGTCCAGTGATCCAACCCACAATGCTATAGAGCCCTGACACCGATGTGAACACCATCACAGGGCCCCTGGTGAGTTGTGGTGGGAACAGGTGATATGAAAACTATGAGAGCAGTATGAGGATTGCCTGAGCCCTAGAGCTCACCCCAATGAATCTCCACTGGCACAGGGGCTGCAGAATGCTGGGGAGCCACAATAGAGTCAGCACCTATTCAGAATGGAGCTCTGCCAGTATAATGTACAAAACAGGGAGTGAACCAATCCCTAGATACAAGGCATAAGAGGTTAGCTGAGCTTTTACGTAAAGAAAAAACCTTACAGCGAACAGAATTCATCAGGATGTGTGTTGGCACAATTGTGTTTCCCAACAAATATAAATCAGCCCCCAAACTAAGTATCGGGGAAACGAACGGAGGGTTTCTGGGGAAAGAAAAGAGCAAAAGCGAGTCTACTCTAAGGAGGAAAAGGGGAAGATGAGTTACTTTGGAGGGGGCGGGATAATAATAGAACACATCGTGCTAAATGTACATGTGTGAGTTTCATTTGTCATCCCCAGTATGAAAACAGAAATTGCTGTGTAGGAGAGAACAAAGGGTTATAGCTACCATTAGGTATCACTGGCCTGTTTTCCAACTCTGCACCTAACAATTAAAATAATTAGAAGGATATGACTGCATCCTCATGATTATACTGTGGGGCAGCCTAGTCATTTTGCTGCATCACTGAATGGAAGGGTTAGCCATCCTTTTCCAGGTTAAAGGGTTTAAGCCCTGATAGTTACTACAGCTCTTCCGATACTTTAGCCACACCCTCACACTGACCCACTGACCCACCATCCATTCTGTTTTTCCCTCCTTCTGGATCCCTACTGGGGCAGGGACTGACTGACTGACTGGCCTGGAAGAAGGACAGCACCGTTACCCCAAAGGTGGACTCTTGTTTTAGAGGAATTAATCTTTGAGATATTATTTGCATTTGTGGTGTTGTTGGTGTTGGTGTTTGGGAATGGACTGGGTATGTGGCCTATCAATTAAGCCCCCTTTTAGTAAGTTTAGAGTTGTTATCACAAAGACCAACACAAGTGTCTCCCCCACTGGAGGTTAATAAGAAGGGGAAGGGGGATAAAGTAAGAAAAGGACCCACATGCTGAAACCAGCTATTGGCCTGAGAATATCCCTGAGGTCCCCAACATAGCACTCGTGGGCCTCATGGTGACTTTTGACACCTCCCCTGAGTCATTAATTTTGGGGAGGTGTTCTTGCTTTTTTGCCAGTTCCCCCACCTTGAGCACTGCCAGCTGTGAAACTGATACTTTGTAGCACCCCCAGCATGTTCAATTGCTCAAAATTTGGGGACCTGGTAGAACTTCTCCCTCATCTTCCCACAATCCCACCTGCACTGCACAGACTGAAGGTGGTGGTGCTCAGGGAAGTTAACATGAGAGTGAGACATGAGTCCGTTCGGTGTAGCAATCAGCCCTTACATGACTAAGGAGACTCTGCTGTTAAACTAGTGTCTGAACTAGCTGTCTCTGTCACCATCTTTTAGCCTGACCCACCCTGTGGGGTTGTTGTGAGGGTGAAAAGAGGAACGAGCCCCCATTTACACACCCTTGAACCTCTTGGAGGAATTGCAAAAGACAATACATTGCCATCTTTGAATTTCATCTTCATTACTCATCAAGGAACACACAGTAGCAAGCCCCAAGGTCTCCTTAGTTAGAAAGGTAGGAGACTGTTTAGTTGGCACTTCTGTGAAGTGCGCAAATGGAGTCTGGTGTATCCAAGCATAAAAGGGCACACTGCAGGCATGATTCAGTGAGACTTGAAGATCCTTACTTTCAGGAGCAGAGGAAGAACATTACTCTGCATGACAGAGGATGGCCCAGGTAGGTGGGAATGCTGTCACTTCCACTTGGCTGTTCAAGCTTGTTAAGGACACAAATAGCCTTCCCTTCCTCCCCTGCCTGGCTTCTTCACAGTGGTGGAAATTCTGAGAGCTGAGATTCCGAGAGTTCTCTTGCTCCAGGCCAGACACCCTTCGCCCTCGGAAATCTCACACCTTTAAGGACTGCTTCCCATTTTGCATTTCTAATCTCACATAATAGTTGGAAGCAGCTCTGCACAGGTCCAGAATATGTGAAACCGGACAAAACATTGTAGGTATTAAATTTACAGCACTTGCAGTCTCCATACTTTATTATAGTCATGTGTGGTGCAGGGTGACCACCAGTAAATATATATATATCGACAAACACCACCAAAACAAAAGAGGACATGGAATTATATAAACTTGGATGCAGTGAGTTATATGCATTGATAGAAATTTGGAAACAATTACTATAAGAGTTCAATAGACATACAATGAGAGGAATTCATCCTAGAGCTAAGGAGACTGCTCTGTCAGTGCAAGCATTTTCTGCTTGCCTGATGGAACAATCTGCCCTCTCCTCCCCACATGTGGGGTTCTCCTGATTCCCCTGCCAAACCAATTTTGTGTGTGTGTGTGGGGAGCCACATTGCACTAGCAGAAGTCAATGTGTGGCCTTGCACTGGCAAGACTTGCCAGCTGAATCCAGCTCCACGCATCTCACCATATCAGGGAAGACTATGACCAGGTGACCTGGGTACCTATTGAGTTTACTGCCCAGGTGTTCACAGTTGATGGACAGTGCCTAACCCCCTGGTCTCCCGTTTTGTTGTTCCTCGTCTTTAAACATTCTTGGACCAGACCTCAAACAGAGGGATCCTTCAAGTAAAGGACTATCCTCTAACAGCCTTTCAAATAGAGGCTGCAAAGTAGGACTCATGACCATCCTAGAGTGGTGGTTCTCAAGAGTAAATATTTTCTGACTGTTCCTAAATGCCATAGGAAACAAAGGGGTTCAATGGGGCTAATCCATTGGGGCAAATGGGACATTGTACCAACAAACTCAGTCTGCCCACAACCAGCCACCATCTGCCTGCCTTCTTAAAACCAGTTCAGCGGGTTGGTGCTGGCTACCAGCTTCCTCTCAATGTTGCCCTTGTAGAACTTAGCAGGGAGAAGGATGGAGACAGAACTAGAATCACTTTGCTGCTGTGGCAAAAAGAAATATATTGGGCTGGAGTGGAGAAAGCAGCTGTTCAGAGCTCATGTTCAGGAACAAATTATAATTTGCACCACGCACTTTGAGGGTCTCTTGGTCAATCTTCTCTTCAGTCCAGTGAATTTGGCTGATCCACAGCGATGGGCAGTGAGCACTCCTTTCATTCAGTGAACTTTGTAGGGGGTCTTTACCCCCAAACACAAATTCACCCTTTAGGACACTTCATTTAATTGTGCTAACCCTAACCCTCCAATTTAATTTCCGAATCTCATCTCTGAGATGGTGCTCCTGCTCAGCAAATGCCTTGATAAGCTGTCTCTTAAGGCTTGGGTTCCATTTTCCTCAATGAAGCTCATGGATCATTGGGCAAATCATTCACCAAATTAGAGTAGATCCAAAAGACCTCTGGAACTCTTCTATGGGAACAGAAGGACTATACTGGGGTGGGGGGGTTGCCTTTGAAAGTTATCTCTCAGAAATTCTAGGAATCTTGTTTCCAGAATGCCATGCTGACACAGGAGCTGTTCCCCAGCCTTTCAGCTAGCTATGCTGACAGAGAGAAGTGATGTTGACGTTGACCGATTTCTCCTAGAGCTTCTCTTAGCTATCAAGCCATTCCTCTAAGTAAGCAAACAATGGCCATATATCCATCAAGCCCAGGGAGCAATATATTATTATTAAAATGAAATGCAGTAGATGGTGGTCTGTTCTCGATTACTCTGTGAGATGACTTCATTTAAAATAATGTAGACTCAGATTAAAGGCTTGTGCCAAGTTTCCCATGAAGATTCTTCTCAGGGCCTACATCCAATATCCATGATGAGCTATTGTTACAAGAAGAATATCCATGGACATTTTTGCTCATGAAGCAAAATATTCAAAGTGTGCCCAATGTAGAAGTGATAATTAGGCTCCCTAAGAGACTAGGATGTGAGCTGGCTTTAGCAACGTGTGTGGTAAAGACAGGAGTGCCACTGTGTATAGCTTATGTGTTTTTTCAAGGAAACAGGTCTTCACAAGAATATGCTGGTGAGATACTTTCAGTCAAAGCTTGAGAGAAGCATGTAAGCTGTTAAGTGTGGGATCCCAGCCCCTCCAGCCAACATTTCAAGACTAAGGCAGTCTTTCCCTTGCCACCTTCATGCTTCTCCAATGTCACTACTCGTGTCACTTGACATAAGAAAGGCCCTCAGAGCTAATCTTGTGTTTGGTGCATGTAAACAAATGCTTGGGCCACCTCGAAAGGGAGAAGCAGATCAGCTGATAGGAAGGCTGCTCGTGGAAAGCACACAAAGGGACTAGGTCGCTGGACTGCAACGGTGAAAGTCATTTTAAATTAAGCAAAACTAAAAGAGCTTAAGAAGCTCCACCAGTCAAAATGGCAGATCGCTTCTCTGTCAGTGCTTCTTTCTAACGTCCAAAGGAGAACTTGCACAGATGAATTGCAGAGGCAAGAGGAGTGGGCATTAGGAGAAGCTCTGGAAACCGAATGTGAAAATGCAACATTTGATTTAGCTGCATTGTGGTGAGTGTAGTCCTTCGCTGAACCTCCATATTGCAGAGCGCAAAACACAATGAAAAGGAAGTGTGCATTCCCTTTCCCTGTGAAGTATCCAGAAGTGCTATGTAGGAGGCACTCCTGTAGCAGCTAAATGCTACATTGAGCCTCAACCAGCATCCAAAAGACCTACATAGTTCATACTGGGCTATGTTCTGTCCCTGCCACTTACAATGCCTAAGAGAAATAGCTGGCTGTTGATAGCTGCCATGAAAAAAACAGCAGGCACAGTTAAAAACATTGAAAGCCTAAGTGAGAGATTCCTACATATAAGATCACTGCTGCAATCCATGAAGCACTGACCCATTGTAATAGCCATTCCTTTCCGTGTCAGGTGCATTGCTCCCAGACCACACAAGCAAAGCTCCAGAATGCAGTACAAGCTACACAAAATTACTCAAAAGGAAGTCCAACTGAGATCAACGGGACAACTCTCAAAACAAGTGCACATAGGATTGGAATCCTAGTCCTTTTATTTTCATTAAATATGAGCCTTAAAGGACCTTCATCATGAAGAAGGGAAGATGGAAGGTACAGGCTGCCACTTCGTCTATAATAGCTTTATCTTCCTGATTTAAAGCACACTCGAGTCTACCGTCACAAGGTGAATATGTGCCCGCAGTATAAGAATGCTAAATCAACAAAGCAATAAATCCCCATCATGATGTCCTGAGCTGATGAGGCTTACGTGGAGCAGCCAATAAGAGATGAGAGCCGCACTTACAGCAGTGGGAAGCATCCACAAATCTCTAACATGCCTTTCTCACTGATAGTTTTTCACTGATTTAGAGGACGGGGACATGTGGCCCTGGAGATGTTGTTGAGCTCTAACCACCATCAGCCCAGCCAACTGGTCAGTGATGATGCACGTTGGGAGTCCAGACCCAGCTACTTCACCCCTTATTTAAACCACTGGTTTACAACAACACCTAGAACGAAGCTGAAACATTACCTTCTCTGCTTCTTCTCGACTCATGGCCAGGGCAAGCTGGAGCTGGAGCTCCTCCTCTCCAGTCGTCTGTGGCCTTGCCTGCTCCAGGTCAGAATTGAACCGAGGGGATGAGGAAGAGGCTGAGGGACAAGAAAGAGATGAATTAATGCTGCAAATGGGATGGAGCCCAGCTGGAGGCTGCTGAACATGGTCCATAGCCACTCCAGAATCTGACATTTGCCTGGGTTTTGCAACAAATGGCCTTTCCCATTCTACCCCCTCCCCTCCTTTTGCAGATTAAGTTCATGATTTTAGACTGCAGGTGCAAGTTATTAGACTGCTGGTCCAGGGGAAAGGTTATACCTCATTAATGGAGCATCTGTAATGCACACAGAAGGGTCCAGGTTCAGTCCCTGGCATCTCCAGGTAGGGCTGGGAGAGACACCCTGTCTGAAACCCTGGTGACTGGATAGCTCAGTAGGTTAGAGCATGGTGCCAATAAGGCCAAGGTTGCAGGTTTGATCCCCATATGGGATGGCTGCATATTCTTGCATTATAGGGGGTTGGACTAGATGTTCTGGAGGGTCCCTTCCAACTCTACACTTCTACGATTCTATGAGTCGATGCCAGTCAGTGTGGACCAATGGACTGACTTGGCACAAGGCAGCGTTTCATACTCCTGTGTTCATATGAGGGGCAACGGGAAGAGCCCGAGGAAGAGAAGCCCTTTTGTGCGCAACTGCATTCTGCTTTAGGAACTTGAAGGTTCCTGTTGTGTTTCCACAGCATCATCCTTCTTGAGGATGACAAGAAGAGCAAAAGTATGTTGCTGGCTGCCCATGCTAAGGATCCCTGATGTACCAGGACAGCGACCAAGGGACTATATGATCCAGGCAGGTTCCAATGGGAGGAATTCAACATTGCAACTAAGGAGATACAAGCATTTCTGCTTGTCTGGTGGAACAATCTCCCCTCTTCTCCCTCTGTGCACTTCCTGCAGGTCCTCTTGACCAACCGCCGCAGCTAATTTGTGGGGGAGAAGAAGAGAGGGGGCTTGTGGAAGTCCTTGTGCAGGCTCCACTAGTGGGAATCTGAACACTACGTCCCTAAGTCAGGCTACACTGCCAAGCAGCAGCTCTCCAGAGCTTCAGGCAGGTGTCTCTCCCAGACGTGTGTGTGTGTCACTTTCTCTCATGCACAGTGAAGTCAAAGGATTCATCTATATCAGGGCTGTCCAACTCCCAAGAGACTGCGATCTACTCACAGTATAAAAAAACTGACAGTGATCTACCCATTGACATTGTCGAGCTTTTTTTAGGAACCAGAGTTGTTGAGCTTTTTTTTTAATTATTATTATATTATATATTATAGACTTAAAGCAGAATCCTACCTTGTAAATCCCACTATGTTGAATGGGGCTTATTCCCAGATAAGCAGGAATAAAATCACACCCTCAGATGGCAATCCAATGGCAATTGAACTGACAGGAGGCTCCATTGAACGAGGGGTACCTGCTTTGCATCATAAGACATATCCTTTGAAAACTAAAGTTTTGACTCTAAAGTTGAAGTTGTAACAGCAACTAGCTAGCAAAAATTCCAAGAATTGGAATCCTCCAAGATAAACATATCCTTCTGTATTTATTTTTTTAAATCACATCACCACCTGCTCTAATTCCAATTCACCTGTCAGAATAGCTTGTTTGCATATCAGTTAACTGTGCTGGGCTGAAAAATAATGTGGGCAGAAATGTGGAGGCCAAAAGGTTGGTGGTCTCCAAGAATTGGGTAGCTGTTCCCCTTCAGATGTGTTTGGACTCCAGTTCCCATCAGCCTCAGCCAGCACGGCCAATGGTTGGGAGTGATGGGACTTGTAGTCCAGCAACATCTGGAGAGCTTCAGGTTCTACATACAGATCAGAGGACACCAAAAACAGCTTAATATAGCTGGTTCTTCATGCCCAGGTCTTAATACACAGAGGCAACAATCACCCCAATCTCATCCTTATACTTGCCCTACCTGCATCAAGAGACTGGTCACCCCTGTTGCTGCAGTGATATGAATTTCAGTCTCAAACCACTGAGGCATAGATAATGCCAAGGTGGAAATCTATTGTGTAGATTGGCCCCCAAAGACCCCTTTACAAAATTCTTAAATCAAAGGCACCTCTTTGTAGGAGTTAACACGAAACCCATTTGTAGATTGTAATGTGTAGTGATAGCATACGTGTAATGTGCCTGCTTTTAAAATCTTATGCCAATTACCGTTTAGCACTATCATGCGACTTGATTATCTGCCTGTGCATTGCATGTCATGTCCATAGGAGAATCTTCTGCATAATGTATGGGTGGGGAATCTGTCCTTTGGATGTTGTTGGGCTCCGACTCCCATCAGCCCCAGACAACACGGCCAATAGTCAGGGATGAAGGGAGCTGTAATACAACTAAGCCACAGGTTCCCAACACCTGTTGTAATGTAAATGCCCCTGTACTACCTACAGCAGGCATCGTAACACAGGACTTACAATCTTCCACCTAATTCTATTTCTCCCTACAACTTTTCCCAAGTTCTATCTTCACAGTTAGAGGGGGAGAATCTGAAAAATATGCATGAATGTTCTGCTTGGAACTTGGAAAGCAGGGGGGAAATTGGTTGGAGCTTCCAGAGATTCTGAAGGCAGAAATGTCAAGAAGAATTTCTGCACTCTGCACAGCTCATGGTTTCTCTTCATGGGCCCTTCATGAGAGCCAGTGTGGTGTAGTGGTTAAGAGTGGTAGACTTGTAATCTGGTGAACCGGGTTCGCTTCCCCGCTCCTCCACATGCAGCTGCTGGGTGACCTTGGGCTAGTCACACTTCTTTGAAGTCTCTCAGACCCACTCACCTCACAGAGTGTTTGTTGTCAGGGAGGAAGGGAAAGGAGAATGTTAGCCGCTTTGAGACTCCTTCGGGTAGTGATAAAGCGGGATATCAAATACAAATTCTTTCTTATCCATTCCACCCAGCTGCCCTTTACTTCCCCACCGCAATGCTAAGTAATGGCAGGAATGGTCCTGCCAACTTTCCTTATTTGATCATAGGGAAAACATAGAATACCTTCCCCAGAATGTGTCTCTTGAAAACTGCACACATACTTATTCTGTTCCACCCACACGACCAGGTGCCCCAACAACTCCCCACCTGGGAAACCAAGACCATTCACAAATGATACGAGGCATTCATCCAGACCGCTCCACTGGCAAAGGTGGTGGTCAGAAATGCAGCCACAAATCTTGATCCACCAGAGACAAGGCAGCTCATCCATGACACACTGCACTACTCACAATTAAAGGAGGATGGAGACTCTCTTGACCTGCCGTAGTCTTCTCCGTACTGTGACGCCCGCCGCCCATAGGCAAGCTGCTGGCTGTTGCTGCTGCTAATCCCCATGCCTTCAAGGGACATCCGCTCTTTGGTTTTCAGGGCATAGGCTCTCTCCTGCTTCAGTCTCTCCTCATCCTTCAGCAAGCCCATCACTTGCTTTACCTTTTCCCGGACATTGATGCCCTGGTCCTTGCCATCGCGGTCTATGTACTGGAATTCCTTTAAGGTCTGGATGGTGTACAGGTTCTCCCGGCACTGGTGAGCCACCTTCTCTGAGCCAGTTTTGATGAGGTAGTCCAGAAGAGTCAGCGCCTTGTAGACATGGCGCCAGTTCTTGCCACTGTCGTTCAGCCGCCTCCAGATCATGCCCATGACCTCAGCAAATGCCACGGTGTTGAAGGTCAAGTCTGCAATCTCGGACATCAAGGAGCTCGGGGGGCCCCAGGGGTCATTGGAGGTGGCCTCGCGCACCTTGATCTCTGCCTCAGAGTAATTGTGCACAATGTTTTTCACCTGCCGGCGCAAGGCAGAAGTAGTCATGGTTGAGCCCTGGAGGAAGATCTCGGCTTGCAGAAAGGAATGGCTGGATTGGAACCCAGAAAGAGAATCAAAACCAATTCTTCAGGTTGATCTGGAAAAAAGGCAATGAGATATGCATTACGGCTGTTGACCAGTTCATTTTAGCCAATAGGTTTGTTGGCATCCATCTGTCTCGGGAGACTATGGAAGAGTGCACCTTCAGGGGTAAAGTCAATCCTGCAAATGGGACAGACATGTTTAATTGCAGGTGGGGCAGATAAAGGCTTTGACCAGTAAATCAATACATGTAAATCAGAATATTCATTTACCTACAGAAACAGATTTTCTTCCCCTCATATAGAGCCAATGTATTGGGGGGGGAGCGTGAGAAGTGTGGCCTAGGGTAGTTTTGAGAGGCAGAGAGAAAAGTCTGGGGGCCAAATTTGGCCCCTGGGTCTGATGCCCTGCAAGGAACAACTCCCAGCCAGTAATAAATTATAGCGGCTGAGCAACCAGAACAGCTGGTTGCATCTCTTAAGGCTGCAGAATTAGATAGCTGCAAACTAAGTGACTGTCCCAATCTCTCCGAGTTGCAAACTACAACCAGGTTCAGTACAGTGGTACCTCGCAAGACGAATGCCTCGCCAGATGAAAAACTAGCAAGACGAAAGAGTTTTTCGTTTTTTGAGTTGCTTCGCAAGACGAATTTCCCTATGGGCTTGCTTCGCAAGACGAAAAACGAAAAAAACGAAAATGTCTTGCAAGTTTGTTTCCTTTTTCTTAAAACCGTTAATACCCAGGGTGACTTCGAGGAGCAACTCATAGCACGCGGTGTGGTAGCCTTTTTTGAGGTTTTTGAAGACTTTGGTGATTTTGAAGACTTTGGGAAACCGTGCTTCGCAAGACAAAAAAACTCGCAGAACGAATTAATTTCGTCTTGCGAGGCACCACTGTAAAATGAAGAACTAAATGGGCAGCCCCACCTTATCCTGCCATTCTGTAACAACTGACACATCTGTTGGCTTGGTGGGCCATTTGCAACAGAAGTTTTGTGTTGCAATTAAAGCAATCTATTTGGAAAAAGAGATGGGGAGAGTGAGACCCATTTGCAATCATGAACTATTCCAGAATTTGAAGGTTCGGGGTTGTTTGTGGTTCACAGTAAAAACAAATACAGCGACAGGGAAATAATCCCCCTGACCAAGCAAAATGTATCCATCTGTGTGTAAAATACAAAATACAAATGATGCATGTGTGGGTGAACAAAACCATTTGCATTGCAATGTCCATCCAGGTCCCACAGAATTGACTGGATTCTACCTTTTGATACAAATAGGGCTGCTAATTCACACGCGAAGCATCTTGCTGCAACCCCAGAGCTGGATCAGAACCAATATGATTTTCAGAAAGAATTGGGTTGGGATAGGCATCCAAAATATCCAATAACCAAGCTGGACTCCATCCACTGCAACCAACTGTTCAGCATCTAATACGCCACTGAGCATAGAAGTGTGCATTATGTAGCATGCATCACATGACTTTTTGCTTTCCAAATCTATCTCGGATCATTCAGAGCAAAACACCTTGTGGCTGAATTTCCCTAAGGAAATTCAGCTTCAAAATTAAATATCAAATCTGATAAAAAAGGGCTAAAGAACTAGTATCTAGAGTGAGTTAATTACCAAGGTTTCTCTCTCACGGGGGCTCATGATGGGTTACAAAATATCTTTAAAAACTACCACAAAAAATGCAAGAATGTTATGTAAAATCTTAAGATAAAGCCCTGCAAAACACAGAACTGCGATGAAAAAAATCCATGTCATCACATTTTATTTATAAAGAGGCTAAAATGACTAGGTGCTGTACAATATTTTAAAAGGAGAAGGAGAAAATTCCTTGCCAGTAGGCTAATAATCTATCACACAATAAGAAGAGTGAGGGAATGGATGGAGAAGAGGGGAGTGAGAGATGCACAAAACCCTTCATTTGCTTGGGATGCTCTCATCTGGGACTTGTCCTACTTGAGTCCATGAGAGATTCATTCAAATTTCACAAACAAATCTCCCCCTTTACCTCTAACTTCACTTGCCCTGCTTTTTCCTCTTTCTTTCTCTGTGTTGCTGACTTATCAACAGGCCACAAAGAAGGCAGGGATGAATGGGGGAAATGTTTAGTTGCCTTTTCCACACACACACACCCCCCCCATGCCAACAAATATACCCACACCTATTTTCGCATACTTCACACTTGAATTCCCATTGAAACCAGCAAGGGTGAACATGGGTAAGCGCCTGGCTGACCATAGCTCCCTGGTCATCCTCCAGTTCGCCACTGCAACCTGCTTACTCACCTGCCTCTCACTCTGCCCCTCCACCCCTTAGGAGATACCACTGCCTGCATGCTCGTTTGGCTCTCAGCCTGTTCAGTAAGCAGGTGGTGGTAGCAATGATGAGGACCAAATGGAGACCCAGGAGCATCTTATGGGAACCTTGGGGAGGAGGGAGTGTCCTACACAAGTGCCCTTCAAAACCTGGAAATCAGTACTGGGCTTCTAACGAAATCAATAGGAAATTCATGCCGTCGTTACTGTCGACCAAGTGACAAGGAACTGCTGTCTGTGACTCAGCATCACCAAGCAGCCGTAGGCTGCTTCCAGACGGGTGGCTCCTAGTGCTATCCAATCATTCCTTTCCATTTTAAGCTATGAGTGGGATTACACATGATGCACCAAACTACCAGGAGCATTGTGCTCGTGTTCCGACTCCACCAGCAGGTGTGATGTAGCTGTTGTAGGTGGGACCATGTGTCGCTCAACACACGTTTGTGATAACTATTGTGGTGGGTTCCATTTTAAGACTCTGCCTTCATTTTATTTTTAATCAATGTTTTAATCGTTGCTAAAACGCTTCACCCGCTCTTTGTTATGATAGAGTGGTGTGGTGGGGGACAGTCACAGAGGCGGGGAGGACAGTTGCTGGTGGTTTTAAATGGCTAGGAGTGGACGGGAGCGAAGACTACTACTATGCTGCAGTCCGCTCCCAGGCCCCGCTACCCAAGGCCTGGCCAGATTGGCTAGAATTCAAATTGCTGGCCAGCGGGAACTCCCAATGTGCCATGTGGCTGGCCCGGGGATTACCCAAATGCCGGCCACTTTGATGAACTTTGCTCCCAGGGGTCTTGGAGCCTGACGCAATGGGCCACAACTGCCAACTGGGTAAGTGGCCATTATGTTGCATCAAGTATTTTCCCCAGTGCATTTTCCCATCACTTACTCTCATCCTTATTGCACCAAGTCCAATATTTTGGGGGAGTGGGTTTGTTTCCCCAATCAGCTTTTTTTGCCTGAAAATATTGACAGTCTGGAACCGCAAGCACTTGTCATGGAGCCCAACAGGGCAAGCCAGAGGTTTTGTGTGAATGTGATTGAGCACCCTAGAATGTGTCCCACACTCTTCTACAAAATGCAAGGATTCCTCAGCCAACACATGGATGTAGGACATGGTCCCTTGAAAAATCTGGGAAAAAATGCTAGAGTAGTTCATTGAGCCACAGGGCAAAAGACAATCTATTTAAAACACACAACTCTCCCCCAAGAATACTGGGTACTGTAGGGTTTTTTTATGGGTGGTGGGAATTGTAGCTCCCAGTTCCCAGGATTATTTGAGGGGAGCAATGACTGTTAAGAGTGGTCATGAGAGTGTTTTAAATGGATGGTGTGGATGTAGCCCTGATTTGGATGGCTCAGACATGCCACGCATGTGACATGCCACACCGATGGAAGGCAGAATCTTCAATATGGCATCAGGAAACTTTCCTCCCTGTTTATAGCTTGTCAATCAATCAGAGTCTCAGTAACGAAGCAAAACCCATCGACTGATTCATGGCTCCATCATCTCTCCCATGAACACACTTCAGGGTGAATCATTTGCACAACGGAAATCACGATGTTTAAGAAATGCTGCAGCAGTTTTGCAAAACCCAAAACTCCAGCCACCAGAAACAGAGTGACATCATCGGCCCTTCAGTTTCAAATCTACCCTTTGCCACATATTTTAAATTCCTGCCATCATCCTAAAATGAAATGCTGCGGAACACTCAAAAGAGATTTAAGAAAACTGGATTTCTTTCTTTCTTTCTTTCTTCATTTCTTTCTTTCTTTTTTGTCCCCAAATGTAGGAAACTGACCAGCCTAGCAACGTTTTTCTTCAGGGTTCCTGTAAATAGATCCACAGCAAGCCACCAAGGACTGGACTGGCTGGGGACAGATCATCCCACCCCTGTTTACTTCCTAAATTGAAGCCCCCTGGAGAGAAGTCTCTCTGAAATGCAGTTGCTTCATCATCACCTTGATTTCATCTTTTGCCTTCTCCAATGAGTCTAAATTCAACCTTCCCTTACAAACTCTGTTTCCCCCGCTGACTGGAAATGCATACCCATAAAGCACACGCCCGGGAAGTTTGTGCATGGCTCCTCAAACCAACAGAATGAGTCATGTCCTACTCCTCTCTAGGGCAACAGCTCCACCCTTTGCAGTAAGCATGACCTGACTGTGTCCACTTTTCTAGGTGAGGAACAAGCCATCATCCTTCTCCACCCTGATGACGGTAAGCATCCCTGACAAGTGAGTCAGGAAGAGAGAATCTAGAGACTGCTTGCGTACGGCTTGCAGGGTTTCTTTCAAGACATTTCCCTGTATTGATTGCTCTGCACAATCCAACCCACTTACTGTTTTTAGATTTTGAGTGGAGCTTGCGCGCCAGGAAAATGACTGCAGCCAAGCACAGCAACTCACAGAGCGGGTGGAAGGAACGCGCCATTCCATTATAACTTAAAAAGGAAGCTATGGGAAAGGACACTGCAGCCACCTGGACCAAGCTGACCTGCACTGAAGCCAAATAGGTGGACCACTGCCTGAACTGGCATACCAGTGGCCATGACCAGATAGCACAACAGCACACAGCAGATGATGGCTAATCGAGCTAATCGAGCAGTCAGCATGTTAGGTTGTAAAGTCTGGGTTTCTGAGGTGCTTTGTGACTATAGTGTGTGTGTGTGTGTGTGTGAGAGAGAGAGAGAGAGAGAGAGAGAGAGAGAGCGCTATGTCTTTAGACATCCATTGTTCAGCCCAGACACTGAGGTCCAGTTCCTTTTTAAAAAAAAAAAAATATTTATTAATTTTCAACCATTTAAACACAACAAAACAGAAAGACAAAAAAAGAAAGAAAAAAAAGAAAAACATGAAACTAACAAAGCAAGACACAAACCATTTCAAACACAGAACAATTTCAATGTCTTATCTTTCATTCCCTTATTTCCACGACCTCCTCACACCTCCCTTTTTGTTTTCCACTTCTATTAATTATTTCAGCAATTCCTTTCCATCTTCCTCTGTTTTCTATCCCATAATTATCTTAACATATTCTAACCTTATTTTCCCTTTAATACACTATTAATCTATTTATACTTGATTCCTTATAGCATTTCTACTAAAGCCATATAACTTCATTCCAACATTTTTCTAACATTCATTGTTTTTACAATATTTCTATAAATAGTCTTAAAATTTTCCAGTCTTCTTCCACCAGCTCTTCTCCCTGGTCTCGGATTTCTGCCAGTCGTTTCTGCCAATTCCATATAGTCCATCAACTTCATCTGCCATTCTTCCCGAATGGATAAATCTTGTGTCTTCCAGTACTTCACAATGAGTATTCTTGCTGCTATTGTTGCATACATGAAACAAATTCTATCCTTCTTTAACACCAATTGGCCGACCATGCCCAGGAGAAAGGCCTCTGGTTTCTTCAAAAGGGTATATTTAAATACCTTTTTCATTTCATTATGAATCATCTCCCAGAGATAATAAGAATTAGTAGTGTTAGTAGTACCCTGCGGACTGTAATACCACTCTTCTGTGTCTGGACTGAGAAACATAGAGCAACCTGATTTTAAAGCTGAGGTGGTGTGGCAGTTGGTCATGTCGGTGGCGGCGTGTGGTGGCCGACCCAAAACAAATCAGGGAAAGGGGAATCCAGGGGCCCCATTGGTTGTGGCGGTATGTGGTATAGGTATGTGACTGGAGAAGGGAACTGGAGAAGGAGGTGTTGTAGACAACAATATTATGAGGCCTCACAGCAGGTCAAACGATGTGTCCTTCTGGCCAAGCATTGTCTATGCTGACTGGCCTAGCAGGGTCCATTTCAGGGCAGATAAGGGTCTTGCACATCATCTGCTACCAAGGGGTGGGGACCCTTATTCAGCCTGAGGGCCGCACTCCATTCTGACAGCCAGCAGGGACACAGGGCCAGAGGCAGGGTAGAGCAACAACGGTTACGTTTTACCTTTGTACAGTAGGCTGGTTTCTACACCCCCATACCCTAGCTCCTATTCAGACAAGGAAGAGATGTTTTCAGAGTTCAAGGATATACACAAGCCAGGCAAAAAAACAACAACATCCCAAGCAAAATGTGGCTTGGGAGAGTCTGGAGGGCAACATAGAGGGGCATGGAGGGCCGCCTTCCCTCCTCTGCCATTGGATCCTTTTAATAAAAACAAACCAGTGCTTCGACTTGGGACCATTCGTACAGAAAGCGTGTGCTCTACCCATGAGCTCCCTTCCCCATCTGCAGAGCAGCAAGGGCAAGGAGATGTTGCTGACATGGGGCAGAAGAACGAGCGACACTGAGAACTGGAGGCAGGGTGAGGTCTTCAGCAGAATTCAGAAGGCTGGGGTGGCCAGCAGTGTGTGTGTGTGTGTGAGAGAGAGAGAGAGAGAGAGAGAGAGAGAGAGAGAGAGAGAGACTGGAGCACAGGGAGTCTCATGGAGGGATAAGGCTATTATGCCTTGAAAGCTCAGTTGGTTAGAGAGCAGTGCTCATAACGCCACGGTTGCATGTTCGATCCCCATATTGGGGCAGCTGCTTATTCATTCCTGCATTGCAGGGGGTTAGACTAGATCAACCTTTCTCAACCTGTGGGTCCCCAGATGTTGTTGAACTACAACTCCCATCACCCCTAGCTAGCAAGGCCAGAGCTCAGGGATGATGGGAGTTGTAGTCCAACAACATCTGGGGACCCACAGGTTGAGAACCGTTGAGCTAGATGATCCTCAGGGTCGCTTCCAAGTCGCAATTCTATGAGTCTATGATGAGCGGCTACAAGCCAAAATGCTCATGCTCCACCTCCACTGTCAAGGGACCTCTGAATACCTGTTGCTGGGAATCCCAAGTGGGGAGAGCAACTGAAATCCCACTTATGGCCTTCTTGGAGGCCACTGCATGAAGAAAGTGTTGGACCAGATGTGCCTTTGGTCTGACTCAGTGGGGATTTCTTATGTTCTTATGATATGGTGATGCCTGAGCCATAGTGGGCAGCCACAAGGGGAAAGCAAATGAGCTGGAGAGGCCCTTGAATGCCATAGGAGCCAACTTGGCTGTAAGTTGATTGCAGTTCAGGGATGTTTGTGGCCTACAAAGGCGGCACAGATGGAAGGGAACATGGTGGCATGTGGGGGCAGTGGCCTTGGGTGGGCCAATGCAGCAGATTATGTGCGGACTCCAGATACCAACATTCTCCTTCTGGCTTTGACAAGGTTACAGATAAGGTTCCGCCTTATGAAAACTCCTCCTCCTGCTGCTGCTCCTTCTCTTCCTCCTCCTCCTCTAGCAAACACTAAGTTCGTGCTGATGAAAGCGTCCCTCGAACATAAGTCTTGGGTCAGGAGGACATTCCTTTCTAGCAAACACCTGGCTCCAACCTCCAGAGGAGCTCCAGGGTCAGACTCAGGCAACTGCTTTAATTAAGGCTGTGAAAGACACCCATTAAAGAAACGTCCCGGGCATTTTTCAATCACAACGTGTAGAAAGAAAAATCTCTTGGGAGCTTGGAGGCAGGGCCTAATACGGCCCTGCTCACCTGGCCTAGTTGCACAGCCTGCTTTTCATTGCATAGGTCAGGGCATGGCCCCAGAACACGGGCAATCGTCCTCTCTTCCTGTGTTCTTGAGCATGTGCAGAGTGCCTCATCCTCACCACATCTGAGGCTGTGGAGGGAGAAGGGTGGGTGGGTGGGAAGTGGTTTTGTGGGAAAGCCCATGACCCTCAGGGTTCAGACGTCTCCGTTTCAGCCCCGGTGGGAGGAGAGGTAAAAGAGAGCAGAGAGTGTTTGTGTTTGAAGAGCTGCCAAGAGTGTTAAGAGAAGTAAGTTTTATCGAACACAATATCCCCAGGAACACAAAGAGAGGGAAACAGAAACCGTGCGATAGATAAGACAGCAGCACCAGGCAGCTACATATGAAATTACTGCAGTGACCTTGACTGAAAGAAATGGTCAGGTGGGGAGGGCATGCGAAGGAGGGCTGGCACTCACTGCCCAGGGAATGCCCAAAGTCCTAAACTTAGGTTAAGCAACACATTCCAGAAGAAGAACCACCTGAGCCTACACTGCAGCAAGACAACCCCGGCTGTATAGTGAGCCAAGGTTTCCCAGGTTGCTGCTGCTTGCAACAAACCAGACACGGCACAGCTCTTGCACAGCTCCCAGGCAACAGGGCTTGGTCAGGAGAACTTCCTGCTAGACTGGGCCCATCATCATCCCTGCTGGGTTTCCACAACACCCTCTAAACTGCATATAAGTATTATTACTAGCAACAGGATGCATTCTGTGTTTCATTTCCAGGGACAATAAGAAATACTCCAACTCCAGGGGAAAATCTGAATGGAGGAAAGATGGTAAGATTGGGGGGGGGGTAACATTTGCACAGGTCCACCCCTTGTTACATTTGCCTCTCCCTTTCCTACCTCCCCCTTAGTTGTCCCTCCCAACAAGCTGGAAAAGCATAAAAGTGTAAACTCATCAGGGCAGAAACCAGCCCTCTCGTTCTGTTTTTGTTTTTCCTTTTGTTTGCGCCACTCTGTAAAGCGAGGCAAGCACTGATTCAACTATGCAATTACAACAGAGGAAGGAAAGAAGCAAAACTCTGTTGGGGAAGGAAAGAGATGGGGCAGCAAATGGCTATGCGAGGGGGTGGAGGAAGCAAGTTCTCCAAAATCAAGACCCTGAAGGATGGACTGCACTGTAGGAGGCTGCAGGGAAAGAGGGTCACAGGTCGTCCATTTCAAACATCCTGCTCTACAGCTGACCCTCCTTTTCTCTCTGATGCAATTTATTTCATTTATTTATTTCGTAAGATTTATATGCCGCTTGATTGCAAAAACAAAACGACAACAATAACAACACCACACCCCTCTTAATTTTTCTAATATTTGGGAACATAAGAAGCTGCCATCTAGCTTAGTGTTCCCTGCACTGACTGGCAAAGGCTCTCCAGGATTTCCGGGGTCTGAATTTGAGGGGTTCTGCATACAAAGCAGCACACGGCTCTGCCACTGAGCTCTGGCCTAATAACTGTGCCCAGGAAGTGAGTCTCCGTCTGGTGCAGAGTTGCCAGAGATGCTCCCACAGAAAAGTAACAGGGAGCCTTCTTAGTAGTCCACCCTTCACTGGCCTGGTGCCCTCTGGGTAGTTTGGACCACAACTATGGAGCTGGAAAAAGTTGTACTGTATTCAAAATCATCTGGAGGATACCTGGTTGGCGAAGAGTGAAGAAGGCAAGTAGCCAGTGAAACAGTCCCACTCCCCTCTTTAATACAACAAAAGCGTAATCTGAACCTTAACCTGACCTGGGAAAGAAAAGGACCAATCTGAGTGGGATAGAAGGGACTTGAGCTTTAATAAAGTGGGGTGGGCAAAAGATTGAAATGGGGCACCGGGTTGGCGACAGGACCCGAGAGGAAACTTTCAGAGCCTGATTTGATTCATCAAAGCGCGGGCGAATCTCCCCAGTAGAAGACTCTTTGGTGCTCCGTCTGTCTGTCCGTCTGTCTGTCTGTTTGTCTGTGTGTGTGTCCTGCCTTCCACCCAAGTGCTTCGGGACCCCCAGGCCTGACACTGACTTACCCCCTTTCTTGCTCGCGCGACCAGGCGGCAGGCAGCCCTTTCCAGCGCAGCTAGCTAGCCAAAGCAGCCGGCATTACATAATCCTGCTGAATCTTCCTACGATCCCTAGTCCCTGTGCGAGCGAGCGCCAGAGAGGGGGAAGGGAGGAAGAGAGAGAGAAGGAAAGGTGTGCGCGGGGGTGTCCGTGTGCGCGAACACGCGCGCGCGCCTACACACACCTTGAAGAAATCCTGGGGAGTTGGGAGGCGGCAGCTGCTCTCTGGCAGAGGCCCGATCCAACCCATCCAAAGGCGCGAGACCAGCATGGCTTTGGCAGGGCGCTGGAGCGTGCAGGTGGCGAGAGAGGGGAGGTGGAGGGGGGAGAAACAGGGGGGTTCAGAGCACAGACTGCCTACTTCGCTGGGTAACCTCCTCCTCCTGCATCTGGGTAAGGAAAAGGGGATCTCTCCCTCTCCCTCGCGCGCACAAAAACCAAAGGCACCCCCCCCTTTTTAAGCCAGGTCTCCCTGCTCGCCACCCCACCCCTCTGCGGACCAGGAAACTTCAGCAGGCGGCGGCGGCGGCGGCGCAGTGCGAGGAGCAGGCAGCAGCTCGGCTTTGCCAAACTCGCGATGACAATCAAAGCGGGCTTCACTGCAGTCAGGAAAGCGCGCTCGGCGTCCAGAACTTTCCTCCCCCCCCCCCCCACTTCCTCCTCCTCCTCCGGGCTACCTTTTCGAGGCTGAGCCTCCTCTCTCTGCCGCCCCCCACCCAGCGCCATCCTCCTCACTCCAGAGGGGTCTGCACTGCCGCCCGTCGAGGAAAAGCGCAGGGCGACCGTTCACCCGGGTCGTCCTTGCCCGCTGGGCAGTCCTGAGGCGAGCGTCCTTACCTCAGGCGCCGCTGCTGCAGCTGCTGCTGTGCGCGTGTCCTTCTCTTCCTCCTCCTGCCGCCGCCAAGCTCTCCCTCAGCAGCCGTGTCCGCAGTCGGCTGGTGCTGCTGCGGCGGCTGCCATCCTCAACCCCCTTCAGGTGCCTTTCCCCTCAGACGACCGGATCAGGCAGGCGCACTGCTCGGCGGTGGCTTCCAGCCTCCTCTCCCCGCCACCCTGTCCCTAAATCCATCCAGCGGGAAAGCGAAGCCGTCCCTCCATCCTGCTGCTGCTGCTCCTCCTCTTCTCCTCCTCCTCCTCCTCTCACCTTTGCGAGTCCACCCAGAAGAGGAACAGGAGCTTTGCCTCGCAGGGGCGCACGACGCGGCGGCGACGGCGCGCAATCAGCCTCGGCGTTTGTGTGTGTTTGCGCCTAGTCTTCCCTCAGCTGCAGAGGGAGTCTCTCGTCCTCCTCGCCAGCCCGGCGTTTAAAAGAGAGCAAGGCGGGGAGCCGGGATGGGGGGGGGGGGAGCAAAAAGTTGCTCGGCTTGCTGGGCAGGTCTGCTTCAGTTTCCACAGGACACCAGGCGCGCGCGGCGCGCAAAGCAGGAGGGACTGAGCCAGGGAGCGAGGAGGCAGGCTCGCTGCTGCTGCTGCTGCCACCCCGGCTCTGGTTAACCGCTTCAGGCCCGCGACGTCGACGACAGGGACTCTCCGAAGTCTTCTCGGCGACCCCGCTCCGAGGGAGACGCAGGAGAGAGACAGAGAGAGAGAGGCAGGGATTATGAAAGCAGAGAGGCAGTGACTCACTGGCTTAACCCCTTCGGGCGGCGGGCACCGCCGGGCAGGCGTGCCAAGGCGGCGACGGGCGATGTGGGAGAGAAGGGCCGAGGGAGGCAGAAGCGTTAACAAGCCCTGGACGAGGCTCGGTCCCCGCCGTGCCAGAGCTGGAGCGCTGCCACCGCCGGGGCCCCCGGGGCTTTGTTTGGTTTGCCTAGACAGCAAAACGGCGGCGTGACCTAAGGGCTGCCACCGCCAGGCCTGTCCTTTCGCCCGCTCCCACCTCTCCCCACCTCCCTTCAAAAAGATTTTGACAGCACCGACGACGTGTTGGTTCGCGGGGGGACTGGGGGGCGACGACGACGACCCCCACCTTCACCCCCTCCCCAAAGAGCCGCTGACAAGTAGCGAGCAGGAGGCGGGGATGACGGCTGTCATCCTCTTCCTCGTCATCGAGCTGCCGCCTCCGCTCCACTCTTTGTACTGTATGTTTGAATCAGCAACAGATTTGTTCGCCTCTTTTCTATCTGACTGTTCTGGTGTTCTCCGGGATGATAACAATAAAAAACTGAGAATCCTGCATTGCAGGGGGTTGGACTAGATGATCCTTGGGACCCCCTACCAACTCTACCATCCAAATGATTCTATGATTCTCCTTCTGGGATGGAGGGGAAGCTGAGAACAAGCCATCCATCTACCTGCTGTGGAGAACAGGGAGGGAGGAGGGTTCTGGGTGTGCTGTGGGGGGTGGGGGTTCATGTTGACCTTTTTATTAAAGAAAATAGGATCGATAATGATAATGATCACCTGCCCTTCATCAGCAGGTCCCAGAAGTGGCCCTGCAGCCCTTCAGATGTTCCTTGTACTCCATCGCTCAACACATCCATATAGAAAGGCCAACGAGGAGGGATGAAGGGGGACTGGAGTCTATCAAACTTCCAGAGGGCCACAAATTCCCCTTCACTGACTCGGGAGGGGAGGACCATGCTTCCAACTTTTGCACCTGAGAAGTCCCAGGCTCAATCCCTGGCACCTCACATTAAAAGGATCAGGGGACAGCAAACATCTAGGGAGAGCGGATGTAAAGACTCAGCAAGACCAATGCAAGGAAGGCGAGGCAGTCATCTCAGCGAATGGATCTGGAACACTTGGTGCCAGAGTTTCCTTAACAGCATACAAAGGCAAAAGCTTGTCCAGCACAGTCCAGGTTGGGACCTCCCAACTGCCTTGATCCAAGCAGAAAAACTGCTGGGACTTTGAGTTTGGGCTTTCACCCAGATACTGCCTGAAGTGCGGCAAAATCGGCAATTTAGCAGGTGGCTTGAGATATGGGGTGCACACTTGGCACAGGAGTTACAGGCGCAATAAGGTACCGGGCTCTCCCTTGCCAATAGTGCCAGTCCCAGTCTTTAGATGAAATGGGGAATGGGGGCCTTTGGTATAGGAGAGGCATTTCTTCTCTATAAGTGGCCCATTCACCCATGAACGTTTTCAGTACAGCAAAAATCAATGCACAGCATCTCCTGCAAGCGTTCAAAAGTTAGCATTTACTCATTGCATTTATATTCCACATTTCTGCATCGTGTTGATGTAGTCCAAAGTTGGCAGTAACCAACTAAGTTTCTAGATTTCCCAGAGGGCTGCTCATCGCTAGTGGTCCCATGGGGACGACCAAAGACATGCCCTCAGCAGATACTTGTACATCAATCACAGGAGGGCTGGCCATGCTGCTTGGTGGGTATGAGTTTAGGGCTTTTGCTTGAAGAACTACAAAACCAGCTTGATGGGGCATTTCCTTGCCAGGGCGGGGGAGAAGCACCATAGCTGAACAATTCCACTCCCAAGCTTCTGAAAAGCCCTTGTCTGTAAAGAGGCTACTATAGCATTGATGGAGCTCTGCAGGCTCCAACAATCATAATCCGGGGCTCTGCAATGCATATAGAAGTAGCTGCCTGAAATCTGTTTTCATGAGGAAGAGGGAACTTGATGGTGAATCACAAGAAGAAGAAGAAGAAGAAGAAGAAGAAGAAGAAGAAGAAGAAGAAGAAGAAGAAGTAGTAGTTATGATCTACCCCTGGGTTCAATCATGTCGTTGTTAATGTATGAAGCCAGTCATAGCATTGGTCTGAAAACCTTGCCATACTGTGGATTGCCCTTAATTACACCCCGAAATTTTCGACAGGGCTATACACAGCAGAGTACAGAGAAACGAGTAGTGCCAGCCAACTGTGGCAGAGTTAATTGTGCAGATTAGCCCTCATGTCTATTTAACCAATTGGCAGCTTTATAAACAAAAGGAAACTGCTCTGGCACAGCATATATAAACAGGGTTTATTATTATTATTATCATTTCATTATGAAATCAGTAGTATTTAGACAAAAGGTGGCTTGTTCTTCTTTTCTAAGGGATCCTTCTTCAGCACTTCAAAGAGGGAAAGCATTCTGCTCACCATTGAATCCAGCAGTCCATAAACCTAAGAACAGGAGTCAAAAAAACTTTCAGGACAAAAGTCTGGACAGCAAAGTCCCAGTAGAAAGGTACACATGAACAAACAGTCAAGTATGGTTTTTCTCAGGTGGTTTTTTTGTGTGTGCAGGCATCCCATAGCAAACATTCTCTGTGTGTGAGAGAGGCATTTTTCAGCCTTTAACAGAGCAACCCTGTACGGTACATGTCTGTTCAGAAGTATGCCCCACTGAATGCTCTGCCTTAATGACCAACTGCAACTGAGGATAACCCTCTACATTAGTGCTGCAGAATTCCATCATCAGTGACAAATTGGAGCAATCCCAACAGCTCCTAAAGCCTCTTTGTTCCATTAGTGTAATGGCTGAGGAAGCTACAAACATATAAACCAGGGGTCAGCAAACTTTTTCAGCAGGGGGCCGGTCCACTGTCCCACAGACCTTGTGGGGGGCCGGACTATATTTTTTCGGGGGGGGGGATGAAGGAATTCCTATGCCCCACAAATAACCCAGAGATGCATTTTAAATAAAAGCATACATTCTACTCATGTAAAAACACCAGGCAGGCCCCACAAATAACCCAGAGATGCATTTTAAATAAAAGGACACATTCTGGTCATGTAAAAACACGCTGATTCCCGGACCATCCGTGGGCTGGATTTAGAAGGCGATTGGGCCGGATCCGGCCCCTGGGCCTTAGTTTCCTATCTATGATATAAACATATACTATTTGGGGTACATGTAAAGCTGTAGTCCTAGCCTCACCAAACTTGGGAATAAGGCCCACTGAATTCAACAGGACTTTGGAGCAGACATTAGGACTGTGCTGTAACCTACTGCCCATCTTTCTTTTCAGTGGGCTGAGGAAAGGCTGAAACCTTGCCTCACACAGGTACAAAAGAGGACTGTGCATTTAGAGGCAGGGCGGAATTGTCATTTCAACAGTTTAAGTGCTTCATAAAATTTTGGGAAGCACTCTCTGTCCCATGTTTTCTCTCTCGTGTTTGACCTGCTCAGCTGAAGAAGATGCAACCCCGTATATCATTTTGGCTAGTGGAGGTTGAAGGCAGGTTATCGTGCCTGCTGGCTGTCCTGGGAGATCCTGGAATGGCCCTCAGGTGCTGGTCTAGCCTGCCCTCCTAAGCTAAGATCAGGGGTGAGAAGTGGCAGGAATTAGATGGCCATGAAATGCACACTTGCCCACTGCATACTCAAGTGTGGCTCAGTAGACATGGATAGGATTTTAGGAACAGAGGAAGCTGCCTTATCAGATCATTAGCCTATCTAGCTCAGTTCTGTCTAAACCAACCGGCGGCAGCTCTCCAGGATGTCAGGCAGGAGTCTCTCAAGCTCTTGCAGCCAATCAGAACCCACGGATGTTTGGGTTCCAAAGAACGTTTGCAAACCAGAACACTTACTTCCGGGTTTGCGGCGTTCAGGAGCCAAAACATCCGAGTTCCAGAGCGTTCGGGATCCAAGGTATGACTGTATTTTTATTATTAAATTTCTATACCACCCTTCATTTAGAATATAAAAACAAACAAAAACAATTGCCCCCCAGTTTAAAAGGCCATAGATTGTATTAAAATGTTATGGTTCTGGCTGAGTTTATTCCAGAATAGCAGCCCTACCCAAATTTCTTTGCTGCCTAGCCCTATGCTGTTAGGAGACAAAAAGTGTAATTATTCCATCGGTCTATCAAGTCTCAAGTCTGAGCACTGAGAAGAAGTCAGTGGGGAGAATCGATTCATGTTTCAGGACTGCCGGAGACACTATTTCTCCCTAATGCCTGGCCTTTGTGTTATCACAGAAGATAACTCTGCTAGATCAGCTTGAGGAAGCAAATGAAAAAGTCACTCTGAACCTGCGGAGAAGGTACCCATTTCAAAAGCAATGCATGCATGAAGGACTCATTATAGAGAAGTTTTAACTTTCATCTCAGGAGCCCGGATTAAACAGTTGCCTGTCTGTCACAAATGCACAGCAAGTTCTAAACCTGACATCAATTGCCGTATGTTGAAAAGATGGCACAAAATGAAAAAGCAACTGGGAGAAGATGACAAGCAGCCTCATCCTAGACACATTTGTTCAGAAGCAAGGCCCACTAGTTTTAACAGTAAAGGTAAAGGGACCCCTGACCGTTAAGTCCAGTCGTGGAGGATTCTGGCATTGCAGCGCTCATCTCGTTTTACTGGCCGAGGAAGCCGGCGTTTGTCCACAGATAGTTTTTCCGGGTCCTGTGGCCAGCATGACGAACCAGAGCAGCACACGGAAACACCGTTTACCTTCCCACCGGAGTGGTACCTATTTATCTACTTGCACTTTGACATACTTTCAAACTGCTAGATTGGCAGGAGCTGGGACCGAGCATTGGGAGCTAACCCCGTCGCAGGGATTCAAACCGCCAACCTTCTGATCGGCAAGCCCTAGGCTCTGTGGTTTAGACCACAGCGCCACCCGCATTAACAGTAAGGTAAAGGTAAAGGTACCCCTGCCCGTACGGGCCAGTCGTGTCCGACTCTAGGGTTGTGCGCCCATCTCACTTAAGAGGCCGGGGGCCAGCGCTGCCCAGAGACACTTCCAGGTCACGTGGCCAGCGTGACGAAGCTGCTCTGGCAAGCCAGCGGAGCACACGGAAACGCCGTTTACCTTCCCGCTAGTAAGCGGTCCCTATTTATCTACTTGCACCCAGGGGTGCTTTCGAACTGCTAGGTTGGCAGACGCTGGGACCGAGCAACGGGAGCGCACCCCGCCGCGGGGATTCGAACCGCCGACCATGCGATCGGCAAGCCCTAGGCGCTGAGGTTTTACCCACAGCGCCACCCGCGTCCCACAGCGCCACCCGCATTAACAGTACATACCTACAAATAACAGGGTTCAGAACTTTAGCTAAAGCAGTAAGGAAATGGACAAAAGGTGACAACGCTGGGCACACCGACTTACTTCGACATAAAGTTTCTCATGGTACTTTTCCTGCAGGATTGGGTCCACTTGTTCTTGGTGAGCTTCTTGGGCCTCTGACCCTGCAGCTTCCTGTGACGCAGAGACAGACTCCTTTGTCTCCTTTGTGGAACCTCTTGCTTTTCTCTCTTCTTTCAATTTGGCCTTCGTGCTTTTTGGACGTTCCTGTTTAGAAAAAACACAGGTATGATATAGACTATAGAGAGAGCTCGGCGCAAGCTGAGGACATACGTCACATGAACGTCTTCTCATGTGTATTTCCCAGCAAGTTGCACGTCCGAAGGAAACCGCCCTTTCACAGCAAAGAGGCAGCTCTGTTCAGAAGCTCCAAAATCCTTTTCAAATACTTCCTTGGAACCCAAGTCCTTCGTTTCCAGCTTTCGTATCTTACAAGAGTCCAGCTATGTACCTCTTTGGCCGCTTTTGCTTTTTCTTTGTCTTTTTCCTTTGCAGCCTTCTTGTCTTCTTTCTGAGGTTTCCGGTCCTCTTTCCCTGTCTTCACGGTAACTGGCTTCACCTCAACTGCGCAGAAAACACAGCAGTTTTGCTAAACTGAACCCTCTTTAGACTAGAAGTGACAACTTTCCATTATTTCACCGGTCACCGTCATCTACTTTTCTTGCCAGGTAACTAGTACCAAGCTCTGAAAAGTCAGGAACATCTGAGATCCTGTTCAACAAACATCATTTGCACATCACCCTAGACCAAACCATGGCTTAGCATGAACACACGAACATGCAGGCTTCCAGAGCAGAGACTGCAAAGGCTTTGCTCCTCCCTGGTTGTTTCACTGCTGAGCTGAGCTGACCTACTTGTGATTTGTTTGGAGAACGCTAAACCCAAGTTCAGATGATGCACTACAACAAACCATGGCTTAGTTTAGCTTAGCTCAGCAGCAAAAGGACTGGGGAGGAACAAAACAGCTGCAATCTCCTCTCCAAGAGTCCACTTGGTTGCTCATTCATACTAAACTTTTAGCTTCCTGTTAATTATGCTGCTTTGAATATATACAATACCGTATAATATAATATATACTATAATATTTCTTTAAATAATAATATTTCCCAGCCTTTTGACTAAGATCAAGTGTAGTACCTGTTTTTTAAAAACAGATGCTACACTTGATCTTAGGCAAAAGAAAGGAAAATATAATTATTATTATTTAAAGAAATATTATAGTATGATGAACTTGCAAGCAGGATTTGAAGCATGAGCCACAGAAAAAAAATAGGACTTACTATAATATTGCTTTGATAGAAGAGACAGAAGATAGGGTGTAGTAAAAGGAGAGAAAATAAAATCATTACAGAACAGTCCCCATACAAAATCCATTGAAATTGAAAAGTGTCCCCAGATCCACTAAAAAAAAAATCTGGTAACCTCCCCAGCCAAGGCCGGGCTCAGGGCGGCTAACAAGCAATAATAAAAACACATTGAATGAATACAACTTAAAAACAAAATTAAAATACAACATTAAAATATTGAAACATTAAAATATTAAAATGTAGCCTCATGCCTCATCGCAGGAGGAGAAAGGAAAAGAAAAAAGAAAGAGGGGGAGGGAATCAAATTGGCTCCAAGCCAAAGGCCAGGCGGAACAACTCTGTCTTACAGGCCCTGCGGAAAGAAATCAGATCCTGCAGGGCCCTGGTCTCATGAGGCAGAGCGTTCCACCATGTATACTTTATATTTTACTTTCTTCAGCAATGCTTTATCCTTGATTGTTTCATTTGATGTTTTGATGTAGGTTGTAAACCACTCTAAGATGTTTTTCTTAAAAATATAAAGCATCATAGAAATGAAATTGACAACAACAACAACACTGGCATGACAACCTAGCATGGTAAAAGGTGAAGGAGCCCTCGATGGTTAAAGCCAGAGCGCATGGAAACACCATTTACATTCCCGCCGCACCAGTACCTGTTTATCTACTTGCACTGCCATGCTTTCAAACTGCTAGGTTGACAGGAGCTGGGACAGAGCAACGTTTGCGGGGAATCAAACTGCCAACCTTCTGATCAGCAAGCCCAAGAGGCTCAGTGGATTAGACCACAGTGCCACTCGCATTCCATCCTAGCATGACGAGGTCATTAACTACATAGCTGGATTGGGAGGCTGCACTCCTGGCCTCTCCAGATTCTGCCAAGCTCCACAGAAAGATCTCCGTTGACAGAATAGCTCACCTACTTCCTCTGGAACAATTTCTACGTAAGTATCCTTCTCAGGCATACCAAGCAGCGACCTGAGCACCAGCGAACGGCTCACCAGACCATCGATCACTTCACGCCACAACTGGAAACTGCAATGAAAAAGGAACCAATTTAAGTCTGAGGAGGAGGGGCCTGAGAAAGCAATAGAATGTTGCTACCTGTTTTTCAATGGTTTTTCTCCACCTTCAGAACCAAAGGCAGCCTGAAACTAGCAGGAGCTGCCCCATGTTAACGCAACAAGGCAGGAAAAGGAAGCTCCAAGTGTTGTCACATTCCAACTACCATCAGCTCGGTCCAACTAACTACCCAGCTCAAGTCAATGACCTGGGGCCAGTCACCATCTGTCAGGCCAATCAAGAAGGTTGTTGCAAGGGGCGGGAAATGGAGGAAGGAGAAGAGCAATACAATGCTTCCCTGAACTCCTTGGAAGAAGGGACTGTGGAATAAATAAACAAACCCAACTACATCTAGAATTGGCTTAAGAACGAAGACAACTGTGAGCCACCCAGCACCCCAAAATACCTTTCCTCCTCTTAACACGGATCAACCCACCTGTTGGGAGCCCCAGCTTCTTCTCTACTCTACATAGCATTTGGGTTTGCTTCTGGAGGGGATAACAGAATCGTAGAATTGGGGGACCCCATGGGTCATCTAGTCCAACGCCCTGCAATGCAGGAATCTCAGCTAAAGCATCCATGGCAGATGGTCGTACCACCTCTGCTTAAAGACGTCCAAGGAGAACGTTCCATTGTAGAGCAGCTCTTACTGTCAGAAAGTTCTTATGTTTAGTTGGAATCTCCTTTCTTGTCACTTGAAGCCATTGGTTCATGTCCATTGGTTCATGTCCTACCCTCCCAAGCTTGTTCCCTCTTCCGTGTGACAGTCCTTGAGATATTTGAAGATGGCTATCGTATCTCCTCTCAGTCTCCTCTTTTCCAGCTAAACATACCCAGCTCCTTCAACTGTTCCTCATATGGCTTGGTTTCCAGACCCCTGATCAATTCTAATTTGGCTGACAATGTTACCAGTCAGCTAGCGTAAGGTGTCTGGTGGACAAAATCAATCCTTTACAGCAGTTGTGGGGAGCCTTTGACCTTCCAGATGTTGCTGAACTCCAGCTCCCCTTCTCCCTTGCCACTGGCCATGCTAGTTGGGGTTGATGGGAGTTGGATTTCAGCAACATATCAAGGGCCACAGGGTCCCCCATCCCTGTTTTGCAAGCACCCACAACATACCATATTTGGTAAAGGAGATCTGTCTGAGGCATCACTGGTGGATAACAAAGCTCCAAGGCTGCTTTATTGAGCTGGGCCAGGGCAGCTTCTCGTTCCTCTTCCTCGGGGATTGTCAGCAAAGTCTAATGAGAGAGAAATCACAGCCAACATTTCTCGGTTCAGTAACACCAAATGTTCCTGGCTGTCCACGGCCAGACCAAGATCACCATGCCCGGTAGAATGAAAAATTTGGGCAAAAGAGCTGCCCCACCTCTAGCAGCCTCTGTGAAAGTTAATAGCTGGTCTCAGCCTTGTAATGCTTCCACACCTCCAACACTCCCCTGTCCAAGGGAAAGGACCCCTGGATGGTTAAGTCCAGTTAAAGGTGACTATGGGGTTGCAGCGCTCATCTCGCTTTCAGGCCAAGGGAGCTGGCGTTTGTCCACAGACAGCTTTCCGGGTCATGTGGCCAGCATGACTAATCCACTTCTGGTGCAACAGAACAACGTGACGGAAATCAGAGCGCACAGAAAGGCCATTTACCTTCCCGCCACAGCGGTACTGATCTACTTGCAGTGGCATGCTTTTGAACTGCCAGGTTGGCAGGAGCTAGGACAGAGCAATGGGAGCTAACCCCGTTGCAGGGATTCGAACCACCGACCTTCTGATCAGCAAGCCCAAGAGACTCAGTGGTTTAGACCACAGCACCACCCGCATCCCTTTACTGAATGACTGAACCACAAGATCTGCATTTGCTGGATACAGGGATTCTCCCTTTTGGCATCCACCTTAAAAAAATGACATGGGACTAAACATATGAAAAGCCATATTTGCATTTGAGTTTCTAATGAAGATAATAGCATTGGAAGTGGGCTGGATCTCTGGAAGCGGGCTGGATCTCTGGAAGCTGGCTTGGAAAATAAAGACAATCACTGGGAAATAGAACTAACGATGCATTGCTCTTCCGGGGTTACTCGTGCAAGCGTCTTAAGACAGCATGTTTGTACACACCACATTCCAGTGTCTCAAGTCCTAGACACTGATTCTTCTTTCAATCTAGCTGCCTTCAATAAACGAAAAGTTTGGATATGTTGATAACAAGGCCGAGGCTTTCTAGGAACAGGGCAGAGCCAGGAGAAGTAAGGAACACCCGAATCAAGCACCTGTTTGAAATCAAAGATGGACAGATTCCACTCCACTCGGTTGATGTCCTCCATTCGGTTGACGTCCTCCACATCAGACCTACTCAGCTCGCCGGCCAGCTCCTCCACCATGGACTTCCTCACCGAAGAATCATCTGGGGACACACTCTTACGGGGCAATTCGTCGGGACTCTTCTGCCGAGACTCCCCACCACTCTTGGGTAGAGAGGCTTCTTCTTGGGTAGTGATGCTTTTCCTCATCTCCTCCTCGTATGGAGGAGGATTCATGAGTTTATTCCACAGCTCATACAGCTCCTTTACCACTTGGTGCTGGTAGTACAACTGAAGCGAGAGAAGATAAGGGAAGAACGTAAGAAAAGCCCCTCTGGTCCATCACTCTCTTCTCGCCGTAGCCAACCAGATGCTCGTGGGAACCCCAACAAGCAGGACCCCAAAACAAGAGCACCTTCCCTACTTGCAAGGCCCAACAACTGGTATTCAGAAGATAAGGACAGTAAGGAAGGATTAAATACGCTATGATATTAACATACTTAAACAGATTCCGATAGATTCCATGATGTAGAAATCCCATTTTAGGATAGAACTTGATATGCCAGCCCAATATAAATAAATAAAAAATGGCTCCCAGATCTGCCATGGGAATTGTGATGTAGAGTTAACGATTGCTGCTTCAACTATAGGTGGCTCTGTGGCAGTGAATCATGTTCTCTTACAATAAAGCTGTTCCTTTGTTAAACAACATCTTGGCCTAGCTTCTTCCCTGAAATCACCTGACAGGAGCAGTATAGAATCACAGAATTGTAGAGCTGGAAGGGACCCCTTGTGATGCAGGAATCTTTTGCCCAACGTGGGGCTCGAAAGCATAACCCCGAGATTTAAGATTCTCATGATTAACAGACTGAGAGTATGCTGGCTAAGTTCTGGAAACAGCAGCTACAGCTCCTCTTAGGGGAGGGGGACTGTGTCACTAAAGTCCACAATCCCTTCAAAGTTCAAAACTCTTCCTTCTAGCCATTAGGCAACAGAAATACAAATGTTCCTCAATAAGGAATGTTGTGAAAAGTCAGTCAGTCTCAGTTTTTAAAGTACAGTGGTACCTCAGGTTAAGTACTTAATTCGTTCCGGAGGTCCGTAGTTAACCTGAAACTGTTCTTAACCTAAAGCACCACTTTAGCTGATGGGGCCTCCTGCTGCCCCCGCGCCGTCAGAGCACGATTTCTGTTCTCATCCTGAAGCAAAGTTCTTAACCTGAAGCACTATTTCTGGGTTAGCGGAGTCTTTAACCTGAAGCGTATGTAACCTGAGGTACCACTGTAACATTGAGCCCCATCCTCCAGGCCTCAGTGACTAAGCCAACAGTCCTGTATACACTTAGATAGGAGTAAGTACCATGTAACTCTGTGGCACACACTTCTAAATAGAGACAGGAGTGAAGCGCATGAACCCTAAAGCTGATTCCTGACATCCTGACCCATAAAAAACCAACAGCACCCTCTCACTCCAAAGCAGAAAGATACCTCTGGGTTCATTCTGTGGAATAGCTCTTCCTCTGTGACATACGCATCGTGAGGAGACCGTGGTCGCTCTGGCACACGGATTCGATCAAGCAGGTCCTTCAGATTCTCTTCCACTATAACAGCAACTTCCCGGGCTTCTAGCTCTTCCTGCGATTTCCAAGAAAAGCACATGGAAGTTTGGGTATGCACATTCCTGTTGCTGAGGCACACGGAGAGATAAATACATAAACATGCAATGTCGCCTCAGGGCAGCAGAAGCAAAGAGGAAGGAAACTCTGCCCTCTGCCACTGCCCAGATGAACAAGGGCTATGGGGAGACTGTTTCTCTCCCTCCCTTCTATTTCAGCATCTCTGCCCAGCCAGCCTCACAATGTCACTGTAAAAGTGTGAGTGGCCCAAGGTAACCTAATGGGCTTCATGAATGAGTGGAGGTTTAAACTCTGGTCTCCCTGGTCCTGGCTGGAAGTTCTGCTTTGGTCTGGAGAGGCAAAAAGGGAACGGTCCATTATAGTCAGCCAAGGAACACCAGCAAGCTAAGTTGCAACTGCTCATGCTGAGCCCATTGATCACTTTCCCCTTCACTGCAGATCTTTGCCACCTTCTCTTATCACTTGTAAATGTAATCTCCTCCTGGGAGTGTTAAGCCAAGGTAAAATGTCACTCCTTCCTTGCTGCTCCTACCTCCACACCTTAACTAATCAAGAAGTTTCAATGGTCTGAGGTTCCTTCCAGAAAAGCCCCAAAGATAGCTTGATCTATTTCTCCCCCACCAAACTGGAGGGCAGAATGAAGATGTATTTTTAGAAACCACTTCTCAAGAGATTGAGGACAAACCTTTCCTGACAGGATTGGAAGTCTTTGTTCTTGTTTTTAATTTTTAAGCCCAAGTTGGGCAAAAGTTGATGCTTTTCACCTCAGCAACCAGGAAGCTTTTGGATACTGAAAAGACAAGAGCTGAAGACCCCTTCCTCTCTGGCAAGCCCATCAGGCAAGCCCAGCCCTTCACTCTCCCCCTGATACAATAAAGTGCGCTTTTTTTAACTCTGGGGGTGCCAAAATCTGGAGCGCAATCAAGTCTTAATGTCAAAAGATCCAGGGTAACACGTGAGAACTGCAGGCTTGCATGCAAACTGTACACTACGGAAGAGAGGCATAGTCCTGAATCTTTCAGTGACAGTGAAGGACTTGGTGGTGATGGACTCAACTTCCCTCAGGACCAGCCAATATGGCCAATGGTCAGGAATGATGGGAGCCGTAGTTTCCAGCAACACCTGGAGGGTCACAGGCTAACCAACCCTGCTCTAAGGAAATCCCCGGTGGCATTCTTTCATCCGTGTGACCATGACAAGGAAGGTATCTTTCCCCATGGGCAAACAGAATGTGTGCTCAAGCCTACTCATCTGACAAAAGACATCTAACCTTAGAGCACCCGATAACCCACAATGTTCGTAGCCCCTGTTTGATTACCTCTATCTCGTTCCTGAGATCAGCTGATATATCTTCATACACAGCAATTCCCCACAGGGTCACTTGCAACATAGCACCTCCTAACAACACAGGACGAGTGCCAAACTCCCAGGATTCTGTGAAGATGCCTGCATTAATCGCCTTGAAGATGAAAGAAAACTTCCTGGTTTCTCTAGGTAGGATAACGCCTAACAGGAACAGAAGGGAACAGGGATGCATTGCAGTTTCCACTGGCAAGGAAACTCCTCTGACAGCCACTTGACACATTGCTTTAGTTTTCATTCACATATCTTCAGATTCATATCCCCATCTATCAACAAGCAAGAGTCCTCAAGGCTTTTGCAAGGGTGTAACACGGGCTTGCAAAAAACATGTGTTTGCCACAGTGTGAATTATACAAGCACACGTAGGATGGCCACAGCCCCCTATTTCATGTAGAGGCACCGCTAAGTGTGCCTTTGTCGTTGTGTAGTGTGCGAAATGGCCCAAGGAGGAATAGAAGGAAGACAGTGATTTCAGTTTATTAGGTGGCCTTTTGCCAGGATACTGCATATAATCTTCATCCTCTGGTGTCAGCCTTCCTCTTAATTTTGTCTTATACATATCATGCTCCTTGGACCGGGACGTATTAGGCAGAGTTCAGCAGAATCGTTTTAGTCAGTGCATAATGACCTGGCCTTGGACAAAACACATCCAACCAACTGCAAACTTTTGACACTAGGCTCTAGGCACAAATGGTCAGTATCCTAACCATCTGGTTGAAGCACACCCATGTGACTCTACAACCTCCAACAGCTTTTCTTCATTTGGCAGCCAGGAGGATCCCCTTTGCCTCAATGCCTGGCCACAGAAGTAAAGGTAAAGGGACCCCTGACCATTAGGTCCAGTCGTGGCTGACTCTTGGGTTGTGGCGCTCATCTCGCTTTATTGGCCGAGGGAGCCGGCGTACAGCTTCCGGGTCATGTGGCCAGCATGACTAAGCCACTTCTGGCGAACCAGAGCAGCGCACGGAAACGCCATTTACCTTCCCGCCAGAGCGGTACCTATTTATCTACTTGCACTTTGATGTGCTTTCGGACTGCTAGGTTGGCAGGAGCAGGGACTGAGCAACAGGAGCTCACCCCATCGCGGGGATTCGAACCGCCGATCTGTGGTTTAACCCACAGCGCCACCCGCGTCCCAGCCACAGAAGTACCACATGCAAATAGAATGGGTGGAGGGCGGGAGTCACCTAACAAGCACAGTCAGAAGCCCCGTGCAAGAACTTCCATTTGCACATTGTGGCTTTCCCCTGTCCTTCTTGCACTCCCAGAAATTAGCTCTGGGTGGGTTAGGAGAAACCCTAGAATAGTGCACAGGGAGGAGTGGAAGTAGGGGAGTCATGTTTGCACAGATGGAATGACTATAAGATCACAACATTGAATTCCACTCTCAGCCTCTCTTCCTCTTTAAGCAGCTAAGATGACCTGCTAGCTACCACCAGGGCACAAAGATGATCAAACTTATACTTGAGATCAGAACTGTTATGCTCAATTCAACCTCCTAAGGAGGTTCTCCTGCCTGTCTGCCTGCACTTGGCATTTTTATCGATGCTGCAAATGTCGACTGGGGACAGGAGGAGGAATCACCTACCTGATCTGGTGTTGAAGTAAAAATTCTGCATGTCTTTCCTTTTTTTCTCTTGAAAGCTAAAGGGTTGAGGCAGCCTTCGCCAATCATACCAGATGGCAGCCGTGCCGTCATTGCTCACAGTGAGCAGAGATTCAGCTTTCTCACCTACTAGAATTTCAAAGGTGACCCGGGCAGCGATGCCAACTTCACCCTATTGGGCCGAAAGCAAACAAAACATAAGGATGCCAGAAATCGTCAAGTTTGCCTGGGATGACCACACTGCCCTACCCCCAAAAAAACCTTAGCAGCTCAGGGCCAAAGCCAGTGCTGCTTCCTGATTCTGTTACATCTCTTTCGGCAAACAAAAACCCAGAAAATGTGACACCCATGAACATTTTGAACATTCTTCAAAGCACAAGGAAAGGATCTGCCTTGGAAGGCAGCTTTTGTTGCATCATTAGGTACCCTTACATGATTACAAACTGAATGGAAACAAGACACAAGGCTAGAGTAGGAGCGGCTAACAAGGTGCCCTTTAAACATTGTGCACTACAACTCCCATCATCCCTCACCCTTAGCCATGCGGGCTGTGACTGATGGGAGTTGGAGTCCACTAATATCTGGAGGGCAGCATGGATTTGGGGACGATTTTAAAAACCTAGCCTACCTCTTTCCTGCCCTTGTACCTCCAGCTCCTAGAAGCTGTCAGCATGCAACAAATGATCACATGCCCGAAAACAGCTTAAACCGGTCAGCTAGACCAGGTGAGGGTAGCCGATGGGTCTTAAACCCTTGGTGAGTTAGGGACTTCTTGTATCTCCTGCATGCGAAGGCAGGTGGATTGAGTGAATGAGACCAACAGCGGGTCCAACGGTCAAGAAGGCAGTTTCTGCATGTGCTGTAGAGGGAATTGAGGGGCAGATGGGGCTCATCAACCTGGAAAGGCAGCCCATCTAGGGCATGGGTAGGCAAACTAAGGACCGGGGGCCAGATCCGACCCAATCGCCTTCTCAGATGGTCCAGGAATCAGCATGTTTTTACATGAGTAAAAACATGTGTCCTTTTATTTAAAATGCATCTCTGGATTATTTGTGGTGTTTTTACAGAAGTAGAATGTGTGCTTTTACAGTGGTACCTCGGGTTAAGTACTTAATTCGTTCCGGAGGTCCGTTCTTCACCTGAAACTGTTCTTAACCTGAAGCACCACTTTAGCTAATGGGGCCTCCTCCTGCTGCTGCGCCGCCAGCGCACGATTTCTGTTCTCATCCTGAAGCAAAGTTCTTAACCCGAGTTACTATTTCTGGGTTAGCGGAGTCTGTAACCTGAAGCGTATGTAACCTGAGGTACCACTGTATTTAAAATGCATCTCTGGATTATTTGTGGGGCATAGGAATTCATCCATTCCCCCCCCCCCAAAAAAATATAGTCCGGCCCCCCACAAGGTCTGAGGGACAGTGGACCAGCCCCCTGCTGAAAAAGTTTGCTGACCCCTGATCTAGGAGAAGGAAAACTCTGACCCTAAACCTCCACTGACTTGAGACTGTACTCATTCGTGAGAAAGGCTTTGGGAGTAAACTGCTCACTGCTTTGCGGGACATCTTTGGGAGAAGAAAAGGCTAAGGAATAAGCCCGACACAAATCCAGAGTGGAGTCCTTAAGGCAGCTGGATGGCATCTTTTACGCCTCCTCTGGCAACTCCTGCAGCCAAGCCGGTGTCAAATGTATTGCTTTCCTTTGCTTTGGACCACATCAGCGAGGCTGAGGGAGATCTCCATCCACACTGCCCAGGGCTTGCACCCTGGAGAGGTCCCTTTGGTACTGCAAACGCAGCAAGAACAATGCAGGAGGCAGCAGTTCCCTTCCAACGGTTTGACTTCACCCCCAAAGGCGCACTCCCGAGACAGACGGATGCCAACCACGACAAGCCCCCCACCTCTTCAGAAGTGGTGTTGATCCAGCGAGCCGGTTGTTCGCAGAACTTCAGAGACGGGCCCAACACTGGTGCTGAAACCACATCTGGGTACTTTGCTAATGGGTCCCTAATAAATACAGCAAAAAAATAAAATAATGATGAAAATGAAAATCATTCAAGGTCAATTATGTAGCTCAGCAAGATTTAGTCAAATTTTTTTGCCTCCGATCGGTAATTTCTTCTCTTGGTAACCAAAGTGACCAAAAACTCACTAACTTAAAGAGTTTTCTTAAATGAAGAATTGTTGCGTGCAGGCCACTGCTGGAGGGGTACATACTTTAAATCAAATATGGAGATATATAAGGCATGTCATCAACAGAAGAAGAGGAGAGCCAAGCCCCAACTCACTTTGGGTTTCAGAGCCTGAATGGGTAAAGTAAAATAAAATGGGGAGGGTGTTGCATAGAAGAATTGGAGGGTGGGGAAAAGGTTAAGCGGTCCCTTGCACTCACTAATTCCCCCGTCCTGCAAATACCTGCTGCCCCAGAATGAATGTTTTATGGGAAATACGGGTTTGGAGAAACCATGCTGTCCTCACAAAGTCAGGCTTTGTTCCAGGCCTCTCATCTACCCGCCCTCAGCCAAACACCACTAACCAGTGTTTTTCTTCAGGAAATTCTCTAGTTTCTTCTTCTTCTTCTTCTTCTGCTAAGGAGGACAGACTCTCTGCCGTTACACTGGTGTATGGGTGATTTTTGCTTACAACTTCCAGGCCATCCAGGTCCTTAACTCGAGGGAAAGGGGGTAGGGGGAGAAAATGTGCTGTGATTTGTGTTGGCTTTGTTTCTATTGCTTAAAAGGAAAATCAGAACATCCAAACACAATTTACATTACAAACAAGGGGAAAGCTACCGAGAAGTTATACTTTGGCCTTGTATGAACAGCCTTGCGCATTGAAATTATTGCCGCCATACCGGGTTGTAAAAATCCAGCTTTTCTAAGATATCCTTTAACTCGTTTCGCCGCTGCTTCAGAAAGAGACTCTTCTCCCAGGTGCGATGGAAACTGAGGTATTTTGAAGGTCTGGTACCTGTGGGGAACGCCCAAATGTGACCCAGAGATATATACATTCACTGAGCTTTAAGGTTTCTCAATAGAAAATGTGCTCATGAATGCCAAGCTGCGAGCTCAGCTATAGCAGTTTCTGACTGATTCAAGCTGATCTGAACAGAAAATCTAGCTCCCAAGCAGCTTGGAGATTTCTATGGCTTTTCTGGGTACAAACACACAACCCCTCCCTGCACAACCTCATATGAGATAATCAGCAATGGGGGGAAAGCACTCAGATGTGGTGGCACCTAACAGCATGCTGCGATCATTTTCCTCTACAGGAATCTAGCATTCGGGTTTTGCTTTCAGACTTTGGGGGGAGGGCAGTCCATGCAGTTGAGAGGCTGCTGTTTCGCCCCCGGTGGGGCCAATTTGTTGGGGTTGGCTATTCAGTCTTGTATGCTTAAGCCAAGAAATTGTCTCTTTAAAGATATTTAGCACTAGTAGACGCATCAATGGCACAAGACAACTGAAGAAGCCCAGAAAACTGTGCTCAGGGAGTGTGCTATCCGCCAAAGAGACAATTTCTTGGACTACTAGGGCGAAACAGGGATAGAACGCTGGCACTCTGTCTTATTTATTACTTCATATGCTGCTTCATCAGCACCTCACAGCTACCGGGAACAACGTTGAACTTACCCTTTTCTTGAATCTTCTTGAACTTATTTAAAAAACAAAAAAAAAAGAAAAACTGAGTCAAGAAATTGTAAGAACCTAGTAAAATCTGATATTGCAAGTTCACTTTATTTTAGGTATCGGTAGTTTGTAAGTTTTCATGGCACTTTGTAAGTAACTGTCTCTTTCGCACATATTTGATAAATTGTGTAAAATTATTTTTGAACAACTGTGTGAATATTTGTCGTCCAACGTGCTGTACGAGTTGCACTATTCCAGGCATAGGCAACCTTTGGCCCTCCAGATGTTTTGGGAATTGTAGTCCAAAACATCTGGAGGGCCAAAGGTTTCCTATGCCTGCTCTATTCTGTTGCCTGTACACACCTGCTTAATATTAATCCTGGCTGAGAATAGTTGGGACATTCTATCAATGCAGATAAGCGGTCTTCAGAATTTTTTCCGTATTTACCATCTCAGTAGTCCTTGTTAGGGCCCAACGGCAAACAGTGCCGCAGGTGGATGCCGCGCCACTGCCCAAATGCAGGATGACTGCAAGATCACATTTGCAGCAAAGGAACAGGAAATGACTCTACCCCTTTGAAGTCATTCTAGGCAACCTGCCCCCCCCCCCCCCGGATAGCCCGATAGGCTCATGGTGCCTCACCCATCTCCTTCCAGATGCTGCGAGGTTTGCCAATGTGAGTGACTTCTTCTGGGAAGCCAAGCTCGCTTTGGCCCATTGTCACCGCCAGTCCATTGACCTCATCTCCAATGAGAACAGGCTGGTTCCAGAATTCAGTCCCTACATTGAAGCCCTAGGAAAGAAAGCAGAAGGTCACATAGCTTTGGTTTGGTTTTGCGACACAGGATAAAATGTGGGTGCAACGTGGGGGAAATAAGAACACAAGGCAAGGATACGACTCAGGATTATGAAGAGCTGCTCGGTTTAAGGATGACCAAAGTGACCTCCTGACCTCTTCTTGTTATCTGTAATTACTCTCCATCAAACCCTGCTTTGATATTATCTCTGTATTTATGACCCTGCTTTTCTAGTTTACTTTTTAAAAAATCACTCAAAGCAACACAGCCAACGAAAGTTCAAAATCAGTGACGTGAAAAGGCACCAAGGCATATGACAAATCTGATGAAGTAGATATTAAAAACAACTAAATGGTGACTTAATGTTTGCATGTTGAAACAGAAATAAAATGTTGACTGAATGTTAATTATTTATGTTTATGTTACAGAAAATACTGCAGAGTTCTTGTGCCTTTCCCATCTGCCGATCTTACCGTTCTGAAGCTAAGAAGTAACAACAAGGTTCTCATGCAAAGCTGAGCCAAACCATGACTTTGCATGAATGTACAAGCATGCAAGTTCCTGGAGAGGAGGCTGTGACTGTATTGTTTTCTCCTTCCTCCCTGCTGCACTTGCCGTGAGCTAAGCCACGGTTTGCCTTAGTCTGGCTATTTGACCCAAGGCTCATAGTTTGCCTTGCTCCAGAGAAATCACACGTGCTGCTGCAAAGGTTTGCTACAGCTAAACATTTGCCTTCGACATCCGTATTCAACACCTTAATCTTACCATTTGCGGGGATGCATTTGGAACAATGGTTCAAGCCCAGCTGACTAACTTGCATTCCACCCCCCACCCCCGAATACAGTGGTACCTCGGGTTAAGTACTTAATTCATTCCAGAGGTCCATTCTTAACCTGAAACTGTTCTTAACCTGAAGCACCACTTTAGCTAATGGGACCTCCTGCTGCTGCTGTGCTGCCGGAGCCCCATTTCTGTTCTCATCCTGAAGCAAAGTTCTTAACCTGAAGCACTATTTTTGGGTTAGCGGAATGTGTAACCTGAAGTGTATGTAACCTGAAGCGTATGTAATCCGAGGTACCACTGTACTTCGAGGGTGCGTGTGCACAACACGCTTAACTACGCAGACATGGAATTTGTCACAAGTCTCCTCAAACATCACCCGAAGTAAGCTATCAATGACAGTCACCTTTCCGAGGTACAGAAAAGGGAGGCTGCGGTCAATTAGAGTACGCTGTTCCTGGATTTTTCTGTAACTCTCTGCAAAGTTCATCAGCAGCTTGCTTTCCGATTTGTGGAGACATTCTAAAAACAAAACAAACAGGCAGACAGTTGTTCTCGTGCTGTAGGCCAGTCCCGAGGTCTAGGAAATCCACATGGCACGTGCCCTATGCTCTGGGTTATAGCTCCACACTTACAATCACTTATTATTAATTACGGAATATACACCCCACCTTTTCTCCAAGTTGCTCAGAAGGTGGCGTGCACATCTCTACTTTCCCCCCTCCCCAACTCTCAATTTTATCCTCACAACAAGTCCGTGAGGTAGGTTAGGCTGACAGAAAGTGTCCGGCCCCAAAAGTCACACCCAGTGAGCTTGATGGCCTAGTGGGAATTTGCTCCTAGTCCAGTCCTCTACCCACTACACCACACTGTCTCCCTTACTTAAAACCTTCCCTCCAGTCAAAGATAGAAAAGGCACTTGTCAGCACTGGAGTGAGTGCCATCAGCCGCCATCACTAACATGGGTGCATCTAGGTTTATTTGGGAATGCCTGAAACTCGCTTGCTGCAATATTTTATTTACCACACAGCCTTTTCTGCTGCATCCTCCTGAGCATCATGTTGCGGTTCCAGTTCTGAAGGGCCATGTGCTGCTGCGAAGGTGACGGGGCGCTTTTCTTTTCTTCCTCGCGCTTCTTTCTGAACCTCCCCAAAAGTGGGACTGACGCTCCATGAAGTAATTCATCAGGAACTAGTCTTGCTACCTGGGGGAGGAAAAACAAAAACAGTGATGCAGGCTTTAATTCCCATACAGTGGTACCCTGGGTTAAGAACTTAATTTGTTCTGGAGGTCCCTTCTTAACCTGAAACTGTTCTTAACCTGAGGTACCACTTTAGCTAATGGGGCCTCTGCTGCCACCGCAGCACAATTTCTGTTCTCATCCTGAAGCAAAGTTCTTAACCCGAGGTACTATTTCTGGGTTAGCGGAGTCTGTAACCTGAAGCGTCTGTAACCCGAGGTACCACTGTATAGGGCACAACAGCGAAAAAACAACAATCCTCAAATAGGCAAGATACTGACCTCATGCAATGCACCCACTATTTATTTATCACATTAAAAGTTTGTGTGACTGCAAACTTTATCACTAATTAACACATAACTCCAGGCAATTCCAGACAGAAGCCTTATATTGCAAACAGGTTGGCCGCATCCAGATGTTCCTGGATCTTTATTGGGCCTGTTATAGCCCAGATTTTTCAGTCACAATCATAGAATTGTAAAGTTGACCTTCATCCTGGTATAGTTCCCCTTTATCACGTACATAGCCCAGGAAGACAACAACAAGAATCCGCTGACAGCAAACAAATCAATATGGCTAACCTGACCCAAAAACCCACCATCTCACACAACTAAACAAATCTCACTACAGCCAACCAAAGGCAACCAACCGCACCCTAGACCGCCCCCAACCTCTCTCCACCAAGGAAATCGAACAAGCAAATAGAAAGAGAACCCGCACGAGTGACGCTCACATGAAACCCCACACATACACTGAGCAGAAGAATAGACGCATTGCCACCCCACCCCACCCACCATTCCCCCCTCCCCTTCTTTCCTTCCCAACCTAATACTGCATGCAACACTAATGTCTCACAACAAATGTACCTGATCTCCAGAAAACACAACTTGAAAAGAGAGACAATGCCCTCCCACCAGATGTCAAAGAGATAAACAACTACCTGACATTTAGAAGACATCTGAAGGCAGCCCTCTTTAGGGAAGTTTTTAATGTGTGACATTTTAATGCATTTTAAATCTTTGTTGGAAGCCGCCCAGAGTAGCTGGCGAAACCCAGCCAGATGGGCGGGGTACAAATAAATTATTATCATCATCATCATCATCTAAGAAATTTTTAATTATTGTTTTTTAAATAAAAAAATTATAGAATTGTAAGGGACCACAAGGAGGATCCAGTCTAACCCCCTGCAATGCAGGAATCTTTTACCCAATGTGGGGTTCAAACCCACGACCCTGAGATTAAGAGTCCCATTCTCTACCATCATTGCCATTCTGCCATTCATCATCTGCACCAGCGGGCAAAGCCTGATGGAATGTATCTGGAGCAGCAGTAGGTGAGTGATGTGGCTCACCTCAATGAGTCCTTCCCCTGCCTTTTTTCTGTTCTGGGCATGCACAAAGGTATTCATGACTTGTATCCAATCTAAAAGTGTCCCATCTGTGCTAGGTTTTAAGCTTGTGTAACAGGACTCCCCGGGATGTGAGTGGCGCTGTGGGTTAAACCACAGAGCCTAGGGCTTGCCAATCAGATGGTCGGCGATTCGAATCCCCGCGACAGGGTGAGCTCTCCTGATGCATCCTGAATGTATAGCTCCCAGAGGGTCAGAATTCACAGATCACGTGAATGGAGAACAGGGAGATACCACGATGAAATGGAGGCTGGCACCAGCCAAAGGACACACAAGAGCCAAACCGAATAGAAAGCTCCTAAGAACTTGGTAGGGACCCGGGTGGCGCTGTGGGTTAAACCACAGAGCCTAGGACTTGCCGATCAGAAAGTCGGCGGTTCGAATCACCGCGACAAGGTGAGCTCCCGTTACTCGGTCCCTGCTCCTGCCAACCTAGCAGTTCGAAAGCACATCAAAGTGCAAGTAGATAAATAGGTACCGCTCCGGCGGGAAGGTAAACGGCGTTTCCGTGCGCTGCTCTGGTTCGCCAGAAGCGGCTTAGTCATGCTGGCCACATGACCCAGAAGCTGTACACTGGCTCCCTCAGCCAATAAAGTGAGATGAGCGCCGCAACCCCAGAGTCGGCCACGGCTGGACCTAATGGTCAGGGGTCCCTTTACAGGACTCCCCACCCTCCTATTCAACCTCTAAATCTGTTCTGGAGGTTCCCCCTAACCCTCCAGAGCAGATTTGAGGAAGGTGTGAGACACATGGGACAGAATGAGAACGTCCTGTTCCAAAAGCATATATCTTTGCTCTGATGAAATGCTTACTTAGTGCTGCATTGGATAAAAGTAGGTCTGTCTGTCTGTCTGTCTGTCTGTCTGTCTCTCTATATATATAACGGAGGAAGTCAGACAAAATCACCAGTAAAATGGCAGGCTTAGAAAGTTTAAACAGCTACATGGTTCTGCTGGCATAAAAAGGTCCTTGAGGGATGCCTGCTCAATCAACCCGCAAAATAATACTACATACATCAGCTGAAACCAACCTGATCCTGTCCTCTTTTTGTAGCTTCTTGCTTGAATTCCTGGAGAGTTCCTAATATGCTATGGGGGAGGATATATCCAAAATTATCAACAACCGGTTCTTCTAGACCTACAACAAAGACAGCAAAACAATAAATGCTAGATCAGACCCATTGTATAGGTCAAACCTCAGAAATATTTTTTTTAAAAAAACCAAAACTTCCAACAACTACTCAGGAATTTCCAATAACTAGCATAGGTCACTCTGGAATAAAAACTGAAGATTGACTATACCAGAATATTGCAGTGATTTCTTGGTTTCATCTGAAGTAGTTGGATAAGCAACCAGGAAATATGCCTTCTTCCCAACTTCTTGGGGCTTGGATTTGCGAATGAGGTACTTCTTGGTCACAGGAATTTTCTCTTTCTCTTTCTCTTTCTCTTCTTGAGGCAGTTGTGCAGTACGGAGCTACCGAAACAAAACACAGCCCCAATGAAATGATCACTAGAGTGAAACATGAAACTGGGATCCATGGCAACATTTTTACACGTTCAGGTGGTAAAAGAAATTCTTAGGAGAGAAAAACAAAGAAGGAATTGTAGAGTTGGAAAGGACCTTAGGGTATTGTAGTCCAACACCATGCAATGCAAGAATCTCAACACACAGTTCTGCATCCACTTCAAAACCACACCAGACCCTGCTTGGCTTCACTAATGTGCTAACAGTTTGATTCCTGCACCACTAGGAAGCTACCCTAGCCTTCCACAAAGACTGCTGACATCCTATACCCACCTTTTCCAAGTCTTCCAACTTGATGGCTAGAGCCTGGATCTCATCTCCTTGCAATACACAGCTCACAGGTTCCGGCTCTTCTTGAACCGGAGAGGAAGGCTGCTCATATGTTTTTTGCCTCTTCTTTTCTGAAACACAATTCCTTCGTTTTCTACAAAAATTCCATTTCACTCATCAATTTGAAAACATTGTTTAAAGTTCGGTAGAATTGCAGGGCAAAGAAAAAGCATTGCTCCATCCCTAGTGTATATTGGAATCATACAACATTCTGGCTTCAATCCAGATACAGGTCACACTCCTACCCAACAAGCCAAGAATATGCATGAGTTGTATGTGGGATGTTGCAAGACTCTTCCTGGCCACTTCAATTCTCCCTTTGCATGAGCAGCTGAACCAGGCATAAGCAAACTCCACCCTCCAGATGTTTGGAACTACAATTCCCATCATCCCTAGCTAACAGGACAAGTGGTCAGGGATGATGGGAATTGTAGTCCCAAACATCTGGAGGGCTGGAATTTGCCTATGCCTGGAACAAACCAGGACCCAGCACTTAACCAGCAGCTTCCTGTTATGGACAAACCCAGAAACTATGGCTTATAGCTTCAAAACAAGGCAGGTAATTTAATCCACGGATTCATATCCAGCCGCATTTCCTAGGGCAAAGCATTCCAACATCTCAGGACAATCACAGAAAAGAAGGGGTTCCTTGTGTCAACCCGCCATGCTTTTTGCAGCTCTCCTGTACAAAAACATGTACCATATGACACATTTAAGCACTGAATTTCTGTGCTTCCTTACAGGAAAGTTTATGCCTTATTAAAGAAGTACATCTCTTTCTACACAGAGACCTGATGGAAGCCACACACTTCTGCCACAGACCTATCCTCTGCACGTTGGTTTACTCCCCTTTTAAAGCCAACCAAGCCAGTGATCATTGCCACTTCTTGTGGCAGCGAATTCTGTAAATTAATTCCACACAAAGTGCAGAAGGACTTTCTTTCTACTGTCAGAAATTACTGTAACCGCCAACTGAAAGGCCACTGAATGATGGCCCCACAGTCACTTTGCAGACACACACCCTGGTTAAGATCTCTCACAGGAGAATCAGCACCCTGTTCTCTTACTGTGCTTGACTCTACCCCCCTTTTGTTGCCACTTTCTGCCTCTGTGAAGATGGTGATCCCAGGACTGAGATCTCTGGAGCTTTTGCCAGGATATGCCTCAGCTGAAAGGGGCTTAGTTTGAGCAAACACTTAATCCTGGAACTTGTAGAACTTATAGAAAAGTGCAACAATAATGAAGGTTATAGTGCATAAGGCCCAGGTTCAATCCCTGGCAACTCCAAGTTCAGCTGTTTGCACCCCTGACTGCCAGTCATTACGGGTCAACAACGGGAAGGCAACTAACTTCCTATGTTGCTTGAATACAGTGGTACCTCGGGTTAAGAACTTAATTCATTCCGGAGGTCTGTTCTTAACCTGAAGCACCACTTTAGCTAATGGGGCCTGCTGCTGCCACCACACTGCCCGGAGCACGATTTCTGTTCTCATCCTGAAGCAAAGTTCTTAACCCGAGGTACTATTTCTGGGTTAGTGGAGTCTGTAACCTGAAGCGTATGTAACCTGAGGTACCACTGTATGCAACTTCTAAGATCAGAGACGGAAGTTCCTAAACGTTCAATACCAGTCTCTTAGAGGGTAAAATATCAGCTATAAGTCCCCATGCCCCATCCCCTCCGTCCCACAGAATCCAACTTCGAGGCCCCCAATAAAATATTTGAAGGGGCCGAGCCCCCCACCCCGGCAAAGTTGATGGGCGCTGCCAAATGGTGTGCGCGCGCCATGTTATGTGATCGATTATGCAGGGTGGGGCTTACCTGCCCCGCCACCCCCCTATTTTATTCAAGTTTCGCACCCCTGCCTCCATCCTTTGCCGTGGTATGAAAAATGGCTCTAGAGCGCCCTGCAAGCTCCTCCTGTGGGCACCTTTTGTTTTTAAATTAAATGCTCTCTCCATGACGAGCTTAATGCAAGGCGGCTTCCTTCCCAAGGCGGCTGGGAAACCCAGCCAGATGGGCTGAGTATTATTATTATTATTATTATTCCCTTTCCTACCGGGGGGCGTTTTACTGGTGCGCGAGTCCTTCTTTCCCGGCTTGTTCATTATGCCCAGGCTCCCTCCAGCTCTCGCTACCCGCGGGAACCGCTACTTTCCCCGCAAAAGCAGGCGCGCGCGCGCCGCCCGCAGCGTTGCCGTCTCCACGGCAACGACTTTTCCTCTAACAGCCCGGCTGGCGGCGGCGGCGGCGGCGGCGACAGCTCCTCCCCTCTCTCCTCCCCCCCAGGCGGGGCTCGGGGGGGAGCAATTAGGCAGCGGAGAACCACGCCCACACACGCCGATGGAAGGGTGCGGGAGAGGAAGGAAAGCCCGGGTCCCCGGACGCATGCGCAAGGCTCGGCGCACGGGCTCAGTGTTCCGCGCGCGCCGGCGCAGCCGTGCAAAACCCCGTGGCAATAGGTGGGGCGCGCGTGCGGCGAGTCGCGCCGCGCGTGCCTTGCTGAGCAGGTTTTGCAGATCAGCTGTGGAAGCGCGTTGAGCTGCTGTGAGACGCGCTTTGCTGCACAGGCTCCAAGGAAAAAGCACCCGCTGTGTTGCGCGGCAATGCCTGCTAAGTAGTGGCTCCCTGCTTGCCTTCCTGGTTCATTTGTGAATCATAGCGTTGGAAGGGACCCCCGAGTCTCATCTAGTCTAACCCCTGTAGCGCATGAATCCTGCCCACAGTCATCCCGGAGCGAGTTCAGACCTTGTGCTTAACACCAGACGCCACCTTCTCTTTTCTGCTGCTGCTGTTTTTGATGCGCAGCCTCCTCCTCCCCAACCAGATGTCAATGAGAAAAATAATTACCAGACTTTTAGAAGACATCTGAAGGCAGCCCTGTTTAGGGAAGCTTTTAATGTTTAATAGGTTTTTGTATTTTAGTGTTCTATTGGAAGCCGCCCAATATTATTATTATTATTATTATTATTACCTCTGCCAGTGGCGAGTTCACACACCAAGGCTCCAGTTGCAAGAGGAGCGGTAGAATAGGATGGCCTTTCTGAACTCCAGAAACACCCAACCGGCTGCCTCCAACTCTGAGCAAATCCCCCTTCCTTTTCACCTTCTAAAAATGGGAAGTAGCAGAGGGTGCGCCGCCCCCGCATGGATGCAAATACGCGAGCAAGTGGTGTCGCCACCGCAGTTCGGGGGTTTTGGTACTTATTCCATTGTTTTCCCCGCCTACTCCATTGAGGCAGGCTTGTTTCTCCATAAACTCGGATATGACGGTGACAGGAAAAGTCCCATTAGTTTACATGTTTACCAAGTGATGTAAAAACGTAAGTGTTGCAGGAGACGCCCAATGAGCTCTTGACAGTTCCAAAATAAAATCCCATCGTAGGAAATGCTACAAGGAAGAACTGGACTGGGAGGACACCCCTCCCCCCCAAAAATATCTGCCCCCCCCCCCGTATTTGAGAATAAACATTTGCTTTAGGATCAGAGTTCTGCTACCTTACTAGCAATTATCATATGCAAAAAAAAAAATTTAATGGCCAAGTCAAGTGATACTGCATTTAAAGAATTACCGGTAACAATTGTTAATTGTGTAGGTGGCTTTAAAAATACAGGTGTGGGAGGCTTGAACACTTTGCTGCCTGCTGTCATTTGTTTTCTGGCAAATTATGCTGTTTTGGGGAGTGAGGGGACCAAAGCATGTATATCAAAATGCCTATAATATTCTTTTTTTAAGGGGGGGAGAAACTAAAATGGCAAAAGGAGAAAAAAAGTCATAAACTGATAAACTGTTAGAGGGGAAATCATTGTATGTTGGCCATTTCTTTTCTTCTTTAAACCAGACCACACAGCTTCCCTGCATCAAATTCCATATGGGACAAATTATTTTGTATTTTATAGCTAGAATGTTCGAGCATTTAAATGATGGAATGCTCCTTTGGCTCATCCAGTTTAACTGTACACACATTTCCTTGCTCATATAATAGAAAGTTGTTTTCAGGGGATTATCTGAAAACATGTTCCCTTCTTTCCTTCAGTTAAATCTTGACCATGTTTAGTCAGAAGCAAGTCTTGGTGATTTCTGTTTGAATCTCTGCCAAGCAATTATGTTCAGGATTCCAGCCTAAATTTCGAAATCATTTCTTCAAATCTAATTTAGCAGTGAGGTCTAAATACGCTTTGTGGTTCAAATAACAGAGGCACGAGATCATAAGGAGCTCTCCTGTTGCAAAGCTATTGTTGCCTCAACAGGTTCCAAACTTGCTTTGGGAAGGATGTGAGTAATAGACGTGTTCCTAGACTACAATTGTAATTTTGTGCAGTATGTCTTTGCCATACAACCATGTTGCTGAAGAGGCAACACCATATTATCAATTTAGCCAACTGGAGGAGTCTAGCACAAACTAAAGGCAACCCTCAACTATTTGCTATGCAGATATATCCTATGGCTCTTCGGCTTGTTCTTTCTTCCCATGGTTTTCACCACATTGTTCCTATTTTCCCATCTTTAACTGACTGTCTTGTTCATATAAACTTCTCTTATACAGCCATTTCCCCTTTTAATTTGTCAACCCTTTTGCCTCCTCTTTTTTTTATTCCCACAATACTTCTGCTGGTTCTGTTTTCCTGTTCAATCTTGGCTTCTATGCCATATCTGCCCTTCTATGCCATATCTGCCCTCACCCCCCTATTGTTATTAATTGAATTCCCTTCCCACCAAAATCCACACTATGCCATCTTCCACCCCTCTGACTGAAATGTACTTTTTTCTATTAGAACTCTCCCCCCCCCTTCTCTTCTGCACCCCGCTCCAACAGCCCATTATCTCCTATATTTTATGTCCTTATCTCTCCTTTTCCTTACATGTCTATTTTAAATTATAAGCTGGGGGCAGGGAATGTGTCTGCTTGTCCTATTTACATTGCAGATTCTATAGCTTAGCTACTGCAAGGAGGAGAATGGCAAATATTAAAGACTGTTAGTCATAGTAAATCTATTAAAAAGTTATGTGCACACTAGTGAAGAGTAGATGGAAATCCAGCGTAAAAAGAAGCTGCAATTAAAGCTGTAATTATTCCACTTTAAGTTTAATTCCTGCCCTAGTAGTTTACTCCTGCCTCCCAGAGTGATTGTAATAAGCTTTAATTGCTTTACTGATTTTAATCAGCCCTTAGATGTGAGTGTGTTTGTCTCTCTCCCTGCATTTGGAAAGAAGAGGCAGTTTTTCATGAGAGAGATTATACACACGCACAAACCCCTGATGGGTAAGTTAGAAATGACCTAGCAGCCCATTTACCTCCATGCAATTGTACCAAGGTGCAAAACTCCCAAACTTTTTGCGTGTTTAGTGAAGCTGTGTTTGGTGTAGTTACCCCACTTACAAGTCTGTTTTATTTAGGATCTAAATCTCACCCTGCAACAAATTTCCTGTGTGGCTTACAAGAAATTATTTTTAAAGCCTATCCTGCGGCAAGAAAACCAACAGCACAGGAGATTGCTAGGCTTGTTCCCTTAAAAAGCAGCATTAAAGTAGTTTCACCTCAGGAATCTTATTCAATTTTGGCAAAACAAAAACCACATACTAAGTAAGAACTTTTCACCAGGTTGGTAAGATGAACTTTAAGCTGCATAATGTTGCTTTGATTCCAGGTCTTTCCATGCTTCTGCCACATTATTTTACATATTTTAAATTATTTTCACAATTAAGGTGCAAAAGCTCCAGGCATAATATTTAAAAAGAGCCTGTTAGTCTCTGGAACTGAATTTTATTGATGTTTTAAAAGTTCTGTTGTTTGTGTGCTTTTAAGAATAAAATTTAACAGTATAAGAGAGCTTGATTTGGTCTTTGGCTGTTGGGTGAGCCCAAGACAACTTATGTGCATATCAGCAAATCAGATACTGGCTCAGCAATTCGTCTTGTACTTCCAACACGCTTCAGGTCAGCTGTCCTTTTTAATTTATTTTTCCAAACTATCCTGTTCATGTGTTCATCCTTCCCTTCATTACCTTCAAAATCCAGTGCAGCATTGTTCCAGGGAATGGGCACAAGGAAGTTTCCTGGTGACATCATAGGAGGCCAGCCAACCAGCACAGTGTGCATCAAGTTAGCTGACACACCTTTGCACACCCCACCTTCCCAGTGGATGAACCTGAGCAGAAAAGACATGTCATGTTTCTGTTTCCGTTTTTATTATTATTATCACCGGTCTCTGTGTTACTGTGTTAGCCAGTAAATGCAAAATGGAGCATGTTTCCTGCTGTCCGGAGTCCATGCATGGGAGTTTGTATATAATGTGTATAAAACCTAACTGAACTCTTTATTTCATTTGTCAAATAAATTAGCTGGAGTCATTTGAATTCCACCGCAGTTCTCAAAATGTGCGACTATAATCTCCACACACAACCAAAATTATATCTAGTAGGAAACTTGAAGCTCATCTAGCCAACATACCGTATTTTTTGCTCTATAAGACTCACTTTTTCCCTCCTAAAAAGTAAGGGGAAATGTGTGTGCGTCTTATGGAGCGAATGCAGGCTGCGCAGCTATCCCAGAAGCCAGAACAGCAAGAGGGATTGCTGCTTTCACCGTGCAGTGATCCCTCTTGTTGTTCTGGCTTCTGAGATTCAGAATATTTTTTTTCTTGTTTTCCTCCTCCAAAAACTAGGTGCGTCTTGTGGTCTGGTGCGACATATAGAGTGAAAAATACGGTGCTTTCTCAATTTAAATCACCCCTGAAATATAGTCATCCTACCTCTGAAGTATAAGTTTGCATTGTGCTTTTAGCTATGGGTTTAATGGACAATGGCTGAAATTTCATCCTATGTAGAAAGTTACTCGTTCAGCCTGTTGGACCAGTGATTAGTGACGCCATCAGGGCACACCACCTGAGGATGTGGGCCCTACCCCTGCACGGATCAATGCCCTGCATTCCATTTTGTTGTTTTCCCTCCTTGCTACTAACATCATGAGAATGCTGTGGTTCCATAACCACCCGTGTATTTCATCTGCAAGGCTCATGGTCATTATCCCAGCTTTAGTAGGTGGAGAAAATGAGATCAAGATGGCTAAATTACTATCCCCGGATGGTAGTGTGAGTCAGTGCACAAGGTTGGAAAATTCCTAATCCCTAGTGTCCTGCCCTACCCAGTATAAGGCTGCTTCCTGCCATCATTTACTTCTTAAGGAACCTAAGTAGGGACTTCAGGTTTGAACGTTTTTTCTCTTTCCACCCAGACTTTCTGGAACTGGTTGAGAAGTGTCAGCAGCAGAGAATCCAACACAGCCAGGCCTCTCCAAGAACACCTAAGTCCCCTGCAAAAAAACCAATCCCCACCAACAAGGACATGGATTAATCTTCCACAGCAGACAACAGCATCTTTCTTCACAGAGAAACATGATGAACCCATAGGGGCCACTTACTTGTCGTCTAGAAGCAGCAAACCACACTCCTCCAGCTCTTTCACTTCCTCTGATTCTCCAAATGCATCCCACAGGCTGAAGTCAGGGGCAAATTGTAGCCAGTGCTGTAGAAAAGAAATGCTGCTAGGATGGCCGTTGCAATAACCAATAACAAGTGAGATAATAATGAACTGTGTGGAAATGAATCATTAACTAAAGGCTTTGCTTTGTGGAAGATCTGGAAAGGAAATGGAAGGCTTTTGGGATGACGCAGTTCTAAAAGAGAACCGCCATGACAAGACAGGCTGTGTTGCAGGATTGACGGTCAAGAGGGGGAGGAAGCCACGGCTTTGTTATCATACTTGACTATGTGTTTGATCTGGCAGAACCCCCTGAAAAGATTGATGTTGGAGCAACGGGTCTGTGAAAGCTAATGAGCAGACGCTAAGACTGTTTTCTATGGAAGTGCTGAAATGGCGTCTGCCGTCTGAATTTGACTTTTGGATTAATGTGAAAATCCACACAGGACTATAACAACGCTTGTTTCAACTCGCTTGTGGAGACTTTCAGAGGTTATAAAGAAAGGAAAAAAATATGATACCAAGAAGATTGAAAGATGATTTGTAAAGGAAAACAACAAAGAGATGAATGAACAGAACTGTGAACATCAAAGCAGCAGAAATAAGAGATGATTGGATCCCTTTCTGAGCTTGAAGCATGGGTACCCCATACAAAAATTTAAAATTCGGTTTTGTAATTTGGAACTAATGTGATTTTATTGGTTTGTTAATAAAAATTATTTTTAAAAAAAGAAAAAGAAATGCTGCTAGGATGGGTGTTGATTGATAGTTTCGAGAATTTGCTTTGACGTTCATGTCCTATCAGAACACTAATGAGTGGGAGGTGGGGTGGAATGTGACTTCCAAATGTCAGTTATAAAGTCCTCGCAATGAATTCCTCAGCCTCTCATATACTTTTAAGACCATATGATGGGGCCCTGCTCTGGTTGATCCCCTCCGCCACCAGAGTTTAAACTGGCGTCCTCAAGAAGTTGGACCTATTCTCTTGCGGCACATCCTCAAGGATGCTCTAGCTCCCTAGAAATTTTCAGGAAGCGCAGTAACTCCCCCCACAGCCTCCCATTCTGCTATCAAGTTTGCATATAACACTACACCAAACAAACCATGGCTTAGTGTGAGTGTTCCTGGAGAACGCTCCTACCCCTGCTGCGCTGCTGTGAGCTAAGCCTTGCCTTGGCTAAGCATGTTGTCTTAACCTAGGCTTTGGGTTTGCCTGCTCCAGACAAATTACAAGCTGTAAACCCAGAACACCCCGTAGTTACAGCTCATGGCTTGACTGGAGCGACACAAACCTCAAGCCTGGGTTCAGATGACACCCTAAGCCAAGGCATGGCTTGGCTCACAGCAGTGCGACGGCAGCAGCAAGACAGAAGCAGCAGCAGCAAAATGACTGTGATTTCTCCATTTGCACTAAGCCATAGTTTGTATTATGTGCAACCCAGCTCTACATATTGCTTGAAGTATATCATTTACTGATTTTATGAGTTGTTGATTTATGAGTTGTTTTAAATTGGTTTTTTATGGTCTTTATTTATTTTCTGGCTACCTTTGGAGACTCCTAACACCAAAAGGCAAGAAGTAATGTACATACGTAAAAATAAATAAATTCTTTTTTGCTTTTTTCCCCTTCTGTCCTTGGCAACCAGCATTCAAGCTAGCATATCTTTCTGAAATCCTAGGTTGACTGCATCTTTGTAATGAAGGTCAGTAACTGAGCGGCCATGCCAGTTGCTAAAACAGAATCTAGATGCTAGTTTGGTGGCAAACCCATATTTGAATGCCAACACCCCTTTTATATTGTTGGCAACAAACCATCGTTGGGAGTAAGCCTGGCAAGTTAAGCTGCAGCAAGGGTGGAAGTACCGTATTTTTCGCTCTATAACACGCACCCGACCATAACACACACGTAGTTTTTAGAGGAGGAAAATCCGTAGGCATGCCACCCGTAGGCTTTTCCTCCATAACACGCACAGACATTTCCCCTTACTTTCTAGGAGGAAAAAAGTGAGTGTTATGGTGCAAAAAATACGGTATATTGTTGTTTTCATCTCAGCCTGCACTGGGACTGTGCAAAATTGTCTAGTGGTTTCTAGATTTCTACCATAACCAAAATATGCTAAGCAATTTGGCAAGCTTGAATTGGTTTGATTTTCAAAGCTTGACTTCACCATTTTTGTGTTTGTTGGAGGGGTGAAGATTTAGGGCAGGAATGGGAAACATGACCCTCCCAATGTTGAACTTGGCTCCCATCATCTCGGACCACCAGCCATGTTGGCTGGGATTGATGGGAGCTGGAGTCCCAGGAACATCTGGAGAGCCCCATGGTCCCAGTTCCTGGTGTAGCTTACAGTACTACTCAACAAGATGCCTAACACAGCACTGCTGCCAAATTAAGAAGCTTGGTGTTGAGTTGTTTTTCCCCACCCTAGTAATGCTTTTGGTCAGAAATAACCATGTTATTTTCCTTTTCTTTCCTGCTCCCAGTGTACATAACTGGATGCTGCAAGGAAACAAATATAACTCTGAATAAAAGTTGGAGAGAGAGAAAGGTGCAGGGGGTTGCTTTAAAGGTAAAGGCAAAGGACCCCTGACAGTTAAGTCCAGTCGCTAACGACTCTGGGGTTGCGGTGCTCATGTCACTTTACTGGCCGAGGAAGTCGCCGTTTGTCCACATACAGTTTTTCCAGGTCATGTGGCAAGCATGACTAAGCCGGTTCTGGCGAAACCAGAGCACTGTACAGAAACGCCGTTTACCTTCCCGCCGGAGCGGTACCTATTTATCTACTTGCATTTGATGTGCTTTCGAACTGCTAGGTTGGCAGGAGTTGGGACCGAGCATCGGGAGCTCACCCCGACACAGGGATTCGAATCTTAGAAGGATGTTGGATAGAAACTAAGAGGTTTTTAGCTGTAATGCTTTAAGAGATATGAAAAAAGGTTTACAATTGGGTAAAAGTTTAATGGTAAGGATTTGCTGAACTAACAAACTGAACTGGAATACAAAAAAGGGAGGTATGAGGAGGTCCGGGGAAATAAGTGTAGGGAAGATAGGTTTGGAAAATCAATGTGTTTTTTTTAAACTGTTTTATTTTGTATGTTTCTTTTTTATTCTTTACTTTTTTGTTATATTTTAAAAACTTTACTCTTTTTTCTGTATTCTGTATTTTTTGTATTTTTTGAAACTTTAATAAATATCATTTAAAAAAAAAAAGAACCACCAACCTTCCGATCGGCAAGCCCTAGGCTCAGTGGTTTAGACCACAGCGCCACCCACGTCCCTGTGGGTTGCTTTAGGCAACAGCTAATTCTCTCCTTGTTGGACCACTGAAAGCAACAATGTGTGTTTCAAGGAAAATAAACCGAGGGCGGGGAAAATCTGCAGTTCCTAAAATTGAGAGCCTCGTGGCCAGTGGAAATCCCACGAAGGTTATTTCCAGCTTTCATTCATTTAGCAACCACAACCAGCAGGTTTTTCAAAGCTTTCTCCAAAAGGAATAAAAATCCAATCTTTTAAAAGCAGATTCAAACCACTGGTGCTGGTCACGTATTTTGCTTCTTGGCCACTCATTTCTCTTTAATTCTTTTGATTCTACCTGCTGAGTACCTTGTGGAAAAGACAGAGAAAGTTCAGAAAAAGAGGAAGTAATAGGCCATTTCTGCCAAAAGCTCTGGAGTTAGGGCACTGAAAATTTCAGCCCCAGCCAGTTGGCTGCAAGTGCAGTTGCTGGCACAATCACACCTCACCTTGTGTGTAATTCCTATATCCATACGAAGCCCCAACATCAGAACCTCTTCCAGTCTGCAAAGGAGACAGTCACAGGGTAACATAACACAAGGACATAGAACTCTCTAGCAACCTAGGAATAGTCACCAGAAACCTGTACTGCTTTTTCTGCACACACCATTCCTAGCAACTGTAGCAGATTAGCTTAGACCAGGCATGGCCAAACTTGGCCCTCCAGCTGTTTTGGGACTACAATTCCCATCATCCCTGACCACTGGTCCTGTTAGCTAGGGATGATGGGAGTTGTAGTCCCAAAACATCTAGAGGGCCAAGTTTGGCTATGTCTGGCCTACGCAGAGGACACATGCTCTGAACCAACTTCACCTGCTATTTCAAGCATTATATACATATTAAAACATATTTGCCTAGATCAGTTTCCCAAACTTAGGTCTCCAGCTGTTGTTGGACTACAATTCTCATAATCCCCAGCTACCAGGACCAGTGGCCGGGGATGATGTGAACTGTAGTCCAAAAGCGGCTGGAGCCCCAAGTTTGGGAAACCCTGGCCCAGCTGAAGGGTGGAGAGATGAGTATGCATAGAAGCCTCTGGATTCTCCACAGCTGAAATGTAGCCACCATATCAAAGATAAGAGTCACTGTGGCTCCATCCATTCCTTGCCTCTGGCCCCACCCACCACTGCCACCCTAAAAGATTGACTTGAGGGAATGAGGCCCTTGAGCTGAAAATCCTCCCCTCCCCCTTCTTTAGAGTGTTCAAAGCATTTCACATAGAGTGTTCAAAGCATTTCACATGGATTTTCTCAGAAATCCTAACAGCAATGTAATGTAGGTCTTAGTACAATGGTACCTCGGGTTAAGTACTTAATTCATTCCGGAGGTCCGTCCTTAACCTGAAACTGTTCTTAACCTGAAGCACCATTTTAGCTAGTGGAGCCTCCTGCTGCCGCCGCGCTACCGGAGCACGATTTCTGTTCTCATCCTGAAGCAAAGTTCTTAACCCGAGGTACTATTTTTGGGTTACTGGAGTCTGTAACCTGAAGCGTATGTAACCTGAAGCATATGTAACCCAAGGTACCACTGTATTCCCCTATTGCAGATGGGGGCCTAAGCAGTCATGGCATGCCTATGGGCAACTACTGAGTTTGTGGTCAAGTCAAAACTTGAATCCAAGGTGTTCCCGCTGCAATACCATGGTTTGAAGGAATTCTACTCAAATTCATGGGATAAAACTGCCTCCTCGCCTCCCCTTCTGCTTACATATCCAGTTTGCTGAGTTCAGTCCGCTTCCGGGTCCCGTGCCCAACGGCCAACACCTCCTTCATCCATACATCTGGCTCCAAAGTCTGTATCCTGGCCTCCCGATGGACCTTGCCATCTCCCCATGGCACAAATCTCCCATGGGCACCTAGGAAAGAGGCAGCCAGGGCTGTGGCTTAATTCTTCGTCTCTAGAGGGTATGGGAAGCAAATGTGCATAACTGCCCAGCCATCAGATGGCTGAGGCCATCTTTCCCCAACAACTCATGTCTAACATGAAGCACAGCTAAAATGGTGCCATCTGAAAAGCACTTTGGAGAGCCCAGATTGGGAAGCGGCTGGCCCCTCTCATCTCCCCAAGCAATGCTCACCTGGTCCAATCCCGATATATTGACTCCCTTGCCAATAGGACAGGTTGTGGGTACTAAGTGCCCCCTGCAGGGGGAAAAAAACAGAACAGCATAACCACTAAGGAATAGGTAGTCCAGTGTTACACCATGCTGGGCACCCTTTAGCGACCGACTCCTGAGGACGCTCAGCAACTCAGTGGATCCAGCATTCAAGTTTTGTGAGAAAGTGGAAAGCTCAGATTTAAAGCTCTCTCTTGGGATGGGAACTAAGCCTTCTGACTATCAGTCTCAGCCTGTGCCTACTGCCTTCCATAACATGCTCTGTTCTTTGCTAAGAAGGCATCCTCAGAGCATGTTTGCTTCACTTCTGTAGCTGGATAATATTCTTCTCTTTCCACACACACACACACACACACACACACACAATCAAGCAAGCAAGCTTATTTCATTATCTGAAATTATTTTGTCTACTCCCTTCTGCTTAGGCCAGAGGAACCCCGCCACCAATCCATCTGAAGACTGGATGAGACCCATGGGTGCTTCTCTGCATATCCCCCTTGGGGGGGATTGTTTTGTGGTTTTTTTGGAGTGGTTGCAACTGAAGAGGGAAGGGTTAACCATATCCTGCAACCCCAACACTGAAAAAAGCTCCTCTTGCTTGTCAGACTTGAAAACTCTCTCTCTCTCTCTCTCTCTCTCTGTGTGTGTGTGTGTGTGACAGCACACGGGGAGAAGGTTAACTATTCCCTTAGCAGCTATGACCCTCAACCCCAGTTACCCTCCACCTGTGGCAATTGTGTTGAAAAAAAGTCTTCCAATGACTCCAATGCGAAGCTGTTTTCAAGCTTAGCTGTTGTATATGTGTGTGAGAGAGCGAGATCTTTGTGGAGACTGCAACTCCAATGCTTTTTCAAGCCTAATTATTTGGAGGTGTGGTCAGAGTGTGTGTTGGGGCGGGAAGAAAACAAACATGAATGGGTATTGGTATGGTCTGTATTATACATGAGAATGGATGGAAGTGGGTGACATTGGTGTGTATGAATTGGTGTGTGGGAAAGATTCACAATGTTTGGATGCTGCCCTTGGACTGAGTAAGGTCCCCACTCCTGATTTAAGCTATACAGTGGTGCCTCGCAAGACGAAATTAATCCGTTCCGCGAGTCTCTTCGTCTTGCGGTTTTTTCGTCTTGCGAAGCACGGCTATTAGCGGCTTAGCGGCTATTAGCAGCTTAGTGGCTATTAACGGCTTAGCGGCTTAGCAGCTTTAAGAAAATGGAAACAAACTCGCAAGAACTCGCAAGACGTTTCGTCTTGCGAAGCAAGCCCATAGGGAAATTCGTCTTGCGGAACGACTCAAAAAACAGAAAACTCTTTCGTCTTGCGCGTTTTTCGTCTTGCGAGGCATTCGTCTTGCGAGGTACCACTGTATAGCAGAGGTTCTAGGCAAAGTAACAGACTTACATTCCTAGCGAAATTGGAGACCTCGTACTGATGGAAACCTGAATTTTGCAAAACATGCCGGGAGCACTCGTACATCTCTGATACTACATCCGGATCAGGCATGGGCAGGGAGCCCTGGTGGACTTGCTTGAAAAGCGAAGTTCCCCTCTCCAGTGTCAGCTGGTAGAGAGAGATGTGGTCATCACACACAGTGAGCATTTCCTCCAGACCCTGGATCCACGATGCATTGGTCTGACCCGGGAGTCCAAATATGAGGTCAATGGAAGTACGGCCTGCAAAGAGTTTCTTGGCTTCTTCTAAAGTTCGTAGAGCGTCCCAAGATGTGTGGTTCCTTCCAAGGAGTTTCAGTTCAGTATTATTAAGTGACTGTTGATGAGGACGGGAAAACATGAGTATATTTGCCTCATTTATCAGGAGAAGAAGAAGTGCAAGTGTTGGGAAAGAGATATGAGTAAGGCAAGAGTGAAAACACTATTAGAGCATGAAGATTTTTGAATGTCAGGTGCAAGCAAGAACCAATGGGAGCAAAATGTGAAGAGTCTGGTGGCCAAAAAACAGTTTGTGCAAGAGATTTCCCATTTTCTCCCTCTCCCCTTTGAAATACATTCTTGGGGGGGTTGTGTTTTAACTCCTTCCCTGACTGAAATCTCACACTGATCCCCAGGTTGTTGTTTGCTTTCTCCCTTGCCAAATTTAACTCTTACTTTCAAAATTGTGAATGTAGAAAAATAGTAACAGGAAAGGAATTTCTCACAGGTCAGATTGGTGGTTATCCTGGACTATTCTGAGATATTTATTCCATAAGTAACTGTTTGCTGTTTCTGGCATACTATGGGCAGGAAAGGGGAGGAAGAGAGATGCTGATAAATAGAGTGGCAAGCTCAACCATTTTTGACAAATGCAAGTTGCCAAACATTTCCATAAATGCTTTTTAGAAACTTCTCCCAAAAGGAATATTGTAACTGGATCAGCACAGATTAATACAGCCCTGAAAGCAATGCACCCGTCACCTCACCTGGACACCAATGGAGAGGCGATTGACACCAGCTTTCTGGAACTCAGCCAGGCACGAGGCATCTGCTGAAGTGGGATTGGCTTCCAGTGTAACCTCAGTGCCTTCTGCTAAATGGGCACACTGGGAGACAGTGTCCAGGACAGAGGCAATGGTGAGTGGGTTGGCCAGGCTTGGCGTCCCTCCACCAAAGAACACTGATGTGATTCTGCAAAACCAAGGAGAGGGTGAGAGGGACATATCTGAGGAACCCACAGTGTTGAGCCATATACGTCTCAGCCATACATCTCATTGCCTTTTTTTTGTCTACTGCTTTTCAATAAAATAAATAAATCTTCCTATAGCAGTTTACAAGCCACTTAACAAATATACAACATAATGTTCCCACTGATCAGAAAGACTTAAAACCTCTGTAGGATTTCACAAAAGCCACTGTCCTCTAATGGTGAAGAGCATCTGTACTGAATATATTGGGCTTATTCCAAATCACTAAAATTCCCAACGCAAGAGCAGCTGCTGGCTTTGTTGTAAAACTCATCTCTTTCCCTTTCCTTCCAAAGTTCCCTGACTGTAAATCCTGACTGTTCAAAACCTCCCCCTCATCTTCCACTATACTAACCTCTTGACTTGGCTGAGTTGGATCAGGGTCTGGGCCTCCCGAACAAGACAGTTCCTCATTTTCTGTTCATCAAGATTTCGGGGAATGTACTTGTTGAAGTTGCAGTAGCTGCAGCGTTTCTCACAGTAGGGCCACTAAGAGACCAAGGAAACAATAGAATTCTTATTTGTTAAGACCTAACACACTTTCTGGTACCTTCACCCTGCTGTGTCCTGCTATCGTCAACATCTTGCCAGACCAAAGCCTGTAACACTTCTATCTACCAAGAGGGGCAATCAATAAAATGGCTTGGAATGCAAAATATTTAACTCTGCACTCATTCTACCCCAAAGGTACATAGTGACCACCAGCATGTTTTATAAACATGGTAGATTCAGAATACAAATATACTTATTGCACTATAGACTTAGTCCTACTCAGCAGAGTTTAATCTCAGCCAATAAATGCCAGCCCAAGTAAAAAAACAACCACAAACCCGTTTTATTTCATAAAGATGCTCTATCTCTAGCTTTGGCTAAACTTCAAAGGCTTTCCAGTCATCGTGACCATCATGTCTTTCAGTCCGTATATTTTTGGGCAGGTGAAATGTTTAAGAGAGGACTCTACAAAGGAGTTATGTGGGAAATTTAACCTGGGGGTAAGCAGCATTGCATTCAATAGGACTTCCTTTTGTGGAGATATGGTTAGTATTGCATTATGAATTATGCTTGGGAAGAGGATGATTGCTGGAGGAAGTGTAGCACAAGGCAACCTAGTCTTCTACACTTGCTATGGCAACGCCCCAGCATGAACTTGTTCTGAAATAAAATCAGTTGTGGTTCCAAACACAAATATGGAATTACGTGGGGAAGAGCAAGAGCAGAATGGTATTTTAATACCAATTCACAGAAAGTCAGCACAGGTGGTTTTCCAGGACTCTTTCCTGAAGAGGGCCTCCAAAAATAACCCAATTACTCATGGGGATGTGCTACATATATTCTTCCTGATGCATTAGTAAGTTTTTGTTGTTTTTAACATGTAGGAACATTCATATAACCCCCCTCAGTTGAAAATCAAACCATACTGCTCAGGAAGCAACAACCTGTCGTGTTAATGATGTGTAGTTTGTCTCTTAAGTAGACAGAAAAAGGACAAAGGCAGACATGGAAGAGTGAAGGCAAGGAAAGACTGTCAACTATGAAAGAGGTGCGCTTAGTCTGGGGTAAAATGCCATGTTGCCACGTATTTCTGTTTCAGAGGAAGTCTATTGGGCTTTTGGCTGAGCAGAATCCATTATACACTTCTTAGAAACTAGATGAGGTAGATAAATCTCTATGTATCTGATCTGTCCGTAGTATTTTCCTCCTCAGTTATGGTGCAACTCTCGTTGAGTCATAACCATCTGTGTTGTGATTGTAAAACACATGCAAGTCCTCAGTAAGAGGTGGTTCTTTTGTGGGGGTGGGGGAGAATGTAAGACACATTATCACCACCATGCGCATGCGCAGAGTGAGAACGGCTCCGTCGAGGAAGCGTACTGTACTTTCACCAGTTCAGACCCCACGCAAGCGCACTGGAGGTGAGGGAAAGAGGCCTGCAAAAGGAAACAGGGCAAACCCTCCTTCCGGACTCAGAGAACGCCTAAGGAACAGCGCATGCGCACTTTACTAAAAGGTGTGTGTGGAAGGTATCCCCAGCAGTCGATTTGGCGGGAGTTACTCAGCGCCTCAGGAAAAGGAGGAGGAGCTTTACTTCGCGGTACGCATGCGCAAAAGTCCGTTTTACAACGCTCGCGGGGAAGCCGGCGTGCGCAAGCGCATAAAATGTTTTTTTCCTCCCTCTCGCGCGCGGTGGGTCGCGTTCCGCTTCTCGCCGGACTCACGTGGACGTAGAGCGCGGCGGTCGCCGCCGCTTCCGGAGCGGGAGGCCGAGGGCGGAGCTGCGCGGCGGAGGCGCCTCCGAAGAGCCTCTCTGGCGGCCGGACTGCCCTTAGGCCAGCCGGGAGCGCCGCCCTGAGCTTGCCAAGGGTGCCCATGCCGCTCCGCGCTGCTCTTCCGCCACCTGACGGGCGGAGGCGACGAGGAGTCCGCCCCTAGCGACGGGGAGGGCGGGGGGCGAGAGAGGCTGGGCTCCGCTGGAGCGTCTCTGGCCCACGTTGCTTTGCACAGTAAAAAATAAATAAATAATGCGGTTTTTTATAATAAAAAAAACCCGGCCCCTTCTCTGCAAGGATCTAGCATGAGAACTCGCAGAATGGCGGTTAACGGAAGTGCAGCTCACTTAAGCATGTGCAGAGTGCGCTTTATAGTTTTCAGCACTCATCGAGCGGTATCTCTCTCTTGCGCGCGCGCACGTAACCCCGAGATGAGTTGGTTGGCGTGTCAGCGCTAGACCTGGGGACAACCGTTATTACCATTTCTTAGCCTGACCCGCCTCAAAGGGGGGTTGGGAGAATCTAAATTTGCGGGAGAGGAAGAGGAAGTGGGGGGCGGTAGGGACTACATAGGCTGCGCAAAACTCTGCTTGGAAGATGAGTGGAATTCTATAGATCGATGCATATGCAGGTGGTGTGTGTTATCTCATATAAATCTAGAGCAGGGTTTTCAGTACAAATATAGACCCTCAACGCTTTTAGGACTCATTTATGAAACTTCTGGTTTGGCTTTTTGGAAATGGAGAGCCCCTGAACTGGTTGCTGAAGTGTCTGATAGCGCCCCGCGGTGGGGATCATGGAAACAAGCAAAGCACGTGGCTTTCCCCAAAGAATCCCAGGAAATGTACTGCTTACAGACATTCAGCACCCTTAAGAAACTAGTCCCCAGGGTTCTTTGCGGGATGTCAACGTGCTTTCAGTGTATGTTGTATACACAGCCATGGACAATTTTCTCCATTGCCTTGGCACTTCACCCTCCCCCCCCTTTCCCCTCATTAACCTGTGAAACAGGACACACCTAGGAAAAACAGAATAAAAACCTAAGACACAAGACCTTTGAAATGCCCTAGGGGCATGGAGTTATTTACTCCGGGCACCTTTTTATTTTAGTTGAATCAATATGTAGGTTATGTTATATCAGGCATGTCCAAAGTCTGTTTCGGGGGACTAAAAAAAATGTCAACAACTTTGGTTGGCCCCCACGGCCCTTCACTTCATCAAGTCTGGCCCCCTTTGAAAAAAGTTTGGGACACCTCTGTGTTATATAAAGCACATGAAGTACCTTGAATTGGTGGGTCAACGTCTGTGGTATCATGCGTAAGCCTTTGAAATGACTACAGTTCCAGCAGCTAGACAGCAGATGGCACACCTATGCTTTCTGGAGGTAGTGCGGTCACTTGGTAGCTAATACACTCCTTAAGAGTACAACCCAACGATATCGGATGCCTCTTAGTATTTCAGAAGACTCCCAACCATGGCAACAAAAGATCGAGCAAATGAGAGGCTAGTTAGCGTCACACACAAATACACAAACTGCCTGGCTTCTGGTCTTACTCAAATCTTTTTTTAATACTGTACTTTAAAGTCCCAATTATCCACCCCTTAGGGGAGAACGTTATGCTACAGCTGGAAGAATGCATTCATATTCTCTCCCATGAATTCCCTCCTGCAAATAGAAAGCTGTCATTTCAGGGACGATTAATCCATGTAAAAATGTGGAAGTAGTTTCTGGATTTGTAGAAGAGTGTATACAATGAAATAAAATCCAGAGCAGTAGCTATGTTAGTCTTTTGCTGATTGTTACTACCATTGTCTTTTATCTGATATCCCTGACTCTCCCATAATTGCCTGAAAACTGAACCTCTTTATTGCCGTTGTAAACCAAGTGTTAACAAGTTTTTTCTCGTTAAGGAAATTTGTTGATTCTTAATTGTTACAAATGCCCATAAAATCTTCCTTCTTTGGTGATCACTCGTAGCCTAGTAGGAGTGTCTTCCATGAACACGGTCTTAACAGTGAGTCTGTAAGTGACTGTGGAGGCCAATTCTGGATCCACACATCCTTCCACGGTGGGGACATAGGCTTCCGGACGCAAATTGATCATGGTGAGGGTTTGCCAAATGTGCCTTCCTCTTAGCACCTTTCTCCCTTTCGTCCTGAGTTCGAGCATCTTCAAAGTCCATGACACCTTTGGTAAAGGCTGTTCTCCAATTGGAGCGCTCACAGGCCGGTGTTTCTAAGTTGTCAGTGTTTATACTACATTTTGGAGATCAAAGCTGGAATAGATTCTCACATTGCTTTGTTCTCAAGTGACAGCTGTAACCAAGAATCAAATATGGGACTGGCATCTCTATTTCACGCTTTAGGATTGCAGCTGGAGATGCTGCGCATTGTCCATCTCCCCCACCCCGCAGCACCACTGCCTACCTGCTAAATGACTGCCTCATACACCACAGTGGTCAGCCCTGTGTATCAGTCAGACAGGGGCAGGGGCCTGTCTGGAATTTCTCCCACCACTCAGAAACCACAATCAGCATCCCATTTTAATTGAGGAAGAGCATTCAGGTTTGTGTACCTTACAGAGAGAGACAGAGATGTGCATGTTGTCTCTAATACCTTTGTTTCACTTTGGGTGCTGAAGGCATCATGCTTTTCCTGGGAGAAAGGTGGAGTGGGGGCTGTGGCGTCTGATCCAAGGTAAAAAGGAAACAGAGCAGAAGAGGGAAAGGACAAGTGAGGTTGGATAGTTTGAGATGGGTGCAGCGGCATAGCTAGCCGCTTGGGTGCTGGGTGCGGCGTGTGCTTCCTGCAATTGGGGGTGGGGCATGTTGCATGGAGCCTCTCCGCTGCCTCCCCCTCAGCTGTAGGGTGGTTGAGGGAGAGGTGGTGGGCAGACGCAAGTCCCACGCTGCTGTTTCAGGCAGCGCGGAGACTGTAGGCCTCTAAGCCACCATGTCACTCCCAAGAGAGACGCATGGCTTGGGCACACTGCAGGCCCCGTGGTAAGTGCCGGGCCCCGCAATGTGGTGCCTAGTGCCAGCCGCATTTTGTTACATTTGTTGACTGAACTAAAAAGTTTTGTGAGCCCAATTTTTAAATTATTTTTAAAAATTATTTTTAAAAACTCGTCTTTTTGTCATTTTGTCACCCCCCTCAGTGATGACACGCACCCCCCGCATCCCTTTCCTCTCTCACTGGATGGGAGAAAAGGACAGGAGAAGGCCATGACTAGAAGAGAATGTTTGGACAGGTTAGGCAGAGTTGTGCATGTGCATGAGACTTCAGGGGAAACCAGGGTTAATAAGTGAAGGAAGCCTGAAGGAACATTCAGCACCATAAAAGAGGGAAAGCCTTTGTGTACAAGCCCATGACGACCACCAATAGCTCCTTGCTCTGCACTCATCTCTGTTGGGAAATCACACAAACGTGGCATCCATGCAGGCAACAGTTTCTGTGGAACTGAAACTAGATGTTAGTGCTGCTGTTAGAGCATTGGGGGATCTCCACTGAAACACTATTCCGCTATTCTCAGGGTTAACCATCCATCTTGCTCTCTAAGCTTGTGTAAATGTCTATACATAATGCAATGGTCAATACACTTCCAAGAAGCCTAGCTTGTTTTGGGGGGAGCAGCTGTGTTTGCATGTGTGGCGTGGAGGCATTTTGCAGGCAATATTTTTTAAAAAGAGGAAGAGATTTATGGCTAATAAGTTTTATTTCCTAATTATTGTATCCGTCAGAGCCTGCAGGGGTTCAGCGAATCCCAGAAACTCTGACAGGCCTGCTACCTTCCTACCACATCTGGGGGCGTGTGTGTGTGTCACACTAGCACAGTTAATGGAAAGGAAACCGGTTCCCTTATATGAGAATTTTCCGTTTCTTCAGGGTGTGGTCTCAATGTCACCCGATTCAAAAGACACATCAAAAAGAAAGTGCTTCTGCTGCAGAAATAAAAAGGAAGTTCTTAGGTGACAGGACCCAGGGGGTTCCCGAAACACAGAGTGATGACACGCATTGAAATCACTGTGGCCTGGCAATGAGGATTTCCCCCTTGTCTGGCAACCTTTATAAAGAGAGGGAGGGAGGAAGAGACAAACACAGGCAAACCAAGATGAAGGGAAACCTTGTGGAGTCCTTGTGCTTCATGCTATTTTTCATGATGTCTGTCCTGATACTGAACGTGCTGTCTGTGAGGCTGTGGAAGGTTTGTATCTTTGCATTTGCTGAGGGGGTAGAGGTCATCGCGACAACAGGGGATTAAGGCTGTGCGGATGGTAGTTAATGCTAGAACTACTCAAAGTAGATCCATTGAAGCCTATTAATATACTGTACACGACCAACATAGGTTTATTTGTTTCATTGGGTCTACTCTCAAAGGAACTTCACTGGTTGCAATCTGATGCATGCAATTTTTGTTCTTTACCAACACCCTGGTATGGGCAAGTGGGAAAGCTGTACAAAGAAAGAGCTAATTGGAGGGAAAGGGGATTATTGAGAAATCATAGGAGAGTTTCACTCTGGCAATGTGGCCCGATAACAGGGTCAAAACATGTCTCGTATAGTAACTTTTTACTTGGCAAGGTAAGTGTGTAAGACAAGGTCTACTGCAGTGGTTTTCAACCAGTGTGCTGTGACACCCTGGGGTGCCTTGAATGATGGTCAGGGGTGCCGCAAGGCAACACTGGTCTCTGCCCCTCTTTCCTTCCCTCCCTCTGATGCCCTCTCGTGCTTCTGCCTCCCAAAGACTTAGGTACACGGCTGTTTGTTGCAGCAGCCCTGGCTACAAGCTCCCTAGGTGAATGGTGTCTCTGGGAGGCACCTCTCTTTGGGGTGGGGGGGGGCAGCTCAGAGACCAGCTGCCTGGAGGACTCCCAAGGAGAGGGGAGAAGAGGCTGAAGGAACACCCCACAAGGGAAGGTGGTTGAAAAGGGGTGAGGGGCTGCCAGTTCTGCAGGCAAACTGTGACGTAACCATGCTTTTGAGGCTCTTACTTGCCTTTTATCTAAACTAAAAACACCTCAAACATTGCAACCTTTCCTCAAAGGTAAGTTGCTCCATCCGCCAACATTAATTAATAACTTTGGTTGTACTTTTCTGCATCCTTTTCCCACCTCTACTTTTTTTAAAAAAGCAGTGTTATTAAAGAGTTAATAATGTGAGGTCTGACATAATTATTTCACAGCATCTCCAGCATCTCTAGCTGTTCCCGTGGCCAAATTCCTCCCAAACTGATTAAGACTAGAGAAGCAGCATACGCTTATTTCATTCGAGTTTTTTTGGGATTTCTTCCAGGGTTTCACCCCAACTCCTAACTTCCTTTCCCATCAAAGAAGCTGGGCATTGTCCTGTGTTGCGGAATCCAGTAGTGGGGCCTATCACCATGTAAGTATATTTTGTGCATCTGTGGCACACGGCTGTTAAGCTTAAAATGGCAACTAAAGTCTTCTTGTGAGATAATTTCATATTGCATTTAAAGGACAATGAAACGTGTGCATATTTCATATGTGGGCTGGGAAAATCTATGGTGTATTTTTAATTTTTAAATACCGTAGTTAGCACATGTTTCTTGCGTGTTTGATGGGCCGTAACAGGGCTCTTAATCACTCCAGGTAAATAGGTACTGCTGCGACAGGAAGGTAAAAGGCATTTCCATGCGCTCTGGTTTCTGTCACGGTGTCCTGTTGCGCCAGAAGCAGTATAGTCATGCTGGCCACATGACCCGGAAAGCTGTCTGTGGACAAATGCTGGCTCCCTTGGCCTGGAAGCGAGATGAGCGCTGCAACCCTTTGACTGGACTTAACCGTCCAGGGGTCCTTTACCTTCCCTTTACATTTTATCTATAGTGGAGACATAACAGAAAAGAAACAGCTGGCAATGTTGAGGTCCAGTGAGCGCCACTGGAAAGTGTAGTAGCACCCTTTGTGTGCTAAAGGTGATAGTTGTCGTCAAGAGGCAAAAGGCCCATCCATTTGACATCTGTGGGAGGGATCTTATTTCCCTTCTCATCCCCTAGTCTCAAACTAATTATGACATCAAACATTCACATAGAAGAAGAGAAGAGTTTGGATTTGATATCCCGCTTTATCACTACCCGAAGGAGTCTCAAAGCAGCTAACATTCTCCTTTCCCTTCTTCCCCCACAACAAACACTCTGTGAGGTGAGCGGGGCTGAGAGACTTCAAAGACGTGTGACTAGCCCAAGGTCACCCAGCAGCTGCATGTGGAGGAGCGGGGAAGCGAACCTGGTTCACCAGATTACGAATCTACCGCTCTTAACCACTACACCACACTGGCTCTCATAATGAAACTCTTTCTTGACCTGACCTGGATTCTGTTTTCTTTCAGCAACAAAGCAACATATGGAGGCCCCTTGTGTTCTGCTTCCATGGGCAGAAACCACGCTTCAGCTGGGAGAGCCAGAAAAGTTATGGAGGAGACACACCCACCCTGACCACCTTCCTTTTTTCCTGAGAAAACCCTGGCTGTTTCTTTAAGAGATGAAGAACAACTTCCATGTTTCATTTTGCTTCTGAAATCGCTCTGTGACAAGGAGTCACATCTTCATTGCTAATGACTGATCTCGAACTTCCCCCAGGGGTCTTGTTCTACTAGATAAAGGGAGAGAGGGAATTCACTGCATACTTCGCTTAATTTGTTTGGAAACCAGCTGCATACTGCAATACCCACCAGTGCTATAATGCAGTACGTAAGACCATTCAGAAAGCATAGCGAAATCACGGTGTTACGTGCAGCCACAGAGTAAAAGAAGGAAAAGCTCAGGGTAGGTCATCAAAGGCGAGGAGGAAGAGTAGTAGCTTTATAACAAAACAGAACCAAGATCAAATTCTGCTGGCGTGGGGAGCTGCAGTCAGAAAAGAAAAGTGTTACGCACCAACTTCTGCGGTTCAGTATCATGGTTGGGAGGTGCCCTAATAAAGCTCCCGTAAAAGCAAACACATCCTAGATGCATTCCAACTTGTAGGATTTGAAGTTTTGAATTTCTATGGCATCAATACCTGTTTTGAATCGGAAATAAAGCAGATGAGAAATCTAATGTGTGGGAAGATTCAACTTCATGGCTTGCACTCAAAAGAACTGGAAAGAGGAACTACCTCCTCCAGTCCATAGCAGGGAGTTGGTTGCTGTGGAAGTGATGAAAGAGCTCAGCTCCCAAGTCCTTTTCTAATGCTCTCACGCCTCCTGATCCAGGTATTTACTTCATGGGCAGAAGGCTCTGGGTTGATTTATACCTCTAAAGCCACAGAAATCTGCTCTTGCTTTCCCTTTTGGTCACAACGGTGTTGTCTTGAATTAAATATGTGGCCATTATTATTATTACAGTGGTACGTCTGGTTACGTACTTAATTCGTTCCGGAGGTCCATTCTTAACCTGAAACAGTTCTTAACCCGAGGTACCACTTTAGCTAATGGGGCCTCCTGCTGCCGCCGCCATGCGATTTCTGTTCTCATCCTGAAGCAAAGTTCTTAACCTGAGGTACTATTTCTGGGTTAGCAGAGTCTGTAACCTGAAGCGTATGTAACCTGAAGCGTATGTAACCCGAGGTACCACTGTATTAGCAATGCTTTTTTTTAAGGGGGTATTCAAAGAGTATAAGGGGATGCGGGTGGCGCTGTGGTCTAAACCACAGAGCCTAGGGCTTGCCGATCAGAAGGTCAGTGGTTCAAATCCCTGCGATGGGGTGAGCTCCCGTTGTTCAGTCCCAGCTCCTGCCCACCTAGCAGTTCAAAAGCACGTCAAAGTGCAAGTAAATAAATAGGTACCGCTCTGGCGGGAAGGTAAACAGCATTTCCGTGCGCTGCTCTGGTTCGCCAGAAACGGCTTAGTCATGCTGGCCACATGACCCGGAAGCTGTACGCCGGCTCCCTCGGCCTATAGAGCGAGATGAGCACCACAACCCCAGAGTCAGCCATGACTGGACCTAATGGTCAGGGGTACCTTTACCTTTACTCAAGAGTATGCAGTACCAGCACCTTTTTGTTAGAAAGTGTGGCACTTAATGTAACAATATCATGATGAGTACTGGACCTATTTTTCTTTTTTTTAAAAGCACTGAAGATTATTATGAATTAAACTTATCAGTCACCTTTTTAACAAAATGCAGCTTACAGCAATAAACAAATAGTACCTGTGTAAGATGTGACATGGGAAATCAGGAGCACTTACATTTACAATAGAAAAACGTAATTGCAATCATAGAGGGGTGTGTGTGTGTTAGCTGCTAATTTCCCTATAGGGGAAAGCATACAGTTACCACAGTGAGGGAAGAGCAATTTAAATTTGGGGGGGGGGGGGGAGGCACAGAATGGTCTTCTCTCAGAACTACAGTCCCAATCTAGCTCTCAATAAAGATGCCCGACTGTTAGCTACTCTAAAATGAAAACACAAACAAACCTGAGAGAGCCTGATCATGGATCCACTGCGTCACATCTGGCTAATCCCTGGGAGTCCAATAAATGGTGCTCCATTTCAGTTACCAAAAGGTAGACAAGTGATCAAGCAAATCTCACCCCTTACTCCTTGATACATGAGGTTCACCACCCTTCTCAGGCAAGTTGCTCCAGACACTTTTGGTGTGTGTGGATGACCTGACTAATGAGAAGACAAGAGGTTCAATCACCATAGCCTATTATGGCAGAAAATGAAACAACAGGACGTCCAAAAGAGAATCACAATGCAAAAGTGCCAAAATTAACAGATTTGCTCCTACAAATCCAATATGAGCATGTTTCAGGTGACTATGCTCTTCTTCCCATGTAGCCTTTCTGACTGCTAGAAAGTACTTTCCCCTTCTTTTGGCTCGTAATTTGCAACACGATAGCTCTTAATGTTCCTACATGGGACTTAATTTTCAGCACCCTGGCATCCTTTGCATTCACCACTATTCCTCCAAAACTACAATTTCTAATAAAAGAACTGCACAGGATGCAGTAGAGGGAAAGGCAGGACTACCGGTATGTCTCTTCCATGATGTGCTCTGGTCACAAGGAGCAATGGGAATTCCCTTACGGTCCTCCTTACTAGGAGGAAATTGTATTTCTGGATACCATCCCCAGACATACAAACATGTTTTGTATTTTTAACAAAGTGAGGTGGAATTTCTTAACACAAAGAAGTAATCTCTGCTAAAGAAACAGATTTTTTATTTATTAGAAAAAAAACCCATGTTATTTTAAGTAGGCCTGACTAAAGCATCTTAAGGCAGGCTGGTGATTGCTATCTTAAGGCAGGTTGCCAGCTCTCTTAACGGCTTAGAAAGCTGAAGTATAAAAGTTGGCAGAAGAAATGTTAATTTTGGGTTGCGTTGGGTTGTTGGGTTCAAAGCTGAAGATGCTTCTCCATTCGCTCCCTCAGTTTGTATTTCTGAATCTAAGATTGGAACAGGGAGGAAAGAAGGAAGGAAGGGATTGGTTACAGCATTGCAAACATACTGGTCGTCCCTCTGCAAATATTTTGGTCCATGTCTATGGCCATCTCTCATTTAGGCTACCATAAAGTGCTCTCTCTCTCTTTGTTGCCTCACTTTGGACCCCTCACCTCTACCCAGAACTCTGCTGCCAAAGTCATTCACTTGTCTTTCCTTGCTCTGATGATGCAATGCTACTCCTTAAGACCCTACCCTGACTTCCCATCTTCTCCTGGATTCATTCTTGTCCTTTCCTTCAAAACTCTCCAAGTCCTTTCCCCCTTTATCTTATCATCCTGATATGTCTCCCCTTATGATCTTCACTCCCTGGACTCCACCATTCTCCATCACCTAAAAGTCTCAACCTCCCTCAAAAAATCCCACCTTCTATTACCTGCTGCCCTTCATATGCTAGTCACTGCCTCCTAGATGCCACCACTCCTACGTCTTCAAATTCCTCTTCAAAACCCACTTGTGGCCCACCCATCTACTAGTTCCATACCCAGTAGTCTGTAACTAGGCTCAAGCCCATGTAACTCAAGCAACAGCACACACTCCTTCCCTGTTTACACTATGTCCTCTTCCCCTCCCCTGTGATTCCACTGTAACTGGTTTAGTTTGCAAGTTCCTCAAGGCAGGGATCTTCCTGCACTCCGCAAAGCACCATGCAACCTATTGGGGCTAAGCAAGCAAAAGCCTTTGGACTGTCACTCACCTTGCCCGAGACGGTGAGCGGGAAATCCTTCACAAACACTATGTACCGAGGGATCTTGAAGTGAGCGATCTGCAAAAGAAAAGCCAATGGCTGTGGACTGACTCAATCTTTATACAGCGGGCTTGCTGTTCCCTGCTTGAGCAGGACTCAGAGCAAGTGCCTCTCCAACATGGAATATAAAACTGCATTTTATCTAAAGCCATATCCCCAACTGATATTAAGACAGCGGGAGCTTCCACACTAGGCATTTAGTGTGGAACTGCCATGCTTATTCAGTCACTTTTTATGAGGCATCCACCTGAGGCTGTCATCCTATCATACAGTCCTTCCGTCTTTCCTCAGACTACAGAAAGCCCAGTTGTTTTTTTCAGAAGAACAGAAGAGCAGCCCAAATGTGACAAGCGTACAGTCGTTCCAAAGCATTCAAAAACCAAAGCACGGCTTCTGATTGGCTGCAGGAAGCTCCTGCAGCCAATCAGAAGCCGCAGAAGCTCCGTCAGACGTTCAGCTTCCAAAAGAATGTTTGAAAACCAGAACAGTCACTTCTGGGTTTCAATCGTTCAGGAGTCAAAACATTCGAGAACCAAGGTACGACTGTAGATGCTTTTAGCACCACTTATAGTGGACGTGTGCTGAGGTTCAAATGGCCCTACCCACAGCAGCTGTGCCATGCCCCCATGGATGTATACAGAACATAGTGGAATGCACACCTCGAAAAGCACAATCCTCCTGATAGTGTGGGACATCGATTGCAATTCCACGTATAGCTTACAACGGAAGAGCAATGATTGGGCTGAGCTAGGAACCACCCATCTGGAAGCAGCCCTTGACGGAACCTCACCATTGGAGAGCTTGCTCTTTCTTTTTATTGGGTGGGAAAAAGCAGGACACAGCCACCCATCTCGAAGCTCCTACCTTCCCTTTGCAAAATGCCTTGACTTCTTCTACTGTGCACTCTTCTCCAGCTTTCACTCTGATGCTGGCGCAGATCTCCTCTCCCATTCGCTCGTCTTTCACGCCAACTACCTGAGTGAAAGAGAAGGGGGAAGTTGATCATGGGGCCCACCCAACTTACTGGGGTTCTTGACCCTGCTGGGTCAGGCCAACAACCCATCTAGTTCAGCGTCCTGTTCTCAAACAGTAGCCAACCAGGTTCCTGTGGGAAACCCACAAGCGAACTCATTTCCCTAAATGGCGATGGAGCCACATGGCATTTGTCGCACATTCAGCCTTAAGTATTTAGCCTGTGATGGCCTGGGACTCGGGCTCGGACTCGGAACCAGAGGAGACTCAGTCTGCACCGGATCCTTTGCCTCAGGCATTATCTAAACCAAGTCTGGGGCCTGATCCTGAAGAGTCCCAGTCTGCACAGGTTCCCCTGCAACAAACAGAGCCGAGTCAGGGGCCTGAGCCTTCCCTGGCTCCAGATGCGGGGATTACCTCGTTGCCTTCAGCTGAGCCATCACTTACAGCTGCTCCACTACCGGTTTGGTCAGGGGAGGCTGAGGCGGCCCCTGGGTCTAGTAACCCACCAACATCTCCTGAGCTGCAGAGACTAAGGTCTGAGAGAAGGAGAGACCTGAGTACTCGCAGGAGGAGTTCTCGCCTTCAGGCAAAACAGGGAGGTGAGTCGCCGGGGGATCAGGACCGGTTGCTACCCCAACAATGATAAAAGGCTGTCGGACCCCGCCCCAGGTTACGGGAGCAACTTTGCTGTATGCTAGATCCTGCCCCTGTCCTTGCCTGGTTCCCTGCCTCGTGTCCTGCCTTGGCCCTGTCGGACTGACTCCCAGTGGAACCTTTGGATTCTGGACTGGTACTGGACCGTGGTTTATGAGTTATCCTTGGGTCCAGCACATAGCCAAACCAGAGGACTGGAGGGCCTGTTCCCATGTCCCACCTCACCATTTTTCTCACCTGCACCTCTTGAATCTTAGGATGGGTATGTAGGAATTGCTCGAGCTCTGCTGGGTATATGTTCTCTCCTCCTCGGATGATCATGTCTTTGCAGCGGCCTACTATCTTGCAGTAGCCGTACTCATCAAGAATAGCCATGTCCCTGGAAGGATATCACAGTCATTCTACCCTGACCTTGCCATGTTGCTAGATGCTCCACTGGAGAACAGAAGAAGAGCCTGCTGGAGCAGGCCAGGGACACACCTAGTCCAACACCAGGCTCTTGTGTCCTATGTAATTTTACACGCTTTAATCATATCTCCTCTTGCTCGCTTTTTCTCTGAACTAAAAGGCCCTAAATGCTCTAACCTTTCCTCATAGGGGAGTTGTTCCATCCCTTTGATCATTTTTTGTTTTGTTTTGATTCCCTCTTCTGAACCTTTTCCAACTCTAAAATATCATTTTCGATGTGAGGAGACCAGAACTGTACACAACTGTTCCAAAAGCTGTTGTTGCACCATACATATGATACAGGCATCCCCAAACTCGGCCCTCCAGGTGTTTTGGGACTACAATTCCCATCATCCCTGACCACTGGTCCTGTTAGCTAGGGATGATGGGAGCTGTAGTCCCAAAACATCTGAAGGGCCGAGTTTGGGGATGCCTGATATGATAAATGCTTAGGTGCCCAAGACCAGATTCAATTAAACAGCCAGGCAAGCAGGAACCAGCACAAAATCCCACTAGTACAATGGGACTTTCTGCCCATCTCCTCCCCACACAACTCCTCCAAAATGGTTTTGGCAGGTCAGGAGTACCCCCAGAACGGGGTACTGGGAGAAGAGAAGGGAGATTGTTCCGTGTGACAAACACAAATGATTGTGCTGATGGAACAGTCAGCTTAGAGCAATGTTGAGTTTCAGCCCAAATGTTCCCTTTTCAGCTAGTTTTTTTTAGCAGCCAGTCTTCTGTACTTGCATAAGCAAGAGATCACAAGCAGGACTCTGTGAATTCTGCATAACCAAATACCAGATTCTGCAATGTGACAAGACATGACGTAGTGAGATATCATATGCCAGGGAACAAAGGCTCCCTTCATGCACAGCCGGAAGTTTGAGGCAGCTCCCTCTCCATGGAGCTGTCTATCCCACTTGGGAGCAGCAGCAGCAGCAGCAGCAGCAGCAGCAGATTAATGGATAATGCAGCTAGGTGTCGTTGATTGCATGGGTTTTTCCCCAACAGATCACCATCCCACCAATGAGGAGGGTGGTGATCTGGTGGGAAATAGTCACAAGGGGATGGCACCATGAGAGAGTGGCTCTCCCACAACTCCATGCCTATGTATGAAACAAGTTTGCTATTGAGTGAGTGTTGGGTAAGACTTGGGCCTAGGGGTGGACATGTTGCTCGTCTGCCATTCCCCATCAGGTGACCCCATTATCTCAAATTCAGCCCTGTACAAATTTTATGCAATAGGTCATTTTTGCCCAGTTAGGGTGACTGACATGACGAGATACTGACTTGCTAAAAGGCAGCTTATGGCCCTGAATGGATTCTCCATCCAGCCTTCCACCTACTAGATCCTATTGGCTTCCCAAGGATTATCCCAATGAACAAATGGCTTCTTCCCCAACGTACCCGGTCTTGTACCATTTCTCATCATCCATCACTTCATTGGTTTTGTTGGGGTCTGCCCAGTACCCTAGCATGACGCAGTAACCTCGGACCTGAAGTTCTCCTGGGCTGTTGAGTGGGATAATTTCCCCTGTCTCGGGATCCTCAATTTTTGCCTGTTAATACAGAGGAAACAGAAACATTAATGGTGGCATGGAGTGGCATAATAAAAGAGATCAGTTGAACAGAAGCATGTTCAGGTTAGAGACTGAGAGGGTGTGACAACAGAAGATACAGCAAAAGTGTTGTGATTAACAGAGTCTTTCAGCAGAACATCAGAGTCTTCCTTCTTTCCAGTACAGTGGTACCTCAGGTTAAGTACTTAATTCGTTCCGGAGGTCCGTACTCAACCTTAAACTGTTCTTAAGCTGAAGCACCACTTTAGCTAATGGGGCCTCCTTCTGCCACTGCGCCGCCGGAGCACGATTTCTGTTCTCATCCTGAAGCAAAGTTCTTAACCTGAAGCACTATTTCTGGGTTAGCGGAGTCTGTAACCTGAAGCGTATGTAACCCGAGGTACCACTGTAGTCATTCTTTTCCAGAGTTCCCAGTTAAGACAACTCCTTTCCCACTTGGTTCAGCTTAGAGTGCTTGTTGCCTCATGAGACAAGACAAGCATAAACACACTAGCTACATAAACTTTAAGAGGTGCTGGTCCATCATGAACTAATCTACCATAATACAGTTCCTCTGGTCTTAAAAGTAAGCCTTGTAAACATACGAATACACAGAGAGATCCACTAGCACTTTACCTTGCTAGATCTTCATGCTATACTGAACATGTAACCATCAGCTTCTCCACTATGACCTTGCACTGAGGAAAACCTCTTCTCAGTGAATATCTCACACTCCTGCCAATGCTGCTGAATGAAGCCTTGGCTTTGTACTTGTCTCTGCACTTACACACATTCCTTAAAGAAAGGGAGGATGGGTCATGCTCCAGTGGTGTCCAAACTTTTTTCAAAGAGGGCCAGATTCGATGAAGTGAAGGGCCGCGAGGGCTGACCAAAGGGCCGACCAAAGTTGTGAACCTTTTTTTAGGATTGAAGTTGCTGAGCTTTTCTTAGGATTTTACCCCAAAGTTGCTGAGGTTTTTTTAGGATTTTACCCCAGGAAATAAACAGAATTCTGAACAGAATTCAGGTATGGGGGATGGACTGCTCAAGACACGGGCCAAGCACTTAGTGCAATTTCACCCAGTTTACACCAACAAAGGGAATCAGTCACCTCTGTATGTGGGAAAATACATCCCACAGTCTCTGTTTTCTGGGCAATGTTGTCTTGAGGGAACCCCATGAAGGTGACAGGACTATTCTCTGTGGTTCCATATGCAACCTGCAAAACACAAAGGAAACAAAACAGCTGAGAGAGAAACTAAACAATGCAGAATAAGTGCTAAAGTGTTATGGGCAAAAGCTCCCATCTGCAGCAGATAAGACCATATCAGGGAAGTTATGAAGCGACCGTCTTTCAGGGAACTGCATTTTATTTTGCCCCACTATAGTCCATGCTATTCGAGCAAAACAAATCATCAATGTAAGTTTGCATGCGCCAGCTTAATCTGCAAATTTCACCCACCTCTTGGTATATTTGGATCGTTGCAGAATTTGTTTCCCTGCAATGAGAGGAAAGGAGGTATCTCATGGGAAGGAAGGATCAAGTACAGGGAACTCCCAATTTGCATGGGGGTTGTGTTGTGGGCATTTGTGCACCAGTGGCGCATGCATAAGCCCGCTCTGCCCCATTATGCCTCATTCCACCCTCTTCCGGGTCCAAAACAAACCATCCGTCAGCAGTTGCACATCAATTGAATGGGCGCAAAATGGTTGCCACCTATAACGTTAAGAGGACTCCTGCCCTCATGTCCTGATTGTGGGTCTCCACATTCATAAAAAACCTAAAGCCATAAACTATGGATTAGTAAGGTATCCCATACTTGTACCTGAGTGTTCCCACTTCATTCCTTCATAGATGGCTGCAACCATGGAGAAGCTGCTGCGTCAGAGTAAATACTGAACCAGATGGACCACTGGTCATGTGTCATGCGAGAGCATACAGACACCTGACTAGCCATGATTAAAAAAACAGGACGCTGGACTCGATAGGTCTTTGTTCTCATCCAGATACAGGGCACAGAAGGGCGACTGATAGGAAAATCTGCTAAAAGCGAATGGGACCGAACAACTGCTTGAGGCAATGTCATATAACCTCCCTGCAAACATATCGGAATGAGTGCTGAATAAATGGCCAACATCCTAATACCTCTTGGCTAACTTTGTGAAAACAAATCAGGATGAACGCTCAGTAAACAGGTCACCAAGAAGCAGTATTTCTGGAGAGACATTTTAAGGATGAATTCACAAGTACTCTAAGACTTCCTTTGACCATGCCTGATCTTGCAAAGACCCTATTTCAGATTCACTTGACGTGTTTTTAAAAAGTTGTACAGTCCTGAGCTATAGGTGCAGCATTCTTCTGGTGGCTAAAATTAAGCTCATGTATCATTTGTGCGCTAGGGTAACATTTGGAGAAATCCTTGGAACCCCTTTAGTTCAAGAGAGGTCATAGAGAAGATAATCACATAGTTGGCTGAAAATAATTTCAAACCGCAACTATTTGGCAAATGGATCATCTCATTTAGTGGATTTACCAAGAATCGTTCTGAATATTGCAGGCATGCAATTTATTTTTGGTGACAAGTGCCTCTTTCTTAGGGAATGCAGAGCCCTGGGCTAAACTGGGAATAAGAAACATATTAGCAGAACTATTTGAATCTAAACACTGCTATAAAACCTCGGCTGCTAATGTTGTTTAAACACTAGCCAGTGTAAGCCAGTCTTCAAAATAGAATGAAATAAACATTTCTGGAGACTCAGAAAGGGGCAATTTGGAGGAACCTTGATTTACTGGGCAGGGCTGTTCATCGGGGTGCCTGGGTTTTATTCTTGGCTCTCTCACTCTGTGTTTGCGCTGGCAGAAAACTCCTCCAGGCATATCTAAGGGGTAATTTACTATTGATGATACTGGAAGTGTAGCCTGTTTTTACACTATCCCCAGTGAAGGGCTATTCTACCAGTCTTCATGTGATAGACGCCTTGAATTCAGAGGAAGCAAAGATACTCCCCAAACTACTCCTTGGTGCGAGACGGAGACACATTACTCACAGGCTTGGGATATTGTTGGGCACAGGTAGCGAGCTGCATGGTTACAGTGCGGTCAAGATGTCCTATGAGTTAGCAAGAAGAAGCAAATGGCCAAAGGGTAAAGCAAAGATTAAAATCTGCTTCTGAATTTCAAGTTTGCCACCAAGGCCACCAATGTCCAGGTTCAGGGAATCCTATCCCTCCCCTGGCAGCATCCAAAGAAGCAGATAAACATGAAGAGTTCTTACCACGTAATTTATTCAGTATTCACAGAGAGAGACGAAGGAAGGTAGTCCTTATTCAATAATGGCATTGCTCCAAGTAAAGCTCCGCCCCCTCCGTCTCTCTTATCCTACGTCATTCCTGTGCCGGCGGATCTGGGATTTCTGTCTCTGAGCTTTCTGTGCTACTACTCTCAATGCATGCCTAGTCTTGGGAGAGGGGGCTCAGGAATGCTCTCCAAAGACATTGAGTCTGTCAGCTGTCTCTCCCCCGGTGTTTCTTCTTCCTGCTGTTCCTCTTCCAATATAGTCATACCTCGGGTTACAGCTGCTTCAGGTTGCGTCTTTTTGAATTACAGACCACCGAAACCCGGAAGTACCGGAACGGGTCACTTCTGGGTTTCGGAGGTTGCACATGCGCAGAAGCGCTAAATTGCTCTTTGCGCATGGGCAGAAGCGCCGAATTGCAACCTGTGCGTGTGCAGACGCGGGTTGCGAACGCTGCAGGTTGCAAATGTGCATCCCGCATGGATCACGTTCGCAACCTGAGCATCCACTGTATTTCCCAGCTTTTCCCCTCTGCAATCTCTGCAAACCACCATTCTAAATCTGTACTGTTCTCGGGAAGGTTCAGGAGAAGGGGGGAGGGGAGGTCTCCACCATTCCTCCTCAGTCCAGCCCCTGACAGCCAAGCATGAGAAAGAGTGTGCTGTGAAATATCCAAAGACACACACACACACTCTTAAATGTGTTACATGCGGAAGGTACTTCAAGCTAATAGCAAAGAGGACAGGGGTACAGGGAAAGATTTAACTGTGAGCAACTGCAACACATCCACAAATGCGCAGCAGCACTCCTGAGCTGCCACTGCCTCTGGACTTTGATCATTGAAATGGGCAGAGTGCAGGCACCACCTTGCTCTAACAGCAGGCACAAATGTAAAGCAATGGTATTTTTCAGGGGGAACAGGCTGCCAGGTGTGTCTCCCCAATTGTGCCATGTGGGGCTGAGTGCCTCTCTCCTTACAGAACAGCAATGAAAAAGGACCCATCCCTGCTAGCCATTCTTTAGTAGAAGAGGTATTGTGCGGGTGCAAATCAAAATTGGAAAAGTAGTAGCCAGAATGACGACTTCTGTTGCAGAGAAAAGTATCTGGAAGCTCAGAAGTGCTTAAAATGCTACAAAAACCCTGTTTGATCGGAGACCTGAGTTGAGCAGAAAGAAGTGAGTGTGTGTGCCCAAAGATGATGACAGTTCTCCATCATGATGGCTCCCTTCGTCACTCAACCAACTATCACGGGTAGTACATGAATGTGTTACCACAGTTTCCTAACATTTGTACTGCAAAGTGTTGCCCTCCTTCTGCTGGATGTAGAGGAGATGTCCACCTTTATTACCAGGCTTGCATTATGCCAGCCTGACACAAACAACATTTCTATTAAGAGCCACGTTTCAAGTCCTTTCAAAACACCAGGGCAAAAATAAAGTGATATTGGCTTAAGAGAAAAGGGTAGACCTGGCTAGGAAACAAGAGTAATTTTTGAACTTCAAAGACAATGTGGCAGACAGGGGAATAAAATAATAAACCAACGGAAGTACTTGGAGAGAAAGAGCCGTCTACCGGTCCTGTCCCCTCTTGCCCTGTGGGATGGATTTAATTATCCCTCTAATAACGCTGGGTATTCTGTCTAGACTTGAAATCAACACCAATGTTCTTTCCGGATCCTCCCTTGGCATAATGCTCCCCGTTTCCCCCAACATTTTTTGTCCTTGTCTACTTGGAAGAAACTGGCACATAGCTCTGTCCCGTTCGGGGTCTGGGTACGTGCAAAGCCCCAGGACAAAGTCTTATATGTCTTCAATCCTATATTTGGAAGGGCTGATTTGGATTGCTGTGGATAATGGTATGCAGACCCTGCGGAGAGAAGGTTGGCAGGGCTCAAACCTACACTGTCTGAGCTAGAAGCCCTTCCTCCTAATATCAGAGGGAAAACCATCTGCGCATGCTCAGGGGCATTTTCTATTTATATTGTTCTTTCTTCGTATGTCCTACAGCTGAGCCCAAGCAGTGAAAACAGGTTCTGGGGCTAAACCTGGTGGGTAATTAAGTCCCAGAAATAAATAATGTCAGTTGTACAGTGGTACCTCGGGTTAAGAACTTAATTCGTTCTGGAGGTCCGTTCTTAACCTGAAACTGTTCTTAACCTGAGGTACCACTTTAGCTAATGGGGTCTCCCGCTGACGCCGCACGATTTCTGTTCTCATCCTGAAGCAAAGTTCTTAATCCGAGGAACTATTTCTGGGTTAGCGGAGCCTGTAACCTGAAGCGTATGTAACCTGAAGCGTCTGTAACCCGAGGTACCACTGTAATGTAAAGTAGCAACAGGGTTTGCTTACTTTGCATCCTGGCCTATTTCCCTGAATGCACCCAATAAATTTTGTCTATGTTTCCTTTTGTGCAGTTGTAAAAACCGCTGGAGGCATGAATGACTGTGCAGTTAAGAACATTCAGTGCAGCCCTGCAGGATGAGACCAAAAGCCCATATTGTCCAGCACTGCATTTCCCACACGAGATGCCACAAGCAGGTCATCAGGACCATAGCTCTGAATCTTGTGTACATCCCCCAGGACCAGGTATCTGGTGGCAGACCGTCTCTGAATCAGGAGGCTCCATGGAAGAGCCTTATCCATGCTCTCCACCTTTCTTGGGGGGCAAGGCCCACTCTGTGCGCTGGCTCTGGGATGCTTGCGGGGCCATCAAAGTTCCCACAAGATCTCTCAGGAGCACCCCTAGGCTCTGAGAGCCGGCACATTGAGTGGGCCTTGTCCCCCAAACAAGCCAGGGAGCTGAAAGCTCATTCCACACCAGGTGTGCTTAGATTATCCAGCGTGAGAAGTGCTTTTAAACTCTCCACCTTGCTTGCTGGGCAACACCCGCTCAGCGTGTGGGCTCTAGGGATTTTCTCTCTCTCCCTATTTCAATTGGGGTTTAGGCTCAGTTTGGCACAGAAACTGCTTTGGTCACCTTGCCTGATGATCTCTGTCAGGAGAGAGACAGGGGGAACGTGTCCTTGTTAATTCTTGACCTCTCAGTGGCTTTTGGTACCATCGACCTTGGTATCCTTCTGGAGTGACTGTCTGATTTAAGGGTCGGTGGCACCGCTTTGCAGTTCTTCTAATCCTACTTGCATGGTCGTTTCCATAGGGTGTTGCTTGGGGAATGTTCTTCAGCCCCGTGGAGCCATCAATATGGGATTCCTCGTGGTTCACTTTTATCCCCCATGCTGTTTAACAACTACATGAAACCGCTGAGTGGGGTAATCTAGAGTTTTGGAGTACATTGTCAGCAATATGCTGATGACACACAGCTCTACGTCTCCTTTACATCTGCATACCTGGGCCGGATTAAGGCCATTAGAGGCCCAAAGCACTTAATTTTTTTTGGTGCCTCCTTATAGATCTAATTCAAATGATAAACATCAATAAAGCATAAAACAAAATGTTGTTTTTTGAAATGAATCAAAACCTACAGTAAGATGGGAATGGTTTATTTTTGTATACTTCCACTTTATTTACATTTGAAAAAAATTCTCCTACGTTTTCTAGTTGCAAAGTCTTTGATCAGAACTAATCTTACATAACACATCTGCTTCTATACTTAGTAGAGATAAGGCCTCCAGTCTACCTTGCTGCATAGTTGCTCTGTTGGGGTTTTCAATATACTTCAACTGAGAAAATGGAACACTCAAGCTGAGCAATATTTGACTATTAATGTTGAAAATCCAGCAATGGAAAATTTCTTTGGTGCTCCCCTTCCCTTGATGCCCTAAGCACGTGCTTCTTTTGCTTAATGGCTAATCCAGCCCTGCTACATACAGAGTTTTGCCTGAAAAGAACCTGCATCATCAGAAGGGTTTCTTTTTTCAGCAAATGGCCCTGTCTTCATACACATCATGTGAAAGATATCAACCCACTGGACCTGGCCAGACCACTTAAGATCTCAGGCTGTTTTTCTACCATGCTGAAAACCAACCTCCTGTTATTCTTCTGTATTGGTGGCTTGGAGCTAAATCTACTTTCCAGAATGATTAGCATTCTTGTGGTTCATAAGTATTTCTCCAGCTCCTACGTGAGCTTCAGAAGTGCCGCTTGGCAGCCGTTGCAGAAAAGTATGTGACATTAACTTGCTGTTTTATCCATGCCTTCATAGATGCCCTCGCTAAGTAACTAATCCATTTGTCTGAGACTGGGAGGATTATCCCAGCGTTCAGAAAACAGTAAGGGCAAGTGCACGGAAAGGACAGGTAGACCAGTTCTCTCTCTCCTCGCCCGCTTTTTCTATGGCACTCATTTATCCTAGCAGCGGGCATTTGTCTTGAAATCATTTCTTCTGTTATCCTCATTAGAACTTATGGGTGAAACAATGTGTTGTGGGAAGAGGAATTATTAGTTTGCTTTTGTTTTTATTTTTATTACGTAGGACTTGCCGATCAGAAGGTCGGCGGTTCGAATCCCCACGACGGGGTGAGCTCCTGTTGCTCGGTCCCTGCTCCTGCCAACCTAGCAGTTCGAAAGCACCTCAAAGTGCAAGTAGATAAATAGGTACCACTCCGGCGGGAAGGTAAACGGCGTTTCTGTGCGCTGCTCTGGTTCGCCAGAAGCGGCTTAGTCATGCTGGCCACATGACCCAGAAGCTGTACACCGGTTCCCTTGGCCAATAAAGTGAGATGAGCGCCGCAACCCCAGAGTTGGCCAGGGGTCCCTTTACCTTTATTTTGTGTTTCTTATGGCGCCATTTTGTGTTGCAAACTGCCCTGAGGTCTACGGATGAAGGGCGGTATGCAGATTTAATAAATAATAACCTAGTGACTTTGCTCACTGGAAGGACAGATCCTGAAGCTGAGGCTCCAATACTTTGGCCACCTCATGAGAAGAGAAGACTCCTTGGAAAAGACCCTGATGTTGGGAAAGATGGGGGGGCACAAGGAGAAGGGGAGACAGAGGACGAGATGGTTGGACAGTGTTCTCGAAGCAACAAACATGAGTCTGACCAAACTGCGGGAGGCAGTGGAAGACAGGAGTGCCTGGCGTGCTCTGGTCCATGGGGTCACGAAGAGTCGGACACGACTAAACGACTAAACAACAACAACCTAGTGACTTCAGTCATGAATTTTTATTTGCACCATGTGCTGAATTCAGACTTTTGCTATTTGCAAACCATGTTGCAATGTATCACAGGGGGCAGGGGGTGTCACACAGACGGTACATGTGTTAATTTTAATGAAACGTAAGGGTGTGCTTTTAAAAAAAAGGGAGGGGGAAAGTGGACTATCTACATAAAAAACTAGGAGGACCAAAACAACCCTGAGCTATGATGCCACTGAAATCTATATTTATGCTGATTTGAAAATGGTGCATTTATTTGCTTACCCCACAAGAGCCTCTGCGGAGAGGCAGCGAGGAGTCTGACCTTCGTAAATTATTGGCCACTTGATTCACACACTTCTATGGCAGGGAATGTTTGCAGAACTGTTAATCAATTAAGAAGGAGGGGATTGCGGGATAATCCTGCCTCTTCTGAGACCATCCTGCTGGTCCAGGCCCCATGGGAGCCTCCAAGCAAGAGGACTGAATAGAGGTCCAGTGAAAGTGATGTGTTTGTTGCCCTGGTGCAGAAGGAGAATTGACACAGGAGCCATTGTCACTTCCTGACCGCATGCCACCCAGGAGACACTGGCATGAACTAGGTAAACTGTGAGCCTTGTGAGAAGAATCACTGCCTGCTTTTTGCCCAGCTCTTACTCATCCCTGGTAAAGAACTGTGAAAGTTAGTAGGCAAACACTAAATCCCGCTGGAGCGAGTGCCACCAAGAAGTTCAGGCTTCAGACAACAGAGAGTCCAGAGGTGATTCCATTTAAGGCCATCCCATAAAGGGCTCTTACTGATGTTCCCCTTACACCAAACCTCCTGCAGAAGCTTACCCACATCAAAGCAGCAGGAGAGCCCAAAAAACTTCCAGGAGAAAAGAATTTCCATTTTGCTAAATTTTAAAGTCAGTAGGCTTGCAAGGGGATTGAAAAAGCATCTCCTGGTAAATACTGCCATTACAGCCTTTGTGCCTTGCTTGATATGTTCTGAATAGAAAACATGTGGGTCTTGTTTAATCTCTGCAGTGCCACAAGGCGAGCCATGAAGAGCGCAATCATATGCCTATGCTAATAGGGTTGCCATACATCCGGAATTTCTCAGACATATCCGGAATACTGCAGTCGGAAGCAGGGTCTGGGCGCAAATCGCAAAAATGTCCAGGAAAATCTGGGCACATGGCAATCCATGCTGGCAGTGTTGTTTTTGCAGGGGGTGCCTCCCAGAATTTGCTGGCTACAACTGTAGACTAGGCAATATATCATTTAGGGCTGGGTGATATATAATCTAAAACCGGTTTGAAGTCCATATTGCGATATAGGTTTCATAATTTTTGACCTGGCAATATAGAATCATGGTGTGTCTGTGCGTGTGTGGTAAGCAAAAATCACAATGTGGGAAAACTGTGAAGCCAGACAATGCCCCAACAAAGCTCCATCTTTATTTCAGACATTGTGATATATCAGTATATTCTGATGTCTAGCTGGTGATATATAATGATGTTGTAAACCAGGTATCGCCCAGTCTTACTGTTCACCTCTACATAGTTCCATCCTTATTTTAGACACTGTGATATAGCAACATATTGCGATGTTGAAAACCAGATATCACCCAGCCCTATGGTAGACTACACTGAAGGGAACAATGGGAGGCCAGAAGCTCACTAGAAAGAGGAATGAAGTTCAGAGCATGTCCAGAATGCAAAGGTAGTGGAAGTAAACAGAGCTGGACATTTGCAGTGGGAGGGGTGGAAGAATAGGACACACCGGGAAGCCAGAGCTCCAGGCAGGTAAAAGAACAAAGCTGAGAACTCAGGTGAGTACTGGGCTATGTATTATGGACAGCACAGGACACTGGGCATCACAGGAGTGAGTTCGCCACCTTTCCAGTTCTTCACTTCTGAGAGAACTTCATGGGAAGTTGTCAAAAAATAATGTTGCACAGTTCATTTGGCAGTAGTAAAAGTTGCCTGGAATTATGACCCAAAATCAACGCACACACCCCAAGGTGCAAAAAAAGCCCTCCAACTTCAGTTAAAAAGTCCCTTTGAAATGTACCTCTGCAAAACAAGAGGCCTGGCCAGTGTGCATAACAGCCCTGCGCCGCATGCGCCGCGATACCTCCTTTCAACAATGGAAAAAGCCAGGCATCCTTGTGAATAATCCCTCCTCTGTGTCCTAAACCAGTCCTTGGATTTCCTCCCTTTCTTGAGACTGTCTCGCCTCCGTAAACACCCCAGCCGGCTTGGCTTTTGTAGCCAGCTCCAGCAGTGGAAGCCTCAACAAGCTCACAGTTGTATATGCCCAGGTCTTAGTTGTTTGCTACAGCCAACAGCATCTGGCGAGAAACCAGCTCAAAATGTTCCATTTCCAGCCTCTGCCCTCAACTCCTCTGTAGTCTCTCTCTCCCCCACCCCCCGTCCTGTCCCCACTTGGCAAAGGACCAAGGCCTGGGGTTCTTGGGTACTGCTTCACATCGTGCTGTGTCTCTGTGCTGGCCTTTCAAGTGCACAGATACTATGTGCTCTATTCTCTGCCTCCACTTTTGCTAAAAAATGGAAGGAAGGGAACTCCACATCTCTCCACTCCCCTCTCACTAGCTTAATGTGCCAGGATCTCTACTGCAGGTGGTTTATGAGTAGACGGGATGGCACTCCCAGGTTTGTAGCTTAGAAGTACTACTGAACCCAACCTTACTCCTAGATGACCAAGCTGTGGCTAGGGGTGCCTTTTACCAGCTCTATATTAAACACCAGCCACACCTTCTCTTCAGGAAGTCAGACCTAGCCATTATTTATGCCTCAATCAGCTCCAGGTTAGCCTACCATTGTTGTTTAGTCATTTAGTTGTGTCTGACTCTTTGTGACTCCATGGACCAGAGCATGCCAGGCACTCCTGTCTTCCACTGCCTCCCGCAGTTTGGTCAAACTCATGCTGGTAGCTTCGAGAACACTATCCAATCATCTCGTCCTCTGTCATACCCTTCTCCTTGTGCCCTCCATCTTTCCCAACATCAGGCTCTTTTCCAGGGAGTCTTCTCTTCTCATGAGGTGGCCAAAGTATTGGAGCCTCAGCTTCACGATCTGTCCTTCTAGGGAGCACTCAGGGCTGATTTCCTTCAGAATGGATAGGTTTGATCTTCTTGCAGTCCATGGGACTCTCAAGCGTCTCCTCCAGCACCATAATTCAAAATCATAAATTCTTCGGCAATCAGCCTTCTTTATGGTCCAGCTCTCTCTTCCATACATCACTACTGGGAAAACCATAGCTTTTACTATACAGGCCTTTGTTGGCAAGGTGATACCATAGTACGATCTATATGGTGATGCCTTTGAAGACAGCTTGGAAGCTTCTGCCAGACGAGAATACAGCTGCCAGAACATGAACTACAAGTGACAGATTGGAGCGTGCAACTGTGATATAATACCATCTAAACTGTTTGTCAGTTTGCTTTTAGGCAAAGTGCTATTTTTGACTTTTAAAGCCAGAAATGATTTGGGATTTGTCTCCAGTGATATGAAGTTGCCCAACCATGAATATCATCCAATGAGACTTTGTTCTGTGTCCCTCCATCATTTGAAGTCTGGAGACTGGACACAAGGAGCAGAGGCTTTCCTGCAGTGGCACCAACACCTTGCTCCAGGGAGGTTGCCTGGCCCAATCTCTGCTCTCTTCCAGAGGGCATTTTTAAGTACTGCCACTTGAACTTAGTTTTACTGATGGTGCTTTCACTGTTTTTTAAATTGATTTTTTAAAAGTTTTCCAGAGGTTATCAGACTCTAGATCCCATCAACCCTGATCACTGATCATGCTGACTGGGGCTGATGGGAGTTTGAGTCCAACACTATGTGATGATTGATTCTATACACCTGTATTGTATTTAACTGCTTGTTATGAGTCTGAACACTACCTGTGCCTGTGTATACTTTCTTTATCCTGAGCAAACCGTTTTGTATGACTGGGGAAGGTATAGTATGAGATTGATATTTTCTAATTTGTATGGTTCACCACACATTGCAATTGGAGTGCTATTTTGTATCATGCAGCTTTTCAGACTGATGAAGCGTGTAGTGAAACCTGTAATATATCTGGAGAACAGGTCTCCTTTTGCCCACTTGCATTATTCTCACCAGGGTGGTGGCTTTGATTTGCCTTCCCGTGATTGATCCATGCATACGGCTTTGTGTTTCCAACTGAAGACCCATTGAAGAACATCTCATCCAGTTCAATCTTTGAAAAACAGCTTTGAAAAACTTTTTCATATTCTCCAGTGTGCTACCCTTGCCATTGTGGCAGCACGGGGTTGTCGTTCTGTGATTGGACTTGCGCTACTTGTTGAACGGTTCATTTATCCAGTCTGTATAACGTTTACTGCACATGTAACTTGTTAAGATAGGGTTGTACATTTATCCACTCCATGTTTACAGTATCTCCAGGCTTTGTCTTGCACATGGCACCTTAGTATGTTTGTTGTTTGAATGGTTACAAGTCTATCTCTATTCTAGCTATTATTCTAGTAAATTTGGTTTTATACTTACAAGCCAGTTTGTGGTGTTGTTGTATTACTTAACTGCCAAGTTCAGCCAACAATTTAGCTGCGAGGCTATTTGTTACTTGCATTATTATTATTATGAATAGTGAAAAACAACAAATAAAGGATGTAGACCTCTGAGCTCTAGGTAAGCCAGATGGAGGGGAGGCAGGGGGGAAGATGGATTGCATCCACAGTAGACAATCAGTATACTCAATGGAATAGCCCAAAAGATGCCCTGTGAACCGGGCAGAGGAGGAATTCAGATTGCTTCCATGTTAGTTACCCTGGCATGCCTTTCCTATCAGCTACTGATTAGAAGGCAACAAGAAGAACATCCCCCTCAGCACATCTGAAGATCCCCTTAGATACGGTTCTATTTTCCTGCACACATGGTTCAGGGAAGGACAAGAATATTCAACAACAGACATTCAAACACTGTTCCCCGTGGTGATTTGTTAGCAGGGGAAGCACTCCCTGCATCATCAAAGTTAAGAAGAGGAGAGGGAAGGAGGATCCCTCTGTGCTTGGTGCCAAGGGGTTAAAGTCACACCAAGTTCCTGAAGCCAGTTGCTTCCAAGTCAGAGTCTGGCTGCTGGCTGCGGTTAGTGGGAAGGGATTTTGTTTTTTAATAACATTATAAATAGGGCTGTGTTCAGCTTGCTGCATGCTCACTCTCCCTTCCACCTTCTCCCTCCTCCTCCTCCTTCTCCTCTTGCTGCCGCTGCTTCTCCCTGCACATCCATCACAGCTCTGTGGACATGGACCGGTCAGGCTTCGTACTCAAGCTCTTCGGCTTGCTGCTATGCCTCCTGCCCGTTCTCCAGGCATGTCCTCAGAACTGCCACTGCCACGGGGGAGACCTCCAGCATGTCATCTGTGACAACGTTGGGCTGAGAAGGATCCCCAAGGTAGCTGAGCAGACACGTCTCCTCAACCTGCAGAGGAACAACTTCCCCGTCCTGCCGACCAACGGTTTCAGGGAGATGAAGAACCTCGTCTCTCTCCACCTCCAGCATTCTCACATCAAAGAGATCTCCAGCGGAGCCTTCCGGGGCCTGAAGCAGCTGGTCTACCTTTACTTGTCCAACAATGACATCAGCGTCATAAAGATGGGGGCCTTCGATGACCTGACAGAGCTCACCTACCTCTACCTAGACCACAACAAGATCCCAGACCTGCCCAAGGGGCTCCTCTCCCCACTGATCAACCTTTTCATCCTGCAGCTAGGCAGCAACAAGCTCCGAGAGTTGAGAGCAGGAGCCTTCCATGGGACCAAGGATCTCCGCTGGCTCTATCTCTCGAACAACTCTATCAACTCCATCCATCCTGCGGCCCTGGACGATGTGGAGAACCTAGCCATATTCCATATGGATAAGAACCATCTGACCAGCTACCCTGGGGCTGCCATGAGCAAGCTGAGAGTGGTGGAGGACCTGAAACTCTCAAACAACCCCATGAAGATCATCCCGGATTTAGCCTTCCAGTCCTTTGGGCGCTACATGGAGACACTCAGCCTGGACAACATGGGCCTAGAAAAGGTAAGCGGTCCACAGAAATTTCCCTCTCCCTCCCTAGATCTTACCCATTCAAAATATTCCATCTCGCTCTTACCCAAATTCCATCCCGTTCTAGCAACAGCAGTGGGACATTAATGTAGCTCCCCACACAGTTTTCTGCCCACTCCCTGCACCCGCTCCCCATTTTGCCAGCACCAAAAAGGAAATAGAAATTAAAGTAAGGCACTATACTGGGTTGGACAGAGAGGATTTAACTTCTGCACCTAACCCAGCCCCCTCCTTGGTCATTGGATCAATCATTTGATGAGCAGGGAGAGGGTGATGATCCCATCGCCCTCCGCTGATCTGCATGGATCAGCGGAGGAGGGGGGCGGTCTGTGTGTGCAAAGTGAAGGTGCAAGGTGGCCATACCCACTGTTGGCATGCAGGTGCTGAAGGGCTGCCCAAGGGCAAGGGTGACAAACAAGGTTAGCCACCCCAGGTGAGCCATCAAGCCATGAGTTTATTCTCAGTGGCTGAGACTACCAGGTGCATCACCTCTTTACATATGAATGAATTGTTCCCCTTCTCTTCTGCGGGGAAAGCAACCTTTGCCCTTCGGAGGCATTGTTGCCTTCCATATACAGAGGCACCTCAGGTTAAGAACTTAATTTGTTCCAGATGTCCGTTCTTAACCTGAAACTGTTCTTAACCTGAACTACCACTTTAGCTAATGGGGCCTCCCGCTGTCGCTACTATGTAATTTCTGTTCTCATCCTGAAGCAAAGTTCTTAACCTGAGGTACTATTTCTGGGTTAGCGGAGTCTGTAACCTGAAGCATCTGTAACCCAAGGTACCACTGCATACCCCCAGCCACCACAATGTTTGCAAACGCTTCTAATGCAGACTTTTCAAACGCAGCCTCTTTCTGTTCTGCCACACTCATGCCTAAAGCACAGTTAAAAAACAGAAGTAAGGGCTGGCTGGGTTCTCAGTCGCTCCCATCACAGTTATACAGTGGTACCTCGGGTTACATACGCTTCAGGTTACAGACTCCGCTAACCCAGAAATAGTACCTCGGGTTAAGAACTTTGCTTCAGGATGAGAACAGAAATCGTGCTCTGGTGGCGCGGCGGCAGTGGGAGACCCCATTAGCTAAAGTGGCGTCTCAGGTTAAGAACAGTTTCAGGTTAAGAACGGACCTCCAGAACAAATTAAGTACTTAACCTGAGGTACCACTGTATGGGGCAAAATAAGTGGGACACCGTTTGGGGTGCACATCCTGCTTTCACTCCACATGCAGGGGAGATGAGCGGCAGGAAGCAGGTTTCAATCCCCCTGCTTCCAGTGGCGTCTTTGCAGTGCACCTTTTAACATTATAATTCATTCCGACAGAGGAAAGACAAATGCTACATTTGGGAACAACATTGATGGGGGAAGGAAAGCCACACAGCCTGAAAGTAAACCCAGTGGTTTGCCACAGCCTCCTGGGTGATTTGGAGAAGAGGCAGCATGTTTCAAAGCATAAGCTAGATTCAGAAATGGGGGGGACTGACAGTTTTCTTTGTAGTTTCTTTGTAGGGAAGGTGAAAGCATTTGCTACCTTCTTCTCAGGAGCCTGGAAGGCATGTTGGGGGAGAAGAAGAGGGCAACGCCAGGTTTGGAAAAACGTGACTGGCTCCTATGGATGGGGGCAGGGGAGGAATTAGTTTGGTTCACATTTTAACAGGAATCCACCTAATTCCCACTTCTTGAGCCAATCAAAATGAAGCTACCCTTCAAGATGTGCACGTCACTGAATTCAGTGATGCAGTTCTCCATCCAAATAACAATAACAATAACAATTTTGTTTGTTTGTTTGTTTGTTTGTTTGTTTCCCGCCCATCTGGCTGAGTCTCCCCAGCCACTCTGGGCAGCTCCCAATCAAATGTTAAAAACAGTACAGCATTAAATATTAAAAACTTCCCTGAACAGGGCTGCCTTCAGATGTCTTTTAAAGATAGGATAGCTGCTTATTTCCTTCACATCTGAAGGGAGGGTGTTCCACAGGGCGGGCGCCACTGCCGAGAAGGCCCTCTGTCTGGTTCCCTGTAACCTCACTTCTTACAATGAGGGAACCGCCAGAAGACCCTCGGCGCTTGGATCTCAGTGTCCAGGGAGAATGAAGGGGGTGGAGACGCTCCTTCAGATATTTACAGGAAAGGGTGCACAAATAAGTGTGCATTAGTGAAAATAATGTACAAAGTGTATTATATTAGGGGAAACTGCTTGCAAAAATGTGTAGTTTATGAGGAATGTGCAGGCTTTAAAAAATAATCCCAAACTGATGTGGACATAGGATAAATGGAACTCAAGATCAGAAAAATGAAAATTTGAGAGAAAATGAAGTGGGCAGATTTGCCCATCCCTACAGGTCATGCCCCTTTGAAGCAAATATTTCAATGATGGTGGGAAATGGGTAAGTGGGATGTGAAAAGGACAGGACTCCCTACACAGACTCTCTCCCCTGTTTGTCAAACCTGAAGAGCTTTGACTGTTTACATCATGGCTAGGGTAACATCCATGCCATATATTAAAAATACTCTTTTAACAGTCATGGCCCCCCCCCCAAGAAATCATGGGAACTGTAGTTTGTTAAGGGTGCTCAGAACTGTAGCTCTGGGAGAGGCTTCCTAACAACTCACAGCACCCAACTACAGAAGCAAATCGTTAGCAAAAAAGCACTTCAGGTGCTAGTGAAAATGCAAAATAACGATAAAAGGTGATAGGTTTATTATTTGCATTTCACGCTCCTAAATTTGAAATAAGTTGTTCTGGAATAATTTCCTAGCAGTCAGTTCTCTCTCCACCAAGCCCTGGGGCCCTTTCCTCCTTCAGGTTGCTCCTGAACGGAAACGAATGTTTTTCTGCATCACTGTTCACATTTCCACTACCTACCTCCCTGCCCTGTCCACTATCTGTTCTAGTTACTCATTTGAAATTCCTCCCCCTTTTGCCTTCATCTCATCTGTTTGTAAGCCCTGTAACTTGGAGGCTTCATGGTTCTGCATGGAGCCTGTGATGCTTTCAAACTAAACAATATTGAATAATAACAGCCATGGTCATGGTGCCTGTCCTCCAAAATGAATGATGCAAAGGCTGTGTCTGTTTGTATAGTGGGAGTGATTGACAGGCAGAGACTAGATCCCCAACCTGGTGCCCTCCAGATTATATTGGATTACAACTCCCAGCAGCCTTATGGACAACTTCCATTGTCCAACCATGTATGGAGGGCACAATCTTGGGGAAGGCTGGACTAGGAAATTAATGGGACAGAGTACTGGAGACAAAAGGCTGGCACCCCTATACCTGCCGTTTGCAAAAGGGAGAGTAAAAGCTCTGTTCCTAGACACCAGACTGATGGCCTGTTATTGGAACGAGTAAGTGAATGCAATGACCACCGCAGAAGTGGAGGCTAACGTCAGCGACTGGTGAGTGCTCTGCAGTCAGGTAGACTGAGCACACATGAGGACTTTTGCATCTTTGCCTCTCTCCAACCTTACACTTCATAAAGAAGGGTTTGTTTATTGACTATCTCTCAAGAGAAACCCTCACAGCGCTCCACAAAGGCACTCTGTTCCTATCAAGAGAGCTAGAGGGACATTCAGGTAATGCAGCAAAATACTCCTCTTCTTCTCGGCAAATGAGTCATGTCCCAGAGGCTGAAGCATCATGCTTGAGGTGCTTTTCGTAAACAGGAGGCAGCAGTGACATCACACTAGATGGAGCATGTCCCAGATGGGGGGGAAGAGACCACATCAAACAGAAGCAGAAGGATCATGGAAGGCTTCCAGGTGAACAAGGAGGGAAGTTTCCAGCCATGCTATGTACCCATGCTGAGGTTATCCAGGTGAATCAGCACCAAAACAGTGACCCTCAAAGAGATGCTAAGGGATGCAGCAACATGAACTGCCCCCCCCCCAGCAATAAAGCTCTGTGAATGACAGAGTGTTGGCAAACAAAATTAAATACACATTTTACACGGAAAAGAAAATCATCCAGAGCACAGAGCTAATACAGGGTATCTACACTGTCAATATTTCACTGGGGGGGGGGGAGATTCAATTGCTTACTAGAACTTCAGGTCTGTGCAACTAAAATAGATTAAAGCACAAATCCACATTTTTAAAATGAACTTTTTGCAGTGTGGAAAGGGACAGTCTGAAGGCATCATAGATTATGCATTGAGAAAGTGGGGTGAAAAAACGATTAACAGAAAGTCATGTAAACACCCAAGAAACAATTCAGGAGAAATGCTCATTGTCATATGAGCCTTGTTCACAAATCAGAATGAATACTCCGTACATACCAGACACAGTCTAAGCTCCATGTAAGCTTTGTGCAGACGTATCAGGATGAACGGTGAACAAACAGATTCACCCGAAGGAGCAAGATTCACCCCAAGACGCAAAGTTATGAAGCAGGTGGTGGTGGCAGAGAGGGAGGAGGGAGTTTTCAGGGATGGGGATTGGCAACTGGCAAATTATTCAGGACTGGAGCAATGTGAAGTCCTCTTGATGAAAGAGCTTTTCAATTTCCAAATTACAACAGCATTCAAGAGCCTCAGAATTGCATACATGCTACCATAAATGTGTTATCTTGTGACACACTTTTAAAAAACAAACAACCACTTGAAGTAGTTGTGGAACTCTGTTAGGCTTTACCTGAGCAGAATACAGTATACAGTACCTAAAAGAACAATTGGGTTTGGAGTGTTGAATGAATTGTATAAACTCAGAGACACACAATGGTGTTTTTCACCAGTCCAGAATCCTGGCTCACGGTTTGAAGTTTAGTTATACCAGCAACTGGATTACTATTTGACAGTTACATGTATTTCCTATCCGAAAAGGATGGTATCTAATCCAGAAAGGAGAAGTCCACAAGGGAGCTGTCCACAGCACCATAAACCAGCTATGTCTTTTGCCATCTGGCTCGTGAATGGATGATACTCACTGATCCCATTCGAAGGCTGGAACTTCAGAAAGCTCCACAGGAAAGGAGGGTCTCAGGCGGAGTTTTGTACACATGCTGGAGCCTAATCAGAATCTCCCTTCCACCTGTGTGGACCCTCAGTGCTTCTTGCTTCTTCAATCTACCTGCATATACATAAACCTAGTCTAATCCCATCTATGCAGTTTCACATACTCCTCTTCATGGGTTCTGTTGGGTGACATGGGAAAAACCAAGCCAGATGAAAGAAGTTGATGCTATGGATCCTTCCCCCATGTCAGCATTACTGCTGATATAACCTGAGAAGGGGATCCATGAACACTTCCCTTTCTCCAGCTCCCTTAACTCTCTTCTCCTTGCCCACCTTAATTACTCTGCTGTGGACTTTGGTTCTCCTTTTGTTTAGCAATCCGATATGGTTTGTTTCCTGGCACACATTGGTACCCTTAACATGAATTCTAAACAAAGCTTCTAAAAGCTGAGAATTTGCTATTTCAGTAGTCAACGTAATGAACACAACACTTTTACACGTAGTTTCAACATTAGAGGTTTCTGCAAGCAGATAGCAGACCTAGGCATTTAGTAATAGTTAGGTTTCCAGGCCAGAGTATCAACCAGCCAAGGCTCAGCTGGCAAATACCAGAGATGACAGTGCAACCTTTTGGAATGGGTCAACAGACTTCTCAATGAGCAACCAAACAGAGCTACACCTTCCCTGGGAAGATCACAAATTCAAAAGATGATTTAATCCCTGCCACAACTAAAGGTAAAAAGGGAATGAACAGGAAGTAATCTATATAAACACTCAGTCTCATCTCATCCTTTCAGACAATAGCTACACTAGATGACTCCAGCACAAACTCAGCACCAGGAGGTACAATATCTAAGAGCGGGTGCATAACACCACTACACAAAGGAGCAAGAATTACAACATCTGGCGGTGAACCACAAAGCCCTCTAGAATTGCAGCACATCTCCTTCAAATATATACAGCTCTTTAAGATGAGATGCTTGCCTTTGCATCTCGTGTGAAAAAGAGCCCTGCCAACAACTCAAGGAGAATGTTCTGGGATTCATTCAGTGATGGTCTGTAGAGGAATTTATTCAGCGATTAGTTGATTCTTGTGACGTGTTGTGGAAACAGTGGAATGACTTGTAATTTTATCCGGGCTTAGTAGATATTCTTTTCATTTCCCTGAAAGGGAATAAGGGGAGTGGTAGTGGGGAGAACATTGTTGTAACCACTGGTAGTTGTAACCTAAATTAGTAGTCTCCAAGGAAGTTTATGTTGTTGGGTTTGTGTGCATGGGAATTTTTCCAAGTGAAGCAAGGAGCAACGATGACAACTAGGCCAAGAAATAACTGCTTTAGCTCTTTACCGTCTCGTAATTCTGTGAAAGAGCTGTAATCTCCAAGCAAACCTATATATGGCATAAATGTACATATTATGCAGCATCCCGGTCAGGAAAAAGAGAAAGGGGAGAGGAATCTTGAGTCACTGGAAATCTGCCTTGCTATTTCTACTGTGCTTGAATGCCAAGTGTAACTTTCCATTGAGAGTCCACCGGGTTCTGCCAAAGTCTACAGGCCCTTGAGTCTCCACAAATACTCCTCTCCATGAATGTGGCAACCGGGTGCCAGAAAGGATTTCAACTATGAAAAGCCAAATAATCTCTTTGCTTGTTTGGAAATGAAGAGATGTCTAGAAAGAAGCTGGAGGCAGGGAGAGCGATGGAGGTTGTCGGAACACACATATCTTTTAAATAATATGAGGCACATAACCCCCCCAAAAAGGTCATCAATGTCTCTTCTAATCAGAGAACAGCCTTGTACGCTACACATGCCTGTAGTGTCATGGTTTCAGATTCCAAGAGCTTAAATTCAGCGACCCTAAAGTATGAAGACAAATACTAAGGTGGTCCTCCTTCCACCCTTCGCTCTTCTCCGGAGCTCAGGAAGATTCATGCTGCAGGGAAGGAAACTAAAGCTCAACCATGTGTAGTCTACCCCTGTTTTTGTCTTTTACAAAATACAGCTGAAGAAGTTTAAAGTGGAAGACGCACAATGCTGGTGGTGGGGAAAGGCTTGCTAACCTTTTCCCTTCTAGAAGTTTTTTTTCTGAAATGGCTGCATCTTTCTTTCTTTTCTTATGAGGAAAGCCACCAGAAAGAGGAGTGGGGAATTTATTTTTTTAATGGGGGGAGACTACACAAAACTCAGCATCATGCAATTTGGTCCTAAAGCCTGCTATAGTTGAAGGAGGAGGAGGAGAAGGAGGGATACTTATGGCTAAATTCATAGTTTAGGTGTGCATGTAAAAATCTAATGGGCATTCCACACTACATCCCCCACCCTGGTATTGATCCCTGAAACACTGATCACTGATGAAGAGAAATACAGAAAGAGAAATGGGAGTTACTTAAGTGGCTGCTGGACTTTGGGTTGGAGTCATAGAAACAGAAGAGCCTTGTTGGATCTGACCCAAAGGTACATCCATTCCAGCATCCTGTACTTACAGTGTCCAACCACATGCCGACGGAAAGCCCAAAAGTATCCACACCAAGTCAAAATGTACTGCCAGCAAAAAAACTGATTTGTCAACTAGGCCCAAAGGATAAGCTTCTCCTTTCCCTGCTGGTTGCGTGATGATTGACACATGTGCCTGTGCTTCAGTTTTCAGATAAAGCATTTGCTGGCGTAACCACACTGAAGACTGTTCACATTGAGAACAACAAACTGTCCAGTCTTCCTGGGAACTTCCCTTTCAGCCGTCTTGAGACCCTCACCCTGTCGAACAACCCTTGGCACTGCTCCTGTCAGCTAGCACCTCTGCGCAGGTAAAAGAACACTTTGTTCTATATCTCATGGGTGCAATGACTCCCCTAGTCCACTCTTGTATATGTGTGTTTGTGGATGGATAGATAGATAGATAGATAGATAGATAGATAGATGATAGATGATAGATGATAGATGATAGATGATAGATGATAGATGATAGATGATAGATGATAGATAGATAGACAGATAGATAGACAGATAGATAGACAGATAGATAGATAGATAGATAGATAGATAGATAGACAGATGATAGAGAGATATAGATAAGATGTACTGGTTAGCTAATGAATCCTTGCCAGTACAAGGCATAAGTTGGTAAATCTCACTCAGGAGATCTACCCTGACAACCACACTGTTGTGACCATGCAAATTTGCTTTTTCTTCTGTAGGTGGCTGGAATCCACTCGATCACGCCCTGATGCAGCCTGCGCATCGCCCTCTTCAGCTCGAGGACAGCAGATCAGAGATACCTCTGCACTCCGCGGTTGCAAGGTCCCCACGAAGAGGTCCAAGAAGGGAAGTCGCCATTAAGCAGGCAATTGTCCCCCCCCCTCCTGTTTTCTATTTAAGATGCCTTTCAGAGAACCCTTCCCACACAGGCTTCGCCTGATCACACCCAAAATTACCCCATAAAATATTATGAGACCACACCCATAGTATCAAACAGGTGACACATTTTCTAGCACCAGTGTCTGCCCACGTATATTTGCAACCAGAGAAAGTGAGGCGAGTGAGGTCCTGATTCACAGTGTTGTGCCGTTTTTCAGAATGGGAGGGCCTGCCATGTTGCTCTAGCCTAGACAGAACTAACGGCTAGCTCTCCGTTACTGGTAGTGTCAGCAGCAAAGCTGTTCCATAGGCTTCTTTGAATGGAATCCTCTTCTACCCATCCCTGAGGCCCACTGGCAGGGCATAATTACGTAAGCTGGCAGCATAGGCACCTGGCCTGTTCCTGTTCTGTGTCTCAACAGAAGGCTTCATTTTGTATAGTTGTCAAAAGTCCAATACCTTACAAAACACATACATTTGCATTACATACAAGGACCCCGTGTCCCAGAACATGGCATCCCGGTAGTCAGAGATGGATGCAGTTCAGAGAAGCGAGGTTGGAAACAACATAGTTTCTTGTTGCCAAAGGTTTGGGCAGGGGAAAGGAGTCCAGAGGAATGAGTGAGAAACAGAAAGCAACAGATGAGAGAATCTTGTTCCAAAGCTAAGCTGCTGGCTATGTCTGTCTATACCCTGACACTATGTCAACTCATCTATTGGCTAAACCCAGCTGAGCTCCTGCCTCCTGAACACTGTGAATGTACCAGAGCATGTTTTATTGCCTGACCAGAGGGGTGTGTTTTTCCATGGAAAGTTCTCCTGTTTGAGTCATCTCTGTTTTAAAATGGTCACTCTGCAGAACTTTTGAAACTTGCTGGAGGTATCAATCAGGGCGTTCTGCCAGGAACTCACTAAATCGTCCTGGGCAAGACACTCATGTCCAGCCTCAGTCCCTCCACCTGCAATATGGGGTGGTGGTAAAACTAACTTGCCTTGCAGAGTTCTTGTGAGGATTAAGCAGGTGAGGTGCTCTGAAAATGTGAAAGCGCCATACAAATGTTAAGCATAATTATTATTGCACTTGATCTGCTCAGAATACTTTTTAGGTTTATGGAGGTATTTCTTTCTTTCTTCTTCCCTGCCCTCCCAGGACCCAGGAAAGCTGGTCCAGGTGACTGGCTGCTTCAACCAATCAGAAAACTACTGACTCCATCCAAGCCCTTCATCCCCAAGCAGCTCCACCCCTTCAAGAAACATATATCTGGTAGCAACCACCTCTTGCTATATGAAGATCGCAGAGTGGAATCCACCATTTCATCCCCTCCCCTCTGTTATTATATCTATTATTTTAAAAGATTTAGTTGTTAACAAAAAACAAAACCTAAACTTATGCATGGCAGTGCTAAGACACAGCTAAACTAGATCCTGCTGGTAAAGTACACAGTCCTCTTTCTTGATGCCATTCAGCTACTCAGTTTGTCTCTGGGATTTGCCTTCTAACAGGATGGGAGTTAACAGAGAACATTAAAAGTTTCTCCACATCCCCAACCCAATGACTCCCTGATTTCGCATTGGAAACTTTGTACTTGAGCAGAACCTTAAAGTCTACCAGCATGAGAGCATGAATTCGGTGCGTGGCCTATACTGTGAGGAAAATTTTTGGGGGGGTTATTCTGAATGCAAAGGTTGCATTGCCTTCTTTTAATATTTGGCATGGGTGCCACCTGGGTGGTGGTTGTCAGTAGGGGAGAAGCAATGGGACAAATGCTGGAAGATTACTGAAAACAAGGCATGGGGTGGGAAAGGGATTTAGCAACAGTGACATGTGAGCAATTCCCAGCTCCATCTATATTGCACAACTGAACTGATTTAAGAATCAGCTTTCCCAATGCAGGAAAGCTTAAGACACTGGTGAGGGGTTCTAGGGATCTCCAATGGGGAATTCTCAGCACCCACACATGCCAATATTCCTTAGGGTGAGCAGTTAAAATATTGATTTCATAAGTGCAAATATGGCCACAGACTGATGTTTCCCTCCCAACCAGTTCAATGTAAGAAAGAGACTGAATCACCAACTAGAGGGCTGCAATGGTTGTTCTGCCCTTTCGAATGCCCAGTCATTCAAGAATTTGGCATCTGATGTTTGATATCCCATTTGAACTGCCAAATGCAGAACCCTTATATCCAATTCCATCTAGATGCTCTGTGTAGGAAAACAAATCAAAGAACAACATCCTTGCCCTGTGCTTTGCGGAAACATGAGTGCAATCCTGGGACTATATAAAACAGGGACAGTGATTTGGGTCTTTATTCCTGGTATAAATAGATTCTCTCGCCCCCATGCAAGAAGGCCATCAGGCTCTGGTAACAAAGTTATCCTTACCATTTTTGTGGTAAGGTTTTCACAACTTGCCCTTCAACCATACATGAGCGGCAACAATGGATTTATTGGACTTCTTTGAGCTGGGATCTCCAGAATCTACCTATATAACATATGCAGTATAACTCGCCAGGTTCAGCTCATAAGAGATGGAGCATCTCTCCTGTTTGAGGCGCTACCACAGTGAATCTGTACTCAGGACTGCAGTTGTAGCAGTATGGGTGGGCTAGCTGGTCATCATGAAAATTAACAGCAGATTTTCCTCTCTAGGCTGATCAGACTAAATAGAAATTTAGGGTTCATTGGAAGTGAAGCCCTTTTTTTACTTGGGGGAGGCAGGGACTGGTTCCTCAATTACTGATTTTCTAATCACCCACACACAACCGTTCCCCAAAAGGCAACTTGGCTATTGCCCACCATTACTGATCCTCCTGGTCAGTATGCAGATCCAAGAGGGGGTTGGGATGGCTTCTAGGCTCCACACTCGGTTCATGTTGAGCAATGACAAAGCCTAATGGATTTGGACGGCATGCCTTGCAAATGGAGATTGCGCCCCAGAATCCTTTCTGCATGCAAGGCTCTTGAGCCGATTCACAGGGGTTCATTGGCAGACAATGAAACAGAGGAGGTTTCTCTTAGGGAAGATTGAAACCCACAGTCCTAGAAGAACAAGATATCATAAGGTGTGTGTATATAAAATGGGCAGGGGTGGGAGGGGGGAGACGACACAAAGGGATTCTCACCTGCCATCCTGAAAAAAAGATCCCTCCATCCACCCTATGACATATAGCTGTTTGCAGCAAGATGACTGTGGCTTATCACCATGGATTTTACCGTACGACAATTTCAATTTAACTGCTTTTATTTTTTTTAATCCTGAAGGTTTATATAAATATAAAATATTTATTCCTCTGTTACCGAGTGTAAATGACTCCAAGGAGGATTTTTTTAAAGAAGAAAACAAAACAAAACACCAAGATCCTCTTACTCATATGTAGAAAACAAATTATATATTTTCTTATGTACAACTTCTGTATAAAGCTATTGCTGCAAAGACGAAGTGACCAAGTTTTCATGCATTTTTATGTGTCTTCCATGAGTCAGAAACTGAGGTCTGTCAATAGACACTACTGAATGATATGCGTTGCGACCCTGCTATTGCTACAAGAGCAATCCCATAGGCTGAAAACTCTTGACAAACACCTTGCACCTGGGGACACTCAAAATATGGTCTCTGGTACCAGTACAGCAAGGGTGCTCCTCCCCTCCCCCGTTGATGTCGCTGGACTATAGCTTCCATTATCCTTGAACCCTGGCCATGTAGAGCTGGGCTGATGGGAGTTGGAGACCAAAATGTCTGGAGGGCCTGAAATACAGTCTGCACAGCATCTTTTCTGAGACCCTTCTCTTCATCCAGGATCATTAACTGCAGCCTTCCAGTGCTCTACTTTTGGTGTTGTTGCAGAAAATAAGCACAGGCCACAATCATAGATGCATGAGTCCCTAACTTCACTGTTTTCAAATACAGAGCTGGCTCTTTCCAGGACTGAAAAGCTGGCACACTGGAGACTGTGCAGTCACAAAAACGACATGGGAGCACAGCCTTATGCCCAGCCATACAACCTGAAACGTGCGCGAGTATCACAAATATGTCCCAAGGGGCCCAAACAATACGGCACCACAGTCTTGTATATTACCTAACACCAGCAATGCACAGGGCTGTACGTGAGATCTTCTTAGAAGGCTTTGCAAGAAGCTGCCTGGCAGAGCAGAAAAGATCACCTGCCACACCATATATTGCTCCCCTTGTTTAACCCCATCGCCAAAGCTCCTTCACTAATATCCATAGCTCTGCCAGCACAAGGGGATAGGGCATGTACATGATCCATGTTATAATATGAGTGCCAACAAATTGACCAGAAATGCCTCAAAACGAACATCAAAGGATCAAACTTCTGAGCAAGACCCTTTCCTTTAAGAGCAACATGTGATGTAGCCATGCAAAACGATAAACACGTACAACAGGGCTTGACTTGGGCTACAGGTTTGTCCAACACCAAGACACACCATTGCCCATATCCTTCCAGTGATCTAGAACAGCAGATTTCTTCCCTTCCATCTCATGCATCCCTTTAAAGGCCAGCTACACCTTTAGTTAGGGACGCGGGTGGCGCTGTGGGTTAAACCACAGAGCCTAGGGCTTGCCGATCAGAAGGTCAGCGGTTCGAATCCCCGCGGCAGGGTGAGCTCCCGTTGCTCGGTCCCTGCTCCTGCCAACCTAGCAGTTCGAAAGCACGTCAAGTGCAAGTAGATAAATAGGTACTGCTCCGGCGGGAAGGTAAACGGCGTTTCCGTGCGCTGCTCTGGTTCACCAGAAGCAGCTTAGTCATGCTGGCCACATGACCCGGAAGCTGTACGCCGGCTCCCTCGGCCAATAAAGCGAGATGAGCGCCGCAACCCCAGAGTGGGTCATGACTGGACCTAATGGTCAGGGGTCCCTTACACCTTTAGTTCCCAATTCAGCCATGTCAATTTCCACATTCAATGGGAATTTTCGAAATGAAAATTCATGTAATCATGTTCTAGCTATATATATATATCTCCAAACAACCATGTTTTCTTGTGGACAGCCTTCCAAGGGTAGGCTTCCATGCCAAGGGTGGGCAGTGCAAGAGGCCAAAAAAATGGGTGGGATCAGAAACAAAAGTGGGTGAAATAACATCTATGACTCTAACCTTTGCACAGAAGGATATATATATAGCTAGAACCATGCAACAAAACAGAGGCTTCTGCACCAACCATCTCTCCATGCAGGCAGACAAGAGGCATTATCAAGGTTCCAGAAGGCATCCCAGCCAGGCAAAAGCATTCTAGGATGATGTAGAGCGAGGGTGACAGCGATGGGTGTGGCCAGGAGATGGGATGGCTGGGGCAGAGTCCCCAAGGGTCAGACACAGAGGCTCAGAGGACTGCATTTGACCCCCTGAGATGAGGTTGCCCACTCCTGCAACAGAGGAACCTTCACAACCGAAAGATTAAGGGTGACTCACCACTATCTCCCGCATGTTCATGTTGTTGATGATCTTCTTCATGACCTCAGGAGGAACTGGCGAACCTGCAATGACTCCTGAAAGACAAAAATGCATACCTTGAGAAGTTGCCTAAAGGACACTGCAAGTTTACAAAGCAAGTCATGACAACGGCTGCATACATCATCATCATCATCATTAGTAGTATTATTATTATTATTCCCTTATTAACCCTGACGCTTTGCAAATCAGCCGAGATTTTGATAGGGCAGACAGTAGCAAAACATGTGAGTATAGTTTGTGTGAATCCAAACAGTGTAATTCCATACTTGTATTTTTATTTGCAGATACTTGGTTTGGGATGCCTTCCATTCAATATTTGCAGTCTGCCTGGCCTCTGCTGCCACACACTGGTGGATGCAGTATTTTTTTTTTAAATGGAAAACCAATGTATTGTCTACCTTGTGCTATTTCAGTAACAGAAATAGCAAAAAAACCCCGCAAACTTTCAGATTATTAAGCAATAAAAAGGAAGGTGTGCTTGATGGATTCCTCATGCATGAGGATAAACATAACATGATTTAGTCATTCACTAATATACTCCAATAATTTTTATTAACATTTTGCTGCTCTTGAAAGTGTCACCAAGTTGAAGGGAGGAATGGTCCCTAGGTGTATGTCTGTGCTGCTGGATCAAACCCATGAGATTACTTACCTCAAAATATTTGAGTTTGGGGAAGGAATGGGCAAGATCAACCAGCAACAGCAGCAGCGCCTCCCCCCCCCCATTCACCTAGAAATGAGCCAATTCCTCTTTAAAAATGGAGAAAGCTGGCTCATTTTTAAAGGAAATTAGTTTAAACAAAAGCTGCAATCTTTGGTCGAATAATTAAGAACTTATGCTGACTGGGGTTGATTTTAACAGATGAGGGCAAGCCTGAAATGATTAAATGGTGAATTAAAGGCATGCTTTTTAAAAAGCATGTTACTGTAATGGGGAATGAAAAAATAAAATATTAAAGACAACATTTTGTTGTAACCATAATAGCATATTTTAAAAGTAGATTGCAAGCCATCTAACACTTATTTCAGTACCATTAGAAGGCTGTGGTATATGCAAATTGATGCAAATACATTTGATTCCGTTTAAAGTTTGTATCTAAAAGGCATCCATTAGCATTTTTTTAAAAATGTGGGGCTGATAAACCTCATTTAAACATGCTTACATTTGGGTTCTTATACTTACCGCCCCGAAGAGCTGAAAGGTTGTAGTTGGCAAAGTCAGGCTGAGCTAGCATATCTATGAACATGGTTGGAGTGCCGTGAACATGGGTACATCTTCAAATAAAGACAAAGAATTGCAGGTTGCTAAAACGAAGGCAGGAGCATGGCAACTGCTTCCTCCACCTGATTCGGACTGCAGGTATGAAAGCTCAAGTTTGCCTTTATTCCTTGTAACCATGGGGAAATCTTTTCCCAATGCAAAGAAAACAAAATGTGCACAAATGTTGAATGCATGCATGTCCCCTGTTGCCTAACTCCAAATGAAAGATGGCTCCCCAGCGTCATGGGGTACCAGGAGCTCCTGAAAAATCCTCAACCACCTGGCATTGGGGTTTCCAACATTATGAAACCAACACCAAGCTGTGAAGTGTTTAGTCAGCGCAAAGCAAAAAAAGCAGATTTTTGTGAAATATGAAAGTGCCCCCCAATAAAAGAAATTTTTTGGGGGGGGCAGTCATTCTAATAACACCCCTAACCACCCACCCATTTGTTTAAAAGCTCAAAATGATGCTACAAGTGGGGGGATTCTATTGTGCAATACAAACATGCCCAGTCTGTTTCTGCGTATACTTTCTTCAGAGGCAAAAATATATCCGTTTCAATTACAGTGATTCCTTCAGAGCAACATAAATGAATTGCCACATTCTCTTCGCTCCTGAAGAAGGCAGTGTGCTGTAATGTTTAGTGTGCGTTGTGTTCTCCCAATAACATTCCCTCACTTCCCTCTACACCACGTGCAGAAACTGCCTTCTTGAATGTTGGAGCCACTATTGGTCAATCCACCCGATCTCATCTTTCAATGCAAGAAAAGTCGCTAACTCACCATGAGTTTGAGACTCATCGGCTACCCTCCCCTGGCTTAGCCAGCCAGTCGAAGCCATTTCCCAGGGTGTGGCTGCTGTCCCATGATGACAGCTTCTAGGAGTCACAGGTGCAAGCAAAGTGTAGGGTGGGGACCAAAGATGGACAAACCTCCCCAGAAGGAGCACAACAATACCCCCCCCACCAGAGGTGCTACTCTTCCCCTAACACCCCATACACCCCAGTGTGGCCTGTATTAATAGACAGCTAATTCTTCCTAGAACTAAGCTTAAGATGGACTCTTACTTCTCATGGTCCAGGGCCTTCAGTGCTGCTTTTGCATCGAAGCTTAGAGACGGGAAGACAAGACAGACGCCATGAATAGCCATCAGCACGCAGCCTGCCACAGACCCCAGGCAGTGGTAGAGAGGGACAGGGAGGCAGCAGCGGGCATTCTAGGGTCAAGGCAAACAAAGACAGCGGTGGACTTGCCTTCCAGTGCTGGCTCTAACTTTGCTTACAGTTCATTGTCACAGAAAATTTCTAACCATCAAGTAATAGCCACTCTTAGACTAGAACATTCACATAGAATTAGACAATCTCTAACTAATACAGGATATGAGTGTGCCACATTCAGGTTAAGTATATAAACACGGGGCCTAGAAATTGAGAATCTGGTGGCAAATGCACATTATTGATCCTTGCACCTTTTTTTAAAAAAAATGAAGTTACTAGTCATTAAATTTCTAGCAAAGACCTTGAAAAGTGTATCTGAAAATCTGAGAAACTAGGAGGGACAATGACGTATAATTCTACATTACCACCATCACACACACACACACACACACACACACACACACAAAAATAGCCCTCACTCATTACTTAGGGGACACGATTTTGCTCCATACAGTTAGTGTCTGCAGGCTCAATGTTAACCAATAGACTGAGATGACTCACCCCATCTTGAACTCTCAGTCTTAATCCAATGAGGAATGCATTGTTCACAATGTTGTGGTGAGAAAGGGTAGCTCCTTTGGGGCTTCCTGTTGTTCCCTAAAGGAAAGAGATGTTTTACTAGCTCGTTTAGACCTCACCCTAACCCACAGTCATGGGCTAATTACAAGACTTCAGATGCAATACATAAATTGCTAAAATGCTATAACATGGATGGGCAGCCTGTGGTCCCCCAGATGTTGCTGAAACACACTAGCTTCCCCATTTGTGGCCTAGAACAGCCTTTCTTGATCTTGGGTCCCTAGATATTGTTAGACTACAACATCCATCATCCCTGGCCATTGCTCATGCTGGCTGGGGCTGGTGGGAGTTGGGAGTCCAACAATATCTGGAGGGCTGTTTGTTTCCCATTCCTGCTCTAAAGTGTGATGGTAAGTAAAGTATGCTTTGCCTGCCTGCCTGCCTGCTGGCATATGCTTCACTCCTGAGAAAACAGGATGCTAGACTAGATGGGCCTTTGGTCTCATCAAACAGGTTTCTTATGTTATTCTAACCCATGAAAATTTAGAAAGGAAATGGAATTTGGACAGGCACTGGAAGTGGTCAGGAAGCTAGAACTTCTATGTCACTTCTTCCTTCTCATAGTTACTAATCCTTTTGATCTTAATACAGTACTACCATACACACTAGCTTTTCCTTGTTTTCTATAAGGTATTATCAAAATATTTTGGATTCCCCCCCCCAAAAAACCCCACACCATTATTTTTCACAATCCCCAGATAACAAATTCCTGCAAATGTAGGCAAACATTTCTGTACAAGTGATTCTAAGCTTCAGATCTTGGCTTATTTGGTACAGAATATTCCTGTTTTCTGACCATTGCGGGCTGCATTATTTGAACACCAGAAAAAGCACATTTGGTACCCACTGAAGTGAACTGGATGTTGATAGGTTCTTTGCAGTCCAGCGTCTTCTGTATTTCCTCTAGTTGCTTCTTGTGTCTGCTGTCTCCGGCCTGCATCACATCGTTCATTGAGAATGCACCGGGCAACTTGGAGTCTGAGGTGATTACAACAGAAAGCTCTGGTAACCTGATACAAAAAAAGGAAGGTGTGCTCAGTAACAGGGAAAAGCAGAATACAGTGGTACCTCGCAAGACGAATGCCTCGCAAGACAAAAAACACGCAAGACGAAAGAGTTTTCTGTTTTTTGAGTCGTTCCGCAAGACGAATTTCCCTATGGGCTTGCTTTGCAAGACGAAACGTCTTGCGAGTTTGTTTCCTTTTTCTTTAAGCCGCTAAGCCGTTAATAGCCGCTAAGCCGCTAATAGCCGTGCTTCACAAGACGAAAAAACTGCAAGACGAAGAGACTCGCAGAACGGATTAATTTCGTCTTGCGAGGCACCACTGTATAGTTTGCCACGGTACAAGCACAAGTTCAGGGAATAAGCTCCAGATACAGTATATGGACCAATATTTTCTCCTGCCCCCAGAAGCTGAGAAGGAAGATGGGAATAGGAATTCATGAATGGACTCTTGATGTTTGATGAATGAATAATCTGAACTGTTTTATACAATCCCTCTAAATTTAACCGGGCTTCAATTTCACCCATGGCTGCTGTGCTGACCAAAAAAAAAAGCAAATTGATGGTTGAATAATTTCATAACATTTTCATTATTCAGGTTCCACAATTGACTCATATGGTATTAACACAGTGCCACAGTGGTTTTGTTCTGAAGAGACCTTGCTAAAGAATTTTAGGATGTTCTAAAAGTGGAGTTGGCAGCAGGTTGGATTCACAGATAAGAGACCAGAACGGACTACATGGGGTTGGCGGGTCTCTTATCTTTCCATGAATGTTTGGAGACTGAGAAATAGTTTTTAACACACTGGCTGTGGTTCCAAAGGTCATCCATGCCAAATGCCTATGCATCAGACACACATAGATTGTCCCCTAAACCTTCCTTGGCAGGAACTGCCCATGTCACAGCAAATCACCTTTTCTGTTCCAGCAATAAAGGTTACACAAAAAGCGGCTTGGCCTGGATTCTGCTATGAAGACCATAATCCACTAAGTCTACCAGTAATTCCACTTGGCTTTATGACACCATATATGCATAAAAGCCACAGGACTCTGGCAGATACAGATCCTGCTTGCAGAATACTCGGGAGGTGGGGTGGAGAAAGACGCACAGGAAACTGCCTGATATTGAGCCAGGCCACTGGTCCATCTAGCTCAGTCTTGTCTACACTGATTGGCAGCTCTCCAGGGTTTCAGGCAGGGCGCTTTTCTGAGCCCTACCTGGAGATGCCGTGAGTTGAACTTGGAACCTTCTGCATGCAAAGCAGGTACCGTATTTTTTGCACTGTAAGACTCACTTTTTCTCTCCTAAAAAGTAAGGGGAAATGTGTGTGCGTCTTATGGAGCAAATGCAGGCTGCGTAGCTATCCCAGAAGCCAGAACAGCAAGAGGGATTGCTGCTTTCACTGTGCAGCGATCCCTCTTGCTGTTCTGGCTTCTGAGATTCAGAATATTATTTTTCTTGTTTTCCTCCTCCAAAAACTAGGTGCGTCTTGTGGTCTGGTGCGTCTTATAGAGCGAAAAATACGGTACTTTAAGCGCTAAACTATGTCCCTTTCCCCAAAGGAACAGAGGAGTGGTTTTTTAAGGTCCGGCACTGGCAAACCATTGCAATAAATAAACTAATCCATTAATTATACATATGTATGAGAGGGTACAACTACACTGCATGGTTAATGGCGATCCTTTGGCCCTTGTATTCTTCAATGTTACTGCATCAACAAAAAGTATTGTTGCAGAAAATGAACTTATTACTGTTCATTAAGTTTTGTCAGGCATTTTTTGCAAATCGGGTATATATTTTGAGTGGTTTTGAAACGTCTAAAAAATCAAAGGGGTCCAACAGAAAATTGGGAACGTGCGTGAATACAGCTTGTGAGTATTCAGGCTGCTCTCAGGAGGGCCCATAATAACTGTTTGGCACGTCTTTCCTGCTACTTGAAATCCTTTTACTGGACGTCAGCCTGAGACCTTGGCGTGCCAGTCACAAAACCATGGTGGGTTAAGTGAGACAACGGCTTTACATTAGTGTAGAGAGCTTCACATAGTCCTGGTTCTCATTGCCTCAGGCAGCTACAAAGGGACAGAAGAGAGGGGTTCCTCCACATGTTGTTGGACCACAGTCCTCACCATCTCTGAACTTTGGCTTTGCTGGCTGGGACTGATGGGAGTTGGGAGTCCAACAACATCTGGAAAGCCGCAGCTTCCCTATCCTAAGGAATGTGGCAAAGTGTCAGGTTTCAGGGAATACGATCCCTCCCATGGTAACAGCCAAGAAGCAGAGAAACAATTAAAAGTTCTTACCACGTAATTTAATAATACAGTGGTACCTCGGGTTAAGTACTTAATTCATTCCAGAGGTCCGTTCTTCTGTTCCTATCCTGAAGCAAAGTTCTTAACCTGAAGCACTATTTCTGGGTTAGCGGAGTGTGTAACCTGAAGCATATGTAACCTGAAGCGTATGTAACCCGAGGTACCACTGTATTCACAGAAAGAGATGAAGGAATGCCGTCTTCCCTTAAAAAAATGGTGTTGCTCCAAGTAAAGTCCCACCCCATTACATCTCTCCCTGCGTCAGCTCATCTGAGCTTTCTGCCTCTGAGCTCTCTGTTCTACTACGCTCAATGCACGCCTGGTCCTGGGGGGCGGGGTCAGGAATGCTTTCTAAAGACACTGAGTCTGTCAGCTGTCTCTCCCCTGGTGCTTCTTCTTCCTGCTGTTCCTCTTCCAAAATTTTCCAGCTTCTCCCCTCTGCAGCCTCTGAACTATGCCCTTCTGCAACCCACTGTTCTAAATCTATACTGTCCTCCTGTTCTCGGGAAGGTTCAGGAGAAGGCGGCGGGCCAGTCCCCACCATTCCTCCTCAGTCCAGTCCCTGACACAAGGGGTGAAAAAGGGAAAGCACTGAAACGGTCCTTAAACTCATCATCGTGTTTCCCTTATGGTGTGCTCCAATGTAATAGAAAATCTGAAAGCCCCTCCCACTCTTGATCTTGTGGCTCCTTTGATTGATTGTGTGGGTATTTATCTGGGCACTTTATCAATATGAAAACAGTGTTTAGGATCGGGCCTTGGAGGAGACTAATGAGCAAATGCTCAGTGAACACTTACTTCTTGCTCTGTAATGCTCCTGGATTAGAATGTTCCAACTCAGGGCACACTTGCTTCAAGATCTCATAGTACTTCTGTGATTTGAACTGTGTAGGGAACACCAGTGCTTTGCAGCCAACCTAGAGAGATACATGTAAGGATGAAGCAAATGGGACACAAGGCAACCTGTGCAAAAGAGCAGCCATTCCAGGTGTTTTGAACCACAGCAGTCTTTTCAGCATCAGGCAGCATGCTTTTGTTCTGTCTTTTACTGCTCTAGGTGAACTTTTGCATACCCCTGCCCCTTCCTATAGGGACGCGGGTGGCGCTGTGGGTTAAACTACAGAGCCTAGGACTTGCCGATTAGAAGGTCAGCAGTTCGAATCCCTGCGACGGGGTGAGCTCCCATTGCTCGGTCCCTGCTCCTGCCAACCTAGCAGTTTGAAAGCACGTCAAAGTGCAAGTAGATAAATAGGTACCGCTCCGGTGGGAAGGTAAACGGCATTTCCGTGCGCTGCTCTGGTTTGCTAGAAGCGGCGTAGTCATGCTGGCCACATGACCTGGAAGCTGTACGCCGGCTCCCTCGGCCAATAAAGCGAGATGAGCGTCGCAACACCGGAGTCGGCCACGACTGGACCTAATGGTCAGGGGTCCCTTTACCTTTACCTTACCCGTTCCTATCTACTTATTTAAAATGATACACCACTTGATTGTAAAAAAACAACACCCCCAAAACCCTCAAAACAGCTAACACAAAGAATAAAATGCCTTACTGTATGCTCCAGCAGCATTGCAACAGTAAATTAAATTATCAAGACTTCATTGGGATACTCTTTTCTCCTTTTAATAATACAGTGGCATCTTTATACCCTCCACTTTACAACTGCACTTATGCCGTGGGAGACCTGTGGACACCAAGAGCCTCTCAATCATGTCTTCTGGAATGAAGGAGATCCAGTCTGTGTGCCCAAAATGCAGGCAGGTGGTCATTTCCATATGCCCGTTTGAGGCAGGTATACTCTGAGTTTTGCCACCGCAGGGTCAGCCATTAATGAGACTCATTTCCAAGTTAGTGTGCACAGAAAGCAGCCTCAAAGCTTGATCCTTTGAAAGAGCACTGAAAATACATCCCGCTGAATTCAGTGGAAGTTACTCTTAAGAACATTACGAAGATGTTCTCATAGTGTCGGCCAACGAGGAAGGAAACAAACACATAGGAAAAACAGGAGCAGTAAGAACTGCAAACCAACAAGCAAGAAACATTTGCAAGCTGAAAAAGCATTGTGCAAGGCCACTAGTGCCAGATAAGCTTGTCTTATTGCTTCCAAACTTTTTCCCACAGCGAGAGCAAGCAAGAAGTAGAATCACCTACTGCAGCTTTTGTATTTCACCTCCCATGGTATTTTAATGATTTAGCTCCAAAGCTAAACCAGAAAGGTAAGTACAAGAGGCCTCTTAATCTGGGCAAGGATTAATTTTTTTCACAAGAAACTTAATAGCTTTAATCCCTCATTATTAGGGATAAGAAAGTTGAATGGCTTAAGTCAGCGATAATTGCCATAGAGGGAGACTATGTTGATTAGGAAATGTTGAGAGAAGCAAAAACAAAACAAAGAAAAACCATGTATGCCACATTGAGCTCCTTGGAGGAACCATTGGATATAAATATAATATAAGAAAATACAGTCCATGAACATAAATGCTCAATTTTAGCATCTAGGTATTGGTCTTATATTTTTTTAAAAAATCATCTCAGCTTGTAGTAACAAAATCCATCAGTTCATTCTGATTTTGGGGGATAGGGACAACTTTTTGTTTGTGCCTGCCCTCAATCAACTGCCAATTAACTTGATTCAACAACCACACGTGTCAGTATTATGAGAGAAAAACATACAGCCCCCATTCTCTTCAGTCAGCTTTTCCTCTAAACCAAAGCTCCAAACCCATTAGCCATTGCCAAATTATTGTTTGGGCTGCCTTTTTCTATACTTTCCTCCAAATCAACCTCTAACTTAATCAACGCATTCCCAGAGCTTCAAGCGTTTTCAGAAAGCGCTGTGGATGAAAACAAGCAGTGCTGACCACAACAGGCCTTGTCGTACCTTCTTCACCACAAACTCCAGCTCTTGGGATTGATACGCTGGGTTCACAGACACCTGGAAATGATAAGAGATGAGAATTAAACTAATCAGAGATACAGCTTCTTAACCATGTACTGCTAAAGAGTGATCGTGTGTGTTGAGAGGTCAGAGGTCTCCTAGTATCGGTTTCAGAGAATGAAGAATACAAACCGGGCCTAAACCACACTTGCGTTTTAATTAATTGTCACTTAGTGGAAACAGGAGAGTATTTCCTAACACAAGTTGCCCCTGTTTCCCAATGTAATATTTATTTATTTAAAATATTTATATACCAGCAGCCAGGCAAGCATCTCCTGGCTTGTACTCCACTGATACCAAAACAGAAAACAAATACAAAATATGCAGTGCGATGTCACCACAAACCCTCCAGCTAGTGCAGGAGAAAGAACTCCCCATTCTGCCAATATCTGCAAGATGAGTCTATTGGGTCTTAGATAAAATACAACTTTCATTAAACCAAAGGATATTTGTTTGTTTGTTTGTTTTTTAAAAAGCTTCTGAATTCTACAAAATTCTTCAGCCAAACAAGATAGATGATTCCCAGTCATACAGTAAGAGTAGTTACTTTCTGCCAAAATACAAATCCAAACACTTTTATACACTAACCTTAAAGGTGTGTGCATTTGTGTCGATACTGAATGGTATTGTGAATGTTCTTTAAATATACAAGCTTGTGTTCTTTAAATATACGAGCTCTCTTCCCCAGCATGACATCCTTCTAGGGAGTTCTTGGATTTTTCCTTAACCAGCCACCAAGCCTCTTAGCTGTTCATAAGCAGGAGGAACTTACCAGGATGATTCCTGCTTGCGCCGTGGCAAATTGCATTAGGACCCATTCGTACTTGTTGGGACCCCACATTCCCAGCCGGTCACCCTTTTTCAAACCAAGGGCCAGAAGTCCTTGTGCTGCCTGTACTACCTAGAGAATAGGAGAGAGAGAGAAAACCCATCTCAGCAGATTGAGCTAGGCAGGTAGGAAACGATGGAGAATGTGAGATGAACGTTCCACTCTGTGCACTGACGACACAGGAAAATCTAAGAAGCTAAAGGAAAGGAATATGGCGGCAGCCGGTATGTTCATCTCCCAAGGCAAGATGGTTAAAGAACATCAAACAAGTTTCCTCCTAATCAGAAGGTGGTGTGTTGGTTGCATTCGGACCAAACACCTATGTTCTGAAGGAAATTCACCTTTCTGGAGGGCCACCAATTGATTTAAAAGCTCATAGGATTCTACCACTTAATTCACTGTGTAGTCTCTTAAGAATGTATTTTATTTTAAGGGAAATGGCTATGAGTACTGGATTTTGTTTATTTTGTTTGTTTGTTTGGTATTACTTTTATTATTATTTATTGAATTTATATACCGCCCTATACCCGGAGGTCTCAGGGCGGTTCGCAGAATAAAATCAAAATATAAAACCATAAAATACATAATCAAAATAAAAACAACCCAATAACCTCCCCTCACCCCAAAAAAAAACCCCACCACATTTTAAAAGGGCATAGGATGTCAATCAAATCAACAGTTTCCACCTCATTTTTATTATTTTATTTAATATTTCTTACTGGATTGTTATTTTAACTTCGTCATAAAGTCTTGAATTGTTTAATAAAACTGACACAAGCCACATTTAAATTTACATATCTGATTTTGACATGCCCAAGAGAGGTTCAAGGTAAAATGTGACATGAGAGCAGTAGATATTCCGCTCTCTATGTCTTTTTTGCTTGCTAGAAGCAGCCCCGTTGGTACCGGACCAGGACTATGTATGATAATACAGAATACAAAGGTCCTGCAGAGCTACCATAAGCCACAGAGACCAGAACATACGGGAACTGGGTTTGTGCCTGCATGTTTCCCCCTCCTAATAGTAAGAGAGCGGGGAGGCATTTGGGTGAGGGCTGTGGAGTGGTGAAAATTAGCTGGACACTATCATTGCTCTGCTCCATTGTAGGGGGAAACGAAAGATGGAAGAAAGGCACCCACACACTTCTACATCACAATTAGATTGGCCCTAAGCAGAACGAGTGAAAACAACCTGAGATTAACTGATGTGTGATGAAAAGCGCTACAAGCAGCATTAAAACATTAATGTCCTAACTTCAGATGTTGCTGGTCTATAATTCCCAGCTCCTCTAACAATTGGCCACAGTTGCTGGGCCTGATGGGGACTGGAGTTCCACGACATCAGGAGGACTACAGCTTCCCAGCCCCAGTTCTAAATAGCTTATAAAGCTTTAGCTAGTCTGAGCCTTGCACCCAAAAATCCCATGCATTTAATGGGGAGTTAAGTCCCACTAAAGTACAGTGGAACTAATTTCTGAGTAAACATGCATGAGATCACCTTCAAAGCGTTGCAGACAGATGCTTTCAGTAGCTGCTCAGTCCCACTCTGGAAAACTTATCCAAGCTTTGATCATCATCATCTGGAACAATTAAGTCCATCTTACTTTTAGGATACTTGTTATTTATTTATTTCCAGGCAGCTTTAGAGACTTGCTTTTCAGCAACTGCTCTCAAATCAGCTTACGGCTTAAGAAAAAATAAAGCACCCACAAAATCACGACAACAATAAATGGTTAGGAGAAATTAAAACAGGGTCAGGTAAACCTGGCATTACAACATAAAAAAAGGAGAGAAAAGATATTGACAGCGTGTTTCAGTGGACCATTTCCCAGAATTTGTTGCATCAACTTTCGTAAATGATTCCAGTGCTCGGGGGCCATCCCAGAGAAATAAGAGTTTGCAGGAACTACCATAAGATTTTCACCCTCAGAACTCAAAGAATGGAAAGGAACTCACACACAAAATGTTGCTTGCTCAAGGATCAGTGTGGCCCAGAAGGGCTTTAAAGGTGAGCGGCAAGGTCTTGAATTTAACTCTGCAGCAAACTAGCAACTAGTAGAACTCATAAAAAGCAAATACTACCTAAGCAGGCTAGCACATTCTGGACAGCTGAAGATTCCAAACTGCTCTCAAGGGCAGACCCAGATGCCCCAGACATTGTAACTGTCAATTATATGGGTTATGAGGGTTATGATTATTGCTTAGGGTTAAAATGGACCAACTTGAGATTTTCTGTGCTCTCCTTGAACAAAAAGCTTTACCAATGCCTAGTCCCAAAAGCCATATTCAGTTCTAAAATTCAATTCGAAGAACCGTGAAAAATGAAGGTTATCATCTTTGACCATGTGCAGAATGGTCTTCTCACCACTGTCAACAAACCCTTAAAACATCTGGTATTTTGGAAAGGTCTTTTTGGACAGCAGAGGCAGCTTCCAGACATGCTAGATAGAGTCTTTAGAAATGCAGCTGTTTGGTATTGTAGACAGCTTTTATTCTGACAGGTTTTTTAAATTTTATTTTATTTACAGCTATTCGGTTTTTTTCCTTTTTGGGAAGGAGGGTCAGGAAAACCCCTAGAAAGGGGAGATTGTTCAGTTGGGCCAACAGAAATGCTTGCACTGACAAAATGATCTCCTTACACTATGTTGAATTACGCCCACAAAGTCATATAACTTGGTTTCTGTTAAATCTTTGCATTTTTGAAAGAAGGGGGGGGGAATATGGATAAAATGCTAAAATATGTTACATTTTTTGAAATATAACTTGGAAATGTATGCAATACTGAGCAGTAAATAAGGGTGAGTAGTGAAATATCAAGCCAGCGGGGCCTTTTAAATTTGTATTAAACTTGAATTAATTTGATGGCAATTAGTTAAAAAACCCAAAAAGCAATAAAAATTAATTGGCAAAAAAAAATAAAAATCTTTCCATTTTGGGTCATCTGGAAGCTACCGTTTCAAATGCCTTTTAAAGTATAGGCTATCTTATCAATATGTCTTAGTGCTGATTTTTGTAAGCCACTCTGGAAACCGCTTTTAGCTGTGGAGCAGGGTTAAATGCTTTAAATACATTGTGCGCATCCCTAGATTCAGTAACAAAGGAATCGTGAGCCACCTACATCTTGTCTCAACTGCGCAAACGTCTTCCGAATCCCTTCTAGAGGGAACACCAAGGCTTCTCGATCAGGACACCGGTGGGTTGTCTCTTCCAGGCACTGATCCACAGTTTTCCCAAGAAGCGGAATGTCTGTCACCCCATGGAGATAGCTTTTGCTTGCTATAGGTGTGGCAGGGGGTGCATCGGTTTGTAGAGAACTGGCAAGAGAACAGATGAGATGCAGAAATTGCAAGGGGCAATGTCGTTCACAGCTGGAAGAAGAAAGGGTTAGGGTGCTTGGTCCTCTTTGATATAGCCAAAGGGAGGAAAAAACAAACCATAAGAATTATCATCAACCTATGTGTGCTAGTCACAGCATATGGAGAACTTTCAGTGGTGCACAGAAATATTTGCTGCTGCAAACTTTATCACTGTTTCACAACGAAAAGTCAGGGGAGAAAAATGTTATTTGAATGTGGAACTAAAAATGATAATCTAAAATCGTAGATGTTCTAGGTTTCTATTCTCTGCTTGGTGTTCCTCAGAACTACTTCCCTGTTCCTTAAATATAACCAGGCGTAACCAGGGATGGAATAATTTGACTCCTAGTTCAACAGAGAATCCTACTGGCCTTCAGCTGGTGGGTCAGGCAGGACCCCCTACTAGGTCTCAGCCTGATCTAAGATGGGGCGCAGCTGTAGCACTGCCACCTAGGTAAAAAAGAAAGAAAGAAAGAAAGAAAGAAAGAAAGAAAGAAAGAAAGAAAGAAAGAAAGAAATGGGCCCCACATGCATGTTTAAGTTAAAGGTAGATACCAGGTCTGTAAACAGTGGAGACTATTTATTTATCTAGTTTTATGCTCAGGGAGGAGATCTACCAGAATAGTACCAGGATAACAGCTGAAAGTATCTCATGCAAGCTCAGCGTAGGAGAGGGGGGAAATCACAACACAGAACATTGAAAAGCGTAAGGAAAACACTAGCCATTTCCTCAGGGACTGTGCTTCTAACAACACCCACATGCTACCAACACACAGAGGGGGCCCACAGAACTCAAAAGCATGTGCTCCTATCCTATAGCTTTGCATCACAATGTAAGAGTGCCCCTACAGCCCCCATTTGTGGTAGATCTTCAGTTTAGGATTCTGTCCTCAGGCCTTGGGGTTTATTGGGGATTTCCTCTACAAAACTATGGTTTTTAACTGCTGCTCCTTTTCTCTGCCAAACTGTGCTTTTCTCTGCTGCTCTGCTTATTTTTATACTATATGCATATACTTCTAAATTTTGGTGGTTATTAGCCACATAGATCATCTCAGAAACTCAGGAGAGATGGTAAATAAATGTTTAAGATGAATGAATGTCTGAATAAATAAATGGCAACTCTTCCCCTTGTCGGTTTAAGTCTACCTGCCTCCAATGTGAGTTCAGTTTCCTTCTAGCATTATAATTTGTGTGACAAACCACATTTCACCGCATGAGATGCTGGGTCAGCCATCAATCCTTCCCTTCTCCATATGACTGAAGTGCAATTTTGAACAAAATAAATAAATGCAAGTAATAGATGTGCATTTGTTCATTTCTATGTTTGTCCTTATTTAACAATAGATATAGGTGGGTGGGTGGGTGTTAAAAGAGTTATGAAACAATTCTGGCCAATGAAGGAAGTGTCTTAATGACATCATAGACATTCACCAATTGGCACATCCAACCATAGGCTTTTTTCTGAAAACCTGAAGAACAGTAACTGAAAACCTGGACAGGAAAAGGTGTGTTCGTTTTGCAAGAGCAGAATGCACGTCCAAAATCAGTCCCACTACTCTAAAAAAGGTTATGTCTGTCTTAAATGCAGAACAGAGGGGAATCATTCCTATTACAATGGAACTCATTGTGGGGAAAGGTTAGGGCAGTAAAGAAGGGCAAAACCTCGTATTCCTAATCTTCCATTTCGTGCAGTTGCACAGGTTACCCACTTTTATTACATTTCAAGCCAAGGCCATAATATTGCTGCTATGGCAGAATGGAGGTGATCAAGAAAAAAGAGAACAAACAGAGAAAGGTATAAACCAGCAGGCAAATGTTCAATAGGATTATCCTTTTTTTTTTTTATTGGGAAATTGCTGAGCAGGTTGTGTAAATAGAGCTGGTAAGATTTTGCAGGAAAACAGACCTATAATTTATGAGTTTTCAGTTCCCAGGAAACACACTGGGAGAAGCTGAGAGAAGGTAAGAAGCTGTTTCTTGCTAGTACAATTGCACACCTGTCCGCACAAACAAAACCACCAAATTTTGAAGCTACCAACCTCATATCTCACCAGTCACTACACATGCCCTAGAAGAGGGGGTAGCTAGCCTGTGGCCTTCCAAATGCTGTTGAAAGTGCCAGCCTGCCCATGAGGCAGAGTGAGGCAGCCACCTCAGGTGGCAGAAATCTGAGAGGTGGTGCCCTCAAGGGCACACTGCTACCCCTTAGCTTGCGGCGAAATATCATGAAATTTCACAAATGTTGCTGGAACCCACCACCGGCAGTGAGTGCCACTTTTCAGCACTGCTGCACAACCCAGGTAAAGGAAGTATTGGCAGTGGGGTGGCACGTTCTCACTTTGCCCCAACCATCATGACCAATGGTCAAGAATGATGGAGTTAGCAGAAGAAGAAGCTGCTTTCTACTGAGACAGACAATTGGGTCCACCCAGCTCAATGATGATAGTAGCTCTCCAGGGTTTCAGGCAGGGTGTCTCTCCCAGCCCTACCTAGAGATGCCGCGGATTGAACCTGAGACCTTCTGCATGCAAAACAGATGAGCTATGGCCTTCCTGTTGTAGTCTAATGACATCTGGAGGACCATAAGCTGCCTAGAAATTCAACACTCTAAAATTGGCAGATCAACTCCTTGGGGAGGAAAGGCAGGATGTAAAATCAACAAAATAAATAAATAAAAATAGAAAGGACCTTCACACATACACACACAAAATTATTGCTCCTTCACTTAAAGGAACTGATATGTTGCCATTTGCCCAACAGATAAAATGTCACATCCAGGAACATTCCCAGGCTACAAATACCTCCTCCAGCAATGCAACCCACTCCCCAAATAAATATTTCTTTTAAAATTACAGCATAGTTTTTACTTCGTATGTTTCATGGGTGTTTGCTGCACCAATCTGGAAGCTGGCAGAGGAACTGACAACTTTAATGACAGCAGGCCAATTCAATGTCACATGGCTGCCTTCTTTAGGAACGAGCCGACCGTCAGCACATACCGTATTTTTAGCACCATAGGGAGCACCGGACCATAGGGCGCACCCAGTTTTTAGGGGGGGGAAATCAAGAAAAAATATATTCCCCCCCCAGCCCCAAAGAGCAGCATACAGGCTGCGCACAACCTCTCCCTGCCGGAGGGGTTGAGCAGGGCTATGGCACAAGCCAAGGCAGCCATCAGGATGGATCCCGCTCGCTTTCTCTTTAGCCCCGCGCAACCTCTCCTTGCCAAGAGACGCTGCGCAGGGCTAAAGAATCCATAGCCCCGTGCAGCCTCTCCTTGCCGGAGGGGTTGCGCGTGGCTATGGCACAAGCCAAGGCAGCGAGCAGGATGGATCCCGCTCGCTGTTTTGGCTTCCCCTTTAGCCCCGTGCAGCCTCTCCTTGCCGGGAGACGCTGCGCAGGGCTTTCCTGGCTTTCCTGGGAGGTGGGGGGATTCCCTCACCTCTCCCAAAAGCCCGCAGAAGCCGCGCAACCCCTTTAAAGAGATCGCGGCTTCTCCTGGCTTTCCTGGGAAGTGGGGGAATTCCCCCACCTCCCGCAAAACCGGCAGAAGCCGCGCGCACTTTAAAAGGGCTGCACGGCTTCTCCTGGCTTTCCTGGGAGGTGGGGGAATTCCCCCACCTCCCGCAAAACCGGCAGAAGCCGCACAACCCCTTTAAAGAGATCGCGGCTTCTCCTGGCTTTTCTGGGAGGTGGGAGAAGGGACTGATGCGGCCAGTCAGTCCCTTCTCCCTCCTGTGGAAAAGCCCGCAAGAGCGCACAGAGCTTGTGTGCGGCTCTTGGGGGCTTTTCCCGCCTGCCTCCCCCCTGCATTCGCTCCATAGGACGCACACACATTTTCCCTTGCTTTTTAGGAGGGAAAAAGTGTGTCCTATGGTGCGAAAAATACGGTATATGTAACATCAAGATTAGATTCTTTGAAAGTGAAACTCAGCTCTGCAGAAATCCTCCTCCCGCCTTCAAGGGAGAAAGTGAGGGAAGTAGGAGGAGCCTGCAAGCCCAACACTTTCACTCCCAGAGGCCCTCCACATAGCACTGGCCTAGTGCAACACTGCATGCGAATACAGCCTATGAATCTGATCAGGCTCTTCTGTGGAAACAAAACTTCCACTTCTGCTATAAGATGAATGTGTGTTTTGACACAATTGCCTTGGTAGCTTCAATTCTTCCATGCCCAAAATCCTGTTCTTGGCAACTGTAGGACCAGGAACTTCCAAGACTCCCAGGTTCTTTTTAAAGCATGAAATTAGCTGTCAGAGATGCAGATGAAAAGGGGATAATGGGGGAATAATGCAACTGTTGCTAGAAAAAATGTAAGCTGCTTTGCACCCCAATATGGAACACCCAAAGCAGTGAACTACTTCTATCAAATAAGGAAGAGAGGCTTTCAGAGGCTCTGCAAAACTCTAAAGGTTTGCTGATTCTTTGTGCAAGAGGTGCAACATCTTCTGAAGGCTGGGCACTAAGCAAATATGAGAAGACTGACATTCCCCTTCTTCTGAAGTTTCCATGGAGATTTAGATCCAAAGGAACAGCTAGTAACTGGCAATGTTTAGACCTGGCACAGTGGCAAAACTCTTACAGTAGGGAAAGTGCAAATAAAGCAGGATTTAGAAGGAGCTGGTGAAAACAGACGAAGAAAGTTGTTCTTCCTGATTATCTGTGTATTTTACATCCTGTTATTCTGAATTACAACTCCCGTCATCAGCCATCCTTTCTGGGAACCTGGAGTCCTTCAACATCTAGAGAGCATTACATTGGTTCCCCTGGCCTATAGGACAAGACAATGTGAAACAGAGCAGGGTTCCTGTCAATTTAGCAGTAGGAATAACAAGGAAATTTTAATAGGTGAAAAGAGTTTTATTTCAGGGGTTACTAACCCCAAGGATGTGAGTCTGATACCAAAAGCCACCTAGATCCAACACAACCAAGCAAGAACTGGTGTCTAATATGCATACATCTCAGTTTGCAACTTGGGAGATGGGGTGGTCAAGATTTGTGGGTAATGATATACTCAGATTTTTGCTTCTCCAGCAGCATCATTTACAGCAGAGTCATAAAATATGTGTCAAACTTTGCTGGAGTGGAAGAGGTGTTGGACTACAACTCCCATCATCCCCAGCCAGCACTGGCCTGTCTAGATGGGAGTCAGAAGACAGCAATATTGGAAAGGGCCACTGGATTCCTCATCCTCAGGTTGGAAAATAAGGTGACTGATTGTTTCAGTGGAGGAAATTGTTTCAGTGGAGGAAATTGTTTCAATGGAGGAAAGGGACAAAAAACATGATGATCATAGAAAAAAAGCTAATGCTATTCTAGGCTGCATCAACAGAAGTATAGTGTCCAGATCAAGGGAAGTAATAGTACCATTCTATTCTGCCTTGGTTAGACCACATCTGGAATACTGTGTCCAATTCTGGGCTCCACAATTTAAGAAGGATGTTGACAAGCTGGAACGTGTGCAGAGGAGGGAAACCAAGGTGATCAAGGGTCTGGAAACTAAGCCTTACAAGGAGTGCTTGAAGGAGTTGGGTTTGTTTAGCTGGAAAAGAGGAGACTGAGAGGAGATATGTTTGCCCTCTTCAAATATCTTAAGGGCTGTCACATGAAAGAAGGAACATGCTTGTTTTCTCCTGCTCTGGGGGGTAGGACTCGAACCAGTGGCTTCAAGTTCCAAAAAGGAGATTCTGACTAAACATTCAGAAAAACTTTTTGACAGTAAGAGCTGTTTGACAGTGGAACAGACTCCCACAAGAGGTGGTGGACTCTCCTTCCTTAGAGGTTTTTAAGCAAAGGTTGGATGGTCATCTGTCATGGATGCTTTAGCTGAGATTCCTGCATTGCAGGGGGTTGGACTAGATGATGCTTCGATCCCTTCCAGTGCTACGATTCTATGATTCTATTAGGCAAGTATGACATTTTATTAGCAATCCAGTTTATTCTGTGGGGAGAAAATGAGCCCAAAAGAGCCCTTGGAAGCATAATGCTGGGCTGCGGAGTTTACTAGTTTAGACCCTGTACTTCTAATTTGCATTATCATTTCAGCTCAAAAACTTGGAAGGACAACAAAGTAAATGTCTTTAAAAGGTGTGTTGAATCAGTTACTTTGTATGTTGACAGTCAGAGATACCCACTGAGCAGATAAACTTACCAGTAAAGAAAGCAGAGTTCACTTTCTAGTGAAACTGCTGACCCCAAAGCACATGCATTCCCTTAGGCAATATTTGCCAAATTTACCTCTGATATCAGCAAATGAGCCAAGAACAGCATGGGAACTCTGGCTGCAAAAGCAGGGTGTGATGAGAAATGCAGACCTCGGTACAATATGAAGATGGCAGCTGAGCCCAGAAATACGAAGGTCTCCCATGAAAACTAGGCTTGATGATTGCAAGAAAAGTAGTTCAGGACTCAAAGAAGAAGAGGAGGAGGAGGAGTTTGGATTTGATATCCCGCTTTATCAGTCTCAAAGTGGCTAACAATCTCCTCCCCGCCCCAACAAACAGGCTGAGAGACTTCAGAGAATTGTGACTAGCCCAAGGTCACCCAGCAGCTGCATGTGGAGGAGCGGGGAAGTGAACCCGGTTCACCAGATTACGAGTCTACCGCTCTTAACCACTACACCACACTGGCCCACTGACTCGAGGCATCATTTTTAAAAAGTAATTAAATCCAGATGTAATCATGGCGTTGAAATATAACCCAGGGGCATCACAAACATAGCCTGAGTGTTCTAACCATCCTTTATACCAGTTGACCCAAGGTGAGTGTTTCTGCTCTATATTCCAACACCATCCCCATGGAAATCAGAGGGGGAAGGAAGAAAATCCACAGTTATGCAGATGGCCCTCTGGGAACGGAGATGTATTACGCAAGGGTCACATTACTCAAATTCACCCAACTTGTGTTCTCTTTTGTGCACCAGTTGAAATCATGCTGCCCTTTTGTGCTTTGACTGCCCCTTTCCCACCAAGTCTATGGCAGTTTGAATCACAAGGCAAAAAGGGAGCATGGGTGTCCACAGGGATTTTTTTAGAGGGTGGGGAGAGTAAAACACTGAAAGAGGGGGAGCAGGATAGTTCCCCCCTATCAAACACACACACACGAGAGAATGGTGCCTAAACAGTTTGTCTTACATCATAGAATCATAGAATTGTGGAGTTGGAAGGGACCCTGAGGGTCATCTAGTCCAACCCCCTGCAATGCAGGAATCTCAGCTAAATCATGCATGACAGATGGCCATCCAACGTCTGCTTTAAAACCTCCAAGGAAGGAGAGTCCACCACCTCCCGTTGGGAGTCTGCTTTGCTGTTGAACAGCTCTTACTGTCAAAAAGGTCTTCCTGATGTCTAGTCAGAATCTCCTTCCTTGTCACTTGAGGCCAGTGGCCTCCGAAGCAGGAGAAATCAAGCTTACTCCATCTTCCATATGACAGCCCTTGAGATAATCTGAAGATGGCTATCACCTCTCAGTCTCCTCTTTACTAGACAAAACATACCCAACTCCCTCAACTGTTCCTCACAAGGCTTGATTTCCAGACCCTTCATTATCTTGGTCACCCTCCTCTGAAATCCTGTAACTTTTGAAACCACAAATGTTCTGGTTTGTTTGTTTGTTTGTTTAGTTCCCCTTTTGTTGTGCTGTCATGCCGAAGTGCCCTTCTGGACAGCAATAATGCAGTAACATGGGGAAGCATCCCAGAACAACTTTAAAAAATGATGCATGTGTTGATGTGGTATATAAACCCACTACAAAAGCACTACTATTGCATCAGGGGCGTGTTGCAGAAGACACTTGCAAAACATAACACACACAAAAAAACAAAAAACAAAAAACCCACACCAAAAAATCCCCAAAAGTTTGTCTCTGCCCAAAGTATCTTTTTGATAATTGGGATTCCGCTGAACTCTTTTCACTTCTCTTCACTTGCTTTGCTTCCGCTCAAGCCTCTGCTGCACTAACCTACGCCTGAATCAATGGCCTCTTGGCATAACACCCCCAAATTTATGTCCGGATAGATATATACCGTATATATTGCCACTTCCTCCCCTCCCCGCAGCGCACCACTCCCGCCCACCCCGTGTCCTCAAAATACCTTCATCCCAACTTTTCTCTGGCAAGCGCAAATCGACCCTGGCAGCCCCTTTGCATTCCTATCAGCCTCTTCTCTCCAGCCCCGAGGAGGGAGAGCGCAACAGCTCCAAATATAGCACCCCAAGTTATTTGACCCTTAAAAAGAAAGTGAAACCCTATGGGCTCCCCACCCCGCGCCGGCCTCCAGCCCCCCACCCCCATTTCTTGGGGTGCCCCGTTCACCCCAGAGCATCTGTTCCTTTGGCCCCCTGTACCTGACCCGATGAATGCCCCGGAGGCCAGTTCGAGCCACCAGCACTGCCCAACCCTCCCTGGCGACTCTCTTCAGCAGGCCGGTGGTAGAAGCCATGGGCCCCCTCTCCCAGCAGAGGCGTAGCCCCCGCCACAGCCCCGCTGCTTGCAGTTGCCTCTCCCTCGGGCAGGGGAAGAGCCGCCGGCCGGCCGGGAGCAGCGAGGAGGAGGGTGGGAGCTGGGGGGTGGGAGGGAATGAGAGGCAAACGGGGCGGCGCTGCCGGCGCTCAGCCCGCCCGGCTGCAGCACCTCCTGTAGCCTCGTTAGCGAGAAGGAAGTGGAGGCGGGCGGGGAAGAAGGAGGCGGCTGGAAGAAGCCTCTTAGGTGCCGCTGAAGAACTCCGTCGCCCAGCGCGGAGGACGGCGAGGCGAGGCTGGGAAGGCGGGCGAGCGGTTCTTTCGCCCGCAGCTCGCTCTCTCAGCGCAGCCTTCGGTCTAATAAGGCATCGCTTGAAAGCAGAAGGAGCCTCTCGCATTTCGGGAGAGGAGAAAGCTACAATCTGACTGACTCTGCACTCCTCCGCCCCCCATATATTGTTCAAGTTGGCACTTCTGCCTAGGTTCCGCTTTGTTTGTGGGGTGGTGTTTTCGACAGGCCCACCATAAGGGTGTGAAAGTACCTACTAGTTTGGCAGGGCATGCACTGTGCTGTAATTTCTATGAAGTTTTGAGATAGTTACCTCAACAAGATGTGGGGCTCAGGGCTCTAGCAACCATATACAGTGGTACCTCAGGTTACAGATGCTTCAGGTTACAGACACTTCAGGTTACACACTCCGCTAACCCATAAATAGTACCTCAGGTTAAGAACTTTGCTTCTGGATGAGAACAGAAATCGTGCTCCGGTGGTGCGGTGGCAGCAGGAAGCCCCATTAGCTAAAGTGGTGCTTCAGGTTAAGAACAGTTTCAGGTTAAGAACGGACCTCCAGAACGAATTAAGTACTTAACCTGAGGTACCACTGTACTGTATCCCAGAACACCCTATAGGGCTGCATGCCCCCCTCCTGCCTGTAAAGCACATTCTTTCCCCTCTGACAGCACTCAAGCTGCCTGAAGCAGGGTCCACGGACTGTTACAACAACCACAATCTGTTTGTTTTTAATTTGAATCAGCAATTCCACTGTTTGATTTCATAGATATGAAGAACAGTCCTATATAGTTTCCATAGTGAAGTATTAGAAAATGAAACACACTAAACCTAAAGTGCACCAACCTGGTATTTCATGGGAGGGTGTTATACAAATACACCCATGAATTAATAGCTAAATAATTAAAGTGCCTATCCTTTTTTCAGCTTAAGAGCTCTCAGAAGAGTGTTCAGTATTCCACGTTCAGAAAAAGCACCCTGCACAAACTGAAGCCAAGCAGCTTTTCCAGGGTTGCATGTTGAGCAGGATTGGCCCTCCCAGCTCTGGTCTGCTTAAGAAAAAATGAGTTTGTTTACGCAGATTGTGTCTCTGCATAAAGGTGGAAGTCTTTATTAACATATTGGAAAGCTCATTATATCATGAGGCACACATGAAAAGAGAAGTTCAAAATAACAAAGCAGAAGAGACACACAACCTAATAGCTGTATCTCCTGGGACACATTCAGCCTGCAATCTCCATTTTAGGACATAGTCTACAAGCTGACCTCAAGGCTACAACTTCTAGCCAAATTTTTGTACTTATTTATTTTTGTTTTCTTAATTTCCCCTCCCTCTTGCTTTGTGTAAAGTTGTTGTGTTGGTTTTTTTTGGGGGGAGGTAGTCTGCATAAGGCTTTGAGACCCTTCTACTTCTTGGAGTCCTGAATCCAGCAAGGGTTAAATCTACTTTAGTTAAGCACCATGATCAGCATCCAAAAAAAAAAAGAAAAGGAAAAAACCGAATGAGCTGGGCTGCAAGGAGGAGCCCAGCTCTTGGCAGGGAGCTGGAAGGACAATAGCCAACAGTGTGAGAGAGTTCAGCTAGGGGCAGGCAGAAGCTGGAGAGACAGGAGGCATGATTGATTTATGCTGGAATCCAAAGCTGTGACTATGGGATAAGCAAGATCTTTTGGAGTGTTAATGCTGTGAGTCCTTCCACCTTAAGCTCAGGTTGTATATATGTGTAAATAAACCATATATCCTAAAAACACCACAGTCTCTGCTGTCACTCATACCAAGGAAACCAGACCTTGGGTAAGTGCCTGGAATCTCTCATAGCTCAGAGATTCGGGTGGCATGTAATAATATCTTACATGGAGAATTCTGGAGAACCTAAAAGTTTGCCACAGTTTTGTGACATTTTGGTTGGTCCTAATAAAGATAATAGACCAACTGTGTTTCCCCCCCTCTCTCAGATGGACCAAGTCTGCCACCTTTGCTTTCTGTTCCTAAAAGTACCCCACTACCTGCATACTAAAAAAAAAGAATTAAGACGGCTGACAGTTAATGCTTAGTGCTCTAACCTAAAGAGACATAGAAAGCATCAAGCCTTATGGGACAAAGGGTGTGTAGATATATGTCCAAATTATAAAAGTGATAATTGCCTCAGTATATTGTCACAACAATACAGACCAAAGTACAGAACGCATTAAACTGTGGGTGGGAAGTAAACTTTATGAACATGGTGTTTTCATGAGTAGCACATGCAACTGTCTTGCTAGATGTGTGGATGTGCAGTTCATTTGATCCTTACCCTCCAATGGCCCTTCAGATGTTTCTAGACTCCAAATCCCATCAGCCCCAGCCAGCCTAGCCAATAGTCAAGGGTGATGGGAATTGTGGCCCTTCATATGTTGCTGGCAGTGTTAGAAACTGAGATATGAAAGCTAGGAGCCAAATGGCACCGTAAACCTAGCTTATGGGTGCAACAACGGAATGTCTAGGGTGCTCTTTTATAACAAGAATACAAAGCTGAAAATGAATGAACTGCAGCTAAAATGTTATATGTTCATTTTTCACACGGTCTAGTCCTTCTCCTGCCCACCCCCCTAATATTCTTAAGAGGGCATCTTCTCCAGTCTCCAGAGAGAAGCTGGAAGTGGGGAGGCAGAAAAAGGTCCTCCTTTCCTTACACTCTGCAGTTTTATTCTGAAATCTTAGGTGCAGTACTGTGCCCAGAGCTCAGAAACTGCTCGCTCTAATGAAATTCCCTGTCGCAAAATATGCCTAGAACAACGAGAGTTTCAAACACTGGTTGCTGGACTACAACCTGTTTTATTTAATGGTCCCTACCCCTGTTTTATTGAATGGTCACCAGCAGTGCTTTTCTTCTAGAAAAAGGGTGCTGGCATCCACCATCAAGATGTTACAGTTAGTGCCACACTTTTAAGCAGTGCTGCTCTTCTTCTTCTTCTTCTTCTTCTTCTTCTTCTTCTTCTTCTTCTTCTTCTTTTAAAAAGTGCTGATACTGTGTACCCTTGAGTACCCCCAGAAAAAAGCACTGGTTACCAGCATGAATGAACCTCTCAGCAGATGAACCTTTCAATACCTGTTCAATTGGCACATGTACCAGTGCAAAAGCACTGTTAGATGAAGGTGGGAAGGTGATCCTTGCCAATCTTCCCTGGAGTCGCCAGGATCACATCCCATGCTGTTAAAGAGGGATCAAACCTCTGAACCAGCTATTCAGAGAACATGGGCAGGTGGGGAAGTGGGGGAAATCACTTCCCACTTTTTCCTCCAGCAGAGGACCTTGTGGTTAGAGTTCCATCCACAAATAGCCTAGACTGGAGCCAAACCTGTTGGTATATTTTACAACTTTCAATGCTCCAACAGCTTAAGCCCAGGGTGGATAATGCAATGTGTTCCAGGTGTTGTGGGAATTCAACTTCCATCAAGCCCCAGCCAACATAGCCAACAGGCATGGAGTTGTAGTCAAAACTGTCTGAAGGGCACATCCTTGGCTAGTTGTGACTTAAGCTGTCTCAGGCAGTTGAAGGCGGAAATAATAAATACAAACTAACTAGATTGTAACCACCAATGCACACAATGGGATTTACTTCTGCATGAGCACAGGACTGTGCTGTGTAATAATAAAATAATGATTAGTAATTATGGCAACACAGATCAAGGATCAAATGGCCCATTCACACTCAGAAAGCATTCTATGAGTTACACATTAACAGCCATTCAAAGTAGGGGAATTTCCTGAGTGACTCTCACAAACTGAAGGACGGGCAGCCAAGTGTGTCAAAGGAGCACCAGTAGAATTGACAGAGCGGCATTTTAAATGTTTCCATGGATTCATAAAACATAAGGGCCATGCTGGATGAGGCCAAGAGGTGACTAGGGTTGTGTGGCATGTGATCATGCCTCTAGCCTAGGACCTCTGCCATACACACTACCCAGGTTTGCACACCAGAGAGGTCACTTTGACGCTGCTAATGCAGCAAAAACAACACAGGAGGCAGCAGTTGCGAGTTACTGGGTTTTCCACAGCCTCAGCAGGCGCTGTGATTCTCCAGTGGTTTGACTTCACCCCAAAGGCGCACTCCATTGTCTCCCAAGACAGACAAATGCTAACAACAGATCTGCCTCTTGAATTAATCTTTCAGGAAACATATTTGTTCCTCTGCTCTTGCCCTGCCTTCCTAATCCACATCCTTATAAAATAACAGCATGTGTGTTCTGCCTCTCTAAAGCCCTTGATTTTTTAAAATGCCAGTTATTCTGAACATCTATGACTTAGTGCATGAAGAATCTTGTGTCCTCTATTAGCCATTCCTGCAGAAAGAATCCGGAGCTGATCAGTGAAACTTCTAATGAACTGTGAAAAACAGTGGACATATTAAAGGGCTTGGGGATGCTGCCATGCTCAGGGTCTGGCAAATTACAGCTGTCTGTGAAAGTACAGTGATACCTCGGGTTAAGAACTTAATTTGTTCTGGAGGTCCGTTCTTAACCTGAAACTGTTCTCAACCCGAGGTACCACTTTAGCTAATGGGGCCTCCCGCTGCTGCCGCCCCACTGCTGTGTGATTTCTGTTCTCATCCTGAAGCAAAGTTCTTAACCCGAGGGTTAACGGAGTCTGTAACCCTGAAGCGTCTGTAACCTGAAGCGTCTGCAACCTGAGGTACCACTGTACTGGGCCCCAGAGCAGATTGGTATGGCTGTCCATGACTGGCTTCTGAATCAATTGTGTTATCATTTTTCTACTACTTGTATCTCCTCCTGCATTCTTCTGGTTGGTACGCTAATTCAGAGGATATGTCAAGTTTGGATAGTGAAAGCCCTTCGGTGAAAGAGGACAAATTAGGTCATCTCTAGCCTTACAAATGGGTTAAACGACAGAGCCTAGGACTTGCCGATCAGAAGGTCGGCGGTGAGCTCCCGTTGCTAGGTCCCTGCTCCTGCCCACCTAGCAGTTCAAAAGCACGTCAAGTGCAAGTAGATAAATAGGTACTGCTCCGGCGGGAAGGTAAACGGCGTTTCTGTGCACTGCTCTGGTTCACCAGAAGCGGCGTAGTCATGCTGGCCACATGACCCAGAAGCTGTACGCCGGCTCCCTCGGCCAATAAAGCGAGATGAGTGCCGCAACCCCAGAGTTGGTCATGACTGGACCTAATGGTCCCTTTACCTTTAGCCTTCTTTCCTGAATCAATTCACAGCGATGTCACAGCCTTTGCTTTGTAGACAGCAAGGAGCTTAACACTTCTGTTTCAGTAAGCATTGTCATGTTTTAGGTAGTATTACATAACTCAGAAAGGTCTGGAAGCAGATTTTTCATGGTAGGAAATGAGCCACACAATGAACCAGAAAAGCCACCAAAAGCCACTGTAAACCACTTATGGTTCAGTTTTTATGAGTCCATAAAAACGGGAAACTACTGTGAAGACTGCTTTGTGTCATGAATGAAAAGTAATCCACCATGAACGCAGTAGGCTCCTCTTTCTTTCAACTCTCCCTTGTGCGAATCCATATACAAGTTAGAGATTTGTGAGAGGAAGAGTGACTGATGAATAAGCAGCCTGATCTTGGATTTGCTTGCCAGGAGCGGCCCATTCTGTTTTGTCACCTGATGTGAAACAGGAAGGTGTCACCCCAAAAGCCACACTTATTGGGGTCACACAGCAGCAGTGGCTTCCAGTGAGATCTCGCCAGACGCCACAGCTGTGCAACCCCAGTGGTGGCAGGAGCAGGTGGGGCACCTAAGGGAGCACCATGGGATCCCGCCACTTTAGATAGCTGCTTCATCCCACCTCACAGGCAGCCTGGCCCTGATGCTTGCTGGGAATAAATCCCACTGAATTCCATGGGGCTGATTCTGAAAAAAGCATGTACCCTTCGAAAGAGATGTGTTTTGCTCCCTACCCCACCCACCTCGTGCCAATGTTTTGTCTGGTGTCTTCATTATACACCTTTAGGCGCCAGGCAAAACTGTTGCCCTTTAACCAGGCTTTTGGCCGATTGACATCCAATGCCCTATTATAAAATGTGTTGGGGAGGAGGACACTTATTGGGTTCATTTTGTTATGTATTTTGTGTTTTTATAATGTGATTTTATGTTGCAAACACCCTGAGACCTGCAGGTATAGGGCGGTATACAAATTTAGTAAATAATAATAATAATAATAATAATAAGTGCTTTTTCTCCAGGGCACGCAGTACTGGTACCTCTTTTTGTGGTTAAAAAGTGTGGCACATACTGTAACAACTGCCTCTTGAGTACCGGCACCTATTTTTCTAGAGGGGAAAGCACTAATAATAATAATAATAATAATAATAGACGAAAAGGCAGAAGACTGTGGTAAATGACAAGTTTCTGTCTTTCTTTCAATATCTGGACCAGCATATTTGCTCTTAAGTTGAAAAGCGGCACTCAAGTTGCCGAAAAAGGTGCTTCTGGTTTTTCGTTTTTCTTTAATTAAGCAGTGGTGGCAAAGGCGTGTAGGGGTGGGTGTGTATGTATCACAATTAGGCAACAACCTACCACAACTCTTCCCCTCACCCCGACAACGGCGGCGGCAAACTTGGCTCCCCGCGTCGACTCTTGTTAATCCTTACCTTTTTTGCCTGCCTAGCCCTAGCGAGACCTCCTAGGCTGTGACCTCTGTCAGCCTCCAGAGGCCGCTATCGCGCCTTTCCCCACCCGACTTCCGCGAGGCGCTCTCGCCGGCTTCTCTCGCTGGTTCCCGGGGAAGGCGCTCCGAGAGGAGGCGGGTGCGGAAGTGGCTGGCACGGGCAGGAGAGCGTCAGCAGTTCCGCTGGAGGGGCGGGGGAGAGGTGAGTGAGGTGAAGGGATAGCGGGAGGGAGGGGGGATTCCTAGACGGGACACCCCCTGGCCGCCCGCTGCGTTTTGGGGACGGCTCCCTTCGCGCCCTTTTTCTTTCGCTCTTTTCAGTGCAGCAGCCCCGTAATGCTGCGTGTCTGAGCCCCACGCCCACATTGCTTGCCTGCCGTGTTGGACGGCATAGAGGGAGGCGGAGGCAGAGCGAGGCGAGGCTGCTGACCGTGGGAGCCACGCGGGCGTATCCCGCCCCAGCCCTGGAGTTGGCGGCGTGGGGAACGTGTCTGCCGCGTGTGCAGGGGGAGCCTCTTGCGAGAGGTCCAAAGGGCAAAGATGGTGGGGTGCGAGGGGTGGGGGAGTAGGGTTGCCACCTGTCCTATTACAATGCAGGATTATCCCGTATTTAAAGGAAAAAATGCTGCGTCCTGTATTGATAAAAGAGTTTTGTCCAGTATATCAGGTCTTCTCAAACACTCTCTCCAAATGCACGTGTTTGGAAGGGTGTGTGAAAGGTCTAGGGAGCCAAGCACAGATTTGCAAATCCGTGTGTGCAAGTGTGACAGATTCCAGAGGGGTCATCCTGTTAGGCTGCAACAGATTGTAATAGATTGCTTTGAAGTCACTTCAGCACCAGATGAAAAAAAAAGTTGCCCTGCCCTGTATTTTGCCAGAACAAAGGCGGCAACCCTAGGTGGGGAGAGTGGAGGTGTGACTTCTTTGCCCCAGTTTTGCCCTTGGCACATTGAGTTGGCCAGGAGGAGTTGTTAGCCTAGGCATGGGGCCCCCGCCCCACGGCTTTTTATTTCTTGCTGACGTTGGCTCTCTGCATTTAAACATTTCGTAGTCTGGTAGAGATGGAAACAGGTGTGATTTCCCCCACTGTGGAGATGCAGATGGTGTGGGGGAGGGGGAGGAAAGCCACCTGCCAGATTTCCATGCATGTCCATGATCTTATCAGGGAAGTCAGAGAAAAGGTGCTGATGCTGCAACTCTATAAAGGGATTAGAAATTGATCTTTCTGTGAGGACCACATCCTCATATTTTGCTCTGTCCTCCCAAAAAAGGAAACCCCAGGCAAGGCTTGGGAGATGGCAGGGTTGATTCTGTGTGGCTGGAGTTACAGTGCCTCCATTTTCAGTGATATTCCCAAGTGCACTCATTTGGACTTTACCATCCAAGTGGCCATTCATTCATATGGGGAAATGTGGTGAGGGAGAAAACTGCCCACTGGTTTGGCATTGGGTGCTGTGGCCCTTGCTAAGGGGTCCCCCTCCCCCAAGTGTGGTATAATGATGCATGGTACACAACTATGGGGGATCTTGCAGTATGTGTATTTAATTTGTGCTGTGGTCAGGGTTCACCTTCCACATGTTGGTTGGTGTATGTTGCAATTATGTTAATGATAAGGAGGTCTTCTACTATGGTCAAGTGGGTCTCTTTACAGTCTCAGATGTCAAGTGCAAGGTCTATGCTGCAAATCTTTCCTCTGCTGCTAAGTGTAAATTTCAGCAGTCTTGGCAATGGTCCAAAGGCAACTGAGCGCCATTGTGACCCTCTTTCCTTTTGACCTATACCTCCTTTTAACTTGTACTTTCCAGCTGAGCAGGAAAGTCACGTCACCTCAACCATTTCCCACTGGCAATTAAAATAATAATAATTCTGACCTGTTTCTTTATTATTGAGAATTGGGTGCACTGCTTAAGAGTGTCCCAATATGAAGCTAACCAAAGTACCATATTTTTCGCTCTATAGGACACACTTTTTCCCCTCCAAAAATGAAGGGGAAATGTGTGTGCGTCCTATGGAGTGAATGCAGGCTTTCGCTGAAGCCTGGAGAGCGAGAGGGGTCGGTGCGCACAGACCCCTCTCACTCTCCAGGCTTCCGGAAGCTATCTGCAAGCCTTCGGAGCGCGGCGGGAGTGCCGGCCGGGCTCCGAAGGCTTGCGGATAGCAGCCTGCAGCCCGAAGCCCAGGGAGCGCTGCGCAGCGCACCCCGGTCTTTGGGCAGCTATCCGCAAGCCTTTGGAGCCCGCGGGAGTTCCCGCCGGGCTCAGAAGGCTTGCGGATAGCAGCAAGCTCCAGGAGCGGAGGCGAGGTTGCGAGCAACCTCGCCCCCGCTCCTAGACCGTTCTGGGGGCTGGGGTCGGGGGAAGCTTGGGCTTCCCCCGCCCCAGCCCCGCAGCTAAAAAGGAACCAAGACAGCCAGCGGGATCCATCCCGCTGGCTGTCTTGGCTTTTTTGCTCTTGGGGGCTGGGGGGGGGATAATTTTTTTTCTTTATTCCCCCCCCCCCCCAAAAAAAACCTAGGTGCGCCCTATGGTCCAGTGCGCCCTATAGAGCGAAAAATACGGTAAGTACTGTGGGGCTTGCTTACTAGTGAGTATGTAGCCTTAATCTTTTTATCTCTCTAGGAACACAAGGATATTCACCAGGCTCGTTGGGAGACTGCTCTATTGAAGATTATGGCAAAATCTGGAGGAAAAGGAGTGAATCTAAAAGACAAACTGGAGGGCAATGAGTTGGACTTGAGCTTGTGTGACCTGAATGAGGTGCCAGTGAAAGAACTGGTTGGTATCTCTGTAGAATAAGCCAAATAATTCTGTAATACTTTGTAGCCTGCATAAACGTACAGGTTCTTGTAAAATGGTAAACTGGTTAATCTGTTGATTCGCCAGAATTTTAATATGTACTTTAAAAAATATGCTTTCAACTACAGTGATCCATGCGACGGTCACCTCCAGGCTTGACTACTGTAATTCGCTGTACGTGGGGCTGCCCTTGAAGCTGTCCCAGAAACTCCAGCGGGTGCAGAATGCTGCAGCGAGGCTCCTCACGGGGTCTCTGCCAGGAGAGCATATTCACCCAGTGCTTTTCCAGCTGCACTTGCTCCCCGTGGAGTTCAGGGTCAGATTTAAGTTACTGGTTTTGACCTTTAAAGCCCTTCACAGCCTAGGACCCTCGTACCTACGGGACCGCCTCTCCCGGTATGCCCCACGGAGAGCCTCAAGGTCCATAAATAGCAACACCCTAGTGGTCCTGGGCCCTAAGGAAGTTAGATTAACTTCAACCAGAGCCAGGGCCTTTTCAACACTGGCTCCGGCCTGGTGGAACGCTCTGCCACATGAGACCAGGGCCCCCCACCCCAGAAAATAGGAAACAAATTGATAATGGCCATGTAGGCAGAAAGCTTTACCTAGCAGGACAACAGTCTACTTAAAAGACAAAAATAATTTGTTCCTAATTCATTTGACAAAACTTGTAATGAAATACAGTGGTGCCCCGCAAGACGAATGCCTCGCAAGACGGAAAACCCGCTAGACGAAAGGGTTTTCCGTTTTGGAGGTGCTTCACAAAACGAATTTCCTATGTGCTTGCTTCGCAAGACGAAAATGTCTTGCGAGTTCCTGCGGGGGTTTTTTTCCTTCCCCCCCCCTTTTTCCCAAGCCGCTAAACCGCTTATCAGCTGATGGCTAAGCCGCTTAACAGCTTATCGTTAAGCCGCTTATCAGCTGATCCTTAAGCCGCTTATCAGCTTATAGTTAAGCCGCTTATCAGCTGATCCACTAAGCCCGCTAAGCCGCTAATACTGTAGCACTAATCCGTTAAACCGCTAATGGGCTTGCTTCGCAAGACGAAAAAACCCGCAAGACGAAGAGACTCGCGGAACGGATTCTTTTCGTCTTGCGAGGCACCACTGTATATAAATCAGCATCAACATGGAAGTGTATGTATGATAAAGAAGCATTTAGGAAATATAGCTAGTTTAGTTAATAGCAATTGTGGGAGTTTGGTCCATATTGTGGCAGATGTAGATATTCTGAAAACTCCCATTTCTAGAATAAAGGTCCATGGTGTGATACTAACATTTCATATGCCAATAGTCACTGTTAAAATGTGTATTGTAGACAAATGATAGATCTATGTTACAATCCTAACTACACATGCTAGGAAGTTAAGCCTCATTGGTCAAGGCAGGACTTGCTTCTGAGGAAACAAGCATAGGATTTCACTGCTAATTTGGTTCTTTGATTCTTTTTCAGGCAGGGCTTTCCAAGGCTACCATTTTAGATTTGTCCTGTAACAACCTTACTACTTTGCCAGTAAGTTTCAACTGTATCCCATCTACAAACTTTTTATATAGAAACATGTATAATAATACAATCTCATCCTACTCTTTAATGCAGAAGGTGGACTGTAGGATGAGATTGCATTATTATTTATTAACGTTTGTACTACTTAAGAGGGTGGGACTGTATACATTTTTTATACATACCACCTAATGTAGTAATAGCTGTAGTTCTCATATCCCCTGGTAAGAGTGAATGTTGATGCCACAGTCACTAGAAGGGCAATTTTGGCCAATGACGTATTGTAAAAGATAGATGCAAGTACAGCTACTTTCAGAGAGCACAGATACAAGTTTTGATGGCAGATACTTTCATCTCAAAGTGGATAAATAATGATGCGTATCTTTGAGTTACAGGTCTCTCTGCCAGGGTGTTGGGGAGAGATTGATACTAAGGGGCTTTGCGGATAAAGGGTAGAACTGAAGGAACAATGGTTTGTTGTCTCTTTTCCCTTAGAAGATGCTTTGTGTGTATCTTCCTCTACTTGCAGGCCTAAGATTAGAGGGAATGGCTCCACGTGAATAGCTTGGGTGAGAGACTGGGCATCCGTAGGTCTTTGGAAATCCTTAACCGTATCTGTAACTGCTCAGCTTGCTAAATGCCTCAGCTTTGGGTTAAGAAGGTGGTTGGACTCTGTTTCACTTGTGTTTTTGGTTGCAGTCAGAATTCTGCAGCTTGACCCACCTGGTGAAATTGGACCTTAGTAAAAACCAGCTTCAGCAACTGCCTTCGGACTTTGGTCGCTTGGTCAACTTGCAACACCTGGACCTTCTGAACAATCGATTAGTTACCTTGCCAGTCAGTTTTGCACAACTCAAGGTAACGTTTTCACTCTCCAACTCGTGCATTAAGAAAGACATTGAGCTTCAGCTCAGAACGTTTTTGAGATTTATCTGAGGCTTACTTCCCTGGTGGAAATCAAATGTTCCTGGTGGCAGAGAGGTGAAAGTTCAAATCTTTATTGCCATTTATGCAGCTGCTGGCTCTGGAGAAACCTTGGTAGTTTGAGCAAGCTCTTGGCAAAATTTATTTACCTCTGCATGTGTGATAGTATTGAATGGCTGTCTATTTATGGTTTGATCTGTTAGAACAGCATTTCTCAATCTGTGTTCCATGGGGTTCCCCGTGAATGAAAAAAGTTGTAATGGCAAACAAGCATGCACTGTGTATTTCACTCAAGCAGTCGTCCTGGGAATCCTTATCCCTTCTTTCATTTTCTTGCCATGCCTTCCAGGGGTTAAACCAATAGCAGTTGGTGGAGTTGCTTACCTGGCTTCCCAATATACCTGGACATAATTTTCCATTCCGTCTTTTTGTTTTGCTGGTTTTTGTTAAACTTGGGGGGGGGAGTTAATAAACTTGTTTTTTTTTTTCCAAAAAGAGAAAATCATGACAAATGATTTGGTCTCTTTTTCTCTGCGTTTCCCTTTTTCAGAACCTGAAGTGGCTGGATCTGAAGGACAACCCTCTGGAGGCTGCCCTGGCGAAGGTAGCTGGAGATTGCTTGGATGAAAAGCAATGTAAACAGGCTGCCACCAGGGTAAAGCAATTTATTCTCAGTTACTTTCCTTATCTATTCGGCTGACTGTTTGTATTTATTCTCTCATGAATTTTTATGCATCCCAGTCCAAGGCTCAACTTGCGTCATAAACCAAAGATAAAAAAATAAACTCTAAACCTAAAAAGAAATGCACAAATGAAATCTGCATTCCCATTTTGAGGCCTATATATATATATATATATATCTCTAATAAAATTTAAATAGTTTTGCTTTACCGTTATTGATGTTAACCTTACCACACTGCTATATACATTTGGACTAGAAATACCAAATTGGCTCAGAGCTTGTAGTGGGCAACATGGGAGGAATGTGGAACACATATTTTTACATGCAAGCATTAGGGTAATCAGAGTAGTACACTGTTGCACTGGTATCTATATTCAGGATGGTGTTTTGGGTATGGGAAGAGATGTATGTGTTGTTGTTAGGTTGCTAATCTGAATACCACATCTGCCTTTTTTACTCACTGGTATTCAAGAGCAAACAGAGAGGAAACTCCCTTTTTTGAAAGGCCATGTATTAGCAATTAACTTGTTGCTAGTTTTTAGGGGTTGGTGCCCTGTGCTGGCTTGCTTCATTCATCTGGAATTAGCTCTGCAGACATCCCTTGTTTTTGATAGGATTGGTCCTGTCTTTGGGTAACGAGGGCGCTGGACTACACAGCACTTGAATTTTCTAATTCTGTATAAGTGGTCAGAAAGACAGCTCTTCTCAAAGGCAGGTTGGCCAAATCAACTGAACTTTCATAAACGTCTTTCCTTAGTTTGCCTTGGTTGTATATTAAATAAGATGCTGTTACAGTGGTACCTTGGTTCTTGAACGGCTTAGCTGCTGAACAAATCAGCTCCCGAATGCTGCAAACCCGGAAGTAAGCGTTCTGGTTTGGGAACGTTTTTGGGAAGCCAAACGTCTGACGCGGCTTCCACTTGAGTGCAGGAAGCTCCTGCAGCCAATCAGAAGCCATGCCTTGGTTTTCGAACAGTTTTGGGAGTCAAACGGACTCCCAGAACGGATTAAGTTCAAGAACCAAGGTACCACTGTACATCCCTTATGCTGGTTGTGGCTTCTCCCTGCTTCTTGTAATTGTGAAAGCTAATCACACGTCTTGAATCTCAAAAGGTACTGCAGCATATGAGGGCCATCCAATCTGAGCTGGATCGTGAGAAGGAACGAAAACTACAGTTAGAGCGAGGTAGGCTTAGTAACCCTAGTTCTCTTTCCATGCCCCATAAATCTGCTCTGGGGGGCTGGAGGAACCCCCAGAACATGTTTGGGTGGCATGCATGGGGAGGAGGGGGAAGTCTTGTTGCGACGAGTGGACCACATTCCCGACACACAAGCCCCACTAAATTCCACCCTCAGTATCTCCCCCCACCCAACTGCCGGGAGCCCATTTCACAAGACTCTTATCATGTGACCGTCGGGGAGGGGAAATGATTAACCTGTGATGACCCTTCACCTTAGAAATGATCACATGAATCAGTTCTCTGTCACTAAGTTTATACTTAGTCTTGCATTTAAAAAATAATGTAATTGAAATGGAGACTTGTACATATTACGAGCATTATCCTGGAATCATTTCTGCTGTTATGAGTTGTGGTTCTTCCAGCTTTCCATTTGCTGTACTTTCGTAGGCACATTATCATCCAGTCTATTTGAAGCCATGTCGTCATTGCCCAGAAATTGGATTAGATTATCTTCAAGGCCATTCTATCTCTCTACGCCTATCCTATCCTTTTAAACAGAATAAACAGTTTCAGAGGCAGATGTTGGTTTAAACCCAGGTCAGACCCAGTTCGTATGCAAAGTGGAGGGTGGCAGGGAGAGGTCTGAGCTTTGGAGCAAAAGGGTGTCTGGATTTAGGAGAGGTGAACTCCTGTCCTTGCTCAGTGCCTGCCACCCTGCAGCTTCTTCATAGCCAAACCCCGATACCACAAGAGAGCAAACCTTGGGGGAAATAATGGAAAACGGAGGGGGAGTTTAGCACTCCTCAGCCACGTGTCACATGATCCCCGTTTCACATGTGATTGGGGAGAACTATGTATTTCATCCCCCTTGCTTGTCCCTCCAACACTTGCATTTTGGGTGTAACCCTCCACAACACTAATGAACTCAACCAAAATTTCCCAGGCGCCACTTCTGTCGTTCAGGTGGAAATTGGTTCATAATTCCAATCAGTAATCTGGTGCTACACAACCTTTAAACACGTTTAAACAACGGGCAGTACCTTTGGTCACAGTCACTAAATGATTCTTTGGTATTACTTCTCTTAGCACACTGAACCGGGTGATGCATTTAATATTTTCCTGTTGTGATCAGTGAAGAGAAACTGCTGCCTGTACTGGATGTACTTACTCCCTGTACAGTCGTACCTTGGAAGCTGAATGGAATCCATTCCGGAAGTCCATTTGACTTCCAAGGTGCGGCTTCTGATTGGCTGCAGGACGTTCCTGCAGCCAATCAGAAGCCCCGCCGGACGTTTGGCTTCCAAAAGAATGTTCGCAAACAGGAACACTCGCTTCCGGGTTTGCGGCGTTTGGGAGTCAAAATGTTTGACTGCTAAGGTGTTCGTCAACCAAGGTACGACTGTACCTTTACAGTATTAAATTCACCCGTTCAGCATGACAATAGGCCTTACAGGGTGCAAAACACAGGAGATTCTTAAAGCACCTTGCAGCTGCAGCTTTCCTCCTTTGCGGGGTCAGGGCAGCAACCACTGCCACATTATTGTACCAGATGCAGAAGTAAACGATGGAAGTGTTTTCTAGAGCGCATGAACATTTTCTGTTTGTACGGTATACTCAGAGCTGGAGAAGAAGCGTGAAGCAGAGCAGCGAGTGAGGGAAGCCCAAGAGAGGGAACTCCGGAAGCGGGAAAAGGCTGAAGAGAAAGAACGGCGAAGGCGGGAGTATGATGCTATGAGAGCGGTAAAGCAGGAAATGGCAAAACAATCAAGGAAAGAAAAAGACGAGAATCCAAGTAAGTTGTTTGTTGTTGTTGTTGTTGTTGTTATTATATTAAAAAGTATGTGTAAGAGGGAGAAATAATGGAAACCAAGAGTAGATAGCTTTGGGTTTTTTTAAAAAAAACCCTTACAAAACTTACCTTAATTAAACTTCATAAATTGGCAAAGCAGCAGGTCTGTAGCTTGGGAGTACTCCTGGTTCCAACTTTGCTACCAGAGGCTCAGTGGGCCTTGGGGACTAGGAATGTTTATTTTGAGCCCAGGCTAGTTTGCCAGCAAGGGTCCCTTTTGGACAGACATGATTTCCCCACTACACCCCATGCTCTGGTAAATTCCAGATTGGATCATTGCAATGGCCTTTACATGGGACTGCTCTTGAAGATGACTCACAAACTTCAAACAGCTCCAATGCAGCTGCTAGAGTTCCTTTTAGAGTTGACGTATATCCTGTTCTGAAAGCCTTGCTTCGGCTGCCTGTTCATTTTGGGGCCCAATTCAAAGTGCTCGCATTGGTGTTTAAAGCCCTAAATGACCCAGGTTCCAAATATCTGAAAGAAGCCTCCTTCCTTACAGAACTCCCGCTGGGTGTTAAAATAAACAGAAGGGGCCCTCTTGGTCATTCTGACACCCTCTGGTGGTTTTTTTTTTTTTTGGCAGGGTGGCTGCTGGGAGAGGGCATTTTCTATAGCAGCCCTTATGCTTTAGAACTCCCTCCCCACAGAGTTGCGCCTGGTGCCTTCATTGTATAGCTTTTGTCGTATGTTGAAGCCACACTTCTGTACCTTGCGGCCTTTAACACCTGGGATTTATTTTTAAAATGTACACACACACACCCATTCTTATGATTGTAAATTGTTTTAACTGATTTTAAAGTGTTTTTATAACGTTGTACAACTGCCCTGGGACCTTATGGGGAAGAGTGGGTAAGAAATTGAATTATTGTTGTCGTTAGATCTTGCAAATTTTGCGTTGTCACCTGGTTAATAGTTAGGGCAAACCCAAACCATGTTTGGGCATCATTTAGATGCCAACAGTAGCCTCTGCTACTATTAAGAATGTTGCCCGCATTTACAGAGCTTGTGGAGACGGGGTTAGTCAGCCTGTTAAAGCAGAGTAAATAAATTCTCATTCTTTGCCCGTTCTTTGTTTCTGCAGAGGCCTCGCTTTCCCATCCATCCCACCCACCCCAACACAAACGGTCCTGGTCCAGAGTCCTATTGAAGATGCTGCTGTTCTTGCTGCTTGGTGCCCTCAGTACTCTGGCTGTCTGTAAGGTTACAGAGCTGCAGCACCAGCCTGTATGCGTCCGTGTGAACATGCTCTATGAGGAGGCGCTGTCTCTTTTGCAAAGCCGTGAAATCCTTCGGAACGTACTGCAGCCGAACACCCAGCAGTCCTGAAGGACTCTTCCCCTTGCCAGTACCACCTCCTGCTGGTTTATTGTTTTTGGTTTTTTTTGCATCAGCGCAGCCAGGATTCCTATGGAATTAAGCTCTGGTGGAAATTGCCTTCAGCCATTCAACGCTAGGTTTGGTGGCCAAAGTTCAAACAGCGCCAAACCACTTGCCCGGGTTGCTTCGCTTCAATTGCAGTTCCTGCGGTAAACCAGAATTTATTGCCATTCCCTTCCTCCATAGTGGATCCTTTCCTGGGCTGCAAAATACAGACTTGCTGGTCTGTATGCAAGCGAGGAGAGACAGTACCCTTAGTAGCAGCCTTGCTATGAGAAGTGATACCTATTTTTGTCATCTTAAGAAGTTTTTGTATATGTTGTCTCTGAGTGTTACTGCTATAGCAAATACGTGCTCACTTTGGAAACAACTACTGTACACAGGAGGACTGAATGTATTCATTCAGGGGGGAGTGGAGTCATGGTTCAGGTTAGCTTTCGTATAGGCATATGTAATTTTTCTAAGCAGCTTGATGTTGGATTTGTAGGTGGAAACTGGTGGTTGTGGAATGTAAAGACAACCTACCTAAAGTATGCTGTTTTTCGAAAACGCATATCTACATCCACATCTGCCAATACCTAATTCTTCTCTCCCCAGATATTTGTATACCAGCCAATGGAAGTTTTATCAAAGTATTGTGAAATCTGCACCCAAAGTTTAGCAAGTAACACGTCATTTCATTATATATATTTTTTGCTTTTTACATTTTTGAATTGGTTAAAAACAAACAAACTGGGTGCAGTTTCTGTGTCCTTGTGCCTAAGTGCTTTTTCCTGTTGTATCTTAGCTTGACGGTCTGTGCTCCTGAACATACGACGTTATTCCTTAGTGTGAGTTACCTGAGAAAGTTCTCTACTCAACTGTACTTTCCCCGTTTGCTTGTTTGAGCAGGTAGCGAATAAGCAACACATTTGCCTTATCCTCTGCCATTGTGCAAAGGATCTAGTGTGGCGCACAGATCCTGCCTGCTACCCTTCTGTGTCCTGCTGGGTCAGCTTAGAGCACGAGTACCTCTCTTGCTCAGGCAGCTTCCACTACTGTAACTAACAGCTTTACCAGCTGTTGAAATTACTTCCTAGATTATATCTGGCAAACCCAGCAGCCTCCCTAGGGTAAAACCTCACCAAATCCAGTGAAACCTCCTGAGTAAATACACGTAAGATCAGAATGGAAGTAATTTGTGCAGAGTCTAAAAAACCAGAGGAGAAGCAGAGCTCTAGCATCTGCTAGTAGTGTAATTGAATCAATAGCTATATAGCACTATCCATGGGCATGTGCTTTACAGAGCGCAAGTCTCTCCTGGGCTGAGAGCTTGCAAGTTAAAATTAGTCACAGGAGAAACAGCAGATGAAAGTGGAGGTGGGGTAAGCAGGGAGGAAGAAGGGTGAAATTCTGCTAACTTAAAATGAGAGACTTTGTTCAGGTGGGGCATATGGACAAGGGGATTGCACAAAAAAGGCTTCATGGAAAAAGTGGGCCTTGAAGCGGGATTTGAAGTCACTGACGTCATCCCAGGGCAGCAAGGACAGAGGGATTAGAGGACTTTTTGGTAGCTGAGAGTGGTGGAGATGCAACTTGAGATTTCTTTCCTGTAGCAAATTCCCGTAAAGCATTTAATATGTAAAGTTACATAACCCACATGCACAGTTCTAGTCAAATAGACATCCGTTACATAGTTTGTGCTTTTAAGGAGATTTAGGTTCTTATAACAACAGAAAATTAAAAAAAAATGAACGAATAGGACATAGCTATGAGTAAATCAATATTCTGTTTCTATTTTGGCACATGGGCACCTCTTACGTTCAAGTCTGAGTTGTTGAAGCCCAGCCTCTTTAGCAACGTTTAAAATTAATTTGACAAATTTCTGAATAACGTTGGTGTAGAACAAGCACTGCCCATCTCCTCTTGAGCATCCTTGTCTGTCCTGAGTAGTAAGGGGGTAGATGCAGAGTGCCAGGGGTTGTGCCCTGGGTTTTCTTTCCAAGATTGATAAAAGAATTGCAACTCAGTCATTCCTGGTTAGCCAAGAAATACTTGATTGCCTAATAAGGACTGTTGCAGGAATAAAGGGGGGGGGGATAGGAGTCCTTTTTGGGTCCCAAGCAGCGACGCATTTGATATTTTCAGAAAACATTTAGTGTTAACATTTCTTCCCGCTATTAAAAAAAAAATTTAACAAAGTTTTTACTTAAAATACATAGTTCCGCATCACCCAGTAGCATCCAGGGAAAGGTCAGGGTTATGGGAAGTCATCTGCAGATAAATCCGTTTGGATAGCTCTGGGCCAACCCGCCTTGTAGTAGCTGTCACCCCATCGCCACGGCGGACAGGTATCTCTGCAAGGAGGTTGTGCCGCTCCTGTAGAGAAGGGCGGGTGTCATAGGCCTAAATGTAACACAGAAATAACGTTACACGTCACAAAATGCGATATATGAATAAACTTGCCGAATCAGTCTAAGATTGGTTTACTAAAGAAGCCAAGTATGTGCCATAGAGCAGCTGGCCAATATAGCCAGCCTGAAGTTACATTCACTTTTCCCCCGGAGATGATTTATCCACCTACAACCCCATCGCTGGGGCAGTTTTGCAACATTGGATAATTGCACTTCCCATAGTAAGTTTGTAGTCTCGATAAGAGAGCAGTTGGCCGATTGATCCTTTAGCTAGTTACTCCTAGCCAAAGCTTCCCATTGCCTGCTCTCCTCCCCACCACCACGGTTACAGGTTTCCTATGAGCCAGGCTTTGTGCAGCCGTGCAAATAACTCAAGTGGCAATCAGCCACTCCCCAAGCCCACTGAATACAGCGTGAGCAGTTCTGTTACTGAGAGACTGAAAAAACTGGGAGAAGTTGTATACTCTTGGGGGATGGTGGAGATCTGATGGAGGACTCCTGAGTTAGAGACAGGGGAATGTCAGTCTCTCAGGGTGAGAGGTTGGGAGGAGCTACTGTCCTCTGTGGGTGGTAAGGGCCAAGAATTACTTTTAATGAAGAGAGGACTTTGTAATTTCGCTTACTCAATTTGTATCTTCTGTAGTAATTTTACTGTATTATGGGAAAATCTAAATAAAAAGAACCTTGAAAACAAAACTGGAGAAGTAGGCAGATGGCAACAAAGAGACAACTCGGCAAGGGCTGCTGTCAAGGAAAACAGATCAGCTTCAAAAATGCAAAATTGGATATCTGGAGAGAAATGGTTTTTTTTTAAAAAAAAGATGTAAGGAGTCACCGTCTCCACTGAGAACAGTAGTGGTAGCTTTATAGTAAGAAGAATGCAAAGTTTGGTTAATGTTCAGAATGCTTTCCTGATCACGAGAGCAGTTCAGTGGTGGACAGAAGTGCCCAGCAGTTGTGGAATCATCATTTTGGAATCAAAAGGGGAGGGAGGATTGAACAGACGTCTAACAGGGACTCTCTACGTTATACTGGATATCCAGTTCTAAGGCAGGAGGGCAGATTCACTGAAGCACAGGGGCTGCATATAGACAAGGGAGTAAGTCCACTAAATAAACATGTATAGAAATGTGCTCTTGAATTGCTTCTGCAAAGAGCTGGGTACCTTGCATAAACCTCTAGAAGTATTGACGTGTTCCATCAAAACACATCTACGTACCCTTCAGTGGAATCTTTGCCTGTGCCATTTTTGAAGAAGAGTTTGGATTTGATATCCCACTTTATCACTACCCAAAGGAGTCTCAAAGAGGCTAACATTCTCCTTTCCCTTCCTCCCCACAACAAACACTCTGTGAGGTGAGTGGGGCTGAGAGACTTCAAAGAAGTGTGACTGGCCCAAGGTCACCCAGCAGCTGCATGTGGAGGAGCGGAGATGTGAACCCGGTTCCCCAGATTACGAGTCTACCACTCTTAACCACTACACCACACTGGCTCTCAATCTCGAAGAACAATCTATCACAGATTGGGCAATATGTGGGCAATAAGTGAGGGAGGAAAACCAGAAGAGAGCTAGTCTTCACACCTAGCTCAGAAGCAGCTGCTTTTCTCAGGTTCAGTACTGGATTAGACCAGGGGTCCATCTAAGTTCAGCACCCTATTCTCACTCTGGCAGGACCCAAGTGCAGCTGGTATCTGAAAGCACACTGTCTCCCCAGCAGTGGAGGTAAAACCCGCTGCACTTAAGAACGGGCCAGAACCATGCATGCATTAATAAGAGTCAAGTTACATAAGGCAGATGTATTGAGCCACATCTCTGGTTAGTTACTGAGGCCACAATCCTGTGCAGGCTGACCTGGAAGTAAACCCTATTATTAAACATAGTGGGACATAATTCAGGCTTGAACTTTTGCAAGCAACTTCCAACATCAATTACATTTATCACTCACAGCACAAGACTGGGTAGCCTGTACTATACAATGCCTAAATTCTGGATACAGAATAAGCTATTTTAAGTTAAAAGTTACCAATGTATAATTGCTCCCAAGATCTGAGTTTCTGTGCTGAATACAGACTAGCTGTGTATTTTCACAGAATCTTGAGTGTGTGCGCATGCACAGAACTCTCACAACCTAGAATACAGTATTCCTTTGGCAGCAGAATAGCGTACCTGTTTCAGAAGTAGAGGAGATGGGTATTTGGCCACGATGGCATTGGCTGTCTCTAGGCTGACCCGGTTAAACTGCTGGATCTGCCTCTTCCAAACTTGCAGCAGTCCCTTTCCAAAGCGGTCCACCTTCATCCCCCCGATCCAGTCTCCCTCTAGGCAGAAGGAGAAGCTGGTTTTATCTCGTTCCCTTCTGCAAATGACGTGAACAAAAAACACAACAGAACAAAGTTATGGGCACTTGTGCTCCTCTGTAAGGAAATTATCTGTCCACAGCAGAAAGCAAGGAAAGGAAATTCTCATACCAAGAGTAGGTCTTTCCATGTGTCAAGCACACATTAGAAGGTGTTTGTTTTCACATTTCCATCTGAACATTGAAATGAGCTCTTCTTTCAGAATCTCAGCACCTTGCGCAAACACTGTCAGGTCTTTCCAAATACCAAGGATATTAAAAAGCATTGAAATCAAGAGCTTTAAAGTACACAAACCGAGTGTGTCAGTCACTTCAAGGAATTGAGCCTGCTTCGCATGTTACAGCAGGAGAAAAATTGACAAGTTTCTACCATGGGTCTGACAACTCTCTTTCCTGTAACATATCCAGAGACTCTTTCTAGCTGCCAGGTATGCTCACCATGTGTTTCAGATACAAAGTGCACTTAAAATACTGCAGGAAAGACACTGTCAGGCTGCAGTGGAAATTCCTGGCCCTCACTTTCCTCTAATGTGAAGGCCAAAGATGGTGGTGTTTGAGGCAGGAATTTGGAGAATGGGACTGCCAGACGGAGACCACTACTGGCAGCGGAATGGAACACATCCTTGCAGGAGAAACCCCAATCCTGGCAGGAATCCACAAACGCTTCTCAAGTCTATCTGAAACTAAGGCAACAGGTGCTAAATGGGAGATTGAGCCAGATGTGAATTCCTGCGTACCATACTGACCCTTGAGATGCCAATTAGACCCAATCAGGCCAGGAAGTGGGCCTCACGGCAAAAATCAGTATTTTAGATTCCACCAGAAGGCACGGCACCCGGGAGAGAGCCCAGTGCCCACATAACCCAGCGGCACGCCAGAAAACGAAGCTGCTGAGATGTGCTCAGAGAAGTGTTTGCTCACTCACTTGAATGGAGCTTCTGCCACAGCCTTGGTGAACGTACTGGCAAAGTCGGCAAACTCCTTCCAGCTCTCGAGGAGTCGAACTTGGATACCCGTCTGAAGCTGCAGAGCCACCAAGCCCTGCAAAGGCAAAGAATGATGGTGAGCAAGGCAGCTTAGTCTCTGGCATCTTCTGCACCCTCCTGGTGATTAGTCTCCATCATCAGAGACATCACAGTATTATAGTATTTACTCATCAGCCAAGTGCCTGGGCAGGGTAGTCCCGAAGAATTTACCCTGGAGGAAGAAGCAAAACAAAACAAGCAACACATGGGACACTGACTCCATGCTCACTCACTTCTTCCACGTCCAGTCTGGACAGGTTTGGGACGGAATTTGCCTTTCCTCTCCGATTCCTCTGTTTGCTCTGCTCCTGGGCCTCACTGCCACTCTGCAATGCTTTCTGCAGTTTCTTCCACGACTTAAGCTTGTGAGAACTAAGAGGACAAAGAACGAATGAACAGCCCGCGTTGGCGGTAACAACTATTTGCATTGCTAAAAATTGGCATTCCCAGGGGTAAAATATATATGCCCTGCAACCACAGACAGCACCACTGAGAAAGGTCCAGTAGGCACTGCATGTCTGCGTATGCTGCTCTGCTCAGATGATGCAAACCAGTGTTTGCTGTACCAGTTTGCATGGCTTTTCCTGTGACTTAGAGACTGGGGGATACTGAGGAGCCTATTGCCATGACTGTTCACAGTGGGGAGGCAGCATTCGGAAATTTCAACAACATTCTAACCTGAAATATTTTTCTAGTTCTACTACAGCCAGGGCCAGAGTCTTCCCAGGGGTTTTCTTCATGACGTTTGCCGCAAAGCTCTGCAGAGTCTCATTGGGCCCTTCCATGCTAACCTGGGGGCAAGACACATACAAGAAAACAGAGACTATATATTCCCGGACCAAAGTTAAAACAACAAATAAACCACCACCTCCAATTGGCATTGTAAGGCTCACATTCTCTCTCCAGACAAACCCATATGCAGAGCTGAAGTTTCAGGTTCATGCACTCCCCAGTTTTTCAGAATGAAACAATACCTGGGCCTCCTCCTATATGCCAAGGGTGTTGAACCTTTTCCAGCTCAAGGACTGTAATATCTTGTTGGGAACTATACCAGTGATGGGCAGGGAAAGAGGCAGAAGTGGGTGAGTGTGTCTCTTACCTCTGTATAGTAGTAATAATAATAATAATAATAATAATTTTATTAGTGATGCCCTGCCCATCTGGCTGGGTTGCCCCAGCAACCCAGGAGGCTACATTCCAGCCCTGCCAAAACCAGAGGTTCCTACACACAAACACGCACATCCCTCCATCCAGAAAGCAAGTGGTATTATCAGAGTTCAAGTACACATCACAACCAAGCAAAGGCATTTGATCACATGGAGAAGGACTGGTAAGCGGATGTAGTCTATAGATAGGGCTTGGTAGAGAGGCCTGGAGGACTCACTAGGCCTCAAGCCTGAACATTGATAGATTGTTTTTAAAAAGATGGTGCAAGCTGTTACTTGGGTAGCAGTTAAGACACTACATCGTGCGTGACCTCACCTGTTTATAGTTATGGATCATAGCAACAAATTCTTCTAGCAGAACTAGGACTAGAAGGTTGGGTTCTTCTGTCCAGTTGTCTTCTTCAGCCTGGAGGAACAAAAGAACATTTAAGGTGGAACAGTACAAAGGAAAGGGCTATTGCTATTAAAAAGAAACAAGGGATGTATAAACTGCTATATATGCTCCAGTACGAGGAAGCCAAATTCTTGAAGGAGAGAAATAACCAACGAATGGGAGTGAATAATATTTGTTGAACTGACCTAATTCTGGCTACAGAGTGTGGGCAAGTTTGTGGGCAACGAAGAGAGGTATGGTGGGAGACCAAAAATGGGGAGATCCTGGAGATCTTTTTCTACCTGCCAAATCAGAAAGCTTGACGGTCGCTGAAAGGTTTCTAGAGGAATTCGTTGCTGCACTGCTCATACAACGCAACAGACCTCCTCTGAATGCAAAATTGTACGTTCCACAAGGCTCTAGCAAACAAACAGATAACTCTTGGCATATTTGCTCAGGTAATGTGGAGGATATTGCTGGATGTGTTGTTAAATGTACATGACAAGCACTAGAAAGGTGGGTGGGAAAGGATGTGCTATCAGGGAGATCACTACAGCGATAGCTCAGCAACAGTTCAACCACCTCCCACTATGACTTCAGCGCTAGAGACAAGGGAAAAAAGGGGGGAAGCCTTTGAGGAAATGCAATCCTACCTGACCTAGTCCAGTTTTCCTTCTCCAGGTGATACTGCAAGGAACAGCTTGATTCTCAATCACACAGCTGCACTCCATTGCCTGCAGAGCAGTAAGCACCAGCCCGCCACCTTCAATCTGTAACAGACCTACGGAGAGGACAGAGATCAGCTGCAGAGGACAGAGATCAGCTGAAACTCCTCAGGTCCTGTGGGGCTTGTAACAGCTCTGTTTCCCAACACACCCCTTGCATGAGCTGCCACGCTCCGCCAAATGGTAGGGCTGACTCCAGGACAGGGGTCCATTGTGAGGGCAGGCAGTTAACACCCAGCAGAGCTAAAAGTGAAGGGGCAGTACCTGGATCTAGGACTGCTTGAATGTGTTTCAGACACTCTTCTGGCCTCTGGGCCTTCCACCGGTTAGCAAGGGCCTTCCTCCTCTCTCTCTCCTGCTGCTGCAGTATCTTCTGGGTTTCCCGCTCATTTGTCCTCTGCCGGGCTTTGCCCAGTTCCTCCTGGCTGCGCTTTGTTTTCCTCTGAAGAGGCAAAGGTTTCAGGCTTTCCTCTGCCACCTGACAGCTGCCATTTTGAACCAAGCGGTCAGACACACAAACAGTCGGGCGAAGCACAGTCTGTTTCTTGGGATCCAATGAATCCAGTTCCTGGTCGCTATCTGACAGTTCCCATATACTGGGTACAGCCCTTCCCTGGGTTCCTTGGCCTCTGGGTAGCTGTGACAGCCGCCCGCAATCTGTGACCGCTTTCTCATCAATGGAGCAGAGTCCATTTCCTCCAGCGGAGTCTCGCTTGCTCAGTTCCCGGATCCTAGTATACGAAGGACAAGCGGAGGAAGGCTCAGACGTCAAAAGCTTCCTCTTGAGCCTTTCAGCCAAGGGAATAACTTCCTCCTCCTCACTCTCGCTGCTGAGCTGCACTATCGCTTTCAGACAAGTGGGAGCCCTGGCCGAATCCTGGCTGCCACGTGGTTTTTTCCAGGCAGGAGAGGCCACGGACGAATCTTCCGAGTCTGAGCTGCAGAGCACAACCACATTCTCTTCTAGAGGAGGAGTTTGGACAACGCTTTTTATGCTTGGAGGCTGCTGCTTCAGGAAATCAAAGGTTGGCAGCTCCTCATCATCAGTGTCCCCCAACTCTAGGGACATGGTGTTCAGCCTCACGTGATGAGCGGAGTACCAGGGAAATGGAGACCGCCTGAGGGAAAGAAGCGCCAAGTTTTAGTTGAAACAACAACAGCCGCAACCTCTTAGGCACGTGAAACAGACATTGGGCATCATCATTCCCCCACAGCAGCCTTCGCCAACTTGGGGTAATCCAAACATCTATGGACTACAATTCCCATCATCTGGCTGAGGCTGATGGGCATTGTAGTCCAAAAGATCTGGAGGGTCCTAGGTTGGCAATGGCTGCCCCGGGAGCTTGATGAGGTTCCCCTTCCAGCAGGAAGAATCAAGAGCTGTAGACTGTGCAGGTGCTTGGGAGAGGAGAGAGGAAAACATCCACAGACCCAAACATCTGGGGCTACCTGGCCCCGGCAGCCAGGTAGCACATGGAAGGGGTAAGTACTGACTGCCGCTGCATATGGTTGCCGCAGAATGTTAAAGAGCAACTAGTATCAACAATAGTAATATCGAAAGCCACAGGCCTGGACATTACACTCCCCCTGCCTCCCTTCATGATGTACTACTGAATTTAAATAACAAAACAAACCCCTTTATGTTATTTATTTATTTCATGATTTATAAGCCCACTTTCAGGGCCAGCCTGCTCAAAGAGGTGTACAATAGCATGTTTTAAACAATACAAGAAAACCACACCATAAATTACTAAAAACACCAACAAACTAAAACAGGTAACGAAAGCTGCAGTACTTTATGAATCTATGACTTTTATTGCAATTGTGCTGCTTAGCTTATTTTTTTTAGTTGTTTTGTTACTGGTGCTTTATAGATCACAAATTATTACTATTATTATTTATGGATCGCTGATCTGGCTGGGTTTCCCCAGCCACTCTGGGCGGCTTACAACATATCTAAAAACATAATGAAACCATCAAGCGTTTAAAAACCTCCCGATGCAGCGCTGCCTTCAGATGTCTCCTAAAAGTTGTGTAATTCTTTTATCTCCTTGGCATCTGAATGGTTTTGTTGATTATTTTGTTCATTATTCTATCTATGTTGTGTCTGTGATGTCCTGCAATGGTTTTTTCTTGATTTGTAAGCCGCTTTGCGATTCACCGGGAACGAAAAGCGGCATAGAAAGGTAAGCAAGCAAGCAAGAAACCCCCGTGTGTCCTGGGCGGGGGCGCCTTCAGAGGACCCACCGTGTCAGCCCACCTTGGGGTAGGTCTGAATTTCATCCCCGGAGACTCGTTTTTCAACAGTTGAGTCCCTGGAATGCTGAGCGAGAAGCTAGGAGGAAAGTGCTTCTGAGCCCGTGCAGAGCGCCTTCCTCTCCCTCCACCCACCACCCCCGGCCTCTTTGGAAAGGGAGGAAGGGGCACGAAGGGCTTTCTCGGCGGTACCTCTCTCTCTCTCTCGGCTCAGAAACAGAAGCAGCCGCTCTCCTCCTCCTCCTCCTATTCCTGGCCCGCAGCAATTAGGATGGAGCCCGGGAATCGGAGCCTCATTCAAACGCGGCGCTTCTCCCCGCCAGCCCCGGATCCGGAAGCCGCGCAAGGCGGAGCCGGACGGATTGCCGACCAGGAGGCGGCGGCGGCGAAGGTCAAATGGCGGCGCTGCTGGGCAGGCTCTCGCCTTGGGCTCTGGGCTCCGGAGGGCAACGTGAGTGGCGGGCGGAGGGAGCCTGGGAAGGGGTCAAGTCCCGGGAAACGGGGTGCTGGGGTGGGGAGAGATCGGGACGCGTGCAAGAGACGGGCAGGCGGGAGGCGCCTGGTGCAAAACATGCCGCCTCGCCGCAATTGCTGCAAACGCAAAAGTTACTGCAAAAGCTCGTAGCCTGGGAAAGGGACTTTTATTTTATTATTTTATTGCATTGCACTGCACTGCACTGCACTGCACTGGGAGTGTTTCCTGTTCAGAATCGGGTATTACTCTTCTCCCTCCCCCCCCCCCCGGCCGTTTTAATATCCTTCCTTCCTTCTCTCCCTCCCACCCTTTGGTGACGTTTTGCCTGTTGAGGGTTTGGGCAGTTTTGTCTGTTCGCATCGTCGTGGGAGGTGGTTGGGAGATTTTATCATCTCTTCACTCCGCCCAGTGCCGGATTTACCTGTAAGCTAAACAAGCTATAGTTTAGGACACGACTCTCTTGGGGGCCCCCCAAAAAATTTAAAGGGGAAAAAAAACTGGATGGACATTTCCATAATATAAGATAAAAAACAAATAAAATAAAACCTACATACAGCAACAGTGTTTTGTGTTGTGTAGGCGCTTATGATACCTATTAGGTCAGGGGTCAGCAAACTTTTTCAGCCGGTCCACTGTCCCTCAGACCTTGTTGGGGGCCGGACTATAATTTGAAAAAAAATGAACGAATTCCTATGCCCCACAAATACCCCAGAGATGCATTTTAAATAAAAACACACATTCTACTCATGTAAAAACACCAGGCAGGCCCCACAAATAACCCAGAGATGCATTTTGAATAAAAGGACACATTCTACTCATGTAAAAACACGCTGATTCCTGGACCAACCGCGGGCTGGATTTAGATGGGGATTGGACCAAATCCGGCCCCCAGGCCTTAGTTTGCCTACCCATGTGTTAGGTCCATAAATTACCATATAGCATATATTCAACACAAAAAACAGCAACAATTGGTTGTTGACAAAGGACAGCTGGGCATATAAAGGGCCCCATTACCTATAGTAGCTTAGGGCCTCATCAAACCTAAATCCGGCCCTGGCTCCGGCCCTGAGCTAATGGAGTAATTCATTAATAAAAGAATGGGCAACCCTTTTTCAATACAGCCCTCTTAATAGGCAGGGCAGTATGGCTAAATTGAATCCCATGTATATGTGTGTGTGTCTATCTATCTATCTATCTATCTACAGTGGTGCCTCGCAAGACGAAAAGAATCCGTTCCGCGAGTCTCTTCGTCTTGCGGTTTTTTCGTCTTGCGAAACAAGCCCATTAGCGGTTTAGCGGATTAGCGCTATTAGCGGCTTAGCGGCTTAACGGATCAGCTGTTAAGCGGCTTAGCGGATCAGCTGATAAGCGGCTTAGCGATCAGCTGTTAAGCGGCTTAGCGGATCAGCTGATAAGCGGCTTAGCGGCTTGGGAAAAAGGGGGGGGGAAGGGGAAAAAACCCGCAGGAACTCGCAATACATTTTTGTCTTGCGAAGCAAGCCCATAGGAAATTCGTTTTGCGAAGCACCTCCAAAACGGAAAACCCTTTCGTCTAGCGGGTTTTCCGTCTTGCGAGGCATTCGTCTTGCGGGGCACCACTGTATCTATCTATGTATCTATCTATCTGTGGTTCCCAAGCTTTTTTTGACCATGCCCTACCTAAGCTTCTCTAAAATCCGGATGCCCGTCCCCCATGACATATAATTTTTATTATTCAAAAGGTGAACTCCTATTCACGTGGAAGAAGCGTAAAAGGCCATTCACTGTTAATAACTCATTCTTGAATCCCCCCCCTTAAAAATAAAATTGCCCCCCTGTGGGGCATGTGCCCCATAATTGGGAACCACGGATCTGTATGTATGCGTTCATGGATGGGTTTGTATTAAGAAATCTTCAGGACAGGCCTGTTTTATTTTCCCATGCATTACACCCAGGAAAATAAAATAGGCCTGGCCTAACCGGGCAGAGGGCCTTCTCGGTAGTGGCACCCTCCCTGTGGAACACCCGCCTTTCAGATGTTGAGATAAAGAACTACAGAACTTTTAGAAGACATCTAAAGACAGCCCTGTATCGGGAAGTTTTTAATTCTTGATGCTTTACCATGATTTTATATGTGCTCTAAGCTGCCTAGAGTGGCTTAGGAAACCCAGCCAAATGGACAGAATATAAAATGATAAAATTATTATCATCATTGAATTCATTGACGCTTACAAATGAGTGTGCTTGGGATTCGCAGCCCTTAATCCTACGTTTTTCTAAGAAGTTAGATTTGTGCCAGTTAGGCAACTGAACAGGAAACTTCAGAAATGAAAAGGAAATGGTTGCTAATTGTACGCAAATAAATCAAATGAAGTGCCCTGCAAAAGGAGGGTTAGTATTGCTGACTTGAAATGGCTGTGTGTTTATGGGCCGTTCTTTTAGATAAGCCGCTTTTTCATTGAAGAAAGAACCACTTGTATGCCAAATATTGGTAAACATTAAAGACTGGATCCAACAAAATTATCCAACGTGTGACATCTACTTCTCAGCCAGCCTGGATTCTATGCCTCTAAGGAGAGGGTGTTCCCAGTTAGCACAATGTACCCCTCTATTTGGGATACACTCCCTTTTTAAAGTCCTTTCCCAGGCACTGATGAACGGTTCTGGTGGACTCAGAAGCTTGCTTGCTATTTTGTGACATTTTAGTTGACCATTTTAAAGAGACTTCAGATTTTTAAAAATAAAATAAAATAAAAGTGCAGTGTAACCAGTAGCTGTGAATGCTAATGTAACCTGCTTCTTCCTCTGTTTAGTTTATTTGATGGGTTTCTCTCTGAAATAAACATTTAGCATGCAGGATTGGCAAACAGCAGCCCAGCAGATGAAATCACCATCCCTGCTGTGAAATAATCTTGGTGGTATTTCATCTCTGCTCTACTAACACCACTGGTTCAAACATCCTTGTCTACAACATGTGACAGTCTTTAAAAACTGTTCCAATAACCTTTTATATATATATATATATACATACAGGCATTTAATATATAGCCTGCAAAAAACAAAACAGCTTTTCTTCCTTTGGTAGTACAAAAGCCAGCAGTTATTTGGCTCTGCATCTAAAAAATAAAAAGGTCACCCAGAGTGCTCATAATTGAGTTGCAGTTTGAACTGGGGACTGCTGGCTCACAGCTCATGGTCGTCACCGCAACACTGACCAGTTCTCCCCAACCCACCCTCTCTCAACTTTCAAAAAATGTAAAACACTTTAGTATTCAGTGGCTGGTGTGAGGTTTCTTTCTCAGTTTAAATAATTGTCAGTTTATATCCCCCCGTTTTGATGAGTTTTTCGTTTCTCTCTCTCTCTCTCCACAGTTTTGCCTATTTCCCCCCTGAGTGCAGTTGCAGTGAGGTTTGCATCTAAGAAGAGTGGAGGCAGCTCCAAAAATCTTGGGGGAAAAAGTCCTGGGAAAAGTTATGGAGCTAAAGTAACGGATGGTAAGTCCCTTGTCTCTTTTTGCAGCTGCCTTTCAGTTTATTTTTCTTGCTGCCAGCTGTCTGGCTCGCACAGGGATGCTTTCAAGAAGGCATATATTATGAATGTGTGTTGGCAAGACTGGCCAGTAGGTGGCAGAATTGTACTGACCAACAACAGGATTCTGCTGGCTTGGAAGCACACAGTACCGCTAACTGAAATTTGTGCACGGATATTCATTCTCTTTGGGATGCAAATTCAGGAGTTATGCAGCAAGGGAGAGCCTCAATAAGTGAAGTGGAATGCACCGTCCAGTTTACATTGCATGTGTTACATTGCATGTGCACAAGGTGTGGAGAGCTCATTCGGTAGAACACGGGACTCTCAGGATTGCGGTTTGAGCCCCATGTTAAGCAAAAGGCAGGGGGTTGGACTAGATGACCCTCAGGGCTCCCTTCCAACTCTGCAATTCCATGATTCTAAAACCTGTGGCCCTCCAGGTGTTGCTGAATTACAGCTCTTGTCATCTCTGACCATTTGGCCATGTTTGCTGAAGCTAATGGGAGTTGCAGTTTGGCAACACCTAGCAGGGGACGTGCATGGATAGTGCTGTGTCGCCATTACTCCCAGGTATTGACATCCTTAGGATAAGCACAGGGTTTGCAGAAGTATTAAAAGTCATTTGGAGAGAATGCTAAAGGAAGGCTCTGTGTGAGTGAGAGACCGAGACAGGTTTTCTAATTTATGTGATCTTGCATCATCTGAAATGGGCATTCCTTCCTAAGAAATGAGAATAGTTTTTGTTCCGTGGAGCAATTCCTATTCAGCTTGCCTGCTTTCATCACGGAAGCCGATTTCTTCACTTCATTGCTTCATCTTAACACCTTTTGCAGGAAAGTTTGTCCACGCCGGCAACACATTGGCGACACAGCGGGTGATTCGCTGGCACCCGGGGGCTCACGTAAGTTATTCTTTTTGCTATTCCCAAGAGTGTTTATAATTGAGACTTTGCTTGTTCTGCTCCACCTTCAGCAATCTTCCTGCTTCCTTTTTCATTCTACATTATCCTGAAATGAGCCAAGTTTCTTTATACTAACCTTCTCTTGAAGGCTTCCAGGGGAGTTGCTTATTCTAACAAGAAGATATTGGAGCCTTCTTAGTTGAAACAGCCCTCGCTTCCAAAAGTAAAGCTTTTGCAACCCTGTTTTAAGTGACATTTGGATTCAGTGAACAATATAGTTCAGCTTCGCGCACCTGAATGTCTCGGGTACATTGGAAAAACATTGTTCAGTCATGGATCTAAAAATAAATGCGCAAATTACACTGTAGCGGGAGAGCACAGCTCACAGTGTGGTAAGACAGGGGAGTTCTGCTTGCTGCACAGCCCAACTTGCAATATTTCGAACTTTTTTCTTTTTAAAAGAAAGGTCTATTTGCAGAGCTCCCGAACCATGCCAGGAAATACCTGGGCAGAATAGTGTAACACATAATCCCAAATCCCAATGAAGCCAAACCCATTTGAGATAAGTCTCAGGTGACCTGAACTTACTGTAGGCGTGTTGAAATCACTTATGAGCAGGTGAGGTTTGGCCAAGCCCCGTATCTAGTGCTTTACAGCAGGTGCATAGGCAGATGTCAGAGATGGGGAATGCAGGCTGATGGGTGTTCCAACAATATCTGGAGGGATGCAGGTTCCCCCATCCTTTACTACCGTATCTGTTCCCTTTTCTACTGAGCACCCTGACATCCACCAATCAGAGCCAGGTGCAAAATCATGGCTGAAAGTTGAGGGAGGGAGTCAGGTGTAAAATGGTGGTTTTGCAGCAGAGCTAATAACCTACTGCCTCCCAGGAGGCACAAACACTGCAATGACCTGCATATAAAAATACAAATCTGAATCAGAGAACTTCTGGCCAAATTTAATAGCCCAGCTATTAAGTAGCTTTAATCGTTTTTTGATGTGGTCTTTTAAATTGTTGTGACCTGCCCTGGGATCTTAGGGCGAAGGGCAGGCAATAAATCAAATAATTAGAAGCATTTCTAATAGGAAGTGTAGGGATGAAGCCTTTTGGTTTTGCTCTTGTTCAGCACTTGAGAGCCATAAATGCTTGATCATCCAGTGATCTACTTTTTGCCCATCCGTATTTTCATAGGAGCAAGCCAAGTGGGGTGAAAGATCCAATGGGAAAAGTGAATGGGAGTAGCCAGCCAGCAGTTTAATAAGTCTTATATGGTCATGAAGCGTTATTGTCGTATGCCATGGCTTCCGTCTTCATGGCAGCTCTGTGATCAGACACCCAGTGGCTATGCAAACAGCCTTCCTCCCATGAGCAGAGCCATGACTTTAGTTACCTATGTACCAAAACACACCAAGGTGCTACCATGTACCACTGGGCATCACTGCTCTGCTCCAGAGTCTTAAACTTTTCTCCTCTTTTAATTTTCCCCGTTCACCTGCTAATAGGTGGGAATAGGCCGCAACAAGTCACTCTACGCGCTCGAAGACGGGATTGTGCGATACACGAAGGAAGTCTACGTGCCGCGTCCCAGCAGCAAGGAAAGCACAGAGGTGATCTGCCAGTTACCCAAAGGGGCTGTGCTGTACAAAACTTTCATCAACGTCATTCCCACTAAAGAGGTGGGGAGTTTCAAGTTGGTCAAGATGCTCTGAGACTTTTGAGGTCTCCTGGACAACAGCAAGGAACTGGTCAGCTTTATCCGAGCCCAGATATAAACAGGTCTGAAAACACTGCTGTGGTTCTGAATGGACTTCTCCTGCTCAGTCACCTGTGGTTGGCTGCTCAATACATTCTAGGCACCTGGAATGTATTCTCAACAAAGGGGATGTTGTTGAAATTTCTTTTCCAAAATAAATGGGCAGTTCTATCATCTTACCAGGAGAGCTAATTCAAGCCGATGTTTTCATATGATTAGCTCTAACGTAATGGGAGGATTTTGATGGGCTGGATTGGAGTCAGGTTCTGAACATGAAAGTGCTACTCTGGCAATTCTCAGAAGATTTCACACAGCAGCCTGAACGTCTATAAATGCACATGCAATTATTTCTCCTAATATTTCAACACAGGAGTGGTTTGATGGAGGCCATGAGCAATGAGCCCTCTGCTACAACCTCCCCAAATGCCCCCCACCCCCATCCTGATGGCTGTTCTTCTCCACCTGCATAGCAAACTTATTGGGAGGGTGGGTGCAGAAGGGCAGCAGTGGAACATGTGTAGATCCACTGGGCAAAGTAGCTGCAGCATCTCCCCAAAATACTCCTGGTCCATGACACAGCAGCATACATTGGGGCCCAGAAGCACAGAGGGTTAGGCTGCAGCTGCTCTGCTCAGCTTACACAAAGCATTCAGACATTGGATGTTTTTGTAGTGTCTGTTGCTGATTCAGAGTTGATTTCTATTTCCGGGGTTCATTACTTTGAAATGCTTCTGCGGTGGTGCTGGCTGGCTTTGACACATATCAAGCCCTGCATCTGTAGCCTTGTCCTTCCAGCATCGGCTACCATAAATATAGCGGGAGTGGGTGGCACTGGGGTCTAAACCACTGAGCCTCTTCGGCTTGCTGATCAGGAGGTCGGAGGTTCAAATCGACACGACGGTGGTGAGCTCTGTCCCGGCTCCTGCCAACCTAGCAGTTCGAAAGCACGCCAGTGCAAGTAGATAAATAGCAGCGGGAAGGTAAACGGTGTTTCTGTGCACTCTGGTTTCCATCACAGTGTCCCGTTGCGCCAAAAGCGGTTTAGTCATGCTGGCCACATGACCCAGAAAGCTGTCTGTGGACAAATGCCAGCTCCCTCGGCCAGTAAAGCGAGATGAGCGCCGCACCCCATAGTCGGCTTTGACTGGACTTAACCATCTAGGGGTCCTTTACCTTTACTATAAATATGCAGGAAGGACCAGTGGCTTTGGGTTTTTTAAAAACTCTGGCCTACTGAGCTGGGAAGCAGCTGTTAGCACAGTAAAGAGGGCAGACTTGACGCAATGCTTTAGGGAGACGCCTGGGCCATTCTGCTCCTAGCCAGGAGTGCCGCAGGCTGCCCTTTCATGCTTTCGTCTGCCCTGTGTGTCTGGTTATGTCCCTCAGTTTGCTTTTGCCTCCTGCGCATTTAATCCATTCTTTTTTAAAAAAATCTGGGATGTAGCAGCTCCCTCCATTTTGATTTTCAGATGGGAGGGGAATTCTACCATCTGAAACCACGTAGCCATATACACAGGAAACACCAGCATTTGGAAAAAACAAAAACCTAGTAAGAAAAGGGAAAATAAATGATGCAATGCATGCATGAACGCAGTAGATACGAGGTTGAATCCACCAAAATCGCTGCTCGCATGGGATGTCTTTGGCAACACAACAGAACTTCCCCTGCCTCTGTGTACCTTCTGCACTGCCAATATCCGCAGCAGAGGCTTGGGGGGGGGTGGATGCCCAAGGAGATTTGGGGTGTGTGGAAAGGGAGGGAAGTTCCCTTGTGCCTGCATCTGTTTTCTAATGGTAATAATGCAGAATTGATCTGCAGTGAGCTTTTATTTCTGGAATTTAAACTAGTTTGTCAAGTAGCACTTTTCAGGGGCAAAAATATACAACGTAGCTAGCTAGTGTGGGGAGTTCGTAGGGGAGGAAAAAGAACTCAGTCTCCATGGATTCTAGAATAAAATAATGTGTATTCAGCCTTAGTGTTGTGTGTCTGCACTCGCCATAATTATAGGCTGGAACCTGTATGAAACAAAAGAATCACTGCTGACCTTCTCAATTCCACACAAAGGAATTTGGCTAACCACCCCCCCCAAGCATTACACTCACAAAGTTGCAATGGGAAAGGAGGCCCCCAAAACATTTTTTCTCTCTGATCTGATTGTTTCAGTTTTAACAATGGCATTAGGAACATTTTAAAAGCCTCTTTGTCAAATACAAAAAAACAACAACCATCCAGATAACAAAAATCAAAGAGTCGAACTGACAGAGCAATCAAGGAGAGTAACCAATGACAGGAGTGATAGCTATCAGTTATCACCACCTTCCTCCCCTCCTGGGGGAGATCCCTCTTGTCTCTGCATGTAACCCTTTCTTGGTTATATGGCTTGGCCCCTAAAACCTTGGGCTGCTTCAGACTCCCAAGAAGGGAGGGAATTCCCTGCAGAAGCTCCCGATCCTGCCTTCTGCTGTCCTATTTGGACTTGCAAAACTGCCCTGCAGCATTGAAAGAAAAGAGAGAGAAATCCTCATTGGAATTTGTCCGAGAATCAGTAGAAACAGCTGGAGGCAAAATACATTCATTCTGTCACTTGAAGCTGCAATCCCTGATAAGCGACACTCCTTAAGACAACCAGAGAGACAAAAGAAACTTTCTCCTGTTCAGGCTTAAAGTTTGCAAGTTTGGCAGCTCCCACTGTTTTCTTTTTAATGTAATAGTTGCTGGTGTTTCCCTCCAAGGATGCTCTTTGAACAGGAAGTGTTGGCCTGCCTCTTGAAAAATGACAAGGGGAGCCTCTCGCTGGCTTGGTCCAAAGTTTGACCCTGCAGGCTGAAATCTCCATAGGGTTTTCTACGTGGCTTTTCAATTCCTAGGGCAAGAAGGCAGCCCTGAGGGTAACTGATTCCGGCCCTCTGCCCTGAGAGACAGGGGTTCCTAGATCTAGTCTCTTCAAAACTCCTCTGGCCTTGGATACTTCAAAAGGGAGAGACCACAGCTTCCCCCAAGTGGTGTACACAGGCACTGTTCAGCCGTCCTCAGGCTCAGTTCCAGAAAGAGCTGGCGATCTCCTAGCATTCGCTCTCAATACTGTAATACTAGTAAGAAAAGGAAAGGGGAACACAAAAAAAACTTGGCTTTGTGTCGGCTCTGGAGAGTTCCACCCAGTTCCTTTTGCACCTGGAAAGGTTTGGCAGGCTGCTGCTGTGCAGGTGAAACCCACACCCCAAACTCTGGCATTGTCCCAGACACAGGGGTGGGCTGGGGGGACGGACCCAACCTGCAGCCTACACTGAAGTGTTCCTCTGAGCATGATAAGTTGGCGAAGCTTGCAGCATGTCCGGCAAGCTCTGTCCAGCTGACAACTCCGAACCCGCTCCAGTTCCTGGTAAAGTTGCAGGGTACCTCAGGGCTTGCTCGTAGGGTGGCGGTAACTGTAAAAAATAAGAAGCAGCTTGTTATATCACCTCCTGAGAGAACCACAAACGGCTCTGCCCACTTTGGCCTATGCAAATGTTTTTTTACGGAATGCGTTTGCCAAGGCTCAGTTATTGTGCCAGCTTCACCCACCAGCCTCCACCACACCTACTTTGCCCAACGTCCACACACCAGTGAGCTTGGGTTCCACGAGCCTCACCCCTTATGCAACTGCATCGCACAATTCACGGCCCACAGGTGTGCTCCTGAGGCAGAAGCTGAGCTGATTTGCTTCCATGGTGTCTTCCAAAGCAGTGCTGACAAAGAGCTGCACTGTTTGTTCATACTACAGTGGTACCTCAGGTTAAGAACGTAATTCATTCCGGAGGTCCATTCTTAACCTGAAACTGTTCTTAACCTGAAGCACCACTTTAGCTAATGGGGCCTCCTGCTGCTGCCGTGCCACCGGAGCCCGATTTCTGTTCTTATTCTGAAGCAAAGTTCTTAACCTGAGGCACTATTTCCGGGTTAGCGGAGTGTGTAACCTGAAGCGTATGTAACCTGAAGCGTATGTAACCCGAGTATGTAACTCTGGTTACGAACTTAATTCGTTCCAGAGGTCCGTTCTTAACCTGAAACTGTTCTTAACCTGAGACACCACTTTAGCTAATGGGGCCTCCTGCTGCCGTCGCCGTGCGATTTCTGTTCTCATCCTGAAGCAAAGTTCTTAACTATTTCTGGGTTAGCGGAGTCTGTAACCTGAAGCGTGTGTAACCTGAAGCGTCTGTAACCCGAGGTACCACTGTATTAGATTCTATGTCCTGCCTCTCCTCCAAGGAGTTCAGACGCATGCCGCCATTTTATCCTCCTAACCAACCGTGTGCGGTAGATTTGGCCGAGAGACAACAACTGGTCCCAGCTCCCCCAGGGAGCTTAATGGCCGAGTGGAGACTTGAATTAGGGTCTCCCAAATCCCAAGCCTTGTTAAAAGCAAGGTGTGGTGATATTGGCTCTGGTTTACGGGAATGGGTTAGAACCTCAGAAATAATGAGCTGACATACAGCTGTCTCCCGTTAAGGTTTCAAGGCCGGTGTCACAAGTTAATTAGACCCATGGTCTAAGTTCCCATAAAACCTGGGTTGCTGGGAGTTCTCGGCAGCCAGCCAAGCAGGCTTTGGGGCTTTTGAAAGCATCTTGTTCCGTTGCTCAGCCTACTGAGATTTAGGTGTGTTAATTTAGGTGTGTTTATGTTAATTACCTGGATAAGTTAGTTTTGCTGTTTTCTTACCTTCTGAGCTATGTTAATCTGTGTAATTATTTGGAGTTTCCCCCTCTCTTGTGGAGTTTTGTTTTAGTAAAAGTTTGCGTATGATTTTATGAAATGTGGTCTGATCTGAGCTGAACCCTTTCATTTCGACCACACTTTTCGGAGCACGGGTCATCATCCACCACAAACAGCTATAGCAGCCTTCATATTGGATGGATTCCCGCCCTAAATTGATTTTTGAATTCAGAATTTATTGTTATTTATGTTTTATACTGTATTTTATGCTGTTTTTTGTTGCATCAATTAAGTGTTTTAAATTTGTTGTTAGCCGCCCTGAGCCCAGTTTTCTGAACCGGGAAGGGCGGGGTATAAATTTATTATTATTATTATTATTATTATTATTATTATTATTATATCCGATGCTCCATCGACCCAGCAGTTCTGCCACCAAAACACTTGTGCATTGTTAGAAACAAGCATTTCAGGTCTCGCATCCTTTTCAGTCCCTCTGGCACACTGCCGAAAGCTACTCTTCTTTCGGTTAACCCCCCACTCTCCAAACATCCTAGAGAACCAGGATGCAGAAGACTGGCAGAAATCCTCATTATCAGATGGGCAGTTTTCTTCCCCAGCCCCCAGCCCTTTAAGTTCTCTGGTTTTCTGCTGAGATCACTTCAGTCCAGAGCAGTCCCTGGTTTGCTTCACTGAAGAGCAGCAACTGTCACTGGGGCCTCTGCCCACGTTCACCAGCTTGCTTTTGCTCAGGGGCAAATGAACAAATGAAAATATTCACGGTGGTTAGAAGTTGCTTCCATCCAGGTTTTAACAGTAAAAGAGTAGCTTTCCTAGAAAAGGATATTCTAACACAAGAACACCAGCTCACTTCCCTGCTGTGAGCCTGTTTACACACCGGACCATTAAGCTATTCCTTACATTCATTTTTTTTTTTTAAAAAAAAGGCCTTTGTGGGGGGCAGGGGAGAGAGATAAAACAGATTCAATTTTTAAATATGTTTTATTATTACAGTCGACTTCCGAAATGTTCAGAAACCCAAGGCGCGGCTTCCGATCAGTTTCCGATAGCACAGGTGCGCCGGAAACAATAGCGGAAGCTGCACCGGAAGTTCGGCTTCCAAAAAAAGTTCAAAAACCAGAACACTCGCTTCCGGTTTTCAATTTTTCGTGAGCCAGAACGTTCGACTCTCAAGGTGTTCGGGAGCCGAGGTATGACTGTATTGTTACTTGATTAATGGGTTATTTAATGGCATATGTTTAAGGCTGCAGCTCCTCTGAGCAGGCATATATAAGGTTACACTGTTGTTTATTAAATTTACTAAAATTCGATAGCACCCTTCGCCCGAAAATCACGAGGCAGTGGACAATATAAAAAGCACAAAAATGCGTAACGTAGTAACAAACAAAAACAATAACATGTGCGCTCCCTCACACCGTCCCCCAGTTTGGAAGGCCACAGATTGACCGGTTAACGGTGCAATCCTAGACAGGTCTACCCAGGAGTAAGTCCTAGTGGTTTAACAGGCTTACTCAGAGGCAAGTGGACAAAGGATTGCAGCCTGAATGTGTAAAAAAGAGGTGGGATTCACCTAAGGAGAGAGCCATGTTGTTGCTGCTGTTGAATTTATATACCGCCCTATACCCAGGGGGTCTCAGGGTGGGTCACAAAATAAAATCAAGATATAAAACCGCAAAATATCTAATAAAAATAAAAACAACAACACAATAGTCCCTCCCCCCTCCAAAAAACCCTACATTTTAAAAGGGCATAGGATGTAAATTGGATCAACCAAAGGCCTGGTTAAAAAGGAACGTTTTTGCTTGGCACCTAAAGGTGTATAATGAAGGCGCCAGGTGAGCTTCCCTGGGGAGAGCATTCCACAGATGGGGAGCCACTGCAGAGAAGGCCCTTTCTCATGTTGCTACCCTCCAGACCTCTCAAGGAGGAGGCCCATGAAGAAGGGCCTCAGAAGATGATCTCAGGGTCTGGGCAGGTTCATATGGAAAGAGGCGGTCCTTGAGGTTTGCGCTCCTGAGCCGTTGAAGGCTTTACAGTGATTTCTGCTTGCGCACCAGGGTTTCTCCTGTCCTCCCCCTGCACCCCTCCCCGTCTGTGGCTTGGAGGAGGCGTCAAAAGACAGCCCCACAGCACATAGAGGGAGGAGGGGGGGGATTGTTCCATCTGACAAGCTGAGATACTTGAGCACACAGGTTTGTTAATTTCTAAAATTTTTGTTAAAGTGGGGATTCAAGCCCTCCTCTCCCAACACTCTGACCTTATGCCACACTGGTTCTCTGGTACATATACATTGTATTAAATGTTCATATTGATTTTTAATTGCATTCAATAGGTTCTTTTATTTCTGATTTATTCCAAAAAAGCTATCAGGGAGTCGTTTTTTGTATGTTGCACAAGCTGTGGATTTTGACTTTAGGGCCTTTTTCTTTCCTGGCGCATACTGTCCTGGGCGCAAAGATCTGAAAAGTAGAGCTCTGTGCGCCTTTCTTATCTTTCCTGCATCAGAAAAGTTACTTTCAGGGGCTTCAGGTTTGTTAATAGTGCAGCGCTGAATTCCACCCAACAGTTTTAAAGTTAGAACCATCCTTTCTTCTTAGAAGCGGCTCACAGGTGCCGTTCCAGATCTTATCTTAGAAGAGGCATCCCGTCCTAAGAGGCAGAAAAGGGCAGGTGCCTCTTATGAGATGGTGCTTGCCATAACTCAGAGGTAGAGCATATCTGCCTTGCATGTAGAAGGTCCCAAGTTCAAACCCCGGCTGGAAAGAAGGGACTGGGAGAGGCTCCCTGCCTGAAATCCGGGACAAACTGCTGCCAGTCAGTGTGGGAGATGCTGAGTGAGATGGGCCAACGGTCTGACTCAGCAGAAGGAAGCTTCCTGTGTTCATATCTTGTAATCTTTATATGTACTTGAATCAAAAATACATTGTTGTGAGGGGGGAACCGCTGCCTATTTAACAGGGGGGGGCACCTTTTTGTAGATAAAGAGGTTTTCCATCAATTAATCGGATTAATTGCTTGCATTGACGCTTGCATCACAGCTGGCAGGGGCTGAAGTCCTGAACATCAAGGAAGTACAGTGGTACCTCTGGTTACATACGCTTCAGGTTACAGACTCCGCTAACCCAGAAATAGTACCTTGGGTTAAGAACTTTGCTTCAGGATGAGAACAGAAATTGTGCAGCGGCGGTGCGGTGGCAGCAGGCGGCCCCATTAGCTAAAGTGGTGCTTCAGGTTAAGAACAGTTTCAGGTTAAGAACGGACCTCCGGAACGAATTAAGTACTTAACCCAAGGTACCACTGTACCAGATTGGTGGTGGCTGGTTTAAACTTTGCAGGCTTGGCTTCAACCACGGCTTGCGATTTTGTGATAGAGGATGCCCAATTTTCTTGAGGTCATCTAATTAATCGCAGGATAACTGGAAACAAGGGACTCTGCAGGTTGTAGAAAGGTAGAATTCTACTGAGGCAGAATTTCATGCGCCATAGGCAACTCTTAATAGATAAACCCAGAGGCCACAGGCACACGGGGAGAACGTGTTCCAAAATAGGGACAGAGCCATATGCTAAAGCCACATGTTAAAACAGTGGCCTGGATTACAAATGAGCCAGAGATCTACTGGTAGATTCTGACCAACCTTGCACCTACCTTTGCACTAAGACTAGAGGTATCTGTAGGTCAAAAGTTATAGTACGATAATGCCGGCAATGAAATTAAAGGCAAAGGACGCATGCAGTCTCTCATTGGCCTTGAACTTGGTTACGTCTGTGTTGTTGTTTTCCCCTCAATATATAAATATAGCAACTTTGTGGGTTGTCTGTTTGTTTGTCTGTCTGTCTCTCAAACAAAAATATGCATTGGCTGCCCTACCCTTCTCTGAGCCAGATGTGGTTTTGATGGCCTAAAGATGTCTAAGCTACCTGACCTGCAGGGTGGAAATTCCTTTCTGTGCCTTTATTTAAGGAAGCCATTCTTCTGTCCTAACACAGGGACTCAGGGCCGCCACCACCACCACCACCACCACCACCACTTATTTATATGCTGCCCATGTGTCTTCTGAAAGCCAGACAATTGTTTATTTCCTTCTCTGCCTTGTCAAACTACCCGGGTGGTGAGCATCCCAATCAAACTCAGAAACCTTCCTTGCCTACCCATCTCTCAGGGTTCAGAGCCCAGGGAAAACAACATCTCAAAATCAGGCAGGGAAAAGATGGAGAACAAGAAACCATGAATATTGTCCGAGGGCAGATGTGCGATCCAAGTACAAAGATCAGCTTGTAACGTTCATTGCAACACGTGCCCCTGCTTATCCGCTCTGGGCCTCTCCTTATCTAGACTGCGGGTTGTTATGAAGGCTCACCTATCTGCTGAAAGCACTTTAAGTATGCAATATAAATGGTAAGTGGTTGCGAGAGTGCTGACTACCATTATTGCTCCTTTGATAGAGTACTTGTAAGGCTCAAGTCCATTAGAAGAATCAACAGCAATGCTTGAGTCTTCTACACGGCTACTCAGAAATAAATCTCTCTCCCCCCCGCCCCAGTTCAATGACATTTACAACCCAGCTGAGTTTGTAAACTGCCTCGCCCAGTATACCTGAAGGAGCATCTCCACCTCCCCCATCATTCAGCCTGGACACTGAGGTCTGGCACAGAGGGCCTTCTGCCAGTCCCCTCAGTGCGAAAAGTGAGGTTACAGGGAACCAGGAAGAGGGCCTTCTCGGCAGTGGCACCCTCCCTCCCTGTGGAACGCCCTCCCATCAGATGTCAAGGAGCTAAAGAACTACACAACTTTTAGGAGACATCCAAAGGCAGCCCTGTATCAGGAAGTTTTTAACATTCCGATGTTTTATTAAGTTTTATATGTGTTGGAAGCTGCCCAGGGTAGCTGGGGCAATCCAGCCAGATGGGCGGGGTATAAATAATAAAGCTTTTATTTTATTTTATTTTATTTTATTTTATTTTATTATTTTATTTTTTACTACTATTATTACTGTTATTCATCCTTAGAGGAGCCAATGCTAATTCACACACACCAAGTATAGCTGCCATTTGAGTGGAACACCAGCATCCCACAGCAAAATTATTTTGCCTTTTCAAACTACTCTATACTCTTCACTGTAAATTTAAACCTGTTTGAAATGGGCTTCAGACTGTTTTAAGCTGTGGAAGTAGGCTTTTTTTTTTTTTTTAAAGAAAGAACTGGCCTTGTTTTTGATGAGGTTTCCTGTGGTGTAAAGCATTGGTTTCATTTGTCCCATCCTCATCTGGAGAGCCAGGGTGGTATACTGGTCAGAGTGCTGGCCTGGGACCTTGGAAACCCGGGTTCAAATACCCGCTCAGCTGTGAAACTCACAGGGTGACCCTGGGCCTCAGCCTATCCTACCTTGGGAGGACAGAAACGGAGAGGGGGAGAGGCATGTACACTATAAAAATCTTTGGTCAGATACGTTTTGCAGACTTTGAAGCACTACGCACACAAAACGTGTGAGCGGAGAGAACAACAGGGTGGGGGAGAATCACTGCTTGGCTACAGCAGACGCAGGAAACCTTTTTACATCCAAAAATATCATTTCCTTCTGGGAAATCTTCCAAGGCCACATAGCGGCAGCGGTGGATGGAGCCAGAGGCCAAAAGGGGCAGAGCAGCAGGTGTAATTCTTGCTCTTGTGCAGTAGGCAAGTTTCTGCGCACCTGTCTACCCTCCAGCCAGGCAAGAAAGAGGCATTATCAGAGTGGAAGGACACATTCCAGCCAGGCAAAAACACTCAAAAAGGGTGCAAAGCAAGGACCTGCGTGGCCTGGGCAGAGTCCTGTAGGCCAGACAGAGAAATTTGGAGGGCCACATTGGGGTCTCTGGGCCTGAGGTTTCCTATATTCTTAGCTCCAGGTTAAAGGGGATCTTGGGCAGAGGGCTCTCTGGTCTGATAACCCTCCTGTGACCCTGCAAGGCAGCAACAGAACAGCTCCTACAGTGCTAGGGGCATGGCAAGGCACTTTGCACCGTCTCAGAGGCTTTATCCCCGGCTGCCACCGTGTCTGTTTTGGCTCCTTGAGGAAGACAGAAGCACTTCTTTCCAAAAGATACAGGATGAATCATTAGCCAGAAGGAATGTAAACAAGTGGCTTAGCGCTGGAGCCTCCTGGAACACTGTGTTCCTTCCAAGATAAAAATGCCATTGGAAAGATAGAGCCAGGTCTCAAGGTATCAGGAGGAGGAGGAGGAACCTCCGGGCAAGTTTTATAATTAGAGACCTGCCAGCGGGATAATTCTATACCCTAAGATAGTGGTAGGGTGGAGGGTTGTTGTTTTATTATTATTATTTTCTCGCTGAAGATTGCTTACCTCTGGGGAGATCTCCGCCCACAAGCCGAACCTTTCGGCAATCATCTGGTGGATCTCCCGCTGGCGATCCTTCTTCCGCACGCTCTCGTAGCTCGGCAGCCGCGGCTGCTCCCACGGTGGGAGCTGGTAGCTGCTGGGGGGTCCGACACAGAACAGCTCATCTCCCTAGACGCAGAGAGGGACACCATTAACAAATGCACCCGGATGATACACCCAGCTCGGGGACTCGTCCGTTGTTGCCTTCCCACTTTACTTTTTAGGAATTGGCTTGACGACAAAAATCCGCCGCTCGCCTATAATGGGAGAAGCAGCCTTCGGAAGAAAGCAAAACGGTGCCAGTTCTCGCATGTGGCACAATACTCTCCATGCTTCCCTCTTTGGGTGTCGAAATGTGTTATTTGCATGTATGCAAAGCCATAAAAGCCACACTGTGAAAATGGTGGGTCTGTGGAAGCCTTGTTCTTGGAACAGAGAATATGCCAGCAATGCTTTGTTCAACAAGTGCTGGCACAACAAGGCACTTGCTGAGGCTCGTGCCCCTTGCCCAGAGGTTTCCACAACCACCAGGCCCATGGACCTGGTGCTTTTTCTCCCTGATTCCACCTCCTCATTGACCCAACCTCTTGCCTAGAGGGGACAACCCCTGGGGATCCACCATCAGCGGTTCCAACTCCCTCCCTGGTGTTCGACTGGCCTCCTGAATCAAGCCCCCTTCTCCTGCGCAGGTCACGCTCCTTTTACAGGTGATTCGCCCAAACTTTCAGGAAGGAAAGTCTCCCCCTCACCTGGACGCCAGGGTTTTCAGCTGCGCTTTCCAGACGCGGCGTCCCCGACGGTGGTCCCACCAGACGCTGGTTGCTGCTGAAGTAGGGAGGGGGGCAATCCTACATGGAGTGAAAGAAAGGAAGGAAAATTAAAATACAAGCCGAGCTTTCCTCTCGGGCAACTCCGGGGTGTGTGTTCAGCAAGCTGGCAATGTGTTCCTTTGCGCAGATCAAAAGTAACAACACCTGGAAGGTCACAGGCTCCTCATGGCCAAAGCTTGTGCCTCAAGATCAGTCACTGGCTTGGGGTCATAAACAAAATGGCCGTGCCTCCTCCTAGGAGTCAGGGCGGCAGAAGGGCCTTGACATCAAACCACCCTGTCCAGAGCCCCGTGCTTATTTAATTTTTCATTTTAAAAGTATTTCTAAGCTGCCTTTCTGGACCTCATGTGTTTCACAGAAGCGGAATGACTGCAAATCTCAATTAGCTGAAGCCTCTTCGTGTTCATGTGACAAGAGCGCTGACTGAAAAGTTTCACCTCTGAAAACAAACGCTCACAAGCTGTTTTTTCTCCGACAGCTGCTGTTGTTGAATCACTCTTCAGGGCGCAGTTTTCTAGAGGCAAGAGCTTCCCGGCAAGCTACACTTTCCTAGCTAAACCCACTTTTGGTATATGGCAAAATCATATCAATCCTGGTTCGTGAAGAGGCCTCAGAGAACAACAGAAAGTTATGCCTGGGCAACCAGCCAGAGGACGCCAGGGATGGCTTCCATCCTCTCAGGAAGGAATGAGGGAGGAGTTCCTGGCTTGAGGTATCTACCATCTTCTTTAACAGAAACCTGAGAGACCCCCCCAAGTGCAAAGTTGTGGCTGATGGGGGAAGAAACTTAAAAGAACACCGTGCACCTGAGGCACAGCCAGCTTGTTTTCAGGGCAGGAACTGAACTTGCTGTCCCCTTCACAAACAAAAAAGCCCTTCATTTCCTCCCAAGCTTTTCCTCAGCCTAATTTTAAAGGGTGGCAGTGGGTAAGCCTTTTTTCATTGTTGCTGTCTGTAAATATTTGAGCGTCGGAAACCATTGTCAACAGACTGCAAACTACCCCAGCAGATCCCAATCTACCTCCTGTCTGTTGCTAGCCTCTGATATGTAATCCAGCACCTTACAGCACTGAGTCTGTTTGTTTGTTTTGGTGTGTGAGCCACCTTGGTTATTTGGGCTATTTAACTGCAGCAGCTGAAACATCCTTCCCACTCGCATAGGATGTTGTCTGTGTACATAATGATTCACCTAGGTGGCGGCAGTAAAGCATCTCACCTGCTGGTATATGGGATTCTGACATTAGGCCTGAAGCAGTGATAAAAGCCACTTGGTTGTAGATAAGAGTGAATCATCTACAGAAATCCCTAGCGCTGGTCTTTCCCATACCTCCCACTCTATGCCTGAGCTCTACACACTGCTTCTCCTAGAGAGGCGTGTTTTGAGAACAACAGGAAGTCCTCCTGGGTGCCAGCCCACCTCCCAAAGGAAGGGGATACAGCAGCGTTCTTCAAAGGTGCTGTTAAGACTACAGTTCGCATCAGCCCCAGCCAGCTCGGCCAAGGCAGTTGTATGGTCCAGCAACATCCAGGATGCGCAGCTGAAGGCCTTTGCAGTACAGGGTACAATCTCAGCTCTTCCTCCCTCTACCTTTGGACTCAGAGAGTTGCTACTAAGCAAACACCTGCAAAAGGGCACAGAAGGCAGAGCCACAAAGAGATCCATCACAAGTAACAGCAAGAAGGGAGCAGAGAAACCCAAAGAGAGAAGGAACAGGTTGAATGGAATCACGGGGGGGGGGGGGGGGACGGGACACCATGAGCTCACTTGAAAGGCGTGATTATACTACAGTGGTACCTCGGGTTATGAACTTAATTCATTCTGGAGGTCCGTTCTCAACCTGAAACTGTTCTTAACCTGAGGTACCACTTTAGCTAATGGGGCCTCCCGCTGCTGCCGAGGCACAATTTCTGTTCTCATCCTGAAGTAAAGTTCTTAACCCAAGGTACTATTTCTGGGTTAGTGGAGTCTGTAACCTGAAGCGTCTGTAACCCGAGGTACCACTGTACATCAATATTGGCCTTATTGAGAGCCTAGGGGAAATTCAATGATTTGCAAATGTCTGGTGTAGCACTTAAATGAGCCCAGACCTGCCTCCAGATATAATCCCTTTCCTCTGGGGAAAATTAACATCTTTGGGCAAGGACAGAGGGACGTGATGGGTCAGCAAACTGCAATTTATATACGTGTCGGCCAGTACGACGTATCATATTCTTGTGGAAAGCGGGATGTGAGTTTCCAAGGGTTAAAGCCTCCATTTTGCATTTCACCTTCTTCTCCCTTCCCTTCTGGTTTCTTGCAACGGAGCCTCTGAGAAACTACGCCCATTGTTCAAGCTAAGCCTCCACAGGTGGAGCAAGCAAAACGTAGCACCAGCTCCTGAAGCTCTGAAATCCAAACCTGGGATCCGAAAGGTGAGCCGCAAGCAAACAAGGCTCGGTTGTAGAGCTTGCCAATCTGGCACATGGCCCTGAGCTTTCCCCAGCAGATCTACGTGCGCTGCTGCACAGCACTTAGCCAATCGCTTCGCTTCCACCCACAGACCCAAAGGTTCCACTTGCATGGGACCACCGACGCACTTGCAGAAGCCTTTGTGGTAGTGTGGCGAACTGGGCAGGGCAGTGTTTTGACAGTAGGTTGCCACCGTATGATAACCCGCATGCGCACATGTTATACACAGTAATCTGGGATAGTGGAGGCCGCATGGCTGGAGGCCAGAAATGATCACTTTCCCACGCAAGCACTGTGCAGCAAACTTTTAAGAGGCTCTTGCACCTGGGCCCCATCAACTCAAACGGTGTCACCTCCTGTGCCACAAAAGCCCACAAGGGTAGTGGCATGGCAGTCTCGAGAAAACAAAAGGAAAGTTCCCAACTGGAGGGGATACCGCAACTGGAAAGTTGCAATTCCTCCAGCAAAAATCAGGAGAGACCACACCCATCAAACATGTCATCTTGACATGACTTGAATTGAGCGTTCCTAAATTCTGGCCTGATTTCATGATGTGACACCTGGACCCAAAAACACAAGCTTTTGTTAGGAAAGCATTTCAATTGTCCCTGAACATGAACGTGATACACAAAACTTATTGGGCTGAGGAAACCCTTGTCACAGCCCTCTTGGCCGTACTAGGGACATGGCACATTTCTGTTACTTCAAAGCAATTCTGAGTCTTTGCTGCCACCCTCCAATCAATGTTGGGTTCTGGACTACAAGCACTGTGGGATTTCTCTTGCTTTTTCCACGTGGCTATATCTACACCAACATGCATCCTGTAAAGGAATTCCTGCTATCTGCCAGGAATTACCTGAAAGTCACCCCTGATGGTTCCTTTCCAGGAGAGTTAAGTGAGCCATTTTCACTGCTTCTGGTGGCCAAACTGCACTTTTTACCCCGAGCAGTTTCATATGTGAATATGCGGAAGTACAAATGTAAACGAATAAAGGGATTTGTTCCTCGCTGAAGGGAACCTCTGAATACCAGTTGCTAAGGAACACGTTTGGGGAGAGAGAGGGCTGTTGCTCTCATGCGCTGTTTGGGGGCTTCTCAAGAGGCCTCTCTCTGGCTGGTCGTAGGGAGAAACAGGGTGCTGGACTAGATAGGCCTTTGGTGGTCTGAACCTGCAAGGGGGAAAGTATACACAGGCTGCCCAGGTTTTTTGGTCTTTCAAATGTCTAATGCACGGTGGGGTGGGGAGAGAAATGCCATGAAGTTGCTCAGGTGCTCCTCAAACAGCAGTCATCAAAAACGCTTGTGTGTGTGTGTGCATAAGAGAGAGGGGAAGGGTTTGTGACTGTGAGTCAGTGTGTGTGTGTGTGTGTGTGTGTGTGTGAGAGAGAGAGAGAGAGAGAGAGAGAGAAGAAAAATAGGGGGAAATGTTCTCTCTGTGGCTGTCTCCAATCGTGAGCTGTGCAAAGTATAATGCTGGTTGCCAGGATACCAGCAACCAAGAGTGGCATTGTCTGTATTTTACCCGTGCCTTACAGTAGCACTCCCTGCTGTGATCCATCGTTGCCAAAAAAGAAAGAAAGAAAGAAAGAAAGAAAGAAAGAAAGAAAGAAAGAAGTGTGCCAGAGAGTTAAGGAGGAGTGCAGTTCTCTTAGGCGCAGGGGGATATCACCATCGCCCTGGCGACCTGCGTCACTCCTGGTGCTGCCTTCTCGTGCTCTCAAAATTCAATAACGTGCCCCCCGACAGCACAAGCCATGCTCAAAAGCCGCCCATTGGCGACACGCTCAGGTGAAAGGGCTTTGTTGGTGGAAGAGAGTGGGAAGGAAGCGGGGAGCCAGGGAGTGTCTTGGTGAGTGAACACTATAACCCAGCAGGAGAGAACTGCAAATAGGCCTTGAGCTGCTCTCCAGCCAGGAGTAAGCAACGAATTATAATAATCATAATAATGCCTAAACCCCGAGGCCATTCTGTACAAACCTGTAATGGGACCCTACGGAAGGCTGAGCTGGGCGGGTGCCTTGGTTCCTTCCATCCCAGCCGGAGCAGAAAGAAATGTGGTGGGTGGGCAGGTGGGTGCATTTGGATGCAAGGCCTATTGAAACAGCAGGGAAGAGGGAGGTGGAGATACTCACATACTGACTGGGGCTCTGGAAGAAACGGCAAGAGCACAGGAACTGGCAGCACAGGGGGTCCCGGTGGTACAAAAGCAGCAGCAGCACCAAAATGGCCACGATGAAGATGGAGGAAGAAACTGCTGTCGAGGAAGAGAAAAGGGGAAACACGGGTGAGGGTGTTCCACACAGCCTGGGACTAGGCCTCAGGCTTCACATCCTGGCTGAAGTCTCCAGGAAATGTACACTCTGCAAGGCTAAAGGCAATGGGGGCAGGAGAGAGCCACTGATTTAGCGCCCTCTGGCATCCTAACCGAGTTCATCCCTAGCTAGGAGCAGTGACTCTGGGAATCTACATGGCCACAATGGAATTACGAATGACAGAAACGGGTACCCAAATGCTCCTGGAGAAGATTGGAAACAGGAGCTGCCAAAAGCACACTTTTCAAGCCTTTCTAATTGTCTCAACTTTTCTCTCATAACTGAGATTCCAGCCCTTGGCAGACAGAAACAGGTGCCCAGTTCTTTAAAAACAAGCAAAACACACCAATGCAGATATAGCAAACTGAATCTGGCTGCGATCTGCAGACACAATAATGAGGTTTATGGTCTAAGATTTGGTGGCATTCCAGCACCACTAAGAAATGCAAAGATGGTCAATGAATTCTTTTATTTGACCAAGCTTGTAAACAGGCACCTATGGCAAGTAAAAATGGTCTCTATTCTGACTAGGTAAAGAAGCTTCTGTGAACTGAAAAGAGAAACTGCTATTTTTAATCAAATAAAGCCATCAATATGCCACAAGTATCTGTGGGAAAGGTAGGCTGTGAAGCATGCTTGTGGATTAGTAACCTGTCACATTTACACGGCTGGAATCAATCTATGTTGGTAGGCGAGTTGTTGTTGGGTGTTTTTTTTTAAAAGAGCATCACAGAGCTCCAGTAGTTTGAGAGTGATACTCTTGTTCAGCCAAATCTCTGCACATTTAGGAATGTGAAAGCTTTCTATTCAGGAAGAATAGAAATATAGCTAATTTTAAGAGACTGGCAGTTGCCTATATGTCTCTTAAGCAAGGTATCTATCACATGAAACACGAACAAGGTTTCTCCTCATAGGTCATGACAATCTAGCCTTAAGCTCGTAAACCCCATCGGAGATGGGCATGCCAAACTTCTTCTTTGTAAAGACCCATGCACAGATTTGGTACTAAACAAGTAGAAAAATAAATAAATTCAGCATCCAGTTATCACTACAGGCAACCAGCTGCCCATGGGAAGCCTGCAAGCAGAACCTGAGATTCCACCCCCTGGTCCAATTGCCCCTTAAGGTAAAGCTATAGGACCCCTGGATGGTTAAGTCCAGTCCAAGGCAACTATGAGGTTGCGGCGCACATCTCGCTTTCAGGCCGAGGAAACCAGCATTTGTCCACAGACAGCTTTCTGGGTCATGTGGCCAGCACAACCAAACCACTTCTGGCGCAACGGAACACCGTGATGGAAACCAGAGTGCACGGAAATGCCGTTTACTTTCTCGCCGCAACGGTACCTATTTATCTACTTGCACTGGTGTGCTTTCAAACTGCTAGGTTGGCAAGAGCTGGGGCAGAGCAACAGGAGCTCACCCCATAGCGGGGATTTGAACCACTGACCTTCTGATCGGCAAGCCCAAGAGGCTCAGTGGTTTAGACCTTACCTTTACCCCTTAACAGGTACCCAGCAATAGCAGATATGTTGCTCCCTTGGGTATGCAGCTCACTTGTATAAACTTTCCAAGCCCTTCCTCCATATCGTACGCTGCCTCTGCTATAGTGGCACCACAGCCCTACTGCTTGTAGCACAATCTAATCTGGGTGATTTGAGGTAAACTATAAAACGTGGTTGGCTTTCCAGAGAGTACTATGCAGCTGGCCTGTTGCTAGTTTCTCAAGCACTAAACCTGTTTCGCTGCCCCATTTTCAACACCCACCACTAAAAAATAAAATAAAATACAGATGCAGACCTTCAACACAGTCCTTCTGGGATACTGTGTCACCTACATAGTATTAAGTACCTGTGATGGGATGATGAGCTGCTTGTGCGTAAAATCGTATCCCCTCAGAGTTTGTTCAAGTCCACAAACCTCTGTCTGTGACGGAGCCCCTCAGACATGGCTACTCTAGTCACTAGCAGATTCCGACAGTGGTTGCTTTGTAATCGCTTCCAACATAAAAGCTCCTTAACGGAAACGCGTCTTCTGGAATCTCTGCGTGACAGTTTCCGGCGAGGAGTGGGTGTTCTTACAGGAGGTCCTGAAACCTCCCCACTGTTTTCGCTGGAAGTGTCTCTGAGCCATCCCTCCAACTCAGCTCCTCTCCCCCTGCTGGTTCCCTCTTCAGCTGCTGCGTCTCTCCCAACCTGTGTGAGCCCTTTCACCTCCCTTCCGGTTCCCTCTTCAGCTGCTGCGTCTCTCCCAACCTGTGTGAGCCCTTTCACCTCCCTTCCGGTTCCCTCTTCAGCTGCTGCGTCTCTCCCAACCTGTGTGAGCCCTTTCACCTCCCTTCCGTCCGATGGCAGTTCCCTGACATCCACCTCCCTCCAGGGCCCCCTTCACCCCCTCTCGCCCCTCCTCTACGGGCGGTGAGGAGGCAAAACCCCGGAATGAACTTCCTTCATCTTCCGATGTCTCGAACACTTCTCTCAACCTGTTGCGGTTCCTGGTCTCAAGTACACCTCCTCCTCAGAGTCCATCTCCCTTCCCCTTCCGAGTCCGGGAATCCTTCCAACTCCTCCCCTTCATCAGTGGTCCCAAAGTATTCCCTCCGGAACCTCTCCACAGGCTGAGGTTTCCTTGGGAACCTTTGATGGAACGTTTCTATCAATACCTCGTCATTGATATCTTCAGCCATTACCCAAGTGTTTTCTGACTCCGGTTCTCCTTCCCACGCTACCAAATACTCCACCTGATCCCCTTCCACCTGGCGTCGAGGATTTCTGCCACATGGCTGCTGCAGTCTCTTTCTTCTACGACCGGTCCCCGAGGGGCCAGCCCTTCTCGTCCCCCTCGTACGGTGACAGTAACGACCTGTGAAATACTGGGTGCAGTTTCATGTGGTTGGGTAACCGGAGCCTGAAAGCCACTGGGTTGACCTGTTGAATGACCTCAAAGGGACCCAACCTCCTGGGTCTTAATTTCTTACAACCTCCTTTGAACGGCAACCCTTGGGTTGACAGCCACACCCTATCTCCCACCCTTATGGTTTCACCTTCCCTTCGGTTCTTGTCTGCCTGCCTCTTGTATTCTTCCTTCGCCCTTTCTAAGTTGAGTTGGAGCTGACGATGGATTGCTTCCATTTCTTCCACAAAATGCTCGGCTGCCGGGACGCTCCATCTCTCCCCTCTCCCCTGGGAAAGCCCTGGGATGACACCCATAATTAGCCAAGAAGGGGCTCATCCCTGTGGACACATTCTCGGCATTGTTGTAGGCAAATTCCGCCAGCGCCAACTTTTCTACCCAGTCATTCTCTCTGTCATTGACATAACACCTCAGGTATTGCTGGAGGACACCGTTTGCTCTTTCCGCCTGCCCGTTGGTTTCAGGGTGCCGGGCAGTCGAAAAATTGACCTCCACCTGCAGTAAGCTCATGAGCTTCCTCCAGAACCTGGAAGTAAATTGTTTTCCTCGGTCTGAGACCACCCTCAATGGCACCCCGTGCAACCTAAAAATGTTTTCTACAAATAACTTCGCTGTCTCTTCCGCCGTGACTGCATGCGAGCAAGCTACAAAGTGGCACATCTTTGTTAGTAGGTCTACCACCACCATGATGGCTGTTTTCCCTTTGGACTTCGGCAGATCAGTCATAAAATCTATCGACACTGCCTCCCAAGGTCGTTCTGGGGTTGGTAAGGGTTCTAATAGCCCCGCCGGCGCCCGCCTTTCCCCTTTGGCTCGCTGGCATTGCTCGCACCCTCTTACATACTCACGTACATCTCCCTCACCTTAGGCCACCAAAATTCCCTGGTGACCAACCACATGGTTTTGTGTTGTCCAAAATGCCCCGCCGTAGGGCTGTCGTGCAACTGCTTGAGTACCCTCCCCCTTAAGTCTCCTTCAGGGATATACAGTGCCCCTTTGTAATACAAAGCTCCATTTCTTTCCTCGAAACCCCATGGTTCCTCTCCCTCACCCCTAAGACCTCTGAGCTTATTCTGGGCGTATTCATCATTCTCTGTTTCCTCTACCAGTTCTCTTTGTCCCACCAATGCCGCCCCACACACCCAGCGGTCCTCTGGAATGACATGTCTCTCTTCGGGTGCCCCTCCCTCCAAATATTCAGGTTTGCGTGAGAGAGCGTCCGCCCTAATGTTCTCTGGGCCTGGCACGTAACTAATCTCAAAGTTAAATTTGGAGAACTCCTGGGCCCATCTCACTTGCCGTTGGTTGAGCACTCGTGCCGTCCTCCAATACTCTAGGTTCTTGTGGTCAGTGCACACTTGCACCTTATGTTGTGCGCCAATTAGCAGGTGCCTCCATCTCCGGAACGCCTCATGAATGGCTAGTAGTTCTCGGTCATACACCGTGTAGTTCCTCTCGGATTTGTTCAGCTTCGCGAAAAAAGGCACACGGTCTCCACTCTGACCCCTTCTTGCCTGGCTGCAGAAGCACCGCCCCAATCGCTCTGTCTGATGCGTCAGTTTCCACTCTCATCGGTTTTTGTAAATCCACATGCAGGAGTTGTTGTTCCGAGGCGAAGGCCCTTTTTTAGTTCCTCAAATGCTCGCTCCGCCTCCTCAGTCCACACGAACTTCTTCTTACTGCTGAGACAGTCTGTAATGGGCGCCGTCAGGTGGGCAAAGTTTCGGATGAACTTACGATAGAAGTTCCCAAATCCTAGGAACCTCTGCACATCCTTCTTTGTTTTGGGTGTTTTCCATTCCAGCACCGCCTGGACCTTGCCGGGATCCATGGCCAATCCCTTGTCTGACAGGCGATACCCCAGGAATTCCACCTCCTTGGTATGAAACTGACACTTCTCCAGTTTCACCCACAGCAGGCTGGCTTGCAGCCTGCTCAACACTTCTCTGACGTCTCTCACATGCTGCTCCTCATTCTCAGAATACACCAACACGTCGTCTAAAAAGGCCACACAATTCTTGTAAAGCAAAGGCCCCAGGACGTGGTTCATAAACGATTGAAATGTTGCGGAGCCTGCTTGTAGGCCGAAGGGCATAACCAAATATTCAAATGCCCCTAAAGGGGTGAACATAGTGGTTTTCCATTCATCCCCTTCCTTATTCGTACCAGGTTGTACGCCCCCCTTAGGTCCAGCTTTGTGAAAATCTTTCCCTTCCGCACCCTTGTCAAAATGTCGTCAATCCTGGGCATAGGGAAGGCTACTGGTTCTGACACTGCATTTAAGGCCCTGAAGTCACACACCAGCCTCGGCTTGTTCGTGTTTTTCTTATCCACAAAAACACTGGGCTGCCCCCACCGCCCTGGACTCTCTGATGAACCCTCTCTTCAGGTTCTTGTCAATGAACTCTCTTAACTCCTGCATCTCTCTGTCTGACATGGCGTACAGCTTGCCTACAGGGAGCTGTGCTCCAGGGAGTAAGTTGATTTGACAGTCAAAGGGTCTATGCGGGGTAGTTGGTCAGCTTCCTTTCGCTGAAGACGTCACGGAGATCTGCATATTGTCGTGGTACCTTCACGTTCTCTGTTACTTCAGTCCCTGCTAGGGTGGCTTGGACCCCTGCCAAACCCTTTCCTCTTTGCAGTGTTCTAAGCAATGTGCTGAACCAAAAGAAACCACTCTCTGATGCCAGCCCACCAGCGGATCATGTAACGCTAGCCAGCTCATCCCCAATATAATGGGAGCTCCTCCCAAGGTGGCCACATTAAAAGCTATCAGTTCGGTGTGCCTTGCTACCTTCATTATCATTGGGACGGTCTGCAAGCTGACTTCTCCACCCAACAGCTCCCTGCCATCGATCGTGGTCACCTGCAGGGGCTGCTTAAAGGGATTGTCTGTATCTGGTGTTCAGCTGCAAACTCTTTGCTCATGAAATTGCAGGAGCTGCCTGAGTCCAACAGCGCCTTTATCTTTAGAGGGTGTCCGTTTGGCAGCTCTAGCGTCACTTCTATCACTAGGGCGGGTTTAGGAGGTTCTGGCGTGGGCACTCTCACTGCTCTTTGGCCTGGCTGCTGTGCCCTGACAGTGGCAGCCAGGCGTTGGCTTTTACTTGCTCCGGTATTTTTTCCTCTCTTCCATCCACCGCTCCTACCATCCCTTGCCATTCTTTCCTCTGGGGGCAGACTCTGGCAAAGTGACCTGGCTGTTGGCAGAGATAGCATTTCCGGGCGCCTTTTCCCTCCTTCTTTGCCCCCTCACTGGGCTTTGAAACTGCGCGCGCGCGCTGTTCCTATTTCCATCGGCTCTGCCGGTGGGAAAGTTGGCTCTGGAATGTCTGGAATGCGGAACTCCTTCCAAAGTTCCCCTTCCCTTCCCGCCTCTCCAATGCTCTCGCCTCCTGGCGCGCTCCTATGGCCAGCGCTGATTTGGTCAGCTGGTCCATAGACTCCGCCCTGGGCGCCCGGGAAAGTTCGTCTTTCACAGCCGAAGAAAGCCCTTCTTCAAAAAGCATTTGAATGGGTTCCGCCGATAAGTCCCACCCCAATCTGTGAACAAGCATGGTGAACTCAGTCCAGTACTCACGGACAGATCGGCTCCCCTGTTTGCAACCCATTAACTGTCTGCGCACCACTCCCTTTTCAATATCGCTGGAAAACATCAGATCCATGGCGCGAAAGAACTTCATCGTGTCCTTTAAGACGTCACTATTAGCTGCCATCAGGGGTCTAACCCAGTCTCTCGCCCTTTTCAAGATGCTCAATCACGAAAGCCACTCGTGATTCCTCGTCAGGGAATTCATCAAACTGCAGATTGAGGGCATATTGCATTTCTGTCCGAAAACCATGATAGTTTTGGGCTCCCCCCCAAACTTCTGCACCAATCCTGGTACCTTTCTGGCGAACTGGGTGGCTTTCCCTTTTGTCTGCATCCAGAGCCCTCCTCTCCTCAAGCCTCGCCGTCTGCATCGCTAGCTGGACCTCCAACATCTGGTACCTTTCTTCCAGGCTTGGACCCGCTCCAGCTCCTGCTTCTCCGGTTCCGGCTGGGTTGCTCATGATGCCTTCTCCTGCACAAGCTGCTTTCAAAGACTGTCGGAATGCTGTGATGGGATGATGAGCTGCTTGTGCGTAAAATCGTATCCCCTCAGAGTTTGTTCAAGTCCACAAACCTCTGTCTGTGACGGAGCCCCTCAGACATGGCTACTCTAGTCACTAGCAGATTCCGACAGTGGTTGCTTTCGTAATCGCTTCCAACATAAAAGCTCCTTAACGGAAACGCGTCTTCTGGAATCTCTGCGTGACAGTTTCCGGCGAGGAGTGGGTGTTCTTACAGGAGGTCCTGAAACCTCCCCACTGTTTTCGCTGGAAGTGTCTCTGAGCCATCCCTCCAACTCAGCTCCTCTCCCCTGCTGGTTCCCTCTTCAGCTGCTGCGTCTCTCCCAACCTGTGTGAGCCCTTTCACCTCCCTTCCGGTTCCCTCTTCAGCTGCTGCGTCTCTCCCAACCTGTGTGTGAGCTTTTACCTCCCTTCCGGTTCCCTCTTCAGCTGCTGCGTCTCTCCCAACCTGTGTGAGCCCTTTCACCTCCCTTCCGGTTCCCTCTTCAGCTGCTGCGTCTCTCCCAACCTGTGTGAGCCCTTTCACCTCCCTTCCGTCCGATGGCAGTTCCCTGACAGTACCATTCCCAAATTTCAGCCAATTCTCACTTCCAGTCCCACCCAGCCCTGACACAGTCCCCCCCCCCAACCACCTGGGAGGAAAGAAAATCACAAACATTTCAAATGAACTGCTATTATCTGAGTATTCTTTTACTGCAGCCAATGTCATGTGCTACGGTAAAGATGCAATAAAACTGATTCAGGAGAGCAGTTTTAAGTGCCCATACAGAGTATTGAAAACCAAAAATAACTTTTTTTGGGGGGGGGGGAGAATTCCAAAGGATTCCTAAAGGAGTCAGGTATTTGGGGCACATTTTTAGTCCAGCCAACAGAAACTATTGGGGCACAAAATGCAAAACTGACACAGAGAAGCAGAATGGAGTTGGTTTCTCCTGACACGACACACATGGCTTGGATGTGTCCAATTTCCAAGGTGTGTTGGAATTTGGCTTAGGATAATAAAATGCCCCCAACCCCACAAAATCTCTCTCTCTCTCTCTGTAGTTACATTTTCCATTTCTCTCGAATAAGTTTTTGTGGGGTTTTTTAAGTCCTTATTCCCTCTGGGATTTTCTTTAGTGCTTTCCTCTCTCCCCATTAATCCCTGCCTTGCCTTCTTCCTTTGTATCACATATTCTTAGAACATAAACCTGTGGGCAGGACCTGCCTTTATTCTACTCTGGAGGCGCTTAGCAAGAGGTAAGCCCTCAAGAAATAGCTGAATGACACCAGGGAAATTTGGCAACTAGCAAAAAATCCAACGAAAACAGCAGCAATTAAACCACTGGAGGACTTTGGGTCCCAGGAGCCTGCAATTCCACCACATACTGACTTCAGATTAGCCCTACTGGTTTTAATAGGATTGGAGTAAAAACAGGTTTGGGATTGCGACCTTAATCTCTTAATTTTCACATTCCTCATATTTCTGCTTTCCAATGACAGCCAGATGGTAATATTTCATTTCACCTAAGATGGTAATCCACTCATTTTTGCAACAACAAAAACCACCCTAAAAAGTCCAAGCATGTCCACTTTGCAGCCCTCAGACTAACAACTTACTTCCAAGTAGCTCTGCTGACCATAGGTGATTATGCAAGAGAAATCAAGTTTAAATATCATTCTGTTGTGTTTCCACCTGCTTTATCAGAACAAGGCTGTTCAGAAGCTAATGCGGAAGAATTTGATCTGCAAATTTGAGGGCCATTGTTCAAAAAGCCCTGGCACCTCCAACATATATTAATTTTTAACATATTCTGGTTCAGGCATGCTGGATCAGGGATCATGCATGCAGCAGCCTGAGTTATAACTAGATTAGATCTTGATAGAACAATCTTGTCTGCAGGTGGGAAATTGTCCTTATTCTCCCATGTGGAGTCAGCAGAACTGAGCAGAGGAGGGAGCTTCTCATCTGTGCTGAATTTGCTGGACTTACGTCTATTTAAGTCAGTGGAGCTTGTCACCCAACAACAACTGGAAGCCCATTAGATTCCCATCCCTGGTTTAAAAAAAGCCTTTTCTTATTTTCATTTGGAACACCAGATTTTTCCAAACAAGGAAAAGTAACATGGATGCAATGAACGATGCTTCCACTGACAAATAAACAAATCTTGCTCTCTCCTGCTGGTATACAGACAACACGGCCAATTTATTTCATCACTCTGACTCCCAACAGTTTCATAAAGGGAATTGCTGGTCTAATCTTTGCTTTGGATGAGAAAGGCTTTTTAAAATTCTATACTTCATATTCTGTGTACGTGAGGCATGTTGGACAGGAATACAGCAGTTTTCACTTGGGCTATACAACTCTCTGCCCTGGGAGAGCAGCCTGGCCCTTGGAGACGTTTTTAATTATCATTTGCTGCCTTTTGAAAACATGCCTGTTCTGGTAGCCGTTTTTATAGTCAAACTGGCTAACTGTATATGTCATTTTTGTTTGCCTCATCATTTATTTAATTGATGCTCTGTTTTCAAGACTTGGTTTTGTATTTTGATTTTACTGTTGCTAACCAGCTTGGGCGTCTTTGGGTGGAAAATGGGAGAATGCATATTGACTAATATTTTTTTGCAATGCTTCCAGATAGGCTGCTGTCCTTTTTGCCTGAATAATATGGAGGATATCCTTCTCTGCAGGCGTCTTTGGAGAGCCTTGATAATGATCTACAATGGGCAGTTTACTATGTGGGTGGAAGACACAAGCCTTCAGACCTCAGAGGAGGGCACAGGTCACACTATGAAACTCCAAGGCTTGTTTAACAAAATACGTATCACTCTCACATTCAAAAAAACGGGCACAACAATATGGAAATAGGGAGCAGGTGATTGACAGTCATCAATCATGTCTCTCTAGCAGGTGATCCCAGATGCTTCTTCAAATTCCAACCAGTATTTTGCTCACAAAAAAGCTTGGAGATGTAATTCTTGTACGAAACCTCTTAGAATATTTTTATCCAATCGAAAGCCAAAACAGGAAAAAGTGATACCTTTCATCAGCTGCTTAGTACTGTATAGAAAGAAGCACTGTATGCAAGTTTTTGACTTCACAGAAACCTTTGTTAGTGGCTCTCCAAAGCTTCTATATTTCTGTGCCAGTTTAAGTTCCTCTGATAAGCTGTACCATTCTGCTCGCATCATTCTCTGCTGAACTTCTACTCAAACATACTGAAGAAAAGGAATCACAGGAAATTCAAATACATAAACAGGATTCCACTGTCCTGATTTGAACATTATCCCTACATGCTCCTTACAGCTCTGTGGGAGTGTCAAAAGGGCTCCTGATGCACTGAACCAGCCCTTCCAATCCCTGGAGCCATGCCAATGCCAAGAGAGCTCCCTAATAGTTCATCTCCTCCAGTAACCCACACGAAGGGCAGGAGGTCAACATGGGTGATGAATCCACAATGCAGAGGGGTGCCAAGCCAGAAGCTAAGTTAGCATCCCTGAGAACATAACCTAAGTTAGCATTCACAGCAGGAAATCACCCTTTTTGCCACAAAAGCTGTGACTTGCAGAAACCTGCAGCTGCCTCTGCAAGGCTAAGACTTTGCCCAGTACCTGCCTGTAATATAAACAACCAGGTCCCAAGCACTTGAATCTACCAGTTTCCCTGAAGGGGCCATAAACAGTGTCTAGGTGCCAAACCAAAACCACATTATGTGTGTGCATACAGCGAAGTATAACGCCAGGGACATAACCAAGCAGGGGGAGGCAGTCTCATTTGGGGGGGAAGAGGACCCCCCACAACTCCCAGCATCCATCCCGATTTAAAGGCGAGAGAAAGCCATGCAAGGACTCACTGGTGGCTATGATAATCGCCACGACGCTGCTATCCATGGGAACAGGGGCGGTGGGCGGGTGTGGCAGCGCCTCGCTCGGCTGGCTCAACTCTGGTCGACTGCGAGATCCCTTCCAGCTTGGTGGCTCCACATGGAGGCGGGGAATCCGCCCGAATCCAGTCCCCGCCGGCGAATTCACCAGCCCTCCAGTTCCGTTAGCTTTGGACCCCCCCGCCACGACGGAGCCCGTGCAGCCCAGTCCGGTTCCTTCTGGCTTCTCCTCGGGTTCGATCCCGGTCCGGCCAATGACTGGCTTCGTGCGCTCCTAACTTATCGCTCCCCTCCTGCTCTTCTTTGCATCGCTCCCGGGGTTAGCATCGCACTCTCGGGGCAGTAAGCTCTCCGGAACCCGGAGGGAGGCGGCTCCGAGCTCTCTCCTCTTCCTTCCAGCGCTGGGCTGCTTGGTTCTGGAGTAATTTTTTGCACTTTCCGTCCTCGGTCTCCCTTAGGGCAGATAAGCTGTTCCAAAGGTGAGCGCGCCAGGGGGAGAGCTTGGCTCGGCTCCTTCGGCAGATACCTGGCTTCGGAGACGCTCCCCCCGCAAAACGAGGGTTGCAGCAGCAGCAGCAGCGCGGTCTGCACTCTCCATAGGCTCCCCCTGGAGAGAATTCAAAAGCGCCGGCTTAAAGATCCAGTTGCTTCCCCTCGATCGGAGCCTCCAGAAAGGTTGCGGAGCTTTTCCTGGGCCTGGCCGCTTCCCTCCGGCATCCCGGGCCCAGCCGAGTTGCACGTGCGCCTTGCAAAGCCCATCCGCGGTGGGGCCGGGAAGTGCAATGGGCTTTCTCCTCCAAAAGCAAACCGAAGCAACAAAAGCAGCAACAGCAGCAGCAACAACAACCCCCTCGCTCGGATTTTGCGACCCGCACGGCTCCCCTTCCAGCCTCGCGGGGAGATCTTTGCACCCTCTACCGCCTTCCTGCGCCGATCTCCCGGGTTCCGCTTCTGATTGGTCGCGGAGGCAACGCTCTGGGCCTCCATTGGTGGGAAGTGAAAAGAGCTACCTTCTCCGGATGCAACATTGTGTCGGCGGTCGTCATGGTAACTGTGCACGTGGGGAGGAACGGGGCTGGGGGGGGGGAAGCGAAAGTAACGCGCTTCCTCCGGCGTTCCATTGTCAATGGGTTTTTATTGCGCATCGTAATAGTTTCCCCTGATATCCCCCTACCCCCGAGCTTTAGGCGTCCTGAGAAACAAAGCTACGCGGGCAAGAGGAATTTTATTTAAATCGACGATTAAGAAGAGAGTCTGCGTTAAAGTGTTTTCCAAAGATCTCATAGCAGTTGTTGTTGTTGCTCACTTGTGAAGCACCTGAATTTTTCTAAGCGCTCGACCGGCCGATGGATGGATGGATGGCGTCAGATTGGTCTCCCCCCTGTTGTAACGCTTTGGGGGGAGGCAGCTTCCAACTTGACCCGAAAGGACACCTGAGGCCGGAGTATACCTCTTATTCAGCTCTGCAGACTCAGGTAACGAAGCGGCCGCAGAGGTTTCGTTCCTGCATGGCTGCCTAACCAACACAATTGCGTTTTTTAAAAAAAGTCTTGACGTTTTCCATATTCTTTCCGTGCATGTTTATGGGTGACGAGAACAGCGGACATTCCTAAATCAGCACCACCAGAGGGTGGATGAGAGTGAATTCTGCTGCGTTAGTTATTTTCATCCATTATATACATTAACTCTGCATTATTAAACTACAAATTCTCATCTGTTGCTATACTTCAGATCCTGCAAACGTTTTAACATGTCCAAAACACCGTGAAAGAGGTGGATGGGAAGTCAACAGATATGAGAGTCGTTCAGATTGCATTTTAAAAGAATTTGTAAAAATTGAAAATTTAATAAATATATTTTTAAATTAAGTTCCCACTTTAGTTAAATCCCTCTCCTCTTTACATTGCTTGTATTAATAAACTTCTTTACAGGGTTGATACAAAGGAATCAATTCAAAACACTCCATAGCATATTCATTCTTAGTATCATTCAGTGTCTGAAGTTAGGGAGCAGCACTGACAGCAGGAACAAACAGTCCGTACTAGTTAACTAACTCTAGTTAATAAGTCATTTGCAGCTTTGGCGGCAGCAGAATTCCTCTGAGTTACAACTGAAGACCTCCCACTAGCTGAGAGTTTGGCAGGTGAGTACGCGCTGGGTCGTAACACTTCATAGGTTCTGGAAATGGAGAAGGCTCATTCATCATGCTAAGTGCCTACCCTTGTGTTCAAGTATCGCACTATAATAACCTTTCACTTGACATCTCCCTCACAATGCTGCTTTGCAGAATGTAAAAAGGCTGCTCCAACAGTGACTCTACAGGAAGCTCCCTCTGCTGGTTCAACTGTTTATTGAGTGACAGGAGCCTTCCCCTTCCCCCTCCAAATGTTTGTTTGCTTTACAGAAGAAGATTCCTTCCAAGGACCTTCTACAGCAGTGTTTCCCCAACTTGGGTCTCCAGCTGCTTTTTGGACTACAATTCCCATCATCCCTGACCACTGGTCCTGCTAGCTAGGGATGATGGGAGTTCTAGTCCAAAAAAACGAGCTAGAGACGCAAATTTCAGAAACACTGTTCTACAGTGCAAGAAACTTCAACTTGCTTGTGCCGATGAGAAAGGGGCAGTCCAGCCCAGCATAACTGGGAAATCCTTTAGACCTCACCATTATTGGACAAGGTAGAATGACCATTTTTCTACCTTGTCCAATAATGGTAGAATTACAGACTCCGCTAACCCAGAGATGCTCACATTTGCAAAGAAGAAATCTTAAGATTCTTACTTCTTGGCACTTGGCAGATATCAGAGGTCACAGCTTGTGTGTGTGTGTGTGTGTGTGTGTAATAGGTTCAGGGCCGGCTCTACTATTAGGCAGGGTAAGGGAGTTATCTCAGGCAGCAGATGCTGGATAACAGAACTGCCCTGTGCCACTTAATCTAGCCAGCTCAGAGAGTGGAGGATCCTGTCCCCTCACTCATGTTGAACTAAGATTCAGATGCCAATCTCACCAGCTTCCATTTGAAGGACAAGACATTCCTTGCAGTGAGAGCCATGCAGAGCATGTGAAGAACCAAAATGGCATCAGGTAGTGATAGCCCATCAAAAACCAAGCTGTGGGTCTTTTGCTCACCGCCAACACCAGCTGACCAACCCTGGTTGAGAGGATTTTTGCTACATTAGCCCCAAAGAATGAAACCAATGTGGTTATATAGGCAGACCTAGTGCAGCGGCTACTACGTTAAAGAACCCAACAGCTGTGTACTTTTGCATGCACAGCAGCTAGAAAAATATGGCCCCAAAGCAGAAGCTGGTTTTGTTTAACACGCCCTGCCCCCCCCATTTACCAATAAATGGAAATAGTCTCCTTGGTGCCGTTACAAAATCTCTTTGCTGAATGGCTTGGAAAAGTGCCACATTTACTCGATCAGCTCTCATTAGACTCATTAAAAGATGATTATAATATCAGAGCGTGGGCAGCCTCACTTCGCACCCCGGAGTGCAGCAGTGCACAGGTTGGTAATAAAGGGAAATATGGCAAGGTTAATCACGCCTGACAGTGCTACACCAATTTTTGTGCAAAGGGGCCTCTGAACGCTTTGCAAAGATTAATTCATTCAGTTCTTTTGCAAGGCAGGGATAAGGACTTCGTACGGTACCTGGCAAAGCCGTGATGATGTAGCGCACCAGAGACCCCACAGAATTAGTGATGTGGGTATGAATAAAATTTGCAAATATCTTGCATGCACTTTCTCCCCTCATATAAATGTTAGGGCTGGAATTTGCTTATTTATGGTTGTCAATATGATACTGGGCCAAGTTTATCATCTTGTTATTGGCATATAAAGCCCTGAAGACCTCCAGATCAGGTTACCCCTTGCCTCATAAATCCCTGCCTGGACACCTAGATCCTTGGAGACCTTCTTAGTAGTGCTGCATGCTCCCAAGGTTTTAAAGCTGATCATCTGAATATGATGTATTATTCTATACTTGTTTCATTACTGTAATTTTGTTGATTCTATGCTGTTAACACTCCCATCTTATAAGGCTGTGCTCTGAGCTAGCAAGTTTCACTACAAGGCTTAAAACTTATGGCTGTTTCCCAAACTTGGGTCTCCAGCTGTTTTTGGACTACAATTCCCATCATGCCCGACCACTGGTTCTGCTAGCTAGGGATGATGGGAGTTGTAGTCCCCCCCCCAAAAAAAAACAGCTGGGAAACCCTGGTCTAGGGGATTCTACACATACACACACACACACAAACACACATCCCTTTCAAAATTGCAAATGCTCAGGAATCCAATTTGTGCATGCAGAATATAGAATGCAAATTGGAATTGAATCATCTTGGTTGGCATGGTATTTGCTAAAGGAGTTACACGCTCCCAGGTGTGGAACGTGAGTAAATGGTGTGCATGAAGAATTGGCAACAAGAACAGTCAAATACTCCAGCTTAGGGAGAGGTCATAGGCAGCAGGAGAAAGGGGAGGAAATCTTACACAGACTGCTTCCCCCCAACTCAATTCTCAGCCACAGTGTCTGCCTGGAGTTCAAAGGGATCAAGTGGGAGGCAGCGACTGGGTTTCCTGCGCCACCAGCTGATGCAAGATGATGCTATGGCAGCTGACTTTGGCCACTGGCCTTTTTTCTCCAAACATCTCAGTCTGGTGCCGGCAGACACTTTTGGTACACATCAGGCCACCCAAGGAACCAATGTTACGTTTCTCGAATGCACCTGGAGAAGTGACTGGCTCCAAGATCACTTGTGATGAGTGATGGGGTGTAAATTCTATTAATCATATCTGTCCAATCTGAAACGAAACGAAAGGCAGCCAGCTGCAAGAATTCACACTCTTCACACCGTAGAGATATAGATATATTTGTGTTGCATATTTAAGACAACTTTTAACATAATGCTTCCAACACAAAGCTTTCAGCACTCGTTCTTTGGAACAGGTTTCAATTCACGCCCTGCCTAGTTCACCCCCTTGGCTCAGAACGCACAACACGCTTTTATGAGTCCCTTTTCCAGACAAAGGTACCCCAACATCACACTGTATCGCTGGAAACGGAGAAGGTTGTGCCCTGGGTGTAGGGGTGGGCAATGAGCCCTACTAGGAGCTCAGGCCAAAGAAGAATCAGTGTGCTATGGGTCTGGCAAACCCCACTCGCAAAAAAATCTTCCATTTTCAAAGGTTCTTTTTAGCACCAGCACAGCTCTTGAAATCAAAGAACTTTTTTTTAAAAAACAAACAAACGAACAAACAGAGGTCATTTGTGATCTGCACTTCCAATCCAAGAACAAAATAAAGAAAAGAAGCAGAACGTTTTGAAGAAATGCAGGGAAGTTAACTGCCTTGAAAGGCTCAGACCAAATAACCCCTGAGATCAGAACTTTCCAAACATCTTACTGAGACTATATCAAAACTCTGAACCTCAAGTCCGTTTCGACCACCTTCTAAACAGGTTTTCCAGAGGCAGCATCAACAGCTCCTCATCATGTCAAGTCGTCTGTGTGTTCTTTCTGATATGGCACACTTAAAACAAAACAAGAGAGAGACCTTGTGTGTGTGTGAGCGAGAGAGAGAGAGATACTCTCTAAAGTAGACTATTTTGTCTTAACACTTCTATTTCAACAGCAACCATTAAGGGGCCCCAGACACTGATTCCCCAGTTCAACTGGGGGTGGTTTACTCAGGAACTGGGATACAGTTGAAAGATCAGATCAGGATAAGAAATAAGACTGGACATCGGACAACATTCAGTACAGAATTAAGATCACTCCCTGTGCATGGGAACACTGTTTTTGGCTGGGAAGTATACAGCTTCAGAGGGCTAAATTAGCCATTCAAAGTAGGTGTAGGTGGTGTGTGTGTGTGTGTGTGTGTGTGTGTGTGGTGCGTGTAAGGTCACAAATGATGCTGCCTGATTTGACAATGTTAAAAAAAAAAGGAAAGGAAATCCACATTGAACAGTTGACACACTGGGGGGAAGAAGTAGGTCAGAGTTGACTATCCATTCTGGCAGTGGTACCAGGGGTAACAAATATCCAGGGACAAGAAAATTCATTCGGAAAACAAATGAAGGGATTTCCTGCCTTGCATCAGACGTCAAGACAACCTTGACTTAATAATAAACCTTAATAAACCTGGCTTAATAAGGCCCTTTGGATGGAACAGGTCTGCAATGTGCCACCAAGACGCAAAACACAGCCAGATTTCAAGCCAAAGGGAGAAGGGGAATAGGCAAGGTAGATGGCGAGGCTTGAGAATGAGGCACTGTACAAGGGGGACTGGCAGGTGGTGGAGGTTTGGCACAGTGGGCAGCTCCATTAAGGGGGAGCCTTGGCACAGCTGCCAGAGGGGACAAATCCCTTCCTTGCTTCCAACCGGGAGGGTAGGCAGCTCTGAGCTGCAAAAAAATAAAAATAAAAAAATAAAAAGAGAGAAGCTCTCTCCAACGTCAGCAGCAAGATCTAAGCTCCTAGCACTGCTAGGAGGGAAACACAAATGTTCCACCCTCTCCCCACCCCTACCGGAATCAGCAAGGAGGACCAAAATCATGTTACAGTGTAAGAAGAAGACAATGGGAACACTGAAATGCTCCCCACCCCACCTCTAGAGGCAGAGGGGCAGGATGACCGCCGTCGCTATTGCACTTTTGTCTCATATATACATAACACATTTGTAAAAAAATAAGAACTAAAAGGATGGGTTTGGGAGATGAGAAACAGGTCTGCCAAGCCAGGCACAGCTGCTCAGAGGACACAGACCCGGTTAAAGTGACGGCCTGGTTGCCTGCATTCCCCCATCTACCCCCATCTGGCCATTTCCCAGAATCCTCTGCCAGCAACCATTTGGGAACAAAGAGTCCTGGATCTTGCAGAGCATCACCCAGAGGTGAGGAGGGCACGCCGGTTCAGGTGCGCTGCAGCCAGGAAGCTGAGAGCTCACCTGCCAGACTAGAGAGAGCTTCCAATGCTCGGGACTCGTGTAAATACAGGTAGCCCCTCCCCTATCCGCTTCACCATCTCTCCAGCCAATCCTGAGAACGGGTGGGCGGGGCCTCTGCCTCCACACCACCTTTGCGCTGCCGACAGCCAATAAGAGTTTCCTGCTCTGCTGGAGAAGATCCCGTTCACGGGAGGATGGTACATTTTCACAGGATGACGAAGTCTCGAGCGTTTGCCCTGCGGAGAGGAGGGGTCCTGTGCGCCCAGCCCCACACCCTGCCACGAGGGGATGCTTCCTTGATCCCAACAATGTGCTGCCGGCGGCCCCTGCTACCTCAGCCGCCCGTCGGGCTTGATGGCCCCCAGTTCTGACTTGGGGTCCGGGGAGAGCGAGCTCCAGGAGGTTTTGCTACAGAGCTCCAGGGTGGAGCAGCTGGAGGGGCTCGCCACGCAGAGGGCAGCCACCGACCAGAAGCTGCCGATGCTGCTGTCCGTCCAGTTCTCAAGAGCCTTGCCAATGAGCTGCGTGTGCCGGTGGGAGGCTCGTCCTGTTTCGTCCAAGCGGGGGAGGCTCAAGATGCCAGCCAGGCCCTGGAAGTTCTGCTCCATGTACTCATTTCGAGGAGGACCAGCGTGAAGCCACTTGCCGTCATCTGGGACGGAACAAAACAGGGAAAGGCAGTTAGCTGGGGGCACACACAGGCCCACGTGCGCCGCAAATCCCTCCAACGAAGCAGGCTTTGGCTAACCTTTTCTCTAGGCCAGGTGTGGGGAACCAGGTGTTGCTCCAGCATGATCAACGGCCAACGATGATGGGACTTTTGGTTAAGCAACATCTGGAGGGCAAAAGGTTCCCCATACCTGCTCTAGGCTCATAATAATACATTACAGTGGTACCTCGGGTTACATACACTTCAGGTTACAGACACTTCAGGTTACAGACCCCGCTAACCCAGAAATAGTACCTTGGGTTAAGAACTTTGCTTCAGGATGAGAACAGAGATTGTGCTCCAGCGGCGCGGCAGCAGCGGGAAGCCCCATTAGCTACAGTGGTGCTTCAGGTTAAGAACAGTTTCAGGTTAAGAACGGACCTCCAGAACGAATTAAGTACGTAACCAGAGGTACCACTGTAATTTATTATCATTGTTTTTTTATTTTAGGGAATCCAGTGCTGGTCCTACTCAGGAGTAGATGCACACTGAAACTAATGAACCAAGTTAGTCACATCCATTAACTTCAGTGGATTTCCCCACCTCCACCACCAACTAGGACTAGCCCTGGATACCACCTGGCCTGATTAATTACTATTACTGCATTGATTTACATACAGCGTTAACGCCAAAACATGTTTCTGAGCAGTTTCCTAGTTTAAAAACAATTGCACGGTTATTAAAGTACAAACACCCAAAATTAAACGATCCCATTGAAATAGCACAGTGCTTAAAAACAGGAGTCTTGGGTCAAGAGATCAAGGGAATGCTAAACTGGAGCCTCTTCAGAAGCCAGCAGAAAGTCAATAAAAAAGGGGGCCTGCCATATTTCAGATCCATTCCGCATCCTCAACACTGGTGGGCAGTGAGGCAGGTAGCTAGGCCAGGCACAGGCAAACTTGTCCCTCCAGATGTCTTGGGGCTACAACTCCCATCATCCCTGACCACTGGTCCTGTTAGCTAGGAATGATGGGATTTGTAGTCCCAAAACATCTGGAGGGCCAAGTTTGCCTATGCCTGAGCTAGGCAGTGCTGCAGGTGCTCACAGCATGACTTTAGGTGGGAGCAGCCAGAGAGAGGTGGTCACTGCTCACAGGTGCAGAACAGATGCTTGTCCCTCATGCCACTGGCAACTAGGAGGGCCACCCATTTAGCAGCTAGGTACCTGCATGGTGCTCTCTGTGGGGAGCCTGCCGCCCCCGGCTACCTCCTGGAAAAGAAAGGTAAAGTCGGGGACGCCTTTCCCCACAACTTGGCAGCCACCCAGTGAACCACAGCACCGGCCATCACTGATGTTCGGTTACTGCTCTTGCCGGCTCCTTATTGAGGAAAAGCAAACTGTGCTGCTTGCCTTAGCTGGCAGACTGCTGACCGCTTTCTCCCTAACCGAACTGGATTATGGCACTGAGGGGCTAGTCTTCTGACCCCTGGGCAAGATACAGTGGTACCTCGGGTTACATATGCTTCAGGTTACATACGCTTCAGGTTACAGACTCTGCTAACCCAGAGATAGTACCTCGGGTTAAGAACTTTGCTTCAGGTTGAGAACAGAAATCATGCTCCAGCGGCGCGGTGCAGCAGGACACCCCATTAGCTAAAGTGGTGCTTCAGGTTAAGAACAGTTTCAGGTTAAGAATGGACCTCTGGAACGAATTAAGTACTTAACCCGAGGTACCACTGTATAGCCTGTCTCTAGGTGGGGCAGGCCACCAAGGCCAGGAAAAGCAAGGAAAGAAAATCAGCATTAAGTTGCATTGCCCCTCCCTCCCTCATTTGCCTCCACTGAACTGCTTCACTTTCTTTCTGTCTTCTAATTGGACAGGAAGGAGTCAGGAAGAACGGTGAAGCAGCAATGCCGATGGCAAGGCAGAAGCAACCAAAGCTGCCTTGAAGCTGAGCACAGAAGCAGTGCAACGCCATCACTTCTTACAGGAAGCTGGCCTGCCTTACTTGTTGCAGTTGCAACAAACAGAAGGTTGGTCTGCCAACCGCCGCGGGCAGGGGTTGCATTGTATCTTGGGTGGGACAGTAGCAGTGGCAGCTGCCCTACACTTTGCCTGGTCCCTCAGACCAGCAGTCAGGTGGTGGGCGAACCGGCTTGCCTGCCTTGTCTCCCTCTGCTGGTGGAGAGGGAAGGAAGGGCTCAGCTCACCTCCAGCTGAGCCAAGTTTTGTGTGCATGTTTCCTTGCTTAAGAAAGCTCCTGTGTTGCTATAGCCACTGCCACTTGCACACAGTCTAACTGCTCACTCTCCCGACTCAAGTGGCTTCCTTTCCCCCCTCTTGACAAGGAGCACAATGGGATCCATGGGTTCTCCCCCCCTCCTTTTGCCTCAACAATTCCCTTCCTCCAGTGCCTGCTGCTCTACCCTTCCACCAGCCTCCCACGTTTTCGCTACTCGCCTCAGCGTGTTGCGCTGAGAGAGAACGTTCCCTGGCAGCCTCTTCCTTTCCCCCAAATTGTTTACCCCCTCCCCGACTCCCCAGCCAGCAATTGTGGTGGATAACAGAGAGCTGATTTCCTGAAATCCTGGGGGTGCTGAGTTGCTTGCTTAAAATACAAAAGAAGGCCCTGACTTCCTTCTCCCTTTGTTCCACATACACACTTTTCAATAAAACCCTGTGCAAGCTCACTCAAAAAGCAGCATGCAGCATGGGTAGGCTCAGGCTGTGCAAGTAATTCCACAGAGGCACATGCAGCAAAAATGAAGGGATGAGAGAGGTGCCAGAGTGTGCATAAGCTGTTAAGATACGCTGTATACCTCATGTCTGGACCACCACCTCAGTTCATTGGCTTTTAGGGGGCCAAGCTGTACATCACAGGCTCTACTAACATTCCCCTAAAACCAAACTGTGCATGTTTAGAGGTACCACGCGCAATGACTTTTGGGTGGTGGGAGGTACCCCTGGCTGTTCTTGCCACTGTCACGTGTCACCCCTTCACTGAAATTCTAGGGCTGCAATCCTATTAATGCTTACTTGGGAGTACGTTTCCTCAAAAGACTTTCAAATAAATGTGCTTTAGGACTGCACTGCGGAACCCTTTGACCAGGTTCAGGTTTGTGCAGTGCATATTACCCCGTGCCGCAGAGATTTAAAAACACAAGTATAAATGTGAGAAGGCTGCTTGAGAACCACCTCAAGAGGACACGGAGAGCGCAACTACAGACGGGCCCGAAGAAAAGAACCGTGAAGTCAAAACCGACTTCTGACGGCCTACTCGAATATTATGTTTTTTGTGCACTGCCACAAATGCAATGCGTGAACGAGACAAGCGTGGATTTAGAAACAGGAGTATCACACAGGGACACTCAGCACAAAGCTAGCATGGGCTGGAGTGTATGCTTTTGTTTGGGAACTGCAAAGCAACAGTTCCCTCCCCCCCCCCTAGCTCCCCCCCTCACCTTTCCTGAGAGGCTGCTTGCGGTTGAAGGTCTGTGGGACAACCAGGAACTGGCTCTCACCCAGGGGCTCCCAGAACTGGAGGAGTCGGATGGTCCACACACCTGGGCGAAGAGGCCGGTTGAGGGGAGGCTTGTACTGCGTGAATTCTGCCTCTGTGTCCACTGCAATGTCGTAGGAGGTGGCAATGACATAGGTGGGGTCAATCCAAACGACGGTGGCTGTGAGGTTGGGGCCCCGGGCCCATTTCTGCATGGCCACCGGCTCATCAAAAGGTCCAATCAAGCCACCAAAATTGCGGAAGATCCTCTCTTTTGGGTCCCACTCGGTACCTACCTGCGGGAGGGAAGGAGAGGAACACTCAGAATGGGAAACACCACACACACACACTATGGGATAATTAATAAACTCGTTTTTCATCATGCTATGGTAGACTCTCCAACAGCCAGATATAACACTTAGAACCTGCCCCAAAGCGAGGGCTTGGGCCAACAATGGTTGTACAGTAGACGTTCAGGTTGTGAACGTGATCCGTGCAGGATGCACTTTTGCAACCCGCAGCATTCGCAACCCGCAGCAGCGCAACTGCGCACGCACGGGTTGCAATTCGGTGCTTCTGTGCATGCACAAAGTGCGATTTAGCGCCTCTGCACATGCGCGTCCGCCGAAACCCGGAAGTAACCCATTCCAGTACTTCTGGGTTTCGGAGGGTCCGTAACCTGAAAAAACGCAACCTGAAGCACCTGTAACCCAAGGTATGGCTGTACTAAGAAGTTTACAAAAGACCAAAAGACACCGGAATATTTTCCAGAAATGGGCAACCAAAACAATCAAAGGGGTGCAAGAGCTTCCCTATGAGGAAAGCTTACAATATTTGTGTCTTTTGTTGTTGCTGTTGTTCTGAGAAGAGGGGGTGTGTGTGTGTGTGTGTGTATAACATTAATTTTTTCAAAGCATTTTCTGTGTGCCGCTTTTATCCATCTGCACAACTGCAGCAGAAAGACACTCACAGAAGAAATTAGCGTGACTGACTGTTGCTTCCTGTGAGGAAGGAAGATGAGGGAGGGACCTGGAGGATGAGAGGGGCAGCCCATCTTATTATCACCTCTTGTGCTGATTTGATTAAGCTGCCTTTCCTATCTATGACTTTTTAGAAGTCCGACTGTTGCAGTTGAACCTCTGTATATATTAAAGGTGTATAAAATTATACAGGGTGTAGAGAAAGCAGACAGAGTAAAGTTTTTCCTTTCTCTCTTATAATACTAGAACTCAAGGGCATCCAATGGAAGTTGACTGTTGGGAAATTACTGGACGAGGCTGCTACCTTTTGAAGAAAGGACTTCCCCTATAATGAACGACCTGAAGCTGCTGCAAACCCTGAGGCTACAGTGCACTCTGGCGCTTACTCAGCAGAATCAACCCACCCATGGTCTCGGCCTACCCTTCTTTTTTAAGACTGGAATGTTGCCGAGACAGAAACTAACTTCTTTTTTGTATCTCCCCATCTTCAAGTTGACAGTTTTGAGCCAGGAAGGACCACCAACAGGAAGCAGGAAGCCTACCTCAAGGTTCTGCAGACGGTTGGCCTGCCTGCTGCGGCCTGCTAGCTTGAGAGTCCCTCGGGGCATCACCCACATTTCCAGAGACTCCACCTGCTGCGACGCAGGGTTTTGTACTTCCTGAGTCACCAAGTAGCCCTGGAAATGGTCATCGTAGAAGTACAGGTGCACACTGGACGGGAAGCCCTGTGGCTCAAACCTAGAGAGAGGAAGCAAAGAAGAGCAAGTTAACATTTGCATTTCGAGGTAAAGTGGCAAACCTCCAAGTCTGCAGGCCTAATTTGGACAACACTGCTTCCCCATTTGGTACACACTTCCTGATTTGTAATTCTGTTTCTTAACCCGTCTGCTCCCCTGGCTCTCAAAACAGCCATAGTAACTTCTCAGAGTCGGAAGACACAGACACTAGTCCTACACCTTTTAATCCAGGAGAACTATCAGACTGATCCCATTTTCCTGCAGGCCATCAGCTGATGAGACCTTACCTGTCCCCTTGTGCCTCTCATTTCCCTGGACACCCACTGCCATATAAAACATATGATCTGTCTAACTCAGTACTGTCTATTTTCACTGCCCTTCTCCAGTCATACTTGTCATGGAATTCTACTCAATATTGATCCAGAGTAGATTCCAATGTATAGTTAGCAGAGTAAAACTTAAAACACGTTGCAGGATTCCCTCCAAAATAGACCAGAGGCAATTATATTTCATGCAGCAGAGCTTTACTGCTACTGAAGGCAAATGAGCATAATGGTTATAAATACAATACATTCAGGATTGGCACTGTCCATAAGAAATCCAGTTGCAGCAGACTTAAATTAAACTTACAGTAAATCTAAACCTTAACACTAAGCATACAGAACACCACACCAGAAGGAAAAGAGATAGAAAGAGAAGAAGAGTGGAACTCGGGCTCCTTCTGGCCTCCTATTATAGTCAGCATGACCTTGACAGAAGAGATAACAGAACCAGTTTAAGCCAGCTGTACTCAGCTTATCTGAAGGTATAACCCAAACACCAGGAACCTTCTGCTTGCTTCTTTCACACAGAGAAGCTTCCAGAACCCTCTTGAATTAAGTAGAATAGGAAATATCTCTGCACATTGGATCAATACTTTCTGTAAATGCAAACTGACAATACTACCCTGAGGACCTTTTGAAAGGAGATACCAGGGCTTGAACCTTCAGGTTTCCTGCTTGCTCCTGCTATCTAGTCCAGCAACCTGTTCTTATAGTGACTCTATCCCAAGCAGGCACACTCCCCACTTGCAATTCCAAACAACTGGCCTTCAGAGGCATATTGCTGTTGACGTTCGGCCCATCTCCAAAGGCGCAGAGTGCCACACGCTGCTGTGGGAGCAGAGAGTCAAGCCAAGAAGAAGGCGGCCCAGGAGTCTGCAGACAAAAGCTCTCCTAACTGGCCACAGAATGTAACTCCCTGCTACTACTACTACTATTATCATCATCAGTCAATCAGCCCGAATTACCTGCAAAGCTTCTCCTCTTTCTGTGCCTGCGCAGATGTCACTTTCCGCAGCCCCAGCCTGGAGAAGGATGTGTACACAGTCAGGGTGACGTCGCTGAGCCCACTCAGCCCATCCACGCGGTCATAGACACTCTCCCAATAGGCCTTGAGGGCTGGTGTGTTAGGTGGGTAGTTACCGTAGAGATGCGAGTCCAAGATCTCCAGCACCTCCTGGTTGATCGTGGATTCGAACTTCCTGGCAAAGAAGGTGGGTCTGGAGATTTGCTGAAAAGACACACAGACGTTGGGAGGAGGAGGGTGTGTGTTTTACAACATGATTCAGGCTCAAATCTGCAATGTGCAGAAAAGAAACATGCTAGAAATAAGACTACGAGGAGAGGACATGGGGGGCTGGGGGGAGAAGCGGAGGAAATCTAACCAAATAAATCTCCTTTACTTGACCCACACACAAAGATTCCATGTGAAAGGTGGAAGTGAATACAAAATGCATACACCTGTACCCTATCGCTGATACAATTTGGGTTTCTAGGAACCCTGCCTGGTTGCAGAATCCTGTCTTTTTTTTTGAAGAGGTGGTGATTGGGCAAAATAGCTAAGAGCAGAAGCAGCTCTTTTAAAGAGGTGGTGGGGAGTCAGTCCTCAACGTGTTGCTGTTGCTGCACGACCCAAGACTGCATCTGGATCTGAGCCTTCAGAGATTTAGGTCAGTAGGTACACCCACGAGGTCCTAACTCCCGCTTGAACCCGTTAACCGCAAAGACCGCAAGTGCCAGGGTCCTACTGGAAAGCAGTCCTTGTAAAACAGCTATAGAAACTGACTTGAAATAACATTTTCAGCCAGGAGGCACAACTCTGAAGCCACTGTTAACCCTACGACCTCACCTTTCACTTTGCTTATTCAGGTCGCTGCTGCTGCACCAGTTTGGCTCATAGGCTCTGAACAGGCCCATCAGAAGGGAGCCAAACTTGCGGGGTCTGTTTTTGAGACACTCAACAGGAGCATCGTGTTACGGTAAGCTCACCAGAGATTAATTCTGGCTCTGATGTTGGATGCTGGTCAAGGCCTCTGAACTTGTGTAATCTACTCTCACATTTAAATTCTGTGCCACCCCCTTCTCCTTGTGCCCCTGCACTATCTTCCTCTCATACTTCATGCCAATTACAAGGTTCAAGTGCTCAGCATGAAAACTCTCCACCTGCCTGCACATGCCCTTCATTCCCCTCAAGCTCACTTTCTGTCACTCCCAATGTTTCCTTCCCCACCCCCACCTCTCTCTCTAAATGCCCATCTGCCACGTGCTTCAGCAACCCTCCACAATTCAGCCCCTTTCCTTTTTCACTTTTAAAAAACCAAGCCACCCAAAGTTTCACCTTCCCATTGCAATTAGATGCTCTCTTCACCACTCGCTGTCAGTCTTGGCTCCAGAGATTGCATTCCAATGGTAGGCAGGGCCAGAGGCAAAAAGGGGTGGTAGAAAGGGGCTCGCATGCAGCATTTGAAATTAGCCAGGCGCATTTTGCACCTGGCTATTGGTCAATTCCGACCAAGTGAAGATGCCTGGGTGCCAGGACAGCACCTGGGGTGTCCATCATCTGGAGGTGAATACCTTAGGTTCCTTGGATCTTGGATTGTTTTCACACACTAGAAACAGATCCTGCAGAATTTTATCCATTATATTTTATCTGCACAGTCAGAATGAATTTTAGGAACCAAAAAGTCATATTGAAAAATGGCAACTCGGCATTCTGTTTTGGCGACTGTAACCTTGGTTAAAGGAGCCATTTGGCACCTAGCTTATATATGAGAGCCAGTGTGGTGTACTGGTTAAAAGTGATAGACTTGTAATCTGGTGAACCGGGTTCGCGTCTCTGCTCCCCCACATGCAGCTGCTGGGTGACCTTGGGCTAGTCCCACTTCTCTGAAGTCTCTCAGCCTCACTCACCTCACAGAGTGTTGTGAGGGAGGAAGGGAAAGGAGATTGTTAGCTGTTTTGAGACTCCTTAGGGTAGTGATAAAGCAGGATATCAAATCCAAACTCCAAATCCAAATTAGGACCGCAGGCTGGATGTCTCTCCCCACTGCTGCTACAAGCACTCTAGATACAACAGTGGCAGTAAGCAGCACCACTTTAGAAGTACTAATTCAGAGCAACCAGTACAATGAAGCCCATGGATGGGAGAGAAGCTGAGTTACTTTGATTACTGCAGAAGAGGAATAGGGGAGACAAATCAACTCTTGAGAGCAGGAGTGAAACCTAATTGCGGAAGAGTGAAAGAGAGAGGGGGAGGGAGAAACGGGGGAACGCTTGGGGCACCTGTAGCCGCAGGAAGTCCTGTGGCTTGAAGTCATTCGGGGAGCAGCCGCACCAGTCCACTATGTGTTTATACTGGCATTTGCAGCCCAGCTTGCGGTTCCAGTTTGTCACCCGGAGGTTGTTGTCTACAAGGGTCTCACAGGCGTGGCTGTTCTCCAGGACAGTATGGAAGAAGGACTGTAAACAGAGAGAGAGAGAGAAGAGGGAAGGAAGGAGGAAGAAGAACCACAGTGAGCAATGTGGCAACCCGCTCAACGCCAAACTAACTGGGGAGCAACAAAATCGGAGATGCCAGCCAACTCACCTCTGCTGGGAGAAGCGTGTAGGTGTAGAACTGCCGTAGCTGGGAGACCAGCCGGTCATTGGTATAGACCACGTATTCCACAAAGCTTCGAGTGAGGGCGAACCAATCCGAGCCGCCGTCCACCACGATGCCCTCTGGGATCTGCCGTTCGCCCAGCCGCCACATGTGAGAGTCGCATTCGTGGAAAAGTCTGTCTAGGCCCTGCTTCTTGATGAACCTGTGCAGGGATGAATGCCTCAGATTCACTAGAAAGCAACGTGGAGTTTTCTGCATTAAGATCAGAGCAAGAAGGGTTCTGTAGAATGCTATACTCTTAACTCTGGGTTCCACAGCCAGGAAACGCCAAACATTCTGCATAATTACATTTGCTTTGCTTAATTCATCACTAAAAGCACTTTTCATGAAGTAACAGCCTCTCTGGTTTTCTGCAGAGACATCAGCCTGGCTCTGGTCATCTACTATATCAGAGGTTTTCAACCTTTTGGGATCCATGGCTCCCTTGACCAACTACGTACTTTCTGCGGCACCCCTGTGGACCCCAGTTACATAACCCCTTGCCTGCAGAACCAGCAGCTCTTTACCCTTTTTCGAACACCCTCCCTTGTGGAGTGTTCTTCTCTTCTTCCCTCTCCTTGGGAGTCCTCTGGGCAGCTGCCCCTGGTCTCTGAGCTGCCCCCCTGCCCCAAAGAGAGGTGCCTCCTCACACTGCCCCACAGCGGTCTGGGAAGCACCCCATGGCCAGCCCCAGAGGCACTATTCGCTTGGAGAGCTTGTAGCCAGGGCTGCCGCAACAAACAGCTATGCAAGCCTTTGGGAGGCAGAAACGTGAGAGGGCATCAGAGGAGGGAGGGAAGGAGAGAGGGACAGAGGCCGGTGTTGCTTGTGGCACCTCTGACCACCATTCAAGGCACCCCAGGGTGCCTTGGCACACTGGTTGAAAACCACTGTACTAGATCATTGGTGGGGAACTTGGTTCCTGGGACTACAACTCCAGCCTCCCTTGACCCTTGCTCAAGCTCTGGCCTACCTCTTAGTGCAAACACAAGCCACTGAGCCTGAGCTTCCACCCACCATGAACCGCCATTGGCAGGACTAGCAGCAACGGCAGCAGATATGCCCTATGCTTATATTTTATTCCATTCTCAGTTATGCTGTTTTTAATGCGCATTTTAATATTTGACTTCTTTTAGTAAAGCTTTCTTTGGAAATGTTTTAAGATTTTGTTGTTGTTTACTTTGCTGCATTAAATGCGCATTCTGTAGTTGACTTTCTTTGCCATGTTTTATTCTGAAATCTTTTACTACAGTAATGTAGTTTCCTGTTAAAATACATTGCTTGGAATGTATACTTTATACAGCCGTACCTTGGTTTTCAAACAGCTTAGTTCTTGGGCGTTTTGGCTCCTGAATGCCGCAAACCCGGAAGTGCGTGTTCCGGTTTGCGAACTATTTTTGGAAGCCGAACGTCCAACGGGGCTTCTAATTGGCTGCAGGAGAATCATGCAGCCAATCCGAAAACGCGCTTTGGTTTCCGAACGTTTTGGAAGTCAAACAGACTTCCGGGATGGATGCTGTTCAACTTCCGAGGAATGACTGTATTTGACTTTCTTCAGCAATGTTTTCTTCTGGATTGTTTTATTTGCTGTTTTAATGTGTTGCAAGCCGCTTTGAGGCTTTTTCTTTAAAAATATACAGCGGTATAGAAATTAAATGAGTAACAACAACAACAATAATAATAATGCTGGCTGGGGCTGCTGGGAGCTGGAGTTCAACAGCCGGAAAGTTGCAGAACAGTCACTCCTGTTCAGGAAAGAGGCTTCCACAGCTGCCATGATTCTGCCAACACTTTCCCTTCAAGGTATAGGAGGAGCCTCTTAGGCAGCAGTCAGGGAGCAGCAAATGAAACTGGCAGCAGAGTTGCCAAAAAAACCCACACAAAGATAAACTGAGGAGAAGACTATGAGAAGTTTTCAGATTATTCACTTACAGCAGAAACATCTTATCTACAACCTTTGCACTGTAATGGATTTCCGTTGTTTTGGGTTGCAGCTAGAGTTGTGATAGGAGCAGTGGGAGGACAGCGATCAGGAACAAGGTGAACGCACAGTTTTGTTCCAGCAGAAGGCCCAATAAAGATTCCTTTAACTTTTCCAAACCTTTGGGCAAACCCCCATTCTCACCACCACCTCCACCCCGTTCATGGTTCATTTTTAACTTCCTCCCCATGCTGTCTCTCAATCGAGGGAATTACCTGGCATTATCTCGGCCATGAGACTTCAGGAAATTCTTGTCTCGGTGTTTCGACAGGAATGTCACCAGCTCCTCGTTGGTCCTGCAGGTGGCAGCAATTCAAAGGAAGAATTAAAACAACCAAAGCAGGGGTTCAGTGGCAAGACTAGAGGGCTTTTCAGATAAGTCAATTACAGTACGATGAAGTGGGGAGGGGAAATCATGGAGGCAAGTGCTGCCCCAACCTATCTGCATCTGTCTGAAGAGAGCCTGCACACAACAATATATGTCCGGCTTCTTCCCACATTATCGAAATCCCTGTTTTACCAAGTTCCCCTCATGGAGAAAGCCCTGCACTCATCCCACCCCCCTTAGGTTCCCTTTCAACTCTATAATTCTATGATGTATATGAATTTTCAAAAAGAGAACAGCAGGACAGGAAATACGACGCAGCTTCTGCAAGAAGAGAGAATGCAGCGCTTATGTTTTAGTGATGAAGCCATCCAGTGTCTTTTGGAAAGCCTTTGTCTAGTAATATGAATCTGCCTGGGCAAAAGAGGAAAGAACTAACTGGTGAAGCCCATACACTTCAGTGGTGCAATGTTTAAGAGTAAAGGATCAGGGCAGTTTGAGACTTGTCAGGCTCTTTGTTAATGGATAAAAAAGTGGCAGCTTTTAAGCTCTCAAGGTATTCTTTGAAGAGCAGAAACTCCAATGCGGCCTAATGCAAAAGCAAAAAACCGAGTTATTATTTGTGGTCAGCCACTGTCTAAACCAAGTATAGGGGAAATAACATTCGGAATTGTTAAAAGAACTAACGGACTCTCTCTCCTCCATCATAAAAAGAATTGCAAAGGGGAGCACTTTCCCGCAAGTTTGTTGCAGAAGTTAATCATAACAAGTTTGCAAGGGCTGCTGCCTCGAACCCAAGAGACCCAGATATGCCAAGTAACAAACGCTTGGTATAAAAATGACAGCAGGGGGTCCTACACCAATTTTTATTTTTTCGCTCCACGTATATTCCCTCTTAATCTGGTACAAACTGTTTCCAGACAGGCTAGGCGCTGCAGCTGAGGGACCCTGGACCAGAAGGTCTCAGGTTCAATCCTTAGAATCTCCAGGCAAGGCAGGTAGAGATCCCACCTATAATCCTGGGGAGCCGTTGCCAGTAGATGTAGATAATACTGAACTAAATGGACCAATAGTCAGTACAGTGGTACCTCTACTTACGTTCACCTCCGGTTACGGATCCTTCGGCATACGTATGCGGCAAACCCGGAAGTATTTTTCTGGGTTTCGCCGTGCACACATGCACAGAAGTGCTCTACGAACCGTGCGCATGTGCAGAAGCGCTAAACCGCACTGCGCAAATGCACAGAAGTGGCACCTCCAGATACGCACACCTTAAGATCCGACCGGAGCTCTGGAACGGATCCCGCCTGCAACCGGAGGTACCACTGCACAAAGCAGCTCCCTATATTCCTGGCCCTGAATAGTATGGCAGTTCCACTGTTCTCAGTGTCTCATTTAAAGTCAACAGTTGTTTTGCACAAACACAATAATTCATGCCTCCAACACTCAGAGAAGTGATTTTGTTTCAGAAACCTTCAGAAGCAGCCAAGATCTGAAAATCTGGGTTAATTGCCCTGCATCCTAGCCAAACCCTACTCTATTCCCATTACTGGGTCTCCTTCACTCAGTCTCCCTAATTTATTAAAAGGGTGTTTCCTTGTCCTGCCTCCCTCAAGATGTGGCATCCTGCTTGCCTTCTTTCCCATTTTCCAACATGCAAACTCTCTCCCACCAACTGCTCAGGTGAGGCTATAGAAGGTGAGGAGCCTCCAACTCTAAGCCATGGTGTTTGAGTAGTCAAAGCCTCAGCTGACCTTGCAGGTAATTCCCTGTTCTGCTTCCTCCCACGCCCGCTCTCCCCACAACAAACCTGGTAGGGTAGTCTGTGGCACTCAAGTTGATGAAGTAGTCCCAGGCCCAGTCTGCCATCTCCAGCAAGTCTTTCATGCTGCGCAGGTACATCTTCAGCAAGCTGGCGCCACCCCAGATAGTGACCATGCGCCAAGGGGTGACCCGGATGTTGGGATAGTGCTGGGCCAACTCCACCACTTCGCGGTGCAGGTAGGTGGAGCGCTGAAAGGGGACAGAACCAAGTTTGAGTCCCAGGGGGAGGAGCATTGCTTCATTTGGTCCATTCCTTCCTTCCTAGAAGGAGCTCTTTGAAAAATGTGTAGTAGTGCACCTTGCTATTCTGGGAGGACCTTGGAAGAAACGTGACGGTGTCTGCTTTCATTTGCAAGATTTCTGCTCCTTTATGATTGCACACACCTCTAACATTTCCCTTTGTTTGTGCCAGGGGACCTAAGGGAAGGGATCTTGCAATGGACTATCTATCTATCTATCTATCTATCTATCTACACACACACACACACACACACACAAATTTAAATTTTCTGTTTTACAATTTAGAATACTCATTTAAACATCCTTAAAATATCAATGACTTCCCTTCTTCTCTTTCCATGGTTCATTTTGCATATCGTAAGTCCCTGCATATTTTACATAAACCAAAACATTCAGTATTCCATTATTACATCCATCAAAACTTATTTACACTGTTGAATTTATCTTAATGCTGCCAATGTTTTCAAGTGTACACAATCTCCCCCCATACATTCAATAAACCATTTTTCAATCTTCTCTAAACATATGTTCTTCTTGTTCTCTTATTCTATTTGTTAAGTCTGCAAGCTGCACATATTCCATCAGCTTAAGTTGCCATTCTTCTTTAGTTGGGACCTCACTCCTTTTCCATTTTGGGGCTAACAAAACACAGGCCGCATTAGTGGCGTACATAAATACCCTGCCCCCTTTTTTTGGCAACACGCTTCAATGAAGGCAGGAGTGACACATCTTCCTATCAGTACAGCCAGAGATAAGACAAGGGAGAGAATCTTTCACAGTGCCCAGAGAGAACTCAGGGGAAGGGGTGGCAGTCTCTGGGCTGTACAGCAGGGAGTGTTGTGCAGAGGGCAAGACACAATTTCTCCAGGTGACCTAGCAAGGAGACCTGTGGACTCTTGGTTTGTCCCATTCCTCCCGCCTCCCTCTCTCCTCTTAGTGCCAAGCTGTATTAGCACAGGCCAGGAGGCCACCTGCTTTACCTTATCCACATGGATGTAGAAGAAATGTTGCTGGTGATACACAGCCTTGATGAAGCGCTTCAGCTGACGGATGGCTCGCCCGTGAACGACCAGCATGTAGGCAATCCGAACTGGCTTGCTCACAGAGGCGTGGAGCATTCGGCTTTCATCCCACTGGATAATGGGGCTGACTTTCCCTGCAGAGATCAGAAGGGGTTGCAGATGGACTCAAGGTTATCTGAGCAGGAAGGGGGAGTGAAGAGGAGCTAGTGCACAAGCTCCTGAGGCCAAATGACCTTGAGGTCAGAAGAAAAGCTGCATTCCTACCCTGATCTCAGAAATACAGGGTGGAAGAATAACCTAAAGCAGCACATTTATACTGTCATCCAACTTGCAGCTGCAACATATCAGAAATAAATGTGCAACCCAGCACAGAGGAAGGCAAAAAAAAAGGGCACAACCATCTTTTTCTGTGTGCAAATCAGACCTAAGTCTGGGTAAAAACCAGCCAGGGATCGAACCTGGGACCTTCTGAATGCAAAGCAGATGCTCCACTCCTGAGCTAGTACAGCCCTTCCCAAATTACATGGCCCATGCCCCATTTAATTAAGGGGATTGTCAACTTCTCTCTTTGGCCATAGTGCAGTGGCAAGACAGCTGATTTGCACACAGGAGGCCTCAAGTTGTCTCCAGCTAAAAAGGATTCCAAGCATCTAGGTTGGGAAAGACCTGTGGTTTGTTCCGCTGCTAGTCAAAGTGTACAGACCCATGCTCTCACTCAGTGGGAGGCTGCTTCCATCGTATCTATGGGGCAATGGTCTGCTCAGCGACTGCGTTGGTGCCTGCAGAGGGTAAATGTCTCTATCCTGAGACAAGAGAACCACATAGCACCGAAGAAGCAACCTCTCTGCAAAGGTGAATTCAGGTCTCACCTGAAAGCTGGCACTGCCGGGGTACGGAGCGCGGCATAAGGTTCCCGGCTTGGTGCAGGCACACCACGTTGGCTATCTCCTGCTGGCACTGTTTGCTGCTGGCTCTGGCTAACGCAGACAAGGCGTCCTTGCCGGCAATCTCACACTTGGGAGTGAAGTTGTTCTCTGTGGGCTGGGGGGCCCCTTCCACGCTGCCCGTGTCCCCGTGCTGGAAGACGGCTAGCTGAGCATCCCCTCTGAGCTCCGTCAGGTTCCTTTGGCTCGAGGAGTCCAAGTAGACGGGGAACCGGCGCCCGGGTTTGTGCTTCCCCGTAACCGCTCTCACCACTTTGGCCACTAGGACTCCGGGGTTGTCTGGACGGCTCTTCCATCGCCCATGCTTCCGGCTCAAGCTGCCCCTGCGGCCTGCCGAGCTGTCCAAATCCTTGGACCCTTCCCCGTTCTGAAGCAGCTGGGCCTTCTTCTGCCGTCCCTTCTCCAGTTTCAATCACACACACACACAGAATAAAAATAAAAGAGGAAAAGAAGAATTAACTTCAAGGTTCATCTCCAAGCTACTTTGCAGCATTAAAAATGAAAGTTATCAGCACCCTTGCCATTTTCTAAAGGAGACAAGCTTTTTAATTAATGTACAAGAGTACATACATGCATCAATTCATCTTCCCAGGGAACTCTGGGAATAGTAGCTGTGTAAATATAGGGACGCAGGTGGCGCTGTGGGTTAAACCACGGAGCCTAGGACTTGCCGATCAGAAGATCGGCGGTTCGAATCCCTGCGACGGGGTGAGCTCCCGTTGCTCAGTCCCAGCTCCTGCCAACCTAGCAGTTCGAAAGCACGTCAAAGTGCAAGTAGATAAATAGGTACCACTCCAGCGGGAAGGTAAACGGTGTTTCCGTGTGCTGCTCTGGTTCGCCAGACCCGGAAGCTGTACACCGGCTCCCTCAGCCAATAAAGCGAGATGAGCGCCGCAACCCCAGAATCGGCCACGACTGGACCTAACGGTCAGGGGTTGCTTTACCTTTTTAAGGTGAATTCCCACTTCCTGGGATTCTTTGGGAGAAGCCATGACTGTTGCAAAGCGGTATAATACTGCTTAAAATGTACAGTGCAGATGCGGGCAATAGTTACACAGATAGTAACAAAGACGGCCGGTGCAGTGGAATGTCAGATAGAGTTAGGGAAACCTGGATTCAGATCACCACTCAGCTATGAAGCTAGATGGATTTACCCATTACTCTTTCCCCCAGCTGAACCTACCTCACAGGGTTGCTGCAAGGATAAAAAGACCAGGAATTGGGGGGTTGGAGAACCATATACACCACCTTGGTGTCCTTGAAAGAAAGGCGAGGTGTAAGAGCAAAAATAAATAAAAAAACACGTATTTCTCTATGTTCATGTGTCAAGAGAAATATTAGATTCACAGAATCTTGCAAGAGGCATACATTTACAATTCCAAAGAAAAATCTACCCCCTCTGCCATCCTACACGTTTTACTCCAAAGGAAGACCCACCAAGTTTAACAGGACTTAAACCCGTGTAAATGGACATTGGACTGCATAGGAACCTGTGACCAGATGTTGTTGGAACTACTACTCCCATTGCTACTGATCGCTGATCGTGCTGGTTGAGTTGACAGGACTTGGGAGTCCAACTTGGGAGAGCACAAATCCGCCATCTCTGTTCTACAGCTTTTCATTGGTTGGGATTCTTCACTCCATTCCATTCTGCCTCCCCCCGTTTTCCTCCCCTCCCCAACAAGCACTCAGCATTCTGTGGACACCGAGCATGCTCAGTCCACACTGCCACCATTTTTTGACCCCATGTGCTCTCTCTCTCTCTTCCTAAACATTTTCCTACTTCTGCAAACCTTGCGAGTGCCCCAGAGTGTGTATTCCTCCCCTCTTGTTTCTTCTTGGCTCCATAATTCTGGCTACGGTCCTACTGGCACTCAGCAGCTGAGTTCAGACAGAATGATTAAGCTTAGCTGATTTTAGATAACTATTAGCAGGCAAAAACAATCCCCCCCTCCAGTCCTCCTTCCCTATGGTTGTTGTTGTTTTAATCTGCTTTCGTTGTGGGTTAAAATACAGGTGCTTATCCACAAAACCACATTAGTCCTTTAAAAAAGAATATATCTATATAAATATAACTGTTTGCTCCCCCACCGTAACAACCATCCATTTCAAGAACATTTCTATTGTTCCTCAATCTACTTCTTTCTCTGGCAAGTATGCATTTCTCCCTTTCCATTATGAGAGCAAGCTTCTTCTTTCTTTAGTTGTGTTTCTTTTCTTTTTCCCTAAACAAGAACAAACTGCGTTCTCTTCCACAACAAGGCAAACTTCTCAGAAGTGAAATGGACTGTACCCAGCAGAACTTGTAGGTGGATCTGCAGAAAGGCACCCTGCTCCATTCGGCTTATGAGACATGGCGCAGCAAATGCATTCAAGACAAGAGGGACAAAGGTGACTTGCCCTCCCCACAAAGTTCCTCCTCCTCCCACCCCCCTTCTGCATTATGTTTGCGCAGCTTGCAAAGCACCCAAGCTGGATGGGGCTAGTCAAGGCTGCTTCTTTTGCTTTAAAGAAAGAATGCTCAGTATGCCGTCTTCCTCATGTCTGAACTCAACGGTTTAATTGGCTCACCCACATCCAGCTTCCAGACACATTGAGGCACTGAGAAGCTGTGCTGTTCTCCCCCCAATCCCCACCCAGCTGCCCATGTTGGTTCGCAGGCGCAGGCTTGTAAAAGTAATTTAAGAGACAGCAGAGCTGTCTGACTGGTTTAGCAATACCTTGGTAGATTCTAACATGCCAAGCTGAGCTATCTCTGACAAAAACAAAACAAAACCCCTCCTCACCTGAAGGAGTGTGAGCATCCTCTTTCACACAGGGAGCTTTGACTGAAATTTCCTCCCGCAGACATTTAGTTGTTAGGTGTTTCTCCCAAAAGGATGAGAGAATTTCCATCAGAAAAATCACTAGGATGTTTAGGGAAGCTTTTGATGTTTGATGCATTACTGTATTTTAACATTTTGTTGGAAGCTGCCCAGAGTGGCTAGGGAAGCCCAGCCAGATGCGGGGGGGTATAAATAATAAATTATTATTATTATTATTATTATTATTATTATTATTAGGAAAGGACCCTGAGTGAAAGGTCGATTATGACCACGCTCTACGTTCAACCAGAACCCTCTTCTTTTCAAGCTGAGCAGCTAGATAGAATAACAGAACTGCCAAGTTGGAAGGATCATCTAGTCCAGAGGTTTTCAACCTTTTTGAGTCAATGGCTTCCTTGACCAACTATGTTCTTTCTGCGGCACCCCTGTGGGGCTCAGGAACCCAGTTACATCACCCCTTGCTTGCAGAGCTGGCAGCATCTCACTCCTTTTCAAACACCCTCCCTTGTGGAGTGTTTCCTCAACCTCCTCTCCCCTCTCCTTGGGAGTCCTCTGCTGCCACCCCAGTCTCTGGGCTGCCCCCCTGCCCCCAAAAGAGGTGCCTCCTCACACTGCCCCACAGGGGCCTGGGACTTGTCTGTCCATTCCCAACAGCAAGGGCTGGTGGACTGGCTGGCTGGGCTCCCTCGCCCACTTGCTTGCTTACTCCAAGGCCGCCTCAGCTCCTGGCACCCAGCACCCCCTGATCAGCCCCAGAGGCACCATTTGCCTGCAGACCTTGTAGCCAGGGCTGCTGCAACTAACAGCTGTGCAAGCCTTTGGGAGGCAGAGACGTGACAAGGCATCAGAAGGGGGAGGGAAGGAAAGAGGGACAGAGGCCAGTACTGCCAGCGGCACCCCGACCATCATTCAAGGCACCCCAGGGTGCCAAAGCACATTGATTGGAAACCACTAATCTAGTCCAAACTCCTGCAATTCAGGAATATATAGCTGTCCCATATGGGGCCTGAACCTGAGACTCTGGTGTTATCACCACCAAGCTCAAACCAATTGAGCTATCTCAGTGCACATAGGGGCAGGGAAGCTTTTAATGTTTGACGGATTAGTGTATTGTAATATTTTGTTGGAAGCCGCCCAGAGTAGCTGGGAAAACCCAGCCAGATGGGTGGAGTATTATTATTATTATTATTATTATTATTATTATTCTGGAGGACACCACAATAGCTGCTATGTCCAACGCTATCAAGAGCAGGAGTGAGGACCTTTGGCACATTGGATGTTGCAGAACTACGACTCTCATCAGCCCCAGTAAGCACAACCAATGGCCTGGGATGATGGGAGTTGTAATTCAGCAGCTTCCGGAGAGCCACAGGTTCCTCACCCCTGATCTAGAGGACCAGTTTCCCCACTCCTACCGTAAATAATTAACAACCAGACCAGAGTCATAGCAGACAGCAGTTACCCCAGATGGGCCATCCTTTCTGATGCCCACCATCTCCAGGAAAAGTTCCTCACTTTTTAGACAAAGCAGGGGCTCTTATGCTAGCTCATAAGAAAGAACTCCCAACATTCATTTTGGGGCAGTGCCTTTGTGAGGACCGACCAAAATGTCACCAAAAGTAGTGGCAAAGTCTTCCGTCAGGCAAGATGTTATACAAAGCAGGTGGTCAGGGGACAACAAGAGAGTAGGGAAGGGGGGTGGGAGTTTTGAAGCTCTGCTTTCCAGGTGGCATTTAACTGCTAATGACACACAGAAGTATGAAAGGGGACCTACCAGCCATGAAGATGGTGAATGTTTCTTAAAACAGTCACTTTTCCACACACTTACCCATCTGGAAGGAAGTGCATTATGACTGCAGGGACAATGAGTGTGACAGTCTCTCTCACACACAATTTGCTATCTCCTAAGAGATGATTAATTTAGCATGCCTTTGAAGTGACCTTGCGATCAGTTCTGAATTTATAACTTGGGTTGCAGAATTATCCCCCCAAAAGGGGGGGGGGGAGATTTCCTCATCACAATAAGTCAGTTGAACCTGATTGAAACTAAATAGCTTCTATTAAGTAATCATCCTTGCAGAAACGAAGTATGAGAGAGGGAAAGAGGCTATTTTTTGATGCAGGGGAAGCCTGGCTGTGGGAAATTACCATGGTAGCCAGTGAAACAAGTCAGATGCTCTCCATTACAGTATTGGTCCCCCTCTATTTGTCAATTTTCATGCATATGGCATAGCAGCATGGCTGCACATGATCCTTTAGGTTAGACTAAGGATGGGGAACCTGTTGCTTGTCAGATGTTGTTGGATGGACTCCCAACTCCCAGCCAGGTGGCCAGTCATCAGGAATGATGGGAGTTGCAGCCCAGAAACATCTGGAGGGCCAAAGGTCCCCATCCCCGTACAGTGGTACCTCGGGTTAAGTACTTAATTCGTTCCAGAGGTCCGTTCTTAACCTGAAACTGTTCTTAACCTGAAGCACCACTTAGCTAATGGGGCCTCCTGCTGCTGCTGTGCCGCCAGAGCATGATTTCTGTTCTCATCCTGAAGCAAAGTTCTTAACCCGAGGTACTATTTCTGGGTTAGCGGAGTCTGTAACCTGAAGTGTATGTAACCCGAGGTACCACTGTATTAGAAAGTAAAAACTTCTCTGCCATTTGGGCCAAGTTCCTGTCTCTCTGCATTGCCCAGGGCTGGCTGTTTCAGTACTGAGAAAACCACAGATTAGAACAAGCAAGGAGTGATCAAATACCTCTTCCTTTCCCAAACCACTAGGTCTCTTTACTGCATCTCTTTACAATTATCAACTAATTGCCATGCATTGTCTATGTCTGCTTTGATTTCAACTGACAATGGATTTGTGACTCATTTCATACTTTTTGTTAAAAAACTCTCCCAAATGCATATCTAAAGAGGTCACTCATTTTATACATGTTGGTTTCCTTCACCGAATTTCTTCTGCCCATCTGCCACCCCAATGCTCCAGTTTAACTCAAGTGCCCCATGTGTTATTTCCCCATGGTTTCTTACTGCAGAGTGACCCACACGTTGTGCTCTGCTTGGAGGTGTTTCTCGACCATACAAAGACAAAATGCTTAAAGTGAAATCTGGGGGAGGCAATCTCTAAGACTATCATCAAAGGGTCAACTCTGAAGTACTTCAAGCGCTACGTACACAACATTCATGTGTAAAAATCAGAGCGCATTACTTGAACGTGTCAAGTCTCTTTAAAACCAAACATGACTTCTCCAGCAACTGCTTTCGCATGAAATACACCCTCCCCACTCTGAAGCGATGCAAACACTTGCAAAAGCAAGGATGCTAAACTGGAATAAACCCTCAGGCAAGTCGGTTCACATGAACGCAGCTTCAGAAGCAGTGTCATTTTAGATGTGAATCATCAGCAGGACCAGGGAATGAATACAATTATTTCCCATAACCTTAGTTAATGTTACACTGAATAACTGGTTAGGATGGCAAACAGTGCTCTTAAAGACTGCACTTTGGACGTGTGTGGGATGGCTGAATTCATCCCGCTTACCTCTAAATGACTACTTGAAGTCAAGGTGGTAAGATATTGAGCTGGTTACGCTTCCCTATTTGTGTAGCACACACTGTAATCCTGTAGCCAAGGGAGGCACAGTGGACCAAGGGTCAGGACTCTTAGGTTGCTACACAACCCTCAATTTCTCGATAACTGCTAACACAGAGAGCTTTATAAGGGAGGGAGTCCTACTGCTAAGGCCCAGCTGGGGTATTTGGTTCCACAGGTGGCCAATCTGTATTGGAGGGCAAGGAAATGGGGCCCCTAAAGGAATCCCCCTCTCAATAACCAGATGGTTGGGGTGGTCTTAAAACTCACAGATCCTGAAATGCACCCCCCAATGGAGACCAGGGAAAGGCTGGGAGAAAATCAACCAATTTAGGGTGACATGTTTATTGAGAATTCAGCCTGATTTCGAGAGTGAGGGGGGGGGAGGGGAGAGATGGAAGGTACCCAAGGGGCATCTAGTACAACCCTCTGCAATGCAGGAATCTCAGCTAAAGCACAATGACTGATGGCCATCCAACCTCTGCTTAAAAACCTCCCAGGAAGGAGAGTCCACCACCTCTTGTGCGAGTCTTTCCACTGCCGAACAGCTCTTACTGTCAGAAAGTTTTTTTGAATGATTAGTCAGAATCTCCTTTCTTCTACCTTGAAGCCATTGCCTCAAGTCTTACCCTAAAGGGCAGGAGAAAACAAACATGTGACAAGGCATCCCTCTTCCATGTGACAGGCCTTAAGATATTTGAATATGGCTATCCTATCTCCTCTCAGTCTCCTCTTTCCCAGGCTAAACATATCCAGCTCCTTCAAGCACTCCTCATAAGACTTCGTTTCCAGAGCCTTGATCATCTTGGTTGCCCTCCTCTGCACACGTTCCAACTTGTCAACATCCTTCTTAAATTGTGAAGCCCAGAACTGGACACAGTATTCCAAGTGTGGTCTGACCAAGGCAAAATTGAGTGGTACTATTCCTTCCCTTGATCTGGACACCATATTTCTGTTGATGCTGCCTAGAATAGCACTAGCTTTGCTTTTTTGCTGCTGCATCACACCGTTGACTCATGTTAAGCTTGTGGTCCACCAAGACCCCTAGATCCTTTTCGCACATGCTGCTAGTAAGCCAGGTGTCCCCCATCCTATATTTGTGCAGCTGATTCTTCCTTCGTAAGTGCAGAACATTACATCTGTCCCTATTGAAATTCATTTTCATTTTGACATTGTGTCAAAGCAAGCAATACTCCACACTCTCCAGTGGATTTCCATCCTTTACTTATTACAGAAAGTCTGACTTTTGTGGGGACCTCCAAAGCAACTGTAATTCTGGAATCACCCCTAGATGAATGTACTGCAGAAGCAGTAATGTTGGTCTATTAAGAAATTATAATAATAGGATGCTGACCAACCTGGACTCTGGGCTTTCACACTAACTAGCTTTTCTGATTTCCACATATGCCTTGCTGGTTAGCAATCAACCCAGTCAGTCAACTTCTGCCATGCTTTTTTACCAGCAGTTCTGGTTTTTTGTTTGGAACAGACTAAACACAAGCAAAGTCCTTTTGGAAAAAGAAAAAACCCACAACTTCCCCTGGTTTCCTCTTCAAGCATGCATCCTAGAGAGAGAGAGAGAGAGAGAGAGAGAGGCCAGAACGGGCAGAGATAACAGCTCATTAGTCACCAGGCAAAGCCATCTGTTCAGGGACTTATAAATCTGTTTTCTCCACTATGAAGGTGAGAGCTGAGGAGGGAGGCTGGCAAACAACTGAAGTTTTGCTCTCTACTCAGATACAAACATCCTGCCAGGGGCAGCCAGGCACCTCCGTGAGGAAGGAAATGCTTGCATCCTTTTGGAAAGGATGGTGCTCGCCTTCAATCTTCGGAGGAACACATGCTTCAGAAGTCTGCAGCCCAGGATATTTTCTCCCTGCCTGCCTGCCCTCTCTGGAGCAAAGGGGTTTTGTTTACTCGGAGAGCTGAACTCCCGGCAGCACGGAGGCAAGTGTCTCTGCTCCTTTCCAGCACATTGCCCTCTCACAGTCAAGCCCACTGCATCGTACTTCCAAATGAAGACACCCCTAGAGACAAATACGTTTTCCTCACCTCGCACATCCTGGAAGAGAAAGAGAGAGTGACGAGACAAGGAAGGTGAGACAGGCTGCCAGAACACCTGTCTGCTGCTCCCCCCTTCCACAATGTGCACGGCTGAGCATTAAGAATGGGCCTCCTAAGTGGTGGCTGTTGCTGGCAGATCCATCTCTCCCAGAAGGAGCTCTTAATCTAGCCTGTGACAGGTGAGAAGGCATCCCTCCTCTCCCTCTCCTTCCTTCAGCTGCCAGTTAATGAACTCAGTGGCTCCTAATTGCTGCACGGTGCCAGAGCAATCCCTTCTGTTCGACCCACGGAGGAAAGAAAATAAATTACTCCCAACTTCTGTTTAACACTTCGGCAGACCTTTTTGGCAAAGTCTCTGCTTGCATGGATTCCCCGCTGCTCGTCGGGACAGGCGCTCTTATATTTCCAGACTCTCGTCGCCATGTTGCTTCATCTCCACCATTTGCGCTTGCTGGTAAAACCAACAGATTATCACGGGAGCTTTCAAGACAGCCCGTACTTCCAGGAGATATACAAAACAGGCTATCTTCTGCATCCGGGTAGTACTCTGCCACACTGCCTGCATCGCTGCAAGTCACAGCCCAAATTTTCACAGGTCTTTGGGATTACTTTATTGTGGATTTGACCACTCAACATCAAAATAGGTTTGTTACAGAGTACCAAACATGCATGTAGAGCTTAATCGGTCAGCTACCTTCTAACAAAGTGGTAACCAATACGGCACCCTTTGGATGTTTGTTTGACTACAGCTCCCATTCAGAGACAGTGGAGAAAGCCAGAGATACACTTCATGAGTTTTGGGGTGAAAGCGGAACATACCCAAATACAACCAAAACAGCAGGAGATTAAGATCCACTGTGATTTTTTTAAAAAACAACAACTGGGGTTTTTAAAAAAAAAATGATGCAGCCTGTGGAAGAAAATAAAGAGATGCAACTGGTACCCAGAACAGAAATACATTAGTAGAGACTGGGGATAGGCAAAGGGGGTGGAAATAAGCCAGGCTGGTTCTGGAGCAGGACCCTGAGGTCACCGACAGATGACATAGTCTAGGGGCTGGGATGGTGAACCTACGGCACAGACCAGGCAAGGGACACGAGTAGTGCTGTGGTCTAAACCACTGAGCCTCTTGGGCTTTCCGATTGGAAGGCTGACGGTTTGAATCCACATTACGGAGTGAGCTCCTATTGCTCTGTCCCAGCTCCTGCCAACCTAGCAGTTTGAAAGCACACCAGTGCAAGTAGATAAATAGGTACCACTGTGGCGGGAAGGTAAACGGTGTTTTCGTGCACTCTCGCTTCTATCACTTTGGTCTGTTGCACCAGAAGCGGTTTAGTTATGCTGGCCACATGACCCAGAAAGCTGTCTGTGGACAAACACCGGCTCCCTCAGCCTGAAGCGAGATGAGCGCCGCAACCCCAGAGTCGCCTTTGACTGGACTTAAATGTTGAGGGGTCCTTTACCTTTTTACCTTACAGACCAGGCTCATCAAGCTGCTTTAAGTGGCCTGCAACCCCCATGGCAAAATCGGCAGCACTTCTTCCTCTTATAAAGGGGCCTCTCTTGCCCCTTGTGTGCAACAGCTCCTAGGAGGGTTTTAGCGCTCAGGAAATAGGAATAAGCACTCTGACCTAGCAATGGGAGTACACAAGGAGGAGGAGAGACAAGGTAAACAGAGGGTTTTCCTTCCTATTGCAGGGCTGGGGAAAATGATAGGTAGCTAGGTGCTCAAAATTGATGCTGGCCACTAGGAACTGGAAATGTTGTACCACTTTGCTACTGGCATCTAAAACCCTGCCACGCAGCTCTTACAAATTGAAGCTTGGGGTCAGAATTTTGCCTCCTAGCGCTGCTGCATGCAACCAAAGTGTGTGATTCCATACTTTCAGCATGACTGTGGTTTTTGGACTTCCTTATTTTGTGACTAACAGACACCAGCACAGTGATTATTCTAGGTCTTATTACATCCATTTTTAGGCATCGTATGAGCCACGTCACACCATGTACAAAATGCATAGCCCACTACTTATGATAATCACACATGTGTGTAACAGGCTACAGCTTCTCAATGCATATATGCTGTAATCACATATGAATGTGGCTTTGCAGACATAGAAATTGTGAAATGTGTGAAGTGGCCCCTGAGTTCCAGAGGCTAACTGTGTTCTTCCGTGTTTAAAAGTACTTTCTTTTGTCTGTCACCTGCTGATTTGTGAATACAGTGGTACCTCTGGTTACGATCTTAATTCGTTCCAGAGGTCCGTTCTTAACCTGAAACCATTTTTAACCTGAGGCACCACTTTAGCTAATGGGGCCTCCCACTGCCACCAGCGCACAAATTCTGTTGTCATCCTGAGGTAAAGTTCTTAACCCGAGGTACTACTTCCCGGTTAGAGAAGTCTGTAACCCGAAGTGTTTGTAACCAGAGGTACCACTGAATATACCAGCCCAGACGATTTGTCCATTAAGCCCAGCATTGCCTACTCTGCCGGCAGCAGCTCCCTAGGGGACTCAGGCAGAGAAAGGTCTTCCCCATCACCTGCTATCTATTCTTCTTAGTTGGAAATACTGAACCTGTGACTTTCAAAGCGTCCAAAGCATGTACTCTCCGCCACAGAACTGCAGCCCCTCCTTCCTCCAGATGAGATGCCTCAATTATTGTGCCGGGGGCACACATTACGTAAGAACGAAGGCTTGCCCAATCTAGCTACCAGAATAAAGAATTAAAGAAAATACACATTATTTTCCTCCTTCCTTGTTCTTGAGCTGAAGCTGTGGCCTCCCCAGGCTTACAGACAAATATACCTCCCACAACTGTAAGAGAATTGATGTTCAAACCATGTGCCTTTACAGCATTGGTGCACTTGGAGTTGCATTTCTTCTTCTGTAGCCAACAAATACTGGACTCGTTCTCTGGGTCTTATGTATGTGTAGGGAAGGGGCTAAAACTCAAAGGGGTCAACAGCTAGTTCAGCCACCAGATCAATCGATTCAGAGTACAACGATGCATACATGATAGGCTCAGCATTAAGCTAAATGCCTATAGCCAATATAGAAGCTTTGAGATACTTTAAAAATAAGAGTCCAAGAATCTTGACTGATAGAAAAAGCATTTCAATTCATTCTTTTTGTTTCAGAATGTTTTCTTTTCCTCGCCCAAGTATGCGCCAGGATGCAATATTGATACGGAATTCTGCCCCTTTCCTTTGAGAATGCCCTCTGATATAAATAAGATCAGCATAAAGTATTCATGGAGATGCTTCTTATTTGTCTAAATCTGAACACCAGGCAGATGTTTTAGATGAGACTAACAACATGATATGGACATGCTTCAAGTACCTGATGCTCCCAAGCCACATCACAACCATGTTTACTGAAGAGTGTTGCACAGAGAGGGCTTACTTTCAAGCTTTGTTTTATGCTTAGGGGGAGTGGAGCCTGATCCAATATATGGGGTCCCCCCTGAAATCCATTCCACTTATTTCAACAATGGGACTTCTGTGTGCACAGGATTGCAGTCTTGGGTCATTTGGACATTTTTGTTTAGCTTTCATCCAAACAATAGACAGGTTTCTATTTATCCCCCAGAGCATGCACAAAAAAACATGCCCAAGCAACAAGAAGAACAACATATTCAGTCCTGACAATAAATAGCTGCATCTACCTGTACTTCACCTATGCTTTGGAGAGAGACATTTTTATTGTTATGAACTGCTAAGACGAAAGTAAGAAAATGTCACCCTTTTAACACTGACAAAAGATGCTTCCTTTTCAATTCAGCCCATCGTGCTGAAGCCTGGGTTTTTATATAATATAGAGAGAAACATCCTTTAAATAATTGTTCTTTGAAAAGAGCAGTCTCCGCTTCTTGTCCCAATGTCCATTGCTGCAACATCTAGATCTTTTTCAGTGAAAAACATGGCCCACAGTTAAGACCAGTTGACCCTACTCAGATTTTGAATTGATTCTTTAGTAGGAATCTTTTGGGTCTCCCCGCTCCCCCTATATACTTAGCAGCAACCTATCATCTTGTGATAATGCTTGCTCTGAAATAACCTGAACCTCAAAAAGTTAGGAAGGCAGGCAAAAAGGAAGCAGCGATCAAAGGGGAGCTTTCCAAAAACAGAACCAGAGCCAGAAGCAGCTGCTTTAAGCAGAAGCTAGACAGTCCAGTGGGTAAATTTAACCATCTCTTCTGGGAAGACAAAATAGAGCTGCAGGCTGCAACAGTGCTTCCGCACATCATGGAAAGAAACCCCAGATCAAAGGTCTCAGGAGAGGGACTGATTTTGTGGCATTTAAAATCAAAGCACATCATTGCTACAACTTCATAATAAAGTCAGTGGCACTTTGGAGGAAAAAGGCCAGTGAATTATAAACTCAAACCAGGTGTCATAACTGGGCTTTAAATGCATGTCTGCTCATGAAAGAGTGTAGTTGTTGTTTTAGAGTTAATTCAGGCTGTGAACCTATACTCATTTACCAGAGTGGATGGGACGTGCTTCTGTGCAGGCTTGTATAAAAGACTGCACTGCCTATTATGGGGCAATTGGACAGTGAATTTTGCAGAAGCTGTCAATAGGCTATTCAAATATTTTGCTTGTAATTGATTAAAGTTACATGTCAGGGTAGAATTCATTTTATGACTATTTTACACAAACAGCAGTAAATGAATGCTGACAAGTTGTCATTTGATAAAATCTTCTTGCAAATTTATCACTGGGTTTGTACCACTTCAGAATGCAGCTGGCGGCCGGGGGTGGGGTGGGGATCATGATGTGACCGAAAGCTCCTCTATGTCAAGAACTCCCCAGCCATGAAAAATGTGGCATGGAGAAAACTTCTTGGCTACCCTTCTGAAGCGGCAGCTCCAAGACAGCTCTACTATGTGATTCTTCTTGAACACATAAACTGGTCCCAAATTCACACTGCTGCCTATAGGGTCAAGCAAAAGCCACCCATCCCCATCTCCTCAATGTAACACTTCAGTGGCCATATAGTGTGAGTCTACCTTATTCAACACCTGATCTCTCACTGTAGAAGACCAAGGCTCTACTGCACTTGCAGAATCAGGCAGACATCGTAATGGCAGAGATTCTTGTGGAAAGGATTCCGACATTTATTTATGTCTTGGCACTATGGCTTGTCCAGTTGCGATCAGCCAGGAAGCAGCATGCACATATATGAAAGGATGCTGCACTCAGCTTCGCTAAACTTGTTAATGGGCTCGTGTTCTCACACAATGCATTGGGTGGATGCCCTGTCCTCTGTACAAAAATGCCAATTATATTTCCCCCCTTTTTCGCAGAATTGGAGGCAAACAGCAGGAGACCAGGCAGCCAACTACAGACTATAAATGGACAAGGGTGGAGAGTTTCAGAAGATCTTTGCCTTTCTGTTTTTAGAGAACATATTATTAAGATGCCCATAACATCCGATTTCCCAAACCAGGGAGTGAAAATAGATCTCCCATTGCATGCACTATGCCAGATGTGTGTGGTAGAGACAGGAGGGATCTAGTCTATCTAATCCAGACAGACCGCCTCTGCCACAGTAAGCTGTTTCTTACATAAAAGCAGCAAATCTAGCTCAAGATACAAAGCAGATGTTCTGCGCCAGCAGACTTAGGGAACTGAAAATTCCAGTGGGAAAAGCCTCCCAAAAGATGATCAAGAACGTCAGAAAAAGCACTTCAAACAATGCAAATTTGTATGAGTAACTAAAAGGTTCACTATCTTAGCCTGAAGCAATCCAACTTCTTCAGGTGTTCAAAAGTACCGTATTTACAAGCATTAGACCGGGGGCAAGGAAACTGTGACCATTCTCATTCCCATCATCCCTGACCACTGGCCATGCTGGTTGGGGCTGATGAAAACTGGAATCCTACAACAAATACAAGACCACTAATTGCCTAGCCCTGCAATAAATGAAAAAGCATAAAATCAGGGTGGAGGAACACGATGCGAAGTCAGACACCACAGGAACCGCAGAATGGTTGAGCTTTGCGGTGTTTCAGTTCCTTCATACGTAACCAAGTGGTCACTTCTATAGCATTCAAATTTACTTCTTCAGTAAACTTGAGGTGGAAATGCAGACCTACTCTGGAAACAGTTCAATGTGTGTCCAGATCAGAGGGTAAAAAAAATAAAACCAAGCAGAGAAGTAAGAGGCTGGGTACATTTCAATCCTGATTTGACAGAGAAGGGAAAAACCCAAACCGACTCAAGCTTTGAAAGCATGGTCACATGCACAAATAGGTGTGTCACACTCTTTTTGTTTTGCTATCGGCCAAAGCCTGGCATCTCCCCATTCCTCCAGGTTTGTACAGACAAGAGAGAACTGATTTCTGCCTCTCCCATTTCCAAAGTAATTATTGGTATGAACTAAGTTGTCTATCCCCACTTCTAAAGGTCAGGATCCTACAACGGCTATGCAGGGGTTGATCTTAAGTAGCTCCATGCAGTGCCTGTTACCATGTGCTGAGCTGCTTTGCATGCAGCAGCTCAGCCCATTCAAACTATGAAGACTGAAAGTTGAAACTGCTTTTATCATCCCATGGTGAAAACAATCAGATTCACATGGTGATTCTCTACTACACACAAACCGCTCACTGAGTGGTAGCATCTGCTTCAATGAGCGATTCAAAGCGACGCAAGCCAATATTGTAAGATACAGCAGCCTGGAAACTTCCCCAGGTATTTCTCATTCCACCATCTCCGTATTCTGCTGTGTTACACCTCCCAAATACAGGAGAGTGCGCACTGCTTAATGGCAAATGGTGGCATAAAGTCTCCCCTGAAAGCCGATGCATGGCCTCTGATAGGAAGCCCTGGACTTGACGGACACTTGGTCTGATCCAGCAGGGCCCTTCCTACATTCTACCCCCTCCCTCAGCAAAATGTGTCAACTGGCCAGTAGATGCCATACTCTAAACTGCAATACAGTGGTACCTCGGGTTAAGTACTTAATTTGTTCCGGAGGCCCGTTCTTAACCTGAAGCACGACTTTAGCTAATGGGGCCTCCCGCTGCCGTCACGCCACTGGAGAACTTTTTCTGTTCTCATCCTGAAGCAAAGTTCTTAACCCGAGGTATTATTTCTGGGTTAGCGGAGTCTGTAACCTGAAGCGTATGTAACCCGAGGTACCACTGTACCAAGTAATGAGCACACTAAAGGCATACAGTATATGGCATGTCTCCACAGCAAACACCCCTTACACATGCAGGTCCCCAGCCACCCCTCATGCCCAGTATCAGCTTCGAGCAACTTCGCAACACGCCTTCCAGAGTTAAGCCGCAACTAACTTGGGGAAGTGAGCGCCGATGCACCCAGCCCCTAAACTTCGGAGCAAACCTTCACACAAACTGGGCTGACCCAAAAACCCTGGTGCATCACCCCACTACCTCCCGAGGCACCCTCTCTGCCGAAGAGAGGGTTCAAACCGAAACATTACCTGTACGCAGGCCCTGCCGTCGCACCCCACCCGAGTTACCCAGCGCCACAAACGCGCGCAGCCGTCCCGACCTTGCCGCCACTTTGTAGTAGTTTCACGTAGCCCCCCATAGCACAACCAGCCCGGGGCGAGGGACCAACCTCGGTCCCGGGGCTACAAGCCTTGCTCCCGAAACCAACATTTTAAATATGTATATATATATGTGTGTATTTTTTTTACATATCTCGGCATAAATCTCTCTCTCTGTGCATGCCTTCCGTGTCACCCTGATGTTCCAAAGAGCACCATCACCGCCACCCTTAAATCCCTCGCGCGCCCTCGGGCGGCGGATTGACCCGACCCGCCATCCCCGGAGCAGAAGCCACCCTGGCCGGCTCTGGGCACCGCTCCGCCCTCGGCGCTCCCTGGCCGCCCGACGCCGGCTTCTCCGCGGCCCCGGGGGCTCTGCCCAGACCCCTTTGGCTCGCCCCCCGTCGCCGTCGCGGGAGGCAGGCGCCGGCCCCTTGCCCTGCCTTGCCTTTACCTCTCCCTGGTCCTCTTCCTCCAGGTTGCTGAAGCTCCACACCACCAGGCCCTGGATAAGCAGGATGGCCAGCGCCGTGGCGATCGCCAGCTTGTAGCGGCGGACCAGCTTCTGCACCCGGACGCTGGCCACCATCTTCATTCCAAGGCGGCCGAGGGAGAGGGAGAGGGAGGGAGGAGGGGGGGAGGAAAGAGACAGAGAGAGGCAGAGAGAAGGGAGGAAGGAAGGAGGGAGGAGGGAGGGAAAGAAAGAAAGAGGGCGGCGGAGTCGAGAGAGCCCTGCAGACCGCGGGAGCGAGCACGCACGGCGTGGTAGGCGCCGAGCACCCGCACCGGCGGGGAGAGAAGCGAGAAGCTGCACAAGCGCCCTGGAGCTTTTTAAGGCGTCGCTGCAGAACTCGGGGGCGGGAAAGAGGGGTGGCTGCTGCGGGGCGCCTGGGGGCGCTCGCCTGTCTTGCAGAGGACGCTGCAAGTGCAGCAGCTTAAGAAAGGATCCTCTCTCTCTCTCCTCCCACAGTTCCTACGTGTGTGTGTTTAAATATTTTTTTTTATTAAAGATTTTCTTGGTTTGGAAAAAAGCACATGCCTTGTCTCTTTTTTCAGGTTGTAGAATCTTTCTTTTCTTTGCCTTTGAAGTGAGAGCCTGTTTTCAACGCTCCTCTTCGCCTCCGTGCACAGCGTTTAGCAAACTAGCCCTTTGCACTTTCGCTTAAAACACAAACACAACATTGAAGAATGCCCACATTCTGGCTGTGCTAAGAGTATTGGGGCGGGGGGGGGGGCTGCAGTTCAAACAACATTCAGCGACACCGACGACCCGGATGAGAAATGTGTGGCCCTTTATTTATTAATTTTTATTTATACACTGCTTGTTTGAAAAAAACAAAACAAAGCAAAACACATCAAAGGGGTTTCCGAAAGACGAATGGGGGGGGGTCACATACAAAAGATAGAATTGCAGATTTAAATTACCTCAGCTTCCTGGAGGTTGTTGGGACTCACAACTCCCATCAGCTCAGGAAGCATGGCCCATGGGGAGAACAACAAAGGCAGGTCACAATTCTCCATACCTGGGATAGAAGGTTGTTGGAAAGCAGTGGAAACAGGCGGCCCGAATAAAGGCGGTGATTTTCCAGGAGAATACAGTGGTATCTCGAGTTAAGTACTTAATTCGTTCTGGAGGTTCATTCTTAACCTGAAACTGCTCTTAACCTGAAGCACCACTTTAGCTAATGGGGCCTCCTGCTGCTGCTGTGCCGCTGGAGCCCGATTTCTGTTCTTATCCTGAAGCAAAGTTCTTAACCTGAAGCACTATTTCTGGGTTAGCGGAACCTGTAACCTGAAGCGTATGTAACCTGAGTGTATATAACCTGAAGTACCACTGTACCAGGAAATAAGACACTGATTCAGTGTTTTGGTCACTCAACGGGTTTTCAGTTTCATCTAAAGGCTGGGGTTGGTTGGGCCTACTACTGAATAGGCTTCCTGATATATGTACAGGGGGTGACAGTCTGGTGCAGCCATTTCAATGTGGTATGAAAATGGTGCGCTGCTTATGGAAAGGACCAGTGGAAAGTTGATATGTTTCTCCAGCCCAGAGAGATACTGCAGGCGGGAGTGGGCTGGGATGCCTCTCCAAATGCCCACTTCCATGTTGCAAAGCTGCGAAGTGTGTTTGTCAACCCTCTTCCAGCAGTTTTATTCCCTGTTGGTTAGATTGAGACACACACAATTTAATAATTTCCAGTCTCAAATGGTGTTTGTTGGAAGGTTACCTCCACATACTTCCTTTCTGCTCATTTCCTCCCTATGCATTTTATTCATGTTAAAACTGGGGCCAGGATCCAACAGTTAGGTGCACTTCACTTCATTAAAATCTATGGGTTGGTGAAGTCAGAATAGACCCATTAAAATCACTTCATAAAAGTGTTTCTATGTCTGCTTCAGATTGCGGCCTTCATGTAAACAATTACCATTCTACTGTCATCTTGATTCTTTGCTGCCTTGGGGCGAGGGATGGCAAGTTCTGATTTGTTACTGGGTCAAGTTCAAGATTTTCTTTTTGTTATATAAAGACTATTAGGCCTTGGGACCTAAAACACCAGTACTTCAGTTGTGACTGAAAACCAGGTTCTGATAAAGCAGAGACCACTAATACGTGATGTTGTTGACTTCCCTTCAGCCCCCTTCAGCATTTCCAAATGGTCAGGAGTGATGGAAATGGTTGTCCAATGATTTATGGAGGACACCACATTGGCTGCCCCTGTGATAAAGCTACCAAGTAAAGGCATGATAGGAAAGAAAGGATTTCTAGATTCCTAGGTCTTAAGACTGACCATGAACTATACTGGCTGGAGCTGATGGGAGATGTTGCCCCACAACACCTGGAAGGCACCATGTTGACTATCCCTGGGCTACAGGATCCCTAAAGCTCTCTTGTTTTATGTCCCTGACACCTCCTCTTTTCTTGTGAACAATTTTACTGCGTTTATCCTTGAGATTCTTTAAATAATCCTTGCTGAGGCAGAATTGCCCCATCCTTGATCAAGGAGAGTTATATCTGGAAGCCTCTCTGAACCTTTTTATCCCTCACCCATTTTTCCTGAGGATAAATCCAAATGTATACCTGTACCTGAAGCAGGCTAAACTGGATTCCTTCTTGGTCTCTAAGCTGTTGTGATAGCACAATAGTTGCTGGACAGGCCTCATAAGTTTCCTTATGTTTGAGCTGCAGTAAGGAATCCTGATATATGTTGGGCAACTGAAGTTGAGCGAATTCTCAGTGAGGCTGTAAAATTATATCTGGACCGTTAGGCTTCAGCCAAGGGCTCACATGATTTAAGACTCGCCATACAATATAATGATAATAAAGATACCCTGCCACCTCTCTCTGCTTATCAGTGGATTTGATTGATTCAATAATGTGTATTATTCCCCTTTAAGATTCATCCCACACATGACAGTAATGGGTTTTATTTTATTCTATGTTTAAAAGTATACTCAGCCTTCTATTTTTATTGTACCAGCCATATATATGTGTGTGTGTGTGTGTGTGTGTGTGTGTGTATTCTGCATAAAGAAAGCCAGGGAGAAGATAAAGCTAGAAACATTTCCCCCAACATAGTTTTCTATGAGAAGAGTTGTGGGTTATTTTGTCTGGAGGAACATTCTGTCACGTGAAGCCTTGCTTTGCAGTCTGTACAGACACAGGGCTACAACCTCACTGAAAAATGAAGCCAAGATTCTCAAACATATTTTGATCGTGCTGCAGGTATGGCACAGCCTGGATCATAAAGTGGGAGGCCAGCTCTGAGGAGTGGGTGTTGCTTTTTTTTTGTAGACTGAAGACCAAGAACCACATCTTGAACTGTACCCGTTCGATCAAACAGTGGATACTGGGAGAGCTCCCTACAAATGACACATTATGAATTGAGAAGTCAAAAATTAATTGATTACACATTATGAATTAATGAACTGTGAATTATGAATTAAGTAAATTATTCAATGTCAGTCACAGTTCACTGAAGTTTTCAGAGGCCATCATTTGGAGCCTTCCAAAGAGCTCTCAAAGGAAATGCTCAGATCTGACCGACAGATTAAAAATGCTGTGTTGGCTTCAGTGTTTTTATGGCAATTCAGGCCATGAGCCTGAATGTTGGTTCTGTTTGCCAAGGCTCTACAGCTTAACCAAAATCTGCAAATCATAGGCTAGTGTACAGAAGATACCCAGGTATAGTAAGACGGCAATGAGCTCCAAATGAACTAAACCAGAGTACAGTGGTACCTCGGTTTATGAACTTAATCCATTCCAGAAGTCCGTTCCTAAACTGAAACCGTTCTTAAACCGAGGCACGCTTTCCCTAATGAGGCCTCCTGCTGCCCGTGCCCTTCCACCGTTTGGATTCCGTTCTTAGACTGAGGTAAAGTTCGCAAACCGGGACACTACTTCCAGTTTTGTGGAGTTTGTAAACCAAATTGTTCATAAACAGGACTGTTCTTAAACCAAGGTACCACTGTTCAGAAAGCTGGTGTAGCATTGGGGCTAAGGCTGCAGCCCTATACCCATACTTGGGACTAAACACCATTAAGCAGGACTTACTTCTGAGTAGATGCAGTGAGGATTGTAGCCTAAGACACTGGATGACTTAGATATCAGAGATCTACTCTGCATGGAACTCAGTGGAATCCTATGCATTTCTACTCAGATGTAAATTGCACTGAGTTCAGCAGGGATTACTCCCAGGTATATAATGATTGCAGCATAAACTGTTTTAATGCACAGTGCCTCAGTCTCCCATCTGCAATATGGGAATAAAAACACAGAATCTACTTTACAAGGTTACAAAATAATATATGTGAAGTGTTTGAGCACTCTCCAAAGCACAATACAAATGCAAAATGCTGTTATCGTTATCATTTATGTTATTTAAGCCTGCAAGGAAAAGACAGGCTGAACTCTTTGAGCAAAGCATCCTTTGTCTGTTATCTTTAGAAGCCAACTTTTCCACATTCCTTGCAGAGACAGACTTTTGACCATTATTCCTTTGTCAGGTGCTGACCTAGCACCCTGCCCCAGCATCAGATGCACATGAGCAATGGGTGGCTAGGCTATTATTAGATGTAATGTACTAAGAGGGTCAGCAGTCAGGCTGGAGAAGATGGACAGATATGGGGGGGGTATTGCCAGAGAGTTGAAGGGGTCATGAAAGAGGAATTGCAGCTAGAGGTGTAAGAAATATTTATGTAAACTCCTTAGGAAGCAATTCTTCTTTCATACCACTCTCTTAAAATCTTCTGTCTGTCTTCAGACTAAGTGCTTTATATAATGATGAATCACTGGTTGCAAGTACTTGTGTGAGTACATTGTTTGCCTGAAGCTTTGTGTTAAACAGCCTTTCAGCAACACTGGTTTTGCACAGTGCTGTTTTCATTTTTAATCTCTTCTCCTTGAGTTGGAAGAGGTCTTGTAGGTCATCTATTCCAAGCCCCCTGCTGGAAACCCAGGTCTGGGGCAGCCCCACGAGATAGTACAGTATAGTCCTGCCTTTGCAAAAGGCCTCCTGCAAGGAAGAGCACACGATCACCTATCTCGGTAATTGGGTCCATTGTCAAATTGCCCTTTGCATTATGAGGTTTCCCTTAATGCTCAACCAAAATCTACCCCCCCTAACTTAAATCCATTAGACCTAGGACCCCTCCAGACAACCAATGTATTGCACATTCCTGATGATTTGCGCTTATATGTGCTATCAAGGTGATTCTACTTCCAGTACTATTTGCACCTTCAGAACCTGTCATACAGCAAAAAATCCACTTCTAACACACTGTTGCGTCAAGAGAAAGTTGCAGAGTCTACCCACAGTAAAACACCAGTCTGGAGGGGCCCCTAGTTTTTCCCGTTGGGGCAGCTCATTGTTCTCTAACATGTAACGTCGCTTCAGGTATTTGAAGAGTGCTATCATATCTCCATTCATGAGGCTGTCAGGACTAACAAGGAGTACCAAACTCCGTGCGACACTGGCAGCACAGCATGGCTCTAATGCTCAGGTCCCTCAGCACCCCATGCTATCAGATTCTGGCAGGCAACATGTCTCCATAGGCAAGTAACGGTTAGAGATGGTTTGTGAGGATGGAATTAACATCAGCCCACCAACCTTGGCTGCAGGCCAGCAGGTAAGGCAGGTCTGGAAGACAGTAGGACATGGAACTTCCATATACCTGCTGGCAGGTCAGGTATGAAGACCCTCTCTGAATTCCTATCCTGATCTAGGGTCACAGGATCCACCGTCCTTTCCACTGCCTCTCTGACTTTAACCCTAGATTAGAAGTTGTTCTTAGGATTTCTCTGCCCAGCCCCACCATGTAGACACCTACACATCATTTCCAGCCTTTCTTGTGGCTGATCATGCTGCAGAGATGCCAGCTGGCTCTGAGCAGTGTGATATCTCACAGTGTCAAAGCAGAATATGCCACTTTTTCTCCTTCTGGTCAGTGACAAAATTACACATTAGGGCTCTACCACACTCACTCACCATTAATATGACTATGTATACTGTAGGTTAGTTTAAAGGTACTCTTTCAGTTCTGGGCTTAAAAAGCATTTTAACTCAAGTTCCACAATTTGCGCAAACTAGTCACGAAAGGAGGGGTTGTGGCTCAGTGTTAGAGCCGCTGCATTGCATGAAAAATGTCCTGGGTTCAATCTCCAGCTTCTCCATGTAGGGATAGGACTGTCCCGTTTCTGAAACTCTGGAGGGCCACTGCCAATCAGTGAAGAAGATACTGATCTGGCTAGATCACTGGTCTGACTTGGTCTAAGGCAGCTTCTTACATTAAGCAGAATATCCTCCAGAGGTTTAATGTACAAAAAAATTATATAGGTTTTCAGGTTTGTTTACACCGGGTTTCCATTCTGTTATAATCAGGATTACATAAAGCAACAAGGCCTCTGGCATTGTTCCCTTTGCAGTTTAATGGCCTGTAAACAGCAAAACAGGAGTATATATATAGATTGTGATGGCCTGGGATTCCGATTCGGAGGATGAAACAGAGGAATCCCGGCCCGCACAGGAGTCCCCGCCTCCAGGGCCGGCTGAACTGGGGCAAGGCCTTGATGCTGAAGAGCCTGCACCTGTGGCAGTGCATCAGGAGCTGGCCCCAGGTGAAGCCCTTCGGGCCCCAGAGGGGCTTGATGACTCAGTGGCCACAGGTGAGCCTCCTCCAGGGCCCAGTAACCCTTCGGCCTCTCCTGATCTGCAGAGGCTTAGGGCAGAGAGGCGAAGGGAACTGGTTGCCCCCAGGAGGAGTGCTCGCCTTAAGGCCAGAGGAGGCGGGGCTCCTGGGGACCGGGACCGCCCCTGGCCTTAGAAGAGGATAAAAGCCCAGTCAGCCCGGCCCCAGGTTGCGGGAGCAACGTCGTTGTTGGCTTCGGACCTTCCTGTGTTCCTGATCCCTGCTCGGCTTCCTGTTCCTGACTATCCGGTACTCCTGTTCCCTGCTCGGCCTCCTGTTCCCGACCATCCGGTGTTCCTGTTCCCTGCACAGCCTCCTGTTCCAGCATTCCTGTTCCCCGCCCGGCTCTCTGCCTCGGACCTTGCCCCTCTTCGTGTGGACTCTGCTACACCCAAGGTACCTTACCCCGGGACCAGCACAGTTTGCTCCCGCCAAACCCGCACTCCCCCTTCGTAGGGGTGCGTTCGGGAAGAGCCAGAGGCCATGGCTGACCAGGCGGCTGCACTGGTGGCTTTGGCCCAGAAGAACCAGGCCTTGACTCACACCGTGCAGCAGCTCAGTGACGCGGTTGTGGCACTTCAACAACGCTTGGAAGCCCTACCGGCTCCTGGGGCCGACGCCCGGCTCCTGGCAAGTACCCAGTGGCTTTGCCTGAGAAATTTGATGGAGCCCCGGCCAGCTTTCCCATGTTCCTGGCCCAGGCCAAGCTGTATATTCAGGGGCGAGCCCGGAACTTTCCTGACGACCGCACCAAGGTGCACTTTTTGATTAGTTTGTTAAAGGACCAGGCGGCCAAGTGGGCGTTGCCGCTACTCAGGCAAGACTCCCCCTTGCTGGCAGACTATACGGGGTTTTGCAATCGTTTGGAGGCCGCGTTCGGCAACCCCCAGAAAGGGAGTCAAGCCAACCGGGCGATTCGGCGTTTGAAACAGGGCAAGTCCACGGTGGCCGCATATACCACGGAGTTTCGGCTGTTGGCACAGGACTTGACCTGGAATGATTCGGCACTGCGGGACCAGTATCTCGAAGGGCTTTCGGACGAGGTACTGGACCAGTTGGCCACAATGGAACGCCCCACCACGCTAGACACTCTCATTCAACGGAGTCTACAAATAGACGACCGGTTGGAGGATCGTCGTCAGGCCCGGGGTCGCCGACACTTCCAGTTCACGGCACCAGCTTTTCCGGCAGCCCCATGGTCACAGCGGAGGTCACGGAGGAGCCGATGCAGGTCGGGGCTGTGCGGCCGCGGCTTTCCCCGCAGAGAAGGCGCGGCGTCGGGAGGGAAATCTCTGTCTTTACTGTGGCGGAAGTGGACACTTCGCTTGGTCTTGCCCTGAGAAACGCCAGCCGCAGGAAGCCGCCAACCCCAGTAGCTGATGGCCCTAGCTGCCGGGGGTCCCAAACCGCGCAGAATGGGCCTGCATCAATGGACTCGCAACATCTTATGGTTCCGGTACGTTTATACCCTCCAGGTGGGCCCTGGATCCCCACCCATGCTTTGGTGGATTCAGGGGCAACCCGCTCTTATATGGACGCTGCTTTTGCCGCCCATCATCAGGTGCCACTTAGGAACAATCCAGTACCGGTCCAGGTGGAAGCGATTGACGGACGACTTCTGTGTTCAGGTGCCGTTACTCAGGAGACCCAGCCCCTGGTCCTGTGTTTCCAGCAGCACCGGGAGTTGCGAACTTTGGACATTGCCTCTATGCCCCGCTTCCCCCTGGTGCTCGGGATGGACTGGCTGGAAGCCCACAACGTTCAGATTCACTGGGTCAAACGGACCGTGCACTTCCCAGACCCATGTTCCCATGCTCAATCCGGGACGCTGGCGGCCGCGCCCTCAGAGGAGGCAGCACCCACGCTCCCAGCCGTGTATCAGGACTACCAGGACGTGTTCGAGGAACGGGGGGCAGACCAGCTGCCGCCGCATCGGCCTTTTGACTGCGGCATAGACCTCCAACCCGGAGCGCCTCTACCAGTGAGTCGCTTATATTCTCTAACAGAGCCAGAGCGCGAGGCTTTGCAGGACTTCTTGCGCAAGAACCTGGAGCGTGGGTTCATTAGGCCGTCCACCTCGCCTACCGCGGCACCAGTGCTTTTCGTTAAGAAGAAATGTGGGGAACTCCGCCCTTGCCATGATTACCGAGCCTTGAACAAAATTACCGTCCCAGACCGATACCCCTTGCCCCTTATCTCGGAGCTGCTGGAGCGGGTGCAAGGGGCACAGGTGTTCACCAAGCTGGACCTCCGGGGGGCCTACAACTTGATTCGGATCCGAGCCGGGGATGAGTGGAAGACAGCGTTTGGGACCCGGTACGGGCAGTTCGAATATTTGGTTATGCCTTTCGGGTTGTGCAACGCGCCTGCTGTGTTCCAACGCTACATCAACCACGTGTTTCAGGACTTGTTAGACAAGTACGTGGTGGTGTATTTGGATGACATACTGATTTACTCCCGTGACCCGGCTCGCCATGAGGGACATGTCCGGACCGTGCTGCAGCGCTTGCGTGAGCACCGTTTGTACGCAAAGCTCAGCAAGTGCGAGTTCCATCAGCGGACTGTGGACTTCCTTGGTCACCGGCTCTCTCCGGATGGGGTGCAAATGGACCCGGGGAAGGTGACAGCGGTTCAAGAATGGGCGGCACCCCGGAACCGCAAGGACCTACAACGTTTCCTGGGGTTCGCCAATTACTACCGGACCTTCATCGCTGATTATGCTCATCGCACCACCCCGTTGACCCGGCTACTGCGCCCAAAGACGCCGTTTTCCTGGGACAAGGAGGCAGAGGAGGCGTTTCAGGGGTTGAAGGCCTGTTTCCAGAGGGCACCAATCTTACAACATCCTGACCCCTCTCGACCCTTTGTGGTGGAGACCGACGCCTCCAGTACGGCTCTCGGTGCCGTCTTGTCTCAACAGATTGGGCCCGAAGCGCCACTCTTACCCTGTGCCTTCTATTCCCGCCAGCTCCTACCAGCGGAGCGTAACTATACTGTGTGGGAGCGGGAACTACTGGCCATCAAGGTAGCCTTTGAGGTCTGGCGCCACCATCTTGAGGGGCACGACATCCGGTGGAGGTAAGAACCGACCACCGGAACCTGGAAGTACCTCCAGACCACCCGCAAGCTGAACCAAAGACAGATCCGGTGGGCGTTGTTCTTTTCCCGGTTCCAGTTTCGGATCCGCTACATCCCTAGCTCTCAGAATCTGAAGGCGGATGCCCTGTCCCGGAAACCTGAAGACAACGCAGACACGGTACAGCAAGCAGAACCCGCCACGATCCTACCTCCGGCCGCATTCCTGGCCACCCAGGAGGCGCAGCCACTGCAGGTTCGGGTGCGGGAACAGCAGCGGGTCGACGCTTGGGCCCAGGAACGACTCCGGGAGCTGGCTGAAGGGTCCAGCCCACAGTATCCGGGGCTGGTCCTGCATCAGGGCCTCCTGCTGCACCACGGTCGTCTGTACATCCCGCCAGGGCCACTGCGGCTGGAGGTTCTCCGGATGGCCCATGATGCCCCGGCAGCGGGGCACTTTGGACGGTATCGGACCACCCATCTGGTCAGTCGTGAGTTTTGGTGGCCCCGCCTGAAGGCTGACGTGGCTCGCTACGTTGCTGGTTGTGATGTCTGCCGACGCGCCAAGGGGCCTACCGGGCGACCCCCGGCCTACTTCAGCCATTGCCAGTTCCACCGCGCCCTTGGCACACAGTTTCGTTGGACTTTGTAGTGGACTTACCCTCGTCTCGTGGCTGTACCTGCCTTCTGGTTTTCTCCGACCATTTCACCAAGATGGTGCACTGCGCTCCCTGTCCATCTGTACCCACAGCCAAGGAAACTGCTCAGCTGTACCTTCAGCATGTCTTCCGCCTGCATGGACTACCTGAGCGCGTGGTGTCCGACCGGGGCGTTCAGTTCACATCCCGGTTCTGGCGAGCATTACACCAGACCCTCGGGACAGAGGTCTGCCTCTCGTCAGCCTACCACCCACAGACCGATGGCCAGACGGACCGGGCGAACGCGGTGCTGGAGCAGTACCTCCGGTGTTACTGCAGCTACCAGCAGGATGACTGGGTCGACCACCTGGCATTGGCGGAGTTCGCCTATAACAACGCGGTGAATGCGTCCACCCAGCAGACCCCGTTCCAGGCCAGTTATGGTTATCATCCACGGCTGTTTCCAGAGGTGCTGCCGGCATCCGCGGTCCCGGCGGTGACGGAGTGGCTTCAAGAGCTCCAGTCCCAGCAACAGCTTTTGGTGGAGCAACTGCACCAGGCCAAGGAAGCGTACAAAGCCCAGGCCGACCGCCACCGCCAGGTGGGGCCGGAACTCGCGTCGGTGACCTGGTTTGGCTCTCCACTCGCCACCTCCACCCCTCTCGACCTTCGCGGAAGTTGGACGCCCGCTTCACCGGCCCGTTCCCTATCGTAGACCAAATCTCTCCTGTGGCATTCCGTCTCCGGTTACCCGCAACCCTGAAGGTTCACCCGGTCTTCCACAGGTCCCTTTTGAGTCCGGTGGCCCCACCCGACGAGTTCCACCAGAACCGTCCCCGACCGCAGCCAGTGTTGGTTCGGGGAGAGCCTGAGTACGAGGTGGAACGCATCCTGGACTCCCGATACCGCAGGGAAAGCTGCAGTATCTCATTGACTGGAAGGGGTACGGACCGGAGGACCGTTCCTGGGAACCAGCGGCCAATGTCCATGCACCTGCCTGCCTCCGAGAGTTCCATGCGACGTATCCCGGCAAGCCGGGTCCGGACCCTCGGTTGAGGGGGCCTGGGAGGGGGATGGTGTGATGGCCTGGGATTCCGATTCGGAGGATGAAACAGAGGAATCCCGGCCTGCACAGGAGTCCCCGCCTCCAGGGCCGGCTGAACTGGGGCAAGGCCTTGATGCTGAAGAGCCTGCACCTGTGGCAGTGCATCAGGAGCTGGCCCCAGGTGAAGCCCTTCGGGCCCCAGAGGGGCTTGATGACTCAGTGGCCACAGGTGAGCCTCCTCCAGGGCCCAGTAACCCTTCGGCCTCTCCTGATCTGCAGAGGCTTAGGGCAGAGAGGCGAAGGGAACTGGTTGCCCCCAGGAGGAGTGCTCGCCTTAAGGCCAGAGGAGGCGGGGCTCCTGGGGACCGGGACCGCCCTGGCCTTAGAAGAGGATAAAAGCCCAGTCAGCCCGGCCCCAGGTTGCGGGAGCAACGTCGTTGTTGGCTTCGGACCTTCCTGTGTTCCTGATCCCTGCTCGGCTTCCTGTTCCTGACTATCCGGTACTCCTGTTCCCTGCTCGGCCTCCTGTTCCCGACCATCCGGTGTTCCTGTTCCCTGCACAGCCTCCTGTTCCAGCATTCCTGTTCCCCGCCCGGCTCTCTGCCTCGGACCTTGCCCCTCTTCGTGTGGACTCTGCTACACCCAAGGTACCTTACCCCCGGGACCAGCACATAGATTCAAGATACAGTTTTGTTTTCAGAACTCCCTTGTCGGAATTAATATGAACAAATTCCTCCTTGGGTTCACCTGAACGTTCAAGAGCCCCATGCAGTGAATCAAATAAAACTAGGGCCAGGTGCTCAGGGAGAAATGTCTAACAAGGTACCCATTGCTTTAGTGCGTTGCAAGATCACAATGGTTTTTCTGTTTGTTGCGGACAAAAAATGGCTGCTGCCCAACACTTTTGTGGCATCCCATGAGGCTAGGCAGTGCCGGATTTATGTATAGGCTAAGCAGGCTGAAGCCTAGGGCCTCTAAATCTAGGGGGCCTCGCCAGCCCTCCCGCTCCCCAGCAGGCAGTCTCCCCTCTCCCAAAATTGCAAACACAAAACTTCATGTGAGGGCAGGACAACTCAGGCCTCTAAATCTAGGGGACCTTGAGGTACCACTGTACTGCTATTTATTTTTTAATAACTCACTCCAAGACCCCTCCCTGTACTTTCTGCCACACACTTTATGTTTCAAAAGCAACTTGGGGATTCTGTTCCGGCATAAATAAATCTAATATGACATTGCTGTTTTGAGAACTCCAAATAACAACCTCCAACCAAACCACTGTAGTACATACAAAATGGCTCTGAAAGATTCTGTGTCCCAGTTCCTTAAATCACTTACCGTATACTAGTATCATGGTTCTTGCTGGGATTTCACTGGGATGGCTGGTACATTAATTTTTCATTCACTTATTAGAAATATGTATACAGTATACCCTCTTTAGCTTCACCAGCTTCTGAAGCAGGAAGTTGTCTCAGGAAAGGACTAGAGCTCCTGAAGACATGAGAAGGCTGGCAGGGCTTTCCCTTCCAATGACACCATCCCAATGGTTTCATGAAGATGTTAAACAAGATGAGGGACAAGATGAAACTCTGTGGAACTCACTAAGCCAAAGGCCATGGTGTCAAACAGTAAGCCGTTATCACCACCTGAAACCTACTCTCCAAGGTGGATTAGAACCACTATAAAACAATGCCTTCAATTCCTATCTCTGCTGGCACATAGCATGCAGTGGCCAATGGTATTGAAAGCTGGTAAGAGAGTCAGCAGAACCAATAGGGATGCTCCTACTCCTGTCCAGCTTCTGGGATAGCATACCCTCCAACATTTTTCTGATGGAAATACAGTGGTACCTCAGGTTACATATGCTTCAGGTTACATGCGCTTCAGGTTACATACTCCGCTAACTCAGAAATAGTGCTTCAGGTTAAGAACTTTGCTTCAGGTTGAGAACAGAAATCGTGTTCCGGAGGCACGGCGGCAGCAGGAGGCCCCATTAGCTAAAGTGGTGCTTCAGGTTAAGAACAGTTTCAAGTTAAGTACGGACCTCCGGAACGAATTAAGTACTTAACCTGAGGTACCACTGTAGGGACATCCTGTTCAACAACAACAACAATTTTATTATTTATATACCACCAATCTGACTGGGTTGCCCCAGCCACTCTGGTTGGCTTCCAACATATATAAAAAACACAACAAAACATTAAATATCAATGTTTAATGTCTTCTAAAGGTTGTATAGTTACTTATCTCTTTGGCTCAGGCATCACATAGCTCCATATCTGCCAATATTTCTCCCATGAAAACAGGGAAGTCCTGAGGAAAAGCAGGACATTCCAGAATCAAATCTGAAACCGATACGGCTTCTGTAAATCCAGGACTATCACTGGAAAATAGGGACACTTGGAGGGTCTGGGGTAGATCATCCATCAGGACAGTCTTGGATCCCCAAAGCAGTCAGAAACCATATTGAAACAGATCGAGATGATCATTATCAGGCTGAAGAAATACCTGGAATTGAATCACTCTCACTTCTGAGGTTATGCTTGGGGGTATGTAAAACAAAGGCCTAATCATAGTAGTGGTTTATGACATCACTCACTCCGAGCTCAGGAACAATGAGTCCTCATGAACCACCAGGTGTTGGCTGAAATATCTGTCTTCCATCAACTTCTGAAGTGATCAAAGCCAGGCTTGCAGTAAAAAGGGACAAAAATGGGTGGGACAAAAATGCTCCCAGAGAACACTTGCGGTGTCAAAGTGCCTCAAAAGTTATCATGGAGCTCTATGATTGAGATAATACAGGACAACGGTGAGTTAGAACTTCAGGAAATAATGTGATGTTGATGGTATCCTTTATTACTGTGTGAACTGGTAGCTGCTAGATCCAGGCTTCAGGCCAGATTCTTCCCTTCAAGTGTGGGTCCCTTTCCTCCTTGCCAGCAGAGCACTCCCACTGCACAATCATTTGCTGTCTGTCTTCTTCTGAGTCCATACTGTACAAGGCGAGAGGATGTTCCATCTCATTCTGGTAATTGCCTGTGTGCTTGGAGAGTGGAGGCAAATAGACAGTGACTTCAGGCTTGGAGGAGGAGCAGGCCTTGGAGGCTGTGGGTCCTTTGCATGGTTGAGACAAGGTGGCACTGTGGTCTAAACCATGGAGCCTCTTGGTCATTTTAATACCAGGGAACAGTTTAGTGTGGTCCAATACAGTGGTACCTCTAGTTACGAACTTAATTCGTTCCGGAGTTCCATTCTTAACCTGAAACTGTTCTTAACTGGAGGCGTGCTTTCGCTAATGAGTCCTCCTGCTGCCACTGTGCCGCCGGCACATGATTTCCGTTCTCATCCTGGGGGCAAAGTTCTCAACTTGAGGTAACTCTTCCAGGTTAGCGGAGTTTGTAACCCGAAGCATTTGTAAGCTGAGGCGTTTGTAGCTCGAGGTACCACTGTAGTTCAATATGGCTCATTTTTGCCCACAACTCATACCAAGCAACAGAGTCACCCACAAACTTTTCAGATTTGTAAAGTTCCTGAATGGAATTGACATGGGCTTGAAAGTTTTGTTATTCTGCCCCCCCCCCCCCCACCGGTCCAGCTCCATGGATTTTTCTCTCAACCTCTGTGCAAGTTTATCTCCCACCCTTGCCTTTATAGTAGACAAAAGCACATGGTTCAAGTTTGGCCCTAAGGGGACATAGGATTTCTGCCTTAGGGTGCTGCCAGAAGGGTGTTTATTGTAGGATATCTGCTTCTCTAGTATACATTGTTTTTACAGAGTCCACACAACAGTGCATGTCCTGTAACTTTTAACACCATTCAAGGTTTGTTTTGTTTTGTTCTTGTTTTGTCCTGGTTTTGTTGTGCTGCAGCACAATAACATTGGTGTTAAACAGATAAAAAGTTGACTACCAACAAAGTAACATACTCCTCTGCCTAGTGATGGGCTTTCCTCTGCTTTCCTCCTTTTAGGAACTGGAAAGCCTGTCCGGTCCACGATGCCAAGAAGCTCCGTTCACCAGGTCATAACTGGAGCCCCATGATCCTTATCCGTAAAAAGCCATTTTGAAATATCCTTTCCAACTCTTGGCATGAAGTGGCTCTGAGGGTGGAGCTATGCTGATGAAGGGGTGGGGCTATGTAAATAAGCCCCCCTTCTCAGTGGCTTTTGTGTTCTGCGCTGAACAAAGTACAGTGGTACCTCGGGTTAAGTACTTAATTCGTTCCGGAGGTCCGTTCTTAACCTGAAACTGTTCTTATCCTGAAGCACCACTTTAGCTAATGGGGCCTCCTGCTGCCGCTGCGCTGCCGGAGCACAATTTCTGTTCTCATCCTGAAGCAAAGTTCTTAACCTGAGGTACTATTTCTGGGTTAGCAGAGTCTGTAACCTGAAGCGTATGTAACCCGAGGTACCACTGTAGATAGGTTGCAAATCTGCAACAGCCTCAAGGAGGCAAAACTTTATCCTCAGCCTAGACACCAGGGATTTTGACTGCTTTGGAACAGTCACAGCACCTTTTTACTTCCCTCCATGAAAGCAGATGGCTATCAATTTCTCCTATGGGGGAAAAAATAAAACATTGCACTTGGAAACAATCTGGCAGAGGGGGCAAAATCCACCTTCCAATCCTGGCTCTGAATGGCCTGCCTTCCTACGTGCATGTATGGAATGCATAATTCTTTTTACCTAGCTGTGCCTGCAGTCATGTCCAAGAATTATTTTCCTGTGATAGGCACACACTTGTTAACCATCTACTGCCTCCCTGCTTGCATCAAGCCTTGCCTGTTTTGAGAAAACGGAGGACTGGTTGGTATTCTGTAACTTTCCCAGCCTGCTTTGTTTTAAGCTTCTTTGGTTCTACCAGCTTGATTTGTATTTATATCCAGGCATGGTAGTCACCGCATGAATGCGTATTAATTATACACAAACGACAAATGCTCTTTACACATTGTCCCTCTTTTCTGCTGCTGCACCTTGTCCCATCCCAGAACCTTGAAGGAATTCTGGGAGCTTCTGCTCTTCAGAAATCATGTGCCACATAGGAAGACATACTCACTGGCAATATTTACAGTTTTCCTCCACACATACCCTCCCCATCCAAATGATGAATGTCGCTTTCTAAAAAAAATAAACAGAAGTGAGTTCTGCAACATGCGGTGAAACATCGCACAAGGATAGCAGAGGCATGTTTTCGTTTTTAAGTATGGCTGGCTCTACTGAATGACTCAGGTCTCAGTGAAGAATCTGTGTTGCTGTTGTTGAAGAATGCCCAGTCTGGAGCTTACGGAACCACAGGTTCAAGCAGGGCGAGTAAGGAAAAGCTTACCATCCAGGAATAGGCAGCGGCATTCTGAAATATTTACAGCGCTGGAGTTAGGGCCATGCAGGCAGTTCCCCTGCACAGAGTGCCAAACCAAGGCACCACAAAAAAATAGTAATAAAAGCCTATATTTATATGGGTACCTACTCAAAGTTAGGGGGGCACCAAATTTTGTCCTTTCCCAGGGCGCCATATTACCAAAGTCCGCCCTTGTATATTGGTTAGAAGAGAGAAAAAGCCTACGAGTGGTCTTGTACTTTGGTATAAGCATTATACGATACGATAATCTTTATTGTCATTGCCCCATACAGAACAACGAAATTGAAAAAATCTAAACCAGACATTCAAAAACCAACAAGCCTGCTATCCCAGCTATTCCGGCCTGCTTAGCCCCCTAAAAACTCTGATACCCCATAATTAAATACAATATATACACTGCGTTTAAAGCCAAAATCACATTTGAATAGAAACTGTTTCTCAGGCTGCTAGTCCTAGTCTTTATAACCCTGTACCTTCTTCCAGAAGGTAGAAGGTGAAAGAGATCATTTCCAGGGTGCGCACTATCCTGCACTATCTCTGCAGCTTTCTTATGGCACCTGGAAGCATAGATTTGATCCAAGGTGGGAAGAGTACACCCAATTATTCTCTCCGCAGTCTTTACAACCCTGGACAGCATTGATTTTACCTGACCGTTCTGAGGCATGTGGCCATAGCAAAGGCTAAGGCTGTGTACACACTATAACTTTAAAGCGCATTAAAAAGCACCTTCTTTCCATCAAAGAATTCTGGACACTGTAGTTTGCCCTTCAAAGAGTTAAACTCAGCAACCATTAAGAGACCAGAAATCCCAGAATTCTTTGAGGGAAAGAAGGAGCTTCCAATGTGGTTGTGTGTGGGGAATGCGATCTGCTTGTGCAATGGGACTGCAGCCATCCACATCCCCTCGATCTTCTCTGAAAGGATGGGGGAACCTCCAGAACAGGTTTAAGTGGGGCAAAGCAGAATGGGGAGGGAAGTCTCAATGTGTGCATGCATACACCACTTAGGGCTACACTGAATTCATCCCATAAGTGTGTTTCCCAGACATGTGTCTAATTAAGGGAAATCTATTTCTGACAATAAGATCGCTTTGCTTCTTTCCTGTAGTAGTCTTAGTGTTTTAATATTTTTCGTCCTCAGATTCCTCGTGTAACTTACCCATGTTCTCCTTCAGAGTGGAGGACGTTCCAGCCCGTGGTCACCTTTGTCCAGCCCAGAATAGTTGAGCAGCCTGATGCAGCTAGCTTGAAGAAGCAATGCCCGTATCGGAAGAAGCTGGAAAAGCAGAAGAAAAAGGCCCTGAAGAAAAGGTAAGATATAGGACACTGAGTTTCTAAGTCTACAAGCCTGACTTGAAGTAATAAATGAATACTCCTTTAAGCTAAATCTCCAAGCTTTGCTGCTTGGAGCGCAAAGGATTCAGGCTATTCTATGCTGGTGCTAACACTGGTGTTAAACTGACTATTTAATGGGCTGCCTGGTCCAAACAAAAACAAAGCAGATCAAACAATACTGCAAATTCAAGCAAGAGTGCAAATGCAGAAACAATGCAAAATACACAATTTAAAGCAACACCATCACATTTTCTGGCCCTCTGTAGTCTTCAGAAAAGATACTTGAGTAAAGATATCCGGTAAATATATTTGCAAGATATTGGCAAAACTAAATGGAAGTTGTCTCTTAGACCAACTTGATTGTCTTATAAATGTAAGTTAACAGAATAATGAAAGGAACAAGCCCACAAAGGAAAATAATCTTAACTTCTTTGGACAGGGAGTTTCACATACAGCCGTGTTTGTCTGCTTCCTCCAGTATCCAGTAGGTGGTAATAGCATATCACAGATTGTTCATCTTTGTCTACCGAGTCAATGTGAGACTTTTTAGGTGCTGAAATTGCCCTTTAGCAGAGCAAATTGAACTGTCTGTGTGGGACTCACCTCACTGATTTCATCCGCCTTTTGGATTCACCTGGCCTCTCAGACATGAATAGCAATGGAACAAAATTTTATTATTTAATGCACCAACGTTTTATTATTTAATGCACCAAAATTTTATTATTTAATGCACCAAATACACCGGGGGGGGGGAGGATGATTCACATACAAGTATATTGTATGCATTTTTCAGAGTTAAATTTCATATGTTCAGTATTACCCAGGTGTTTGCAAGCCACTTGCATTTTTTTTAACAATCTCTCATGTCTCATCAGCTTGGGAAATGAACAGTTACATACCAGACCCTCCAAGTGTCCCTATTTTCCAGGGATGTCCCTGATATAGAGAAGCCATCCCCGTTTCTGATTTCATCCTGGAATGTCCCACTTTTTCTTAGGATGTCCCTCTTTTCATTGGTGAAATGGAAAATAGGGACCCTTGGAGGGTCTACAGTTATTGCAGTGCCTACTTGCCTTTAGGGCTAATTGACGTGGTGGTTTGCATGTGCTGGCATGCAGTGGTTGTTATTTACTGCATTTTGAAATAATAATAATAATTTTTATTATTTCTACCCTGCCCATCTGGTTGGGTTTCCCCAGCCACTCTGGGTAGCTTCCAGCACATACAAAAACACAGTGCTTTTTTTCCTTAAAGAAATGTTTAGGGGTACTCTCATTTTCCTACTCATATTGAAATACTGCCCCTCAATGAGGCCAAACTTAGATTCACAAAATGTTTAGGGGTACATGCGTACCCCTGTGTCCCCCCCAAAAAAGCACTGTAAAAACATAGTAAAACATTGAACACTGAAAACATCTCAATACAGAGCTGCCTTCAGGCGTCTTCTAAAAGTTGTGCAGACCTTTATCTCCTTGACATCTGATGGGAGGGTTTCCACAGGGAGGGTGCCACTGCCAAGAAGGCCCTCTGGCTGGTTAATGATTAATACAGCCTCTTTCCTCTTCCAGGGATATATTTCTGTCTGTCCCATGTACAGTTTGCATGACATGAACATCAGAGTTACCCCACGTTTTGAGAATCTTCTGCCTTCGTAGTACAATCAAAGTAATGACAAAACTGCATCTCCCCAGCGTAATTGAAGGACTTTCTTGTACAGTGTGGATTTATACTGTATTGCACTAGATTCCTTTGCTCGTTTTTATTCCTGCAGTGCTAACACTCTCAGTGAGTGCATTAACCAAATTTTAAACAGCCCATCACGGTGTCTTTTCTCTTGCTCAGGTCTGACTTTTCCCTCTCCAAGTATGTCAAGTTAGCAAGGATTAAAGAGAAGGAGAACTTCAATGAGAAGGAAAATTTGAATCCAGAAAGGCTCAAGGTCAGAAGCCAAAGGTTATGGTTTGCAACAGGGACATCTGCCAAGAACGGATTTAAGAATTAATTGTAGATTAATTGTTGCATGCTTTTTACTCATGGATCAGGGCAGGGATGAGGAAAGTTTTGTTGTGTGTGCCTCATTGCCAGTTTGAAATATGTAAATTGGCAAACATGGAGGAGGCCCATTCTTCATCCTATTCAGATGGACACATGGTGCAATTTATATTGTTTTATGGGTATGGGGAGCTCTTCTTGTTTTCTTCATACTCTTATCTGTAAAGAAGGCTTTTTTTGTGAAGGCTGAATTCATATACATGGCTCACTACTGTCAGTGGGACTTTACTACCTATCACTAAAACAGCCATTTTATTTATTTTCTACCATCGCAACAATCCTATGCATTATGAAGTGTCACTATTATTTCCATTTTACAGGTGCGAGACTGAGGCAAAGAGGCAATGATTAATGTCACACAATGAATCCATGACAGAGGTGTACTCACTCATTCTCTATCTCCCTAACTGGCACTAGAAGATAATCAGTTAAAACTCACTGGCCTTAGTGTGACTTAACGGTGTGGCTAGTTAGGCAAAGCAAGCTAGCAAAAGCTTTTTAGCACCCTTTACAAGAGAGTTGTAATACATCATTGGAATTTTAACACTTTTAATACAGCGCTCTCTCTCTCTCTCTCGCTCTGTGTGTGTGTGTGTGTGAGTAATTTTTATTTTGTGTGCTTGCAGGCTCTCATAAACTATTTAGATTCTCCTGTGGAACTTGAGCAACTCTATGCAGCTCAGGTAAAGTTAAGACTTCTTATCTGTTTATTTTCGAGCTTGGAAAAGCCTTTCGAAAGGCTTGTTGTTGTTGCTGTTGTTGTTGTTCTCCCCTTCCAGATTTCATTTAATATATGAGCGCTATCTGCTTTTAAAAGAAACACAACAAAAAGCAACAAAGCTAAGATTATCAGAATTTCAAAAGCGTGCCAAGCGTTCCGGGTCAGAAATCACATTGCAGATTAAGTCCTTTTACTGGTTAAACTTTGGAACTCACTGATGATGGCCACCAGCTTGGATGACATTAAAAGACTTTAAAAGAGAATTAGATAAATTCATGCAGGATAAGGCAACCAAGGGCTGCTAGCCATCATGGCTGTGCTTTGTCTCCACAGTCAGACACAGTATGCTTCTGAGTATCAGTTGCTGGAAAGTGCAGGCAGGATGGGTCATTGGCCTGATCCAGCAGGCCCTTCCTTTTTACATTAGAGGTCAGGAATTACAGTGGTATCTCGATTCTCGAACGTAATCCGTTCTGGAGGACCATTTGACTTCCAAAATGTTCGAAAACCGAGACGCAAAGGGCTGGCTGCAAATTCAATTGAAAAACACGCAGCAGAAGCCGTTAGACTTCCGAGACTCGTTCAAAAACAGAAGCAATTACTTCTGGGTTTTCGACGTTCAAAAATTGAATTGTTCGTCTTCCAAGATGCTCGAAAACTGAAGTACCACTGTATTTCCCATGGAAAGACACTGCGGTCCCATGTAAAAATTCAGATCCATGTGCCTATCAAATGTGTAGGCCTTCTAGGAAAGGGCCATTGTCCATTGATAACAAATCTTCAGAAGCCCCCAAGTTCAGTCCCTCTCATTTCCAGGAAAGACTCAGAATGTCTCCTCTTTGAAACCCCAGAAAACCTCTGTATAGAAAATACTGAGCTAGGTGGACCAGTGGTCCAACTCATTATAAAGTGATTCCTATTAACCTTATTCCTGCTATACAGAGTTCTGCGTACCCTAGGGATGCTTATTTATTTATTCATTCTGGGTCAAGTTCGGAAAACCGGTTTGGAGGAATACAGAGGTCTCAAAGACCATTATTGGGGAAGCAAGGACCTTCATCTATTGGCCATGTTTACGTGTTACACTCAGTCGTCGGTGTAGGTGTGGTAACATCTGGTAAAGCCACTGTTATTTGTGTGTTTGCTTCTTTAAATTCTGCTAAGCTATAGAAGTGACGCAGCAGAAATAGAGCAAAGGTTTGGCTGGCCTCTAGACTCTCTGCCCATGTTGTGCTTCCCCAGAAGTCCTTTCAGCTAAAGCACAAAACTTTGAAGTGGCGACTTGCCTTAGGTAAAGGTAAAGGGACCCCTGACCATTAGGTCCAGTCGTGGCCGACTCTGGGGTTGTGGCGCTCATCGCGCTTTATTGGCCAAGGGAGCCGGCGTACAGCTTCCAGGTCATGTGGCCAGCATGACTAAGCCGCTTCTGGCGAACCAGAGCAGCGCACAGAAACGCCGTTTACCTTCCCGCCGGAGCGGTACCTATTTATCTACTTGCACTTTGAACATGCTTTCGAACTGCTAGGTTGGCAGGAGCTGGGACCGAGCAACGGGAGCTCACCCTGTCGCAGGGATTCGAACCGCCGACCTTCTGATCAGCAAGCCTTAGGCTCTGTGGTTTAACCTACAGCGCCACCCACGTCCCTAGACGACTTGCCTTACCTTGCACCTATTCCAGGTGGATGGGAACAGCTCAACTTGTTTATGGTAGGGACAATAGTGTTGGAAAACGCCCTGGGGGTGTCTTTGCAGCCCCAAACTCCAAGCGTCCTCTGGTATGCGCAGCTCTGGAAAAGGCATTACCCTTCTCCAGTGTGCTTTAGTTACATATATCAAATTATATGTGCACACTAATCTTCTAGCATAACACAGCAAGAAGCGTGAGACATCGTAGAGCTCATCTATGTATTTATTTACACACTATGTACAGACAGAGGATCCATGGCATCTCCTCTCTCCAGCTCTGAGAGGAAACAGGCAGGAACAAGTAAAAGCAAAAGTATAGTACAATAGTACATACAGCGGAAGAGATAAGACTGTCTTCTTTTCCCACACTCTTCCCAGACAGGCATGTGATTTACACCAATCTCATCTGCAGCATTGGAGGCGTGAAATACTAACAAATACAGTGGTATCTTGGGTTAAGTACTTAATTCGTTCCAGAGGTCCGTTCTTAACCTGAAACTGTTCTTAACCTGAAGCACCACTTTAGCTAATGGGGCCTCCTGCTGCTGCCACGCCGCTGGAGCACGATTTCTGTTCTCATCCTGAAGCAAAGTTCTTAACCCGAGGTACTATTTCTGGGTTAGCGGAGTAGCGGAGTCTGTAACCTGAAGCGTCTGTAACCTGAAGTGTATGTAACCCGAGGTACCACTGTAGTGGGTGATGAATGCCTTTTGTTCGAAGATGTGGTGGACCAGAGAAAGCAATTGAGTGCGGGTCAGCTGTGTGCCTTTTCAAAGCCTCTCCAGAAAGCAGTCTTGCAGTTTGTAGTGCATTTATATTTTTCAAGGCAGAAACAAATCTCTCTGCAGTTTCCTGCAGGAATTGGGAGAGGCCACCCTGGTGATTATTCTGATTTCTCTGCCTGTCTTCCTAGGCCCTTGGACAACTTGGGGTTGCTGAGGAATCTGTCACATCTGCACTTTTTAATACTGTAAGTAGAATCCCCATGGACTCTTGCCATCTTGTGATGGGCATTTGCAGACCTTTCTAACTAGATACTAAATGGGGCATTTGGCTAGTGCTAGTATGAATCTCCCTCATACTCAGTAGCATCTGGGAGGGAGGAGTGTGATGGGAATGTGGTATCATTGTGTGACACCCCCCCCATGCCAGTTCACCAACTGCTACATGCAGGAGCAGTGAATTCTTGAATGTGGTAGCATCTCATTACGCATTTCCTTTAACAGCTGTTTCTGGGGATACACATGAGGAGACGTGGGTCAGTGGCAGCCCTGCATCTCCTGTAACATCTAGTTAGGTAAAGGTAAAGGGACTCCTGACCGTTAGGTCCAGTCACGGACGACTCTGGGGTTGCAGCGCTCATCTCGCTTTACTTGCTGAGGGAGCTGGTGTACAGCTTCCAGGCCATGTGGCCAGCATGACTAAGCCGCTTCTGGTGAACCAGAGCAGTGCACGGAAATGCCGTTTACCTTCCCACTGGAGCGGTACCTATTTCTCTACTTGCACTTCGTGCTTGCGAACTGCTAGGTTGGCAGGAGCAGGGACCGAGCAACGGGAGCTCACCCCGCCGCGGGGATTCGAAGCGCCGAACTTCTGATTGGCATGCCCTATGCTCTGTGGTTTAACCCACAGCTCCACCCACGTCCCACCCTGCTATGTCATCATATCTCACCATTGGCAATGGCATAGCCCACAAGGGAAGTGGGTATGTGTGTGACTCTTCTGAGGTTAAATATAGAGCCCCTTGTAACTGTGGACTGGAGCAAGACTCACCATAGTTATTGCTGGGGAAAGTTTTCGTACCATATTAAGAACTTGTTGGGGCTGGAGGGAATTTGCCTTACCATGCAGCATATGACTTTTCACAATTAATTTATAGGCATTTGCTTTTCACGTGCCTCCTCTGTGCTTATGCTATATATACAATCTTGGATTGAGCTGAGCCCTGGTGAGTGGGCAGGCAGGGTGCTTGGCTTTGGTCTTTCGAACCCTTCCACTTCTATTCTGTGCACCTGTGATATGCTTAGATGTTCATGCATGTATAAGTAAATGGTTTCCAGCTGGCCTGCCATTAGTACTTATTCTCTCAGTTCCAGGAATGCAACAGCTTGCCTTTGCAGTATGAAGCAGCCCGGTCGCTGGCTTTGCTAGGTGAGTGACATTTCACCTCTGATCATTATCTACACAACACAAGATCCTTCAGCACAGTTTGAAGCCAACTTGTTTGGACAGCCATAGTTAGCGCTGACCATGCCCCAGTTTGGACAGAAAAACAAACCAGAGTTAGATGGACTTGAGCTCTTTTCTTCCTTCTTCCTCCTGGTGTGGCTAATTTTCTATTATTACTCACAGAGGAATGCTCCCTGGTGCATTTATAGCAATCCTCGTGTATTATAGGCCTTGTCACATGCAAGCAGAGGAGGGGTTTTTTCCTCCCTCACAGCTTTCTTTTGCACATTTCACACTTGTGGCAGAATTATAAAAGGTGACTTCCGGTCCCCTCTGTTACAGGGATATAACCATTTGAGATTCCTGTGTGGGCTGATATTTCAGATGACTTTCTGTTGGATTTGAATGTTTTGATTGCTTAGAACCCCCGGCCAAATTTTTTAGACACACATGGACTTTGATTGAATTGGAGACTTCTATTTCCTGATAGACTTCAGAGTGAGATTAAGGAAGGAATCCTTGGACTGGGAGCAAGTCCAGCTGAAATTAGTAGAATTTGTTTTCAGATAAACACACAGGCTGCAAATTGCCCAGTGATCTTTTTCAGCATGCCTTTGAAGACTGAAATCACATCTGTAAGCAAGATTTGAGCCAAGGCTCAGCCTTACAAACTTCTTTTGGATACCGCAGCTCAGCCTGGAATATCTGAAGTATTAATAACCAATCATAATAATAAGCAGCCTACTTTCACTTTTTGTTTGCTAAAGAGTATCAACATCCGTCCTCTCAAGCTGGCAAGCAGGTGTCGGTTTGGTATTTCTGTTTTTAAAGGGGGAAAGAAATATTCTGTCTAGAATATATATCCTCAGAATTGTTTTGCCTTGCAATGTGCTTCCCCTCCATTGTCACTGAACTCTTGTGCTTGAATTAATTTGTTTATCTTTGCTCTAATTGTATTTTTATTGCTTTGCGTTTTTATTTTGAATATGTTTATGTATGCCCGCAGAGAACTACAGTTAAGGGGTGGCAAATACTGCCGGTAATTAAATAAAACTTCCTGGGAGTTTTGCTTTTCCCTTTGATCACTGCCTCTTGATTCTCTGGAGCAGGTTGTCTAGATACCTCTGTAGTGAAAATGCTAATTAGACACCTAAAGGATGCGAGTCTGAATCGGAGAGAAGATACACTGAGTGCGTTGAAGGTATCCCTGCAGGCATGGTCAATGACACCTGAACTTGAGGTAATATGTGGGGCTGTATTACAGATAGACATGTGTTCTGCCCGTTTCTTCTCTTTCTGGGCCTATTTAAACAGCTTTCAGATCACTGTTGCACCTAATGCAGCTGCTCTCTTTCCCTAGTGGTATTGGATAGGTGCCCGGTCCAGTTTAATCCGAAATCTGCGACGGTTGGTGAACCTACAAGATCCCATGGACAGCGTGTCATTCGACGCAGCCCTTTGCTTAGGGTACCTGGACAAGTATAATCCAATCGCACAAGAGACCATGTTCATGTGCTTGTCCCAGGACGACTGTCAGAGGAAAATTCAGGTGGGGCTGTTACATAAATGGACAGAGAGATATGAGTTGTGCTTTGTGGTCCGAATATCTCTGTGAAGTGAGTCCCTGAGAAATATTTGCCCCAGGATAATCACAGGGGAAAGGAGAAACAAAACTTGTTGTGCATTCTGCCTTCTCACAGGGCAGGGGGCGAAGTTGCAGTTATTGCTCATTCCCCCTGTTTAAGAGAATATAAAAATGCACATTTATCAGCCACCTTCCCCAGTTTGCTTCCCTTTTCCTTAGCTAGTCATGGCCCTGAGATGGGAGAAATCTGCTATGCATAGGAATAGCCATAATCAAGAATATTTAGCTCAGATCTGTACTGTGGCTGCACCCAATAGTGGACGAAGACCTTTGTGCAAACTGAACTAGTCAAGGCATTGGGAGACACGGGGCTCAATCTCCCTTAATCTACAACAGAGATAAAAGCAGCTGTGGCACAGGAGTCAGTGTGAGAGGAGAGAATCAGATTTAGGCTGTAAGAGGAGTATTTCCCAGCCTTGGGTCTCCAGCTGTTTGTGGACTACAACTCCCATCATCCCTAGCAAGCATGACCAGTGGTCAGGGATGATGGGAATTGTAGACTGAAAAAAGCTGGAGACCCACGTTTGGGAAACACTGCTGTAGAGCTATGGTGAAGCTTTTTCTTATACCTCATTGACAGTATATCATTTGTTTGTACATTTGCACATTCTCCATGGAAGCTAGAAGCTGACTTTTTAAAACCTGGTTTGTTTGTTTTTCTAAAGAAAAGGCAAGAAGAAAAAGACGCAACTTTAGGATTCAGTTGAAAGGATTTAAACTGTAGAAGATCAGATTCCTAATATGCCGTTGGGAGAAGAGTTGGGCAATTGCATTAAGTTGTTTTGGGATCTCCTTTCCTACAGTTTTTCAGGAGTTCAGGTTCAGGGACTGTCGTATTATTTTAATGCTACCTTTAATATTATTTAGTTAAACGAGACTTCTTGGCATGAAGCCCAAATTGTCTTCCTCTCCCCCATACCTTACCCCACTTTGAACACATGCTCTCTCTCCATCCATGTCTTCCTCTTCTAGGCTTTGGTCATGCTGGTAAAGCAAATGGCCATCGTGGACCCTGTAGTTATCAAAACTGTTATTGACCAGCTTCAGCGTTCTCCTTTGTACAAGGTGAGCAAATTTTGTTCTGTAGAACCCTTTCTGTGGTGTATTAAGCCAGTATCTCAATTTTGGCTGAATTTCCCTCCCACTCTTTTGCTCGTCCATGGATCCAAAAATTTGCTTGCTATTTTCTCTCTACATGCTTTTTCATGCATGAATTTGGCTGAATAGGTCCTTTGCCGGTATATAGATTTGTCTGAGCTTCTCTCTCTCTGTTTATCTATCTTACAAAAGGATTCTATTTATTTATATTTACTCAGAAATAAATTCCTGTGGGTTGGGGTCAGCAACCTTTTTCAGCTGTGGGCCGGTCCACCGTCCCTCAGACCATGTGGTGGGCAGGACTATATTTTGGGGAAAATTCATATGCCCCAGAAATAACCCAGAGATGCATTTTAAATAAAAGGACACTTTCTACTCATGTAAAAACACCAGGCAGGCCCCACAAATAACCCAGAGATGCATTTTAAATAAAAGGACACATTCTACTCATGTAAAAACACGCTGATTCCCAGACCATCTGTGGGCCGGATTGAGAAGGCGATTGGGCCGCATCCGGCCCACGGGCCTTAGGTTGCCTACCCCTGCTGTGGGCTCAATGGGACCCCTTCCCAAGGGTCTATGCTTCAGGGATTATGTCTGGAACTTGTTTTTCCTGCACAGTTCTGGATCATTTGAAATAATAATCTCAATGGAATGGCCTCAGAAATGTGTGTGTTATCTCTACTGAAATGTCAGGGGATAGGGGCAATGCTGCTGCTATCACAAAAGCAACAAGCAGTCTTGTAGCCCCTCAAAGCTAACAAATATATCACGATATATATAAAGCACAAGCTTTTCTGGGCTAGAGTCTACTTCATCCATAACACATGTGTTAGTTTTTAAGTTAAGTTACAAGACCTTATGGTTTTTGCTACAACATACTAACATCACTACCCTTGTGGGGGCTGCTAGAATGTCAGTTTGAGGCAGATTTAAACCAGGGATGGGAAACGGTTGGGCCTCCAGATGTTCAGCTCCCATCAGCCTCAACAGCACGACCAATGGTCAAGGATTACGGCAGCTGTAGTCTAAAAACATCTGGAGGGATGCCACAGACTTCTCAACCCTGAGACACCATGCCTCTATTTTTCCAGAAACTGCACAGTTCTACATCTAGAAGCCTTGCTGCTGGTGTTATAATGGGATCTGTGCAACTTCACTTGCTGTTAGTACGTGAGGATTTGTCCAAGGCACCAAGCATGTTTGCATTCTCCAGTTCTTTAGGCTAATTCTTCTCCCAGAACTCCTTGAACATGATTTCCTTTTTAAACAACAACAGCAACAACAAAGGGTCATATTTAGCCTAAGAGAATCCCCGCTGAACTTGAAATCACCTTCCTAGAATGTTATGGGAACAGCCCAAGATACATGATTGAATCAAGGGTTTGCATTTGATGCCGCAAGAATTGTGATCTATGCAAAGTGCAGAAACAGCTAAGACCACCCTCAATTAGAGATTTGTTTCTGAGAACTATCAGGTTTGTTTCTGAGAGCAATATGCATGGGATTGGGTTACAAGTATTGTATTATTTTTTTCAAGGACTTCCTACCACTCGATTTTCCTTTTTCCATTGTTCCATTCGTTCATGTTCTCAGTAATTTAAAAGTTTTGTCTGTGTTGCGGATGCAGCTGTCTTTAGAGTTAACGGGCTAGAAGGAAAACATAAATAAGAAAGCAGATTTTTATTTCTTATATAAGCACAAAGTAACATGGATCTTAGGGACGCGGATGGCGCTGTGGGTTAAACCACAGAGCCTAGGACTTGCCGATCAGAAGGTCGGCAGTTCGAATCCCTGCAACAGGGTGAGCTCCGTTGCTCGGTCCCAGCTCCTGCCAACCTAGCAGTTCGAAAGCACGTCAAAGTTCGAGTAGATAAATAGGTACCACTCCAGCGGGAAGGTAAACGGCATTTCCGTGCACTGCTCTGGTTCGCCAGAAGCGGCTTAGTCATGCTGGCCACATGACACGGAAGCTGTACGCCGGCTCCCTCGGCCAATAAAGCGAGATGAGCGCCGCAACCCCAGAGTCGGTCACGACTGGACCTAATGGACTGGACCCTTTACCTTTACCTAACATGGATCTTGCCTGCCTTTGACGATGCATGCCTTTGGACCGGCATCCTGAACAAAAGCTTTGAGCTTTTCCTATATCCTATGAAGTTTATTTTGTTTACCTCTTTAAGTTTCTTCTTCTTCTTTGTGTTGTAACAGGTTTTGTAAGCTTTGAAAATCAGTAAAACATAACTAGAAAAGAAGTGGTGGGGACTGGTGAATAGTGGAAGAAAGAGTGGCAGTCCTACTGGGGCAGAATGAAGAGCAGGTTGAAGGGACAGTCTGTTGAAATATCACAAGCACATGGCGTTTGTTAAATGGATAGTTCATGTTCTGTTTTTTGCCTCTTTACCCTCAGCATCGCGTTGATGCTGCAAGACTGCTGGCCACCATAGGGCTCGAAATCATCCAAGAGGAAGGCTTGGAGGAGGAAGTGTTCAATGTGCTTCTGGAGAAGTTGTCTGAGGAACCTTTTCTGGTGATGTTGAACTTTTCAAAGCTGTCCCTTTGGTTTTTCAGTTTTGCGAACTAGGCTTTATAGTACAGTTCTGCCTTGCCTTTTAAAACACCCAAATTCTGTAGTTCTCCATCATGTCCTGTTCCATTCAGATGCCATCTGTGCCTAAGCAACGGATGTCCAAAATGTATACACCCCAGCTTATGTTTTTTAATCATATGGAAGCTAGTTTGAGGGCAAGTGCATCACGCACAAGTATTTCTCAATAAACTACAAGATACATATGGATTGTGGCTAACATAATGTGTACTCTGCTTCAAATACCAGTGGTGGGAGCACACTGGGATTGAAGTAAACAGCAATGTGTACACAGCCTGAGTTATCCAAAGAATTCAAACTGAGAAACTATGGTTAATGGTGTTGGTTCAAGGAAACAATAGGTATAAAAGCAGAATTCCTAGATGCCAATATGAGGTTTGTGTCTCATCCTTCACCCAGGTTGTGAGGCAGGCTGTTGCCTCAACTGTTGAAGAACTGAACATAAAGAAGCGAGTCTGGGACATAGTGGAGAAGTAAGCTGCAAGATAAGGCAACGATTCAATGTATATTCCATTTTTTTCCTTCAGTGAGAGAGACCCTAAAGGTGGCTGCAACTTTCACACTTCTCAACTGCAGGGGTCAAACCGCAGAAAGTGCCACCTGGTGTGAGGCTGTGTACACCCTGTAAAAGCACATTTCCCCCCTCCTAAAAATCATGGGAACTGAATTTTTCTTAAGGGTTCTGGAAATTGTAGCTCTCCGTGTGCTAAACTACAGTTCCCAGGATTCTGGAAGGGGGTGCTTTAATTGTATTGTGTGTATGCAACCTGGGTGCAAAAGGAGCTATAGGGCTGCACCTGCCCACACACTTTACAGAACCCAGCATTTGAACCATAATTTCATTTACTAGAATCCACATTCTTAAGGCTCATGAAATTTCAAATTGTCTTAAGCTGTATACAGATGATGATTAGAGAGTTTTTAAAAAAACATTATAACAAAGTTACTGCAGGACTTATACACCTTTAAAGGCAATTCCTAGTGGGAAGGAGCAGCGGAGGAGCAAGCCGAGAGGGCGCCTGGGACGGCGCACATGCCCTGTGCCCAGGGGTGGGGCCAGCCGATCTGGGGCAGGACAGTCTGCGGGGCCTCTGAGCAGTCTGTCTGGTTCCTCCCACTCAGCCGCCCTACCACTTAGGGGGAGGCAGCGAGTGGACTGTTTGGGGCAGCACGGAGCCTGTGGGCACCCAAGCCACCACGTTACTCCCAGGAGAGACGCGTAGCTCTGGCGTGCTGCAGGCCCCGGAGTGAGTGTCGCCCGGCATTTTGTCACCCCCCTCAGTGGTAACACCCAGGGCAGCCCGCCCCCACCGCACCCCCTTCCCCCGCCCCTGGGAAGGAGAGGTAGACGCTAAGAGACAGAGCGAGTCCCATTCAGAGTCAGAGGAGAAATCTCCCTGAAGGAAGAGAGGCATGGATTGTGCAGACCACCGGCTTTTCTGGGAAACAAAAATCCTTGGCTGAGCTGCTGGAGTAGGCCGCAAAGTGGTTTAAACAATATTGTAGAGCTATCGTTTCTTCAGCATACACTCTTTTTTTACAAAAAAAAATAATCTTGACCCACTGTGGTCTCTGCTCAAACTAGTTTAGCAGCTTTTTGTAGTGCTTTAATCTAGAAAAAAAAGCCAAAACTACTCTACTGAAGCATGATCTGAATATTGCAGCAGATGATGATGATGGTGATGGTGATGATGATATTTATACCATGATCATCCAGCTGGGTTTCCCCAGCCACTCTGGGCAGCTCCCAACAGAATATTAAAAACAGAATAAAACTTCAAACATTAAAAACTTCCCTAAACAGGGCTGCCTTCAGATGTCTTCTAAATGTCAGATAGTTGTTTATTCTCTTGACATCTGATGGGAGAGCGTATCACAGTGCAGGCGTCACTACTGATAAGGCCTTCTGCCTGGTTCCATATAACTTCACTTCTTGTAGTAAGGGAACCGCCATAAAGCCCTCGGAGCTGGACCTCAGTGTCTGGGCTGAACGAGGGGGATGGAGATGCTCCTTCAGGTATACTGTCCCAAGCTCCCTTTTGCATCTTATAACCTCTTGTGTTAACCATGCGTCACAGCAGACTCCTAGAGCACATTTATTAAACAGACTGGTCCTGAGGCTTACTTGCACAGAACTGAAGTGGTGGAGGGGAACCTCACAACCCGCCTACAGAAATCCCACCACATCTGCCGAACTGCAGGAAGAGTGATGGCTACATTCAGCTTCCTTTCAACCCATGACACATGAAATTTGGCAAGACATTGGTGTGAACCCACACTCTAGTTACATAACATATTCTGGATTGGAGTCCCGTGGCTGCTTTTTCAGCTCAAACATGCTTTTAAGAAAATAGGTTTACAGTGGTACCTCAGGTTAAGAACTTAATTCGTTCTGGAGGTCCGTTCTTAACCTGAAACTGTTCTGAGGTACCACTTTAGCTAATGGGGCCTCCTGCTGCCGCCGCACCGCAACTGCACGATATCTGTTCTCATCCTGAAGCAAAGTTCTTAACCCGAGGTACTATTTTTGGGTTAGCGGAGTCTGTAACCTGAAGCGTCTGTAACCCTGTACCACTGTATTGCAATGTGTGATTTTGCCATATAGTGAAGCTATGTGAAAGGATGGGTGGTTTGCCACATATGTGCTCCTGAGGCAAATTAAAAATAGAGGAGGGGAAGTACTGATTTTTCTGTTAGTGATTGAAATATACTACGCCAGAGGCTACTTGCAATCTAGTCATCTTTGCTCCATGGGAAGAGGCTGCTGCAATGCGGAATTAGGGGAAAAAACCAAACAGATCAAACAGGACTCTTTAGGCCAGCAACAAGGCTCTGCCCTTATCCATTATATTTGCAGAGTTACTGGGGTTGCAGTCTTAACCCCACATATTTAGAACTAAACCACATTGAATTCAATAGGATTAACATCTGAGCAGGCATGTGGCTTATCCACACTTCCTCTTGTGTCTCAGCTGCTTCCCTCCCCTGCTTTTTAGCGCTCAACTGGAGCAGGCAGCAATTTGGGTTTCCCCCAGATTATCATTTGTTCCCACCTATTGTTAAAGAGTGAGTTTTCCCTGGGAAAGGAGAAGGGCAAGGGGAAAACTGCTCAGAACCCATGCTTTCTAGGCATGGCACAAGCAGAAGTGTGAACAAGCCCTTGGCGAGGATTGCACTGTAAACTACTGCTGTTCACAGGATCAGAATCATAGAGCTGGAAGGGACCATGAGGGTCATCTAGTCCAACCCCCTGCGGTGCGGGAATCTTTTTGCCCAACATGGGGCTCGAACCCAAGACCCTAAGTCGATTCAAGGCTAGTGCAAAGGAAGCCATGAAGTAGGCACTTGCTGCTGTTGTCCCCCCCCCCCAAACATCCATCTGTACACAGCCTTGTAACCTGATCCTATGCATGTTTACTGAGAACTAAACCTCACTAATTCATTCCCAAATAAGTGCACTTTGAACTGCAGTCTTATTCTCTGGCATCTCTCATCCAGGTATGGGAAGCTTGCATCAGGAGGATATCGCTTTGGTTGAACTGAGAAGGTCATATTTGAAAAGGGTTCTTTCAAATTGTTGAGAAATAATATCACAGTGGAACCAATATCTTTTTGGGGGGGGGATCTCATGGATATGAACATTTTTCTTCTTCTCCTCTGAAATGTCAGTACTGGTAAATGCCTCCTTTTTTGTCCATAGGCAGCTAAGGGATGACAAAGATGAGATCCGAAAGAAGGCTGTGATTGCATTAGTAAGTCACACTTCATGTTTAGTCACATAGCCTTGGAGCTGTCAGCTTGCAATCACAAAATGTGCATTATTATTAATATTATTATTATTATGCAAGCAGTGCTTTTTTTCAGGGGATACTCAAGGGTACTCAATACTGGCGCCTCTTTTTGTTGTTGTTAAAAAGTGTGGCACTTACTGTAACAACTTCATGGTGAACGCTGGCACCTATTTTTCTAGGGGGCGGGGACGCACTGTATGCAAGGATACATAGATTGGTGTTCAACTGGATAAACTCTGCTGACAGAAGATATCCACCAGCTGAATAAGAAGGAAGGCTGTTTCCAGCAATTCCTCCTTTCCCCCATTGCATCCCCCATCTGCAGCAGAGGATTTGGAACCTTCCAGGGGGATTGCCAAAAATCACCTCCCCCTCCCCACTCTACTGACTTCCAACAGTGAAGAGACACAAATCAGATATTGCCCATAGTAAGCTGCATGCTTGCCTTTGGGATTAAACTGTTACGATAATTCCAGAGCCCCAAGAATGTCTTCACTACTCACCTGAAGGCCAAGGTGAAAGACTGGCTGGACTTCCCAAGGGAGGGAAGTCCATTACCATCACATTCCTAAGCCCCACATGCCCCAGGCAGCCAAGTCTCTGAATCACCTTTCCCCAACCCAGTGCCTTCCAGCTGGTTTACACTGCAATTCTCACCACTCCTGACTATTGGCTGGAGCTGACGGGAGTTGTATGTAGCCCAGAAACCTGGAAGGCGTCAGGCTGGGGAAGGCTGCTCTGAAAGCAAAGGGGCACAGAACATGGTCTCCAGTGATGAACATATGCAAACTCAGAAATTCCTGGTCTCAAGCCATTTCGGGCTTTGTTGTTAATAACCAGAACTTTGAATTGTGCCTAGAATCACCAACCAACACCCACCAACAAAAACATCAAATCTTGGAGCAACTCACATAACACCAGAGTGTAATGTACTCCACAAAACTGACGCCAGCCAACCTTCTTGACAGCTACGTTTTGCACCACCTGAGGTTTCTGAACACTTTTCATGGGCAGGAACTCAGAGCATTTGGAAGTCATCTTATTTGGAAGTGAGTTGTATGGCCAAGGCATGTGTGAATGTGGGTGGGTCTGCCTTTCCCAAGAAATTATTGGGCCTAAAGCTCTTGAGAACCTTCAGAAATACTTACAAGACATACAGGCACTTCCAGACTGTCATAACTTTTGGTATTCAGTCACATAGCAACAAATTCAGGCTGCACAATTAGAATCAGCCAGTCGGACTTTACCAGGAATGAGGCCCACTGGAGCACCAGCTGAAGCTGGACAAAACACTATTGGGCCAAAGTACTCCAGGAGTACTCCCAGGTTTTTAGGTCGACATCCCATCCAATGGAATGGTAGTCTTCCTGGCCAATAGCAGTTCTGTCTTGCACATATTTAATTTCTGTTTGTTTACCCTTAACACTTCCTGTTTGTAGATTATACATTTGTGTGTAGATTTGCTTAGGGAAATGAAGCTCCTCAGATACGTGTGGTACTGAGACCTCTGGGTATGGGGCAGTATAGAAATTCAAAAAAATTTCAATAAATAATAATACATGTGTCCATCTATTATTGTGAGAAGAAAAGTGCTCTCTGATCATGAAAGATGGCCAGATTAAATGTTGTGGCACACCATTAAGAATAAAATATATATTTAAAGAAGATAAATAAACGAGTAAGTTAATTTGGATATGCAGAAGATATTAAAAATAAAGGAACTGCAGAAAGGGGGGGAAGGAAGTCAAGTTTTAAAATGTCACAATGATTGTAAAATCAGTGAAATGTATATATCTGAAAAGTATAAATATATTTTTTAAAAAAGAATAAAATGCCAATTTGAAAAACCTTTCTGCATCTTGTTTTGCTTTATATAAGTGACACTTCATTCCTCTGCCTCTCACTAGGGTGTCCTTGGCATTCGCAATAAGAATTTGTTCTTTGCCATGTTGGAAATGCTGGAGCTAGACACCTGTGAGGATGTCCGCATACAGGTTGGTATCAGGGCAGTTCAGAGTCCTGTAGGTTGGAACCTTCTGTGCTGCTGACTGTGTCTCTTTTGCTGATCAGTAAATTGAGTGTTTCCCCACATACTCCTCTCAGGTTGTCAGGGCATTTTCCACTCTGGGGATGGACAACATGCATGTGAGGAAGAGCCTTGTGAAGAAAGCACAGACAAAAGGGATTCTTGCCAGGTATGATGCACATTAAAGGTAAAGGTACCCCTGACCATTAGGTCTAGTCGCGGACGACTCTGGGGTTGCGGCGCTCATCACGCTCTATAGGCGGAGGGAGCCGGCGTACAGCTTCCGGATCATGTGGCCAGCATGACTAAGCCGCTTCTGGCGAACCAGAGCAGCGCACGGAAATGCCGTTTACCTTTCCACCGGAGTGGTACCTATTTATCTACTTGCACTTGACATGCTTTCGTACTGCTAGGTGGGCAGAAGCTGGGATCGAACAACGGGAGCTCACCCCGTCGCGGGGATTCGAACCGCCGACCTACCAATCAGCAAGCCCTAGGCTCTGTGGTTTAGACCACAGCACCACCCACATCCCTATGATGCACGTTAAGGGGTGCACAATAAAGTAAAAGCCATGCCTGACGCAACTCCCTGGGAGCAGGAGGTCTGTTTGAAGGCCATATCAGAGCAGCAATCTCCTAAGAGGCAGGGACAAGGGAATAAGTGGTGAGGGGTAAAAATCCCAGAAGCAGCCCCTGTAAAGTCGAAGTGGAAGCAGAGGCAGTCTGTAACCAGCTAGAGTAGGTTTCTTAGTTGCTCAGAACCTTCGGCAAGCTTGATCAGGGAGCCTCTTATAAGCCAGGAAGCATCCTCAGCCGCCTGCACATCTTGTTGAACAGAGGTTTTCTTGTCTGGTCCTTCCTGCAGTTTCCTCCTTTGGCTTGAGCTGGCTGGTGGTAGACGCAGGCAGAGTCCCTGCCTGATGTCCCTCAGGCTGCCAGTTCAATGCCCATTGCAAGCTGGAGTCATAGCTGGTTTGAAAGTGACCTAGCTTATAGAGAATTTGTATGTGTGGATGTGGTGGGCCTAACCAGGTGCAAATGGAGTGTGCTAAAAATGTGTCTCTTGGGTTCCTGGAACTGGGCACTTGAATTCCTGACATGGGGATTCTTAGTTCAGCATCAGGTTTCCCATGCAAAATGCTACCGCGGCAAGTGAACATTGCAAAAGGGGGAGAAAGTGTGTGTGGGGGGGAGAGTTTTCTCTGGGGGTAAGTAATTTACTAACTGGCAGGATAATCCTATTAACGGATTCAAAAATATGGCATCCCCCAAAGGGAGTCTTTATTCACCTTCCTTTTCTTTTGCATTCTCCTTGGCTCTCCTTCCTCCTTCACAGAGAATGTTCCAAAGCCTTGGAGTCACTTGATAAGGTCTCTGATGCCCAGAAAGAGTATATGCTCCAATCCTTCAAAATCTACTGAGATGACTTCTTTCTTTTTGGATTGCGACAGCAGAATCAAGGCAAGGCAGATGGAATAAAACATCGCCTCTGGTTTTCCAGTGGCAAAGTGTGTGAGAATATATCTGAGCAGGCCTATTCACAGAGTGCATTTCTTCAGCAGTTGCGGGCATCTCACGAGTTACGTTGATGGCAGGTTTTCAGATCATCTGGTTACCTATCACCCAACTGGACTTTCTATAATATTTTCCTTTTGACTACCAGAACTCCTGCCCAAGGTCCCTTGTTGATTTCCAAGCTTCTCCGTGTCAAACTTTGCTGTGTAGCCACAAGAAGCAGAAATGCGTTTCTTTTTAAACGGGAGAGCCTATAATTAGTGCTGCAGATTCAAGTTCTAGGATACAGATTATTGTTATTGTTTTATTCTCAGTTTTCTGAACAGCTGATCGAACAATGTCCTCTGGGTGGCGTACAGAAGGCAATCAAATACAAAAACGCATTTGGGTCAGTTAAATAACCTCAATACAAATAACTCAGAAACCGACATAAAAATATCAAAACCAGTATATAATAAATACAGTGGTACCTCGGGTTACATACACTTCAGGTTACACACACTTCAGGTTACAGACTCCGCTAACCCAGAAATAGTACCTCGGGTTAAGAACTTTGATTCAGGATGAGAACAGAAAGAGTGCGGCCGCGGCGCGGCAGCAGCGGGAGGCCCCATTAGCTAAAGTGGTGCTTCAGGTTAAGAACAGTTTCAGGTTAAGAACGGACCTCTGGAATGAATTAAGTACGTAACCAGAGGTACCACTGTATAAGCACTAGCTGGAAAACACCACCACACCCAGCAAGGAGTAATCAGTTTGGGTCCAGACCTAATACACTACTGAAGCATATAATTGAAATTAAAAGGCCTGGGATAAAAAGCACCTGGTGCCCAAATTGCTGCAGCAGGCAAATCTTTCTGGGGAAGGTATTCTGCAAATAAACAGCATATAGTCATGCATTAAGGTACATTAAAGCCTCCCTCCCTGCTCAAATTATATTTACCTTTCTGGCATATGCTTTCTCACCATATGTAGTTGCAGCTAATGCAGATCCATCATTTTCCTTTTACTGTAAGAGTAGGATCTGCTGTCACTTTCCAGTTCCCCAGCAGTTGGTTTTTGTTGAAGCAGAGCAGTGATTCAACCTCATTTTATTACAAGTTACTCTTTTAAAGGGGAAGGGTCTCCGAGCTAGAGAAGTGGTCTGGAGCCTGGATAAGAAAACCCACATGACAGTGCACTGAGAGAAACACTTTTGGATTTCTATATATATATATTTAATGGTCAGGCTTCACCTCTGTATAAAAGACCTCCTGAGCAGGTGTCTCTGGGTGGGCTGGCCTGGAGAGATTTATGTTGTTGTAGACGTGACCATGATGATCTGAAATATCCAGGCTGGCATAAGACACCTCATCTTGCTCCTCTGAAGTCTGAAAGAGAATAAGATTAGAAATGCTAACAAGCCTCAGGCGGCCTGTAGGTAAGATGGCATAAGGGCCCTGCTGAATGAGACTGAAGGCCCATACTGGCGCAAACAGATGGCAGTGGCTAATAAGGATGCTGGTTAAAGCATTCATTTTCTTCCTACCTTTTCCTGGGAGTGAATCTCTTCATAGTCATTTTCAGGAAGGACCTTAACAATCCTGTAGAGTCCCGTCTCATTATGGTCTGGGGGCTGGTCAGAAATGGTGTTCTCATTCTGAGTATCTTCAGTATTGTGGGTAGGCATCTGTGAGAGGGGAAGTAAACGCAGTTTTGAAAACAAGTCACAGAAAGGGAGCTTTGTACTCATCTGAAATGGCCCTAACTTGGTACTCGATAAGATTTCTGCCAGGGAGCCAGAATGCAAACATGCCACCAAGAACAAACTTTTCAAGAATGAGGTCTAATGTATGCTGAAATCTTGGCTGTATTAGCAGATGCACTGTTGCTGGTGGTCAAGGAAAAAGAGCTATATAAAGGAGAATTCCTGAGTGCCAGCAGAGAGTTAAAATCACAAAATATGCAGCATGGAAATATAAATGGTTAGACCTTTAAAATATGCCCTTGTGAGTTCCCTCTTCCCCCAGCATAGGAAAAGATCACATGTTTGGTAAGTTAAACATTTGCTTACTTACAAACTGTTCAAAGGTCTGATTCATGTGCCTACCAATACAGCGTTCAGAAAAAGTTGTGCAGGCTAAATTTAGTTTAGTTCCAAAGTGGTGAAAGTTATCAGGAATGGCTGATGAGAGCCATGCAGGTGGAGCTGGAGCAACCAGCTTAGAACCTCTTCACATGTTGAGCTTCTCAGGTAGACCGGGGAGGGAACAAAGACTTAAAAGTTCCTCCCAAGGGGGAAGTAGACTTGGCTAAGGCTGGTAGGACAGCTTACTTACTCTATGACGGAGCTTTCAAAACTTTTCATGTTGGTGACACACTTTTTAGACATGTATCATTTTGCAACACAGTAATTGAGTTTCACTAGTAAACCGGAGGTTAGACTCACCCCTTTCTAGCCCTGGGAGGAGCACAGGGAGTATTCGCGTGATACACTGCAGCCGACGCGACTCAGGCTGGAAAACTCTGCTCTATGCTATTAACCCCTTCACATATTAAGTAGACTTAAGCATGTTTGGTATATGAGGCTGGTTAACCCACAGCTGTGATACCACATTGTGGTATTTTAAGACTGACTTTCACCACATCTGAAGATCTTCCTCATTGCTCCTCAGTACTACTATTCCACTTCTCAGAAATAAGAATTTTAGACTGTTCTGGTGCTACTTATTGTGATTGCATTAATGTGCCTTATATATTGCGGCAAACCACTTTCATGTATTTTTCATGACATAGTGGTATATAAATATTTATTTTATAAATAATATTAATAAAAAAAAATCTTATCATGGAGTGATGTGAGATTTTTGCCTTACCCTTTCTGGTAGACTTAGCTCCTCTTTTCTCTGAAAATGTGATTCTGAAATGGATGCATCAATTGGAAATCAGGTAGGTCAAACTAAGCAACTGCAACAACAGGTTAGGTGGTAAGAAAAATCTGCTTGACTGAAATTCCGCACTGGAATTACACCTACTGGAGATTATACTGAATATTTATTCTGTGCTTTTATCCTGTGCTTTTATTTTATGAACCTCCCTGAGAGCTTTCGATGAAGGGTGGTATATAAATAATAAACAAACAGACAAATAATCCTAGGCCTATGTACTCAGAAGCAAGTCCCGTTGAGTTCAGTGGGCTTATTCCAAGGTAAGTGCACCTAGATTTGCAGCCCTACGACCACAGAGCCTGAAATATTGCTAATCACTGCCAGCCATGTGGCTTCTCAGTTTGCTCCCTGTCACTCAGGCCCCTCTTAAGATTCCAAGAAGCTTGGGCCTTAATATTTGTCTGAGTCTCTCCCTTCTTCATATTGCACCCTCTCAATGGGTTGTATCTAAGCTAGTTCTAAAGACTCCATCAGTACAAGTATTTATCTTTGTGCAACAGAACATTCTCCCACTGCACACGCCCTATCTGTTCTGGGGCTTCCCTCCACTCTTCCAAACAGATTTTGGGGCAGCAAGGGGGACCAGTGGTGGAAGAGGAGTCCCATGTCACCAGCATGAAAATTTAGTTGAATACCTCCCACTGTTATGTGGTTTCCCCCACCCCCAGTTGGAGGCTCTGTAGACTGATGCATGTTTACTTGGAAGCAGGTTCTCCTGTGTCCAATGAAGCTTACTCCTAAGTACCATATTTTTCCATCTATAAGACGCCCCCTATTTTGGGGGACTCAAATTTAAGAAAATGGGGGGGGGGAGATCTATCTGTGTTTAAGACACCCCCAAATTTTGGACATTATTTTTTAGGGGAAAACCCTAGTCTTATACACAGAAAAATACAGTATGTGTGCAGAGGATTGTTGCCTCTTAGTTTTACAAACAGGTGACATTCAGAGGTGAATTGTTTAACAGAGCTCTTGTGTTAGGTTTATGCGGAATAAAATTCAAGTAGGAAGGAAGCGTGCTCAGGAATAAACAAAGAATACAGCATCGCTCTGACCTGTTTTCGTCTTCCTTGACATCACAAGCAGCACCACAGTTGCAAGTAAGACAAGAATAAATAGTGGAATGATACTATATATCAAAATGTAGAGCTTTGATTCTGGGGGGGTCCTGGCAAAAGAAAAAAGAATAGAATATCAAATGTCACATATTTCCATTAGCCATTTCAACAATGGCCATTTCATTTAAAAAATACATCCTTCTTACATAATATGCAACTTTGTTCCACTTGTTTATTTTCTTGATTCTTCAGCATATCTACTTGGGAGTCAGTCTCGCTGAACTCACTCCAACCTTAGACATGCACAGGGTTGTGCTGTCAATCTCTGATTCCTCCTCCCTCCCCAAAAATGATACATAGGGAAGGGATTTTCTTTCGCAAGAATCCAAGCAAATATTTTGATGTGATTGAAACGCCTTCAAAATTACCATGGTCATCCGGACTGGCCCAGATTGTCATGTTGACCCAGGATGAAAACAGAAGATGATATGGATAATGTGCACAGAGGTCTGCACTGCTCTTTTTCAGAGATGTTAAAATGGGAGCAAACCCCCCCAAAGTCAATCAGATTGGAGAGTGTAACATTATATACATGATTCCCCAACAGATACAGTTTGTTTTAGTCATGTACCTTATGATGTAATTTCTTACTGATCATCATCATCATTAACAGTAATACTGTAATTAATTTATGAATTGCTTCTCTTGTAATTAATGGCCTTGGAAAGGGGTTTGTGGTGGGTGGCTCCCACCCGTTCGACGTCACAGCAATTGATGATAAGTCGGAAAGTTTTGGAAACAAATTTCTAGCTAACCAAACCTTTTGCATTTTAATGATTTACATTTTTTACGTGGGCTCTTGGGTTATAGACATACATGTAAAGGTAAAGGGACCCCTGACCATTAGGTCCAGTCGTGGCCGACTCTGGGGTTGCGGCGCACATCTCGCTTTATTGGCCTAGGGAGCCGGCGTACAGCTTCCGGGTCATGTGGCCAGCATAAGCCACTTCTGGCGAACCAGAGCAGCACACGGAAACACTGTTTACCTTCCCGCCAGAGTGGTACCTATTTATCTACTTGCACTTTGATGTGCTTTCAAACTGCTAGGTTGGCAGGAACAGGGACCGAGCAACGGGAGCTCACCCCGTCGCGGGGATTCGAACCGCCAACCTTCTGATCAGCAAGTCCTAGGCTCTGTGGTTTAACCCACAGCGCCACCCGCATCCCTTTTAGACATACACATAGTTGTGCCTTTTGTTGTTGTTGTTGCTCCATCATAATTCTTGCAAACATAACCCCCGCAAGAGCAGATACTGAAGGGACTGTCAAGAGACACCAGATCATGCAGATTAAGCATTGCCAGTCCCAGTTTCTAAGTTCCTTCAGGGGGCTGCAAAAATGCTCTACTCCATCGGTCTGCAAGTCATAGAAGTAGAAGTTTTCCCAACCCTGCAAGCATGGAATAGTAAAAACCAAAGCCAATTTCTGTTCAAACAACAGCACCGGGCAGCAACATGAAAATCAAACAGTTGTAGCAGTTTCCTCAGACCTGGTATTCTCAAAAGTGCCCAGTACCACAGCTTCCTCTGTGGGAAACATCTGCTGCCCATTACATCAGTATAAATACCATATTTCGGACAAATATTCACAGGCATCTATTCCCCAGTTAATCTAGGAGAGATTAGCTGCAGAAATCTTATATTTCAGTGGTCAGCGACAAAAGGGGGAGATTAAAAGTGGGGCCTACATAGAAAGCCCCTCACAAGGTTATAGAAAAGAAACCCAAATACTCACTCTGTAGGATCTGGGCTGTGGGTAGACTTTACTACGGAGGTGATAAATTCCAGTGTTTCTGTAGAGGATAACTTTTCTTCTGGATCTGAGGGGGGTGAGGGGTGGGGGCAAAGGGCAAAAAACAAAAACAAAAAAGAATCAACAAAAATTGTGGTCATAGTTCCTCTGCTATATCAAGAGCATTCTGTATTTTACTGCATGAAGAGAAGGATTTCATCTATTCATTGATGTTCTGGAGATTTTTTCTTTCTCCATTTCCTCATTCCTGCATTTCTATCATTACAAACAAGGAGAGGAGGAGAAGCGTTTACCTGGAGTAACTGTCACGTTCACCCTGTGTCTGATATTGCGCAAGAGACGTTCTATAACGCAGTGATAAACACCGGAATCATCCAGATTCAAACTGTCCATGGTCACTTGAAAGTAGTGCTCTTTCTTATTCTCTCTGAGGGAGAATCTGCCCATGTTAACTTTTCCATCTGATGATATTAAACTTTCGCATGAAGACAAAAATATGCCTTCGTTTATTTTGCACCAACTCTTAGTGTTATCTTCAAAGGTTTGTTGATAATGGCAGCGCAGAGAGAGAGATTTCCCTTCAAATCCATGCACTTCAACTGGACCAGTCAGTCGCCATGTGTCTGGGGGAAAGAAAGAGAATCATTAATTGGAGTCAATCAGGTTGGCACCATGTTGCTGGTGTTGTCAGGCTACAGGGAACCTAATCCCCCTCCCTCACTGCTGGCAGCCAGAAATGGGGAAAACAAGAAGTTCTTACCAAGGTACCAGTAATTTATTCAATATTCACAGAAAGATATATGCATAATACTGCCTCATGGATAATTGTGTTGCTCTGAGTAAAGTCCCACCCCCTCCGTCTCTCCTATTATACGTCATCAGCTGATCTGTGCTTTCTGCCTCTGAGCTTTCTGTTCTCCTACTCTCAGTGCCCGCCTGGACCTGGGAGGGGGGGGGGTCTGGCATGCTTTCCAAAGACACTGAGTCTGTCAGCTGTCTCTCCCTGGTGGTGCTTCCTCCCCCTCCTGCTCCTTTCCCAATATTTCCCAGCTTCTCCCCTCTACAGCCTCTGAACTGTAACCTTCTGCAAACCATTGTTCTAAATCTATACTGTCTCCCTCTTCTCTGGGAAGTGCAGAAGGGGGGGGCAGTCTCCACCATTCCTCCTCAGTCCAGTCCTTGACAGGTGTGCAGCACCGCAGTCAAGCCAGGCCATTCATTACAAGACAAGTCTTTCCACGTCTCTGCAACAAGCGTTCACAAAATTGTTCTCCTCATAGCCCCTGTGAGAGGCTCTGGCCCTGCTTTTCCCGTGAGTGGCCTTTGCACCAAGCGCCTTTGGGCAAACCAGCTTGTGGATATTAGTAGGAGGGTACCAAAGTATCTGCATTAAAATGAAAAGGTTGTTCAGGCTGCATCATTTAGGACAGAAGTTCTAGTTTCGGGCATTATTGTATTATTGGATAATCTCGTATGTGTGTGTGTGTGTGTGTGTGTGTGTGAGAGAGAGAGAGAGAGAGAGAGAGAGAGAGAGACTTTGTGACCACAAATATTTACCAGTATATTTTCCCAACGGTGTGGAGATTTCAGAATTGTCATAGTGTAATGTTGGTTTTGAAGTTTGGAAATGTTTGTCTTACAATGTGTATTCTGAGGTGAGCTTCTTTGTCCCTAAGCATGGCACCAAACAGTTTTTCGAATTCACAGGAAAAAACAAGGAATTTTTGAAAATGGGCATGCCAACCAATTCAGCAACTTGTGCCAGCAGCCAACCACAAATCAGGGCACCATGTCATATGGTCATATGCTTACATATACACAGTAAGATTCCAAAGTAGTTATTTGGGTATATGCACATGCAAAAGATTCTACGCCAGTCTGCAACAGAAATAGCATGTTTGCAACAGAAATAGCATGTTTACCTTTCTCTTTCCGCCGTTTGTCTCTCAAGTCTTCTATCTCTGGACTTTCAGTAGTGCCATCCCATGCATTTTGGCAGACTTCCTCCTTATGCTTCAAGATCTGTGGCCTTGACGTAGCATTTTTCTCTTCTTTACCTGAAATTAGCACCCAGCCCAGGAGAGACAACACCCTCAACGGTCTCATGATTCTGCTTCTCTCCTCTGCTGAAGTTGGAGGGAGGTAAAAGGTAGTCAGTCTCTCCCAGAGGCCTCAAGATACTCTCCCAAGTTTCTGGCAGGAAAGAGAATCTTCAAAGCTCACTGGCAATAACTTAACCCCCGCCCCTGAAAGCGGAAGTGCTCAGCCTTTTTTAGAAATAGTGGGAAAGGACAGCTTCTCTTCTGCAATCCTTAGTATGCAAGCCACTGTGGTTAGTGTATTCCCTCCCCCCTTTATATTAAGAAACACACATGCTAGCTGAGGAGAATAATGTAAATGAATTTCAGTGGACTTCGGAATTACTTTAACCAATACTATGACCTAGTGTAGTTACAACTGGGCTGTGATAAGCAAGAAAAGATGCACAGTATTTCCCCATAAGAACATGAAAATAGCTCTGCTGAATCAGAAGGCCAGTGGCCCAACTGGTCTTAGAATTGTAGAGTTGGAAGGGACCCTGAGGATCATCTAGTCCAACTCCCTGCAATGCAGGAATATGTAGCTGTCTCATACGGGGATCGAACCTGCAACCTTGGCAGTATCAGCATTCTAACCAACTGAGCTATTCAGGTCCAACATCCTGTCCACACAGTGGACAGTTTGATGCAGTAGCCGAAGTTCTCTCGTGGTGGTGTCACCTCATTAGAGAGCTTTCTGCTCCCCGTTCCCCCACCATCACACGGTTTACTTCCCTGTGACAAACAAAGAGATGGTGTGGTTACAAGTGAGTTGTGCGGCAGGAAGTGTGGGAGCTGAAGCTCTCTTCCGGTTGTGACTCCTATGCATCCAGATAACTGCAAAAAGCAGAAACAGGAAGATGGGCGTTTTCAAGCTGATCGGAACCAGGAAGTACCTATAAATAAGATATCTGCAGCACAGCAACAGAAGAGAAAATAGAAGAAAACAAAGCTATTTCCCACCATTCGCGAATGAAAAAGTGCTGCATACGCTAAGATTATGCGGCAGCTTGGCTGCAGTTTTAAAGCAATGATAAAGCACCCAGGTCAAAAATATGTAGGATGCGTTTCAGATGTGCGTGAGAGAGAAATCACTTCTGGGACCAACAATGAACTTAATATATAACTGAAGGGAGGCCAGACTTGACAATATTGAGCAGCACAAAATTTATTATCCCTTTAATGAATAATGGCAGACCATGAAAAAGATACTGGAAACTGCAGCTTAGTTGACAAAGCATGTGTGGAAAAGGCTCAGTGTGAATGACCTATGTAGGGAGAGAAGTGGAGATGAGGACTATAGAAAATGCTAGACTATGCAGGATATTGGCCAACAAAAGCCCCACTAAGCATCCTCTTTTCTCAGAAACTGGAAGAAATAATAATAATAATAACAATAATAATACCCGACCATCTGGCTGGGTTTCCCCACTTGCAGTTTTGCCTCAGCCATGAGGACTAGGAGCTTAACTTATCCAAAATAGAAATGATGAGTTTTCAAGCACTATCAGAGACATCAATTTTCTACATTCCCTCGTTACATTGTGAAAATGGTATAATTGGAAATTACTCTGTCAGCACACATCAAGGTGCTCGTGTAGTTCCAACAGGGAGTCAGAATGCTCAATTGTGCTTTGCCAGTCATATTTATAGAGGGAGCAAGGTCTGGTTGTTCAGTTATTGCTAATTCTTCTTCTATATCTAAGAAGGGGGCTAAAAATAATTGATGACTAGTGCCAGCTGTTGCGGGTGAGCTGTTTGCACTTTCCAAAATGGCAGACGTATTTCGCACAGGAACTGAGGTAATTGATGGTGATGAGCTCTTGAGCAATAAGATGAAATTTCTCCTCGCATAGTGCTTTGTCATCCTGTGGAAACTCATGGCCATGAGGAGGTCAAGTCATTGAGAAACTGGAAATGGAGGATTAGTGTTCCATAGTTCATACCCCCGAATGCAGTGCCTTGGGGGCGTTTTCAGGGCATAAAACTGTAATCTACTTGCAATAAGTATCCTCAGGCCTGCCCATCCATGCCTTGAAAGCTGGCCTGCCCAAGTCCTCTTCTTTACAGAGCTACAAAGATAGAGGTAAACATTCCGTTTAAAGACTGTATTCGGGTCCAGTGTTGGACCATTTCGATCGGATACTCCCTGCTGATGTGGATAGATTCCTCTGAGCTGCCAGGCCCACCACTTGCCCCCTTGACCCGTGCCCGTCTTGGCTGATTAGAGTGTACCCAGACATTGCATGGATCCCCCTGGTTGAAATTATCAATTTGTCCCTTGGCACGGGGACATTCCTAGGGGAGCTGAAGGAAGCAGTGGTGTGTCCGCTCTTAAAGAAAACTTCATTAGATCCTCTTGTTGTAGTGAAGTTGGGAAATCTTGGTATGTCAAACACTGGTTCACGCAGGAGTGAGGCATTGTGGGAGAGATAAGATTGTGGCCTTATGGGGAATGGGTGTTTGGTCTCTTTCAAAGTAAAACTCTCTGTCTCTAGAAGTGTGAGTCAATTACTGGTACATCTTGTCTCTAGGCAGGATGAGATGTTATCTGATTTGCAGACCCTGGCACAGCTGGGGCTTGAGTGTGGATAGGGTTGTAAAAAGGCACAGGAGGCTATCAAGTAATTTACAACTTAGGAGCCTGGTGCGGTAAGAGAGGCCTGGGAACGGAGGAAGAGCCTTTTGATCTTAAGGTCTCTGAGTCTAAACAAAGTTCAGCTGTGCTGGTCTCCTGACAATCAGGAGTATCCGCCCTCCCTTCCCCACAGGTGGGCGGGTATACAGCCACTGGTACAGCCACTGGTAAATTGGTAATTAACTTGAAGAAATGATTGGTCCCTAACCTGTCCTCCACATGGGTTTTCAAGGATAAAGGATTTAGGAATTCAGATGCAAAGGGCAGAACATCTTGCCTTGGTACTTCACCTGGGGGCGTTTGACCAGTGAAAGGACTCTGCTGTGTTTTGAACTATTGTTGCTGTGTGAGTATGGTTTTAGCTAGTCATACTTTACAATGTTTTTATTTTTTGTTTGTAACCTTCTAAGAGATGTGCAACTTTTCGAGTGGCCTTTTCAATAAATGTGGAAAAAGACTTTTTGTATTTTGTACTCTGTGCCTTTGCTCGGGGAAGCTAAACTAGTGCTTACTGTTTGGACACCTACCTGTTGAATTTCTGTCTGCGTCACAGTAAAGTGACTCAGGGCTGGGCAAATCCAGTAAATATCGAAGGGGGGTTCCCCTCCTTGAACCCCATTCGAGGGTGGTCCAGGAAAGGAGGTGGTGGCAGCTTTACCGTTTGGCTTGTGATTTGCAACAACTAGCGATTTCTCCCCCTTCCTGGCCAAGTCCTGCCAGTGTCTAGGAGGAATGGTGTGGGTGTGTGGGTGTGTGTGTGTGTGTGTGTGTGTGTGTGTGTAGTCCTGCTTACTACACTTGTCCTTTCTTGAGTTAAATAAAATGTTTTGCGTAAAATAAAATAAAGAACCTTAAGTCTGGAGGAGGAGGCCAGAAGTCCCTCAGTGCCGTTAATGTGCTGGTGAGGAAGGGCTAAGAGTAGGGAGTTTACTTCTCTGAGGCCCAGAGACAAGGAAACATGTACCAATCCATTGTTCAGGTTATGGAGCCAGGTGGTTTGGATTTATAGGAGCCCGCACTGGTTTTTGACCCTGCTCTATTAGCAGTGTCATGTTTAGATATATTTATTGTTGCCATACAACAATACAAAAAATCACTGCGGGACCTAAAGGTCTTTTGCATTGTTTCAGGGAATAGTACAACCCTGTAAAAGGTTCAGAGCCATCTTGAGCACAACGTGTAAATGATTTTTAAAATAGACACCCCATAGGGACATTATTCCTTGCAATTGAGAACTGTATTTGGAAATAAAGCTCAGAAGAAGAAAAATGTAATGTACTGAAGTACTGGTGTCAGTTTGCAGCTTTGTTATTGTTCAATTTGAAGGAAAGAGACACTGAAAAGAAAATTTGTTGACCAAGAGATGGCAATATGACGTTCATGAGTATGAAATCCAACTCTTTTGTTTTTTAAAAAAAAGGAACTTTGTTGACATTTGCCTTCACTGCAAACGATGATAAATGTTGGGTTCAAAGTAAACAAATCAAGACCAAATTCCCATGGAGATTGCAACATCCTTCAGGGACTCGGTGCTGATCTGAAACTTGTGAAAGTGTTTTAAAGGGTTAGATGAGAGGGTCTTGCTTTGCATCAGTTTGTAGAGGTCAATGAATTGTAATTTGTTGTATTGGTCACAGGTAATTTGCCAGAAAACATCCCCCCTTCCCTAGTTTCCAATAAAAATTACAAAAAGTGGCACTTGCCCATGAAAACTAGCTCTCATTGTAATTTGCTGCAGATGGGTTGTCCAAGTTACAGATAAATGATTGAGATTGCAAATCTAGTAGATTGGCCACATCTTTTAAAACACACTTAAAAGGAAAGCATCTAAATAACCTGTGGGCATACCTTTTATTGCTCTTTTTTAGGGAAGATCAAGCCTATTAAGACACAAATAGTTTGAATACTGGAGTTATAACAGCATTAGCTAAAACAACATATTATGTAAAGAAGCTTAACAACAGTTACATTGGTCACCGTGGGATTACTGTGCAGCATTTTCTTGCCGTGTGGCAGCTGAAGGTCTCTTCTGATTGTATCTTCTATGCATCCAGATAATTGCAATGACCAGACCCAGGAAGATAAGGGTTTTCAAGGCGAAAAGCCCATAAATCAGGTATCTGTGTAAATGAAACAGAATCATAACCATAGTAATACACCACCCATTCGACTGGGTTGCCCAGCCACTCTGAGCAGATATCATATAATTGCTGATAGAAGAAAACAGGACTATTTCCCACCATTCTCTAATATAGAAGCTTTGTGGATTAACACCCCACAGCCGGTGCTCCCATGAGCCTTTCTGAGGGAATCGACTCAAATGGCACTCAAGGGTGGCATCTGGGGGCTGCACCCGCCTCCCTCCTTGCTTGTAGTGGCAGTGCCTCCTCCTTCCAGGGACACGACTTCAGGAATATAGGAAAACTAGGAGGAATGGCAACCAAAAATGATGGAATGTGCAGAGTCAGAAGGCATAACCAGCCAGGTCTGAGAACAAGATGATCAAGTTTATAAACAGGAATGGAAAGTTTTTGTGGAGTATTTGCATATAATTGTAAGAAAGTGAAAACACGAAGCAGGATTAATTCAACAGTCTGATTTTGATTGAGGTAATATGAAAAGGAGGAGAAATTGGTTGGTTGGAATAAAATAGGCAGTAAGAATGGGAAACTTAAAAGACCCACGGAAGGAGAAGAAGGGAAGTTGATGTATTATTTTATAGGTGGTTGTTTTATTTGTGGAAACTGTATAATTGAAAAATTTATTTAAAAAATGAATTACAAACAAGGAAAACAGGCCTTGCTAGCCACCAGGAGGTGGCAGCATGAAAACCTTTTAGAGGTTGCTGAGCCAAAATATCAGTGATATCACATGTTTACACAAAGGGAATCTCAATACTTACTCTGTTGGAATAGGGCTGAAGCCTGATTGTTTGTTTGTTTGTTCTTGTGTGGTAGTTATTAGAAAGCGATCAGGTTCTGACTGCCTGCTAATTGCTGTTGTTTCTTCTGAATCTGAGGAGGAAGCTGAACAAAGATGAAGAAATGGACAGCTTCAGACACTGAAGAGACCAAGAACTTCAGAAAATGTGAAGAGGGACTGGCAAATAAGGGATAGTTCCAGTCAAACAAAACAAGTGCCAGTGGTCAGATCACTTCCTGGTACAACTAGACTTCTCCGCAACCCTTCCCATCTGCAGGGAGGTGAGACCAATTTGAATGGTCTGCCTCTGCCACTTAACGGATCCAAATGGCTTCAAAAGCGTGATAGGTGCAGTGCTTTTTTCCCCCCTTAAAAAATGTTTAGGGGTACTCTCATTTTGACTCAAGAAAATCACCATTTTAAAGTTCAAATCGGGGGAAATAAATACAGTAGCTAAATGGATAAAAGTACTGTACAAAGATTCACAAAATGTTTAGGAGTATGTGTACCCCTGCGTCCCCCCAGAAAAAAAACACTGGGTAGGGGATACATTATTATCCCATGCTGATGGCCTCTCAGCTGATACTCTGGTGACCCACTGGAATGTGTAGTTAAACAGGGTTTTAGACTGTTAACTCTGAAGTGCCCTCTTCGATTGCATGGAGCTGGGATGACCATGTGGTTTTCCCAAGGGCTGAAGGCGATGAAACGATCTCTGAGAGGACTAGGGCGCCGGTGGGGGGAAACATGTCCTAAATTGGACTGAACATAGGTTAGAGCTCATTGCAGAGCCTACCAAATCGCAATAGCGATGGCAAAGAAGACCCTTTTCACTGTCTATGGCATCTGCAGAAAGTGGTTCCAGGAGACTCTTAGGTGGTTTGTAGTCTAACAGAACCACCTTTGCCACTGAGGTCCAAGAAGGACTCCAAAATGTCCTGCAACGATTTTGCAAAGCTTTTTGCAGATAAAATCACCCAGATTCAGAAAGAGGCAGGCGCCACTGTGGTAGCAGGGCTGGGGTGGGAGAGTTTCAGCGCTCTGTCTAGTCAAGTTGTATAAGATCAATTTCAACCCGATTACCTCTGAGGAGGTAGACAGTGTGCCTGGATGAGTGAAACCTGTCTCCTCGACCCTTGCCTATTCTGGCTCATAAAAGCGAGCCTGAGACCCTACCTGCCTGCAGACTGTCTTGCCAGAGTGGTGCATTCTTTGGTTATCTCCAGCTTGGACCACTGCAATGCGCTCAAGGTGACTCAGAAGCTACAATTAATGCAGAATGTGGCTGCCAGACTGGTGACTGGGAGCAGCTGCTGGGACTATACTGTATAACATCTATCCTGAAAGACCAGTCATGTGACAAAGGCCTTTGAGAACAGAAGCAGTAAAGTGCTGGAAAATGCTGAAAAGTGAAGATTCATTCTTCTAGCTGACTCATTCCTTATACAAATATTGTTTCAATTACAGGAAGTAACACGGAGCCAGGAAGGATAAATACATGGGCTCAGTGTGCTCTTTACTTCTTTTTATTTTGCTCTCTTCCATTATTGTTGGTATAGTGTTTGTAAAGAAATCTGTTTGCCTCAGTAAAGGTTTTTTTTACTGTGAATTTTGACCCTGTGTTTTGACTTCACTGCGCGACAAGACCTATATTGGCTCCCAGTGTGTTTCTGAGCACGATTCAAAGTGTTGGCTTAAAGCCCTTAATGACTTTGGCCCAGTATACCTGAAGGAGTGTTTCCGCCCCCATTGTTCAGCCCAAACACTGAGGTCTAGATTCAAGGGCCTTCTGGGGGTTTCCTCATTGTGAGACGTTCAGTTACAGGGAAGCAGGTAGAGAGCCTTCTCAGTAGTGGCACCCACCCTGTGGAACACCCTCCAGTAAGATGTCAAAGAGATAAATAATTATATGATCTTCCGTAAACATCTGAAGGCAGACCTATATCAGGGTACTTTTAATGTGTGATATTCTATTCTGCTGCTGCTGTTTTTGTATACCCTGTTGGAAGCCGCCCATTATTTTATTATGTCCCTTGGGATTTTGAACTTGCTGACAGGGGAATCGGTGACAGGAGACAATTCTGCAAGCATAGTTTTCCCTAATGTGAATTTTACACCAGCATCATGCAGCAACATAAAACAAGCCTTGTTTCATTTACCATTATTTACCTGCTTAACGGGCAATATAATATCCTTTTGGAAAGAGAAAAATTATCACAATACTGTATTCACTTCCTATATATATTTAAAGTATACAAGAAGGAACTCTCCTTATCTTTGCAAGTCTGTGCACACTTACCCAGCAGTAAGCACCTTTGGGGTTAATGTGCATAAGATCACATTTATTCCGTCTTTTGGGTTTCCTGTGGTGCTTGGAAACAGGACTCACCTGGGAGAACAGTAATATTTACAGGGAATCCATAATCAGAGCCAGTTCTTTGTATGCCACACCAGTAAATCCCAGCATCTTCCTGTGTGAGGTTCTCCAGTCTGACTCTGAATTCCAAACGAGAATGATTCTCCTTGATAAAAACTCTGCTAGCTGTCCTTTCTTCTTCAGATCCTGTCGTCCGAACAACTATTTCACAACTGCTCCATGAACTTCCTTTGCACCAATATTTTACATATTTCCTAGACACAACATCATATCTGCATCTCACAGAGAGTGACCTGCCCAAAAATCCACTCAGTGCTTTAGGACCAGTCAGATCAGACATGCAACCTGAAAAGCAGAATAAACCTGGAGTGAGGTATTAGCTCTCCAACTAGTATCATGGAAAAATATAAAATTACACACACCCCATGTCGCTTGTTGATTCATAGGTTACTGCATCCATACAGACCACATTCCCAGCACCAAGAGCTGCTTTTTCAGCTTCAAAGACCCTCCCACTGAATTCTAACTCCCTTTTGAAGCATGGTCAGATCTGGGAGGGATGCGGGGAGGGAGTGACTCTCCAAACGGATAACATGATGGCAAACCACAGCGATATGAAATGGCCACTGACCAACCAAGCACATATACAGCAACAATCTGGGGTTGGGAAACAATGCACCAACACTGTAGCACACTTTAGGGTCAGGGGCCCATTATGGAAGTGAGCGCTGTTCACATCTGTGCAAGCATGGGCCCTAATAAAAAGTTAATAAGGTACCAAATCCATCTCTCAACTGAGAGGTTTAAATATTGGAACAAGTCTGCTCTTAAGTCCTCATAGATTGGGCAAATCAGTAAGCAGCGGGGTAGCTCTTCAGGAACATTGAACATTATGTACACATGGGCAAACTCTCTTCCTAAGGAATCTGGGGATAACATTCTTCAACTATGGCAGCGTGCATTGACTGGAACTGCAGAGAAGCCATGCTCTCCCTTCCTCTGATCCTACCCTCTCTTGCCACACACAGCTCACATCCCTTTATGAAGTCTTTTTTTGTAATTCAGTACTTGTGCCCTCACTACCATCTTTCTCTTTTCCTTACCTGCAAGCAGCACCCAGGTGAGGAGCATCCAGTTCCTCCAGAGGCTCATGGTGCTGTTGTCTTCCCCGCTCAAGGGACCTGGAGGGAAGCCAAAGTCTCCCAGGAAGCTCACGGGGCAAAGAGGGGCACTACAATGTGTTGGAATCCAATTGCCAGAATAAGCTCCGGCTAAATGAAGCAGAGCTTCGGAAAGGGGAAGTAGGAAGGCTTCTATATTGCATGTTTGATGGGCAAGACTGTGGTTAGTGTTGTTCTGCCTTTATGTCCTGCGCAAGCAGAACGGAAAGAGAAAGAGCAGCTTCAGTGGGTCGCGCCAAGTGTCCATCAAGTCCATTCACCCCTCTTGGTGTGGCGTTGTGGCAGGACGGTGGAGGCTCCACTGGGGCCCTGATGGGAGAACTGGAACTGCCGTGCCCTTCCTGATGAACTTATGCCCCCACCACCTATCAGGAACTGGATCCTAGCCTGCACCCTGCTTTGGTGAATGGGGATGCAGGCTGGTTCTTGGGCTGTGCCAGGGGGCAAACAGGGCAGGAAGGCTTCCCTCGGTTCCACCCCTTGCCCATTTAAGCAGCTCGCACCTGGGGCACTACCTGTACGTTCCTTTATTGGGTTTTCCCGCCCTCCTACCCTTGGTTTAAGCTGATGGCCACGGACTTTGCTGCGACTACTGTGGTTGCCGTCCTTTAAGGGGCCAGATAGGAATTTGCCCACCGGGTTAATTGGCCCTGACCCGGTGGTTTTGCCTTCCTCATAGCAATTGTCACAACTGGTTGGGCATTGGACCAATCCTTTGTCTTGGGTGGATGGGTGCACTTCAACTGGACCGATCAGTCGCCATGTCTCTGGGGGAAAGAAAGAGAATCATTCATTGGAGTCAATCAGGTTGACACCATGTTGCTGCTGTTGTCAGGCTACAGGGAATCCAATCCCCCTCCCTCACGGCTGACAGCCAGAAATGGGGAAAACAAGAAGTTCTTACCAAGGTATTTTATTCAATATTCACAGAGAGAGAGATGCATAATGCTGCCTCATGGATAATTGTGTTGCTCTGAGTAAAGTCCCACCCCCTCCGTCTCTCCTATTATACGTCATCAGCTGATCTGTGCTTTCTGCCTCTGAGCTTTCTGTTCTCCTACTCTCAGTGCCTGCCTGGACCTGGGAGAGGGGGGGTCTGGCATGCTTTCCAAAGACACTGAGTCTGTCAGCTGTCTCTCCCTGGTGATGCTTCCTCCCCCTCCTGCTCCTTTCCCAATATTTCCCAGCTTCTCCCCTCTACAGCCTCTGAACTGTAACCTTCTGCAAACCATTGTTCTAAATCTATACTGTCTCCCTCTTCTCTGGGAAGTGCAGGAGGAGGGGGGGCAGTCTCCACCATTCCTCCTCAGTCCAGTCCTTGATAGGTGTGCAGCACTGCAGTCAAGCCAGGCCATTTATTACAAGACAACTCTTTCCACGTCTCTGCAACAAGCATTCACAAAATTGTTCTCCCCATAGCCCCTGTGAGAGGCTCTGGCCCTGCTTTTCCTGTGAGTGGCCTTTGCACCAAGTGCCTTTTAGTAATTAGTAAGTGGATATTAGTAAGAGGGTACCAAAGTATCTGCATTAAAATGAAAAGGTTGTTCAGGCAGCATTATTTAGTACAGGGGTGCTAGTCTTGGGCATTATTGTATTATTGGATAGTCTCTTTACTGTGTGTGTGTGTGTGTGTGTGTGTGTGTGTGTGATACACACACACACACACACACACACACACACACACTTTGCGACCAAGGATATTTACCAGTATATTTCCCCACCTTGTGGAAATTTCAGAATTGTCATAGTGTAATGTTGGCTTTGAAGTTTGGAAACATTTGTCTTGTAATGCGCAACTGTATTCTGAGGTGAGCTTCTTTGTCCCTAAGCATGGCACCAAACAGTTTTTTGAATTCACCGGGAAAAACAAGGAATTTTTGAAAATGGGCATGCCAACCAATTCAGCAACTTGTGCCAGCAGCCAACCAAAAATCAGGGCATCATGTCATATGGTCATATGCTTACATATACGCAGTAAGATTCCAAAGTAGTTATTTGGGTATATGCACATGCAAAAGATTGCTATGCCAGTTTGCAACAGAAATAGCATGTTTGCAACAGAAATAGCATGTTTGCAACAGAAATAGCATGTTTACCTTTCGCTTTCCGCCGTTTGTCTCTCAAGTCTTCTATCTCTGGACTTTCAGTAGTGACATCCCATGCATTTTGGCAGACTTCCTCCTTATGGTTCAAGATCTGTGGCCTTGACGTAGCATTTTTCTCTTCTTTACCTGAAATTAGCACCCAGCCCAGGAGAGACAACACCCTCAACGGTCTCATGATTCTGCTTCTATTCTCTGCTGAAGTTGGAGGGAGGTAAAGGGTAGCCAATCTCTCCCAGAGGCCTCAAGATACTCTCACAAGTTTCTGGCAGGAAAGAGAATCTTCAAAGCTCACTGGCGATAACTTAACTCCCGCCCCTGAAAGCGGAAGTGCTCAGCCTTCTTCAGAAATAGAGGGAAAAGGACAGATTCTGTTCTGCAATCCTTAGTATGCAAGCCACTGTGGTTAGTGTATTCCCTCCCCCCTTTATATTAAGAAACACACATGCTAGCTGAGGAGAATAATGTAAATGCATTTCAGTGGACCGGAATTACTTTAACCAATACTATGACCTAGTGTAGTTACAACTGGGCTGTGATAAGCAAGACAAGATGCACAGTATTTTCCCATAAGAACATGAAAACAGCCCTACTGAATCAGAAGGCCAGTGGCCCATCTGGTCTTAGAATTGTAGAGTTGGAAGGAATCCTGAGGATCATCTAGTCCAACTCCCTGCAATGCAGTGTTACCGGAAAAATCCGAGGGCTCCCTTGGACAAAAACAAAGACACCAACCAGGATAACTTGGAGCAAAACAGCAGCCTGTAGGCTTGGCCTTTATTGAACTGTTGCAACAGGGTGTTCCCCTCACTTGCAGAGAGAGGAAAGACCCAGAAAGATGGTGTGCAAGACCTTATAAAAACTTTTGAAATTCCCATCCTCTAGGTCAAGCCCACCCCCAGAAACATCATGCATACATTACAGAAAGGAGGGGTTGAGGGAGGAGTTGTGGTGGTAACCTGAGTGTCCTGTCACCTGGCTGGTTCCTCCTTTCCCCTGCCCATGAGTCACTTCCAGGAGACAAAGGGGAGTTGGCAGTTTCCTGCCCCCAGAGGGAAGATCTGATCATTGTCCTTTGTTTCAGTCCATGCTGAATCCACTCCCATATGCAAGTTCTTTGTGATCTTGATGGTCTTCTGTCTAGGACCATCAGGGTTGGCATAGCAACTGGGCAGGGCTCCTGTGGATGTGCTGGGATGGTGAAGGGATTATGGCTGACCAGAACCAAGCCACCCCCCTTTGATAGTCCTTGTCATATGGAGTAAAATAAAAATGGAACAGTGCAAATCCGATGTATGGTTGATTTTTCTATGAATTTATAACAGAAGTGTGGCATATGTAGTGTGTGAGTGTGAGTGTGTGAAGTTTGTACAAACTGAATGATTGGGGTGGGGGGTTCCTGCTACAGTTCCCCCCTTCGGAGATAAGATTGCAAAGCTAGCTACTTTGCAATCCTTTTCTCCGCACAATTTAAGGTGGTAAATATTAACCTGCTATTCTCCGTCCCAGATGCATGTGTCCATGTGAACCTGAAAGGGACTTGGATGTCACGCTTCTTAAGAACATTTGCATAGAAATATAACAGTGTAACAGTGCACATAGTTAGACATAGGATATCACGTAAAATTAATATTTTGTTGCTCAGTTATTTGTGGTATTCTAGCACCTTGGAAGAAATATTTTCTCAATAGTGGTCTATCCTTTACATTTAGCAGGAAGGTCCACTAATGACTGAAGAATGCAGTTTGCTTTGTCCCCCGCCATTTTTGTGTTCTCAGGTGTCAAGGTAGCTCTTCTGTGGTCTCACACCGGCATGGTGTCACAGTAGTGGCAATCCCTGGTGAATCCACTTAGGGCTTTCATATTAACCATGTTGCCTGGCACTCACCACAGCTGGCACAGGTTTAGGACACGTCATGAGAGAAATGTCTTTGCCTTGGCCATTCTATGGGATTTTATTATTATAGGCTCTGGTCTTGCAGTCATGGGAAGTTGCTCACTTGCACTTTAAGGACCAAAAGCTAATTGCAGCCTGGATACACTTGCCCAATTCAAACTGAGTCCAATTTGAATTTTTCTTGCCCCATGGTTCTCAACTTTTCTGTTAAAACAGAACCATCCAAATAAGTCAATTTAACTCTATAAGGGATTATTCCTGCTAAACCAAAGCATATACACCTTCCTGAAGCTTCTCCTTGGTAAAGTGAGTTTTAGCACATTTTAAATGGGTAGGGAAGTTGGCAGAGTGCCAGGTGAAACAACGAAATGTGGTTATAAATTTATCTAATTCTAAACATTTGACTACACAATAGCCTGACCTATTAGAACGCATAAAATGTATGAGAATCCTCCACTGGGGTGTAAGGAATAAGACATTAAACATAAAAACAATTACACACAAAATAGTCCCCGATTTGTGGAAATAACACACTGTCAGACACATTTCAACATTCCTACGTAATAACACATAATACAAAACAAACTAATTAAATATCAGTTGCATATCTTGAGACAATTGGGATATTTTATGTATGTATCTTTTGAATCCTGGAGCACAGTCTTGAGGTTCAAAAGTGAGAAGATGTCCTTGCAATTCAACTCCACCCCCCTTTGTCAGGCCCACTCCCCCGGCAGTCTATATCCTTTGAAAGAGATAGCTGTGGGCACTTTGAAACTTTGGTGTCTGTTGTTGTTGCAGGTCTTGTGGTGGCGAAGCTTTTCATTGGATCTGTAGTAACACATTTGTAGAAGTGATATCCTGTAAGGGGCAGGGTTTTGAGGACTTAAAAGACAGAGTTAGAAAAGGGAAGGGGCAAAAGGCAAAAGGATGTCCTTCAGTTTCCGTTGGAAGCTGCAAATAATAAAAATCTTAGCGGATTAAGCATTTCATTCATTCCAATATTATTATCACATTTCCATATAATTACTGTTATTATCTGCCAAGTTTGTTTGCTTTCCTTCACTTAGTTTGGCTGTGGAAGAAACGGAGGGACAAAACCTTTGTTAATTTGAACACAATCGGCAAGTTATTAAACATTTTGCTTACGTGGGTCCGAGTTCACGTATCCTGTTTTAAAGGGATTTATTTATTTATTTATTTATTTCCTTTGAAAATCTCTGTCAGGAATTCTGTTCCTATAATGCACACAAAGCCTGTTATAAAAGTTAAATCCCATTGGGGGGGGGGAGAACTAGTCAAGAGTGGAACTCACAGTGGGAGCGCTTTGATATTTACCTGTGAAAAGAATTTGGCATGTTAAGATTTGAAACCTGGAAACCTCTTGACTTTTGATGGGCTAGTACTTAACCCTTTTGTCTTACGTAGCCCCTGGAGCAAAGGACACATTAAGGGTGATTTCCCTCAATGGTTCCAAGTTTTACATAAGGAAATTTGGATAAGTTTCTCCCTGCAGCCCAAGTTCTCGAAACCTCCTCTCCCCCCTTACAGTTCCCCCCTTCCTCTCTCTCTCTTTCCTCCCCCCCTTTTTTTTTGATCTAGCCTCTGTGCATGTGCAGAGTTCATGTCTCAGCAAACCTTTTATACTATTGAAAATGTTGAATCTTTTGGCTAAATTACCATTTGAATAAGGGAAGGGAGGGTAAGGAGTAGATTTTAAAAATAGGGTTAGATTTTAAAACAAAAAAGAGAAACTCAGCGATTCAAGTATTCACCAAAGCTAGCAATTGCAGCCCAAGCAAAGGGACTGCTTCCTTTATGTACAGGAAAGGGCTAATATCCCTCTGGCCATTCGCGGAACAATGCCACGCCCTTATATATGGGAAAAATGGCCAGAGAGTCAGAATTCATAGGATTTTTTTAACATTCCCAGTCATTTCAGCCTTACCATTTGCAGACAAAAATTTTTTTTTCTGCCCTTTATTTACAGGATTGGTCAAGGTGCATATGTATTTGTATGTGCTGAAACTTTGAATTGACTTTGAAGTCTGATTTTTAAATAGTAGACAAAATGATAAACACTGTAATCACTCAAATGCTTGATATTACCAGTTGTGCTTCAAAAACATCACGGCTTCACCTCACACCTTTTAAAACTAAAGAGCAAAGCTAGGCTGAATTTCAACTCCATCACCACACCAGAATTTAAGAATTACCCTCCAATGCTTGCAGACACATGTCCTTCCACACAGCCACAAATTGGGAGAGTTGAAAGGGACCCTGGGGTTATCTAGTCCAACCCTCCAAAATATAGGGTTCACAGCAAGATTTCACAGCAAGATTTGTACTACCAAAGAGAGAGATAGTTTGAGTGAGTTTGCTTCCTTAGACTAAAGAATGCAAGTTCCTATAGAAATGATATTTAAAGGAAGATTGAAGTGAACAGGTTTTTTTTTCTAAGATAGGGAGAGGATCTTTTATTAAGCATAGTTAAAACAGCCATAGATTTGATTTAAAGGGAATACAAAAGTGAACAATTTTTTTCCCCTGAACTTGCAGAGGAATAGTAAGCCTAATTTAGATTTATTTTTTTTAATAACTACACATAGGAAAGTGAGATGAAGGGTACCTTAGGAAAGATTGCTCCCCCCTCTTTGCAGTTTCCTTTAAAGGAAGCTTACTCAGGAGTAAATTTACCTGGCACAGAAGTAAGAAGGGGAAAAAACCTGAAAGATACAGAATGAAACAAGGGGGGGCATTTTCTAAGAAAAGAGGCCAGGAAGTCTTATAGAGACTGATATCAGGACTGGACTCAGATAGACAATTTTTGCTGGCCATGGAAGCCTCTACATTTGATAACAATTTTTCTTAGAAAGAACACCATACTTCCATAGGCATATGCTTAATGAAATACATACACTGCATTTTAGCTTGAGAGAGCAGTTGGCTCAACTAGGCTTTTGCAGCAGAAACATTAGTTTCTTCACAGCACATTTCAAAATACTGGAACAAAAACGACTGGAACACGGATGTAGACTCACAAACTCAAAAGTTGCAGCATAACATCATCTACCATCAACTTAAAATCATACTCCTCACTTAAGCTACTCGGAGGAAGACTCTTTGGAGCCTCTCTCAAATAACAAACATTTGCACACTTCATTCTTCTTCCTTTTTTTTTTGTCCTGTTTAAGATTGATAAGGCCCAACATGGCTTTCTTAGATTTAAAATTTTTGAAGCAAGCTTGCAATTTAAAAACTATGTGCATTTAAGAACAGTCTGTGGATGCCGAGGCCAATGTAAATACAAACCCTTGAAATATTTCTAAATCTTTGAGTACATCTCTTATTCATTTTTTTATTTTTTATTTTTAGAGAAACTAAGATCTCTAACGCGTGGGCTCTCAGGCTGGGCTGTTATTATGTCTACTACCTTCTGAGCACCATTAAGTTTACGGTTTCATGTTCTAGCTTTAGGTTATAGTTTAACAACACAAATTAGATGTGTTCAGCTCTCCCTAAGGGTTCACACCCTGATTTTGTTGAAGGATCCCTGAGGTGGCTGCTGTGCCCTGGGTTCCAGGTGGTGGGCCTAAGCCACCCACTAAAAGTTACAACGGTCTCGTACTTTGTACTTGGAAAGACCATTTTGCCCCTTTATGTATTTATTTATTTTTTTCCCAATTGGAGATTGAAGGGAGAGGGGAGGGTAAACCCCACCATGTATTAGTGCCCCAGATAACAGTTGCTCCAGCTATGAAGGCCACCTATGTAGGCCAGCAGTGGTTTTCCTGTTTGGCTTCCTGCTTCAGTTGTGCTGAACATGCAAACATATACAATGCAAAGCAAACAATATATGCAAAGGGCGGGAAGGGGGGCTTAGCTAGCCTAATAAGGTAATGAAGTGTATCTCTGCCTGTTGATTGGGGAGCAACTGAGGAACCAAGCTTGCAGCTTAAGTATAAGAATGCTTGCAAGACAATAGGGGGGGCGGCCAGTCTTTGGAAGCTATTCCGCTGGCTGTCTCTGCGCAGATTTTGCAATAAACCTTTTTCTCTGTGAAACCTCACCCTGGTGTCTGCTTGACTCCTTCACACTCACGGCGAGGGCACGAGGTGACTGAATCCGGACCCCTTAGGTTCAGATATCCTAACAAGATGACAAGCTGGAGGGGCATATTAGAATCCTCTCTGGGGCAAAAAGGCTTCATGGAAGCTTTGTTGCCAGGAGGAGTCCAGCTAGGGTGTTTAGTGAGCTCCCATTTCCCTTTAAGGGGGGGTTGCTCAGTAGATTACACTAGGAGATAGAAGAACAGGTACAAGAAAGGGACAAAGAAGGAGGGGTAGAGAAAAGAATATTCTATCAGTATTCAAGTTATATTTCAGCTAAAGCAATCTCTGCCTACCAGTAAACTACAAGCAATTTGTCTGGAAACCACAGGCCCTAGCCTGGAAAACCACGGGTCTATCCACCCGGAAAACCACAGGCCCAAGCCTGGAAAACCACGGGTCTAACCACCCAGAAAACCACAGGCCCTAGCCTGGAAAACCACGGGTCTAACCATCCGGAAAACCACAGGCACAAGCCTGGAAAACCACGGGTCTATCCACCCAGACAATAACCGCGGATCCGGAATTCTACCTTAGCGCTGCTTACAAAGTACCGCGCTTTCCCTGGCCACACTCCGAAAGGGAAAATGGGGGAGAAAAGGAGAGAGGGAGATTTGTAGGGACGCCTCCGGATGCCTCCGAGGGAAGACGTCAGAGAAATAACAAAGTACCGCGCTTTCCCCGTCCACACTCCGAGAGGGAAAACAGGGGAGAAAAGGAGAGATTTTAGGACGTTCCTGGACGACTCCGAGAGGTAACGTCGGAAAGCAGCAAAGGTTCCACAATTTCCCCGGTCCAACTCCGAGAGGGAAATAGGGGGAGAGGAAGAGAAAGTTTAGGACGTTCCTGGACGACTCCGAGAGGCAACATCGGAAAACAACAAAAGTTCCACAATTTCCCCGGTCCAGCTCCGAGAGGGAAATAGGGGGAGAGAAAGAGAAAGTTTAGGACGTTCCTGGTCGACTACAAGGGGTAACGTCAGAGATAGAAGGGAGAAAAGGTCCAGCTGTCGTGGGGACATTGCTTTCCACCCCCCTCCCAATGTATTAATTTTAAACCATACTCACGTTCGTAGATGTCCCCCGTGGATCCCGGGATCCTTTCTCTTTAGCCGGCTTGACCTTGCCTTTGCTCCCCCTGGCTGGGCTTTTGGTGACGATTGATTACCGCCCGCAAAGAGGAGGCAGGGAGAGGAAGAAGGATTCCTGGGCTAAGGTTGCCCAGTGGCGCCCGATCCCCTCTATCTCCCTCCTCACCTTCGCAGGAGAACCAAGTGTCCCTGAGCATGGTCGCCAAACTGTTACCGGAAAAATCCGAGGGCTCCCTTGGACAAAAACAAAGACACCAACCAGGATAACTTGGAGCAAAACAGCAGCCTGTAGGCTTGGCCTTTATTGAACTGTTGCAACAGGGTGTTCCCCTCACTTGCAGGAGAGAGGAAAGACCCAGAAAGATGGTGTGCAAGACCTTATAAAAACTTTTGAAATTCCCATCCTCTAGGTCAAGCCCACCCCAGAAACATCATGCATACATTACAGAAAGGAGGGGTTGACATCATGCATACATTACAGAAAGGAGGGGTTGAGGGAGGAGTTGTGGTGGTAACCTGAGTGTCCTGTCACCTGGCTGGTTCCTCCTTTCCCCCTGCCCATGAGTCACTTCCAGGAGACAAAGGGGAGTTGGCAGTTTCCTGCCCCCAGAGGAAGATCTGATCATTGTCCTTTGTTTCAGTCCATGCTGAATCCACTCCCATATGCAAGTTCTTTGTGATCTTGATGGTCTTCTGTCTAGGACCATCAGGGTTGGCATAGCAACTGGGCAGGGCTCCTGTGGATGTGCTGGGATGGTGAAGGGATTATGGCTGACCAGAACCAAGCCACCCCCCTTTGATAGTCCTTGTCATATGGAGTAAAATAAAAATGGAACAGTGCAAATCCGATGTATGGTTGATTTTTCTATGAATTTATAACAGAAGTGTGGCATATGTAGTGTGTGAGTGTGAGTGTGTGAAGTTTGTACAAACTGAATGATTGGGGTGGGGGGTTCCTGCTACAGCAGGAATATGCAGCTGTCCCATACGGGGATTGAACTTGCAACCGTGGCGTTATCAGCGCTGCACTCTAACCAACTGAGCTAGTCAGGTCCAACATCCTGTCCTCACAGTGGACAGTTTGATGCAGTAGCTGAAGTTCTCTCATGGTGGTGTCACCTCATTAGAGAGCTTTCTGCTCCCCGTTCCCCCACCATCATACGGTTTAATTCCCTGTGATACACAAAGAGACGGTGTGGTTACAAGTGAGTTGTGCGGCAGGAAGTGTGGGAGCTGAAGCTCTCTTCCGGTTGTGTCTCCTATGCATCCAGATAATTGCAAAAAGCAGAAACAGGAAGAAGGGCGTTTTCAAGCTGGTCGGAACCAGGAAGTACCTATAAATAAGATATCTGCAGCACAGCAACAGAAGAGAAAATAGAAGAAAACAAAGCTATTTCCCACCATTCGCTAATGAAAAAGTGCTGCATACGCAAAGATTATGCGGCAGCTTGGCTGCAGTTTTAAAGCAATGATAAAGCACCCAGGTCAAAAATATGTAGGATGCGTTTCAGATGTTTGTGAGAGAGAAATCACTTCTGGGACCACCAATGAACTTAATATATAACTGAAGGGAGGCCAGACTTGACGGTATTGAGCAGCACAAAGTTTATTATCCCGTTAACGAAGAACGGCAGACCATGAAAAAGATACTGGAAACTGCAGCTTAGTTGACAAAGCGTGTGTGGAAAAGGCTCAGTGTGAATGACCTATGTAGGAAGAGATGTGGAGATGAGGACTATAGAAAATACTAGACTATGCAGGATATTGGCCAACAAAAGCCCCACTAAGCATCCTCTTTTCTCAGCAACTGGAAGAAATAATAATAATAATAATAATAATACCCGACCATCTGGCTGGGTTTCCCCACTTGCAGTTTTGCCTCAGCCATAAGGACTAGGAGCTCAACTTCTCCAAAATAGAAACTATGAGTTTTCAAACACTATCAGAGACATCAATTTTCTACATTCCCTCGTTACATTGTGAAAATGGTATAATTGGAAATTACTCTGTCAGCACACATCAAGGTGCTCGTGTAGTTCCAACAGGGAGTCAGAATGCTCAATTGTGCTTTGCCAGTCATATTTATAGAGGGAGCAAGGTCTGGTTGTTCAGTTACTGCTAATTCTTCTTCTATATCTAAGAAGGGGGCTAAAAATAATTGATGAATAGTGTCAGCTGTTGCGGGTGAGCTGTTTGCACTTTCCAAAATGGCAGACGTATTTTGCACAGGAACTGAGGTAATTGATGGTGATGAGCTCTTGAGCAATAAGATGAAATTTCTCCTCACACAGTGCTTTGTCATCCTGTGGAAACTCATGGCCATGAGGAGGTCAAGTCATTGAGAAACTGGAAATGGAGGATAAGTGTTCCATAGTTCATACCCCCGAATGCAGTGCCTTGGGGGCGTTTTCAGGGCATAAAACTGTGATCTACTTGCAAGAAGTATCCTCAGGCCTGCCCATCCATGCCTTGAGGCTGTGGGGCAGTGACAGGAGCCCTGCTTGAAAGCTGGCCTGCCTAAGTCCTCTTCTTTACAGGGCTACAAAGATAAAGGTAAACATTCCGTTTGAACACTGTCTTCGGCTCCAGTGTTGGACCATTTCGATCGGATACTCCCTGCTGATGTGGATAGAGTCCTCTGAGCTGCCAGGCCCACCACTTGCCCCCTTGATCCGTGCCCATCTTGGCTGATTAGGGCGTGCCCAGACGTCACGCGGATCCCCCTGGTTGAAATTATCAATTTGTCCCTTGGCACGGGGACATTCCTAGGGGAGCTGAAGGAAGCAGTGGTGTGTCCGCTCTTAAAGAAAACTTCATTAGATCCTCTTGTTGTAGTGAAGTTGGGAAATCTTGGTATGTCAAACACTGGTTCACGCAGGAGTGAGGCATTGTGGGAGAGATAAGATTGTGGCCTTATGGGGAATGGGTGTTTGGTCTCTTTAAAAGTAAAACTCTCTGTCTCTAGAAGTGTGAGTCAATTACTGGTACATCTTGTCTCTAGGCAGGATGAAATGTTATCTGATTTGCAGACCCTGGCACAGCTGGGGCTTGAGTGTGGATAGGGTTGTAAAAAGGCACAGGAGGCTATCAAGTAATTTACAACTTAGGAGCCTGGTGCGGTAAGAGAGGCCTGGGAACGGAGGAAGAGCCTTTTGATCTTAAGGTCTCTGAGTCTAAACAAAGTTCAGCTGTGCTGGTCTCCTGACAATCAGGAGTATCCGCCCTCCCTTCCCCACAGGTGGGCGGGTATACAGCCATTGGTACAGCCATTGGTAAATTGGTAATTAACTTGAAGAAATGATTGGTCCCTAACCTGTCCTCCACATGGGTTTTCAAGGATAAAGGATTTAGGAATTCAGATGCAAAGGGCAGAACATCTTGCCTTGGTACTTCACCTGGGGGCGTTTGACCAGTGAAAGGACTCTGCTGTGTTTTGAACTATTGTTGCTGTGTGAGTATGGTTTTAGCTAGTCATACTTTACAATGTTTTTATTTTTTGTTTGTAACCTTCTAAGAGATGTGCAACTTTTCGAGTGGCCTTTTCAATAAATGTGGAAAAAGACTTTTTGTATTTTGTACTCTGTGCCTTTGCTCGGGGAAGCTAAACTAGTGCTTACCGTTTGGACACCTACGTGTTGAATTTCTGTCTGCGTCACGGTAAAGTGACTCAGGGCTGGGCAAATCCAGTAAATATCGAAGGGGGGTTCCCCTCCTTGAACCCCATTCGAGGGTGGTCCAGGAAAGGAGGTAGTGGCAGCTTTACCGTTTGGCTTGTGATTTGCAACAACTAGCGATTTCTCCCCCTTCCTGGCCAAGTCCTGCCAGTGTCTAGGAGGAATGGGGTGTGGGTGTGTGGGTGTGTGTGTGTGTGTGTAGTCCCGCTTACTACACTTGTCCTTTCTTGAGTTAAATAAAATGTTTTGCGTAAAATAAAATAAAAAACCTTAAGTCTGGAGGAGGAGGCCATGTGCTGGTGAGGAAGGGCTAAGAGTAGGGAGTTTACTTCTCTGAGGCCCAGAGACAAGGAAACATGTACCAATCCATTGTTCAGGTTATGGAGCCATGTGGTTTGGATTTACAGGAGCCCGCACTGGTTTTTGACCCTGCTCTATTAGCAGTGTTATGTTTAGATATATTTATTGTTGCCATACAACAATACAAAAAATCACTGCGGGACCTAAAGGTCTTTTGCATTGTTTCAGGGAATAGTACAACCCTGTAAAAGGTTCAGAGCCATCTTGAGCACAACGTGTAAATGATTTTTAAAATAGACACCCCATAGGGACATTATTCCTTGCAATTGAGAACTGTGAGTATTTGGAAATAAAGCTCAGAAGAAGAAAAATGTAATGTACTGAAGTACTGGTGTCAGTTTGCAGCTTTGTTATTGTTCAATTTGAAGGAAAGAGACACTGAAAAGAAAATTTGTTGACCAAGAGATGGCAATATGACGTTCATGAGTATGAAATCCAACTTTTGTTTTTTTTAAAAAAGGAACTTTGTTGACATTTGCCTTCACTGCAAACGATGATAAATGTTGGGTTCAAAGTAAACAAATCAAGACCAAATTCCCATGGAGATTGCAACATCCTTCAGGGACTCGGTGCTGATCTGAAACTTGTGAAAGTGTTTTAAAGGGTTAGATGAGAGGGTCTTGCTTTGCATCAGTTTGTAGAGGTCAATGAATTGTAATTTGTTGTATTGGTCACAGGTAATTTGCCAGAAAACATCCCCCCTTCCCTAGTTTCCAATAAAAATTACAAAAAGTGGCACTTGCCCATGAAAATTAGCTCTCATTGTAATTTGCTGCAGATGGGTTGTCCAAGTTACAGATAAATGATTGAGATTGCAAATCTAGTAGATTGGCCACATCTTTTAAAACACATTTAAAAGGAAAGCATCTAAATAACCTGTGGGCATACCTTTTATTGCTCTTTTTTAGGGAAGATCAAGCCTATTAAGACACAAATAGTTTGAAAACTGGAGTTATAACAGCATCAGCTAAAACAATATATTATGTAAAGAAGCTTAACAACAGTTACATTGGTCACCGTGGGATTACTGTGCAGCATTTTCTTGCCGTGTGGCAGCTGAAGGTCTCTTCTGATTGTATCTTCTATGCATCCAGATAATTGCAATGACCAGACCCAGGAAGATAAGGGTTTTCAAGGCGAAAAGCCCATAAATCAGGTATCTGTGTAAATGAAACAGAATCATAACCATTGTAATACACCACCCATTCGACTGGGTTGCCCCAGCCACTCTGAGCAGATATCATATAATTGCTGATAGAAGAAAACAGGACTATTTCCCACCATTCTCTAATATAGAAGCTTTGTGGATTAACACCCCACAGCCGGTGCTCCCATGAGCCTTTCTGAGGGAATCGACTCAAATGGCACTCAAGGGTGGCATCTGGGGGCTGCACCCGCCTCCCTCCTTGCTGGTAGTGGCAGTGCCTCCTCCTCCCAGGGACACGACTTCAGGAAGATAGGAAAACTAGGAGGAATGGCAACTAAAAATGATGGCATGTGCGGAGTTACAAGGCATAACCAGCAGGGTCTGAGAACAAGATGATCAAGTTTATAAACAGGAACGGAAAGTTCTTGTGGAGTATTTGCATATAATTGTAAGAAAGTGAAAACACTAAGCAGGATTAATTCAACAGTCTGGTTTTGATTGAGGTAATATGAAAAGGAGGAGAAATTGGTTGGTTGGAATAAAATAGGCAGTAAGAATGGGAAACTTCAAAGACCCACGGAAGGAGAAGAAGGGAAGTCGATGTATTATTTTATAGGTGGCTGTTTTATTTGTGGAAACTGTATAATTGAAAACTTTATTTAAAAAATGAATTACAAACAAGGAAAACAGGCCTTGCTAGCCACCAGGAGGTGGCAGAATGAAAACCTTTTAGAGGTTGCTGAGCCAAAATATCAGTGATATCACATGTTTACACAAAGGGAATCTCAATACTTACTCTGTTGGAATAGGGCTGAAGCCTGATTGTTTGTTTGTTCGTTCTTGTTTGGTAGTTATGAGAAAGAGATCAGGTTCTGACTGCCAGCTAATTGCTGTTGTTTCTTCTGAATCCACGGAGGAATCTGGGGAGGATTGTTTGGTCATTTGTTCTTGTGTGGTAGTTATGAGAAAGAGATCAGGTTCTGACTGCCAGCTAATTGCTGTTGTTTCTTCTGAATCCACGGATGAATCTGGGGAGGATTGTTTGGTGGTTTGTTCTTGTGTGGTAGTTATGAGAAAGAGATCAGGTTCTGACTGCCAGCTAATTGTTGTTGTTTCTTCTGAATCTGAGGAGGAAGCTGAACAAAGATGAAGAAATGGACAGCTTCAGACACTGAAGAGACCAAGAACTTCAGAAAATGTGAAGAGGGACTGGCAAATAAGGGATAGTTCCAGTCAAACAAAACAAGTGCCAGTGGTCAGATCACTTCCTGGTACAACTAGACTTCTCCGCAACCCTTCCCATCTGCAGGGAGGTGAGACCAATTTGAATGGTCTGCCTCTGCCACTTAACGGATCCAAATGGCTTCAAAAGAGTGATAGGTGCAGTGCTTTTTCCCCCTCTTAAAAAATGTTTAGGGGTACTCTCATTTTGACTCAAGAAAATCACCATTTTAAAGTTCAAATCGGGGGAAATAAATGCAGTAGCTAAATGGATAAAAGTACTGTACAAAGATTCACAAAATGTTTAGGAGTATGTGTACCCCTGCGTCCCCCCAGAAAAAAAACACTGGGTAGGAGATACATTATTATCCCATGCTGATGGCCTCTCAGCTGATACTCTGGTGACCCACTGGAATGTGTAGTTAACCAGGGTTTTAGACTGTTAACTCTGAAGTGCCCTCTTCGATTGCATGGAGCTGGGATGACCATGTGGTTTTCCCAAGGGCTGAAGGCGATGAAACGATCTCTGAGAGGACTAGGGCGCCGGTGGGGGAAAACATGTCCTAAATTGGACTGAACATAGGTTAGAGCTCATTGCAGAGCCTACCAAATCGCAATAGCGATGGCAAAGAAGACCCTTTTCACTGTCTCTACGGCATCTGCAGAAAGTGGTTCCAGGAGACTCTTAGGTGGTTTGTAGTCTAACAGAGCCACCTTTGCCACTGAGGTCCAAGAAGGACTCCAAAATGTCCTGCAACGATTTTGCAAAGCTTTTTGCAGATAAAATCACCCAGATTCAGAAAGAGGCAGGCGCCACTGTGGTAGCAGGGCTGGGGTGGGAGAGTTTCAGCGCTCTGTCTAGTCAAGTTGTATAAGATCAATTTCAACCCGATTACCTCTGAGGAGGTAGACAGTGTGCCTGGATGAGTGAAACCTGTCTCCTCGACCCTTGCCTATTCTGGCTCATAAAAGCGAGCCTGAGACCCTACCTGCCTGCAGACTGTCTTGCCAGAGTGGTGCATTCTTTGGTTATCTCCAGCTTGGACCACTGCAATGCGCTCAAGGTGACTCAGAAGCTACAATTAATGCAGAATGTGGCTGCCAGACTGGTAACTGGGAGCAGCTGCTGGGACTATACTGTATAACATCTATCCTGAAAGACCTGTCATGTGACAAAGGCCTTTGAGAACAGAAGCAGTAAAGTGCTGGAAAATGCTGAAAAGTGAAGATTCATTCTTCTAGCTGACTCATTTCTTATACAAATATTGTTTCAATTACAGGAAGTAACACGGAGCCAGGAAGGATAAATACATGGGCTCAGTGTGCTCTTTACTTCTTTTTATTTTGCTCTCTTCCATTATTGTTGGTATAGTGTTTGTAAAGAAGTCTGTTTGCTTCAGTAAAGGTTTTTTTTACTGTGAATTTTGACCCTGTGTTTTGACTTCACTGCGCGACAAGACCTATATTGGCTCCCAGTGTGTTTCTGAGCACAATTCAAAGTGTTGGCTTAAAGCCCTTAATGACTTTGGCCCAGTATACCTGAAGGAGTGTTTCTGCCCCCATTGTTCAGCCCAAACACTGAGGTCTAGATTCAAGGGCCCTCTGGGGGTTTCCTCATTGTGAGACGTTCAGTTACAGGGAAGCAGGTAGAGAGCCTTCTCAGTAGTGGCACCCACCCTGTGGAACACCCTCCAGTAAGATGTCAAGGAGATAAATAATTATATGATCTTCCGTAAACATCTGAAGGCAGACCTATATCAGGGTACTCTTAATGTGTGATATTCTATTCTGCTGCTGCTGCTGTGTTTTTGTATACCCTGTTGGAAGCCGCCCATTATTTTATTATGTCCCTTGGGATTTTGAACTTGCTGACAGGGGAATCGGTGACAGGAGACAATTCTGCAAGCATAGTTTTCCCTAATGTGAATTTTACACCAGCATCATGCAGCAACATAAAACAAGCCTTGTTTCATTTACCATTATTTACCTGCTTAACGGGCAATATAATATCCTTTTGGAAAGAGAAAAATTATCACAATACTGTATTCACTTCCTATATATATATTTAAAGTATATAAGAAGGAACTCTCCTTATCTTTGCAAGTCTGTGCACACTTACCCAGCAGTAAGCACCTTTGGGGTTAATGTGCATAAGATCACATTTATTCCGTCTTTTGAGTTTCCTGTGGTGCTTGGAAACGGGACTCACCTGGGAGAACAGTATTATTTACAGGGAAACCAACATCAGAGTCAGTTCTTTCTATACCACACCACTAAATCCCAGCATCTTGCTGTGTGAGGTTCTCCAGTCTGACTCTGAATTCCAAATGAGAATGATTATCCTTGATAAAAAGTCTGCTAGCAGTCCTTTCTTCTTCAGATCCTGTATTTCACAATTGCTGTGAAGACAATTGATGTACTGGAGATTTTTTTTCTTTCCTCATTCCTGCATTTCTATCATTACAAACAAGGAGAGGAGGAGGAGAAGGAGGAGCAGCATTTACCTGGAATAACTGTCACGTTCACCCTGTGTCTGATATTGCGCAAGAGACGTTCTATAACGCAGTGATAAACACCGGAATCATCCAGATTCAAACTGTCCATGGTCACTTGAAAGTAGTGCCCTTTCTTATTCTCTCTGAGGGAGACTCTGCCCATGTTCACCTTTCCATCTGATGATATTAAACTTTCGCATGAAGAAAAAAATACGCCTTCTTTCATTTTGCACCAGCTCTTAGTGTTATTGTCAAAGGTTTGTTGATAATGGCAGCGCAGAGAGAGAGATTTCCCTTCATATCCATGCACTTCAACTGGACCAGTCAGTCGCCATGTCTCTGGGGGAAAGAAAGAGAATCATTCATTGGAGTCAATCAGGTTGACACCATGTTGCTGCTGTTGTCAGGCTACAGGGAACCTAATCCCCCTCCCTCACTGCTGGCAGCCAGAAGTGGGGGAAAACAAGAAGTTCCTACCAAGGTAATTTATTCAATATTCACAGAGAGAGATGCATAATGCCACCTCTTGGATAATGGCGTTGCTCTGAGTAAAGCCCCATCTCCTCCATCTCTCCTATTATGTCATCCCTACGTTGGCTGATCTGTGCTTTCTGCCTCTGAGCTTTCTGTTCTCTTACTCTCAGTGCCTGCCTGGACCTGGGAGGGGGGCAGTTCTGGCATGCTTAGTGGTGTCGGAAGGGGGTGCACGGTGTGTGGTCTGCCCCGGTGACATCCTGGGGGGGGGTGACATTATCTTTGCAAGTCTGTGTACACTTACCCAGCAGTAAGCACCTTTGGGGTTAATGTGCACAAGGTCACATTTATTCCTTCTTTTGAGTTTCCTGTATAACTTGGAAACAGGACTCACCTGGGAGAACAGTAATATTTACAGGGAATCCATAATCAGAGCCAGCTCTTTCTATGCCACACCAGTAAATCCCAGCATCTTCCTGTGTGAGGTTCTCCAGTCTGACTGTGAATTCCAAACGAGAATGATTATCCTTGATAAAAAGTCTGCTAGCTGTCCTTTCTTCTTCAGATCCTGTTGTCCGAACAACTATTTCACAACTGCTCCATGAACTTCCTTTGCACCAATATTTTACATATTTCCTAAACCCAGCATCATATCTGCATCTCACAGAGAGTGACCTGCCCAAAAATCCACTCAGTGCTTTAGGACCAGTCAGATCAGACATGCAACCTGAAAAGCAGAATAAACCTGGAGTGAGGTATTAGCTCTCCAACTAGTATCATGGAAAAATATAAAATTACACACACCCCATGTCGCTTGTTGATTCATAGGTTACTGCATCCATACAGACCACATTCCCAGCACCAAGAGCCGCTTTTTCAGCTTCAAAGACCCTGCCACTGAATTCTAACTCCCTTTTGAAGCATGGTCAGATCTGGGAGGGATGCGGGGAGGGAGTGACTCTCCGAACGGATAACATGATGGCAAACCACAGCCATATGAAATAGCCACTGACCAACCAAGTACATATACAGCAACAATCTGGGGTTGGGAAACAATGCACCAACACTGTAGCACACTTTAGGGTCAGGGGCCCATTGTGGAAGTGAGCGCTGTTCACATCTGTGCAAGCATGGGCCCTAATAAAAAGGTACCAAATCCATCTCTCAACTGAGAGGTTTAAATATTGGAACAAGTCTGCTCTTAAGTCCTCATAGATTGGGCAAATCAGTAAGCAGTGGGGTAGCTCTTCAGGAACATTGAACATTATGTACACATGGGCAAACTCTCTTCCTAAGGAATCTGGGGATAGCATTCTTCAACTATGGGAGCGTGCATTGACTGGAACTGCAGAGAAGCCGTGCCCTCCCTTCCTCTGATCCTACCCTCTCTTGCCACACACAGCTCACATCCCTTTATGAAGTCTTTTTTTGTAATTCAGTACTTGTGCCCTCACTACCATCTTTCTCTTTTCCTTACCTGGAAGCAGCACCCAGGTGAGGAGCATCCAGTTCCTCCAGAGGCTCATGGTGCTGTTGTCTTCCCCGCTCAAGGGACCTGGAGGGAAGCCAAAGTCTCCCAGGAAGCTCACGGGGGAAAGAGGGGCACTACAATGTGTTGGAATCCAATTGCCAGAATAAGCTCCGGCTAAATGAAGCAGAGCTTCGGAAAGTGAAAGTAGGAAGGCTTCTATATTGCATGTTTGATGGGCAAGACTGTGGTTAGTGTTGTTCTGCTTTTATGTCCTGCACAAGCAGAACGGAAAGAGAAAGAGCAGCTTCAATGGGTGGCGCCAAGTGTCCATCAAGTCCATTCACCCCTCTTGGTGTGGCGTTGTGGCAGGACGGTGGAGGCTCCACTGGGGCCCTGATGGGAGAACTGGAACTGCCGTGCCCTTCCTGATGAACTTATGCCCCCCCACCTATCAGGAACTGGATCCTAGCCTGCACCCTGCTTTGGTGAATGGGGATGCAGGCTGGTTCTTGGGCTGTGCCAGGGGGCGGAGCAAACAGGGCAGGAAGGCTTCCCTCGGTTCCACCCCTTGCCCATTTAAGCAGCTCGCACCTGGGGCACTACCTGTACGTTCCTTTATTGGGTTTTCCTGCCCTCCTACCCTTGGTTTAAGCTGATGGCCACGGACTTTGCTGCGACTACTGTGGTTGCCGTCCTTTAAGGGGCCAGATAGGAATTTGCCCACCGGGTTGATTGGCCCTGACCCGGTGATTTTGCCTTCCTCATAGCAATTGTCACAACTGGTTGGGCATTGGACCAATCCTTTGTCTTGGGTGGAGGGGAGGTTGTAGTCTCTGCCTGCTCCTCCAAACACTGAGGTATCCCGTTAAAGGGATCTGGGGTGAGTGGCCATGTTTGCCTGCCCAGGCAGGGCTAGGGCAGAAGGAACTCCCCCAAACAGCAGTCCCTTGGGGGGTCACTGTTAGATAATATTGATTTATTGCTCAGATAAGCGTCCTACAGTCACCCTATTTGATGTAAGTCTTAGGAACCCCCGCCTGGATTGACCACGCATCACTTCCGGCAGGTGGGCCGGAAGTATTTCAGTTGCCCCATGCCCAAGCCAAACCTCTTTCATCTGTATTCAATAAAGTTGTGGCCTGTTTTGACCCAAAACCAGCCTTATTGGTCTCTTATTTATATGGGTTGGGGTATGGGGAACACCATGCTTGGACCTGCAAGTTCAGCATTCTGAGGGTGTCCAGTCAGATAGATGTCTCTGGAAAGTCCACAAATGAGCAGTTGCACTTCTCTGAATTCTGTACTGCAGTCCTCTGATCATATAGTGCTTACAAAATGTACATATTAGAAGGAAATGTGAAAAAAGAGAATATGTTAGTGAAAATAACGTAGAAGAATGAATTATGCTAGGAGAATTTGCTCACAAAAAATTGTCTGAATTGCATATAAAAATGTGTTTATTCAGAGAAATTAGCCTCCATGACCAGTCTGATCAAGGCGCATCCCCTAACTGGGAGCAAGCGCAAACACACGTTGAAGGGTTACAATAATCACAACAGTTTATATGTGACAATAACAGTATTTGATATATGCATTGGGGGGTGGGGGTGGCCACAGCAATGGAAGACTAGGAAGAGGAGGTGAGCATCTAACAGTGGCAGTGAAGGGTAGGGGTCACAGGAGGCAGCACTGGGTTTTTTGCCTCTAGCAGCAGAACATCCCGCACTGGACATGAACTGTACAATTATAAACACCCCATAAGCAAATCACAAGAACTTGCAGGCTGAATGTTTACTTGTTTATTTTACAAAAAAATGTCTTGTTGATTGTAAGAAAATCTAAGTGGTTTTCCAAAATATAAAACAGAACATTTAAGTTATCAATAAAACCTAGTAAAAAAGAACTTTTCCAAACTCCCTTCTTACTGTACCCAAACCTTGTTTTAAACTGCCACTTTGCCTCAGTGTCGACCCCTGTTCTCTGCCCAAACTTCTGCCATGGTTTGCAATTCCCACTTTTTAAAAAATAAGCACCCTAGTCACAGGGAATAATGTCATGAGGGGAACTTTGAGTATCTTGAGAGAAAGCGCAGAAGGAGAAAAAGGTACTATACTGAAGTGTTGATGTCAGTTGCCAACTTTATTATTTTAAGTTTGAGGGACAGAGAAACTGAAAATAAAATTGGTTTGCTGAGTGATGGCAATATGATGTTCATGAATATGAAATCCAGCGCTCTCTTTCTTTTTTAAGGAACTTTGTTGACATTTGCCATCCCTGCAAATGATGATAAATGTTGGGTTCAAAATAAACATATCAAGGTTAAATTCCCATGGAGACTGCAACTTCCCACAAGGAGTTCTCACTTGTTACATTGGTCACAGGTGATTTGCCAGAAAACATTTCCCTCCACAGTTTCCAATAAACATTGCAATAAGTCACACTTGCCTATGAAAAGTAGCTCTCTGAATCTTGCTGCAAATGGACTATCCAAGTTACAGGTAAATTACAGTGAATGCTCGGGTTGCAAACGTGATCTGTGCGGGATGCACGTACCCGCAACCCACAGCTGCACGACTGTGCACGCGCGGGTTGTGATTCAGCGCTTCTGCACATGCGTGACCACCAAAACCCGGAAGTAACCCATTCTGGTACTTCTGGGTTTCAGCGGTCCATAACCTGAAACAACACAACCTGAAGCATCTGTAACCCGAGGTATGACTGTACTGGGATTGCAAATCCAGTAGATTGGCCACATCTTTTAAAACATTGTTAAAAGGAAAGCATCTAAACAATCTGTGGCATACCTTTTATTGTACTTTTGGGGGGAAGATGAAGCCGGTTGTTACACAAATAGTTTAATGTCAACTAGAGTTACAAAAGAGTGTTAGCTAAAACACAATATATTATGTAAAGAAACTTAACAACAGTTACATTGGTCGCTATGGGATTGCTGTCCAGCATTTTCTTGCCACATGGCAGCTGAAGATCTCTTCTGATTGTCTTCTATGCATCCAGATAATTGCAATGCCCAGACCCAGGAGGATAAGGGTTTTCAAGGTGAAAAGCACATAAATCAGGTGCCTGCATCAAAGAAACAGAATTATTATTATTATTATTATTATTATTATTATTCCCTGTCCATCTGATGGGGAAAGTTCTGGTACTCATCACTTGAATGTCCGAGCCATGATGCCTGTGCCAGCCAATGAGATGGGTTGCCAGGTGTTACTGCTGGCAGACACAGCATGCCAATAGCAGACAGCAGGCCTTGCTGGCCTTACCTTTGGTAATGGCACCATACAGAGTCTGCCAGCCAATGCACTTAGCACTCCATCTCACAGCTCATTTTTCCATTTGGCAATGAATTTTTAAAGAGATCCTGGACTCAGCTATACAGCTGCAAATAAAACGTTTTAATGTGTTGTAATTTGCCATATACAAATGTGACACTAGATGGCGAGAGTAAGCTATGCAAAATTCAATTTATTTTTCAAAATGTTGTTGTTGTTTTTAAAAAGCATTTTCACAGCGTTTTTTAATATGTATGTAGATTAAACCCTTGTTCCCATTGCATTTGACATCTCAACCACGGGAGGTTAGTTTCAGAGATATCGCTCGCCCGGAGGTGGGTTGTACTTGCAGGGCAAAGGGGAGAAAGAGAGACCTTAAAAGCTTTTAGAGGTTGCTGAGCCCACAGATCAATGATCTCACGTGTTTACACAGAGGGAATCTCAAGACTTACGCGTTGTCAGTAGTGTTTAGGGAGGGATCAAGGTCTGTCTGGCTGCTAATTGCTGTTGTTTCTTCTGGATCTGAGGAGGTTAGTAGAGAGGGTGAGAAATGGACAGTATCAGCAGCAGTTGTGGAAGAGACACTGAAGAGACTGAGAACTACAGAAAATGTGAAGAGAGAACTGGCAAATAAGTTCATGCTCCCAAATGCACGAGGGCAGCTTCAGTAAACAAGCTGTGATCTGTTTTTAAGAAATTTGCCACAGAAGTTTATGCAGCCCACGGCAGGGCATTGGCCAGGCCCATCTGGATCCACCTAGACCTGATGGTCCTGAGCACACTCAGCTCTCCTGCAGCCCCCCAAACAGCCCCACAACACCTAGGAACATGGGAGAGGTGGTGGAAGCAGTATCTGATGTCTGTCTCTGGAGTCATTCCTGCGACCAGCATCCCTGTGGGCTTGTTCTGTGGTGTTTGGAACGGTATGTTTGTGTTTTTTGGCTGCTCATGGCCTCAGCTCTGCTTCTGGTGATATGTATCTTGTACTGGAAGAAGCAAAGATCACCAGTGTCAAAGCAATGATTCTTCAACATCAGCTTTGTTGCACTGGTCATGTTGTGTGGATGCCTGATGATCATCTTCCAAAGCAACTTCTCTATTCTGAACTTAAAAATAGAAAACTTAATGCTGGTGGTCAACAAAAGAGGTTTAAAGACTCTCTCAAGGCAAATCTTAAAAAATGTAGTACAGTGGTGCCCCGCAAGACGAATGCCTCGCAAGATGAAAAACTCGCTAGACGAAAGAGTTTTCCGTTTTTTGAGTCGTTCCGCAAGACGAATTTCCCTATGGGCTTGCTTCGCAAGACGAAACGTCTTGCGAGTTCTTGCGAGTTTGTTTCCTTTTTCTTAAAGCCGCTAAGCCGTTAATAGCCGCTAAGCCGTTAATAGCCGCTAAGCCGCTAATAGCCGCTAAGCCGCTAAGCCGCTAATAGCCGTGCTTCGCAAGACAAAAAAACCGCAAGACGAAGAGACTCGCGGAACGGATTAATTTCGTCTTGCGAGGCACCACTGTATAAACACCGACAACTGGGAAACACTGGCCTGCGAGCGCTCCAGTTGGAGAACAGCCTTTACCAAAGGTGTCATAGGCTTTGAAGATGCTCAAACTCAGGACAAAAGGGAGAAATGTGCTAAGAGGAAACCCTCACCGTGATCAACTCCTGCCCAGAAACCTTTGTCCCCACTGTGGAAGGACATGTGGATCTAGAATTGGCCTCCACAGTCACTTACGGACTCACTGTTAAAACCATGTTTTTGGAAGACAATCTTACTCAGCTACAAGTGATCGCCAAAGAAGAAGAATTTGGGGTGCTTGTGGGGTGTGCAATGCGGGTGTGCTGCAAGGCACGGGGTGTTCTGGGTATGTTCAACCCACACTTGTTGTAAAGAAAGTACACAGCTGAACCAATGTTGTTGAACAAAAACAAGAAGGTGAGAACATATGTGTGAGAGGCTAGTGATGAAGCACACCTCAGGAGAAACAAAATGTCTGCTGCAGTGCGACAGAGATTTTATGAGGTTTGTTGGGATCACACAGTTTAGTTCAGTTTTGTCTTTTAAATATATTTGGTTTGGACTTTCCAGTTGCCTCAATCCATGGCAAGCAGGGCCAGTCCAGGGTGTCTTGCCACTTGAGACAAAAAGCCTCATTGCCTCCCCCCCTCCAACCACCACTCTTTCCAGATCCGGGCCCCTGCCATGATGCCTCAGCTGCACCCCTATCCCGGGTGTGGTGAGGATGCTGTGGCAGCAATGCGAGCATAGCATGGGCAGGGAGGGTGCAATAGTAGTGGAGGCAGTGAGTTCCTCAGGCCTGGATCTGGCGCCTGAGGTGATGGCCTCACCTCAGGCTGGCCCTGTACGAAACCCCATAGTTGGGTTCAGAGGCACCCTTAGAACAAACCAGTGACATGAAACAACTTCTTGGGCAGGTAATTCAAGTGGGAGATCTGTTTCCCTACCTCCAAGCACCTCCTCCCAAGTCGACACTTTTACTTGGGATGGGAGAAATCCAAAACCTGTCATGGGTTTCCTCATGTGCTAATATGGGGCTACTGCAAAGTCAACCTGAGGGTCTGCTGCATTGCAGGTATGTCCTTTGGGATTTTGAACTCTATCCCAGTCCATTCAGGCAACCGTGCTGGCAGGGGAATCTGTAGCAGGAGACAACTCTGCAAACATAGGTTTCCCTAATGTCAATTTTACATCTGCATCATGAAGCCACAAAAAGCAAGCCTTGTTTCATTGACTATTATTTACCTGCTTAACGGGCAATATTTCCTTTTGGAAAGAGAAAAAATATCAAAATATTCACTTCCTATCTATTTTTTTAAAGTATAGAAGTATACTTTTTTAAAGTATAGAAGTAGCACCTCTCCTTATCTTTGCAAGTCTTTGTATACTTACCTGGGAGTAAGCCCCGTTTGGGTTAATGTGTATAAGGTAAAGGTAAAGGGACCCCTGACCATTAGGTCCAGTCGTGGCCGACTCTGGGGTTGCGGCGCTCATCTCGCTTTATTGGCCAAGGGAGCCGGCGTACAGCTTCCGGGTCATGTGGCGAGCATGACTAAGCCGCTTCTGGCGAACCAGAGCAGCGCACAGAAACACCGTTTACCTTCCCGCCAGAGCGGTACCTATTGATCTACTTGCACTTTGACGTGCTTTCGAACTGCTAGGTTGGCAGGAGCAGGGACCGAGCAATGGGAGCTCACCCCATCACAGGGATTCGAACCGCCGACCTTCTGATCGGCAAGTCCTAGGCTCTGTGGTTTAACCCACAGCATCACCCAGTCACGCTTATTCCCTCTCTGATGTTTTCTTCCCTTTTTAGCTGTATTTGGCTTTCGATTTCCCTGTAGAGCTTGGAAACAGGACTCACCTGGGAGAACAGTAATATGTATACGGAATCCAGGATCATAGCCTCTTTTCTTTATGCCACACCAGTAAATCCCAGCATCTTGTTGTGTGAGGCTCTCCATTCTGACTGTGAATTCCAAATCAGTATGATTGTCCTTGATAGACATTCTGCCAGCTTTCACTTCTTCCTCAGATCCTGTAGTCTGAACAACGACACTACACCTGTTCCATGAGCTTCCTTTGCACCAATATTTTTTATATGTCTGATACCAATATTCATATCTGCACATCACAGAAAGCGACTTGCCTAGAAATCCACCCAGTACTTCAGGACCAATCAGAACAGACATGCAACCTGGAAAACAGAATGAACCTGGAATGAGGCACCACCTCTCCAACTAGTATCCCTCTCGTATAGCAGAAAAATATAAAATTACACATCCCTGTGTCCGGATGAGAACTGTGGCCTTGGCATTGAGGATGCATGGAAGAAAAGAGACAGTGTTAATAATGTTGTTGCTCAGATGGAACAGGTTGTGTTCAACCAGTTCTCCATGGGGTTGCACACCCTCTGAAGGATAATTTTGGGAGTATTCCCTTGAATCCATTCCTGTCACTGGAAGCCAGGACTGCCATCAGCAGGCACCCAGGACGTTCATTGAAAAAGCTTTTTAATTATTATTAAAGTACAGGCAACCACCGATTTTTGCGTTCCAGGTAATCATGCACGATGGTAGGGCATTCATCAGCTTGCTCCATCCTGCTCCACCATCCATACCACCCCATTTCCAGCCACTTCTGTGTAGCTGCGATTTGGGTCCAAATTGGGCGCAATTGTTGCGCATAAATTGCTTATTGCCTGTATACCATACAGCCATAAAGAAAATTATAAAGTGTTATGTACTGAGTTGAATAGGATCCAAAAGGCAGCAGTCTGATTGGTCCTAGAACAATAGGATTCAGAATGCATCAGTCTGATTGGTCCTAGAATAATAGGATTCAGAATGCAGCAGTCTGATTGGTCCACAGGAGCCACCCAATCCAGCACCAGTTGGAAGTGAATCCACAACCTTACTGGCCTAAAGGAGAATCCCGGAATTAGCCAATCACGTGGGGCCCATTATGTAAATAATGTATATAAATCAGACATTCTGGGGGAACTTCCATTCCTCCTTACCACTATGAGCTGAATAAAGAGCATGAAATCCACTCTCGACTCTAAGTATATTTCAGAAAGCATAACGTGGAGGTGACAGCTAAGGCATAGTAGGCAGATACAGAGATGCTGCTGATACAGCTTAATCACTTTGGGGGAAATCCTATGGCTAGATCTGCTAGGATGTGCAGTGTAGGATTCAATGGAATCCAGTCCTGGCACAGTCACCAGCTGCCCCCTGCACCTGGCCAAGCCAAGCCAGGTGCACTTAAAGTTGGAGCGAGAGCCCTGAAAGATGGGCATGGAAGGTGAGTTTGCGCACAGCACTCTGGGGAAAGGCACTCTGGACCTCCTGCTGCAGGACTGACAGCTCTGGCAGGGATGTGGGCGGGGGGGGGTGACTCTCCAAAGTGAGAAAAGGTGGCAAAGCACATCCGTATGAAATGGCCGCTGAACACCCAGGGACACAAACAGCAACAATCTGGGGGTGGGAAACAAAGCACCAACACTGTCGCACACTTTAGGGTGTGTGTGTGTGTGGGGGGGTGCCCATAGGAGAGGTGAAAGCTGGTCACATCTGTGGAAGCATGGACCCTAATAAAAGTGAATACAGTGGTACCTCGGGTTAAGTACTTAATTCGTTCCGGAGGTCCGTACTTAACCTGAAACTGTTCTTAACCTGAAGCACCACTTTAGCTAATGGGGCCTCCTGCTGCTGCCGCACCGCCAGAGCCCGATTTCTGTTCTCATCCTGAAGCAAAGTTCTTAACCTGAAGCATTATTTCTGGGTTAGCGGAGTCTATAACCTGAAGCGTCTATAACCTGAAGCGTATGTAACCCGAGACACCACTGTAAGGGAATAAGTTAAAAGTCAACAAGGTACCTAATCCATCTCTCAACTGAGAAGTTTAAATATTTAAATATTTGAATATTTGCTCTTAAGTCCTCATAGATTGGGCAAACCAGTAAGTAGTGGGGCAAATCTTCAGGCACATTACACATTACAGTGGTACCTCGGGTTAAGTACTTAATTCGTTCCGGAAGTCCGTCCTTAACCTGAAACTGTTCTTAACCTGAGGTACCACTTTAGCTAATGGGGCCTCCCGCTACTGATACACCACTGCCACACAATTTCTGTTCTCATTCTGAAGCAAAGTTCTTAACCCGAGGTACTATTTCTGGGTTAGCGGAGTCTGTAGCCTGAAGCGTCTGTAACCTGAAGCGTCTGTAACCCGAGGTACCACTGTACTTCCACAAACTCTCTTCCTAAGGAATCTGGCAATAGCGTCCTTCAACTATGGCAGCGTGCCATAGACTGGAGCTGCAGGGAATCCATGCCTTCCCCTGCCTCTGATCCCACCTTTTATTGCCATACACAGCTCATGTCCCTTTATGGAGTCTTGCTTCACAATGACCACCTTTCTCTGTTCCTTACCTGGAAGCAGCCCCCAGATCAGGATTGTCAAAGTCCTCCAGAGCCTCATGGTCCTGCTGTTTTCTCTGTTCAAGCTAGAGGGAGCCAAAGTCTCCCAGGAAGCTCACGGTGGAGGAAGAGGGACACCACAATGTGTTGGAATCCAACTGCTGGAATAATCTCTGGCTAAATGAAGCGGATCATGAAGCAGAGCTTCGAAAAGTGGAAATAGGAAGGCTTCTATGTTGTATGTTTGATGCGCAAGACTGTGGTTAGTGTAGTTCTGCTTTTATGGCATGCGCAGGCGGAATGGGAAAGGGAAGAGCAGCTTCGATGGATTGGGTCAAGTGTCCGTCAAGCTCTCTTTCCAAGAGCGGCCAATCAGGTGCCTCTGGAAAGTTCAAAAGTTAGCATGTTTCTAATAATACCAGATGCTCCGCCTGGTTAGATGGTAGTGGATCAGGAGCAGGCAGCCAGATGCCTCTCTAAAGTTCATAAGGAAGAATGGAAGTAATATTCATTGTTCAGCATCAGGTACTCAGGGATATACTGCCCCTGTATAGGGAGGTTCCATTTTTACTACAATAGTTAATAGGTATTGAGGAGGCTTATTCTACCTTAACATACCTTATCCTTTAAAAAACACACACT